GACATATAGCTGTTTTCTGTGTCCAATTGCCCTGGCTGCTGCAAGACCTTGGAGAGCACCATGGACTTCAGCATCTACTACTTCTGCTTGGAGAAGTCTGCCCTTTCCCTGGTATACTTCTTGTGTAGTGCCGCCTTTCCTGATGGTATAACCCCATCTAATGTGGGTTGTGCCTTGGTCGTCCAACTGTGATCCATCTGAATAGATGACAAGGTCAGTGTTCATGTTTCTCTCTTGTAGCCATTGCTTGAAGAGCTCTATTTCTTTGTCTTTGTTTTTACGGATTGGGGGCTTCTTCTATGATGGCCTGGTAAGTGTTGGTCTCTGGAAGTCAGGGACTAGCTGGAAGCTCCTTTATAGCCTTGTTGAATTTTTGCGAGCTTGTATTTGGAGCCTGCCAACAAGAGGGTGTCTCTGGTCTATTTGTCCTAGTCAGAGGCCGTGACGTCGTCTTATTGACTCTGCAAGAACTCCTGCTGGGGGAATTTGCGATTCAAAGTATAGGATATGTTCAGTATGTGTTTTCCAGACTGGCAAGATAGCCCTGATCGCTGTTCGTAGTACGGCATCTATTGTTCCAAGAAGCCCCTTAATGCGACATGCTGATGTCCCACCTAAGCTCCCAACTTTCTCGATTCCTGGGTACCAGGCCTCCAGGCCGTGTGTAAGAATAGGAATAACACAAGCTTTCACAGCCCTCTTGGTTGACTTTACTGAAAGTCTTTTGACTGTGTTGCATAGTCCTCGAAGGTGATTTGCTACCTTATTAGCTTTCTTGGCCCAGTAGGAAACGTGATTTTTGAAGCTTAGTTTTCTATTTAGGAAGACACCCAGCTATCGCATGGAGTCCTTTGCTGTTTTGTTCATTGTCCTGTGGCGGACTGGAGGGTTGTTTGAGTTCTTTTTCTTTAAGAAGTACATGATCTCAGTTTTGTCAGGGTCAAATTCAATAGCAGTATTATGTCCTCATTGACTGAGCAAGTAAAGATTTTTAGAAGCCTCTATAGCTGTTTCCTTAAGGTTCTTTCCAATGCAGAGAGTCGCTAGGTTGTCTGCATATCTAAAGCGTCTCTTTTTCATACCAAGTCGGGCACAGATTGGCTCTGTATACAGCATGTAAAGGATTGGAGAGGCTGGTGAGCCTTGTGGTAGCCCAGAAGTGAGAGCTTTAATATCGGTCACAATACCTTCAAACCGAACCCTTGCGGACCGCTCAGACATGAATGACTGGACCCATCTTATGAAAAAGCCTGGCCAGCCCTGTTCTCTCATGCGAACCACCAGCCGTCCCATTAGGGCAGCATCAAAGGCCCCTTTCACATCTGACGTGACTACTGTTGCAACGAGGCCTTGGTCGAGGGCCTGCTCAATATCGTGTATGAGTACAGCTACCAGGTCAGTGGCAGAGCGCGATAAAGGGGGGAGTAGTGTGACGGCCTGCACAGACCTTCCCACATGACAAGTGGATATTTCCCAATAAGGGAAGGATCTGACCAGAGGATCCCCTTAAAGGGGCAACCTCCCACTGTACCTATCTCTCTCTCTCTTCCTTTCCTCTCTAGTCTTGATATTCTCGTCAATAGAGTAATAGCTACTTGCTGCAGGCCATGTCCCAGCTCTTTATGACAATCAGGCCTGCAGCTGCGCTGGCCAGGGCTGATGGGATGAAATATCTAGATTCAACAATATCTAAGGAAGAAGAGGCAATATCGGAAGAGAAAGAGGAAGCTAGGGATATATATGTACATAAATATGTGAAGGTATTATGTAATACCGTAATACTCCTCAGTACGCTCGCCGTGACAGGCATGTATAATGACATTCTATATAGATGATTATATTCCATTTGGACATATGGATGAACGGATCTATGGATTCCATTTTTCTTCATCGTTGGGAGGGAAGAAAAGTTGTATATGGCTGGCTGGCTAGCTGTTCTTCTTTTTCTCAATTGCCGTTTAGTCTCACCTGGGGCCCCCTGGTTTGCTGACTAACCCATTTCTGGCCCTGGCCCATCTGGCTAGCCTCGTCCCTTCCTTTTCATCTTGAAGCCGTAACACCAACTCTCTCGCTACCTAGAAGAAGTCACCCTTCTGGTAGTCGTGGCGACGCAGCGACAGCACGGTTGGATCGGCCGTCTCGTCTCCTCTATATACCCGTTGACGCCGACCGGATTTCCGCCCGGAAACCAAATCGACTCTACCCTCTTATTCCCAAATCGACTTTACCCCCCTGTCACACGTGCACTGGCCATTTCCTGGCTCGTGCGGGTCTGTGCGTAAACCGACTCTAGTAGAGTCGGTTTGTGAATAATGCTTAGGTGGCGGGAACTCAAAGCTGGCTTGTAATTGCGCTTGGCTGGAGAAGACCCTAGGGATCTGCTAGACTTGTTGCACAATCTCGCGTCGTTGTTGCACTGTTTGCGGTCCGTGACCTGCAGCTTTTAGATGTGTTTTGACCTCATTTACCACACAAGCATAGTGACACTCTGAACAAATGATAATCTTTCATTGTGAGATATAGATAAATGGAGTCATGATAAAGCCGTCATAAATGTATAAGGAAAGAAGAGACAAGGAGAGAAAAGACAGATAACAAGTCGTGTCTAATCTTGTCCCTGTCGTCCGACCCCTTGTTGAGTCCGGCCCTCGCTTGCTTGGCATCCCGCCCGCTTCTCACCTTCTAGCCAAACTTTCCCCTAACCCTATCTGACAGAAAAAGCCCCCTTCTAACAGTCGCAGCGACATATAGACAGCATGGTTAGATTCGCCGTCTCGTCTTCTCTATATACCCGTCGACGCTGACCGAATTTTTGCCCGGGAACCAAATCAACTCTACCCCCCTCCTCTTCAAATCAACTCTACCCCCCCCCCCCTTGTCACTGTGCATGCGCCCGCTTGCGCCACGTGCGGGTCCGTGCACAAATCAACTCTAGTAGAGTTGGTTTGGGAATAATGCTTAGGGTGAGGAAGGTTTCTAACCATGTTCTCCAAAACAGGCGTACACAAGCCCAACTCGAAGCCAAAGAACAACAAGCCCAACAAGCTTTCGAGACCCCTTAGTTTGAAGAAGGAAAAGAAAAGGGTATTAGATTACCTGAGCTGGATAATTCAAAGCGGTATTACAAATCAAGTTCTAAAAGCCGAAGCGTGATATCTCCTATCTCTACATACGTACCTTTCTTTTGATAATATATATCAAAAGAATTTTGATACATAGAGTCCCTAAAGAGCCACAAGTGAAATTGTGTCACGATGGTAGCAATGCGTGGACAAAAGTCTCCGCCCGATCCCCAATTTTACCCCTTCTATCTACTATACCCTCCAACTCAATTGAACCATAACGCATCCAATTCTGGTGATAGAATTCTCAAATAAATTATATTTAATAACTAAGTCAATAGTGTGTATACCAACCACCAGCGCGCCTTACTGCAGCTATTCGGTCCTCCAGTGACTCCATCAAGGCCCGAACCTGCTCCGGATCGATCTCTGACCACGCCTGTTCAATTAACTCGTGTGCGTAGCGATAATGGGAGATATTATCCTTCAATTCAGAAAATTCAGGCTCGATTTCACGTATGTTCTTCTTCAGAAGTCACTAAACGTGCTCGATTGGGTTCATATCGGGGCTGTGAGGAGGCCAGTCGATACAGTGGATGCCGTGCTCCTCCATCCACTCCGGAACACCGCCAGTGAGGTGAATTTTCGCGTTATCTTGAACAAAAGGATCTCCAGCCTCGTAGAACGGAAGTAGGCCTTCCTCAAGAACCCATTTGTATGACTCTGTGGATACTCCTCCGCGCGGAGCATCCGGATCAAGTGGGCAGAAGACCAACTTGCCTAGTCCTCCTTCTCCGCCGCGTAGCCAGATCATAGACCACACCATTATCGAAATACGAGATTTGCCGTGACCCGTCTCGTTCACGAGATCATAACAGTACCGCTCTGAAGAGAATCGGATGGCCCAATCGCCTGGATTATCGGATAAATTTTGGACCATACATTCGTCTGAGAACATAGCTCGCAACAATTCCTCCAGGCGCTCTGGTGTGCTATAATAATTAGCAAAAGCGAGCCTCTTCTGAGCGTCCTTATCTGTGAGCTTGATTCGCTTCGCTGCGCGCCACTTCTGGAGGCCGTGTGCGTGACATATCCTCTTGATAGTCTTGGGAGAGCACAAAACGCAGGCTTCATTTCGAATCTTTTGCCACGTCGCCCTGGGGAGCTCTCTCGCCTTTTCGATCACATGAGCGCGTTCGCGAGTATTCAAAATGGGTGGGCGACCGCTCCTTGGGGCAGATTTCGGTGTAGAAGTGGCCTCAAAGTTGGTGGTAATATCGGAGATGGTTTTCAGGCGCTTCATTTTAAATGCGGTTGCAACATCCCTACGCGTTCTGCCGTCGATTCGCGCCGCCACGATTGCCGAGCGAGCTTCAGAAGTGAATTCGCCGTTAGCGACGCGATCACCGCTTAATTCGTCCCCAAAAGATCGTAAATCCATTATCAATTGCGGTGTTGAGAGAGTGGTGAAGTCGAAGGGTGATTGACGCGTTGTTTTGATCTGAAGGAGATTGTGGTGGGTCGGGCGGAGACTTTTGTCCACCCAGTTTAGTTGGACTCCTCTGCTCTCAGAATTCAACGCTGCTCACTCACGCTTCGTGCTCGTTCCTAACCCTAACCCTGAGAATACCTAAATTACAGTGGGTTGGTACCTGTCACCTGGGGCAGCCATCCCAGGTAACCTTATCGTAGAACGCCCTGGATGACAGGAGATCCGATAAGGTACTGGTGGCTGGATCCAGTGGCTGGGTTCCACAACCGAAAAAGTGAGATGTATTAATTTATGACGAAATACCCAGGTATCTGTATACAAGCAGCTTCCAACCCTACGCCGACTCCTTTCGCCCCGAAAGCCCGCGTGCCGAATGATCCCCAAATCAATATCGCAGCTACCAACACATTTTTCCGCGGCAGTGATTTATCAGCCTGTGCTGCGCATTACCACGTGGCAGACACAGGCAGATCCCTCGAGCTCCGACCGACCCCGAACACGTACTCTCCCTCAACGACCATTCTCCAGTTCTGGGCGGTGACATCCCAATAGCTCAAGTCCCGCCTCGTCAAGTCAAACGTCACTGTTCGTGATTCGCCCGCTTCTAGCGACAACTTCTGAAAGCCGCGTAAGACCTTGATGGGAAAGTCGACGGTAGGGATATCGGGATAACTCAGGTAGAGTTGCGGGACGACCTGACCTGTCGTATGGCCCGTGTTCTTCACCGTGACAGAGACCGTGACATATGTCTCCCAAAGATCCGGGTTACCACCCTCGTCACCGCCAGCGCCGGAAAGAGGCTGTTTAACATCATAGCCGTCGGGGTAAGGGTATGGGTGAGAGACAATGTCATCAACAGTATCGAGGTATGGATAGACGTACTTCTCGAGCTTGCGGAAGCCTTCTGGGAAAAGCGCCTCTTCCTCATTGGGAATGCTTCTGTCATACTCAGGCGGAACTGCAAAGTCCTTTGGTCTTGGGGCTGGCAGAGCGCTCTTGGACTTGGAAGCCTCGACAGCGCAGTCGGTGAACTCAAACGTAGTATAGCTCAAGCCAAAGCCAAACTCGAATCGCGGTGTAATGTTGTTCTTGTCAAAGTAGCGGTAGTCCACGTATAGGCCCTCTTTGAAGTCCTGCTGCGGTACGACGCCATTTGGCAAGTACATCACCTTGGCTCCTTCACCGTAGTCTTCCAATGTCTTGCCAATGGTCCAGGGCAGTTTTCCACTGGGGTCGAGGTCGCCAAAGATGACATCTGCAAGGGCATTGCCACTTTCTTGGCCCGGTAGGTTGGCTAACAGCACTGCCCTGACGTTGGGCATGTCGATCCAATTCTCCATGACAACAGGGCCGACGGTATGGAGGACGACGAGCACCTCACCATCTCCTCCGTGACAGCCTTGAGCCACTTGCGTAATGAGTTTGTCGGCGCCCTTTTGCAACATGAGATCTGGCCGGTCGCCCCGTACATCAGACCAAGACTTGAAGCCTTCCCCAGAGTCAGCGTTGCCAAAGACAATGCAGATCTGGGCATCCTCGAGTATTTCGGGTTGCTCCTTGAACGGCGGGGTGTTTGTCAAGTACGCTGTGACGTTGACCGCATCACCATCCCACCTGTTCAGCGCGTCATTGGGGGGTACCAGATAGGGGAACTCTACAGAGCCCGAACCCCAGCCGGAACCAAGCGTGCCTTGGTTACAACTGCGATCGACGCAGGCGTTCGGTCCATCCCCGGGACCGGCGTCCTCCCCAAAGATGGCTATGCGCACAGGCCCCTCGACCTGGTCCTGTTTATTTGATGAGCTGTGACCATTGCTCTTCAGTGGCAGCATGCCATCGTTCTTGAGAAGCACTGTGCCTTCGGCTGCGATCTGCCTTGCCAAAGACGCATGGTCGCCCATCACGTTGACGAACTTATTGACCTTGACCGTGTCCTGGTCAGTGGGGCTGCCAGGGGCGATGACACCGTTCTCCTTGTTGGTCCACGAAGAGAAGTTGGGCCCCTTGCGGTCGAATTTGGTCTCGTCATCTTGACCTAGCTGATACCAAGCCGCGACAACTCGTGTGACCATGTCATTCAGTCTGTCGAGGGGGACTGAACCATTGAGTACCGACTTGGTAAGCTCGGGACCCCAGAGTGATTTACCGTCAGTCCAGAAGAGTCCGTCGCCGGGCATCGTCATATCGAGACCAGCCAGCGCGGTGGACACACCTCCCCGTTGCGCAAGCCAGTCTGACATTACGAAGCCCTGGAAGCCCATCTCATCCCTCAGTATGCCGTTGAGTAACTTGGAGTTTCCGCAGGCATAAGAGTTGTTGACCTGGTTGTAGCTGCACATGACACTTGCCACGCCGGCCTTTACACTGTCCCCAAACGGCCACATGTACAACTCGTGCATGGTCCTGTCGTCGATGTTCGAGGAGATGGCATTCGGTAGACCCCACTCCCAAGGCTGTCGGAAGTGTTCTTGCTCGTTGGCGACCATATGCTTGATAGTGGCCATGACGCCCTCGTCCTGCATGCCCTTGATCGACTCGGCGGCGGCGATTCCTTGCAGGTAGGGGTCTGCACCGAATCCCTCCCAGTTGCGTCCGCCTGCCGGCATTCGTCCGAGTGGCCCAATACAGGGACCAAGGATGACATTGATGCCCTTCTTCCTCGCCTCGACAGCGTGGGTCTGGCCCCATTTGTACATCAGGTCCTTATTCCAGGTGGCGCCGACGGTGATTCCGGCAGGGAAAGCTGTGGCCTGATCTGCAAACCGAATGCCCAGCGGACCGTCCTGCAAGGCCAGGGCTGGAAAGCCGACGTTGATGGCAGGGCCTGTGTTGCCTACTGCCAATCCCATCTCCCAGCCTGTCCCCGTGGTGACGTTCACCTTCTCTGGCAATGTCATCTTGGCCACCATTTCGCTCGCTTTCTGGTAGCTCTCGGCCCAGGTCCTCGCCGTACCTCCCTTTGGCGTCGGGTACCATGGCGGTGACAGGCCATCGGGAGGCGATTGCTTGTATTTCTTGAACCCAAAGAAGCCCGAAGCTCCCAGAGCGATCAAAACCAAGGCGACAACGCTGAGACAGCCCAGTATCCGTTTGGGAATTCGACCGACAAAGCAACCGCATGGATTTCGTAGCCATGTTGTACGAGTTCGGGTTCGAAAGGCGGCGGTAGGGGTGGATGATTTGAGAGGGTCGGATTGGAGAAATTCGGTGTCTTCGAGGTCGTAGCGGGTAGGATCGTCCAGGTCGTCGGAGCGGCGCGCATCAGAGAAGCGGCGGAAACCCTCTTGATGTCTCAGCAATCCCTTTTTGTCGGCCTCCATTGTGATGTGAGCGACCCGTCGGCGAATGTCGCATCCGTGATTCGGTGCTGGTGAAGGTGAGCTGGGTGGCAGGCGACTTTCAGAGCTACCAGGCTCTGAACGACCAGTGTATGGTTGAAGTATGCTGGAGAAGGCCTGCCCTCGTGGAAGAAGGGAAAGATTGGACTCAGCGAAGACTCAATGGGCAGCTTGCCTCGTCGGTCATCACATGGCCTGTCCAAACGCAGCACTTGTCTGGAGCTTTGGATGGTTGGCAGGTTGGATCTTTGGAAGTGAAACCTGGAGGTTGTGGGGCGTACCTACAAGGCGGTGACTTAAGACCCGACCCAGGGGGTCACTCTGCCCAGAGTCAGACCCGCGACGGCCGCTAAAACAGCGCTAGACACCTGAAACAAACTGCTGGAGGGGAAGCAAACAGTGCCAAGCCGCTTCCCACCTCCGCCTTCCTCCCGAGCCCGTTGACGGAGGTCACGACTCACCGGAGAGTCACCGGGATCCATTTGCTCACCTGCAGATACTCCTTATAAGGTCCAGAATGAGTCAATTGCCTAACTTATTGATTCACGTACTACTAGAGGATGCGGATGACCCTTTCTATCCCTTCAGACTGCAGAATGCGATGCCGAAGGTATATTAAACCACAAAAGTCTATGTGCACCCCTCGTCCGCAAACGAAAAGTGCATTGATTATAAACGAAATAAGCACTCTGGAATGAGCATCAAGTATAGCTAATCAGATCGAGTCTGCTGATTCCAGGGTACTTATTCCATTTATACGAATATGGTATTAATGTCAAAGGGTCAACAAAGGCGTGCGAAACGGAGACTTATGGGGGATGACTGTATTGGAATTCATTCGCGCATTATATCAGAGCCCGAGCTACACGGAATCCTCCATGCCTGCTAACTATTGGTGCCCTTACTATGCCTCCTCCGCGGTCTTCGTCGGTCCCTGCTTGCCCTGCTGATCATAGACAACTATCTATGTCTGCTCGACGCCACCCATTGAGTCGGCTTCATCGTCGCCCGTGTTGGCAACAGAGGGTTGCTGCGTCGGGAAACCCCACCCGTTGCCATCGGACGCTCCCTCCACCTGCTCCTCGTGACGTTGAGCTATCAGGTTCGCGACGATATCTGCAGCGAGCTGCTCATTCCTGGTCTGAGCACTTTCGCTGCCGTGGAGGTCATCATTCTCATTCTCGTTCCCACCACCTTGTTCCTCGCCCTCGTCGTCGTCGTCGTCGTCGTCGTCGTAGTCACCTCCCAATAACTCCTCCGATGCCATTGCTGCCATTCCCTCCGCTGTATCTTCGGCATAGCTGCGGAGGGCGGTCTCAGCGAGGCGGCTCCTTCCTCGGGTTGTCGTGATTTCTAGTTTGAGTTTAGCATTAATCACCATCACGTCCATCACAAATAAAACGACTCACCTCGTTCCTGGACCTTGTCCTGTCCTAGGCTATCATCGTCATTCTCTCTCGGCTGCCATTCCAGAAAGGGACGACGCGGGAGAATGCACCTGATGAATTCCTTGATGCGTTGTCCCAAGAGATTCTTATCGGTGCTCTCGCCTTTGAGCATCGCCAGACACTGATCACCGACTTGGCGGAGTCTGTGGCGGGTCATGATGGCTTCGGCGGAGTCGGAGCGAGGGACTATCGAGTTTACGGCGTGCGGAGTAGGCCAATAGTTGATCGCGTTTCTGTTCATCTCGTGGATGGCGGTTCGAAGCTCCTCCTTGGCATCTTCCACACTAAGTCCACCTCGAGGTCTCACGCCAGGGCGATGGGGCGCTCGCGACGCGTGTTGCATCGCCCGCTTGAGTTCATCCGCCGCTTTTGCCACGTTGATCAGTTCGATGTTCGCCCAGTCCTGTCGTCCGTTGGCTGCCATTGTGACTGTCTTCTTGGAGGTCGTCTAGGTTTAGGATTTGGTGACACTGAGCTTCAGGTTGGACGCCTTCTTAGTATTCCCCTATGGATGATAGGATGATTGAAGGTAGAACAGTAGTGTTAGGGAGTGATGGTGGAGGAGTGAGAGTGATGCTGGATAATATTGAAATGCGGCAACTTACTAACTGGGTGCCTCAGGTAGATACTGCAAGTTACCTAGGCTCAATGGTTCTTAAGTAGAGGTAGGAGGTACTCAAGGTAGGAATCAACTCTTATTCCTCCAACAGATTTGCTGTGGGTACCCGAGTCCAAGTTGGTCCAGCCCTGAATTCATCTTGAAAAACAGAGCATGTATTTAGAGTACCTTAGGTACCTGCCTTCAACGTTTCTAATAGCTAGTACCTAGTTGCCTCATGTATCGACCTCTTACCGCGCCTTCCGTTCTAAGCACGTTTGCAGGTTGACGATATTCCTAAGGTTGCTGCCGCACAGGTCACAGACCTCATAGTTAAAGAGTCCTGCTATTTGCACCTTGTCTCCACAACCTAACTGCTAGCCAGCTGCAATACAGCCCCCTATCTCAGCACAACTGCAACAACAACTGCAGACAACTTCTCCGACAACTGCTCCGACAACTGCTCCGACAACTGCTCCGACAACTGTACCGACAAGCCGCAAGCTTAATGGTTAGCCTGCTGCCAGCTGCCTGGGGAGATGGGGGTGGAAACAAGGTGCAAATGAGGAGTTCTGACAAGGTGCAAATAGCAGGACTCTAGTTAGAATCAGCTTTGCCCAACCATTTATAGCAGTTTAGGCGATTAAGCAAAAAGCACCCCTAAGTATGTGTTGGGTGGGCCCTTGCTACTATCTACATGGCCACGACCTGTGTACATACGCATCTTACTACGCCAGCTCCACGGTCTTCGCCGGTCCCTGCTTATAAGTGCCGCCTGTACTCGAAGGGCCCTTCTCGTTTGTTGCCACGCTCTCCGCATGGATTGTCTCGGGATGTTTCTTGCCCGAAATATCCAGAGCTATCGCCTTGAACGTGTGCAGCAGAGTTCGACGGCCCTCGAATACGGGGAAAATCCCAACAGCACCAAGAGAACAGAAGATCCAGATGATCCCCACCGTCACCCAACCTGTAAAGAAGGGCTTGGAAAAGACGTAGCCGCTGCCGTACATAGGAAACGGCCACAAGATCAGAAACGCCAGAGTCATGGCCACTGTTGTCCATTTGGAGATCTTGCTGGCACGCATCAGCTTCGACTGCTCCGCTTTGAACTCGTTCGTCGTCTGAACGTGCTCATCAGCAGTGTGTTCGAGATCGGTGCCGGCAGTGGTGGCTATGTCGTGGTCGTCACCCTTGCGGATTGCCATCATAGACTTCCAGTCGTATTTGTCCTGTTCAAACCCTCAATCAATGTCCACTGCAGCGGGGAGGCTCACTGGTGCGACCTACCATGCCAAAAATGAGGGTGAAAATGGGGATGAGAACCAGTGGCGACAGAAGAGCAACAACTAGAGCTGTGTCAGTCTGTGTATTGAGGCGAAACTGGGTAGACCGTCATACCATTACCAGCAAGCATGGGGTTGTTAGAGCCAGTACATGCCACGTCCAGAGAGCCGCAGTCTTTCGAAGCAGTGACAAGCCAGGCGATGAGCGCGAACGCGAGGCCAAAGATGGGCGACAAGGCGGCTGCCCACTTGTTCTGCCCTGACCATACAAGCGTCAAGGTCGCGGGTATAACAGCCGACGAGATTATGCAACCCATCATGAGGTACAGGTATCCCATGGAAATGCCGGCATAGTACAGACCCACGGAGAAGGTAGAGATGAACAAGGCGTATGCCACCACGATGACATGCGACATGTAGATGAGACGCTTGCCGCTAGCATTCGGCTTGAAGTAAGTCCGGTACAGGTCATAGGTGAAGATCGACGAGACGGCAATCAACTCAGATGAAGTGGCAGACGTGACGGCCATGAACACGATCAACAGTGTTGCGATGGCGCCACCCCGGCCGAGTAGGGCGACGGCCGCGTATGGCAAGACCAGCCCCGCCGATACATCTGCTTCAGACATGCGGTTTGGGTATGTGGGAAAGGCAGGTGTCTTTTCAAGGGCGAGTGCCGATAAACCCATCTGTTATACGTAAGTATCGCATTTCAGACGGTGGAGAACATGTCACGCAAGAGACGCCGTGATCCAAAGTGGAATTCAGGGGTAAACTCAACCCTCATAAGTCTCTGAACGCGAATGATGGCAAGATTCCAGATTACCAGGGGGAAATTTCGAGATACTGGAATAAATACACTGGAATAAGCAGCTCTAGGTGGATACACCACTTTCAATGCTTATTCCAATTCGATGAGTATACCGTTGGCGAGACGGGGGGTGTACGGAGACTTATGAGGGTTCAGTGTAAGCAGTTGCGCGAGGGGTGGCGCTTCACGTACTAGCGAACGGGTCAGTATAGGACATCTTACGAGCAATGAGGGGGTCTACTGACCCGTAGTTGCGGTCAACCAGGGGATCGCAAACCAGCTCAGACCGCCAATGATATAGCCAGGAAGCGCGTGGACGGGAGAAGCCGCGATCGCCTTGTTGTAGTATCCGTTATCGAGAAACACGGTTCCTATTCATTGGTGAGACGAAAATCAAGGGATGTCTGGCCGGCTTACCAAAATTGCCGACGATGTTGATAACGAAGAAGATGGCGCCCTCTCTTGAACCTGGAGACATGTCAGCACGGTTAGGAACCCCATCGACATCTTCAGCAACCTGCGTAATCCGTTCAACGTAACGGACTGTAGGGCAGCCCTAAACGGTGTTCACTCATCGAGCAGAATGGTCAGTACAAAGTGCGTGACAAGTGTACTTACGCATGGTCAAGTAGCTGCCTTGCGCGTTGCCATCGACAGGATGGTCAAAAGCAGCCTCCACCAGCAGATCGTATACGGCCGAAGGGGATCCAAGAGCGTCGGATGAGGCATACGCGGTGAGGGAGAATATGATGATGATGATCAACAAAATAAAGGTATGGACCCAGTCTGTCAGGATCGTCGCTTTCAGACCGCCGACCATAGTGTACACGATCACGCCAACGGGAAGAAGGTAGATGGCCGCTATCTCATGCATGCCGGTGAGGGCACTGACCGTGGCCGAACCGCCCACGACCAACATCAGACTGACGAGGATATTCGTGGCGAGACCGAATACCATAAAAACCAGGTGAGGCACGGCTCCGTATCTCGCCTTGATGCTTTTGGCTCAATGTCAGTCAGGGGACATCATGTCAACTCAACTTGATGAGTAGCTTACACTTCGAGAAACGTATGCGCATTTGGCGCTCGCCTCTTGAGCTCAATGGCGAGGGTCGCGAAAAGCAGAATCTGTACCGTTGCTGTTCCACAACATGTAAGTGAATGGTCATGGCGAGAGGCAGCAGAACACTGAAGTCGTGATTCAGGGGGTGATGCTGACCTCCAGATGCATACCAGAACGGCCCAGACACGCCATAGCGATAGCAGACACCCGAGCTCTGTAAAAGTGTCGCTGCCCAGGTCCAAGAAGAGACGACGGCCGAGCCTACGAGTCCGCTCTTGACAGTACGTCCAGCTGTGGTGAACATCTCGGACGTCTGAAGCTCCGAGTTGTACCTCTTGAGAATGAACGTGACCAGTATCTGAAGTTCATTTGCTCAGAAGCTGTTGAACCAAGGTGCCAGTAGTGTAGCATGCTGCGACTCACCATTCCCAGAGCGAAGCCAAACCCCAAACCGAGGACGATGCCATATCCCACGCTTGAGGACAGCGGTGCCCCAACGGTAGTTGCGTCCATCGTGTCCCTATCGTTACTATGCTATGTGGAGGCAGATAGGCTTCAGTACTGCATCAAAATACTGGCCGAGGTGTACTTACATGCGCAGGCTCGTGTAGAAAGTATGGTGGGACTGGCTGTCCAAGTCGGTGGCGAACACTCAAAGATACAGTCTGAGCTCCAGGTCTGTAGCTTTTCTGGATGAGTTATGACACGATGTCATGGATCTGGAGAGTCAGACCTTGCGCCCCCACAGGCAGGGGCGTTCTTCGGGGAGCCCCCTCTGTATCGTCTTGATAATGCTGGTATCATGTACGATACGTCTAAGGTGCCCATGCTGATATCAATGGCAGGGCTTACAGCCATTGGGTCAAACCCTCCCTGCAGCCCCCGCCAAGATGGCCTCGATGCGGGTTTGCTGATAAGAAGATCTGAAGATCATGTCAAATGATAATCTTTGAGGTATTTCGACCAATTGTAGTCACTTGCAGCTATCCATAGATAAGAAGAGGCGGGAAACTACGCCCTTGCGCCGATGCTGCATGTGTGTCACGGATTGCCCGACTTTTGATCTCATCCAAACTCACAGGGGTCAGAGATCCATCTTGCAGCCTGGCTCAATCCTTATGACAGGTAATGAGCCAAATCGATATGACCATTCCCGTCGAGTAGAGGGAACAGATTGAGCGCACCGAAGAGCTGGTCCGCCTCGGAATGAGGATCCTGGTTTGGAAGGGATGAATCTGAATGAGAGATGATCGAGCCACTCAATGAGAATACTGCTGGGTCGAGGTCGCCAAAGGGGGTATACATCCACGAGTGGTCGGGCTCGGCACTTGAGGTCGCATTTTCTCGAGGACCGTGAAGAGAAGACCCAAAATCCGCGGCAGTCGTGGGCGTGGGACCATCTCTGGCAGTCTGTCGCTCAGGCATCAGCCCGAACAGCTGCGAAGAGTGCTCTGTGATACGGCGGCGCTCCTCTGTTTCCTTCGCATCCAGGTATTCAAGCGCGATGGACAGTAGTGATTCGGCGATGAGAGAATACTGCAATGCGTGCGCATCATTCTTTGCGAAGTAATGCAGCGCAGCAATGGACATCCGCGTGTACTTGTCCAGTATCGATCGTCCAAAACCCCCAATGAGACCTACACCAATCACCAATGATGACGCGAAAAGCCATGAACTTGATGTGTGTTAGCAATAGCTTAGTAGCTTCAGGGACCGGCTGGCTCACACAATAAGGGGCATGCGCCCGTCCAAAAGCCCTCGTTTGACAAGATCGTGAACCATCTCAACCATCACACATGCTGCGTCGATGCAGGCATTGGCAACTCGTGATCTTCCAGAACTGCCATCACCGTTCTGAATGGGAGAATGACTCCCTGTTGCACTTTCGGGTAGTCTCTTGCACAGCTCGTACATCAGGAAGGGTCTGGATACCAGCATTACGGCGTAGTAATACGAAGACAGGACCTGGCACGCACCAGCCACCTCGGTACGACAGTCCCCTGAGGGCTCTAAAATGACTCGTCTCAGAGAAGATAGCCACTTGTTTGACCACTGTCGTAGTTGATGCGATATCCCTTCGGTCAGTTGCAAGGAGACCTTCCGCCTGGAGTAGAGCTCGATGACAATGCCTTCAGCGATCAAGAGAATCTGAACTGACGCGTTCAACAGATCGAATTTCTCGCTTCCGTCGCTTTCGGCAACATGGTACGGAACGGTGCAGTCGCCATCTGAAGAAGCCGGTGGCCGACCCATGGATATGCTGAGAAAAAGATCAAGAACCCGCAGGCTCTTCCACAGGCGATCCCTATTGGCTCTTAGTGTCTGTTCTTGCAGCCATAGGGGTACACTTAGCCCTCATAGGTCTCCGTACGCGCCATGTTGGGAGGATTCCCGGTTACACGTTGCAAATCAGAAATATTGGAATAAGCAGACAGGAATAAGCAGACAGGAATAAGCAGACAGGAATAAGCAGACAGGAATAAGCAGACAGGAATAAGCAGACATGAATAAGCAGACAGGAATAAGCAGTTCCGGTATAGTACGATGCTTTTGATGCTTATTCCAGTGCGCTTATTCCAATTCGATAAATTTACTGTTGTTTGCTGAGACGTGTGGTGTACGGAGACTTATAAGGGTTCAATGTAGTCGATTGGACATACCTTTGTGCGTGTACTTCAGCACCGAAGCGGCAGTTGACTTCCGTCCTGTGCAGCCCAACGGAGTAGGCAGCCCGCACGGCGATCCCTAATCCGTCAGCCTTTGGATGTGGAACTTCGTAGCCATGGAGCCTAACCAAAGAAGAGGAATGAGCCGTTGATCTGACATGCGCGCAACATGTAGACAGTGACGAGAATGAAGGCCTCGATGGTCTCGACACTCAGGTTACCGTCGAGACTGGACAATGCCAACCTCTTCCCGTGCAAGAAGTAGCCAGCAGCAGACTCTTCATCATCTGACTGTGACCCAATAGCCAAGACCAGGTAGTTGACTGCCGACGTCACATCCGACAACTGTGGTATTCGCGTGTGCCATGCCGCGATGTCACTGGCAAGGCGCGCATTGTCAAAGAAGTCGACCAGCGCGGAAGTCTGCGACTCGGTCAGCTCAGGATGTTGACAGTCAAAGGTGCGAGTGATGTAAATGTACCACAGAGACAAAGGTGGAAACCAGCCGCCCGATCCTGGAAGCATTCACGTCGGGCTCCCTCCAGTTGGACGAAGTGACTAGGGAGCTAACGTTCTCCAGCATCGAGACCCGACTCGTCTGCGGAGCAAAAGCATCAGGGTCGACGCGAGTAGTCACGATCTGCCTCACTGTTTGGAATAGCGAGAGCGGAGCGCAGTCGCCAATGAAGACTAGAGAACATTGTCAGTCGGCGGGTAGCTAAGGTGCGCCATGGATGATGGCCCTTTCATACTCAGTTTGCCCTGTGCATCAGAGACGAGGCGCGCCTCCCGAGGCACTTCTGCCTCTTCCTCGGCGGATGCATCACTGCGGTGAGTAAAACTAGCCGAAGTCCCAGCGGCAGCGGCCCTGGTGTTCGGAGGGGTAGTGACCTCGGGCGGAGCTGATGAAGCAGATTTTGACAGTGAAGATGGTGGAGACGGACGGCGTCCATGTCCGTTCAGACGGCGTCCGATCGGAGGCGAGAAACGACAAGCATGGCCTCTCTGACGTCGCGTGCAGTAGCTACAGGGCAATTGCCCGTCACATTTGACTGTGAGATTCATCAACTCTCCATGATGTGATCGATGATAAGGTAATCTCACCCTTTCTCAGCTTGCAGTTGTCGCACGCATTCGACACGCGCGCGCGGACAGGTCCCAGATTCTCGGGAGTGGATTGCATGCTCAATCATTTGGCAAGGTATCATTCTGTAGGTATGTAGCAGCTCCGAGCTATCAAGGTTCCATCCGAGTCGGCAACACTATCGTCAATGAGTGAGCATTGCTACACTTCCGCTCCCGCTTAGGAGGTAGTGACAGAGCTTGTCGGAACTTCGGAGTTGAAAACCTCTGGGGGCATGGGGCGATCCGAACTTCCGTAGCGCGACCACTTCCACGAGACTAATAATAACTATTACATTGTTAGTGTGGATTGTCGTCAGCTCATGACGGGATTCGCTTCATGAGCTGAAATCGACAACCATCAGTCTGTCCCGAAGAACGAGGGCCACCCCATCAATTCAAGCCGCGCCAGCCCGCCAGCGTGACCGGTGACCCCTTGTCCAATTTGCCATGGCGTAAGTAGGAGGCGGGGAACAATCATTTTGTTATCCACCACGTAAGGGGCGCAGTTGCTGACAGCCAGAACAGCCAACATCGAAGCTCCATCACATCACCAACATGGGGATTAGACATAACGCGATGAAGTTCTTTACTCTTCCCGCTCTGAATCTCCCATCCTTTAATGCGACACCTAGACTCATCGCACAGCCAGCCAGCTCTTAAACTCGATCGTGAAAGCGACCGGGCCCCAACTACCACATCGTCAGATCACCAAGGCGCCACAACATGGCCCAAACTCCCTACTACCGCCACGGCGCCCTAGCCATCGGGGTGATCCCAGTCCTCCTAAGCGTGAATGCCATCTTCCGGCCCGAAGCCGCCTTGAACCTCGCCGCGTTCCCCGTGCCGGCCGAGCCCTCGGCGCGCAAGCTCACGCGCTCGCTGATGCGCTTCTACGGCACCCGCAACGTCGCCATCGGCTTCATGTCTCTGCTTGTGTGGCATACTGGTGACGATAGGCTGCTGGGCCTCTCCCTGTTGCCGGGCGTCTTCATCTGTGTCGTTGACGGTATCATGAGCAAGCTGCAGATCGGAGGCGGCGAGTGGAACCACTGGTCGCTTGCACCCGTCATCATTGGGATAGCGGGCAAGCTGTTGAGATGGTCCTAGATACACGAGAGGTGTTCATTAGCTTGCGGATGCGATGATAAATAGATCAGCAGCTGACTGTCCACTGACAGGACTCCACGCGGAAGCCAAGATACCTAGTTCAAAGAAGAAGTTGACGAGACCCTGCGAGACTTAGCCGGCGCGCTTCTTATTGAGCGAATGAGTTTATCAGTGGCAAACGAGGACCACGCGATGAGCTTATTAACATGTCAGCGTAGCATATACCAGATGCACGTAGAATCAGGATTGGCTTCAAGGAGTGTTTTGGTCGGGGTCGAAGCTACGAGTCACTATCGTAGCCTATAGACGAAACGTTTCGTCCGTACCTCCATTCGCCTCTAGACGCGAATCCTTGGGTATTTCCGCATGATTCAGACGTCGTCCTTCTCAAGGTCACCCTTCCTCGCCCACAACCGCACTAGCTTGTCCATCTTCATTATCACCACCGGTGCCCTTGCCGTCCTCGTCTCCCTCGTCTTCCTGGTCGTCTTCTTCGTCGCCGTCCAACCCATCGAAAGCGTTCTCGAGCACCTGATCGACGTGGTTGACGGGCTTGGTCAACGCGTTGGCAAGTGTTCCGCTTCTCTTGAACTGAACTGCGACAGGAGTGTTGGTTAACATTAGAGCTTAGGGCAGATCACGGTGATAGTAGAAGAGGTAGAAGTGTAAGAGCGAGCAGGCAAAGAGCGGAACCATCATACCTGTGTCCGATTCTTGGGTTTTATCGCCATCGCCATCTCCTGCTTCGTCGTCTTCCCCTTCATCCTGCACCGGGTAGAGGTAGGGATGGCCAGGAGACAGCGCCTTGATGGTGGCACGAAGAAGCTTTTCGATTTCGTCATTGTCGAGATATTCGTCTTTAGCGAGTCCGTCCTCGAGTGCCTTGCACAGGCGGCGCATGTGCGGGAGCGCTCTTCTCGCCTTGGGGTCTTTGTTGGAGAGGTACATCAAGGACTGGTGATAACCCGGTGGCGGGTTCTGGTTCAACGGACTCTCCATGACACTCTTGAGGCGTTCCTCTACTTCGGCTTCGGCTTCTTCGATGGTAGGTACTTGGGCGGTCTTGGACTTTGAGTTTTCCTGCTTCTTGCGACGTTGACCTCGGGCGGCTTCCTGAGCGAGTGACAAGTCGAGTACTTCGAGGGTGGCCTGCAGCTCCGCAAAATCCTTGTTAGGAAAGTCTTCTCGGGTTTCCGCCATTGTAGTGTCCTGAATTGTGCTGATGTTAGTCTTGGAAGCTGTCCGAATGACAGTTGGTCGCGGCGAGGGTTGGATACTGACAGTCTGGGTGAAGAACGGGGGAGACGTGCGAGAGAGTGGTGAAGAGAGTAGTGAAGGTTGGAGAGGGAGGAAGGTGATCAAACGATGGAGCAGCCCAGCTTCAAGGTTGCCTCTCGGTGCTTTGGTGTATTTGCCAGGTGCAGGTGGGTACAGGGGGTTCCTGCCTAAGGTGCTCTTTCTCTGAGCACGAAGTAGTGGACGCAGCTACCTGCTCGCGCTCCTTCCCCGTCGATGCTGAGCAGCAGGTATACTGAAACTTTATCAGTTCTACGTTCACTATATACCCAGGAGCATAGATACTCAAGGCCATTTATAATCTGTGGAATAAGCATCTAGTACGACTGATTAGAATGTAGCTGCTTATTCCAGGGTGCTTATTTCATTGTCTTGATAACGTATAACACAAAGTGAATAAAGTACGCGGACGGAGACTTATGGGGCGTGACTGTACCTGCCTAAAGGTACCTAAGGTATATACCCAGGTGCCAGGTGTTTTCCTCTTAATACACACATACATGTACACACACTGCATGTTTGCCGCCAACCAGCTCTAGCATCTGATTATATTATGTTTGTCTGCCTCGCTCTCTCGACCTACCGCCGTCCCTCACTCATCATTCGTGACTGATCTAGTCGATAGAGATATATTTTATGTACAAACAGCTCTGAAAGTATCTAATCTTATAAGGCTTGGGGAACGGGCGTGTCATGGTAAATAGGGGAGCGCAAAGTGACACTTTATAAGTTCTATTGCTGCGGAACGGCTATCTACTATACCAGTACACAATAGAACATCGCAAACGAAGATCTAGCATAACATGCCTGATATGTGCAACCCAGGCCAGCATCTCAACGCATTCCTGCGAGTCTCATGATCCAGCAGCGAACTCGATTTGCATACTTGAAATTGGCGCCTTTTGCGTCCACAATGGATGTAATGCTTACAATTGTACAATGGCAAGAACCTGGGGTCATCATATCATGTACTTGATAATCACAGTCGACGTAGTAGCACAACGGGGAACGACAGGCACAAGTCGATGTGGAAACTCAATTAGCGGTACATGTTGCTAATGCCACGAGAGCCTGGATGTCTACCAACCACTGCAATGATCCATATAAACCACCCGGCCCCACGGGTCCCTCCCTTATCAGGGCATAGGCCTGCTCATGGTGCTCGTAACCTAACCCTGTTCTGTCAAGCGGCGAGCCAGCTTCATGTGCTCCAAAAATGGGTCAGAACGACATTAATCACACAGTCGTATCTGGATTACTCGACGAACCTGCTTGATCGTAACGCGCTTGTACGCAGCAGCAACCTCTTGAGTCTCTGAGAAAAGGTTGATCAGGTAGGCCTCGGTCCACTCCTGAAGCTCACCAAGCGTTTGGCGTGAACTGGTACCTGGAGCCTTCCTTGCTCACGTTTTGGGTAATCTCTTTGACCTAGAACAACATGAAGTTAGGTGCCGTGTAATGAGCAAGATCACTCAAATGATGCATGATAGGTGAGCACATACCAGTCGCAGGAAAGCTAGCTTCGGGACCAGAAAATCCGGTCGCTCCTGCAGGCGCTGGCTGGCGCGGAGTGCAGCCACGCCCGGCTTGTCACGGCGTTGGATACGGTTTCCTCGAGGCGGCATTGTGATTGAGGGCTTAGGATTGCCATGATGAAGTTAGGCCGTTGCTCGATTGGCAAATACTGGGCTGATGTGGGAGATAAGGGAGTGGCGTTGGATGCGTTCGTTGCGCTGCGCCGCTCGAACCGCCTGCGCCCTTGCCGGCGTCGCCTTTCTTCGCGGGAGCAATTGTTGGTGAGGATCGGTGAGGATTGGTGATGACCGTGTGTTGGTGAGGATGTTTGAGGATTGGTGATGATCGTGTGTTGGTGGGAATAGGCGAGGGCAGTGAATGCGGGAATGTTGGATGTGAGAGTGAGGTGAGAGTGAGGGGGACGGACGAGAGTTGGTTTGGTCCCATTGCCGTGCTACATGAGACGCACCTAATGTGCTATGTTACCTGGCAACTTAAACCGGTTGAGAGAAGAAGTCACAGCGTGATAAGCAGCAGTATGGTAGTATGGAATTACAATCAATTGCCCCGGAATGATTGCCTGTACAGTCACCACTCACAAGTCTTCAGACTCCGTCTTTGCACTCAAGACTCTTCTTCCCGGACATTGAGGATAAGGTAGATACAGACAGTGAAATAAGCGCCTGGGAATAAGCAGCCATGTTCTCAGGAGACCTTTTAACACGCTTATTCCAGAGTGCTTATTCCACACATAAATAATATCGCTCAGTACCTACCTACCCGAGACCTTGATTGCGGGGTGTACGAAGACTTCTGAGATTGCAGTGTACCCGGTGCGACAACCTGGAAAATGTATACCCTTACTGGGGTACCGGCGGCGGGAACCAGAAGCTGGCTAGAAGGCTGACAAAAAAAGGGGGGTGGGGGGGAGTTCAGGTGTTGACTAAAGTGCCGCTGCCACAACACATCGGAGGTCAGAACCGCTTCCCAAGGAATCGCTTCTCCTCATCCTCGGGGGTCTGAATACCATGCTTGTGTCCACCATCTAATGTTTCAAGGCCCCGGCATCAGCGGGGTCTTCATCTACAGCATGTGTATCAGCCAGTTTCTACACCTCGTCGCGCCGCCTATCGCCAGTCGCTTCGTCCAGACTATGAAGCTGACCATCTTCGCGCTTGACCATGATCGTCTTGGCCAGAGCTGCTTTGGGTGGCCACTTGGAGTCAAACACTGCGTTGAGTTCTTCGAGTGTCCGTCCGTGCGTCTCAACCCCCAGAAAGAACCAGACGATGGCTCCAATCAAGCAATGTTAGCTGGGTTCACTCCTCCATAACTTCGGGCAGACTTCATCGTACCGTAGACCAGATTGAGACCAACAAACACAAAGTAATACTTCCAGCCCACCGCTTCCAGCGCGATGGCCGTGACGTAGGTGTTGTACAAGTTCGCACAGTTGGACATGATCACATGCTACACCAGAGTCAGGACGTCACTCTACGGGCGTACATCTTGAGGGGTCATCTTACCACTCCCATGCCTTTGGCCCTCGTGTGATTGTTCTGCACCTCGGCGCAGTACGTCGCAGTCAGAGGCGTATACACGAATGAGTACGCAACCCCGAAGAGGAAGATCTACCAAAAGGTCAGCTGTTTTGCTCGTGTCTCGCTCATCAAGTGGACGCACCATGGCAACACCAGCGTCGGACAGCCTAGCACTGGGAGCTTTGCCATCGCCGAATTGACTCGAGAATCCGGTCACGGCGGCGAAAAGACAGGCCAGGACGATGGACCCAACCCAGAGTTTGGTTCTGCGACCGATCTTGTCGTTCGTAGCAGAACCCGCCAAGGCGCCGGCGCAAGACACGATAGAATTGGCGAATGTCAACAAGAGTCGTCGCTCTGTCGAAGTGATGCCAATCCGGGTGTACATGGAAGGCAGGTAGTAAGTAAGTACCGAGTTACCGGCCATCTGGGCGAAAAACGACATGAAGGCGTTCATCAGGAAACGCCACCGCGCGTTGTGGTTCTCGACACTAGGTATTGTAGATCAGCACCTTTTCTGACGAGATACATTGGACCGAGCAGCATCGTACAGGTCGTAGTAGTTCCACCAGGACTGGGCTTTCTGGACCTTGATGCCCTCCTCGAACTCCTTGAGTTCTAGTTGCACCATTGGGTGGCCCATATCTCCCCCGCCGTGATACTTTGCCAGAATAGCTGCAGCCTCATCGCGCCTCCCTCGTGCGCAAAGCCATCGGGGAGACTCTGGGATGAGCAAGGCGCCGACAAAGATGAACACAGGAGGCAAGAGTTGTAGACTCAGCGGCAAGCGGAATGCCAGCTCGGAGTTGGACTTGTTGGAGGCGTACGCCACGCCGGTAGACAAGATGGAGCCGGTGTAGAAGAAGGTGTTGTAGTAGCCGACCACGCGGGCACGCCATTCTAGTCGGAAGTCAATAATTTCCAGACAAACGCGGCCCGAAATGGACCAGTGTGTTGATGGATCATCGAAAATGCCACCTACGAGGAGGCGCCATCTCGAGCGCGTAGGTTGGTGCCGAACTGGTTCCAATAGAAACACCAAACCCAAGCCAGAATCGTCCACCAAGCAGGAAACTGTCGTTTCGGGCAGCCGTAAGAATAGCGGCACCGGCCATGATCAATACCGAAGCTGTAGCCATTCCGGCGCGTCTGCCGAAGTTGTCGCATATGGGTCCGTTGAACAGTGAGCCGACCTGCAACGAGATCAGAGATCAACGGTAACTCTTTTGATTCTTGTTGACCCCGCAAGCGAGAGTTGACTTGCCATGTTGCCGATCGTATAGATCATGAAGATGATGCCTGTTGAGCTTCCAAGCTCCTGGTGGTGGAAGTAAGCCTTGTACTGCGACATGGCATTGATCGAGCTGAATATGGACTGGGGGAGGGTTTTAGCGATGATGCCATGACTGCGTTCACATGTAGACTCACGCCATCGAAGCCACTCGCCGTTGCGTTCAGGGCAGCCACCAACAGAATGGCATAGAGCTGAAGAGAAGTTCGCGAGAATGCGTCCAGCGGAGCAGCAGTGACGGTCTCATGGAAGTGAGAGTCACCCTGCACCTCGGTCATCTCTCCTTTGACCTTGTCCGCGTCTGAGCCGGCGGTGTGCACCGGTGTGATGGGGACGCCGGGCGCGCTCGATATCTCATCATCAGTCTTGTCCATTTTGCTTGCTCTTAATGCCCGCAAGATGAGATATAGTCGTCTGGAGAAGACCAACTCTAGTCGTTGATCCCACACCTTACACCTCACGAGATCACGGGTACATGCTAGCTTATGTACGGGGTAATACTGGAATATGGGGTTGCCCATTCCCCCGCATTCGTCCCCAACGCAGGCCGTGGAACGTTATGGCCGAATCCTTATCGTGTCCTCGCCATGAAGTCCTGTTTGACAACTCAAGGGCCCTGACCCTGACTCCCCCGACTGTCAACTGATAGGCATGCTTCGAGTGACGATCATTCATGGTTGGCAAAAGCCATCCTGGGCCCTCGGCTCGTCTGGACCCCGGGTCGGTATGATAAGGTACTTATCCTGAAGTGCCCGGGTACAATACCTGGATATTCGGATCGCTCCGTGTCATCGAGTTCAACATCCTTTGTGTACCATGTGGCTGGTCTTGTACTCCCTACCCCTCACGAACATACTGGGCCATTGGCATCGTATATTGCCATTGTTGACGCGTAACATGTGGCGCGCCAGATCACTGCAATCCTTGGTCTTCAGCGTCCGGCCAATGAGTAACTTAGCAACAACTCATCACCGACCATGGTGTGAGCTGGAAGTGGATCGGAACTATCGAGTCCCTGCCCGCAAGCTCAAACGTACCAAGCGACGCTCGTCTCGGACTCAAGAGTCAGATTACACCCACTTGGGTAAGCCGACTCCTCATCGGTTGATGCATGAATATAGACCAACTGCTATCGTGCAACCCGACTGAGAAGCATGCTACCATGTACCGCGACACATCTGATGGAATCAGCACCTCGGAATAAGCAGGTTTGGTCGAATAATCCATCTTGAGTGCTTATTCCAGACTGATTATCCCAGCTACAATAGGTTCACTCTTCGCTTACGAGACGAGGGAAGTACGGGGACTTTTGGAGGTTCGCTGTGCCTGCATGACGACGCCGAGTCCCGGACAAGAACATTGAAAGAGGGAGACCGCAGTTACACAGGGACTCCAATTCTTTGAGGAACTGTGTAGTACATGAGTTCATTCCTCGCCGGCCAGGTTATCTCGTGCCCCCAGATGGAGATCAGGTGGCCCCTTGGCAATAAATCTGGAGCTTCGCCGATCTGGGAGCCCAGCTCACCGCGGATATCAGCAACCACCGATGACGGGCGTGATTAAGATGTCTGAAATGCCTGCGAGGATCAGGATCTTTGAAATAGTCCTGTACTGGCTGAGCCTATGCGTCTTGGATCAGTATTGGGGATGGTTGGACATTGGCAGGAGCAGGCAGTGGCGATACCCAAATCAACAGAGCAACAAGACAATGAGAGAACCGCTGGGTTTGGTCAGTCACATCGTCGGGTACATCCGCTGAGTACAGACTTCGTGAGGGGTTGGCGCCATTCCGCATCCCGTGTGTCGTCAACGAAGCGATGGTAGTAGCTCGTACGTCGGTGTGCTCTCGAACGGACCAACGTGGTGAAATGGCATTGCCTTCTGAAGCACCAAGGCCTCCGAAATATCAGTTAATCATGAGTATGTCAGATCTGATAGTGGCAGCATACCAGCCCAAGCAACAGAGCTGGGGATGGACCGACCCCAAGAGCAAGTGGAAGGGTAGGACAATCCAGAACACGAAGCGGGCCGCATTAGATTAGTCCACCTTCCCAGAATGAGCCTTGATATAGCTCGAGCGCTCCAATGTGATCACTTGCGATCGCGATTGTGCTTCGTCGTGGGGGCAGTCCAGGCTATCGGGCTACTAGGCATATGGATGCCATCGTTGGAATCCCGTCTGTCGCACAATCGAATGCATGTCTCCGTCTTGAGCATGCTTGGATCCAATCCACTATCGTGTGCCTATAGCCATAGAGAGGAACATACCTCAAGCGTCGGACAGGGAGCCCGCAACTTGAGATGGTGGGGCGAGAGATTCCTGTCTAGTCGACCGTCACGCAATCCCTTGGGTCAGAGCCCCTGCTGATGCCATACAATCATATGGTTTCTCTTTGGCGACGGGGGCCAGGGACTTGGTGACGTTGTCGGGAGTCTTATTGGTGACCTTGTCGATTGTCTTGTCGATTGTCTTGGCCTCGACGAACCCGAGTTAATATTTTTCGGTTGTCCAAGCCACATGGGCCAAAGCCGGGCTCCTGATCCTGCCGACCTTGTTAGTGATGCAAGTCTGTGGCGGCAGCGTAGGTAGGTAGATAGGTAAAGTAGGCAGGGCAGACGTGTATAAGACCAATGAGCAGCCACAAGAGGGATAGCAGCAAATATTCAGGATCCCGGAATCTATACCGGCCTGTTACTTCATGGGGTATCATCTAGCTAACGTCAAGAAAAGCAGCATACTCAAATGGATCGTTACAATCCTGACACTATGTGTCACCTGCAGCTATCCGTCACGTCATGTCTTGTCCTACTGGATCAAGAGCATCTATACGCTTGTAGCCCTTTGCCTTCCGCCTTCTCAAATAGCAGCAACACCATACGCAGCCCCACAGGAGAATAGCAACAAACGCGATTGCGCCTATGACCTCCGAAACGACCAGGCCGATATGATTGCCGACCCAGCCAAACCAGGCACTATCCCACTGGTCCCAGGTCCCGCCACGTTCTTGTGTCCAGAAGACAAAAGGGTCTGGCTGGTCCGGCCGCGTGTCCATCAAGATATGGTGGAGGGGAGCCCATCCGGTACCTTCCATGCCCTGGACAACCCCTTCAGCGGACAAAAGTCGGTGGTACTGCTCCCACACGGCCGTCAAGAACCACTGGCCGCTGGTGTAGCTGACAATGACGTAGGGCAGGATCCAATTCCAATTCCACGGTATCAGAGACTCGGTTAGGAGATGGAAGAACGGGTGGCCGGGCTGACCACCGATTATGTTATTACTCAGAGTTCCGTGACCGCCGTCGGTGGTGAAGGCTGGGAAGTAGGTTATCGCATCGAGGCTTTCGGCGCATCCCTATGACAGCAAGTCGTTAGCCATGCGCGCACCCGCCAAAGACTGAGCGATGTGTGTGTGTGCTAGGTGGCACGGGGGACAGGCGAGGGATCTTACATTATCTAGATCGATATAGACGCCACCGAAACGGCGAAGCGCAAAGTAGCGGATGACATCGACGCGCTGTACTGGGAACTTGTAGCCATCGTAGGTCGACAGAAACCACGGAAACTCGTCCTGGATGAAGTCGCGCGAGCCCTTGGATGACCAGAGCTTGTATTCCCAGCCGGGGTTCAGGGCGATGCACGTCTGTCGCGCGGCGGCCCAATCATCAGGCAGGGTGGTGTTGGTGCTTTCAGGGTCGCTCCAGTCGTGGTAGACCTGGTGCAGAATTCGGGGGATGACAGGTGACGAGGTGGTTGTGCCCTGGTCTTTGCGTGATGTGTAGGCGTCGAGAATCTCCCGTTGGCTGATCTTGATGCCCGAGTGGTCGCGAAAGAAGCCAAAGAGATTGGAAAAGTCGACAAGGCGAAGGAGGACATGGATGAGGAGGGCGACTATCAGGATGACGATGACAATCTTGATTGCGCGGCGGGCGCGGGGCGAGCTTGGGACGCCCATGGCGATGGATTCGATCGGAGGATGGATGCTGTGCGATCTGGGACGGACGGGTAGATGCGCTGGTTGTATGTAGTGTTACCTGGTACGTTCTGCACAAGTTCGTGCTCTTCCTTACCTTCCACCTTTCACCCTTCGCACATCTAATTTGCCTTGCGTGTCTTTGTTGTTTGAGACTGACAGGTCAACGTTGGCTCATTCCGTGGTTTGTCAAACTGAAGTAACAAAGATGAGGTGTCAGCTTCGTGTGTCAGCTTTCAACGTTGCACCAGCGCCCCTACGCCCCAAGTGTTGTGGACGAAGGAATATCGGGGAGAGGTTGAACCGGATGGGAGAAGGAGGATCATTCGAGGTTACCTACATGTAAGCTTCACTTCTCTACCTTGTGCCCGCGACTGGGCCGGCGCTGGCGGAACAACTTGCGACTGGCGGGCATGTATGAAGCTGACCGCTAGAAATGTCTGGGAGGTGCAGAGTCGAAACGCGTCGCGCGGGCGCAGTGGTATAGGAGGGTAGAGAATCCTGGAAGGCTGTGCTGTAAATCAACGATGTCGGTTGTACAGCACAGGGTATCGAGGTATCGAGGTATCGCGGTATTACCATACCTATTCCCTAGCATCAAGTCGCATGCATGCATGTGCTTCAGCATTCCAATGTTGGTCTCTCTAGATGTTCGGGGCTACTGGCGCGTGAAGCTGTTGCGATTCGACGTGAAGCTGTAGCACAGCCACATTACGTGTACATGATGTACCAGACCCACCAACATTGAACCCACAAGCCACCCCTTTCCCTTTGTCCATCATTCTGACAGAAAGCGAGTATTAAATAGAGCCTGACATTGATCACTTCGTATTATACCGAGGAAGCCAATGCACTCGATCTACGACAGAAAGCTAGGACGGCTGGCGCGCAAGGTGGTCCTGTAAGTCATGCTGAGGGTATTAGGGACCACTATCCGCCACATCCGCCATCGTCACGCTCACGAGCGCTCAGGCCTAGCTTTGCTGTCCAGGCATGGTGTGGAAGCAGCTCAATCTGAATGAACGGCTTTCATAGCACATCCAGAGCAGCCTGCTGTCACCTGGCCCTATCACCGATCAATCTCCGCTGCCACCGAGTGATATAGACGCGGCCATTTTCGCAACGCGGTGCATACTTACTTTGGCCTGCCACTCGACACAGCCATCGCCATCCTGAAGGACACGATGTAGCCAGGGCTGCGGGGCCTGCTGGCCGGCTATGATACGGGCATTGCTAGGGGCAGAGTCAGTAACACATGGGGGCTTCTGGAAATAAGGAGAATATTGTGCATGGCCACCGGTGATGGGTTTCGAACCTAACGCAGTATGAGGCCTTTGGAACCCTTTGTCAAGCAATGTCGTATCACTTACGAGGTGGATGGCGATGGTCGCAAGAAGCCAGCAGCGTGCCGAACTGGCTGTGCGTCTGCGCGCGACGATATCTCCAGGCCTCTGGCGCGTTGCTTGACGCTGCTGGATGACAGTAGCGCATCAGCTATGCGCATAAGTCGAGAAATCACGGACCTGACAGATGCCCTGGCCGTCGTCGAGGAGCGCGCGACACTCTCAGCGCACCTGTAAAGCCTGGTCGCATCCGGGCTTCTGCGAGTTGAGAACAAACTGGGAATCCAATCCGGGTGGGAGAAGATGAAGAGGGAAAACAGGGAGAATTTGAGAGGCTGGTGGAAGTGGAGTGGGAGTGGGAGTGGGAGCAAGACAAAACGGCTTCCGCAATCGCTACCGGCTCTGGACAGCCAGACTTGGACGCAGATATGGATCGCGATAGCGACCACTGCGAGGATTGCGTCGTATTACATCCAGAAGACATCGTTGCCATACGATATGAGTACGCATCTGACCTTGCTGGAGCTAGGGGGAGAAACACACACATACGTTGAGACAGTTCATATATGGGAACAGATTCAAATCCTGTCAGCGCTAGCTTTTGCTTGTTTGTCGCTCGCTGTCTCCGTTTGTCCATCTCTTCTGCTGGATGGGCGATGGAGTTGAGGACTTCGCTAGAAAGTCTGCTCAACTCGTACCGATACGGGGCGGATGAGCAGATGAGTGACTGGGCGACAGCAAGCAATGGCGGAAGAGATTTCAGTGCGTACATTGAAATGACATGTCAAAAGTATGGCCGGGCACGGCAAGATGCGACAGTGATCAAATGGTCACAAGCAGCAAAGGGTCTGGTGCTCGCGTGGATGATTTCTGTGACCACTGGAGATTGCTCAGGGGCCATTTCAGGAGAGCGAGAGCTCGCTACACTCAGCCCTCACAAGTCTCCGTGCGCACCATGTCAGCCAGGTTCCAGGTCACCCGTGGACTTTTGTAATGGAATAAGAATACTGGAATAAGCAGCTCGAGGTCGATATAAATATTTTCATGCATATTTGAGCGTGCTTATGTCAAACCGATGATATGTGGCTTACTGGAAGGGTGGCGTACGAAGATTTATGAGTTCAGTGTAGGGACTACCTTGTTTCGGGCTTGTTCATACTTCAAAGAGCTTGACCAGAGATATAAGATTTCCCAAGTGGAATGCATTGCCGCTGACGACGTCTGGCCGTAAAGTACAAGAGGTAGAAGCCGATGCGTTATGGCTTCTGCAGGCTCTACAGAGCAGAAGAGGGTGAACCAGGTACAACTGGCCGAGAAGAACCGCCCTGCGTATCTGGACAGACACCCAGGCCTTGACGATCTCTTATCCCTTCATCCCCATGTACAAGTACTTGACTGTAGTCGCGCAACCTGGAAGCTCTTCTTAAGCTGCAGTTTCGGCATCCCGAGGTCTGACCATATGCGAGACCGAGTACTGCCATCGCCGCAACGGCTCCTGACTCTTCCAAACGACAAGTGCGGCAAGCTCTTACAGACCCTTCCACCTGCGGATACCATGTTTTCGACGGTATCGAACGTCACCATTGGTTGAACCTCCTGTTGCCCGACCAAAGAAGCTGGCTCCGACTTACACCACCCCCTCCCCGACTCCACAAACGATGCCCATCTGCAACTAGACGTCAGCAATGGAGCGTCCACTAGCAAGAAGCAGGAGAAGGCGCAGGACGCAACTGCCAAGTCACCCGACAATGCAGACGACCCTTTCGAGAGTGATGGCGCCCCTAGTTCAGACGAAGATGAACACCGACCACACGCACAGCCCACCCACCAGTGTTCCTTCGCAACCCCGGAGGATTGCCAGTGGGACTTCGTGAAGAAGTTCAAGGCAAAGTACCGGCCCCACTTCCAGAAGTTGCCACGCATGATGATGCTGCGCAGAGACACATGTCTGACCGGGCTGGTGCTATGCAAGCCTCTAATGCCGTTATCGTACTTTATCCAGGAAATTGCTGAGATGACCCGCAAGGATAGGCCAAGGAACATCATGGTCAAGGTGGGCTGTGGGCAGCCGGGCCACACCGTAAACATGAAGTTCACGGCGGTCGTCCATATCGAGAGCAAGCAGCAGCTCCAAGAGTACGGCGGACCGGACTGCGAATGCTCGCACGGTTGCCATTGGGGCATCTGCATCGGTTTCTTCCACATTGACCTCGAGTCGTCTGCGGACAACCAGGGGAGAAAGCCTTGCGCCAAGGACGCAAGGCAACGGCATAAGGATGAGCTTACCGTCCCTAAATTCTGCAGTCGTGACGACCATGAACCCCGATGCAAAACACAGCTGGCAGTGGACGATTTCCTGCCCATCGTCTTGTAGTTCCCCCTGCTCAACCGGGTTACGACCACCTCTCAGCCGAGTTTTGGGTTGACTCTTCCCGAGGGGAGCCGATCTGGCCCGCGAATACAAACGGGCAGCCGTTTCCGGAGGAAGTCAGAGGCGTAGCACTGCTGACAACCATACAACGGTACACCTCCAGCAGTCTCCGTACATCCCCTGTTTAGCAAGCGAAAGGTATGTTTAACCTAACTAGAATAGGATAAGCAGTCTGGAATAAGCATTAAAACGTGAGTAATTGGGTAAAACCTGCTTATTCCCAGGTGCTTATTCCATCAACACATTTCTGACACTGAGGAGCTGGGCTGACAGAAAGAGTCGAAGTAGACCAAACTGCCTTGATGCGCAACGAAGCCAAACTGGTATCTAGTGTTTCAACACAATAACCGTTCATACCACCAAACTATCAGCCACACACAGTGTCATCGAACGACAAGAACGCCAAGAAGGGTAAGAAGGGCAAGCTCGGCTTTCCCGAACATACCAAATATTGAAGTGATATCCTCATATGCCTACTCCAGCCAGACACTCCAAGAGCAACCGAGTTCACCAACATCGTTCTACACAGCTGTTGACCAACCACATGAGAAGACAGAAGACCACCAAACCTGGTAATGATGAAAGCATGACTATCAGGATGCTCCAACAACCACTTATAACCCACTTCCGCACCTTCCCACAATGGTGGTCCTTTCAGCACCCTGGACGACTTGCAACGGAAAAAGAAGAGGAAGGCCTGAAGTCATGCGTACCTGCGTCAACAGCGCGACGGGGCCGAGAAACGCAACAACATGAAGATTATGGTCTCGATGGACAAGCAGATAACACAGCAGAAGGCTGTCCTCGACACAGCCCAGGTCAAACTAGACCAGAAGCTGGGACGATACCAAGAGTACTTTCACTCACTTGCAGCGAACACAGAATCTACTGTGACGCTAGCACCGGCACCACAAGCGACTGTTGAGGATACTCGTCCAGAGACGGTGCCCAATAAAGTGGTGGGTGAGCTTTCTCCTGGCACCATGGATCCGTATAACAAAGGCGATGTGGTCCTTGGGGCTATTGCTTGATGGTTCCGCGCAGAGAATGGTGCAAGTTAATGGCAATCCCCAACCACCCATCCCAGGCGGGTTCACTGGCGCTAAGCAGAGCAACTCGAGTGTGGGACTTTGGGCATCTTCCATCGAGCATTTCCAACGTCCCTGGCGTCAACCGCAAGCACCTGGGACAAACCGGTGCACGACTACGAGCTCACCATTATCCGTACGCCTTGGGACTGAACTGTCGCACTCCAACGAAGGCACAAAGACCCTACTTCCAACCCTCCCCATCAAAACGCCAGACAGACGGACCCATCATACAACCCAGCCCCAAACCAGCCCCTAAACTGAGAGGGACAGGACGGCGCTGGGATGGCGATGGGATGCCAACTCATGTTCGTTGGACACCATCTTGGTGGCTGCCGTCTGCCTTGGTGTAGGTCGAGTGAAGGCTGACCAGGCCGCACAGGAGCGAATTTTCTCAGAGCAGCCCAAGTATTGTGCTTCCCTCCTCTGCGCCAGCATTCTACAGCAAGACCTGAACACCACAACAATCGAGGAGAGAATGGCGCTGCGCGACCAGGTCAGACGCCAGGCCAGACGCCAGGTCACGAAGCTCGGACAAGGTTTCTTCATGACTAGGTCATGGACATTGCCAATGTAGCTATTGCAGTCCTGCAAGCCGTGCCCCAGCTCTCCTTCACACCACGTACGTCTATACCGACCAACACGACCGGAACCCCGTGTTACGTCTCCACCACGATGGGCAATCGCAGGTGGTGTCGAGCTGTGCTTTCCAAATATTTGACACCGCCAGGGCCAACAACAGTGGATCAGCCGAATCCAAGTTCACGGAAAGAATCGAACCACAGTTCATTCCTAGCTCAAAACCGGGAAGGGGACTCAGACAAGATGTTATATTCGACAGAGTCCCATGCCATCTTCGTCGACAAAGTCGCATTGTTGAAGAGATTCACCGTGTTCTACAAGGTCATACTTCGAGAGCGTCGCCAGGCTACATACGAGCCTATCGGATACGCCTTGAGGTCTGGAGATGGTGAAGATGACTCGTGTGCACATTACTACGTGTACTGGCAGGTAGGACAGGATGTGCTGGTGTACGATGGGCTAGCGAACACGGGGAAGTCGACGATGCGTGTAGGGATGCGAGTGAGTGATTTGGAGGTACTTGGCATCCCGTCGAAGGGTAACATTCAGCTCATGTTTTACGAGCTGGTAGATGATGTCATGCTCGAGAAGCTTCCGTAAGGCAGGCTTGGTGGTCGTAGTCTGATCACAGTGTATTGCTAGGCTGAGCTGAGATCATTTAGGGTTCACGCATCAACATACGAGTGCGTTCCCTCCTTAATGCTACTACAGGTTTCTTCGGGTCTTGCGAGCCAAGGGGCTCTCCACGGAATCGGGTACATGCCCGGTGAGTCCCTTCAGGAATGCAGAGATAATTGGTGCTACTGATAGTCAGCTCGTCTGTAATATGCAACAGTTGACCGAAGCTGCGTAAATTCCAGCTTGGCGTACTGGACCCCCGAGAGGGGAGCCTGCTCCCAGTCGGCATGGAAAAGGTGGGCGCCTGGTGGGTGGTCTTCACACGCTTGTTCGACTTCTTAGTTAAAGTCGATTTAGGTTCGACTCCTATTAGCGCTAGCTGGTACTTCGCTTTTGGCTCATCTTTCTTGACAGACTCGTCTTTCTGCTGTGGCAAGGGTGGCAAGGGCGGGAGTGCCTGGGCAGCCTTGGTCTCCGTACGCTGGGACTCGTGGTACGCTGTAGAACAAATCTCAGCCTGTTGCAAGGACAATACGGGCACGTATATCAACGAACCTCCACAAGCCGGGGCCATCAACCTCCCTTTCGAACCGCCCTGGTCCCGAAGGATGGCCAGGATTTCTTGCTGCGCACTGGTCAGTTATGATGAGAATTGTGGAAGTCAGGGCCTTACATCGCCAATGGGGCTCCGCATGGTTGATGGTCATTCCGGCCGAGAAAGTGTTCGTGAAGTGTTGTGGTGATCGTGTGAGCAAGTCATGTGGGCGTGGTGATGTGGGTATGCGGTTGATGTTCAAGTGAAGAGGTGGGCGCCTTCGGGGTGGGCTTTGGGCATTTGCTGGACTTCTTGACGGCCACCTTTGTGTTCTCTACCGAAAAAAGGCTCGGCTTTCTGCTGCAGCAATGGCGGGAGTGCCTCCACCGACTTGTTCTTCGTGTGCTTGGACTCGTGGTAAGCTGTAGAAACAAGTGTCAACAATTTCCAGGGACAATAGGGTGATGACCCGGGAAAAGTATCCTTACGCACCGTGTTAGGAGGAATACAAATCACACGACTAGAATAAGCAGACAGGAATAAGCAGCTCTGGTTTGATACGCCACTTCCAGTGCTTACTCCATTGTGCTTATTCCGGTTCGATGAAATGATTGTTGTTTCCTGGACTGGTGTTGGTGTATGATGGACACAAGGGCGGACATTGTCCGCAGCAAAGCCGCACCAACCTCAGGGGGAGGGGAAGCGACAGCGACGCAAGTCTCGGCAAAATATGTTTTCATCTCGTACACTTGTTTTGGTCCATCTGTCGTACAGTTCTCGCACACGCCAGCAAAGTAATCTTGTCATCCTTGGTTCCATGCACACTCGAAAGCGTCGAGATATTTTCCTTCGAAATGTGTTACAATAGAAATATCAGTACAGACATCAAAATTGATAGGAGGAGGGGTACTGACATAAGGTCGTCGCCCCACAAAAATGTGGTCAGGAGCCGAAACAAGCTCGGCAGGGGCGGAAAAGACAGCGACGAGCTCGACCACGGCAGCGCAAGGCTCGACCACGGCAGCGCAAGGTTCGACCGCGGCAGCGGCGGAAGGCTTAACGACGAGGGTAGTGGTAGTCTTGGTGGTGACGGTCTCGGAGGCGACAGTAACACAAGACTTCTTGACTGTGTTGCCACTGATAGGGTCAAGAGCCTGCTTCTGCTGCTTCTGCTTCTTCTGTTTCTTGGTCTTCTTGGTATGACGTCGGGAGAGGGTGTTGTAGAAGAGGTCTCTCTGCATCCCTTTGTTCCTTTCAATAAACTCCTCGTCAGAGGCCAGAGAGATGGTGTCGTGCAGAGAGGGAGGGAGGGGTTGGTCTTGGGTATTGTCGAGGAGATACATTAGCATGGTGTAGATCGCATTGCTGGCTAATTGTGGGCAAGATGCACCGTCTTGCCGTTGCGGCGAAGAGGGTCGGTAAGGCCCCAGTCGTAGAGGGCCTTCACGGCCTTCTTTCGTTCGCCAGGCTTTCGCTGGTTGGCATAGTTGGACGGCGAGAGCTGCACATCTACGTGCCGACAATCGCACAGCTCGCGCATCATGTTGTACTCAATGAAAGTCTGTCGCTCCATTGTGGCGTCCCAGTAAAGAAAGACGATGTCTTCGATATCGACTAGATCGTTGTCGACGATGTCGACGATCTTCCGTCTGATAGCCTTGAACGAGTCCACGACTGTTGACTCGCAAACGGCGGAATTGAAGGGGAGGGTGGTGAAATATGGGCTGGGCCAGTGTTGCTAAACCACGGACTGGACGATTAGGTGTTCGGCATAGGTCTCATTGATGAGATCCTGCAAGGTGACGCTGTCACCCGGCTGGGCCTGGGACAGGTCCAGGACAAGTATTCCACATTCAGAGATTCGTTGGTCTAGTTTTTCGAAGTCGAGGGAGACAAGCTCTTGCCAAAGAGGCCGTCCGTCTTGCCAAGGGCACCTTCCTCAATCCTAATAAAATGTTAGCATATCTAAATTCCAAGCTCTACACCAGAAAATGACAAACGTACTTGATGTCGGACATGGTGATGACTGCAGAGATTGGTTGGACCGAAGATGTCGAACTGCCGATGATGATGGTAGAGGATGGTCGAACGGAGGATGTCGAACTGCAGATGATGGTAGAGAGTGGGTGGACCGAAGAAAAGGTCGAACTTCGAAGTGTGGAAACATTGGGGACTCGTTGTAAAGAATTTGCGTTGGTTGAACGAAAGGCCTGGACAAGAAAGTGGGTGTTGAAATATGGGAAAGGTAAGATATTGCAAACGCCGGAATGCTTCAGTGTAGATGGGCGAATATAAGAAGTTCTACAGTCGAGGATGAGAAGGATTTTACAGTCGACGACAGGAGAACGAAGGAAAAAGATGGTGTCGAGGATCGAGGATGTAAGCATATCAGGCAATTACCTATATAATCTCACTTCCTCAGGCATTACAAGTTCTGCCTTGTAGATCCACGTTGCCTCGCGAAAAGGTATGCACCATGCCTAAGGTATAGATTTTTGAGAACTGCCCTTTTCATTGGGAGCCAGGCGACTCTTACTGGACGACTAATCGTATGGTTTTATTACCCTTTCGCGGTCAGGGTATCCAAGTTTGTTTTCACTAACCGCCAATCAAATACCAAACGAAGCCTGCAATAGCATAAGTACTGCAGGCTGGACCATCCGGCCTGATTGCACGAGACTAGGTAGTGACAGCCGCTAATATGATTCAGTGTATCTAAGGTACTACATGTGACAATCAGGCCTACAGCTGCGCTGGTCACACTCTTACCAAAAACAACTATTTTTCTTGGCGCCCCGCTGTTAGGGCGCAACCTCTATATCTGCACTAAAACAGGCATTTATTTCAGTACCTGACTATCCTTGCTAAGGCGCAGAAAAATTTTCTCACAAGCTGGATGGCACCCCTTCACGATAGGCCCCCAAATACGCCAGTGGCCGTCCCAAAGACGACTACTGGCGGCGTGCTCAAATCTCCGGTCCCTAAAAGAACATATGGCCCGGCAACCCCAAGCAAGCTCCGCCAGGCACTGCTCAACGACATCAACAGCAGCCCGTCACAGGTCTCTGAGGCTGACTTCACCATTGTTTCCCCTCTGAAAGGAAAATCCCGAAATATTAATACTAGCAGCATCATTGATATGGAAGTACCTCAATCAAACGAAATCTCTACAGACCAAGCCATTGGAGGCGATACAGGGAACAAGGTCTCTTCCTCAAAGTGCCAGGACCAAGTAACCAAAATACTGGCTAAAGACAAGCATCTCTATGAAGCCAGGATGACAATGTTTCAAGAGTGTGCTGCAGCAGTCGATAAGACACTGGAAAAAGCTGGAACCGAACTATACTCTCATGCCAAGGAGTTCAGCGCTTTCTTCTCCAAATGCCTGAACGAGTGGCTGGAAACCCGAGATCTGCCCAAAAGAAAGACCACTCCTGGCGGGATAGGGATAGGGAAGCCCACCATGACCTTCGCCCAAGCTGTCTCCTCTGGCCAACGACAGCATCCATGGACAGTCAACACTACCATGAAGAAAACACAGCCTGGCGCCCTCATCACTGCCAACCAACTGAAGAAGAAGCGAGATGATCTCCGGGTCTTTGTCCGCATGGATAATAGCCACTTAGAGCCTTATGGAATCAAGTCTACACTGAACAGAAGACTTAAGCTCCACCCTCAGGAACTTAGAGAAGTGACACGATGTCCTTCTGGTTTTACCTTACACCCAAGGGACAAGCCAACTCAGGCTAAGCTTCTGGCTTTCCAAGAAGAAATTGCCGACATTCTCAAGGCACAAAAGATTGAGACCCACACAGTCTGGCATCATTACAAGGTCAATGGATGCCCAAGAAAGGTCATCAGTGCAGAAGGGTTCACAATCGATATTACTGACACTGTTGTTGCCGATGAAATTGAAGCCCAAACAGGCGACAGACCTCTGAGGTGCATACTCTCAAAGAACACGATTGATTCTGATCCAGAAACTACATGGATAATCTCTCTGCCCAGTGCAGCAAGGAAACCATTCACGCTTTTTGCCCACTCAATGACCTCAAGGCATATTCAACACACCCCCAAGGTTCACCAGTGTGCAAGCTGCTTCAGATACCATGGTAGGAATTACCGATGCGAAAAGCAAGTATGTGCACACTGCGCCAACACAGTACACCAGGGAGAGTGCGAAAAACCAATCCCAAAGTGTGTCAACTGCAAAGGACCTCATGCTGCCAACTTCGACAAATGCCCTGCCCGCCCCAAAGTTGTGAAAGGTACCATCCATAAGCACACATGGGAGCAAATCCAGGAAATAAGGCTAGCCGGAGAAAGAGCCAGATCCAAGGCCTTCAACGAAGCAGGCAGAAACCAAGCTGGGTCCACACCTAGCAATAATAACAAAGACACCACAATGCAAATCGACACAACAGATACAACTCATCCCAGAGATGCCGATACCATTGTTGTCAGTCAATGTTAGGTACATCAAACGAAACACATCGACACGGGCATCTAGTCATCCATTCTATGAATATAGCAGGGGGACAAAAGAGTGCAGGCCCTACAGAGTTAGCCATCAACCTGGCTGACTATAAAGGAGAACAAGCAGACATCATTCTGATGCAAGAGCCCTGGGTTGGCATACCACCAGGCAAGAGAATGGGAGTAAAGACACACCCCAATTACGATATATACTCCCCAGTGGATTCCTGGGACAGCGACAGTACACGGCCCAGATCTCTCATCTATGTGAGAAAATACCTTCAAGCGGATCAACTTCGGCCCTATGCTACACGAGACATCACCTGGGTCAAGGTACAAGGCATTACATTTGCCAGTGTCTACCGGCCATGTGACAACCCACAGGAAGTGGATGACATTCTGGAAGTATGGACTCCACCTTTTGGCTGCGTTATAGCTGGAGATTTCAATGCTGGCGACACATCCTGGGACTCAAGCAATCCAGGATATCATGGTGGTGCTATACTTACACAAACTATGGCAGACCATGGACTGGATCTGATTTCTGAACCAGATGTCCCGACACATGATGACGGAAATGTACTAGATCTGGTGTTCTCTGATGTCCCCATGGCTGAAGCCTCAGTCAATGATGCACTTCAGTGCACCTCAGATCATGAGACATTACGAATAGTCATTCCAATCCAGGGAGATCTGGACCGAGTACCCAAGGCCAATCATTGGATAGTACCGGACGATAAACTACAGGAGCTGGCAGATAATGTCCAAACCAGGATTCATGAACTCCCCCGGCTGGGTGTATCCCCTGGCCAGGTGGACACCTTTACACAAAGCCTGATCAACATGATCCAAGGCTGTATCAGGACAGTGGGCAAGAGGCCCCGTCAATCTAGGCCCACTGCTTGGTGGAATGATGACTGCAAAGCAGCTGTTCAGACATACAGGGCCCTTTCCAAACAGACTACAAGCCAAGAAGGACGGAATTCAGCCCGACGGGAATTTCGCGGTGTGGTTCGGAAAGCTAGGAGAGAGTACTGGCAGACTCTAATCAATTCAGCAACTGAGCCAAAGGACCTATACAGAATCGTCTCTTGGCACAAGTTATCAGCAGGATTGCGTTCCCCTCCCATCATCATAGGAGACCAAATATTCGAGTCACAAGAGAGCAAGGCAAATGCATTACGCTCAGCCACGCTTGAACGAAGTACCTCAGACAACGATATCATCGACCCCTGGTCCGCTCAGATCATACAACCCAAGCCATACATCCCCCTTGAATACCACGTCGGACTGGAAGAGGCTGAAGGGTGCACTTTAGGAACCAAGAGCAACTCCCCGGGAGTAGATACCCTCACAGTACGGATTCTGAAAGCTTGCTGGCCAGTCATTGGTGAACATATCAGAGCCCTTTTCCAGACCTGTCTACTGATTGGACACCACCCTAAACCATTCAAAGTAGCTGAGGTGGTGATGATCCCAAAACCAGGAAAGAAAGACTACTCCAATCCCAGGGCCTACAGACCAATATCGCTACTGTCATGTCTTAGCAAGGGCCTAGAACGACTCATTGCGAAAAGAATTACCTGGTTTGTTGTCAAACTTGGAATTCTAGCCCCACAACATTTTGGAGCTCTACCAAAGCGCTCTGCCACTGACCTGGTAGCTGCACTCATACACGATATTGAGCAGGCCCTTGACCAAGGCCTCGTTGCAACGGTAGTCACATCAGATGTGAAAGGGGCCTTTGATGCTGCCCTAATGGGACGGCTGGTGGTTCGCATGAGAGAACAGGGCTGGCCAGGCTTTCTCATAAGATGGGTCCAGTCGTTCATGTCCGAGCGGTCCGCAAGAGTTCGGTTTGAAGGTACTGTGACCGATATAAAAGCTCTCACTTGTGGGCTCCCACAAGGCTCACCAGTCTCTCCAATCCTCTACATGCTGTATACAGAGCCAATCTGTGCCCGACTTGGCATGAAAAGAAGACGCTTTGGATATGCAGATGACCTAGCAACACTCTGCATTGGAAAGAACCTTAAAGAAACAGCTACAAAGGCTTCTAAAAACCTTCATTTACTCAATTAATGGGGACATAACAATGCTATTGAATTTGATCCCGACAAAACCGAGATCATGCACTTCTCACGGAAAAAGAACTCAGACAATCCCCCAATTTGCCACGGAACAATGAACAAAACAGCTAAGCATTCCATGCGATGGCTAGGTGTCCTTCTGGATAGGAAACTAAACTTCAAAGACCATGTTTCTCACTGGGCCAAGAAAGCTAGTAAGGTAGCAAATCACCTTCGAGGACTATGCAACATAGTCAAAAGACTTCCAGTAAAGTCAACCAAAAGGGCTGTGAAAGCTTGTGTTATTCCTATTCTCACACATGGCCTGGAGGCCTGGTACCCAGGAATCGAGAAAGCTGGGAGCTTAGGTGAGACATCAGCATGTTGTATTAAGGGGCTTCTTGGAACAATAGATGCCGTACTACGAACAGCGATCAGGGCTATCTTGCCAGTCTGGGAAACACACCCTGGACATATCTTACACTTTGAATCGCAGATTCCCCCAGCAGGAGTTCTTGCAGAGTCAATAAGACGACGTCACGGCCTCCGACTAGGACGAATAGATCAGAGACACCCTCTGGTTGGCAGGCTCCAAATACAAGCTCGCAAGGATCCAACAAGGCTACAAAGGAGCTTCCAGCTAGTCCCTGACTTCCAGAGACCAATACTTACCAGGCCATCATGGAAGAAGCGCCCAATCCGCAAAAACAAAGACAAAGAAACAGAGCTCTTCAAGCAATGGTTACAAGAGAGAAACGTGAACACTGACCTTGTTATCTACTCAGATGGATCACAGTTGGATGACCAAGGCACAATCCGCACTGGATGGGGTTATACCATCAGGAAAGGCGGCACTACACAAGAAGTATACCGGGGAAGGGGCAGACTTCTACAAGCAGAAGTAGTAGATGCTGAAGTCCATGGTGCTCTCCAAGGTCTTGCAGCAGCCAGGGCAATTGGACACGGAAAACAGCTATATGTCTGCCTGGACAACACATCAGTGGTAGATGGGCTCAATGGGACTCCACCCGAGACATCACAAAACATTTTTCTACGATTTCAAGAACTTGCCACAGCACACATTCCTGGAGTGACCGTCAAATGGATTCCTGGACACAGAGATATTGATGGCAACGAAGCTGCCGACACACTAACAAAAGAGGGTGCCATGCTGGAAACAGACACAACAAATCTTCCTACAATCTCTTGGGTCAAGAGAGATCTCAAAAGACAGGGCAAGAAAGAGTTCAACCAATGGTGGAAAGACCAATCAGAATCTAGGTATCAAGAAGTATACTCACATGCAGTAACTAAAAGAGACTTTATATCTTTTAAGAGGAGTACTTTACACAGACTTCTAGCGGCCAGATCTGGACATGGCGACTTTGCCAGATACCATGAACGCTTTGGGCACACAGACTCAAATGATCACTGCAGCTATGGTGAGAAGAAAACACCACAACACATTTTCTTTTGTAAGAGGCTGGGGAAAAATCGGCTACTGCCTAGGCATTCGCCTAGGGCAGCTTGTTTACAATACTTAGGGGAGAGGAGCACAGAATGGGCAAAATTCGTGGAGAAGAGCAAGTTCTTTTCAACAATCTGCCCCCGATAGATAGCCTTCCTTGAAGGACCAGATGGATGACCCCAAGGTCATACCGCCGCAACAACGGGGATGGGCCCGTGAGCGGGACTGACTGTACTTATTATCTTGAGACCTCCACAACCCTGCGATGCAGAGGCTCTGGGAGGCGTGGTTTGCACTACTGAGGAGCTACCCCCACGTTAAATACAAAACAAACAAACAAACAGCTGCGCTGGTCAGGGCTGATGGGATGAAATATCTAGATTCAACGATATCTAAGGAAGAAGAGGCAAGGTCAGAAGAGAAAGGGGAAGCTAGAGGTATTTGTGTACATAAATATGTGGAGGTATTATGTAATACCGTAACACTACGAGCAATTTGGATGGTGGAATCACTTCCACAGATCAGATTAAATGCCTTGTTTGGCGGCTTTCGTACCCCACTGCGCACTCGGGCAGTCCTGACTCCTGATTATGTGGCTGGCTTAGTAGCATTACTTGGTCATCTTTTACGGCGTGCGGAGCCGGCGAGAAGGTCATGGAAAGGTGTTGAGGTACAGCCAGGGGGGAATGTGAGATTTCAAAGTGTTCTATTAAGGAGAGGAATTCCAGCTACTCTGGAGCGGCCAGAGTGGCCCTATATATATCCAAGATACTAAAGGAAAGTATACGTGGCCTTATATCGGCCACGTATGTGACAGAGTCACAAATGGGGATGGTGATCCTGAAGGATGACTAGGGATGGGCCAACGTAGCCCAGAATCCAACAGGGAATCGGTATTCTTATCAGCCATGATGTGATCGTAAGTGGGGATTGGCGACTTTGTTTCAACGTATAGAGAAGAGAGTCAAAATAGGAATTATTGATGTTGTATTAGGAAGCTCCCAATGCCAACTGTTCAATATGTACCAACCAACTGTATGCATGTTCGTATACCGCTCCCTTTTGTTCCAACCTGCAACGTGCCAGCCCCCCAAAACTCCAAATTCCATACACTCTATCCTTGTTCTACGAGACATGACCTTCCACGAGGTGACGAACAACCTCCATGTGCTCCTAAAATAGGTTAGAAATGCATGAAACATATAAGGCTATATAGAATAGTTAACTAACCTTCTTGATGGTAACAACCTTGCACGTCGACGCGATGAGCTGTGTGTCGGCGAAGAGATGCGTGAGGTAGGCTTCTGAAGCCTCCTGGAGCGCGGCAAGGGCGTCCGCGTAGAATCGATATTCACCTTTGAAATCTTGGACGACTTCCCGGACCTGGAATATGTCAGATACTGTATGTTGCAATGGGTTATATCAACGGGTCGAGTCAGGTACATACGACGCGCTGGAAGGACAGCTTAGGTATGAGCAGGTCGGTCGTCTTCTGCAGTCGGCGGATTTCACGCAGTGCGGCCATACCTGGCTTCGCGCGGCGACGCACACGAGGCTTGCCGGGAGGGACATTGGTCTTACGTGCTGACCTATGGGTAAGGTCCTTGCGTGGCGCCTTGCCTCCAGTCGAGCGCTTGGCTGTCTGTTTGGTTCGGGCCATGGTGATGATAAAGTTTGGAGAAGGGCTGAGAGTGGTAGGTGCAGTTTGTGAAGAGAACAAGGGCGCAAGTAGAGAGATGTCGCGTGAGATATTGTATGGGGACCCGATGTCCTCTGACATCGACTGGCTCAGCCAATCGTCGCTCGCGGTGAGCTTTGGTGGCCTAAAGAGTAAAACTAGAAAGGTTAGAAATTTTGATCTAAAAAGGTATCCAAAAAAGATACGATTATCGCGATGCGAAGCGACGCGACGAGGAAGATTGAGGGTGCAGTACCCTCATAACGGCCGCACCTAACATGGCCTAAAGGTCTCAAGAAGATGCTAAAAGGTATGTCGAGGACAGAATACCAAAGGTGCTGTAAAAAGTATCCAAAAAGGTAATGAAAAGGAAGCCCAAGAAAGGCTCCTCAAGAAGAGGAGTTAGAGGTTTGGTTAGATGCCCAAGCAGGGCGCAGGAAAGGTGTGGGAAAGGGAAAGGAAGAGGGCTTGAAAAGGGCACTTTTAAATGAATGACACACCCAATATGTATGTGCCTAACAAGTATTTCGAGATAAAAAATTTGCAGCATAACAAGCAACATTGCCTTACCCTAACCCTTTGCCTCAGGCATCCCATCCGGTCACTGCATTCTAGGGCACCTACGCACCCATAGACTACATATCGCTACAAGGCTCTCTCTCATTGCGCAACTGTGATCGCTTCCCCAGAACTTCTCGTTCTACATTACAATGCTGTCATCTGGCTAGTACCGGATGCTTTGAGGTCACGGCTACCTGAAGGTAGGTCTGCCTTGGGAACCATCAATTATCGCGAAGGCGCCATCTCACTGGCACTAGTAGGCACCGCCATGCACGTATTGCCGTTCCTGCAAAGAAGTTGTTACGTTATTCGGCGCTGGACTCGCACAATGTGCTACTGCGATGTCAAGCAATAATCTCGTCCACATGGTCTTGCGCCTCCTCATCCTCATCTTCATACCCGTCATCTGTGCTCTCAAGTCCTGCACCGTTGATGGCATAGCTTCCAGCCCAGCCGACTAGGGCAACCCCTGCGAACAGTCCCCATGCCAAAGCCTCACCTTTGGGCTGAATATGCGTCGAGACGGTGTAGAGCCCACCGGATAGAAAAGGACCAACACTTCGACCGGCTGCTGAAAGAGTCTGGGCAAACCCGTTGAGAGTCCCCAAGCTCGCGTGGGAGGGTGCCGAGTTGGTAATCTTGTAAAATCAGTAACCTAGAACTCGATCTGGTTTGAAGGCACTTACCAGTAGCATCACACTGGACAAACCTCCAACAGCGCAGATGTTCTTGATCACGAGTATGATACCACTCTCCACATACAGCCAGATCTTGCTGTCACCGACACCAAACGGCGGGTCAGAATCCAAGTGTCCGACAAAGGGCATCAGGGCCATGGTGATCGCAAAGCCTAGCAATGAGCCCCGGAAGGAACCTACATTGCCAAGGCGCGACCTCAGCGGTCTGAACAGCGACATCTGAAATAAGATGGTGAAGATCCCAGCGACAGATAATGATATCCCAATCACATCTGCGCCTAGGTCACGTCCCGTCGGTTCCGTGCCCGAAGCAAATATGGGGTACAAGCTGTTGAAGGAGCTGTTCGATAGCTGGAAGATCAAGTGCGTGAGCAGCAACACCACAGTGGTGCGGTTGAAGAGCTGACGCCAGGTGGCCGGGTCGGATGGGGATTTGGGGTTGTGGTCATCGGCCTCGTCGGTCTGGGGCCTCAAAAGCCCACTATCTTCTCTCGCCTCGGCGTCGTCGGCCTCTCCTGATTCATCAGCGGCACCGTCCACGTCTCGGCCTCTGCGCCATGGCCACGAACCGCCAGAGCCTTTCTTGTTCCTCTTGATGCAGCCACATAGCCACGGGAACATCTCGGACCAGTCAGGCACATGTGCCTGCTCTTCCAGCGTCTCGTCAAACCATATCGCAAGTACTAACACACTCAGTGCGAGAAGGGAAGCTCCCAAGAGATTCGGAGCCAGGAACGGGTATTTGTCTCGTGCGATTTCTGATACCAACAGTCCACCTAATGCAGGACCAGTAATACTACCTAGGCTGTAGATGACGGGTAGCCACGTGAACGCTTTGCTTTGGTTACTGCGATCTGTGAGCTCGCCGAGACAGGTGGGGACGACGGCCGCATTGCCGTTCAGCAGTCCCATGGCGATATGGACAAGTAGAACGTGGACGTATCTCGTGCAGAAGCCAAAGGCAGCGAAACAGACGCACAACAACGAAGTGCCTATCAGCATGACGGGCTTCCGACCGATGATATCAGACAAATAGCCCCACAGCAGGTTGGTGGCTAGCTGGGCCAGCGCAAAGGCAGAGGCTAGGAGACCGACGTATAGACCAACCTGATCGCGGCCGACGCCCGGGAACGACTCGACCATCTCGGGGAGATAGGGCGATATGGAGTTCAGCGCGGTCTGTTCGCAGAGGGAAAGCAGGGCCAGCAGGGCCAGCTGCTTGACGGGCAACGGCGTCGTGAGCCCATGATGCCCTTGGGCGGGGGGATGGGGAGAGGCAGAGTCGGTACTCGGGCGCCGACCTGCTGTCTTCGGAGCTGGGGTCGGGAAGGTATGGTAATGGTATTGTGTCGAGACGCGGCGTAGGATGGCATTACGTTGGGCTCGGAGTGTAGGCGACGGGGAGCCAGCTCGGAAAGACCCTGTTCGGGAGGGCTGCCTGCCGGGACGCACAACGGGACGCACACCGGGACGCCCACCGGACGCCAAGGTAGCCGGAGCTACATTTGCGCCGCGGACCATCTCGAAGATCAGCGCATACGCAGGGTTAACGGCAGCAGCAGCAGCAGCAGCAGCAGTCAGCCACCACGCGCCGTGAAGACGCCGACTCGCTCGAGCTGGCGGTGATGCTGAGTTGGGTCGTGTGCCCCGATGGTGGTCGAGAGTGGTGGTGTCGCTGTCGCTGTCGCAGTCGCAATCGCATACGCATAGGTCGAGGACGGTGGTAGGACAGGAAGAGGCTATCGACGATGGTGTCAACACGGGAGAGTATCAATGGTCAGATGGAAGACAGCCCTCTACTCCTCATCTCCAGCCTCGATGGTATCACCAAAGAGAGACTGCCTGGTGTAAGGTAGGAAGATAAGAGGAAGGTTCAAAGCTGCCTCCTAGAAGAGCTTTTCGAACCTTCCAATCCACGATGGACCCGGGATATAATTGAATGGCTGGGGCCCGAGACTTCCATCAGTTGCGAGGTCGGTGCTGACTTCACATCCACAATCCCTGCATGTCACAGCAGACCTGTTACCTCCGCTTTCCGTTGTGACCAGGCAGCTGCCAGGCAGCCTACAGGTAACAGCGACCGCCTAAATCCCTCGCAGCTTCAGCGGTCTTGTCCAAATTTTCCGCCCCTTCATCAACACACACTCACCCCCCATAAGTCTCCATCCGGCATGCTTCTTTGTCGATTATGATGGAATGAACAGCCTGGTATAAACAGCTTCTATCCAAAAGCCATTTTTGTTGCTTATTTCAGAGTGCTTATTCCGGTTATAACAGATATGCCCCTCGCTTACTGAACGAGGGTTGTATCGAGACTTTTGGAGGTCCAGTGTACCGCCGACCTTACGTTCATGACCTACGGCTCCTAAGTTCCTCATCTAAGGAACTCCCGCGGGTAGTAGAAGACATCGACTGGGTGGTCCCTCGTACGTGGTTCACCATGCAAATGACGCGTATATTGAAGCAGTTCATGCAGACTTGGCTGCCGTACATGTCAAGTAAATGTGCATTGAGACCCCCTCTGAAACGATGAGATATCCTCTAACCCACATGCATGTAGGAATAATGAGCGACCTGTAACGAAACGTCTGCCCAAGAATCTAAGCTTTTGGACCCAGTCTAAATGCAGTCATCTTGGCTTCATCTCTCATGACCAACTCTACTGTAGGGTCAGCCTGCGGGCCTTCATGGCTTAGGCTTCCAACCCGTATCGGATAGTATTCCCTTTACGCCTTCTTCCAGTTGAACAGGTTTGTCAGCGAAGCCGAGAGCCGTCGCTTATCGCCGGAATCTGATCCCTTCCCAAGCTTCTGAGGGTCGATATTTGACGTACCCTGAAGGTGGGAAACCGCGTTCGCCTGAACCGACTTTTCGCTGTCGGTGCGGATGCTGTTGTCCCAAGACATGTCCTTACCACAGCACGAGGCGAGCACGCTGCTTTCATTCCTGGTGCTGGGAACGTCGAGGGCCGGATTGCTCGTGAAGAAATCGGCCGGGCGGATGTGGAACTGATGAATCTCCGCAGGCCTTGCCATGGGTGTCAGCTGTAAGCTACCGAGGGGAAGGAAACGATCAATACAAGTCTTCAAAGTCACTTACATCACTGGCCAGTCTTCGACGCGGGGATTATGTGTCAGACCGAACACGTTCCAGACCACGGGGCTGCTCTTTTGCCCCTTTTCGTCACCCGTGCTATCGACACCTTCCGGGTCATCGATGAACCAGTCGCCTCTCGCCACCATGTCCCTGACGCCACCCTCTTCCTTCTTGCTCTGGTTTGTGAACTCGCCAGCCGCCCAGAGTTCTGCGTCGCGATATCCGGTGACCCAGAGATGGTGCTTGGCGTACGGGGCTCTCGCCGCCTGTGTGCTGTTGTCGTCTGCGAGCATCAGTTGCGTCGCGTTTGGGATGAACTTGTATCCCACGTTCTTCCCGCTGACTGGGTTCTTCTTGGTCACGTTCTCCAGCTTCACGGTCCTGTTAAACCGTGGTTCTGCGTCGACATGCATCGCGCGCTCTACTCGCTGGCGCCGGATCTCATAGCCGTTTCCGTAGGGATTTGTTTCTGGGTTCATGGGCACCGGATGACTCTCCTCCAGGACCACGGCCGTATCACCGTCGGCGTACGAGTCGATGCTGGGGTCTATTCGGACGGCAAAGATGTGTTGATGGTTCTGTGCCAGCACACCAGGGGATACCACGTTGCCATAGCCAGATACCTTGCCGTCGTCGATAGCCACTACGCTGACAACGCCGGTGGCACGGGTCTCGACTGTAATGCCGCCGGCTGTGTCGAGCTTGTACGCAAACACATACTCGTAGTTCGCGAGGGTGACCACGAACTGTACCACAAATTCGCGCAGTCGGGTGACCACGGCGCGGTTGGTCCGGAAGTTGGTGTGCTTCCACCCAATGCCTAACCCAGATTAGCCCCTGTTCAAGGCCGAGCCGACGCTGCTGCTTACCGTTGTCCTGCTCATGCAGGCATACGACGTTCTTCGCTACCTCAGGGTTGCCTTCCGAGTCCGCCACTGTGGCGTCCAGATAGTGGATTACGCCCAGACAGTCACACCCAAGACTGAGGTTGTTTGCGGCACGGCCTATGCCACCATCGCCAAAGTCAAAGGCCTGCTTGCGGTGGAAGGGAGGGCGCGGGTCCCCGTATGGAACCGTCATCTCGGAGAACGAAAGGCGATACAGGATGGGTCTGTTGTCATAGCATACATCGTGAAGCACCGCACCTTCACGGGGCGTGAAACCAACACGGAAGCGCCATTTTTGCCATTCGATCAGGTTGTCAGAGTGCACCTTAAAAGACGCACCTTCCGGTTGGGTGACGTTGATAGGCTTCAGGTCAGAGCGGAGGGGCCGATCCAGGAGTTCAGACACGTATTCTGCAGGCTTGCTGCGGTCGAAGAGCTGCGTAGGTAGTCCGCCATAGGGAGAAGCATAGAGGCTATCACCCTTGCCCCCTGTTGCGAGACGATCGATCCTAACCAGCTTCTGGCTGGCGATGTCCATGACTGGGATGATGGGCAGCGGGAACGCGTAGTGATTAGAGTCCAAGTTCTGCTTGGACGCATCACGGGCGAACACGAGGCCCTGCATGTAGCGGGATATGGTCTCGTCCGGGTCAAGACCACCGTACGGCCATGGATCTATGGTGACGGTAAAGTTGTCAGGCAGGGAGAACTCTTCCATGGCTGCCTTGAACATATCAGACGAGACGCAGGCGTCTTGAAATAACGCAAATTCTTGTGCCGTATAGCTGGTCTGGCAGTGTTCCGGGAAAGTCTTGGTATTCGTTATCTTGCCGACGCCGACATCGACAATGGCCTCAGTGAGTTGATGTTTGCCATCGGTGATGACATCGTATAGCACCGTCACCTGTCTCGGCGGGATTGAGGCGGGTGAACGTCCGGCATGCTCTGCGACCAGGAACTCGACCAGCTCAGTCTTCTTGGGTTCATGGACGTGTGCCGATCGGAACCTCAGAGCGATGCCGTCGCTGTCGTGGGCCTTGACGATGAGACTCCGCGCTTGAAGGAGTTCATCGTCCGAAAGGGGTCGCAGAGGATGGGGAGGCGCCCGCATGGTCAAGGTCTCCTCGATACCGATAGACATGATGGTAAGATGGAGTAGATGGACAGTTGGCTCCCGGCTGCAACGCTGGGTAGCAGAACATATACGAGTCTATACCACCACAATATATGGCGTGCAGTCCACCCTGGCCCGTCGGTTTCTTAAATAGCCTCCGCGGGACTTCCAGCTCGATCCGAGGCAGATGGGTCAGATTAAGCTCAATGCTAATGTATGGCAAGAAGCGGCGCCTCATCGGACAGGAGGGCGACCAGGGGCACCCGTGTGGGGTTGAGCGACGGTGACTAAACACTCTGAATCATCATTGGGGAAGTTCTAAGCTCTATTGGGCAGGTCCTTGCGAGGCCAGTCACCCAATCACCATCCTGACACCCACCACTGCCGAACTCCCTCTGACGCTTGGCTGCTTGTGAGACAGTTTGATAGGACCTTGATAGGCCTTGATAGAGAGCTGATAGAGAACTGATATGCTCGCCAAGCCTGGTGTCTTTCCGTTACACGGCGACCTGCACACCTGCACTCCGAGTGCAGCATATCTATGCACAAACAGCGAACGGAACCCCTGGGCCTGACCGCCGGCCACGCAAGACATAATATCGCCACGCAAGACCACGCTGCCACGTTGTAATGTAGGGTAGCAACAGATGCCCGAACCTGCCCGAGCGGGCCCAGAAACTGGAAATATCCGGGTTCGTTTACCAATGATCGACGCCTAATGCAGCACTTTGGTCAGCAGTCCGTGCGGGAGGCCACCAAGTCTTCAGCCGCATCTGCATCCCTCACGACGTCGTCCATGTGCTTCCACTACGTCTAGGACTACAAAAGCTCTCCATTTGCCACTGGCAACAAGCCCTCCACGTCCTCCTTGTATGATTCCCTCGCATTGGGTAGCTTGTGCCAGGGGGAGGACGACATTAGTTGGCTCGCTTCGAGCTGGACACACGGGGCATGTGCGTTGTCACTCCGTTTCATAAATACCCCGACGCGCGTGCGTCGTCCATTCACATAGTGTCCCGTCCTGTGTAGTTCAGAGGTTTGGTCGTGGACGGTGACAAAAGTACCGAACCAAGGAGGCTGATGATGTGGTATACTGTAGCCGGACAGCCGGACTACACATTAGCCAGATATTGTCTAGGCTCTGCTACATCATGTTAAGCATTGTTGTAGCCCAGCTGGTATGGCCCTCAATAATACTTTAGAATAAGCAACAAAAGTGGACTGTTCAAATATAACACCTTGTCCCAGGGTGCATATTCCAGTAGTTTGGGAAGATAATCATCGAGGGGCATGAGACTTCATGAGAAATGGTTGGAACCACTGTCCTTCTAACTCTCCCAAACTTCTGCTCTGCGGTGAAACCTGCGATGCGGCCCAAGTGGCCGAGAGCCGAGACATATGTTTACCGGTGAGAAACGCATTATGTAACTAATTGTAAGCATGTAAGCTCAGAAGATCATACCGCTGGATGTGCTTGCTGCCACAAGGATCATATCGTGTACAGCCTGCAGAAATCCAAACTGTCGACGTCAAAATGCAGACTGGCAGAGCATCAAGCGTGCGTACAACTTCCTAAAGCACTCATTACACATCACACAAGCCTTCAGTCGCCTTGCGGCATGTAATAGAGTGTTGATATTGGCCGAGGACTTGCCGTCGTCATAAAGGCGCATGTGATGGTGTGTTGTCAGTTCACCATCTGCATTTCCGACAAGGTGATCACTTGAGTGGCTTGCAATATCACCGCCTGGGTTATCTCCAATATCACTACCTGCGTAGCCTAAAAGGGCACCAAATGAGGCACGATTGAGTCCGAGTGTTGCGTCCTAATATAAGAAGATACTGTTATGAAGAAGATCGACGTTGGGTGAGATTCATGTGTAACGAATCGAGAGGAATCGATGATAATAGATCCGTAAGGTGCCGACGGGAAACCTGGCAACAGGACAAGGACAAGGGCAAGGCGAGCCGCAAGCTGCCGCGCTACGAGACGAGCGCGAGGCCTGAAGCCCAAGTGTACAACCTGAATGCACCAGGTAGTTTCCACCCCAGGGAGTCAGGTCGAGGGTATCAGCGAGATGACCAACGCATGAACTCCGACCGGAGCAAGTCTGCTAGCACAAACAACCAGGAAACGGGAGCCTGCTACAGCTCGTTCGAAAAGCAGACGTCGCTGGAGTAACTCGATGAAATATCTTGAGGTGTCCGTCATAGGCCAATAACGGCGGGGGCATGCAGATGGGACAGCCCCCCAGATGGGACAGTTCCCCCACCAAAACACAACATTTGCACCCACCCACATCTCTATCGGGATTGAAGCTGTAGATATCATAAATATATCATCTGAATTATCTTTTCTTGGTGTTTCTTCCAATATGGAATTTATTAGGTGTCCTACAGCGGGATGTCCCGTGGCGGGGGTCGGAAGTTAGCACGTCCGGCCCTAATCTGAGGGGTAATGGGACCCGTGCCCCCTATCCCCTCTAACCGGGCAGAAGTTCTGTGGTTCTTTTTTTTTTTTTTTCTGTAAGCATTATAAGCTTTAGTACGTCGAAATGGCGCCTTTATACACCAAAGAAGACCTTGCTGAGGCGATAGCCGCCGTGAACGGTGACGATCTGTCCCTCCAGAAGGCTGTCCAGCGCTATGGAGTACTAAAAACCACCCTTTCTCGTAAAGTTAAAGACTCCATGATGCCTATAACTGACACCCAGCATGAAGGACATGCTCACGGGCAGAAAATAAGCCCTACTTAAGAAAAGAAAGTAATTTTATGGATTTTGTACCAAGAAAAGGCCGGCCATGCCCCTACTCACGCCAATGTGAGGTACATCATCCAGAAGATCCTACAATCCCAGGGAAAACCGCCTCATCTTGGGGCCATTACATGCGAAATTTCATCCGCCAGAACCCAGAGATAAAGACCAAAATAGGCAGAAAACTTGACTACAAGCGTATCAATGCTGCCATTCCCAACAATATCCATAGTTATCATGACCGCTACGCAGATTTTGACTTCATCAAGCCTGAGAACCGCGCAATTGTCAATAAGTACGGCATCATGCAGGGCCAGCAGTATGTATGTCCAATACAAGTGTTTTTCAGACGGCTAACCAGGAGGTTATAGGTCTGATGGCCTTGTAATAGGCAGTTCTGGCTCAAAAGGGGCCAACGTCAAGTCCAACGATGACCGCATGTGGACTACCGTGGTAGAATCGATCACCACCACTAGGAAAAAGCCAGATGGATGACCCCAAGGTCATACCGCCGCAACAACGGGGATGGGCCCGTGAGCGGGACTGACTGTACTTATTATCTTGAGACCTCCACAACCCTGCGATGTAGAGGCTCTGGGAGGCGTGGTTTGCACTACTGAGGAGCTACCCCCCACGTTAAATACAAAACAAACAAACAAACAAACAAACAAACAAACAAACACTAGGGAAAAGCTCCGGCCGCTGGTTATCTTCAAGGCGAAGTCAATACAGACACAGTGGTTCAAAGAGCAGCTTATTCTCGAGCATCCCGGGGTGGCAGACTGGATAGTGACTTACTCTGTTAATAGCTGGTCCTCGAACGCGATTGCGCTCAAATGGCTTAAAAAGGTTATTTTATTTTTATTTTTTAATGTTAACTATATGCTAAAATAACCCCCTAGATCTATCTGCCAGATACTGCCCCTAAAGACCTGGATGCCTGTTGGTGCTCGACGGCCATAGTAGCCACTGTTCAGATGATTTTATGTATCTGTGCTATATAAACAATGTATATCTGAGCTTTTTTCCTGCCCATATGGTAGGTTATATTCTCAATTAGTAGTTATTCCGCTAATAGGGGTAGTCTCATATCTTCCAGCCCCTGGATCTGACCGTTTTCTTTGTGGTGAAGGCCGCCTATTGCTGCCTCATTAACCAGCTTGGTTAGTTGAATGATTCGGCCCCTATTGGCAAGATTAAGTTCCTTTCTTGTCTGGCGAAAGCCCGTGACAAAGCTATCCCTGTTATCGTGCATTCGGGATGGCGTGCTGCTGGCCTTTGGCCATAAATAGGAATAAGACATTGGCAAATGAACATGTGATAAAGATAGGAGAGATACAAGCAACAGCTGCTGCTATAATGAACCCTGAAACCACCCCTGATGCCCTGGAAGCCCCTACATCAGGGCAGGATATAGCCCTGATGTTGTCAACAGTCGCGGAGACCCCTGAACAACGAGCAGCAGTGCGCGCGGTCGCGAAATCATACGATGAGATGGTGGTTGAGTTAACCATCCTGAAGCTGCAAAACAAGACAAAAGACAATAAGATTGAGCGTCTACAGCCTAAAAAGCGCCATAAGTCCCCCCAGGAAGAGCCTAATCAACGGCTATAGAGGATAGGAGACGTTATTCAGGAACAGATTGAGCATACGGAGGCCGCACGGGTGCTGATTGACCAGCGGGCGGAGAGACGACGACTTTTGCGCAAAGTGCAGAACCTGGAGACCAAAGAATCAGAGGAATCGCTTTCTAAGGACTCCCTCTCCTCTGATTCAACAGATTTAGAAGATCTAGACGAAGGGGTGATTGTTGACAAAGAGGGCAAGGGGGTGTCTGACGAGCCGGATGATGAAGAGGAAGAGCCCATTATGATGCAATCTCGGCGCCGAGAAATCCGCCAACCCGCGTGCTACCACTAAAAGCACTGGTATTGCTAAAAATACCAAGAAAAGGCGATTCTTTTGATATATATACATTATCTATAACCTCAACCAATGGGGTTATATGTGGGTGTAAATGTTGTGTTTTGGTGGGGGAACTGTCCCATCTGGGGGGCTGTCCCATCTGCATGCCCCCGCCGTTATAGTCGCTGTTGCCGTTGCGCATCGCCGTTGCCTGATCACAGAGCTGGCCCAATCGGTACACTCAGACCTCATAAGTCTTCGTACGCGCTATGTGAACAAGACTCCTGGTTACCTATGGAAATTTCGAAATACTGGAATCAACATGCAGGGATAAGCAGCTCTGGTTTGATACGCCACTCCTGATGCTTATTCCATGGTGCTTATTCCGATTTAATAATTCACAGTTGGTTGATGGAAGGGTGGTGTACGGAGACTTATGAGGGCTCAGTGTAGCGACTCGTTATGGCTTCGGGAGTGCTGCAAGTTGGGCACATTGATGTCGCAGGATGTGGAGGAGAGGACTCACTGGTCTGTGGGTATGAGGGGTTATGGCATCAATTTATGCCTGCACTTTTGCGATGGCACGCGTTGCGCTGGTTGTAATGGTTTTAGACTTCCAACGCTTTCGCGGCTACTGGACATCGCCAGCCCATTGAGCACATTTTCAAGATTCTAAGGTAATGCCACATCGCTCGCCTCGATGTGGGTTCCATGTCTTCTCGGCGAAGGAGCTACAGGCAGCTCCATGACTTGGTCCTTGGGAGCACGTTGGCATGACACCTAGCTACCACAGAGAAGCTGACGAGCACATGAGCTAGTGGGTGGACGTCGTCCAAAGGGGACAGTCAACAGTATGCCCTTCATGCAAATGAACCGTCCATGGCGCTACTATTTTAGTCTGCGAGAATGTACGGGACAGCTCCAAGCAGGACAACACCGACTGTAGCCTGGCAATGTCGAACAGAGTCTCCCCTGGCACCAGCATTCCGAACTCGGAACCCATAACGACTTGACCGTCGCTGTCATCAAAGATGAGCCACTATCCCGAACCCTAAGCCTAAATGAAGTTAATGAACTGGTCCAGTACGGATGCAGGGGCTTCCGGTGCTGGATAGTCTCGCTGATAAGTGGGAGGCCGCCACAGGCTGGACATCCCGCCCGAGACGTCATGACGGGAGACCTCAGAGGAGCGTGATGCTTTCTAATTGTCACATACACGGCTCTAGAACAGTCATATAACACCTTATTGGGAGTAAATCTTCGCATTGGTATTGTGAAACTACCAGATCTGAGTTCGTCTAGATGATATGCTCGTCACCTATAACCATCAGCCTGACTTTAGCTAAGCAATATCTCCGTCGTCACTGGATCCCTCCACGCGTCTTTTATGCCCACGAACATGGACGACGTCCTGCCTGATCCCAACCGGGTGTCTCACTCCATGGAGAGAGACTTCATGACCTCCACCACGTAATTGTCTAGCTTCTTCGCCATGTCGGTCACCACTTTGGTCTGCGAGGCGAATAGGGCAGCGTGTAGAGCGCCGAGCTGCTTCATGAGCTGCTGAGCACTCGCTATGTCGACGCAATTACCGAACTTATTCATGATGTCTTCGATTGAGGCGTGCTTCAGTAGACCCCCGTGGTGCTCTGCGACGGCCTGTAGGCATTTCTTCCCGTAGTCGTCCAGCGACTGGCAGCACCTGCGGACCAACCGCAGGCAATTGATAACCTTGGCCTTGTCGTCGGCGTTGCCGGACATGACGCAAGGAGCTTCTATCTGTAGACCGTATTCCTCGGCTGCAGCAAGTGCGATGTATACTTCACGCTCGATGAAATCCGGGGCAGCCTCTGGCCAGGTCGGGATGTTACGGTGGAGGAGGCGGAGGAAGAATGCCACGCAATGTTGTGCGAGTCGGTGTCCTAGCTTGGGCTTGTCGGCCGTTTCCATGTCCGCCACACCACTGTCGTCGGTGCAAAGGCGGCCATGGATGAACTGGACGAGGTCCGGATCGAGGTTGGGATACTTCGCCGAGGTAGCCTTGAGCTGGCCGGCCAGCTCGACACAAGTCTCGCGAGTGGTGGGTTCGTCGAAGTTCATGAAGGAGTAGAGTGCGCCGGTCGCAGGGTTCGCGCCGTAGACGGCATCCGGATCGCCCTTTTGTAAGAGGTCCAAGATACCATTCAGGTAATCTTGGTTGTTCGTCCGGTCGAGCAAATCGAACTCCATCGACAACAAAGTCGAGAGAGTGTCAGCTTTTGGGACGGCAAGCGGGTGGCGGTTGGCGATCCTCTGCATCTGGTCTTCGGTGATGGGTGCCCCAGTTCGTGGTGAGTTGCCCTTGTTAATGGCCGCGTGGTATTTGCAGACATTGCAAATCTGAGTTCGTCGGGTTGTGAAAGGTAGGCTTTCGTGATCGTCTACATCCTGCCAGAATTCAGGATAGAAGAAGACGCACACGTTCTTGACGATGCGCGGGTAAAGATGGCCCGCCGTGGACTTGTAGCCGACGTAAAGCCTGGCCTGGCTCGCCTTAAAATCGGTCACAGGAATGAAGACTCTCATGGCCGTCTCGTCTCGTCGGAGAATCCCTCTAGCATCCCGGGCTACCTGTCAAGCCTTCTTGTCGTGGGGCTTTCCCTTGGGGACGTACTTAAACGGATCACTGCCAATGATCAAGCCAACTTCGAGGCACAGCTTGCCATTTTCGTGCCCAATCAACTCTTCGTGTGCGGGGAGAGCATTATATACCGCCGATGACGCGGAAGGCTCATCTTCCTCTGGGTTGTACGTTTCGGTAGTTCGAGAAGGGGCGCCTTCCTCCTCGTCGCTGGACATCGTCCAAAGGTAGACCTTCTGGAACGGCTTTCTACCTGTCGCCTCTGTCATCATGCGCTCCCGAGAGTAAGATATGGCGATATCCTTGGTCCCGTCAGTCACCGACTCCCACAGTCTCGGGAGCGGTGGCAGATGAAGAGGATGCCATGGCTGTAGCCGAGGTGTAGATGAAGAGGGTGTAGACTGAGTAAGAGACTGTAGATTGAGGAAGAGGCTGTAGATTGAGGAAGAGGCTGTAGATTGAGGAAGAAGATGTATGCGTGCTGAAGCGATTGATGACTTAGGCCTCTCTTGTGAAGGTGGGAAGAAGAGAGGGAGAAGCAGAGGGGCCGAAGATTGGAAAAAGGTGGTTGTGACAAAGGCCCGTGACCTGTGCGGCAGCAACCTTGGGAATAGCGTCAACCTGCAGGCGCGGTTAAAACGGAAGGTGCGGCGGTTCCTTGATACGCGAGGCAACTACCATTTTGAATACATTGAAGGCAAGTACCTACCTCGAATAGATGCTCTGCTTGTCAAGGCGAATTCGGAAGGAAATAGACTATGTTGTACTTAGGTAGGTACTTATAGCAAATTCGATTAGAGGAACAAGAGTTGGTTTCTATAAGACCGGAGGACCGGTTTAATCCGGTGAGTAAGTGCGTCCAAATAGGTGCTCTTTCCGAGATGTAAATATGTACTCAGGTACCTGCACCAAGCCTGGGTGACTGAGCAGCGTTGTTGCTTGCTCCATACAAATGCACTACCATCCCCCTTGACCACCAATTGTGCAAACAGCTTCCTCCAGCTCTGAATGACCCTTAAAGTGGTCAGTGGCCACGAATACATTCCTTCCAGGGGAGCATCCGTTGAGATACCTTTTGACCCAGCGTAAGTTGTCGGATATTCCGCACCTTGCCCAGTGATCTCGATATTCCCATCTCCGTACATCGCAACGACACTGTCTGCTTGTTGTTGCACCGCCTGGTGCTCCTAAATCATCCACCCACACCTACCACCATTCCTCTTCTTCCTTGTTGCGCCACCTCCGCTCCTTTACGAAACTATAGTACAGCATGAGGGCGAGGTCCAGCACGATGTCGTCAAATAACGTATCAGGACGCCATCCAAGGATGCAGAAAATGGTCGAGATACGAGGTGATCGGTTTCAACGACCGCGCCCAATCGTTTGCGAGGTTCTGTGCAGCTTTCGATGATGATATGCTGGCGAGTATCAACGGTGCGATCTCGATGAAGTACTCAAGACCGAGGGTCATTGGTGCCTTATCTCAGTATCGACGACCTCGCCAGCCAGTGTGGTGACCACCTAAAACCACGTCATGAAGCCACGATCATCACGTCCCTCGTTCCCATGAATGAGACCTGACAGCTGAGACGACTGAGGCCGCGAACATGTCCTCAAGCATGTTGATATAGCCAGACTCGACAACCTCGACGGCAAGCTTGTGCTGGGCGCTGCTAAATCGAGGGTCGTCAACGGGCCCATACCGCTCGCTGTATGGGCGAACTTACAAGACTCCTATATCATTTCGGTGCCAAGATGGCGGAGCTCTGTTCGCTGAAGGCCCCCAGCGACATAGCTTACGGTGGCCCCAGACATTGCCCCCCTTCCACTGGCCAAGCTTCACACCAGTCCCTCCCTCTCCTTCTCTCTGTCTGTCATCCATCCAAGCTCGACATCCTCTGTCGTCGAGAACGCGATACCCCATATTCCTGTATTGCCCGCGTGCTGCCCGTCAACTCGGACGACATCCTATTCGCTTCTTAGCCAGCACTTATGGCGACGTCTTGGTCCTCGATCTCCTGCAGATCACGCAAAGTCCTGATCGCCTCCGCACGCGACAGTTAAGACCAGATCGTGTTCGCCTCCTTTTCCACACCTGAGCTTTCAGGCCCCGCAGTTTGGACGACGTCCTATTTCCCGTCAACCAATCGGTTGTTTGCCTTGTCTTCAATCATGAACTCTGTATCCAAGCCCCCCCTGAATCAGAAGCTGGGAGGCCGGGTCGATTCTCCAAGCCATCTTCGACACGACACGCAACCTCAGCTTCCGTGCCGCCTCCAGGGAGAATGGCAAGAACAAGTCTCTCTCGACTGCCGTCGCCCAGTAGTAGAAACAGGTCCGCCTTGAAGAGCACCTGAAATACTTGCATCAGCAAGCTGGCAGACGCACAACAGCGCGACTAGAAGGGCGGTATGAACAAAGTCCGAAAGGCCATCAAGCCGACTCTGAGTACGGACGCAACTGGGCAATCTATATGGCAGTAGACAGCGCAATTGACCGATTTGCCCTGGACTGCAGAGGCCGGGCCATCTCTGTTTCGAGTGGAAGGCAGAGAATAACGAGGAAGAGCATGACGAGGACGGGGGCCGGGTCATGGGAGACATTGATATCGACGCTTGGGACTTTCCTACCGCCGCACAAGCTTCTGCTGCACCAAACATCCCTAGATGAAGGCGAAGCATTGGATGATGTCCAGTATCACTAGTTTCCCTTGGAGTGTTGCTAGGTGCAAGGGAAAATCCACGGCTGGTTGGACACTGTCCAAGTCGACAGACTTTCTGATCAATGCTTCAACCTGCCTGTCGCGCTTATCACTCGCGCTGTTGACCCTGCCGGTTCCCAGGCCCCCGGGGCCATCGCCCAACCCGGTGAGGGAGAGCATGGCCAGGTCAAGCTCCACAACGAGAAGGAAGACGCCGATGTCTTCGACCACATGGTTCAAGCATCCCGATCTCGATCCGTCGCGGGGGTACCGACGGTATTTCAACATCGCCCCAGAGCTGCAGAAGTACCATGCTTGAGCCTTGCGATACCAGGTACGAAGAACGTGTTTATGTCATACAACGTGTCCAAGTCTGCGCCAACAGGCGTGATACGAAACCTGAGTGCCGCAACGCAACGCAGACCAGTCGCATGCTCATTCGAACGTCGGCGTCGCAAGTGGCGGCGGCCGTGGATTACTACTGCGCTGCCACGTACCGGAAAAGGGGGCCATTGAGTAATTATAGGTAACTGCAGGAAGGCGTAAGATGTACCAGTAACATCTCCCACCCCCCTGCGGACCACCCCCCCGCGGACCAGCGCGTTCTGACCCACAAACGCGTAATTCACCAACCACCAGGATTATGGTGATCCACCATCTACACCATCACTTTTGCATCTTTTTTTTCACAAAGCACACTATTTGAATCCTTATCCACTGCTGAATCTCATGATGTCATTTTACGACTGTCAAATAAAAGCTGAAGCCGCCATTTTGGCTATCTAACGCGGAGCTCCAGTCCGCTCGTCAGCCCTCGAATGGCAAATCAGTCGCTCGTACGTCAACCGACGAATCTCTGGCACCCCAACACGGAATGAGACCAGCGCTCTCCAACAAGCTCTCTCACCGTATCTCGAACATAAGCTGGGAAGCTGGGCCCTGGGGCAAGCACGGCTAGGGTATTCTCCGGCGGTCTCTAAGTTCCGTCTCATGGCCCAGCGGATGCTCCATGCCACCGGGGATGCTCGAGAATTAGGGAAAAATTGGGCATCCAAGTTCCTGTCTCGAAAGCCAGAAATCAAGATAATGAAGTCTCGTGTTATCGACTACAACCAAGTGAATGGTGCTACAGCGGCAAATATCAACATTTTTTTCGATCGGTGTGACGCCCCTGACGTGGTTAACCTCATGCCAGCACGCTGGTACAACGTCGACGAAATGGGAATCGCCCAGGGGGTTGGGGACTCCCATTGGGTGGTCTCCGAGGCCTCCGGCAACATGGCTATGAAGAAAGGGGTCGAGAAGAGTGAATGGATAACTGCCCTAGAGTGTGTGAGCGGATCTGGTGAGACCTTGCCGCCGCTGGTGATTCTCAAGGGGATTAACGTACAAGCCCAGTGATTTAGCAACCAAAACGAGGGCAAATTCACCGACTGGAGGTTTATTACGTCGCCCAATGGATGGACCTCGAATCCCATTGTGTTAGAATGGCTTCAACGTATCTTTATTCCTCACATTTGGGAGGTCCACGGCAACACATAGGTGGTTTTGGTGTGTGATGGCCACGACTCCCACACGAATGACGAGTTCCTAGCCACCTGCTTGAGAAACAAAGTATGGTTGATCTTTTATGAACCTCACTGCTCCCATGTAGTCCAGGTATTAGATGTGGGAGTCTTCAATTTGGTAAAGAAGAGGTTGAAGACCTTACTCCAGGAGACGCCCAGCGGCCGTCTGGGACTCAGGCCATCTAAGGAGGAGGTTTTGGAGTGCTACGAACAGGCCCGGAAGGACATAATGACGCTCCTCAACATCAGAATTGCCTGGAAAAAGACTGGGATTGTTCCTCGCAACAGAGCGGAGGCATTGAAATCGAAATATGTGATTCTGGAGGACAAAGGGGTGGCCAGGGCACGCCAGAGGGACCCTAAGGCTTCCGAGCGAGCCACAACACCAGATTTTCTCGAGATGGTAGCTAAAACCATTGTCACAACACCCTCTGGAAGCCGGGCTTTGCGGGAAAGTGCTCGAAAGCTCGAAAGAAAGGACCCTTCTTTTGGGGGGCCCTTTGAGCGCTTGTTGGTGCGGAAGGCTGGCAAGGCCATGGATGTTCAGGCTGCTATCATTGCAAATCTACGGGCCAAATGTGAGCTGCTTGAGGCTCAAGTGGCTAAAAAGGCTAATACCACTCAAAAAGCAGTCAAACCAACACCAGGGGAACGATTCGTCACAATGGCTAACATAAGGGAGGCCAAAATGGAGCTGAGGAACAGGAGGGTCTATAGGGACTCCGCTGCAAGCGAAGAGGTCCCACAAGAGGTCCCTGGTGAAGATTTAGGGTCGGAATCGGATTCTGGGAGCTGTATTATGGTTAGAACACCACGACCTTAGTGTATTTAGCAACTGTGGTGGTTGTAGATGGCTTCATCTGAATGAGAGTGGTGTGGTGTGGAGTGGTCCGTGGGGGGGTGGTCCGCAGGGGGGGGTGAGATGTTAGTAGCATGTCGGGGGCGTGGGGGCGTGGGGGCGCGGGGGCGAGGTACACTACTTGGGTGCCCATGGCGGTGAGGTCCGTTGACGTCGTAATAGGACCGGCAAGTATAGACATAACACCTTTCGCAGTTGGACCCAGACGCCGAGGCCCCTTACGGACGACGCAGCCGTCCATCCCTGCTGCAATCAGAAGTGTGTACCATTTCAGCGGGTTTCGGTAAGGTACGCAAGGGGAAGGGGACGGTGAGGAGAGGGGAGGAGAGGTGATGATCCGCCCTACGATTCGTGTCGAGAATCCAAAAATAAATGTGCAGACGAGTAAGGCAGGAGTCGAGGATTTGCATCGCGGACATCGGGGACCAAATTCACCGTGAGGTGTGACATAGTGTCGGAATATATGAAGACTCTGACACTGTGGTCGGGACGTTCTGCGTGTGTCAGTGATTGCCTCACCGGCCTCACGTTCGGGCTCACCGCTTCCAGACTTTTTATTGTCATTTGGTAGATAGATTGAGACATGATACCAATACCAACCTAATGGTGGTCGTTCCAAAAAAGCGTACTGTACAGAAGGAAGTAGGAACTCTAGCACCCAAAGACTCGCAGCCATCGTCTACGTTTAACGCCATCCCATCCGTAAGGCAGTCAAGAAGAAATCAACCCCGTCTGATACTCATACACCAAGCCCAGGACACAGAACACAGCCGCCACCGACGAAAGGAAACCCTTCCTTCTCCTACCCCAGCCTGTTGGGCCTATGCGAGGAAGATGCCTATGTGACTCGCAGTTCACGAAAACGCCAGTCCGACTCTAGCAAATCCTTGATAGCAAGAAAAGTCTTCCACAGGAAATCTGAACGGAATATGCGGAAGTTGCCCGCTGACAGAAAACCCGGCAAGGAGAAAACCTCCGTGCCTCTTTCAGGCTGTACGGGCGGCCCCGTCAGCATCGCACAGCCAGCTGACAGTCCAATAAAGGTCTTGCTGATCGATCATAGTGATTCGCCAGCCCTACGGTATTTGCTGTACGCGGGTTGATCCCAGCTGACAGTTGATGATGTCAGAGCCCCCATTGCCTGAACTAGATTGGCTACTGGCGACATGAGGTGGTGATGACTGCAGTGGGAGCGGGCCGGGACGATCCTCAGGACCGACCCGGGGCAGTCGGTTCTAAGATCAAGACCTGTCTGACCATGGCCCGGACGGAAGGACCCTTGACGCAGATCTCGCAGCATATGTTCTGTCGTGGTTGGCGTGCGCCACTCGGGGCCACATGCAGCAAGGGTGATGCTCCAGGGAGCGAGCCTGTCGTGGCGGGTGCCACTCTGGAGCCTGGACTGGAGGCCATGTGGCCAATAGGTGCCGCAAGTTGGCGAGTCGATGGATCCGGAGGCGAAGACGCATTGCGCTCAGCAGTACCAGCCTCACCTTCGGCTAGCACCTCTGCCAGAGAAGAGCTCATGTTGTATGGACTGATGCAAGCCACTTCCAGAACCCAGATCGTGATACTACGGACAAGTAGCTCGTGGTATGCAACAGAGACCTTGGTAGATCTGCGTGGACTCGGGGGTGGAGTAGGGACGTCTGGCCGTGGGCCTATCGGGTCTGGTCTTCTGGGTCCGGGGCTAGGTGGCCGAGGAGGATGAGGGCAGAGGAATGATCTGACTTGAGAAGCAAAGATGGCAAGATGTTGGACGGGACGGCCCTCGTAAGCTTCCGTTGATGAGCGAGTAGGACTAGGAGGCGGTGTTGGTACTGGAGGCTGCGGAGGATTTGGGGGTGGCCTTGACGGACCCGGTGTTGGTGGGCGTGGTGGATTCGGCAGAGAGAGCAGTCTGCCCCAGGTTATTGCTGAAAGTCCAGGTTGTTTTCGTTCGTGGGCGTGAAGTCCGATTGCCTTTGGGCTTTTGGGTGTATCAAAGCGAGACGGTCTGCTCTGGTGAGCGTGAAAGGAAACCTGAGGGAGGAGCATTTTGGTTGGTGTCTTGATATCGAAGTTTTATGAGAACGCAAAGCCCGGCAGTGAATGCAAACGGTGAGGACACAAGACTCACTGCTCTAACAGGCCTCTTGACGACTGTTATATAGCATCTGAATGACTCCCAGAGTCACATTGCGGGACCGACTGTGATGGATTCGTCCACATCACCCCTAACGCAGCAAGTACACCGGAGACGGAATCCTCCTCCTCGTCCCCCAACGTCGGAATAGCCACACGGTTGCCTCGTGGTAGGAGCAAGTGAAGAGCGCATCAAACTGAGGTCCATTTCGTGACAAGACAGCTGAGCCTGCGCCCCAGTCCGGCAAGACTGCGGTTAGGCGTTTGAGGGGACGTCTCGTGTTGGCCCGAAACTGAGGTCATCCACGGCCCAAGACGCTACGCTGAACTTCCAAAAGTCTCCGTACTCCCTTGTTCGGCAACCAAAGCGCGCATTCATCGGAAGTGGCATAATCGTGCTGGAATAAGCATAGAAGACGAATTATTAGATTAAACATGCTTATTCTAGGGTGCTTATTCCATTAATATGAATGTAGCACTGAGATCCAAAGACTGATAGAGGCATGCGGGACGGATACCTATGAGGGCTGAGTGTATCCGCCAACACAGAAGAGTCCTCCACCCTCTATATGAGAGGGTAAGCATGTCGAGCTCCACCGACGAGCCCGGCATACAAGTCTTACGCTCATCAACTCGGCGCTCGTACATGCTCCAGCGAGAGTCGAGCGAAGTCGAGCGAAGTCGAGCGAGAATTGAGCGAAAAGGGGTGATGCATTGCTAAAACTACACACAGAGTCAGTCGACAGAAAGGATTCTGCGAGATACGGATTGCCATGGGCGTCTCACATTGTGGCTCATGGACGTATACGGCTGGATGACTGGTGTGTACTCGCTCTTGTCGTTATTCGTCACTCATACGGCATTCACTGACAGGTGGTGAACGGGCCAGAATAGGCAGACTGATAGGATTCGGAGTGACAGCAGCCCGCCATATTCGCGTAATTAACAGCCGCCTCGACAACTTCGTAGTACTGAGGCAAGCGTCTAAAGTAACACGAACTTGCCAAGGATGCGGCTCATCTCAAAGAACGCAGCAACCATCGGACCGCCTTGCCCAACCACGAAGTCGTAGTCAGCTGAAACAAGCGCGTGGGGGGCTTGTGGTTACACGATTCCGCAAGAAGTCAGCCCTACCCGCTGCATGGTGCTTTTCTCATCTCCTCCATGTGACTCAAGCTTGGGGGCTAGAAACCACTGGGCTGGCTCATGCAAGCCAGGCATCCTGAAGGATTTTAGAGTCCCCCTGCTTTGCAGATGGGCCAGCCTCGACTGGAACGCGGTTCGGCTGCGAGTCGAGCACGAAGCCAAGGACGCGGACCCATTGGTCGGTACGGTTTGATAGCCTAATCATATGCATTAGTACTTCTTCGGCTTTCTATGTCTCTCGAGGGCGGTCAGGACTCCTGTCTTGGGATGACGAGCTGTCACTGGAAACTCACGCATGAAGCATCCCACGTTGGATGACAGCTTCACCGGGCTGGCACAGAGTCTCGGCAGGCTGACCGTAGCTACCTCCAACGTCAAAGGAAGTACGGGGCGTCATCAGGCTCAAAGTGCCTTGCAGAACCACAAGATAGTCGGTCGAGGTTGTACGGTGCTGCGGTGCAAGTCAGCCTACCTGTCAAAACGTCGTTTAACATGAATGGAGAGCGGATTGGACGTACCATGACGCCCTCGGTGTTCGGGGCAACGTCGAGGTAGTAGATATTGACCCCATTTGGCATCACAATACCAGGGGCTGGGACATCAGCAAGCGGGGAATGACCCCTGAAGCATCTGTCAGCCTTACCCACGCTCGCAACACACGCTGGAACACTTACGATCCATCGTTGCTGGTTGGCACACGTTCATGGGTTGCAACACGTGCCCTCACCAGTGATCCCCCCGGAATAGGTTCCTGCTTGAGCGTGTCGACGAGAACCTCTACGGCAGGCTCGGTATGGGATGATGTCGCGGCAGACTCCGAAAGGGGGAGGTTCGAGGCGGTGATGAGTCTGGGAGGTGGGATAGTTGATGGCGAAGACATCGTGATGGTAAACAGGTAGCCGGACTAGCCTGCTGTGCTTGAGGTAGGTAGGCCTGGCAGATGATAGAAAAGGTTCGGAGTACTGTAGCCAATGTGTAGCCGTGCATGAAGTGAGGCAGTCGGTCCGTCCATTGGCGGCATCGTCTTGATCTTATGTCGTCGACAGGTTCACTACCGTAGAATGATCCCCAACTTGATGATCTTATCAACCGTGGACATGTTCACCCGCATGATCACCAACTTGATGACAAACACACCAACGGATCAGAAAGTTCCACCAATGCCCCTATGAACAGTATCGAAAAGACCTCTTTCTGTAGTCGTGGTCGGTTGAGATCATGGGTATCTTGTCACGATATCGTTTTGTAAGCCCGGGTCTTAAATTACCCGCAGAAGGGGGAAGGGGCTCGCTTTCGGTTGGAATTTGGAACTTCTCTCTAGCGGTCCTTCTGATCCACATGTCTTATTATCCAAGCGCTCACATGTTAGTAATCGCGTGTCACTTGGCTGAAGCGTGTTCTGCTAACCCAGAAATACAGAGACTGAGCATGCCAGGGGGCTTCCAGTAATGAAGATACGAAAGCATGGCGACTAACCCAACAGAGACCACCGTAGTTCCCATGGCAATGTCGAGGCCTGGGCATGTATAGTCTGACAACGGGGCAGAAAAGGGTTCACGTACGAGAGAAGAGCAACGGCTTCATTCTTTCCAGGGATCAGAGACCAAGGGAGATCATTCAGATGAGCTAGACTGCCCATGAGACCTCATTAGACTTGGCTTCTGGGCCGATTTTGGTGCCTGGTTTTGAAGCAAAGAGTAAGTAGGTAGAACAGGCCCGCCACAGCCAGTAGACTCCTGTGCCATCAATTGGTATCCTTCCCGCCTCCAAAACGCCGTCCAAATGCAGTTGCCTCCCGTCCCGTCATTCAGCGGTATCCTCTACCAACGCTGCGCGAACGACTGCGTCTGTTGTCGTAGTCATCATAGCTATCCTTCCGTCCGCCACGTCGTCGCGGGGGAGATCTCGATCGAGAGGCGTATGAGTCTGCGCTGCGATTGCGACGCGGCGGAGGAGGCGATCGGGAGTAGGAACGGGGCCGGTACGTGTCGAAGTTGTTGTCACGCAGAGCTCGTGCATGTCGCGGAGGCGAACGAGCTCTCACTCCACCAAAGCCGGATCCTCTGCCACCACCTGCCCCAGCACCACCGCGACCACCTCTGTGACCGGGGGCGGGTTGTCGAGGATCAATGTTGGCGCCTCGGGAGGCAGTCGGGGGTGAAGGGGAAAACTTGCGTCGCGGCAGGACTATGGAGACATTGATGACGGCGCCGTCGAGATGGGCTTCGTGCATGTGGGCAATGGCGGCTTCCGCATCGGCTTCGTGGACGTAGAGAATGTACGCCGTTCCTCTGTTGGTGTTGACTGAAGACTGAGGTTAGGAAGACAGCGTTATGGGGAGGAATGGACGGTGTAGATGCGAGACTCACATTGTCGGTTGAAGGGTAAGTCCAGATCCCGAATGGGCCCGTATTGGCCAAACACCTCGCGCAAGTGCTCTTCATTGATGGTCTTGGTCAACTTCTCGACGACGATCTGGAGAGGTGGAGCACGAATTAGTTCATACTCTGCCGGTGCACAGTAGATTGCCTGGTTGCCTACCTTGGTACTACCTCGTAGCTCGTCCTCGCCGCCGTCGCGGCTCAAGCTTCGACTCTCACTGCGGTACCGGCCGTTGCGACGGGGAGGTGTAGGTGAGAGTGATCGAGTGGGGGATCGTCGGCGGCGAGCTGGTGAGGGTGATGGCGAATAGCGCGATCGCGGCGTGGGCGAGCGCGAGATGTCCCGGCCCCGAGAGGGCGACCGGTACGACATGACGCGAAGGAACACCTAGAAGCCTCACCAGACCTGCAATGGGAATCAATTGCCTGCTTGCTTTGAAGAAAGCAGGTGCTAGGCAGGTAAGTTGGACAGGTTCTGGAGGGATCAATCTGCAGGTGGCATTTGCGATGTTGAAGAATGGATGTGACGCAAGCAGAGAAAGTTATGCGGGCGCATCATGCGCGGGTCTCTGGCAGCCGGCGGCAGCTGCGGAAGATTGGCTGCCGGCTGGGTCCAGTACGGGTTCGCACGTGACCATCTGGTAGGAGAACAGATTAATCCTGCTGCTCTCCACCTAAGGTATCTATCTACATGTACCTTAGTATTGCATCGAAGTCCATCTCAATCTGGCATTCCGATACCCCTCAGTTCTACTAGAGGATATTTACTTGGGGTTCTACTGTTTGAGATTTAGATTATGCCCCATGGGCAGATCGAGGTTGTCGTATGGTATTCTTCGTCCGCAGACAACTTTGGTACACTGAGCCCTCATAAGTCTCCGCACACCACCCGTCCATCAAACGTTTGAATAGTGCATTCATCGATTCGGAATAAGCACCATGGAATAAGCATTAGAAGTGGCGTATCGAACCAAAGATGCTTATTCTTGTCTGCTTATTACAGTATTCCCAGATCTGGAATCCTCTCAACATGGTGCATACGGAGATTTATGGGGGTTGAGTGTAGCAACATCCATGTGTTGCGATACATCCTCTCGATTTCTGCTCATACATCAGAACACGTAACGGAAATTGGGGTTTTCCCTGTCCGTCAGATCCTCAAACGCGTGAACCATGCTCGAATCGTTGGCCTCTCCTACACCAGCCGCGGCCAATTGATCGCGCTTCTTGTTCTCCTTGGTCAGATGCCAACGGAAGAAGAGCAGGACCACAACGAGGAGGCTGTAACAGCCCAAGTGTGTCGCCCAAGCCGTCTGCAGTCATCCCAGTCAGCAGGCCAATACAGGTACGATGCAGGTAGGAGCTGACACGAGGGGTTTCAGGAAGATTAGGTACTTACATAGTACCGAGGTGCTTCTCTCGAAAGGAACACCTGCGGCCCTGTGACGATCCAAGCTGTCAGCAATCGCATGACCTCACATGCGTGGTCCATGAGGGTGATAGTTACCAATCGCATTTCCGGCCGACCAGAAGATGAAGTTGAGGGCAACCACTACCGTCTTCTTCGTCTGACCGCCCACATTCCGAGACATCATGGACAGCCCCAACGTCTGTGCAGACCAGAAGGACAACGTGATATAGTAGCATATCAGAAGGCCTATGTGCTGAGAGAACGTTTGGTTGGGCAGCGTCATTAGCAGGATCGTGCCAACAAACGATCTGTACGCGGCATCAGCAGCCTGTCACCACGGAGGAGCAGTTCGACTTACGGAAGAACAAAGCCAAGCATCGTGATCACGTTCTGGCTGAACTTCTTGACCAACCAGACGGACAGCAGAAGCACGATGATGATGTAGAAGCCAAGAACCATTGCTAGCAGCTGAGTTTGGAGGTTGGAGAACCCCAAACCCTTGCTGATGATGATATTGGCGAAGGCACCGAGGCCAGAGGTGGGGAGGGTAGTTGTGAACTGTATGGCAGCATAACACCAAGTCTGCGGATCGGCCAGGGCATCGTAGACCTGCGACTTCTTGAAGACTCGATTTTGAAGACCGGTCTGATTGTCGCGAACTCGCTCGACCATCAGGTGCTTGTCCGCTTCCGTGAAACATTTGGCACGCATGGGCGAGTCCGGCATGTAGAAGAAGACGAAGATACCGAAGAAGACCGATATGATGCCGTAGCAGAGGAACAACCATTGCCACGACTTGAGGGGGCCGGTGGTGATCAGAGTGAAGCAATACGCGAGAAGCCCGCCCACGATCTGTTGCGCACCGTTCATCATGTACCAGTACTGCCCAGAAGAGGTCAGCGTTGGCCTCGGCAGCCATGGGGGCGTTCATACCGTAACTGTCGCGGCCTGCTCCTCCCGGCGATACCACATGGACGACAGCACGACGAATATGGGTTGGCAAGCAGACTCGAAAAGCCCGAGCAGTGTACGGACCGTCACGAGTCCAGTGAAATTGTGGCAAACAGCGTGGCATGCCAGAACAGCCCCCCATGCTGTTATGGAAAAGCCGAGGTATTTGGCCACAGGCACGCGCGCGATGATGTAGTTCTAGGCGATCCCTTGTCAGTGTGCTTCCTCTGAGCGTATTCGGTCAGCCTCACCTGCGGGTATTCCACAACGAGAATGGTTATGTAGATACACGTCGTCAGCCAGGAATACTGTTGTGTGACGGTACCATCTGGCGTCGTCAAACCGGTGTCCTTGGGAAGTCCCATGATCGAAGAGAACGACAACGTGCCCTTGTCAACAGCCTGCAGAAAGTATGTGACTATCATGACGACTAGGACGCGACGATCGATCAGTTTGCGAAGCCGTATATTGTCCTCAGGTGTGATTTCAATCCGCGCTTCTGACATGTACTTGGCGATCTCTTTGTCGACCTTGTCCTGGTTCAAGTGACCAGTCTTGAGTTCAACATCATCGGCGGCTGAGTCGGTCCGCTCGACGTGTGCCATTGACTTCTTAGCCTCATCGTCCTGATGAGGTACGATGGGCCGCACGGTATCGGGGTCGGGAACCTACATCATCATTCATTCAGTCAGTCACTATTGTAAGAATGTTGATAATCACAAGAGTGAATCGAAAGCACTGGCTTAGGAGTAGACAGCGATACTTGCCTCTGTTGCAGACATGGCCGGTGGTTTCTCCTGTACCGCGTTCAATGGATCAAAGGTCAATGATACGAAGATGGCACTGGCGGCAAGACGAGTCTCACGACACCAACAACATCAGAGCAGAGAGCGGGACAGCTCAAGCCGGGCTCAGCCAGACTTTTATTCTCCTATCTTGATCCTGGCCATGAACGTGGATCAGCCTGGGCTTGGTCCCGTGATGCCATTGGCACCCGAGCGAGTACCAACATGGCCAGGGACCACAGTTCAGCGTATATGTCACTTGACCCCAAGAAACAGAACCTGTCATTGCTTAATGCTTGTAGACATCCACGCAGACAGGGTGGGGCTGCAGGGAAGTCTCCCCAGGGTTAAGTGAAATCCGGGGTTGCTTCTCCAAAAATCCGGGGATGACTACCCCGTGGGAAAGAGTGCGCGGGACAAACAGCAGCAGCTTCAAATGTTCTTCCGCTTTCTCCTCGCGAGGCACCTGCCAGGTCAGCAGGTCAGCTGGAGAGAGTGCTCTCTCGGTCACATCTGTACCGAGGTCCCTGCATGGGCTGGGCCAGGGGCTGCCCAATTCTCCACCAAAGGCATATCACAGATCACAGGGGCCCTTCACAGTCCCCACCACACGGTCACGATGATCACTGCTGTGGCACGGCGTATTGCTGCGATTGGTGATGCCAACACACCAAGACGCTACGATGCGAGTGTAGTGGAGCAACCATGTGACTCCTCCAGTCGAGCTGGCTGTATCAACCTGTCCCTGGCCGGTTGGGAAGTTGAGAGGAGACTAGAGAATCTATCAAAAGTCAAGAATTGGTCCTTCGACGCTGAACCTTGCTACTGAAGTCGCCTCAAGGACGTTACGTATCCGTCACTCAAGATGCCGGCCGAAATTCATGGATTCAAGTCGAGCGACATCCACGCCAGGATACAGCTTCTCATCGATGGGCTCGTCAACATCAAAGACAAGACGGGGGAGTTCTTGATGACCCTTGCAGACGGTCGCGTCATTGACACCAAAGGCTGGAATGATTGGGAATGGACCCATGGCATTGGGCTCAATGGCATATGGGCCTACTACTCGTTGACTGGAGACGACAAGTATCTCGATATCATCGAGGACTGGTTCGCAAACCGATTTGCGGCGGGTGGCACAACGAAGAACATCAACACCATGGCCGTGTTCCTGACCTTGGCCTATGTATATGAGAAGACCGGGAACCAGACATACCTCCCCTGGCTGGACAGCTGGGCGGAATGGTCATATCATGACCTGGAGAGGACCAAGTACGGCGGTATGCAGCACATCACGTACCTTGAGGTCAACGACCAGCAGCTGTGGGACGACACTCTTATGATGACCGTCATGCCCCTGGCGAAGATCGGCAAACTGCTGAATCGGCCACACTACGTCGACGAGGCGAAACGGCAGTTTCTGCTCCACATCAAGTACCTATTCGATACGAAGACAGGGCTCTTCTTCCACGGATGGACGTTTCATGAGGGTGGTCACAACTTCGCAGACGCCCGGTGGGCAAGAGGCAATGCATGGTTGACGATTGTGATCCCTGAGTTCCTGGAACTCTTGGACCTACCCGCGAACGACCCCATCCGAACACATCTCCTCGACACATTAAACGCGCAATGCGAGGCACTCAAACCTCTACAGACGCCATCTGGCCTCTGGCGAACCCTTCTAGATCAGCCGGAGGATGAAGGTTCATATGTCGAGTCGAGCGCTACGGCAGGGTTCGCCTTTGGGATCTTGAAAGCTCAGAGGAAGAAGTACATAGGGAAGGAATATCAAGCGGTGGCATTCCAGGCCGTTCAAGCCGTATTGGACAATATTAACGCCGAGGGGGAGCTTCTGAACACCTCGTTTGGGACAGGAATGGGGCATGACTTGCAGCACTACAAGGACATTCCCATTACCAGCATGCCCTATGGTCAGGCAATGGCCATAATGGTCCTGGTCGAGTTCCTGAGGGTGTTCATCTGAATTGAAGTCATGTCCTCTGCTCATGTCATCAAAGTTTTAACCTCAAGACAAGTTCGTTAGCTCCCTCATCGATCTAACGTATTCCCTTGTTACCACCCGTGTGATATATATTGCGCGTGGCTTGCCGTAGGTATTGGAAAGCGATGGCGCAGCCTATTGCCACCCTGGTCATTGCACATGATACGTATCCTCTGAGGGTCGGGGTCATCCTAGTGGTTCATCAACTTCCGTCGGGAACGCATGATGCTGTTAGGCAGTCAGCTCTCTTTCATCATCCACCGACTAAGTGCCTCTGGTCGCTTGTGAACTAGGAAGCAGCATAGATATACTGAACACTCTTAAGTCTCCGTACACCACCCATCCAGCCAACAACGGGATTCATCGAATCGGAATACGCATGATAAAATAAGCATTGAAAGTGGCCTATGAAATCAAATTTGCTTATTCCTGTATGATTATTCCATTATTCCTTGATTTCTACTTGTGGTCTGGAAGCTTACCAACATGTGCGTACGGAGACTTATGAGAGCTGAGTGTACGAGCCTCATGGGAGGCCAGACTCCAGGATGAGATCCGTACCAATTGACGTAATCCCGAAAGGCCTCTTTGGACCTCACTGGCCAAACAATACGGGGAAAAGTAGTCTGGTATCTCCTGGCTGTACATTCAGCATACTTCAGGGAGGGATGGTCCACATATTGGTGCGGAATGAATAAAAGTATCTTGTTACCCCTATTTGGCCATCATACCTGCCAAACCGGTTCGAATACTAACATGCATAAGCACCAGGGCTCATCACCCGCTGTGATGGCAAGCAAGTTGAATAAGCGGTGAATGGTTGATTCATACACTGCGATTCATTGTGTTGTGATGTCCTGCCCAGGGTCTCACTGTGCTGTCAGGGGTAAGCCACTGAACCCATGACTCTCCCGCCTCCCGAGCCAGACGAAGACGTGGATAAGGACGACGAGGACGATGAGTGGTTTCGTGGTGTACTTAGGAAAGCCATCGCCCTCAAGCATACATTGCACAATTTCAAGTTTTTCGGTATGCCATTATCAGTGTGGTCCAATGACGTACTTATGTACGCAGGCTATGGTGCGCTGGTATCGCATTCGGTCGATGCCTGACGAGCTATAGACGAAGAACATAGATCGTAACAAAACGGCAAAGAAAGCTTGCCATATGGCGAATAGATCGTTGCCAGCCTTCTCCAAGCCCGTCTTCTATCTTTCCCGGTGTCCTGGTGGATGTGGTCAAGGCCCCTACGGTATCATGCGGTCCGAAGTGAGGAGAAAGTTATTCTAGAGTCTCCACCTCGAGAAGATGGGTCTGGGGCCAGGTTGCGAGGCTAGTCGCCCATCAGTCTCAAACAACGGAGTTTGTAAGTCTTTGGCGATGTTTCTGGGCGTCGTTAGCTATGTGCCGGGATTGTTGTTGTTGTTCTTTGCGGCAATGGGTTCGCCACGGACTTTTGCGCACGTCTGGTAAGCTTCTCGGTTACTCTTGTCCGTCTACATAGTCCAGGTTGGAGGCCCGTTGTGATCACGATTCATAGGCGTGTCCGCTCCATTACTCAGAAAGCTCGTAGCGCGGGATCTATACGAGAAGCCTGGCCATACCGTGAACGGGCTCAATTTAGAGGCGCGACTAGATAGTAACGGCGCTGGTGGTGGACACCGGCTAACGGTAGCGCAGGAAGAGGCCGAAGTGATCACCAACCCGATATCCACCTGCTCCGACGCGTACCTGAGCCGGACCGTGAAGCTCACTTACACCTGAAGTTATCTTACAGTACGTGCAAGGATACTGCTGCAGCTATGATTAGGCGGGTGGCCGGAATAGATGCGGAGCGTGGTCCGGCACCTGAGGCAACGAGGGCCATTGATTCATACACCCACCTAGGCTTGCTACTGTAGGTACGAAGAACGACATCGTTTAAGAGCATCGAACCTCGGCAATATCCATATCCATTGACTTTGCGCCGCTTCCTCACGCATCCTGCCGACTAGAGCGCTCCAAAGCCGACACACGCTCGCAACGATGGCTCATTACAGCAGACCGAGCAGTGGCTGGCCGTGGCTGCAGTCTAGGGGACCATGAATAATGAGAAGAATACGTGTAATCAAGGGTGAATGAGATTCTTGCGGCCTGCGTCATCAGTATTGATAGATGAGTGACTAGACCGCGGGAAGTGATGTAGCCGGAATATTGATTCCCACAGCCCTTCGACGGCCAGATCCAGGCGGCTGAAACGCCCACCTGTTATTAATGACATGCGATGGCTTGGACAGCCGCAAGCCGCGGCGCCGCGGCTGGCTGAAGCCTTTTTGTAATCAGAACAGCACAGATGGAGCTGTATCGCTTCCCCTCGATAGCAGGTTGGATAGGCCTCGTGGGGTCTCCCCCCCAGACTGGTTCACCACGGACCGTCTGGATCTGATTCAGAACAAGAACGAGACGACCTCCATCATGGGCAGAAACATCCAAGAGTCTCGCAGAGTCTCAGCGGTGTACTGTGTCAGTTGCGTGCGTCCAACTGGCAACGGCCAGGGCTGATGAGGGAGCTCGGGGTGGGGGTCCAAGTAAGCACTCTATATTTTGGGTTCTGTGGCTGGCACTAGTGCAGAGGATTGGGACGGTCATGTCAAAAAAGAAAAAAAACATTGGCAGATGAAGATATCGAAGAGACGGGGTTGGTCCGTCTTACCCGATATCAACATCCTGGAGGGTCGAGATCGCGCTAACAGCACATATATTATTGGTGGACTATGTAATAATGTCTGTCTGCGGGCAGGTACCTGTACTTGGCTCTGTACTTGACTCGATACGAGATGACATGGGTGTCAACTGCGGGTAAACAAGTAGACGGAGATCTTCTAGACTAGGACCAACAATTTACAGATCCATTATCCAAGTCATATTGGCAGTTGTTTCCTACAGCACACAGTAGACTCCTAGGTGGTTCATACGTGGTTCACACACAGGAAACATAGTAACACAAGGCGGCCAACTGCCTTGATGTGTCTCAGCCACCGTCATCACCCGTTTCTATACGTTCATCGACGTCTACCTGATAACATGATCTGCTGCGCTCAGTCCTAACAAGTCGCGTCAGTCAACTCCAGGCAACATGATGGCACCTACAGTACCTGCTCATGTCGGCTGGTACGGTGCGGGTGGGAAGTATATAGCGCGGTGGAGTCTCGACGCTTATCACTCTTTCGGGCTAAACCAAGAAAGAGCTGCGAATGGGTTGATGAATTCGAGATACCTGAACCCTGCAAGCCAGGCCGTCGCTAGCACCGGGGTGCCTGATCTCGGCTATGGACCGGGTCAGGGATCTGACAGGGGAGGGCCAGGTGGTGGCAGCCCAACTGCCCTGGAAGTACTGTACAAGCACGAGATACAACCCCCTCCGACCGGGAATTCCTTCTATCTCCCATGTAAGGTGTGCCGCTCCCATGTGCTCACGCCGTCTTCTTCAACACCTGTTGCTGTTGCAGTCGCTGTCGCTCGTCCTCAAGCTGAAGCTCAAGACCAAACAAAGTCAGTTCGCTTCTATCCAGGTTAGGTTGACTGAATATCGACTGGAACGGTCTGTCTACTGGCTCGGCTGCCTCAACATTCGTTATATCTACTCGTTATATCTACTCGTTATACCTACCCGTCTATTTACTTGGTCTTCAGTCCCACCTCATATATATAATAAACCTTCACCTACCTAATACACAATCGCTTCATAACACAAGTGCCTTCCGGAAGCACAGAAACCCACTGCTAGATATCAACAGCGCCTATCTCTTGTACACGGGTTCTCGCCCCGACTTGTCCTGCTACAGGACCATCACCAAAGAGCAATGGACCACGAATTCTCTGGCCGCCATCCGGCCGGCAGCTCTTCCTTCCAACCGCCGAGCGCTCCGCCTTCCATTCGACCCAGCACTCCCGGCACAGACAGAAACCCGTTTGAGCCCGAGCGTGTCGAGTCACAAGCATCCCAGAGAAATGGTACCAATCCGTTCACATCGCCCTTCATATCGCGTCCGCCCTCGAGCTTTGGCGGCTCCAGCGCTTTTCGAGGCGAGACTGGACAGCGATACTTCCACTCGCGAAGAGTGAAGAAGGGCGAGGTCGAGAAGCCATGGTTGGAGAAGAAGGATCCCAAGGAGAAGTGGGTTACCATACTACCCATCGTCGGAATTCTTATTGGGCTGGCTATCTCTGGCTTTCTGGTCTACGATGGTCTGTCGAGTGTGGTCAAGCACAAATACTGCATGGTGCTCGAGGACACCTTCAGTACCTTTGACACGAAAACCTGGACCAAGGAGGTTCAGGTTGGCGGCTTCGGGTAAGCATTCGCACAAACGCCTCGCCTGAACTCGACCCGGACTAACGTATCGCAGCAATGGCGAATTCGAGCAGACCACTGACTCTGACGAGAACGTCTACGTCAAAGATGGCCACCTCTTCATCGAGCCCACGCTTCAGGATTCGAAGTTGATCACGGAGAACAGCCTCATTGACCTGCTCAAGGACGGGAGTTGTACTTCAAAACAGTTTTCCGACTGCGTTGCTGCTACCAACATCACTACTGGCAACTCCACTATTGTGCCCCCGACCAAGTCAGGCCGCATCACCACCATCAACGGTCCCACCATCAAGTATGGCCGCGTCGAGGTGACAGCAAAACTGCCTGTGGGCGACTGGATCTGGCCTGCCATCTGGATGATGCCCGTCAAAGATATCTACGGACCTTGGCCGCTCAGTGGAGAGATCGACATCATGGAGAGCAGAGGAAACAACTACACGTACGCGCAGGGAGGCAACAATATCGTCTCGTCAGCGCTCCACTGGGGACCCAACACTGCCAACGTGAGTCATGGCTCGTTATCACCAAGCGTCCGGCTTGTTTTCATTGTGGACTTCGTTACTGACTTGGCTCAAGGATGCGTGGTGGCGAACCAACGTGAAACGTGAAGCGCTGCACACGTCATACGCATCTTCCTTCAACACCTACGGGCTTGAATGGTCGGAGAAGTATCTCTTCACCTACGTCAACTCTCGTCTTCTGCAGGTGCTGTACACCAACTTCAACCAGCCCCTGTGGCAGCGTGGTCAGTTCCCGGCCGCCGACAGCAACGGGACCCGTCTGGAGGATGTCTGGAGCCAGACTGGTCGCGACAGCACGCCGTTTGACCAGCCGTTCTACCTCATCCTCAACGTCGCTGTCGGCGGGACGAACGGGTGGTTTGAAGACTCGAAGAGTGGCAAGCCTTGGCTCGACACCAGCCCGAGTGCCAAGAAGGACTTCTGGAACGCGCAGGACCAGTGGCTGCCGACCTGGACCCAGCCGGCCATGGAGGTGAGCAAGGTCATGATGTGGCAACAGTGCGATGGCAATGAGGATCTGTGAGTGGCGGGGTGGTATGAGAACATGGCACATGGCACAGGGTCGGGCGGCGTTTGCTCGCTTTTGGGTCGTTCGGGAGCAATGGCTTGGGTTATATAGATGGGTTCACTCGGGACTGGACAAGACAAGGTATGCACCCGCCGGTGGAAATACCGTATTTCGATAGCTGCTTTCCCTTAAACACACACACGAACACACAGGATTGCACGTACTATAGTCGTAGCATATGGGTCATAATAATCAGAAGTGTATTAATTCAAGCAGTTGACATGATGATTCGCATGATTACCGACATTCGTAGTTACTACATACAGGGAGCCATTGACTGGAATAACGATCACTAAGGTGCTAGGTATACTTCAGGCGCTGTCGAGGCTTGAGAGTCGAGACGACAGCAGTATTGAACCAATACTACGGAGCCATAGACGAAACCAGATAACAATAAATGTACCGGACTTTTGACGTCACGTCAGCACAGTGCTGACGACCGGGCAGTGATTGGCAGAGACCACCAGAAGATACCGTAACATGATTCAACCATCCCAGATCCCCGCATCGATCATCATCCACAGGGGGTTCTCGTTTTCGGATATTCTGTGGATGCCTCCCCACCGAGTTCGCTACCATCCGAATCGCCAAGCCGAAGCGTCCAATTAATGATATCTTTCTGTATGGCTTTGCCAAGAGTCAAGAGTCAAGTGGCGACGTCCGACTGATGAGTCAACTACCATATGCTCTCCTCCAGTACTTCCTATATCACGTTTTGGCGATTCAACTTTTGGGCCATTCCAGGTCGGCCGGCATTGAGTTTGGAGGCGTCTTATTATTTAGACCTGATAAGGTAAGGTTGCTCTAGTGAGCGCCATCCACATGGTAATAATGCTAACTTTGGCGATCCAGGAACGAGGGCGTCTAGGCGTTGTAAGCGCCCCTTTAGACGACCTATGCAGTACTACGCAGCCGCTACGCCGTGTGATGATTTCGGTGCATGTGGTCTCTCAGCTCTGGCGCTAGAATATAGATCTCTGTCTCTGGCGATGGTAGCGAAGCTTCAGTGGCAGCTGTCTGCTGTCGCGTGTCGCGTGCCGCGTGCAATTGAGGTTTACACCCAACTTTGAACCACGAACGATGCGGAGCTGAGCTGTTGACGAGAAACTTCAACCGTCGATGCCGTCATAACATCGGCTTCCATCTGCCATCGCGCTGGTCATGACAGAGAACATGACACACGGCATGTGCCTACGACTCATCACATGCTACTATCGTCGGTCTAGCTGTCTAGCTGTCTAGCTGTTCAGGGGGGCCTCCAATTGATAGTCGCAGTCCACCCTGAAGGCCTTCTGAACATGCCATGCGTTCTCTTTTTGCTTTCTTCCGGGCCTCCGATCTGAGACAGGTTTGGCTGTTCGCAGAATAAAAGCTGATTCACCAACAAACACGTGCTACAGATGTCTCAATTACCACCGTTGAAAGTCCCAGAAGCCACAAGTATGGCCTGCCTACGGTACCAGCTCGATCCGTATCTAGACCGATCCATGATCATGATCATAGATGCTGCGATGATATGACGGCTGAGGGCGAGCGACGGCGCAATCTGCGCAATGCGCATGTACAGGTACCGTGCTGTGTACTGTGGTGGCGCTGTTTATGATGTGCCGCCGGCCCATCTACCTACTTAGTGTGGACCAGCCAATAATTCCGTGTCGAGAGCGATGGCCGTCCGCATGGGTTCCGCTGGATGCTGGCTAAGGCCCTATCACCGTCCATTTGGAATGGGAATGGTGCGAATGGGAATGCATCTTGTCTGCGCAATACGAGAAACTCCATACCCCCCAAATGCACCTGAATGCGCCTGAACGCGCCCGCAAGCGTCTGGCCCGACCAACTTCAAGAGTTGGATCTCGTTCACTAGTACAGGTACATCCACCCACCTACATACACGACAGCGAAGAGGCACATGTGTGCTGGGATCATGGATCGCCCGGATGGGAAAACTTGCCATGTTGGTTGGTGCCACCGCTTCGGCGCCGTGATGTAGGCTCGCATCTCTTGCTTTTATCGATGGCCCAGGCCCCAGATGAACAGGGAGCTTCCCAGCTTTTCACAAAGTTGCCAAGTATTTTGATAAGACTGACTTGCAGGATGCAGCAGAGAGACAGCCCCTCTTCTCTTCACCTGGTATCTACAGTACACAACTGCTGTAAGCACCTGTTCGTAGTCTAGAGCAGTAAGACGGCACCCAACTCCGAAGCGAGAGCTGGTAAAGCATTGCCTAGACCTCGGTTGATGACTCGAGGTAATGCTTCCGTATAGGAATGTGTTTGTTGGGCCTGGATTTACGGTTTACTTGTGTTGGTAATGACTCTCGGGCCTCACGATGCCTATTGCAGTTAGCCAGGGGTCGTTGGGGCGGAGGTAAAACGAGATAAACGGGGTAATCGAGAAGAAAGATGGGTCAAGATCTTAGTCTTGATCTTGTTATTATTCCTGGTCGATGATCCACCGTTCGCTCGCCACTATCGCGTTCCCGCGGTGGGCTGGCCCTAGTCCTGGTCGGAGAGGTACTCTACTTCTGCGTTGATCCCTGCTGGTCAAGGTACCGGTACTGGTAGAGTAGCCCGGACGGGACGTGGCGGCAGCATCACCAGCTTGACCATCAAGACTCAAAGAAGCACCCCCCGCCCAAGCCACGCGCCCAATATTCATTTGCACAATTATTGTCCCTGTTTTTCTCGGTTGTTGTTTACGCAGGCAGCCACCCGTCACTATCGTTTGTAGACAGCTCTATCTATCACCTGTGACTGACTGCTCGTACGCTCGTTCTACCCCCATCACACCACGCACCGCCAGGCATCTGTGTGGCTATCGACGATCATCACCGATACATCCAGCCCAGCTGAAAGCTCGTCGTTCCAGACCAGCTCCCCTTCGCTATTGTACAGCTCGTCTGTAAACTCTTTGTCTTCAGGTTGCGTGTATCAGCAAGCCTACGACAGATCGAGTTCGACTTAACTCTCGCTTCTTTTCCCACTTCTCCAACGTTATCTATTTTTCGGCCCGGGGCTTCTTCGATGAACGCTCGCTCAAATACCTAATATCCAAAACCGCCGTATCCCTTGATTTTGATTCCGTGTCATTCGCTTGCTATTCTTGTAAGTCATTCAACCTCTTGCCCCTTCTATTGGACATCTGAGCCGTGTCTTGCTTGCTACGCCAGGCTGGCGGCTCTTCCATTACACAGTACTTCGGTCGTGCAACAACCAGGAGAGTGGCTATAGGGCTACTTCGGCATCAATTGCAACGAGTTGATGTGCTACTTTCCCTTGGGTCGTGCTGGTGCATATAGCTGACACCCACGACTTCTAGCCTTCGCTATACTGCGACTTCGCCAGAGGAATCCCCCATCCGTTGACAACCCTACTGTGAGGACACAGTGGGTCTTCGCCCAGCGGCGGTACACGTTCTAACAAGGGGGGTTTGGTTGGTCAAGTCGAGCAAACCGCAACCATGGGTCTCTCTAGCTACTTCAAGGCCGAGAAGCTCGAGCCCAAGCAGAAGGGGCCAGCCCCAGCAACCGCGGAGGGAGTGTTTACTACAGAGAAAACGCCTTCAGGTCCGATGAGCTTGGGACCGGGTGACTTCGAGCTGCAAGCGCCTACGCCCCAATTCGGTGGCTCCGGTGGTGGCTCCTCGAGAAACTCGGTGTCGGGTCGTTCGGTAAGATCGGGCCACAGCTCCATGTTCGTCGACGACATCAAGCACGAAGTCATGGTCAACTACCTCTACCAGCAACAATGCTCGCGTCTCTGGGTGTCGGACGGTTCAGGGGAGGTCGAAGGCGTTGTGCTGCGCAAGTCTCGTGGTAACTACATAACGTGCCCCCCACAACTGGTCACCACACCTTTTGGCATGTCCTGTTCCACACTCAACGTGCAGGTTTGTCCACCTCTCGAGCAAGCTGGCCGATGTCCTTGCTAACTGGCTGTGTGTAGTGTGCCATGACGGTCAACTCTCGAGTCATCAAGACCTTCTTGTCATGGTCGCCTGATGCGGTCGATGTCCCCTTGATGAATGGCCTACGGGTCCAGATCCTGCCCACGATGGAAGACTTGCCCAGGGCGAGAAAGCACCAGTTCGCCGCCTTTATTGCGTCGGAGGCTCTGCTGGTCGTGTGGGATGACGACGCGCTTCATCTTGTCCAGCGGGTCAAGGCCATCGAATCTGAGCTGATGGAGCTTGTATGGCAGGTGGGCGAGACAGACCCCGGTGAGGGCGGCGAGAAGAAGGCGGCCTACGAGGTCGGACAAGTCGAGATCGACGAGGAGAGTGGCCAGATCATACCCGAGAAGCGTCCCGTTCACTTGCTGAACACGTACCTTGTCTCCATCGTCCTCATCCTCGTCACTGTCTCACTGGGTGCGGCTTGGCGCCAACTAGCGATCGAAGTCTCGGTTGATGGCAGCTACACACGACTCGCCCTCATCGCTCTGGCGCCCATCCAGGTCTTCTTCACTTTGTTCTTTGCTCAGGTCATCGTCGGCTGCTTGACCCAGATCTTCGGCCCCATCCGGCAAATGACCCAGAACTCAAAGTTCTATTCGGCCAGGCCGCCACCGAGACTGCAGTCAGCTTCGCTGCCGCATCTGACGGTGCAGTGTCCCGTATACAAGGAGGGTCTGATCGGAGTCATTGCGCCAACGGTCAAGTCGATCAAGCAAGCTATCAGTACATACGAATTGCAGGGCGGGTCTGCGAACATGTTCGTGAATGACGATGGACTCCAGCTTCTCCCCGAAGAAGAGCGAAAGGCCCGTATCGAATTTTACGCTGATCACTCCATCGGTTGGGTCGCTCGTCCAAAGCACGGAGAGGACGGATTCCTGCGGCGCGGCAAGTTCAAGAAGGCTTCGAACATGAACTTCGCTATGATGATCTCGTGCAAGGTTGAGGAGAAGCTGGAAGCGTACAACCGCGGCCCCGAATGGTCACAAGCCGATGAGGCCCAGGCTTACGAGAAGGCGCTCAAGGATGTCCTGGAGGAGAATGGTAGGGCGTGGGCCGACGGCAACATCCGTATTGGCGACTACATCCTGATCAGTAAGTTTGCGAACCCCGGCCAGTCTCCCACGCGTAGCCAGACAAGCTGACATCTTTCCAGTCGACTCGGATACCCGTGTACCGGCTGACTGCCTGTTGGATGCCGTTTCCGAAATGGATCAATCGCCTGACGTCGGTATCATGCAGTTCTCTTCCGGTGTCATGCAGGTCGTCCACACCTATTTCGAGAACGGCATCACCTTCTTCACCAACCTCATCTACACGGCCATTAGATACACCGTCTCCAACGGTGATGTTGCTCCCTTTGTCGGCCACAACGCTATTCTTCGATGGAGTGCCATCCAGCAGGTCTCGTACGAGGACGAGGATGGCTACGAGAAGTTCTGGTCGGAGTCTCACGTGTCAGAGGACTTCGATATGTCTCTCCGCCTCCAGTGCGCCGGCTACATCATCCGTCTGGCCGCATGGGCAGGTGAAGGGTTCAAGGAAGGTGTCTCGCTCACCGTGTACGACGAATTGGCTCGATGGGAGAAGTACGCATACGGCTGCAACGAACTGCTCTTCCACCCCATCCGCATGTGGATCTGGAAAGGTCCCTTTACACCCCTTTTCCGCCGGTTTTTGTTCTCCAACATCCGTTTCACCTCCAAGATCACCGTCATCTCGTACATTGGCACCTATTACGCTATTGGAGCCGCTTGGATCCTGACGTCAGTTAACTACTTCATCATGGGTTGGTTCAACGGTTACCTGGACAAGTACTACGTCGACTCTTGGCAAGTCTGGTTCTCGATCATCATCGTCTTCAACGGTCTCGGTAACGTTGCACTGGCCATCATGCGATACCGGATGGGCCAACGAACTCTGCTGTACTCCCTCTACGAGAACTTCAAGTGGACCTTCCTCCTGGCCATCTTCCTGGGCGGATTGTCTCTGCACGTGAGCCAGGCCATCTTGGCTCACATGTTCGAGATCGACATGTCCTGGGGCTCGACGTCCAAGGAAGCCGAGTTCTCCAACTTTTTTATCGAAGTGCCCAAGGTCCTGAAGAAGGTAAGAATGCCCCCAGTCGCTTGTCTCCTGTCTTGCGTTTCGTCGCGATTGAACTATGCTAACCTGTGTGGTGGCCTCCAGTTCAAGTTCTCGATGATATTTTCTCTCCTTTTCATCGTGGGTATGATCATCCTGGCCGTCGCTCCTTTCGTGCCTGTCGGATGGCGCATCACAGACTTCGTTGCCATTCTTCCCATGGCAACTGTCGCAACCAGTCATTTCCTCTTGCCTCTCGCTTTGAACCCTGCCCTCATGACATTCTCTTGGTAATCACCTTGGGCACCTGCACTCCCAGCACATAATCTTATCCACACTGCATATATTTCCTAAATAGAACTCGTTGCACGGTACACATACTGAGCACATGCTGGCGTTGCGTTTTCATCTATAGAGCTTTGGCTTGGGTTTCTTTCTGGCTGGATAGACCGGACTGGGGACACCTTGATAGAAGCTTGCGGCTCGGTTGCTCGGGAACGGGAATAATGATAACACAGGGGCTACACAAGCACATCGGGGACACTCGGGTCACAAAAGGCACAATCGTCACGGCGTAGGACGTCTAACATCTAATACATTCACGATGATCCAGCAGTCGTCGAGGAGATACATTACGACCGTTTCAGAGCACCCTCCGACGCTTGAGGCGGTTAGAATAACAGCAATATACAATGAAATAAGTCGTAATCAAGGTGATGATTCCAGTCAATTACCCTGAGATACACTGAACCCCTAGAAGTCTCAGTACACCCCTAGTTCATTCTCGATGTAGGCGTCTCTTAGTCGGTCCCAACTATTGTCGCAACGCGGATACGGAATTATCAGTAGACTTTTGAGTCTCCATACGACCGGCAGCTGTAATACTTGCGTGTCGGCAGCATACATGAACGTTCAAAGCCATTCGTATCACAATGACCACTCCAGAGTAATTCTCCACATACCCGATACCGTGAGCTTGCGACCTATCACCAACATCGTCGCCAACATCGTCGCCATCAACCTCGCCGACAACGCCACCGAACACCGTCCGCAGCACCGTCAGTACTGTCCCCAAAATCATTGCCGCCATCATGTCCGATACCATCTTCGGCGGCGCGGTCACCACCAAGCATGAGCACCACGCCGTCGACCGATCCCACACTGCTCTGACACCATTGCCTCTCGCCCTTCCGCCGATCAGGTCCGAAGTGATACGAAGGTACGAAGCATTCAGGCTGCTACAATCACCCTCATACGTCTCTACCCGGCATGCCTCTACTGGTTCTTGCATTTGAATGCTATATTTATATCGATATAATCCAACTAGATACCTAGAAGCTATCATAGATGCTGATCTGGAGTACTTATGCCATTTGCAATAGCTATACCGGTGTACGGAGACATCTGGAGGTTCAGTGCAGACCTTCATGTTGATAAGCATCGCGCCGGACCGCAGGATCACAACGTCTGCCTGCTAGGTCCTGTGAATAGGTGCAGCATCTAGCATGATTGATCTATTGCCCCAAGAATACGTGCTTCTAGATGCTTAAGTATCCACGTTGTTACTTCAACCTCCGACCTCTTCAAGTGGTGGGAGTGGCAGCTATCTCTACCTGCCACTTATTAGCGGGAGGTAGGTATGCACTTGTTTGCCGCGGACTTCGGCACTACTGCAGGAACACTCGCCGGCCAATGAGATCAAAGAACGGCCCTCCCTTGGCCCCTCCCGAGGCGCCCAAAGAAGAGCTGAAACTCCATATCTGCAGGGATGTCTAGGGCACCCGCACCCCTATGCGGCTCTTGCACGGAACCCCGGCATCTGTTCGACCAGTCCGAGCAGCCGAGCCCCTTTTCCAATCTCCAATCTCCAATCTCTGCTCATAATCGCACTCGCAGACCTGGCAGAGTCGCAGGACAGGGCGTGACAAGGAGGCCCGAGACGAACAAGGGATAACCGGCGGCCGCCACTCACCCTATTCATTCATTCATTATCAGCTCTTGAAGTCTTGGCTCACGTTCACTCTTTCACCCACACACCCACATTCTTTGACTGCAATTGCTAAACATTGCCCACACTGTCCAAGTAGCCAAGGTAAGGACCGCAGAGTGGCAGACTGGACAGCCTCGACTCGATTCGACTCGACTTGAAACATATCAGCAAGCCAGCCACAATATCACTTCGATTCCACTTCGATACCCCCTCGACGCTCCTTGAAACCACATCGCATCACAGTCCTCCGGGCTACCTACAATCGCTACGTCCCTCCTCGACAGCTGACCGCCTGTCGACCCCTCGTCCTCCGTCGCTCCATTCGCAACCATCTCGACGGCACGTCCTGCCAGTCCTCCGGTGACTTCGACCGTCCGCTCCCTCTTTGTCCATTCCGAGACATCCAAATCTCCAACCTCGATCACGATCGTCTTCCGTCATTCGACTGGGAGGAATATGCTATTCGCGAGCTAACGACATCACCTCAACGCCATCTGCGGAACCTCCATATACACCGGCCTTGCGCCATTGACTTGTCCCGATCTTTAGTCTTCATACTGCTTCCCACACTACTAGACAACTCCCATCATGTTGTCGCACTCCTCGTACGGCGCGGCCCTCGCGCTCCTGGCGTCGATTCTCTCGACTCCCGTCGCTGCCCAATTGAGCACCAAGTGCGATCCTATGAACGCGACCTGCCCGGCCGATGCAGCCTTCGGCACAAGTCACCTGTTCAACTTCAACGACACACAGCCAGACGGTACGTGGAACACCACGGCCGGCACTGTCAACTACGACGCCGAAACGGGCGCTGCCTTTACCATCAGCGAAAAGGGCGACTCGCCCACTCTGATCTCCAACTTCTACTTTTTCTGGGGCAGGACAGAGGTATGGTTGAAGGCCGCACCCGGTCAAGGCATCATCAGCTCCATTGTCTGGTCCTCCGACGTGCTCGATGAGGTCGACTGGGAGTTCCTGGGCGGCAACACGACACACGCATCTTCGAACTACTTCGGCAAAGGATTGCAGGATTTCCACAATGCCGGCTATCACTTGGTCAACGGCAGTACGCAGGGTGACTACCACAACTACACCTCGGTCTGGACTGCAGATAAACTCGAGTGGCACATCGATGGCGCACTAGTGCGCACGCTCTTACCAGCGGAGGCTAATAATACCTATACCTATCCCCAGACGCCGATGAAGCTGAGTCTCGGTATCTGGGCCGGAGGTGATTCCGACCAGCCCAAAGGAACGATCGAATGGGCTGGAGGACTCACCGACTATGACAAGGGACCGTACACCATGTACATCAAGAGTGCTGCAGTCCAGGACTACTCGACCGGCAAAGAGTACACGTACAGTGATATGTCGGGATCCTCTGACAGCATCAAGATTACAACGTAAGTCCATGAGCTTAATCGTACTACATTCTAGTAACCAGACTGACCCTGCAATTCACAGCGGCAATTCGACGGCGGTTGAAAACATCAACAAGCAACCAGAGAAGTCTCTCTCGGAAAAGTGGGATGAGCTGCCATCGAGTACGAAGTCTGGAATCTATGCGGCCGCTGGTGGCGTGGGAGCTATAGCTTTTATCGCACTCGCCTTCTACTACTTCAAGCAGAGAAGAAGTGGCCAGAAGGAAGCTGCCCTGGCTGCGGCAAGAATGCAGGAGGAACGCGTGGAGCTCGAGAGATTCCAGAAGGAAGGACGGAACCCCGACAACCTTGGTTTCGACGGTACAGAATATGGCGGCGCCATGAACAAGGGCGGCATGTATGGCGTGAGTTCGTATTACGCAGTGCCCGATTCGCCTCCAGGAAGTTCCGCAGGTCCGCCCGAGAAAGCATGGGATCCGACCAGTGCCGCGGTGGCTCCGGGCATGCCGCTTCTTCGTAACAACAGCTTTGGGTCCCAGCATCCGCAAAGTCCCGGTTTGCCTCCATCGTTTCCGCTGCCACAATCGCCAGTTGACCGAGGTCACTCAACGTCCAGCGCGTCGAATCGGATGGGTTCCCCGGGACCTACGTCTCCGCCAGGCCGCGGCCCGGCGTCACCAGTGGGTTACAACAGTAACTACAGATGATCTTGGAAGCTGTCCAAGTCGGCATCCTCGTTGGGTTGGGTACAGCTTTCGCTGAGACGCCTGGGCATGGAATTTTCGCGTATAAGCTGTAGGCTCTGAATGGGCGCGCGATGCGTGTGTACGAAGCGGCGGTTTCCTTCCTGCTTTCAATTGGTAATAGGGAGTTACGGAAGACTAGGTTACCTCAGGATATCGAGAAACTGGGTGTACATGTCGACGAGGCGATTACTGGCCATTTCCATGCGACGCACATAGCTATCAGAGGTGTCATCTTCTTTGACCATGGATGTTACAATAACCCCCATAAGTCTCCGTCCGGCATGTTCTATCCATTCTTGGATATCAGCGCTATATTCTGTTTGAACATGCCTCTCGCTTGCTGAACGAGGGGCTTCATGGAATGAAACTGCTTATTCGAGGGTGCTTATTGGTTTTTGGTTTTCAAATGACACATTGGGTGCGCGGACGGAGACTTATGAGGGCTGAGTGTACTTAGCAAGCAGGCGAGGACAGAGTCCATGATTATGGGTGGCGGCTTTAGGAGCTTGTATCTTACGATAATCACGAGGTGGTCTCTTCATCCAGGGGCCGGGGATTTTCGTTTTTACATTCGTTTAATAACACTGGGCAATCTTGGCAGATCATGAATTCGTGATGGATCAATAGCAACAGTAAAGCAAGGAGACAGTCTCCCTACCAATGGCTGTGCTAATCGGTAGCTAGGACTCGGACTTTATTCATATGTATGGGCGGTTCCCCTTCAGGGCACAGTATCAGGTCATGCTCATATCATATTCGTCGTAAAGAATAACGGCAATTCTTGCAGCATTGACAACAGCACCGACAACAGCACCGACAATAATATCGACAACAATATCGACAACAATATCGACAGCAAGCATCACTACGAAAAAAGAAGTAACAGAGTATGGCTAACAAAGAGAAAGACCATCTTGAGGCTGGACTATAAGCCAGCGATAGTGGCAAGACCGCATCATAAGTCTCCGTCCGTCATGCTTCTGCCAACTCTTAATGCTCCATTCGTATTAATACAATAAGCACCCTGGAATAAGCAGGATTTATCCAGTTAGCCATACTCGATGCTTATTGCAGACTGCTTATTCCAGTTATAATACCTTTCACTGGGCGAACGAGGAATGTACGGCGACATCATGGAAATCATGTGCACCCGTGTTGATAATTGACCCTTGATACCACATGATCGCGATGTTCTGTTCGTCTCGACTTCCTGTTCGTTCGCCCAATGTCCCAGTGGCTGGTAGATACCTATTGCTAGGAATATAGTGGATGACTGACTCGAGCCGAACCTCGTGATTTGTTGAAGATCGCGCACTCCGATTACCGAGGCAATGACGCAGAAGAGATTGTCACATTTTGGACAGACCGGTTGGGGGTTGAGTGAAACTTGCCCTTATCATAAATGCATCCGTATCATGATCGGGTGCCTCTGGGAAGCCAACGTCCGGGCCGAAGGCATGTTCATCAAATCCGAGGAGTTACCCCAACCTAACCCCAGCACAGACTATCTCCTCATGCGGTATGAGGCAAGCCTAGACAGCTGTTGGCGCGGCGGAATGTGACGACCGGCAAACGGTTTGACGATAAGATCTGGGGGTTTACTAAGAACAGTTACCTCATCTCATGGTCGCGATTGCGAAGGCTATACCGCAACTGAGACCAAGCCAAGCCTGCGACTCGCGAGTCGCGAGTATAAGACAGGTCATATGGTGGTGTATAGCAGTAATGCCGGACACCGCAACATCCCTGTTCTTCGCCAACTCAAGACAATACTTGCCACGATGGTGCGACCTGCTTCCTTCACTCTGAGTGCCGGGCTGCTACTCAGCAGCGGCAGCGCTGCTTCTGCGGTGAGTATGCCTTTCGACGCCCGGGAAGCCACCGTCGAGACTGTCCACCACGCACTCTACTCCGGCCTAACATCATGTCGCGACGTCGTCTCGTCCTTCGTGGCGCGTATCAAAGCGTACAACAACCGCACCAACGCCATCATCACCCTCAACCCCCATGCTCTGGACACCGCCGACTCTATGGACGCGAGCCTCGCTGCCGGCAACGCTACGGGCTCGTTGTTCTGCATCCCTGTCCTGTTGAAGGACAACTACGACACTGCCGACATGCCGACGACGGGAGGCTCCCTCAGTCTGAACGCGTCGCAGCCCACCGAAGATGCGCCGAGTGTGGCTGCCTTGAAAGATGCTGGTGCCATCATGCTGGGTAAGTCGAACCTGCATGAGCTGGCGTTGGAAGGCATCTCGGTCTCGTCGCTTGGCGGCCAGACCATCAACCCTTATAATGCCGCCAGGACCCCTGGTGGCTCCTCGGGCGGCACCGGTGCCGCGGTGGCGGCCTCCTTTTGCGTCTTCGGCACTGGCACCAACACTGTCAACTCGCTGCGAAGCCCGGCGTCTGCGAACTCCCTCTTCAGCATCCGTCCCACGCGCGGCCTCATCACGCGGACGGGCATCATCCCCATCTCCCTCATCCAGGACGTCATCGGCGCCATCGCGCGCTCCGTGAAGGACGTAGCCGTCGCCCTCACCGTCATGTGCAAGAGCGGCTACGACCCAGCCGACAACGCCACCGCCCTCGTTCCCATGAAGAACCGCCACATCGACTACGCCGCCTCCCTGGCTCCCGCCCCTCTCGGCAGCCTGCGCCTGGGCGTCCTCAACGGCTTCTTCAACCGCACCACCGGCGCCTCTTCCAGCCCCGAGGTCGCGCCCGTCAATGCCGCCATGGACGCCTGGACCGGGAGATTGGAAGCCGCGGGCGCCACCATCGTCCCCATCGACGAGGCCATCTACAACGCGACCGTGATCCAAGCGGCCTACGACGTTCAGCGATTCGAGTACCGCGAGCTCATGGACGCCTACCTCCGGCGCCCCTCCCTCGGCGGCGCGCACCCGGACACGCTCAACGAGCTGTATAGCCTCAAGGCCGGCAACGGGTCCGCGGGCGAGTTCCTCGTCATCCCCGCCGAGTACGAGTACGTGAACACGGCGCTGGTCTCGAGCACGGGCAACGCGACGTACCACGACCGCCGCTTCGGCATCGCGAATCTCACGCTCGCCCTACAGAACACCTTCGCCGCCAACAACCTCGACGCCGTCATCTACCCCGAGCAGAAGAACCTGGTGGCCAAGATCGGCTCGCCCTCGCAATCCGGGCGCAACGGCATCCTGGCCGCGCTCACGGGGTCGCCCGTCGTCACGGTGCCCATTGGGTTCAGCAACGCCACGGAGGGCGCGCCGATTGGCGTGCCGGTCGGGATGGAAATACTGGGTCGGCCGTTCGAGGAATCGAACCTGCTGGCGATCGGTTACGCGATGGAGCGGCTGGGCAAGGTCCGACGGACGCCGGTCTGGGCGCGGGAGGAGCCCGAGGTGCGGGCGTATAGCGAGATGCCTGTTGTGACGCCGGACAGTGGCAACGTACCGAGTGCGTATCCTCTGGGAACGTTGTAAGTAAAGTAGAGATGCCGGCCAGCCATGGCAGCAGATAACGTCTTCAACTTCTGAAAGCTACATATCACAGTACGTAATCTAGGTATATGTAATGAATGACCTCATAGAATGAACTCTGTCGATTACTATACGGTTCCCTTTGTCGTACCGGCTGTGCATACCATATATAATAAGGTGCTCATTGCCGCTGATCTAGAGAAGGTCGACTTCGACAATAAGCACCTAGTTACGGGGAAGCAAGATAATAAACGGACATTATCCTTATTTCCCTTGCCTACGACTTTATCGGCCCTACCGCGCGTTCCGTAAAGGAAATAGCCGTTGCCCTTACACAGTACCGTCATGTGCAAAAATCCGTTAAACGGCTGAGATTGGCGAAAAGATGAGGTGTCGGGGTCAGGGGCTAGTTTGGAACTTTTGGAACTCTATGCTTGGCATGCACACCTCAGTCACACTGTCAGTGGTCACACCAGCTTTTTCAGCAGTCAGCTCTCTGGTCCCTGCCCTGGCGTAATTTGCGAGTCCCTACATCCGGCCGGGAATGGATAGGGGGGAAGAGCGGCGAGTTCAGGCACAGCCAGACAAAGGGCATAGAGTTTCATCCTTCACTGCGCACGGATCACGGAGTGGCAAAGCGGTTGATGTGTGCTAACTCAATCCGACAGACTGTTGACTGGAAGTCCCCCCTTTCACCTGCAATGTTCAACCAACATCTCCCATGTCTTGTAATGGTTGAGGCATCCTTTTACGCCATGTACAACCACAACGATGGGATTCAGACGTGTAGCCAAATTTGGCTGGATAGCTTTCCTCTGGTCCTTGTCTTTGACCCTGCTACCGATCCTGAACGGTCTGTTGGCCGGCGTCCTGTTCTGTTTCTGGGACAGGAGGGAAGTCAACAACAACATGCAACATTTCACCGATGAGCTTGGCGAAGTAAGCGCGCAGGAATACTGGACCGTGCCCGGTGCTCAATCATTCAGCGACTACATGGACAACACCAGAGCTTTCCACTCGACTCGTCTCAGCACACCCCGTTGGACGATGCAATTGGACTACCAATTGCCCATCGAATACTATGGCGATGGTGGAATCGACAGGTGGGCCGACTTGGACCATCTAATGGCTGATGTGAAGAGTTGCAACCCCGCTGTGCCAAAAGAGTCCTGGGTCTACATCACCGACCTGGCGTCCCCATGGTTCCCGTATGACGACTGGAATGAGGCCTTTGACGATCTCATTCAGAAGTCATACGTAAGTCATAGTCTGGACGCTACATCGTTTCACTTTGTGGAATGCTCGCATTCTGCTTTCTTGTGCGGCATCTGGAACGTTAAGCCGCCAGCGCTGTTGCACCTCTCAGTCGAAGACTCTGCGCCAGCATCGGACGAGTTGGACCCCGATCTGACGTACGCCGTTGATCGAAAACGTTTGCGGCCTGTTACTGCCCGCATCATCGAACTTCCTGTTCAAGATGCCTTCCTCGGTCGACCATGGCACGTCTTTCCGAGCCCGAAAGAACAACTTCAGGCTCTTATCAGCACTCCTGGTCTTTACGAGCAATTTGACCCATACGACAGAGAAGAACAGATTATGAAGAGATTCAACGAATACATGGACTCGTTCTGGGACTGGAAAGGGAGCGTTTTCTATCTCATGAGGCGTACGGAGTCATGGTGCCAGGACTACATCACAGAGCCACTTGGAATCGAGTCATACCTGGTCGACCTCCAGTCGCTCACTTTCACCGTCACCTTCCTCTTGGCGCAGCTGATACTTCTGCCAGTGCAGTCTGCTTGGCAAGCTGTCAAAGACTTCTTCGGGTATCCCGGTGCTGGGGATTGGACGTTTGGAGGTTCCGATGACCCTCCGACGAACTTCATGGAGGATATGTTCGGCGGTTTCATGCAGAGCATGGCAGGAAAAGACCGCTTCTCTCAGCCGACCGCGGACAGCTGAGATGAAGGGGGAGCGTTGGCAGAGGGGAAATAGTCAGGCGATGAAGGGGTGGATGATGCTGCGTTGTAGGATGCGGACTTGGACGTCGATTGTTAGGTGCGAGTGTCAGGGTTGGTCAGCGTCGCTGGGGGTACGGTTGGCCATGTTGTCTACGTTGTGGTATGAAGGGAGGGGTCTAAACGCGGCAAGGCGGCTTCGAGAGAAAGATGAGTTAGCAGTAACTTGCTTTCGTCTCGTCTAAGCGCGACCTCACTTTCTTGCCGGACCAACGAACGACCTAGCCGGTGACGCTACCGCCTTCATTCTCATGAAGAATCACTATGGCATCAAACCAACGACTAACTCGAGTTCGCTCTCGTTCCCATCATGAACGCCGACGCGGTGGCTCTTGAATGACACACTGAACCCACGGAAGTCTCCGTACACCCCGTAGGTAATCGAAGTTTGGAATACATATTCACGGGTAATTCTCATATGTGGAATAATCACTCTGTCAAAAGCATCAAGCGTGGCATATCAGAATATAACTGCTCATTCCATGGTGCTTATTCCACTGTCTATATCCTATCAGGGGAAGGAGGCAGGGGCGCCCTCGAGGTGCGCAGACGGAAACTTCTGGGTGGTGATTGTAACAAGATAGTCTTGCATGGCAATGCACAGCAGCGACATGATTTGTAGAGGCCTATCAAAGGAGTCCTCTAGTATATGCATCACCATGGCGGCCCGCGATCAGTCGTGGTTCGCTGCAGAAGCCGCCGAGTCATTTCACATACATATCTCCACACAGGGCAGCTAGTCTAGCCCTATAGCGTTGAGTCCAGCTGTGTATATCCAGGCCAGTTCCCTAAAGCGATCACCGACCAAGGTCTGTATGGCCTCCAGAAGGTAGAGGCTTGATAGTGGTAAGACAAGACTGAATGACGTGATGTTCCAGGTGCCCCTCGACAGATGGCAGTCGTAGGCTGGGCTGAGCTGAAGAACTGCAGGTGGTCAGCTGCGACGACGTGTAACAGCCGAATGTTCCTTCGAGGTGTCCTACTATAGGTCCTAGAGCTGCTAGTAGATTATGGCTTCCACGATATTGCCTCTTTCGCGGAGCACTGCCCAGCCGTAGTTCCCGATTGCTGGCCGATTCAAGCTGCCTTCGTAGCCTGACCGGGATCGATTTTGAGGGAGAAGTCGACATAAGACGTCCCCTGATGAATGGAACTTGTCGAGATAATATCGATATCTGTGGAAGCCTGTCAATTGGACACGTCTGCAGGGAGAACGTGGGAGACCTACCATTGTTGGCATAATCAAATACGTTGTCCTCCCGCAGTCCGCCACTGACCTCGATCAAGAATTGCCGCTTGCCTTTCCACTTCTCCCGCAAGCTCTTTGCCGCAATCTTGACCCCCTCGCCTGTGAAGTTGTCCAGCATGACAATATCAGCGCCAGCTTCAATAGCCTCGTCTGCCTCGGCTTCGCTCTGGACCTCGACCTCGATCTTGAGCGCGAACCCACCGACCATCTTGGCAGCCTGGACTGCTTCGGTGATGCTGCCTCGGCTCCACACGTGGTTGTCCTTCAGCATGATCATGGAGCTCAGGTCCATGCGATGTTGATCGGCGCCACCGACCAGCATGCCGTACTTCTCGACGATGCGGAACCCCGGGGTCGTCTTTCGCGTCCCCGCTAGTATGCCTTCGTATCCTGCTTTGCGCAGGCTCTGTACCATGTTGCGACTGGCTGTAGCAATACCCGAACACCGCGCCAGCAGGTTCAACCCGACTCTTTCAGCGAGCAGCAGGCCTCGAGCCGGTCCGGTGACGGTGGCCACCTTTGTCTTTCCCGGCCCGTCCTTCGGTCGGTCGATGTAGCTTCCCTCGGCCGCGTGCCACTCGACTGTGCACCCGCATTGCTTGAAGATCTCGGTGAAGAAGGGAACGCCAGCTATGACGCCGGCGCTCTTGCCCCAGAGTGTTGCTGTCCGTGGGTGGTCCCCGACAACGAACCCGGCGTAGTCGAAGGAAGGAGTGTCTTCGGCGAGCCAGGTCGTGATCTGGGCTTTCCAGCTCGGTGGCAGGAGGTTCTCCAGAGAGCCATGTTGGGTCGCTTGGTCGCTCGACATCGTGAGCGGGGTGGTGGGTGGTATGGCGGGGTCGAGCTTCTCGTTGTGTGTCATGCACGAAGAGTCAAGGTGTCGATTTGTATGGCGAAGAGTGTAATTTTGTAAGGCAATGCGATCGACAGCGAGGTGTCCTAGGAGCTATTTGTCAAATGGAAGTACCTTATGTCCAAATGAAGAGGAAGATGAACGCGACTTCCGAATGCCGATACAACCGTCGCGGCTCTTGGAGGGGCAGTGCAGCTGTCGATGGAGCGCCAGCTGGTGGCAGTTGCAGAGCAACAATGCCCCTCTCCCCCTCTTCCCCCTTTTCACGTCACCTTCATGAACTGTTTAGAAGAAGCACCTGCATTCCGGACGATGTCCAACCCCAGACTATGAAAGAAGTAAACCCAAATTATGGCCCATCTCCTCTGGACAGCACCACTCGAGTCAAATGTCCAAGCTCATCCCACCTCGTCCATACTGGCAAATCGTTCCACATGGTAGGCAGCCGCATCGTGACCTGACCGGCCGGGACTGATAGACGGCAACGACAAGCTATCATGGCCTCTTTGGCCTTGTGTTCTTCTACTGTTTGGGTTCCTGCACACCTTAGACCTCGTTATCTCCCGTCTATCCACCCTTTCGTTCTCCGTTGGTCGGCCGCCGGCGTGAAGCAAACTATATAGGTATATATATTAGTCAGTATGCAAAGAACCATCGGATCCGTACAGTAACTCACGCCTGCCTTCTCAATCGACGCACTTCGATCGCAGCCTCTCTATGCCTGCGAAGGTCGTCGCCCTTGATGTCTTTTGCTGCCAGGCGAGCCGTCCGGTGCATCGCTGAAAACGCAACGCAATCTCTTCGCGGTCTCCGGTGCGCCAACTGTCTCACCAACAGTGTCTCCCAAATCAACGCAATGGATATGGACTGCGTGGTCCTTTCCAGGGATCGCCGGGTCCAGGACGATGATGCACTCGGTGCCAGGAGCCAGGTACTTGGTGGTCCACGCGCGCATGACAATCGGGGTCAAATCGGCATTTTCGAACTCGAGCAGCATCGCGAGCTGTTTCGGGCTTTCGCGGATGACTTTTCCATATTGGGACAGATCCCAGAGTTCCCGAAGGTATTCTGGAACTCTCGGATCGGGAATGGCTCGAAACTGACAAATGATGGCGCCCAAGGCGATGCCCTCATTCCGCACGCGCATTTGGAGGAAGGGGTCGCCCAGATTGTAGTACCCATCTGGCTGTTCCATTCTCGTTGGAGACATGCTGCTGGCGTTCTGCTGCTGGAGAGGATATACTGTCATTGTGAGAGTAGGGGTCGCGGGAGTCAACGATCGGGTTGGCAAGGGGTGGGTTGAAGCTGGGCGGAGAGCATGAGACAGCCAACTTGTGAGCGACCGAGTTGGACGGCGACCAAAAGTCGTCCAGGAAGAAGAGAGATGAGTCAATGTGAAAAGAATCTGGCTGCCATCATCCTTTTATCCTTTGGTGGCCTGGTGGCTGGATCAAGTAGCTCACGATCAAAACTCAAAAACGCGGAAAACTCAAAACAAGCAAGACAAAAGCCTCAGGTAGCTCGGAAACCCCCTCAACTATTGTCCAGGAGACCAGCATTGGTTATCAAGCCAAACGAACAAACAGCGGTATATTGATCGAATTGTAATAAGTATACTGGAATGAGCAACTCTACTTGGATACGCTACTTCATATGCTTATTCCACTGTGCTTAATCCAATTCGATGCAAATACCGCTGTTTGCTGGACCAGTGGTGTACGGAGACATATGGGAGTTTAGTGTAGCAGTAAGTAGTGTTCAGGGTACGTACCGGACGACGACCATCTCAGGTCCGAAATGTCACATGTATGCGGCGTTGGGGGTGCAAGAATGGGTTATGCGGCTGTATAGTCTGAACACTGAATTAGTATCCCTTTTGCAAGTCGTTGGCCTTGAAGATCGAAATCGTTCTGACCCTGGATTGAGCAGTCGCCAATGCTTCCTCGGGCGAGCGTCCGCTCGCACCAAGCTGGCTCGTGACTTCCAAATTCGGGCTTATGTCCCGAGCCGGTTGCGGATTGTGATGCAGCTGACCATGTGCGTGGTGGAGAGAAAATGGAGGCCTCAGTGACTGTGATCTGACACGGAGCCAAGACCTTCCTTGCGATGATCATTCGATGCTGAACGGGTTTCGAGGTGAGGGCACCGATTATATACTAAGAGGAAGCGAAGTCTGTATAGCCTCGCGGCAGATATGTGGGGCCATGAATGGGAATGCTTTCTACTGGGATTGTTCTGCTTTATGTGAATGTACAGAATAATATACCAGAAGTGTGGCTCGATGTGCCCATCTGGTGATAGTTGCAGATGCCGGTGGGAAGGGATATGCTAGGAGGATGGTTGTGACGAGCTGGTGTGTCGATATCAGATGCTTCAGGGAAGACAATAGTATCGATGAGTTGTCCTCTCGTTCGAGTCTTGACAAAGAAAAACAGCACGTGCTCCCCACGGGGCTCCCGGGATCACGGATGGTTTCGCATAGCAGTACTCAACTTCATGGAATAACTGTCCAGCGTGGCAAAGCCCTTGGATGAGACGCCGCCGATCTCATCCGGGGAAAAGGTTTGGAAATTGGCAAAGTCCTAATTCAGAGCACGATCTGACTAGATGAGATATTCCCGGACCGCAAGGGGAGGTTGGAGACGAGGCCAGGAGAAGCATTGGAGGACGTCGAGCATGCCACTGCTTCCAGCGAATAGCGTGGCGTGAGTATCGGGCGCACCCCCTCGTGGGTTTCAGGGCATCTGGCTTCACTTATTTTCGAGGAACTTTGTCGACCACCGAGTAGAACCGGCAAAGTGAAGTCGTCGACATATTTGGCATAATCACTTGGACTAATCGCTTCTATCAGTGGTAATCAATCGGGATAAGCATCGAACACGTGCTTATGTCGTTGGGACTGCAACGACGGACAACCTCCTTGCGACCTTCGTATGGAGACAGCCCACATTGAACTCGCTGGGGTGAGAAGTAGGTTGATTGGGAGACATGATCATTTCAGAGCTGCCGCTGATGAGAGCAGAAATCTAGCAATGTCTTGGATATCAACCGTAAACGCCGACACCACCAGTCCCACGCATGCAAGAACCCGTTTCTCATGCACCGATTTGCTTCAGGATACCCTCGAGGTTGATGCTCTTGGGTCGTTCGATGGGCAGGCCAAGCGCGCGATCCCAAATAAGTTGAGCGAGAGGACCTAGTCCCCGGCTCACGCCAAATGTTGCTGTGTAATACAGGGTCTCGTGGAACCCGTAATGATGGAAGAGCATCCCGCTGCTTGAGTCAACATTGGGATACGGGTTCTTGGTCTTGCCGTGCTTCTTCAAAACCTCAGGAGCGACCTCGCTGTTCATCTTGACAAGCTGGAATATAGGGTCTTTCGCGATCTCGGGGCGGGACGAGGCAAAGTCCATAAGTGCTTCGAAACGGGGGTCAGGTTTGCGAAGGACTGCGTGGCCGTAGCCCGGCACAACCCGCCCGCTGTTGAGGGTTGACCATAGATAGTCATGTACGTCTTTCTCGGAGTAGTCCGCAGGGATACCCTTCTTCATTTGCAAGATCCAGCGCAGCACTTCCTGCGCAGCAAGTCTGTACAGGTCAGTATGAACACAGGCATGTTACTTGGAACGGGAGAGAAACCTACCCGTGGAGTGGCCCAGCCAGACCCTGAAGACCAGCGCTGTAACTCAGAAAGGGATCACTGAGGGCGCTTCCGACAAGATGCGTTGCATGAGCCGAGACGTTTCCACCCTCGTGGTCACCGTGAAGCGCGAGGTACAAACGCAGGAGGTCCTGGAAGTTCTCGTTCTCCGGACCACCTTTTCCCAGCATGGCGGCGAAGTTGTAAGACCAATCCTGCTCGGGGTCCACGTCACCAGGCAAGGCGCCTCCGCCGCGGTATGAGTTGTGGTATATCTTGGCGGCAATGGTGGGCAGTTTCGCCAGCAGGCTGATGCAGTCGTCGAAAGTCGGCTCCCAGTAGTCGGCCTTGTTCATGCCGTGCTCGTAGGCCTTGGCAAACTTGGAGTTGTGGTTCAAGGCGCTGACGGCGATGGAGAATTGGGTCATGGGGTGCAGGTCTTTGGGGAAGTTATCAAGCATCCTGTTTATAAATTCGGGAATAAAGGCCTGCTCCGCAAGTTCGCGGGAAAGCCCTCGAACCTGACCAACCGACGGAACCTGGCCAGTCAAGAGCAGCCAGAACATGGACTCTGGGAGCATTTCAGTGCCCGAGGTGCCCTTGGGGAGTTCCTGCTGGCAGTCTTTTATTGTGCGTCCATGGAATCGAATACCCTCGTTCGCATCCAGAACACTACCCTCCCACAACATGGCCTTTAGTCCTCTGTGTGTGGTCAGTTTCAGCTCATGAAGCACCCACGTGAGCAGCTCCTCATTGGGAATTCAGAACAGTACCTCATGCCACCAATGGTGTTTTCCACCTTGATCTCACCAATGACAGCGGAGCCATGGGCCTTGACCTTCTTGAACAGTTCTCGCTTGGCGGGAATGACGTCCTTGAGTGTGGCCTTCAAGTCCGGCTCGGAAGACGATGAATAACATCGTGCCGTGGGGACGATAGCTGTCGGTGCAGCACGTGTCTATACATAGTGGTTAGTTCAGCAGCCAGTTCTATTGGCACTTGGAAATGGGAGAAGGAGTGATAACTCACCCTCAACAACCCCAATGCTCTCGTTGGTGCTCTGAATTTGGATGCCATGTTGGTGACTGTCGCGAAGGCGGAATGGACAAGACCTCGGCAAGCGGGGTATGTGTGACCGTGGGTAGGACTTAGAGACTTTGGGGTGCCTGAGACGGGAGTTGGAGAATACGTCTGGCTATGAGCGACTCTGTCAAGAGGGTGTTGAAGTCAAAACTTGTTTTTTCAAAGACAACACTTCGAGATGGTAGAGGGTTGGATCAGTAATGAGAAGGCGGCACATCCGAGGATGGCCTTCCCTTTTCCCGTCCCAAACTCCGGCAGCATGCCACACTGGACATGTACCTACGGTAAACACATCATGGTGGGGAGCTGTGCCTGCTTGCATGTGCTTACACCTGGGCGGCAGGGCATGTACCCCTTCCTTGGTCCATTCTCCCGCATCAGCCGAGGGAACCCGTCGACTCATGTACAGGGGCAGTACCTACCAAATCTGTGCCAACCTCCAAGGACATGTATACTCGGAACTTTGGAGTCCCAGGAGACCCAACGGTCCCAACCTACTTGAAACTCGTGTCACTGTACGATTACAGCGCTGGCTGGAGTGTCAATGAGGTTAGTGTCTTAGGTACTTGGGTATTCCATATTGAAGCCTCCTTTGGAAGAGTTCATCATGTTCTTCCTCGGTTCGATTCAATCGGCCATGGGTGTCATCAATGATACAAGGAACCCCCACAATGGGTACAGCGTCAACTGGGGTACCTGATTGCGGGGATACCTACTAAGGTATTCAATGGGCCTTCCCCGGCTCTAGCACTCGGCTCAGCGGCGTTATTATGCGTTGTCGCGGCCGACACCGCCCGCGGACTGCTGCATCGTACTCGATATTCCCGTCTGCCCGTTGTGGAAACTAGACATCCTCTTTCTTGATCAGTGCCTGCCTAGGGAGCTGGTCTTGTATGCGTACGACTAGATTGGTGTCTTGAGTAGCGTTCCTCGGCCGGACGAGTTGAGATATATTACGATGCTTCGCCGAGCCGTATTCCGGGCCCCTCGCCGTCGTGCGCCTCCTCTGCGTACTTTGAACCGCTTGATTACGTCGAGACCCTTCTCTTCGATGATACGGAGGATGTCCCTACCTGCCGTTAACCCGCCGATCACGACAGTACTGCCGTCCGACTCCTTTCAGCTCCTACCAGAAACCGAGAAACCAGGCGCCGCAGAAGATGCGCTATACGAGCAGCAGGTCAAGGATGTAGAAGCTTGGTGGGCCACACCTCGGTACGAAGGCATCAAGAGGCCATACACTGCCGCTGATGTGGTATCGAAGCGAGGATCACAAATGCAAAGCTACCCGAGCTCGTTGATGGCCAGGAAGCTGTTCAACTTGATCAAAGAGAAGGCGGCTGCGGGAGAACCCATACACACAAGTACGTTCCTTTCGGTCTTCCAACTCATTATACCATTGGTAGCTGACTTGCCATCCTGTCTCCAGTGGGAGCTATTGATCCCGTGCAAATGACGCAACAGGCGCCGCACCAGGAAGTCCTCTACATCTCGGGCTGGGCTTGTTCGAGCGTCTTGACATCGACTAACGAAGTCTCGCCCGATTTCGGTGACTATCCATACAATACCGTACCGAATCAGGTCCAGCGCCTAGCCAAGGCGCAATCGATGCACGATAGGAAACAATGGGACTTGCGCCGGAAGATGGCTCCAGAGGAGCGGAAGACAACCCCTTACGTCGACTATTTCCGTCCCATCGTCGCCGACGGCGATACTGGCCACGGTGGCTTGAGTGCGGTGCTGAAGCTGGCCAAGTTGTTCGCCGAGAATGGTGCGGCGGCTGTGCATTTCGAGGACCAACTGCACGGCGGCAAGAAGTGTGGCCATCTGGCTGGCAAGGTCCTGGTGCCCATGGGCGAACACATCAACCGACTAAATGCTGCGCGGTTCCAGTGGGACGTCATGGGGTCGGAGAACCTCGTTATCGCCCGGACTGACTCCGAAAGCGGGAAGCTTATATCGAGCGCCATCGATGTGCGCGACCACGAATTCATACTGGGGGTTGCCGACGAAGGTGTCTCGCCCCTTGCCGAGACATTACAAGAAATGGAATCAGCTGGTGCTCCAGGGCCGGAGATCGATGCTTTCGAAGCTGACTGGGTCAAGAAGACGAGGCTCGTGACGTTCGACGAGGCTGCTGTAGAGCAGTTGCAAGCGCAGGGCGTGTCCCAGGACAAGATCGACTCTTACCTGAAAACGGTAGAGGCAGACGATACGTTGGGCATCTCCAAGCGGCGGCAGCTAGCGAATAGCTTTGCTAGCAAGCCGGTATACTTCGACTGGGACGTCCCTCGGACTCGAGAGGGCTTCTACCATTACCGGGCCGGCATGAAGGCCGCAACGAAGCGCGCCATCGCTTTCGGCCCCTACGCGGATCTTCTGTGGGTAGAGACAGGCGATCCCAGCGTCGAGGTGGCTTCCAAGCTCGGTCGTGCTGTGAGACAAGTCTTCCCCGGCAAAGGACTGGTCTACAACCTGTCGCCCTCGTTCAACTGGATGGCCCACGGCTTCAAGGACGCCACGCTCAAGTCGTTTATCTGGGATATCGCCAAGGAGGGCTTCGTACTGCAGCTGATCTCTTTGGCGGGTCTTCACAGTACCGCGACCATCACGAACGAGCTGGCCAAGGAGTACAAGAAGGACGGCATGCTGGCCTATGTCAACCTGGTTCAGCGTCGAGAAAAAGAGCTTGGCTGTGACGTCTTGACACATCAGAAATGGAGTGGCGCAAGTTACATTGACGGCATCCTGGGTGCTATCCAGAGTGGAAGCAGCGGGAGCAAGAGCATGGGCGAGGGCAATACCGAGGGACAGTTCAACTGAGCGTTGCCAAAGCCCGGTGACTGGTGACTGGATGATTTATGGGAGCGCAGGAGTTCAGGGGAAGTATACATACCTCGGTACTTCGAATCGAATATTACATCACCCCCGATTTGCCTATTTACTCTCGAGTGAGGGCTCGAAATCACAACCAAAGCTGAGCTCTTGGGTACAGTACGCACATGGTGTGAGGTTAACTCATCTGGTCCTTGGCCCGTTTCCCCACAAACTTCGATACTCGAAGCGCTGCTTCGGTCACAGGAGAGGCAGAAATGTTCAAGCACAGACGGTAATGCGAACTCGGCGTTTCGAGGCAGGACGCGAGCACAACGTCAAACAGGGTCTACTGCGACGTCGAGGGTCACGCACCACACAAGCTGGATAAGGTAACGAGCTCATATCAATTTGTCAGGGTCGCAATTGTCACATCAAGCTTCATCAAGGCATGCTTATTACAAGCTCGGGATACCCGTGGAGGGCAATGCATCGCTGATCCGCTGTCGTACCTTGGTAATTGGGATACAGGATTCTCACAAACCCGGTTCCTGCGGAGCTTGCCTTGGCCACTGGCCACACTCAACGTTCCCATGCTTTTCTGCATCGTTGTCTTGCCCTCTTCCCAGAAGGTTATGAGAGCTACCTCGCCAAGGGCCCAGAACATGCAGTTTGCTAATTTAGAGTCCGCGGTGATGCCACCATCAGTGAGCCCTGGGACCCAGACCGACGTCGGACGGAAAGATCCGAATCTCGAACGCATTCAGCGGAGCAAGCATGTCTAGGATGGATGAGAGCTTCGCGACTCAGTACAGTCTCGTATGCAGGTGAGCATGTGGCTTGACCTAAGCGCGCATTTTCCCTGGTGCTCGTAAAGGCGGCTAAAGAGGCTAAAAGGGGCTCATAGATGATGCAGGGAGCTCTGACGATCTGGACCACTACGCACAATATCACGTCCAATAAGCTTCATCGGAACCAGGCGGATCACCATGGTATGATGCTGTCCGGTTTTATGGGCCCATGGTCTTTGTTCGTGCCGTCGACTGAGTCTCAACCACGGGTCTAACCCAACCATACTGGCCAAGCGGTCGAATAATGATTGCATAATCACCTGGTCTAAGCGGTTCTTTCAGGAAGCAACAAACTGGAATAACTACCTAATCGTTGCTTATCCTACGTTGAACTGTTATTTCAACCGCGTGCCGGGTACGTATAGGACTCGAATGGAAATCCGGCTACACCTACCAACATCCATGGGCATCTAGGCAATGCATTCCTTCATTTTACTATAAGCCAAGGCCTTATACCCAGTCACTATACAGAGAGCAATAAACTGACAGCCCGTCGGTACCGAGCGGTGAGGACATGTGGCCACTCAACTTGCTCAAGCGAACTGATGGTCACACGCTTCCAACGTACATCATACACCCAGTCAGCACATCGAGGGATAATCAAGCTTAATCTATAAAGACCCCGGATTCTCAAAAATAGTACCAGTCAAGTGTCTCCGGCCCAGGCGGTTGGTTGGTACCCTGTCATCTCGTATCGTCTGAGGGCCTAGATCTCGAGCCGGTGCGACCTCGTCCATATTATCCACATGACAGCTCGAAGTGTAGCATCTCACTTCAGTCCAGGACTTCACCTCAACGACCCTGGTCACGAGTGTCGCCTACATTCTCCTTCACATCACCCAATCGTCGACTGCCCGCGTTTCTCTTTCATAATATCAGTTCTAAAAGGACCAAATCCACTCTGCAGTCAGCCCGCACGGGACGCACACAGAGCTAGACGGCCTCGGTTTAATATGAATTCATCTATAAGCCCTCGCAGTCCTATTCAACCGTAATTTGCGAAGAGGCTGGAAGGTCTTCGGTGGACCTTGTCCAAGGCTGAGGGCCAGCATCGCAATCTAAGCCCGAGATTAAACGTGACTTCTCAAGTTCACGATAGCATCTAGACCTCTGTTTTGCAGAATGAGGCCCGCTCTGGTCTGACATGGCGTCTTTCCCTGTACCAGGTAACAGACTGACATGCGAGCTTCAACGGACTTATAGATTGGGGGGCCCTCAGCAATGTCGCCGATCTTTCCACGACAGCATCACGACAGCATCCTCGACCTGACACCCACAGCTTCATTGCCTCTTCAACCCTTACCGCAGCAACATCAAGCCTAACGGAAGCTCAACCAGACATCCTGTCACCATGCGATCCTTTGCCGCCCTGTTTCTGCCCGTCTTGGCCGCCGCCAACCCCATCGGAATCGTCACCGGTGGCGATGGCCCATCGCCGGACCAGATCCAGATCGTGAGCGTCTCAGCCAGCGGTAACGGCTGCCCCCAGGGCACCGTCACGACGGACATGTCCGATGACCGAACGGTAGGTCTCCCAATGCTCTCCAGCATGCCGCCTCTCTGACTAATCCCATGCTCTAGATCGTCACCTTCGGATTCGATGCGTTCCAGACGTACATTGGACCTGGCACCACGGTGGCAGACAAGTCCAAGAACTGCCAGCTTCACTTGAGTCTGTCGTACCCTGGTGGCTTCCAGTACTCCGTCGTAAGTCACCAGCCAATTTGGGGTAAAACTAAACAGCTTCTGACCTCACTTTAGGTCGAATCGACCTACCACGGGTACGCCCAGCTGGAGACGGGAGTTACTGGAACGTTCTACTCGACCTACTACTTCAGTCAGGACGCTGCTGCCACTGTATGTTGAACAGAGATACGGTCAAAGTTGCCTTTAGCTGACGCATACCAAGACCACTACGGAAACATCCATCGAAGGAGGCAGCGAGTGGGAAGGCGGTGATGTATGTAACCTTTCTTTCTGATCAGCCCCCCTTTTCAGACGCAAGTAAGTGCCGACACCTCACCAGGTCTACACGAAACAGGACCAGGTCCCGACAGCTTCGGTCATCTGGTCGCCCTGCGGCGCCAGCGGCATCCTCAACGTCAACAACCGCATTGCGCTGACGTCCAACGACACGACCGCCTCGGGCCAGATTTCCGACGACGATGCTACAGTAGCGTTCACGCAGCAGACGCACCTTTCTTGGCAGGCGTGCCAGTAAGGTACAGAAAGGCCTGTCCTGGAGGCTGCGGTGTTGAGCGGGTGGAAGGATACCTAGGTAGGTAGGCATTGAGGGGGCTGAGGTGTTTGCACAGCATATGTTCTACCTTTTGATGAATGGTCTTGGTCAGGTTTCTCACTGCATTATCAGCGTCGCTTCTCCCAATCCATTTCCAAGCGAGCTGCAATTACTCAATCTATTTGTTGTAACCGAAGACCATAACGCTATCATTACTGTGACAAAGCAACCGAGCCAAGTGAGCCAGTCAACGAATTCCTAACGTGTCAAGATCTCCCAGCGTTATCGATTGAACGTAGAAACGAGAATCCCGGCCCTGGTTGAAGAGAGCACGTCGCGAGTCTCGCAAAAACCCAAGCCCCTGAAGCCACAAACCCTTTTCGAAATCACTACCTTACCCAAGCTGTCGAAACAAAACTCGCATAAGCACCTGGACTAAGCGTTCATTCTGAGGGCGAGGGACAGGAATAAGCTCCCAACGGCTGCTTATTCCACTGCAAGCCAGTACCCATGCCCGGTAACCGCGTCAAGATCTGTCCAGCATCCACCCCCATTTCCTTCGTACTCTGTTCCATTCGTCTATAATTCCTCTGTACCTAGCACGAGTACTGGATCGACCCTATATCATTTCCTGATCTGTCCCTGTCATCCCACTGTCACGACGGTTGATTTCATAGAAGCGATCGCTCCCACTGTTGTTGTCACCCTCTGACTGAAGACCCATCACGACTGTCGCCTTCCAGGGACCTCTGCGCATGATGGGCTCAATCCTACGGATAATCATCGATACACCAGACCCTTTCACCTTGAAGGAGGGGTCCAGCGTCCAGCCCCAGGCTGCTGATCAACATGAGATAAATGAGCAGGCCGAGTCGGCCGAGCAGCCTGTAAGCAATCCCAGCGGTTCGGAAATCCAATACCCCTTCTTCATGTTCGGATTCGACACGCGGGGTTTAGATTATTCCCATCTTGCTTTTGATAATAGCTCGCTGACAGGTTTCTCCGGATCAGAGTAGGGCAAACAAGGCACCAACCAAGGCACCAACCAACAGGGCTCGCAAGAGGTCAAAGTCGAATGTCCCAAAGGCCCCACGTTCCAAGATTCGGAAGCGTGACGATGGCAAGGCTCATACCGTTGTCGAGCCCCATGCATATAATGACGAACCTGATCGCCGACCTCATGCACATCCACCAGTTCGGTGCTCCTTCCCAACCGCCGAAAACTGCCAGTAGGACTTCGTCAAGATGTTCAACGCCAAATACTGACCACCTTTCCAGAAGCTGTCGGGAATGATGATGATGGGCAGAGATACTTATCTTAGTGGTTTGGTGCTCTGCAAGCCCTTGATGCCGCTTTCATACTTCATACAGCAGATCAAGTTACACGATTCCCCTGCCACTTCGCGAAACATATACATCAACGTTGGTTATAGACAACCTAACCATACCCGAAAGCTGAAATTTACCGTCGTTGTCTATCTCGAAATTCGCGAACAGCTCGTCAAGTACGGTGGACCAGAGTGCGAAGGTTCCTACACTTGCCACTGGGGAATATGCATGGGTTTCTTTCATATTAATCTCGAGTCATCCGCCGGTAACCAACACAGGAAGTCATGTGCCAAGGAAGCTTCAAAAGGCTACCGTAAAGGCCGCAAGATCGAGGAATTTTGCAGCCAGGACACCCACCGACCACGCTATCGATTACAGATGACCGTGGACGACTCGCTATCCAGAGTCGTCAGAGAATTCAGTTTGCTAAATCGAGCTGTCATTGGCAACGATACCTTGGCTCGGACGTACTGGTACAACTCCGAGGCCGGAGATCCGGTGTGGTCAGCAGCTTCCGCCGAACACCTCGGGAAATGGTTCCCCGACGGGACGAAGAAAATCGCGGACGTCTCATACGCCGAGAGGAGCGGAGAACTTCCCACGATGAAATGGGTTGATGGAGCTCATGTTTACAACGGCTAGGGCACTTCGATCAGTGATGTTTACACTCCATCGGAGGCAAAGGTCCTTGTGGACTTGAACAACCCTTCCGACCAGACCGAGGTTTTTCTTCGGTATTTGATCAAGTTCGGCAAGTCACAGCCCCTGTTTGTCCCAGAGTCGGAGGATTTAGCTGGACCACACTTCGTCAACATGCACAGCGGCTTTGGTGGCCGGTATAGCGTGTATCGTTGTGCTTTGTGTCATGGCCAACGCGCCAAGATCTGCCCAGTACCTACCCCCATCTTCCCCCGCGGCATCGAACACCTCGACGTGGCGTTGAACCATATGCTCCTGCAGCATTCCGAGTACAGCGACCATCGGAAACTCACGTACCTGGTAACGGAGCTGGAGCAGTCGGAAGGTGTGCGTGCTGCATATAGATATCTGTTTGGACGGGATGTATTTCAACAGGTTGTTCAGTACATGCGAGTTGGTGTACTGCCTCGCGCGCTTTCAGATGTCCTACACGAAAGACAGACGCGTCTAACTCGGTGCGTTGCGATGGCATCGAAGCCTGACTCGGCTGTAAACTCTGATCTCCCTTTGATCACGATTACGAGGGAGAGAGTGTGCAATAATGGGATGCAGAAATGGAGCGACCGCATGATACCGAAGGCTGTCATGAACAATTTCCTTGAGCCCGCATGGTGCCTATATAGCTCATATCATTCATATCATTTACCATCGCTTCGCATCAGGTTGCCGACCGGTTTTTACTCTTCCTCTCTGTCGGTAAGGCACCACAGTTATTCCGGTGCCTGGATAGGTTCGTGCTGAACAGTGTATATTCAGCGGCCAGGTCTTAATTAATCCGCACCAGTTCCCCAACGATCCTTCATTCTCAATCGCCGTCATTGTGAAAGGGCATGAGTCGACATCTACATATCCCTCCTCAAATCGCCATTTATTGATATCATACACCTACTCGTCTTCGATTGTACCTTCCGAGAATGCAACATCAGCTGTCCTCTTGCTGCTTCGCTGCGCTGGGCTCTGGTCTCCAGTTTGGGCATTGCTTTCGGCGGCCTGTCTGCTCTCTCGTTCAAATTAGTGTTGATTCAGCTACTGGGGTCCAACCAATACTCACTGTTCAAGCGTCTTCTGACACTTCTTGAAAGCTTCTTCTGGGGTCGCCACACGGACTCGTTGACCGGTGTGTGGGGGGCAACAAGCCCAGCGTCCTCATTGCCATCAGGTTGGCCATTCTCCTGCTTGACACTCTTGCTGTTGGAAGGGAGTTCGGGCTCTACTGTATCTTGATCGGCCGGTGCTTGTTCTACCATCTGGTGTTCGTGGTAAGCTGGGAAAGCTCGGTTAGTAGATGGTGCCCAGACTGTGGATGGCTGCCTGACTTACCCTCGACCGCGAGCGTCATGAGCTTGGCTCTGGAGCCACCATGGTCCTTGAGGACGCTAATCGTGATGTCCTGTACTTTCATCAGTCGTGCTCCTGCCACTTTAGTTGTGAACATACGTCGGTTACAGCGCCATGGTTGAATGGTAGATAGCTTGCTGATGGTTTCAATAGTGCATGTTGCGGAATATGCGAATCGTGGCTTGGATTGGATGGCTAGGTGGCAGGTTTTGGATACGAGTCCCAGCGCACGAAATGAAATCATCGTTGTGAATGGCACGGCATGGTAGTCGTCATAGGTGCATGCCTGGCGACCAAGGAATGCTGGGATGGGTGGGCGGTGTGTAGGATCTTGCAACGCTGGCAGAACTGAGCCCTTGTTGCGGCTGGATGTCTTTGTACAGGTTGTCGAGTACATGCGAGTTGAGGGAACGAACAGGAAGTACTGGACTCTCCAGGGATCCGGCAGACGTCCACGCTATGGGTGACCAGAGGGCAAACTGTTCGGGTGGAAAAAATCAGCCCACATTTTTATTAGGTGTACCTCAGGCGTCCCTCCCTGCCAATTCCTGTCGTTAAAACCATTTCTTCACGTATCGCCTACCACATTGCAAACACATAGCAGTAAAAGCTCCTCCAGATCTACCTGGCTTGATGTGTAGACATTTCTCTCATAACGATAGCAACCACGGAAACAGCATCGACAACAACATCGATAATGACGATATAACATCAATAACAAAATCGACAACGGCAACATTAACAACGACAGCATCGACAACAGCATCGACAATAGCAACGAATTTCTTAAAAACCAGGAGAAGTTCATATTGCGATCACGAGCCCCCTGTGTCTCTATCTACAAAGAGTACCTGAAGCCTTTGTTTTCAAGCTCCGTTTGGTCATGCATCCCTGCTTCCACCGCTGCTTTCTCATCTGTCGGCCCCATCGCGTCCCTCGCCTTGTTGACGCGCCACATGTAGACGTACAGCACTATGATCATGACCAGCTTGACGGTGTAGCCGACGAGCATGGCAATGTAGGCGCTGTGGTAGTATGCTGCGTGAAGTTAGCATACTGGGCAATGTCCAGAAGGGAGTTTTCTAGAAGACTTACGCGCTTCCGACTCTCGGAACGTCTGCGGTCCAATGATACTGCTATGTGTTAGCTTCCTATTGCTGAAGAAGAGGTGCTCTTCGAGCATCCAAGAACCAAAAGATGGAACGCGTTCACGGCGGTCATGCACAGGACATAATGGTTGTATACGTACTTTCCAACACAGTACCCTGTGAAAAGTATGGCCGCGGTCAACGACTTCTTCGTCGATCCTGCAATGTTGGAGGATATCATCGTCAGGGACATACTAAAGCCCAGCCCCTGAAAGTAGCAGAGCCATAGGGCAACCAGACGACCCCACTGAACACGTCAGTCCATATAACACAAAAAGCACAGGGAGATGCTAGTGGGCATACCTTGTTACTGTCTGGCAGTTTCACGAGAAGGGCAGACCCAAGGATACAGATCAAGTTGGCAACGATCATCGTAGGACATCTGGTCCCTCGTGGCCACTTGGTGCAGATCCAGCCACCGATGATGAGAGCCAGGAACTGGACTGCACCGCCAGGAATCTGCATGTACTGCGTGCCGAGGGCGTCGAAGCCGAAGCTTTTGATGATGGCGCTGGCGAAACTAGTAATGGCAGAATTTGGTACTTGGGCTCCAGTGGCCATGATAAATAGAATCCAGGTTTCTGCGAGCTCGAGGTCAGTACGTGCTGTCGTTTACAGAATGAACAGAGTCCCCCAGCCATTCCGAGAGCTCACAGCCAAAAAGCACCCCTGTATAGAACCAGGTGCTCACGATTGAAGCTGGGATACGGGAGGAATTCTGGGTGTCCTTACTCGGATCTAAAAGACACTGAATCGCCTGGTCCTTCTTGAAGTGGTGGTTTTTGACACCTTGCCTATTCCGAGACACCTAAAGCGTGAAACGTCAGTATTGCTGTTTTCATACCAAGCAAAAATATGCAAGATAAGAGCTCCAGCTTGTGGGTTTGAGGCCTGACTTACACGATCAATGGCAATGGTGCGCTCCCTTTCGTTCAGAAACCGGGCAGTCGCAGGGACATCAGGCAAGAAGATGAAGCTGAGAATGCCCTGGGCGAAACTCAGAGATCCGAAGATGAGGAAGACATACATCCATCTCGGGAGGCCAGTCGTAATATTGCCTACAGCGTAACCAATAAGACCACCGAACATGGTAGCTAGGCCGTTGGTGCAGTAATAGGCCTCGAGGCGAAGGGGCTGCTCCGCGGAGGTATACCAAATCGACATAATGATAACGAAGCCCGGATTTACCGTCGCCTCGGTGAATCCAAGGAGGAAGCGATTGGTCGCTATGCCTGCAAAGGAAGTGCAAGCGGGCGTAGTCATGACGATGATTCCCCAGACGATAGTTGTACATGACACTACTTTGCCGATAGGGAGTTTCTGCATCAGATACGCAGAAGGCAGCTGGGATGCCAAGTATCCAAAGTAGAATATCGAGCCTTTCCCACCGTCAGTGGCGTTCACGCTGCTTGATACAAGGGACTACATACCAAGCCATGAATAGTCCTGGCCGTGCAGATTCGTCCCTTGCTGCAAGCCATAGGTATTCGCAAAGTTGATGGAGTTCTTGTCGAGATATTGGAGGAAATATATCATGAAGAGGATCGGGACGACACGAAGATCAATCTTCCGTAGAACCCGCTTGGCCTCATCGTCGCTGGCGTCGAGGTCCCCGGGACCCTTGAAGAACTGGTAGTTGTCATCCAGGTCGCGTGCAGACGCCGCAGAGATGTCCTCCGAAGAGCTACCGGGATGGTCCGCCTCTAACGGTTGAAGAGGGCCATTCGGGGCCATTTTGCTGCTACTCATCGTCGGAGAACCAGACAGGAAGACAGGATGAGAGAGTCAAAAGCACGAACGAATATGACCTGAGCTATTCCAGAGAACCCGGTAATAAAGAGCTGCTAGCTCTCGTACACACAGTACAACAGAGGCCTGACCAGAGTTTTAACGGATATCACGACAAGCTCTGCACAATTGACGAGAGCAACTAGCTACCGTAGCTACCGTAGCTTGAATCGTAGACTGACTGGAATTCTCCACAAACTGGCGACAAGGCGGATCCTATTACAAACGAGCAGAGAGGAGATTTCAAGAACGTCATGTTCCCGAACAGGGCGGCCAAGCACCCAGGGCCACCGTCCCTGGAAAACAACATGGTTTGTTCGGGGCAGTTGCGCCGAAACGGTGAGCATGGCCGCCATGACTGCTTGGGAGCAACGGGTCAGCCGAGCTGGGAGGGATGGCGAGGCGTGGCAGCGGCCGGACAGCCAACAACGTGACGACGATGAGGATGGCATCATCGAGGGGGACGTTGAGGTGATCAAAGACGCGCGTGGTGGATTCGCGAACCGCAGGTGCCCCGAAAATTGCGGGGGAGGCCTAGGAAGAATGGGAACAATAGGAAGACCGCTCAAACCCGCCTCCAGGTGCCCGCTTGGGTCCATCGCGGGCCTGCTTCTATGCATACTTCTACGGGCCTTGTCGTCGGCCGCCCAACCAGATCTCCGGTGCCAGCCACGAGCCGTCAGCCCCTTTATTATAGTCGTTGAGGCTAGCAGTCAGAGCTTTCAAGGCTAACAGGCGGTCAGGGCTGTCAGGGCGGTGTCGTGTTCATGGATGCAAGAGTCTGCTGCTGCTGTTAGTTGGCTGAAGACATAGCCATGCGGACCTCGGACATAACGGACTTACCTCAGGGGAGGAACTCGAAACATGCAGACCTGAACGTCTTCTGTTATATTCAACGACTTCGATGCTCTTTTTCGTCGATGCTGTTCTCAATACTGTTGTCATCTTTCAGCCCATGTTATTGACGCTGGTGCTCTGGAGGCTTTTGATACCGCCTAGACACACCCGGGCAATGTGTAGACGACCTCACCCCGTCCCCATGGTTCGGCACGTACTGGCGTGTTCAAATGCTAATGGCATTACTGTATGGGATATCATAGGAGATGTGGCATCTGATCGGCAAGAACGCACCGCCCTCTACACTGTTTCGATATACCGCTTGAGCTCCCAATCCGTGACGGCTTCGTCCCAGAGCCGGATCTCGTGATTTCGCGTGCCGGCGAAATGATCTACAAAGTCGTCACCAAATACCTCGCGCGCAACGCTTTCTTTTCTGGCGAACCTGTCTGTAGCCTCCCTCAAAGTCTTTGCCAGGCGGGCACCGCTGTCGGCGCTTCCACCCACGTCCTCGCCTTTACCCAGCGGGGGGATGGGAATCTCCATCTTCTTTTCCACGCCGCGCCATCCGAGCCCTAGGATTGCCGACATGACGAAAAATGGGTTCGCATCCGCGCCTGGCACCCGAACTTCGAACCGGGTCGCGCCTGCCTTGGAAGTGGGCGGCGCAATGATTCGAATGGATGCGGCCCGGTGCTCAAGACCCCACGATACTGTCACCGGCGCCCAGAAGTTCTCAACCAGCCGCTTGTAGCTGTTCACCGTAGGTGCCACCATGGGCATCACATCAGGTAGGCCGTCCAGGATACCCGCCAAGAAGTGTCGGCCCAGGTCGCTCAGGTGCGCAATGTCGGGGTACTGGGAGTTCTCGTCCTTCTTCTCGCGGACGAAGAGGTTCTTGCCATCCTTGTCGACGACCGAGACGTGTGTATGCCCACTGTTCCCCGGCAGGCCTTGCTTGGGCTTGGCCATGAAGCAGGGCGTTATACCGTACTTGCTAGCGACGGACCGAACAGTGTACTTGAACAGAGACGCTCGATCTGCCATTCCCGAGATCTGACCAAATTCGAGAGCCGCCTCGTAGACACCCGGTCCACTCTCCGTATGCCACCCTTCAATGTCGCATTGGAACTTCTGACATGTATTGAACACGTCATAGTAGTAATCCTTGTTGAGGGTTGGCCGCGTGATGCTGTATCCGAACATACCCTCGGTTAAGGAAGGGATGGACGCTGGGATATTGTCGCGCATGTAGGCAGCGGCCGATGAACTCGAATCGGAGGGGGCCTTGAATTGGAAGAACTCGAACTCGGCTGTGGAATCCTCCATGTCAGTATGTAGATCAAACTCGTGACTAAAAGAGGCGGCTGGTGTACACACCTCCTGCCATGGCATCGTAGCCATTCTTTTGGAGTTTCTCAAGTTGCGTCTTGAGTAAGCCACGGGGGCAGGCGCAAACAGGCTTCATAGTGTCTGGGTCCATAAAGCTGACGAGGAAGAAGGGAACGTCGTCCTCCCAGGGTATGCGCCTGAAGCTGCCCAGGTCGGGAACAGCGATCAGATCGCGGTATCCGTTCTCCTTGTTGCTAACCTTGAGCTCTTGTATATAGGTCATGTCGTGCATATCCCAGCCGAAGATGACGCTGCAGAAACCGAAGCCCTCTTTTGCGATTGAGAGGAACTTCTTCTTGGAGACGACCTTGCCGCGCAACATGCCGTCAACGTCGATTCCTGCTACCTTGACCTTGGTGTCATCCTTGAGGACCTCGGGCAGGGTCTCGATCGTTACGGTATCGGAAGAGGCAGACATGTTGAAAGCGCGCACGAGGTGGCTCGAACTGGACACGACTCGAATGATGGGAGGAGGAAGCTTGCTCAAATCGCTCGACCTGGGCAAGTCTAGGGTAAGAACTGTCTATGCAAGATTAAGTAGCGGCGCAAGCTGAAGCCGGCTAGAGGAATGCAGAGATAACGAGTGCGAATCTCAGCGCAGGGAGAGTCTCTAGACTATGAGTACTGCACTGTCAGACTCGAACTTGAATGAAGGTACGGTAGTCGAGGGATGGATCATGGATCATGCACGGAAGAAAGGGAGATAGCTGGAGAGCGGTGCCTTGTATTGGCGGGATGGACAATGACGCGGGCGAATCGGTGCAAGAGGTCCAGACCTGCAGCTGGAGACACCAGCGGGGTGGGCCGACCTTATCCCCCCCTCATCCGTGTCCCACGTCCAGGCTAGCAGTAATAAGATAAGCTCACCTTCCATTCACCACCATTCACACCTTAGCAGCTCCTTCTGATGAACTGCTTCCGCCTTTGTCACAGCCATCTGCAAGTTGGCAACTGCACAACCGAGTCGGGGAGCAGAGGAGTCAGGCTCGAACGCCCGCCAGTTCGCCAGGCTGTCGTCATATAACGGTTGCCTCTACTAATTGGACAGCTTCGCGATGCTTCATCTCACCCTCAAGGGGCTACTCTACTCGGTGAGCAGAGTGTCGGCATGTCGGCTGACACGGCGTGACTGCCAGAATAGACAGGCTGGCCTATGAGATATCCCGTCGTTACAACCAGTACATATACGCGCCTTACAAGGCAGAACTCGGCTGTCTGCTGCATGGTCCATATGCTCAGGTGATCTATCTACATCAAATGTCAATGCTACGTGGTAAAATGACCGACGTCATATCCAGAGACCCTGTCTGAGGTGATGTTTGTCCCCGTCTCCGTCCCCATCTCCTTTTACTACTCACTCATGCTTACCTTATTGTTCATCCATCAACTTCCAAAAAGCCTCATGATTGCATTTATAATGCATTGGAGCCTGTTGACCGCTGCTTCCATCGCAAACTTGCAGAGCGGACTAAATAATGACTCGCGATCAATACTCGTAGACGCAGACTAGTCGGTACAATCACCCCCTATAAGTTTCCATCCGGCATGTCTGCATCCATTGTTTGATATTTATTTTTAGGGAATAAGCAGCTTCGATTTGGCGAGCCATCTTGGATGCTTATCCCAGATTGCTTATTTCATACTAAACATACCTCTCGCTTGCTGAACGAGGGGTGTATAGAGAGACGTTGACGATGACTGAAGCTGCCGAGTTGATACGCAGCGGTGACCCAAGATGCGCAACAATCACATACTCAATATTGTTGCGTATATAAGTGATAAGTGAAGTTTGACTAATCCGCAACGGATAAGATCTGACTTGAAATCATATTGACTGTACTACACCGTCATAAAATTATAAAAGATATACACGCCAGACTCAACGCCAGACTGGACTCACTGAAGTGACAACTGCAAGCGGTTACATGAATATTAGGTAATTACTTACCGCCATTTCGACGGATGGACCACCCCTCTTTGAGACTTTGATCCTCAGCCCTCCACTTCTCTTCATTGCCTCAACTCCTTCGAACTGCACGTGTCAACCATCAATTGCTGCCATCACCATGATCGTACCGTACCATCACCCCTTTTTATGTACCTACTGACAGGGTCATGCCAAAGACTATGTTGTCTGGGCTACTCTGGCCGTGGTGCAAGGAACGGTGTGCCCGACCACCTTATCTGTGACACGAATCAGACGGCTCCGACCCAACAAGCAGCAATCTGAAGCCACCGCCTGTACCGGGCTTCAGGCCATCTCTCCCGAGTCCTGATAAGACTCATACCTAATAAGAAGTGGCAGGGACATCAGGGTCTCGAGTCCTTATCGCATCTCTTGAGACTTGCGCCCGCTGCCCCGCCGTTCTCGGCAACGCGCTGCCCCTCCAACCCTCTCAGTATTCAGTCATTCCACCGTGACTGCTCCGAGCCCGGCTCGCGCGCTCCCACATCAGGGTCCAATTGCCTACAGTAGTAAGGAGCACCAGGTGGGCTATCGGTCCCTCCTTTGCATTCACTGGCAGATTCATTGGCAGAATCATCTGCTCATTTCTGATTTCTTATATCTCTCATACCATTGCTCTGTGGACAAGGACAGCTGTCAACTGGCCCCCTCTCCGCTCTTTGTCCATCGCGCGCATACTCTTCCAGATACCCGTTTCTCCCTTCCAACCTCCCTTGTGTGTTCGCAAACCCAAGCCTTCTCGTTCTTCGAAACGCCTCCATATCTATTACCTTCGTCGTGACGATTGCGCAAACTTGACACACACTACAATGGGCTCAGTCGCAACAGAACCCAAGGGCCGCCTCTCTGGCAAGAATGCCATCATCACTGGAGCTGCTGGGTGAGTGGCCCTTCTCTTCACGCCGCTGGCCGAGTGTTAGGAAGCTTGCCACAGCAAAAAGATGCGCCTGAGGGTACAGTGAGAGACGAGATGGTAGGAAGCTGACGTACGTGCCCAGCGGCATCGGTCTCGAGACCTCGATCCTCTTCGCAAAGGAGGGCGCGAGAATCATGATGGCTGACATCTCTGCCCCCGCGCTCGAGAAGGCCAAGGCCAAAGTCCAGCAACTCGTACCAAACGCCAGCCGAGTGGAAACAATGGTATGTCACACATTACACTCGTGCCTCCCGATCTTCCCAGTACACAAGGACTAATCCAACGCTGTACTACAGACTTGCGACGTTTCCAAAGAAAGCCAGATCCAGGCCATGGTCGAATCGCTCGACTCCTGGGGCGGCCTCGACGTCATCTTCAACAACGCAGGCATCATGCACGCGCGCGACGACGACGCGGTCGGTACACCCGAGGACATCTGGGACCTTACAATGTCGATCAACGTGAAGGGTGTGTGGTACGGATGCAAGCACGCCGTCTTGGCCCTACGCAGACACAACAAGACCAAGGGGAGCATCATCAACACGGCCTCGGTCGTGGCCCTTGTCGGTTCGGCGACACCACAACTAGCCTACACCGCTTCCAAGGGCGCCGTCCTCGCACTGACTCGCGAGTTGGCCATCGTCCACGCGCGAGAGGGATATCGTTTCAACAGCTTGTGTCCCGCACCCCTGAACACCCCCCTATTGCAAGACTGGCTTGGCGACGACAAGACCAAGCGCCTGCGCCGGGAGATTCACCTTCCCGGCGGCCGCTTTGGCGAGGCCATCGAGCAAGCGCAGGCTGTTTTGTTCCTAGCAACTGACGAGGCTAGCTTCGTCAACGGCCACGAGATGGTCGTCGATGGTGGAATGACAAAGGCATACGTCACCCCTGAAGGTCCATCCACCGTCCCGCCGAGCAACAACGCGTCCAAGACCGAGCTATGATTTCAACACCTCAGCAGCGGACTACGGTCAGGAGTTCAGGTTTAGGTTTTGGGGGTGTGGCTTTATGCGATTGCATTCAACCGATGGCGAGGTACAGATTGCTTTGAGTGGAAGGGAAATCTCCTGGATGCATACCCGGTAGGCAGACTAGTTCTTACAAGTAGACTTTCAATGATATGACTACTATGATTTACATTGCTAAATGATTGACGTGATGGACATGGTCCATGGACTAATCGTTTCCATCGTAGATAGACTGGCTTCGAGCAGGAGGAAACCTTGAGGGGTATCGTTGCACGAACATGAAGGCAGATGGACACCGCGATAATTCCCTGGGACAGAACAATTTGCAAAAGAAACCAAAGACAATTTTAGAGATGTGTTCTATTAGACCGGAACCCCTGATACAGGGACCATGGCAACAATCTTCTTTCTTGCTACCTGCCAGTGGAATGAATCTCAACAACTGCACAGAGTGGTATTCCATATCTAACACTTGCCTTTGGACTAATCTGCCTAGCCGAGTCTGCACCATGCCTTACCATTCCCTCAACGCCAAGCCCTTTATGTAAAGAAACACCAGCTTCTCTCTCTAACAAGCAGGCAACTCTATGCAACTACTCCATAGCAGTGAAGCGAAAACCTGTCACAGCTTCTCGTGCTTCTATCGAGATCATAGCTCCGACTTCTTCTCGTCCTGTTTTGGTAGCTGGGCCCCGAGGAAAGATTCAACCTCGTCAAGCTCCTCCAGACAAGCCGAATGTGCCATACCTCTGTGTTGGGAAGTTAGAAAGCAGGCCCCATCAGACAGAAGAGGCGAGCAACAGTGACTTACGGATACATCTTCATCGTGACTTTGAAACCCTGCGACTTGAGCATCTCATACGATTCCTTGCCAAACGCGGTCGGCACGACGGGATCCACGGCCCCGTGGCACATGAGGATGGGTGTATCATGGTTCTGGTCGTCCTCCTTGAGGAAGTTGGGGAACTTGGCATCCAATGGCAGCCACGATGACAGACCGATGATACCGGCCAGCTTGACCTTTGCCGTCAGTCCGGTGAAGAGGGACATGGCACCCCCTTGAGAAAATCCGCCGAGAACGATGCGATTTGCGGGGATGCCCGAATCGATCTCGGCTTGGATTAGGCCGTTGAAGTAGTCTCTGGTCTGCAGAATGCCGTTCTCATCTTGGTGGGCTCTGATATCCTCAATCCTGCCATTCAGTGCAGCCTGGTGAGGTTAGACATCCGACAGTACCACAAGACTGGACGCAAGACACAGAGAACTTACGATGTCGAACCATCCAGGCATCGCCATGCCTCCAGCCTGGTTCCATAATCAGCTTCCACCTCATCGTCTGTTACGTGATCAAGGGGGACTGACAGCTGTAATCGGCAGGCGCGGAGCATGAGGCAAAATGAACTTGACCTCGTCCAGCCGCTGTCGCCGTCTCCAGTTCTCAACAGCCGAGGCCCATCCGTGTCCTGTGTCGCCCAGGCCGTGGACGAAGATGACCGTGGCCGTGTGCTTGGCGGCGGCCGGGAAGAGCAGCGGCTGAGATCTCATGATGGGCATCGCGGATGCAGTCCTCGTTGCAAAGACGGCGGTGATGGTGCACGAGAGAAGCGTCAAGACGGCGATCCAGTAGATGGAGGTGGAAAAGGCTCTGACATTCGCTTTCATTCACTTTGACTCGATGGTCGTGCCAGAGTGAGAGCTGTGGAAGTGGATGGATTTAATGTGAGGTTCGATTGGTCGACACTGAGGCTGCTGCACTTCATTCAGCGCCCCTCCTTCCCACGGAACAGGGCTGTTTGTTAGCTGTCGTAACACCCTGGAGGCGCCCGACTTATGTACTAAAAGCACAGTCGTAAACTCCCAGCGAGGAACATATACGACTGTCGATTTGCTCAAATGTGAGACAATGACAGATTTACTGGGAGCTGCTTTGCATTGGAATCGCCACAGGGCTCGACAGGCTGCTGACCGATCTTTCGTAATCGCTGAAGAATCGGGTATTAGGTGATCAACTTAGCGGTCCGGCTGTCCCGTTTCAGCTCCGATTCAAGTCGGGAACAACATATGAACTTCGAGACAGTCGCATACCTAAGTATATAATTCCACCTGTCTGCCGGCACGACAAGTCGATACATAACCTCTTGCCTTCCTCATGGACTCCTTCACATCGTTCAGAAGACCATTGCTCATACTCGCAACCATTGTTGTGGCCGTGGCTATCTTGCTGTCAAATCCATCGTCTCGTAACTTGTTACCCCTATCGACACTGGCCTCTCTGCCTTCATTGCTTGCGATGTATTCGCTCACGAGCCCCTTTGCCACCAAATCAATGTCGACAAAAGCCCCCGTCTACTTCTTCAGCCATGGCGGCGTAAGTCGATTGGCTTCCCATGCATGCATTCGACCCGTAGATTTACTGACGATAAGTTGCAGCCGGACGTGATGTACAATACAGCGCATCCTGCATTCCCCGTGCTGCAGAAGATAGGCAAGGAGATCACCGAGAAGGTGAAACCAAAGGCAGTCGTCGTCTTCTCTGGGCACTGGGAGGCTGAGCCCAGGAAGATCGAGGTCAATACGGCAGTAAAGACCGATTTAATCTATGAGTAAGTCATTGACCTCTACGGTCATCCAATGATTCTCGGCCACTAATACACAGACAGCTTCTATGGCTTTCCGTCGAATTACTACAAGGCCCAATACCCAAACCAGGGTAGCCCAGAACTAGCTTCCAAAGTTCTCGGTCTCCTGAAGCAGGCTGGGATCCAGTCCGAAGGCGTTACCAGGGGGCTCGATCACGGTGTATGGTCCGGCTTCCACGTCGGTGAGTATGGCAGTCTCGAATATGATGTGCTCTTAACTGACACGCATATAAGCTTTCCACCCCGAGAAGAACCCTCTCAACGTACCCCTGGTCCAAGTCAGCCTCTACAATAACCAAGACGTCGACTCGCACTATCGACTAGGGCAAGCCGTTGCCGCTCTGCGGGACGAGAACATCGTTGTCATCGGCGCCGGCATGTCGGTGCACAACCTGAGAGACTACTTTGCCAGTCAGGGTAGCTCGCAGCCGATGCCTTACACGGTGTCGTTCGACGAGGCTTTGAAGGATGCGGTCGAGGCTCCGCCCAGTGAGCGACAGGCTCGCATGGCGGAAGTGGTTAAGCGGCCAGATGCCAGACAAGCCCATCCGCGGTTCGATCATCTCATGCCTGTCTATGTGGCCGCCGGTGCTGCTGGTGATGATGTTGGGAAGAGAACTTGGACGTTACATGAGGGCAGTATGGCGTGGGCTCAGTGTCGGTTTGGGAACGTTCCAGCATGATACACTGCTGCACGCCCTTTGACCAGTTAGCGGACATTGAAGAGGGCTCCTTTTATCTGGAATAAGCACCATGTAATGATCACCGACAGTGGCCGCTTGAGACTGTTCATTCCAGCCAGCTTATTCCAGTCACGACAACAAGCATCTCGAGAGGGGTGATTGTAGCAGCTGAGGGCAGGCAATCAGTGGCGGAGCAGATCAAAAAATCGTGACATTTCCCAAGGCCCAGGCGCCTCTATCCTTCCAATTCTATAGGTGACGTTTCTAAGAAACCCGATTCCACTCCTTCGCTATGCTCCATGTCTGGATTGCCCTTCTTGCCGCATATTGCACGACCCCAGAGGTGGTAGAATCACGCATGTGGCCCACCAAGCAGTGCCTGCTTGGCATAATGCACATCCTCAGACGTCCCGCAGATCAGCCCAGCCGTCTCGTTCAGATCCTCCAGGTTCTTGTCGAGGATGCGCTTCCCATACGCCGGGTCGAGAGCCTTTCCACCCGCGCACTCCATGATGAGAGCAATAGGGTACAGCTCATACAACCGCCGCAACTTCGCCTTGTGCGCGTCCATGACTGGGTTGACGTACACACCGTGGCCCTTGACGAGCGCATGCACCACGTCCGGGACAAGCCCGCCGCAGTACCGCAGTGAGTAGTTGTTCTCGATAAAGTGCGAGATCAGCTTCATGTACTTCTCGTCCTCGCCCGCGACCCGCAAGTTGGCCGGCGCGAAGTACCGCGTCTTGAAGGGCGGTTTCGCGAGCTTGACCTCCTCCCGCACGATCTCGCAGTCCCGCGCGCCGTTCTCGCCGATGCCGATCTCCAGACACGCCGGCTCGCAGCCCGGGACGCGGAGCGCGATGAAGGCCGTGGTCCGCGGGCCGTAGACTCCCAGCACGGAGGCGACCAGTTTGCTGGCGGGCGGTTGGTTCAGCGCCGTCGGGCCCTGCCAGATGCCGATGATGGTGCCGACGGTCCAGTTGGGCGCGATGATGGAGCTGCCGTCTAACGGGTCGAAGGCCACCGTGTAGTGCTCCTCGGGGACGGCACCGCCAGATGGGACGTCCCCCTTTTGCGCCGGTCTCTCGACCGGGTCCTCCTCGCTGCTGGCGGTCGCGACGGCGGGACAGCGCGCAATGGCCTCGCGGATGCTGTTCTCGGCCAGGACATCGACGTTCAGCTGGTCGTCTCCGAACGCGTTGGCAGAGCCGGCCTGCGACACGTGGTGGGCTTGCCGCAGGGTCTTGGCGATGTCGGCGATGCAGTCGATCAGTGTTGGCAGCACGGATTCGATGAGTGCTGTGTGGACGCCCGACGGCGCGGCCGACGCCAGACGTTCTGCGAGGGCGGCAGATACCTTGGAATTAGAAACGGTCATTTTGGGGGAAGGTGATAGTCGTTGAAAGGGAGATGAGGGTATCGAGACAGTTGTACAATTGTACAGTATGCGAGTCTCTCCCTGCAGCTTGAAGATATTTATTCTATCTATTTCACAGCGTTGAAAATAGCTCAACGCGAGTGACGGCACAGTGGGTCTTGACTCAGGTCCCAACGACCCAGCGACCCAACGGAGGACCAGGTCCGCAAGAAAGCCTCAGATAAGGATCGAAAAGACTGGGCGATTCTGCAGGTTCCATCATCATACTGATTACAAAGTGTGGGTTTCGATCCCACTTTACAGCTTGGAAGCCTGCTCGTTTGGTCTCGATGAAGATTGAAGTGAAGGTGAAATCACAGAGCTGAGAGTGGTCGGGCAGTCAGGGAGGGCATCTGCAGGCGTACATTTCCACTCTGAGCCAAATTGGCCGCAGCTGATTGGCTGTTGGCTATGAGTTAGTGCTTTCGGGGTCGCATACTCACAGGGCTGTTGTAGGTGTCAGTCGCATCCAAGAGTGCTTCGATGTTCTGTCAAAAGACGATATTGAATTTGATTTACCTAGTATCTACGGTAGGTACGAGGATATGCACTTGTTGCTGCGCTGGTGTGAAGGTCACACAGGTATGCTATGCTGTTGCTGCCCGGGCCGACTATAGCCATCACATCATTGTTGCGTAGCCGTTCACGATCGATATCACTCTGCTAGCCCGTTGTTCGTTGACGTCACTTGACAGGTGTGACATTCATGTTCGGTATCATTCAAAAAGAGCTCCTCACTCCCCCATTGCCTTTTCATAGACAGTAATATTGATGCCAATATCGAAAACCCATACACATACCCCATCGAAATAACTCATACCCACACACCAGCAAGATGCCGATCGAATACAAAGGCGCAAAGGTGCCGACAAGCTACGCAACAGTCAGCATCGGTCACAAGGAATCACATACTCTGCCCTTGAAGCTCAAGGCCATCGCCGATGCCGGGTTCGACGCCATTGAGCTGGGAATGCCTGACATTCTGGCTTATGGCAAAATGCTGAATGGCCAGGAGCCGGACCCCAAGGACCACGATACCCTTGTTGCGATTGGAAAGGAGGTCAAGAAGCAAACACAAGAACACAAGCTCAAGATCCTCATGTTGCAACCGTTCGCCAACTTTGAGGGATGGCCCAAGGGGAGCAAGGAGAGAAAAGATGCGTTCACACGAGCAAAGGGGTGGATGCGAGTCATGGAAGCTGTGGGAACCGACATGCTGCAGATCGGATCCTCGGACGCCCCGGGGATATCGTCCTCGTTCGATGAGCTAGCAGGTGACCTGGCTGAGTTGGCAGATCTGATGGCGCCAAAGAGGATGCGTATCGCATACGAGAACTGGTGTTGGGCCACGCATGCCCCCGACTGGAAGGACGTGTGGCAGATTGTGCAGAAGGTGGACCGACCGAACATCGGTCTATGCTTGGACACGTTCCAGAGTGCTGGAGGAGAATGGGCAGATCCGACCACCAAGTCTGGGCTTGTGGAGGGAGTGTCGAAACAAGACTTGGAGTTTAGATGGAACGAGAGCCTTTCCGAGCTGGCCAAGACGGTACCACCGGAAAAGATCTTCCTGCTTCAGATATCGGATGCCTACAAGATGGACCCTCCCCTGGAAGCAAAGGCCGACAGCGAGGGACTGAGACCACGGGGTCAATGGAGTCACGACTACCGACCGATACCTTTTGACGGTGGTTATCTGCCCGTAAAAGATTTCCTCAATGCCGTGCTGAAGACCGGGTTCAGGGGCTTCCTGTCGGTGGAAGTGTTTGATGGAAAGGGACCGGATAAGTACAGTGACATGGGTGAGTTTGGAAAGAAGGCTATGACGTCTCTTGAGAAGCTGTTGAAAGGACAGTAATATGGATGACCTCTGAGTAAAGTCCACTAAGATAGCAATGTCATCTGTTATAGCATCCTGTACATACATAGGTAGGCGTCCAGGCGTCTGTCCGTGCCTTTGTCGAGACATCCGTTCGTGCCGTTGTCCAGGCGTCTGTCTGTCCCATGTTCTCAATAACGTGCTCTCTCATCGACGACGCCGCCCAAGCCAAATTAGCCTTAACAACTCTACATGTAGCATTTACTACACGCTTCTTCGAGTGAGTCTCAGATGGGGTCCACAAACATTCCATCGTTCATACTACAAAGGGAGTATGGGTAGATGATCTGGATGCCCCGCTATTGGTTGACTGACCACAAGTTAGTCAACGTCATCCATTTTCTGATGATGCGCAGACGCGACTAAGGGAAGCTTGTTAGGTATTAGATCTTGGCTGGTACACCTACGCCAATGAGACAGGAATGTACAATTCCAAGACGAAGACAATAACTCAACCTCAACCTCGTATCGCTCAGCGGCCACTTGGTAACACACTACAGTCCTAGGCACTAACAGCAATAACTCTACCAGCGATGACCAAGTCACAGTCCAACCTCTCGCAGATGAAAGACTTCCTGTCTTATCTCACAACAGTCAATGGCGACCTATCGAACATCACCGCGCCACCATTCGTCCTGTCGCCAAAGTCAGTCACCGAGATTCCCGCATCATGGGCTGAGCGGCATGATCTATTCCTGCAACCGGCACAGGAGAACGATCCCACAGAGCGCGCACTCCTGATCCTGAAGAACTTCCTATGCAGTCTAAAGAGGCATGTATACACCGCCGCCTCAGAGGGCTCGGACGGCGGGGCCAAGAAGCCGCTCAACGCCTTTCTGGGCGAGCTCTTCCTGGGCACATTCGAAGGCCGCGATGGCAGCACGACGCAGCTCATATCCGAGCAAGTGTCGCATCACCCGCCCGTGACGGCTTGCACCCTCTACAACAAGACCCATGGTGTCTCGTCGTCGGGTTATGTCGCGCAGGAGACCACCTTCAGCCCTACAGCCGGCGTGAGGGTGCAGCAGATCGGCCACGCCATCATTCGTGATGAGGCACACCGGGAGTCACATTTGATGACTTTGCCGACCGTGGCCGTCAAAGGTCTCGTAACAGGCCATCCCTATCCGGAACTGGAGGGGACATCTTACATCTCATCAAGCTCGGGGTTTCTTGCTACGATCGAATTCCAAGGCAAGAAGACAATGGGCTTCGGCACCAAAAACAGCGTACGTGCCGATCTGAAGAACATCAGAGATGGTGGGAAGCAACTGTTCGAGGTGACCGGGCAGTGGAACGGACGGCTTATCATCAAAGACTGTGCCAGCGGCGCCGTGGTCGAAGAATTCAACGTGGATGAGGTACCCTTCACTGAGTTGAAAGTCAAGCCGGCCGAGGCCCAGAGTCCATGGGAGTCGAGAAGAGCCTGGAAAAAGGTCATCGAAGGCGTCCATACGGGAGACATGCACACCACCAGCGACGAGAAGAACAAGCTCGAGGAAGCGCAGAGAGCTTTCCGCGCAGCTGAAGAACAAAACGGCATCGAGTGGCCCAGAGTGTTCTTCCAGCATTCCAATGACAGTCAGGAGTACGCCCTCTTGGCGGGAATCATTCCGGACGAGGCGGTCAAGAAGCCGGATCGGAAGCGGACGGCAGGCGTATGGAAGTTCATCGGCGTTGAGCGAGCAGAGGCTTTGCTGTCTGAGGGCGCGCCGGTCTATCATAACTCGTTGGAGCCCACGGGGCAGAGAGATCCCGAGTAACCATGTGTTATGAGGGTTTTCAGCGTTTGAGATCCATCGATTCCAGGCCGTACGCTGCAATATACACAAGACGTACACGGTCCAGTGAATCTCTTTGATTGAGCGGCATCGTGCGCAAGAATTCCTACTTCGGCCCAAGACGATCACCGCCTTCTCAGTGAATAGGCCGTTTCCGCTGCGCATCGGTCACGAATATATCCATACCAAGGACATGACTGCCACGTCGCCCGGTGGTCGCCTTTGAAGACGCTCGACCAATTTATCCTTGACCTGAGCAGTCAGAGCCTCAGAGGTGAGCTTCAAATACTCCAAAGAACCTTCGATTGGCTTGGATACTTTCAGGCCGGGACCGCGCGATCGACAAATGGACCCCTGAATCGAGCGGACACCAATCCCAAATCCCCCTGCGTATAGTAGCATCGGAAAAGAAATCGTACTGAACCCTGGTACGACGATAAAGCTGTCCGGATCGGTTATCTCCACGGTGAAGGACGGTGAAGCCCACACACCTATGAGAGCATATAATCTAATGTTAGGGTAATAGAGCTAGAATTATAATTAATCGAGGCAGAAGTTCCAAGTCCAGGTCACCCTCTTGCAGCAGCCCGACAGTCATCGGACCATTGATTTGTCAAAGGTCCCGGAGAGGGACGATCGAGATTGCAACACCAAGCCCGCAGCCGCATGCCCGCATAACTAATCAATCTTATCTTGGCATTATACGTCTCTTTCGGGTGTGATTCTGGCCAAGATGTCATTAATCTACCGGTACTCCAGATCAGATGGCGTGGTTACTGGCTAAAAGGTATGGTACACGCGCAAGACTTATACAAGCCAAGACCGTGCTCTCCGGGTGAACTGCTGCATACGGTATCGTCTCGCGATGCGCCCTCCCGACGCCCTGGCAGGTTACCCCGACCTCTACATGATGCGATCAAAGGGAGATAAGAGCAATACCACTCACCTACCTAAACAGGATAATGTTGACCTGGCCCTACGCGGGGTACTGCTGTAGTAAAGCTGCCGTCGCGTCGTAGATTCGTGATGTTTTCCCGGTGTCTTCTCTCCTTTCCTCTTCAGTGACAGGACCATCACCATACGGCAGCCATGAAGTTCTCTGCTGTTGGCGCTGTCGCGCTCGCTGGTATCGTAGACCTGGTAGCCGCGCAGAACAACACGACCACGACACCCACGGGTACTCCCACCGAGGCATGCGCCGTCGTGAGCTCAGCCTGGGCAGCGCAGCTAGACGCAACAGCGACGCCAACCGTCGAGGCGTCGATAGCGTACGAGTGCCTCAACTCGGTCCCCATCGACAAAGATGGCGCTCTCCAATTCATCGACGAGATGGCGCCGTACATCGAGTGGCAATCCGACACGGCCTTCAAGAAGAGCCCTCCGAAGGACTACTTCTACCCAGGTTACGACATCTGGGCGGTGATCGCCGAGGTGAGAGCCGGCATCGAGGCCGGCGAGTACGCCAGCGAATACGCCTGGCAAGTCGACTTGTACAAGAAGCTCTTCGGTCAGGGCCACGACGGCCACTTCGTCGTGTACCCTGACGCCTTGTCGGCCGCTATCGAATGGGCGAGGCCCTATGCTCTGATCTCGATCAGTGAGGAGGGCCCGGCCGGCTCGGCTCCGGTGATCAAGGTGTACGAGGACGTCGTCTCGTCGCCGGACACGGCATCTGTGGTGACGTTGATCAATGGCGTCGACGCTGCTACCTATATCCAGGACTGGGTTGTGCAGGTTACTTCTAACCAGGACGTCGACGCGGCCTACAACTCCATGTTCTTCACCAAGGCGTTTGCGGCTGAGCTTGCCAACCTGGGATACTTCCAGTCGGGCGGGCGTGTGAGGTACAACCGGCTCAAGAACGTTGCGTCTATGAGTACACAGTGCTGACGGTCTTTTAGATATGTCTACCCCGGTGAAGTCACCTCGTTCACGTTCGAGAATGGAACATCCTTGGAAGTGTCCAACCTTGCCAGACTGAAGGGGTCCTGGACCGGTGTGGTCGATGGTCCATCCTTCTTCACCAAGTTCTGCCCCGGCGCGGCCAGCAATGCCCCGCTGACTTCAGCGACCACCGCAACGGCTACGGCCACGGCGGCAGCGGCTACAGCTACCGTGGAAGGCTACCCCGAGCCGGTCATCATCTCCAGCGATGGTATCATCTCCGGCTACTTTGTAGATGAGCCCGGCTTCGAGGATGTGGCTGTCATTGCCATGCTGTCGTTCTCTCCCGACGACCCAGTCGAGTTTCAGCACGTTGCACAGGACTTCTTTGCCGCCTGTGTTACAGCTGGAAAGACGAAGCTGGTTGTTGATGTACAGGCGAACGGTGGTGGATACAGTAAGTCATACCCAGACCCCCTTTTATCAATTCCCCATCCCATCGTGTTCACCTTACAGGGGGGTTGATGTTGGTACGGGTGGCCGAATGACATGCGAAACCTCGAACCCCTACCTTTGCTGAAGAACTATCTGCTGATTACCGAGATCTACAGTCTTTTCGGGATACGATCTTTTCAGGCAACTGTTCCCAGACTTTGTCCAAGAAGGCCTCGGCCGATGGAGGGACAGCGACGGCTTCCTAGCCGTTTCCGACGTGTATTCATCGAACACCGCCGACTTTGACGCCGACACCGCCTCTGTCGACACCATCCTCATGTACGAATCGGTCTACAACTGGCGGTACGACCTCAACATCACAAACGAGCACTTCACCTCGTACGAGGACAAGTTCGGCCCGGTGCAGCACCTCGGGGACAACTACACCAACCTGATGCAGTGGGACTTCAACGACCCGCTCAACACCATCAACGCCACCTTTGGGTTCGGCACCGACATCACGGGCTACCGCAGCCGCGCCAACTTCACGCGCCCCTTCGGCGGCCCCGAGAATATTGTCTTGCTCCTCGACGGGTACTGCGCGTCGACGTGCACGCTGTTCTCGCAGTTCGCCAAGGAGGCCGGCGTCCAGAGCATCGCCATGGGCGGCCGACCCTCAAAGGCCGGCCTCATCCAGGGCGTCGGCGGCGTCAAGGGCTCGCAGAGCTACGGGTACGTGGACGTCAAGTCCGCGGCCGACCTGGCGCTGGCGTACACGGACGACGCGGCGCTCGTCGAGGTCCTGAGCAACTACACCGACTACGTCGTCGATCGCAGCACGGCCGCGAGTCTGAACGTCAAGGACGAGATCCTGCGGGCGCACATCGACGACGGGACGCCGGCGCAGTTTGTGGCCGAGTACTCCGATTGCCGGCTGTGGTGGACGGTGGCGATCCATGAGTCGGCGACGGCGCTGTGGAAGGCTGCGGCGAGTGCTGCCTTCAAGGGGGGCGATTGTGCGTATGGCAGCATCGACTATGCGGCCAACACGACCAAGAAAGGCCTGTCCCGGCCAGGACTGTTCAGCAAGCCACGATACACGCTCCTAACGAAGCGGCTGGACTCTGTGCAAAAGCGTGAAGCTGTTCAGAAGAGCCCGTTCTTCCTTGCTAACCAGTACATGAAGGTCGTGGACTAGTAGGCGAGCTATTTGTTGGATCTACACTTTTTGGATATATTGTTACGCGACTTAGGGAGGGTATTTAAAAGACAGTAGGATACAAATGGGAAAGCAAAGTCTGGATCGAGCCCTCGAACTTCAAATGAGGAGTTATGTGCTGATAAGCCGCCTTGAACGCTTATTCAGTGTGATTATTCCGTAAACAGCAAATGCCGTGAAAGAGAACCTTGGTTAAGGACTGTGCGATGACTCAGAGTCAAGTTTATCGGGTGCTCCTGTCGGTGTTCCTGTATGTGTTCCTGTATGTGTTTTTGTATGTGTTCCTGTCTTGCTCAGCAACTTGACCTCCTCCTGGCTCAGTGTCTCCTTGCCATCCGCGATGCGGAGCACAGTTTCACGAGCCAGCATCTCGTCTTTGCCGTGTCCACAGAGTCGCCACTGCGCACTGCTGGTGATGCCGAAGTAGACGGCGTTCAGCGTCTTGAGCGCCTTCCATGGATCCCCACTGCTGAACACTTGTTGCAGGAGCCTCCCCATCGTCGGGTTTGCGCCCAGGGGAGCCAACACACTGTCGACGTAGCGCACGTAGTGGTCGGTGAGCGAGTGCCGCGGCGAACGCACAAACGTCTTGGCCTGCCAGGCCTGAAACGTCCTGATTTCCTTTTCCATCTGCTGGCTTTCCGGGATCTTGACGCGCCCCTCCAGTGCGGCGACGGCCAGGCGGGCTTGGGCTTCCAACGCCGGCGCCGCGGGCCCGGCCAGCTCGAGGAAGCCCATGACGAACAGGCTCCTCTGCTTGAGGGGCACCATCATCTTCCACAGATCAACCGAGTGTGGCGGCGTCGCCGGGGAGCTGATGACATCCGTGGGCAGGTACGGCAGAGAATGATGATAGCCGGTGCAGCAGATGACGACGTCGACGTCCAAGTGGGTGCCGTTGCTGAGCTTCAGTCCTGTTTCCGTGAATGAGTCGATCTCAGCTCGATGCGCCTGGATAGCCCCGGTGCGGACGCGTTCGAGGAATTCGCTCCTGATGGTCGGGTTCTGTTCCATGATGCGGTGGTCCGGCTGCAGCTCCTCGGGGTGTTTGCCCTGAACCGTGTTCAGCAACACCGTCTGGAGCCACTGGGAAACCGACAGCGGCACCCAGACCTGCGTCGCTCGGTCTGGAAAGAGGGTGATTAGTTACGCATACGCCCACTGCTGCACTGCTACACTGCTACACTGAACCCTCATAAGTCTCCGTACACCACGCATCTAGCAAACAACGGTATTTTTGTCGTAATTGGAATAAGCAGACTGGGATAAGCATCAAAAGCAGCGTACAATATCAGACCTGCTTATTCCTGTGTGCTTATTCCAGTATCTCGATATTTTCACGGGTGTGAGGAGTCTCATGGACATGGCGCGTACGGAGACTTATGAGGGCTGAGTGTATAGGTACTGTACTTACTGTCCCATGCTTCGGTAGGCTTCCCGAGCACATAACGAGGTAATATCCAACCACCCTTTCTCGTAACGACATGGACTTCCTTGCAGCCCGGAGCAAGCTCACTTGAAAGGTCGACAGCACCCGATCCAAGACCGATAAGGGCCACCCGCGTGCCTTCAAATCGGCCCGGTGTGCGGTAAGACTGGCTGTGGAAGCACTCGCCCTTGAACGACTCCATCCCCTTGAAGTCGGGCACCATGGGCTTGATCAAAGCGCCGGAAGCGGCGAAGACGGCATCATACACCTTCTCTTCCACCTCTTTGCCTTCCTGTTGGAGTGTGACACGCCATCTCTGGTCTTCGGTCTGCACACAGCCAATGACCTTGGTCCGTAGGCGGACATGTTCCTTCAGGCCGAAGTGGTCTGCATACTCCTTGATGTACTGCAACATCTGGCGGTGACCGAAGTAGTCGCCATACCGGGCCGGGTCGATCGGGAAGTCGGTGAACCCGGAAGTGTCACGGCAGCTGTTGAGCACGACGCCGTCGTAAATGGACGAGTAGATGGGGCCCTGGTCCTTCGTGTGCGGCGAGATGGGTTGATAGGCCCATTGCCCACCAATCTCGCCGCGCGCTTCGAGAATGTCGGCTTCGAAACCTGCTGCGCGACATTCCTTGAGCGAAGCCAAGCCGCTGATTCCTGGTCGCGGTCATTCGTTAGGCTACCGAGGCTGCTGCGGGCTATTACTGACCGCCATGCCATGTTGCATCACGCAAGCTGCAGCCCATGTGTGATTGTGCTGCAGCACCGATATTGCCTGCAGGATCGACGCATCGAACATCGAACCTCGCGGCCTTTTCTCTTCTAGAAGGTCGGGATGCAACATGAGAAAGTGGGGGGCAGGGGGGCCAAACATACCTCCGCCCACAATGGCCACCCTTTTCTTGCCTTCCGAGCCCATCGTTGACCGCTGAGCTGACGCAGTTGGCAGTACCTGGGCTACCTCGAACGCCTTGAGTCTGATTGAAACCCGAAGCACGAGGGTGAAGCGTTGCTTTGTGGTTGTTGCTCAGTGGAAATAGCAGTCGCATGAAATCAGCAGTTCAGCCTGTACATATACTGACCCTCCCTTGCCTTTCCCGCGCCTTGTTGGTGCTTAGTGCTGACATGTCCAATTTCCAAACGAAACAGGCCTTGAAAGGAAGGATTTCACGGTGCATGGCTCATGATAAGCAGCAACCTCGTCTAAGGTATGGAACTTCCAGGTTGGTTATTTTTACCACTGGCCTGGCCTTGTCTTGCGGTTGTCTTGCGGCGCAGGAGATGGCGGGCTGCAGGTGGTCCCCGCGGCCCCCGGCCTATTCTCCCATGCAGATATATCGTGACATGACCGTGTGCTGTACGGGACCTCCAGCTGTGGAAGGAGGACCCGCCCAGACTTAGTGAAATGTGGTTCTGACCGTTTATGCCGTATTCATTAATACCTAATTGCAGTATGTACGTAGTAGCTGACGATCGGGGACAACTCCGTCCGAACCACCATCGGGGAACTTCCGTGCTCGGGACCAATTGCTGTCCATGCCTGCGATGGTACCTTATTAGTATCATGTGCTGTATTCCGGGATGATGTATAATGCTTCGGACTTGCCTCGTATGATAATAGGGGTACAAGTGATAAGTGTAGTAAGGTAGTACAGTACATATGTGTGACAGCTAGTATTTAGTACGTACTACTTGCAGCTCGGCAACATTGGATGCCGATAACTACCTTCTATCGACTTTACAAGATGCAACTAGCGACGACTCCGACGAGCTGCCCCGGTATTTCAGGGCGGTCTTGACTCTTGACTCTTCCAACTTGGCAACTTCCAAGCTTCTTCACGAGGTCGATCCATAACTGTGCATACTCTCCACCCGCCACGAGGGCCAACAGACGCGAGTACGAGCCCTTCAGCGACATTGAAGCCGGGCTAGCTCGGCTGCTTGGCCGGATCCCGTTAGGGGTCGGGATTTATCAGGAGTAGGACGACCAACCAACATCTGACAGTCTGACAGATGACATCGCGGGTTCCTGCCCGGCTGCTTGAACAATTAAAAGTCCATCCAGTAGAGACTGTAGGCGTCCACTTTCCGCTTCCCCAGAGGCTAGAGTGACAGAGTGGCTTGCAGGCAGCCGCCAGCGCCCAGGCGCGGACGCAGCCCGAGCGGACACGCAAGCTTCATGAGTGCAACCGCGACTGCATCTGCAACCTACCTAGGTAATAACTGCACATCTCGTCGCGGCGCAGCTAACGGTCCATTATCTGCTACGAGCCAGCGCCAATCACAGAAGTTGAGGTTCGGGAATCAGGGCCCTCTCAAACTGCCACTGCGGCTTTTTAATAATGCTCTCAATGGCTGAATGGTAAGCGGCTCATGGATCATGGCAGGAGCCAAAGGACGACCGACTGACTGAAGTCTGACCGACACTGGCCGACTGACCGACTGACCGACTGACCGACTGACCGACTGGCTGGCCGAATCAGCTACATGTACTTACTAGGTAGAGGTCAAGAATCAAAACATGGATCGTCAATCCACTTCGGGCTTGAATCGCGACTGCCGAAGCTCCATGCTCCATCAAGCCCGGCTGCCTCCAGATCCGCCCACAAGTCCGACAATTGCGCGCAGAAGTACCGACTGAGTGCTCGGTATCCCACCCACCCCACCGCCCACACGACTTGCCCTGGTGTAGCATTCCTGCAACAAATAGAAGTGCAGCCGATCGCGCCATGAGCTGGAGGTGTCAGCACCGCAGAGCACCTGAAAGAAGTATATGAGCCGGAAGCATCTCGCCGTACACTAATCATCATCGTCAGTCCTTTGGCCTCGCACAGGTCAGCTTGCTACGACGATGGATCCTCCGCAAAACGTGAGTTCTGACTACTTCCCGGGAGAGCGTCTGCTAATCATATATGCCAGCAAGAGTCTGCTTTGGCCGACGACGGCAGTGATGATGCGAGTGACAAGTACATTGAGGCTTTTGGCCACCGGTACCATCACTCGGGCGAGATATTCCTGCCGTTTGACGAGGACGAACAACGCCGTATGGAGATCCAGCACCGACTTTTCAGACGCTGTTTGAACGGTGACTTGACAGCCACCAGACTTCCACTGGAGATCGAGCGAATCCTGGACTTGGGCAGTGGCACTGGCGTCTGGCCCTTCGAGATGGCTGCACGTTACCCCCAGGCCAAAATCACGGGCATCGATGCATCGCCCATACAAAGGACCAATGCTGTACCACCCAACGTCGAATTCGTCATCGATAACCTCGAAAACCCGTGGCCTTGTCCTCCGGCATCTCTAGACCTTGTCCATGCACGGAGCATCGCTGGAGGCGTACGAAACTGGCCGGGCTTGTTGAAGCAAGCTTACGACAAGCTGAAACCCGGCGGGCTGTTCGAGCTGGCTGAGATAGCTATCCAAATTAGCGATTTTGATCGCAAGTTTCAGGAGGCCGAGATATGCCCTGACTTTCTGAGGACTTGGCGCGACCTCAGCAAGAAAGTAGGCATGGAGTTCGACCCCACGCCTCACGCTCCCGGCTGGTTACTTGAAGCTGGTTTCGAGAAGATCGTGCAACGGAGCGAGATCCTACCGCTTGGTAATTGGGCAAAGGATGATAAGCTGAGAGACCAACAGGCCTTGATGAATGAGATATTATCCAAGTATTTCGGTGTGTTTTTATCACCCCGCGCTGCGCATGATCTGAATAGGCACACAAACTGTCGCGTCTGTGCTCCTTCTAAATCACTAATACTGCGTACTTCAGACAACCATTGCGGCTTGTTATTCGTGAAGAATGGTTGGACGAGGTCCGAGTTCGATGCTACGGCACCTACGTTCTTGCAGGACATACACAAAGTGCCGGCCAGGCTTTATACTACAGCGTGAGGTCACCTGCTTGTGCCGTTACTGTCTGATACTGACGACTACGGCATAGTGTCTTTACGACTGCAAGGAAGCCGCGTCAGAAGTAGAAGCAGCAACAAGCGGTTCGCGGAGCCTCTACTCTGAGGTCGACATCACAATGCCAATGCGTCATTCGTCCTGTCGGAGCAGCGCACAGGTCTACAAGGATAAGGTAAACTTATACAGTGATGTTTAACACCTAATGCCGAACAAGCGGCAGTACCCTCTGGGTGAAGTCTCTGTTATTCGCCAGCGCAATGTGTGAGTGCTCACCGCTACGACAGAGTAGTGTCGGTTACCAAGGGCCGGTTCGCACTCTCTGCTCGGCATTCGGAGTCGACACATCTGGAGTCGACATGATGATACAGACAAGAGTCTCGGGCGCAAGCCAATCACCCACGCTCCGCTCATCGGCCGTCCTCGTTGGAGACGTACCGTAGTGTACCCGAGCCTCTACGGGTTGATCGTATAGCCCTATGATCTCGCTGGCTAGGCCATGTACCGAACTTGGTGTCCCACCAACCTGGTGCAATGCTGGCAATTAAGTGTTTAATATTTGGCATAAGCGCCTGGACTAACCGATAATTCACGAAGCCATCCTGTGGAATAACCGCCAAGACGTTGCTTATTCCGCTGGGAAGCATCTATTAAACGCCCGGGCACTGAAGGCCGATGACATGCATGCAGGGTGACAAGCAGCAAATTGCGGTATAATACAGCACTTAATGCATGAAGATCTTCCTTCTTCTGACGGCGCTTATCTGCTGGCTCGGAGAATCTGCTCGAGGAGATGGCTGTGGTGATGGTAAGAAGCCCTGGGTTTGAATGCCGACATTGTCAGACGGAAAAGACCATCTCCGGCTCCAAGCAAGGCCTTGTCATGGCACACATAGGGGTTGGTAGTCATATCGATCTTGTCGGCTTTAAGGAGGGGATGGCAGGGGTAGCTCATCGCTTCAACGGCTCGACAGCTCGACAGCTCCACGCTATCAATGCTATCAATCATGATGCAATCCGATAGATAACCTGAGATAGTTGACAAGGAGATTCCGACCCTTCAGTCAGTACCGATAACATGGAAACATGATCCATGAATTGCAACATGGCTTGCCACACGTTTCTGCCCATCAAACTTCTGACAGGAATACACAGCCTGAGCCATGACAACCAGTGATGGCATTCAGGTCTTGGACCAAGGAGTCGGATATGGTGTCGTTGTCGGCATCGGTGCCTTCTTTGCGCTGCTGATGTAGGTCAACAAGCCGTCAGTTATCCGACGAGTGTTCCCAACTCACACGCTTCAGGCTCGCCATCACCTGGATGCAGAATCGGTATACCAGCTACTCGACGAAGCAAGCCGAAGAGTTCAACACAGCATCGCGGAGCGTCAAGCCCGGCCTTATCGCCGCTGGCATCGTCAGCTCGTGGACATGGAGCGCGACGCTGCTGACGTCGAGCACGTTTGCTTACTCGTATGGTGTAAGACCTCTGTCACCACCTGTCACCACCTTCCGAGTTTTGATGATGCTGACGACAGCAAGATCTGCGGACCAATGTGGTACGGCGCCATGGGAACGAGCCAGATTCTGCTTTTCAGCCTGATCGCCATCAAGATCAAGGCCAACGCCCCCGGCGCGCACACGTTTCCGGAGATCATTCTGGCAAGGCATGGCCGAGCCGCACACCTCACGTACCTCTTTTTTGGGTTCGCCACGAACATGCTGGTGGGAGCTTGTCTGGTCCTGGGGGGTGCGCAGGTCGTCGCCGCCCTCTCTGGCGTCAATGTCTACGGCGTCATCTTCCTCATCCCGCTCGTCGTCGCGGCGTACGTGATTGCAGGCGGGCTGCGAAGCACCTTCATCGCAGACTACGCCCACACAGTGATCCTCTTCATCGCCATCTTCGTCTTTTGCTTCTCCATGTACGCGACGAGCGACGTGGTCGGTAGCATCGACAAGTTCTACGACCTGCTCCAGGAGGCGAGCAAGAAGATGCCGATTGCCGGCAACCACAATGGGTCTTACCTGACGTTCAAGAGCAACGATGGCTTGGTGTTTGCCATCGACCTTCTCGTTGCTGGGTTCTCCAATGTCTGGCTCGACCAGGCTTACTGGCAGCGTGCTATTGCCTCCCGTCCAGAAACGTCTGTGAAAGCGTATCTCTTCGGAGGCATGGCGTGGTACGGTATACCGTTCTCCTTCGGAACGGCAATGGGGCTTGGGTGCGCCGCGCTGACAGTGACGTCTGCGTTTCCTACGTTTCCCAACCCCCTTACTGCGGCACAGAACGGCGCAGGGTTGTCTGCGCCGGCCAGCGCCGTGGCACTTCTCGGTAAGGGGGGCGCTGGACTGATGCTCCTGCTCCTGTTCATGGCTGTGACGAGCGCAACGAGCGCCGAGCTGATTGCTGTTTCTTCGTTGATCACGTTTGATGTTTACAAGACTTATATCAAGCCTACTGCCACGTCGACTGGACTCGTACGGATCTCGCACTACGGGATCGTCTTATACGCAGTCATTCTTGCAGCGTAAGTGCTACAGTCATCCCCCATAAGTCTCCGTCCGGCATACCGCGTTCGTTTCTGGACGTCGACCAAAATATTCTTGGACTAAGCAGACTGGAATAAGTAGCTTATATCCATGAAGTTACCCTTGATGCTTATCTTGTGCTTATTCCATTCATAATAACTATCCTTTTCGGTTGGTGAACGAGAGGTGTATGGAGACTTATGAATGTTTACTGTACAACTGCCGTGGTGCTTATGGATGCTGAGGCTAACGTGATATAGGTTCTGCTGTATTTTGAATGCCGTCAACGTGAATCTTACTTGGGTCCTCACAATCCTCGGTGTCATCGTTGGCGGTGCCTCGATCCCAGTTGGACTAATCCTCCTATGGCCGCCTATGTCAACCGTCGCCACGCTGGTCTCCCCCTGGACCGGCCTCATGCTGGGTATGATCGCCTGGCTGGTCACAACTCAGTACAGGAGCGGCAAGATCACCGTCACGACTAGCGGCGATGTCACAAATGCGCTGGCAGGCAACCTTGTCTCGTGCGGTTCTGGTACCATTCTGGCCTTTGTGCTCTCTTTCGTCTTCCCCGACAAGTCAGACACTACCACGGACCCAGAGATGAGGAAGCGTATAGCCAAGATCAACGGCGTGCGGCCCAGAGCTGAAGACACAACTTCATCACCAGCAAGTGAAAAGGTAGCACAAAAGACGGGAGATGGAGACAACCCCTCGAACGAACACGACCGCGGCACAGACCCAGCTCATGAGCCCGGTTCGGACCCCAAACCCGACACCGTCGTGCCCACCGGCAACGCAGTCGTCGACTTCCTCGAGGCATCTCACGTGGAGCCCATGTCGCCCGAAGACGTCAAAAAAGCCACCATCCTAGCCCAGGGGTTCAACCTGGTATACTGGTGCATCGTCATCATCCTCGTCCCGTTCACCCTGTTCGGGACAGAATGGGAGTTCACGCGTGCCGGCTTCACCGGATGGTGTGTTGTCAGCTTCATCTGGGCGTGGATATCCATGATCATCTGTGTCGTCTGGCCTTTGGTTGAGAGTCGTGGGACTATGTGGGCTATTGCTAGAGGTCTGGTTAGGGATGCTGGGGGTGGTGGGCTTGGTAGGGCTCCGCCTGATGCTGGGAGTTCGGCGTGATTTGCTGCTCTGGATGGGGGAGATGAAGACTTTTGGGACCACATGACAGAGTGCGGTTCGACCTGGCGTGTCAGAAATGAGTAGACGGGTGCCCGTAACCAGGATATCTACAGCAACAATATGGAACATTCCGTTTCACTCCTAGTGCTATCGAGGCCATGCAAGAGTCAGCGGAGGCCTATCTGGTAGATCTCTTTAGCAATGCACAGGATCTAGCTTGCGACATAGGCAAGAAGACCAGTTCGATTGTTCATCAATACACTGGTCTCAATTATAGTCGTGTCTGTATATGTTCTGACAGTGTGTAGGAGCACATGAAAGCTGTCCGCAAGATTCTACGCGAGACCCCTATCAACCAGCAGGAAACAAATGGGAAGTCTTAGGCTTTGGAGCAACAGATGGAAATATTTATGAACTGAGCACACTGGAATAAGCAGCTCATATCGATGAAATTTCCCTTGACACTTAATCCATTTTTATATATAAAAAATGACTCTAGATGGTTGGGTGGGCGGATGTTTGGGGCGAGCAACCTTCAGCACAAATGCAAACAGTGTCACATAATATTACACTATTTTTACGCGGTAAGTTAGTGTTTATTTGAGGTCATGGTATTTTTCATGGCAAAGTGAAGTCATGGTATGCCACGAAATGTTTTGGATCATGCCACTGTGATTGGTGGGAATGGAGCTTGTGCTGTCCAACCTTACGCCGAATCGGGCCGTCCCTAGACCTTCATGAACCAGATATCCTCCATGACCGCAACCACATCGGCGCGCTCCGGGTCGGCTGTACCTAGGGTACGCATGACCACTTCCGTCATGCCGTCCCAAAAGTGCTGCTTCGCAGCGTGCCAGGCCGGGTCGTAGGAATCGCCTCATAGCAGGCGAGGCTGCTGGTACCGGTACTCCGTCCACTCCTTGACCTCGTCTTCGGTGGCGAATCCGCCCGGGTGCGGGAATTCCGCCAAGAGGACTACCTAATCTTCGCTACACGCCACCCATCCCCCTCTCCAGCCTCTTTAGAGTGCCTCGATCACTTCGCCTTCTTCGTGTCAGCCTTTCTGGCTTTGGCCCGTTACTTTCTGGCCTTCTTCTGCGGTGCTGAGGTATCTATGCCTGTTCATTAGCCTGAGGTGTCACAATGAGGATTGTCATCTGTAATACCTGGGGATGCCTGGCGCGTTCGCTTCCGCTTCGATAATCGCCCAAGCTCCTCGAAGGAGGGTCCTACGACCTGGTTGGTCTCGCGGCGGACGTCTTCTGGCGTGCCCTCCAGATCTGTGAAGTCTGCTAGACCACCCTCCGGCGTGTATGCGGATGCCTCTACCTCGTCATTAGAGTTGCCATGGATGTTGAACAAGTCGTCTGAACGAGGAGTCAGTATGGCTTCTGCACGGAAAGTGGGTGGAGTAATACCTGGAAGGCCATCCCATTCCTCTTCTTTACTGGGAATTCCACCAGTATGTGCATTCTCTATCGGCAACTCGGTCGCGCCGGCATCCTCATGATCCTCATTGCCCGCACTTTGGTCTTCAACTAGAGTCTGGTTGCTGGCGGTACCTTCGGTTTCATCGATGACTGCTCAGGTATACACAATTAGTATGTATTATAGGCTGTATGGGGTATTGTGAGACACTACCTTCGTCAATCACGGCTAGTAGCGAGTCGATATTCCCGTCTCTGTAGAGATGTATCTCGAAAGACAACTGCAACGCGTCGTCCGTCAGGTTGAATACGTGGAAAAGTCCGGCCTCCTGTACCTCCTTGAATGAACCATGAGCCATGATGGCCTGTCAGGAAGCCTGGGCCTGGTTTGTGTGGCAGGATTAGAGGGATAGCCGCGAGAGGTTGAAATCTGTTGATTTCGTGCTCTGAAGTTGTCTGTGAGGCAGGATGATTGGGTGATGAGATCTCAAGGCAACGAGGTGTGAATGGTGTCCTGTCTGGTGATTTAATGCTTGCAAGCAATTGATGCTTGGTACCTAGGTAGCAACGTGAAGGCGATGTTGGCCTAAGGCAGAGAAAAAAAGTTCGGCGCACCAAAATGAATGAAAAGGAAGCGCGCAGTGCTGCAGCGTTACAGCAATTCGACAAATGGTTGAAACCAGCAAATCCGTGGTGATTTGCTATTATTATAGATATTATAGCTACGGGCACCGTCTAACGTCACTCGCCTGTAGGCTTCGTTATGCTACGAGGCTTTGTAGTTTGTGAGTTTCGCCGTGCAGTAGAGGCACCAGCACTGGTAATAGATTACTACTTGTGACCCGCGATGATGGTCTATAAGCCGCTGCATGAGAGGCTTGCTGTTGCGCTGTCGACATGATGGAACAAGCGCAGCAATACCAGCATGGCGAGATCACCTTGAGTATCAGGTCTCTTCGAAACAAAGTTGTCTTACACTATATATAATAATTACGTCAACAGCAACCAGCTTCTGACAGAACTAGAGACCTGGCATGCTGTCAGGAAGCATCCAATGAACAAAGGGATCATACGTGTACATATACATGGCCTCGGCGCCTGATTAGTACTGCACCTCTCTGCAGAACAACATACTATTTACCCCCCCCCCCTATGGTTGGCCATGTGACACATGGAATTACCCCATTACGGGCCATCTTCACGGTGAAGCACTCACTGTAGTCAGATAGTTATAATGCTGAATCAAACCGCAGTTGGAACTTGGCGCGGTTGTGCTCAATCAAGATCCGTGTAAGTAAGCCGAGCCATAGCCATGACCTTGACGCAGATGCTAGAAGGCTCTCCAAGCTGTTGTTGTGGTTTGAAGTCATGCTGATGTTTTCCATATTCCAGTGGCTTGGTTCCTACCCACGCGCTATCGGTCGCGTGGCAAAGGGAGATATGAGGTGACAGTGATCCTTCTCAGGAGGAGGCAATGCTTAGAGAGCTTATGCTCTCGCTGGCTGATGGTGTCATATCGCCGTGGTTGAAGGTCGGGTCGGAGAAGGAGAGGGACGGGCAGGAATAGGAATCAGAGGTAATCGAATCTGGAGGTCGGTTGAGTAGTGAAACGAAGGTCCTGTCCAAGTATAATGAAACCAAATGCTATCAAGATCTAAAAAAGGACGGAACCTAACTGCAGTACAAAACAAGAGTAAAGTTACCAGATGTGTCCTGGTGATGATGGTGTTTTGAGTAGAAGACTGATGTGGCTACCTTTCCCGGCTGAGGTTTAAGTCAAAACATATATGGGGACGTCGGCCTGCCTAGGGTATAAAAGCGTTGCTACGACCCTCTTTTCAGTCTTTCGTTGATTGTCTTTTCCCTGCTTTCAAGAACTTCTTACTCTTTGTGTCACTGTTTGCCTACATCATAAATGGCATCTTTAAAACATTATAAAGAAGTATAAGAATGAAAATAGGAGGGAGTGGGCCGTACGCTAGCGGCTGGAGTAGAAATATGATTTACTTGCAGCTTATATAATCACTGTTTTGCTAGTGTCCTTGAAAACCAGGTCTAAGAATGAAAGTTGTTATAATAACACGTATATATTTGCTTATAAGCTTGTTTGAAATAGCATTATTTTTTGAATAAAGGCAACTTATAGTTTTTTCACGATATATATCAATATATCATAGTGTAATTAGTTTATTAATCTTAAAAAAAATTGTATACAGCTTTTAAGATGTATAAATAAAAAAGTACTTGATAAATAAATATTTTATATAAAGTCTTATTACATATCTTTTACTTTTCCCCCCTTATACATATATTACTTTTTAATATAATTATAACTACTTGTTATTTCTATTTAGTCTATTTAGTCTATTTAGTCTATTTAGTCTATTTAGTCTATTTAGTCTATTTAGTCTATTTAGTCTATTTAGTCTATTTAGTCTATTTAGTCTATTTAGTCTATTTAGTCTATTTAGTCTATTTAGTCTATTTAGTCTATTTAGTCTATTTAGTCTATTTAGTCTATTTAGTCTATTTAGTCTATTTAGTCTATTTAGTCTATTCTTTCTATTCTATTTATTAATACTTCTATATTTATAATAATAATACTGTGAGCATTGTGGTGCTGTCAGGTATGGGCTGCAGCTGTCCGCCAGGTGAAAGGGATAAAAGGGGTGCAAAAGGGGTGAAAGGTCCATTATGGTGACCAGTGGCAGGTTTGTTGTTTGCTGTCAGGCAGCAGGGCATCAAAGGGCTGTCACACCTGTATTTAGGTGGGAATCTCCCCCATGGATCCATAGACAAGACACAGACCATCATCCATCCCATTCTGACCCCTGGATTTCCACAAATACCAGCTTATTATAAGGATATATTTGTCGCGTAATTAATATTTTATATAACTGATTATAACGATTTGATTGATAGTACTTTTGTATCTTTTTGAATTGTTTTTAATATATTACATTAATTAAAACACTGGGGTAAAATGCGACCGGTACAACCGGTACGACATTTTAACAATTTACTCCGCTATGATTATGAAGCCGTCTCGCTATTATATAAAGCATTTACCGTCATAATTATAAGGTATTTATTATTATTGGTTTAAAATTACTTATAACTATCTTATCAATATTATAATACTTAATATAAAATAAAGCGATTTTTATATAGTCTTATTTATATTACTTTTAATAATAATTCGTTATTAAAACCATCGATTTCAATTCTTTTTAGTTTATGTTATTATTTTATTTAAAATATTTACTTATTATTTTTACGGCTTGTTTTTATAGCTATTACCTTTACGGCTATTATTAAGTATATATAGCCCTGGCCGCTGTTTTTTTAATCTTTAATTCCGTGTGTTGACCTTTTTTAAATATGTTTTATATTTAAATATAGTCTTTTATTATAATGCAAGATAATTCTCTTATAATAGGTGGTTCTATAGCCGTTTTTACTATTAATACTAATGTTATTACTGCTGATTTTACCTTTGTAATACGCGTTCAAAATAATATAACTATTATTATTACTCTTATATATACGCGTAAAAAAGTTCTTTAAAAGTTTATTAGTGTCTCTTTTACTAGCGCTTTTTTTTACAAGTAGCTAGCTTATAATAATATTACCTTGTAAGCACTTTTTTTAACGGCGTTTAAACATTTTTTACCTTTGTTAATGTATTTTTTAAAGCTTTTTTTAATATAACTTATTACATTGGAAGGAAAAAAGCAAAGCTACTTTTACCTTTATTTTGGGGGTTTTTTTTTTATTGCTTTTTTATTAATTGCTTGCTTTGAAATAACTATTTGACAGACGTCACTAAGGGGACCCACTGTAAGTGAGTCCCCTGGCCAATCAGAGTGCGGCTAGATAGATAAAATAAGGGAGCGGCCACCATATAATAGGTGCAGTCCTCCCACTTAGCTAGATAGCCAACCCACGCACAACAATATATTTGACCTCCACACTTGCTCGTTTTACTATTATACTGATAATAAAGCGTCTCTTCGGCTTTAAAACGTATAGGTTAAAGATAATCAAATCGGGCCTTTCGTTTAATAAGTTTTTCTTAAAATATTAAAACACATTTATAGTTTCTTTTTTTGAGGAGATTAGTGGGTGATTTTCCTTTATAATTTTTTTTTTTTAGAAATCTTATAGTAATAAACGAATTTTTGTAAAGCTTAAACGTTAACAAACTTATATGTATAATCGTTAATTTATAAAGCTAAAAGTTTTTTATTACGTAAACATTAACGTTAATATATAGAGTGTTAGTTATAAATTAATTATATATATTTGTGACGGAGTACAGCCGTATGCACCTAAATGGATGGATGCTTAATCATCAGGCCACATGTACATTAGATAAGGAGACTAGGACTACCATATGTGCTGCAGCCTTGGCTGTACGCGAATCTGTTTCTTTCCTTCCTCACTATTGGATCCATGTGAGTCCACAGTCAAACCATCCATACAGAACCCACATGTATGATTAGATAAGAGATTAGATACCAGATTATGAGGTCACTTAGCCAGACCTGCAGGTCTAGCTAGACTTCTCAATCTAACCATCAGCAACATCATGACCTTGACCCCATACTCGAGTATTATGATTGATCGTTCAAGCCTGTTCCCACACTGACTTTATTATTTTCGGAATACAACACCAGATTCTCACACAACGCCGCAGGCATCGTGACAATCTATACGAAATTTTATAATAATAAAATAATAAGATTTCGTAAAAATCTCGATAATAAGCTTAAGCTTTTTAAACATAGCTCTATAACCGTAATAATAATTAAAAGAGTTAAAGATCGTCGTCGTTATTAAAGGTAACAGTAAAAGCGACTGCGCTGCGTTATTTACGACGTTTTTTTAATTGGAATTAAGCGTATTTAATACTATTCTTAATATAGCGGTTATGAAAATAAAGTACTTCAAAGTAAAGAATTTAATCTAAAATATATTAGAAGCAAATACCGGTAATATTACGTAAATGTAATAATATTGATATAAAAATCTTATAACTTATAAAAGTATAAAAAGATTAATTAGTAATTATAATTATAAGATATGGTGTAAATAAGGTTTGGTTGCAGCTAGTAGCAGGTGGTTACAAGCGACTAAAAAAGTAATGTACACGTAAGGGGAAAAAAAAGGTAATGTACACATAGTAGGACTCTTTATATATAAAGGTGTCAGATTTGAGCCAATTGTCAGAGTGAAGTGTGTGTGTATTCTCTTTGTCTAGAGTGTCCTTGTGCTACCGTGGCAGTTTTGTGCCAGAGTGGGGCTGGATCGGGACGGAACAACTAGGTTCCGTTGCCCACCTGTCAAGCTGCCTTCTACTAGGCGTACCTTTAATCCAACAAAAGGCGACTCCGAGAGAGAGATTTCATGCGAATGTAGGAGGGAGAAGCTGAAGTAGAAGACGCAAATACGGGAAATACAATAAATTATGATGGTAAAATCGAACAGCTCGGAGCCATGTACATTGCATCACCGGACCTGGCTCGCGATTTCTTCGATGCGATCGCGCCGATGATATGCCTTGAGATACCGACGTTCAGAGCTGCGATCGAGCTCCGCTAGCGATACTCGTCGATCTTCCATGCCGAACACACCACCATGAACCCTTTCTGGGCCAAGTTTCCTGTCTTCCCGCCGCAACATGAGAACGGCAACTGGCATGAGAAGGTTCGGACGATGTCTGAGTGGAAGGCCGATCCGCTATGGAAGCATGGTTACAAGGAGGAGGCATCCGCCCACGTGAAGACCTGGACGAACGAGCTCCGAAAGTTGGGCTTGAACGCTACTCTACTCATGGAGATGCCTTGCCCCTGGCGCGACTTCTTCGGTCTGGCAGCGAACGCGAAGAAGCTACGTCGAACGCATACACGCAGTCTACCTGCAGAGTCTCGAATGCCACAACCTCGGTAGACGATCACACACCCCAACTGGTACAGTGTGACCCATGCCCAATACGACCCCGAATACCAGATCAACTTGGCTGTTGGTTTCATCACGGGTCAGATTGATCGGGTCAGACGCTGCCCCCAGGAAGAGGCCACGATATTGATCGACTACAAATGAGAGGGTTTCCGGTGGAAAAGCCAGATCGGTGAAGTAGGAGTTGCCGCAGGTACCCAGGGGGATTCACAGCCGAGGATATTCACAGCTAGGGCTGCTGGTCAGGATGGTCTGAGTCTCGGTTGTTTGTAAATAGCTTCACGTCTGCTCACTACCTACCTAGGCGACGGTCACATCTTCACAATGAAATTCCGCTGGCTAGCAATGAAAGAAGATAATCGGGCATCTCTTAGGCGTTGCTTGACTGAATGGGCTCACTTTTGGACGAAGAGAGGGAGAGCAAAAGACAATTCAACCTTTGTTCCATTGTCTCGTATTCCTTAGACCTCCTACACCACCTAGAATAAAGCATGCACCTCGCATTGTAACTTTGCATTGTAGCTTTGCATTGTAGCTTTGCATTGTAGCTTTGCATTGTACTGTTCTCACGATAACCTATCCGAGGGTGGGAGGTCAGGAGGTCTGAGCTAACACTGCATTAGAAAAGTACTTAAGGTTATCAAGTGGGGCCCCTCCCGGGTCCCCCGAATCTGATCATGAGCCCTGTTTATTCACAGTAAGTAGTACCTATCAGCTGGCCAACTCTCCCGAGGAAGACAACCAGCTCGAATTCCCTCCCCTCGTGTTACCAGCACAGCCCACCTCTTCACCTGCATTGTATTCTGTGTTCTTTCTATTCCTACAACGATGTCACCTTGAGCATCAGCTTCGTCGCTACCCATCTGGCCTTTACCGATCTGTCCACGGCCGTTGCCATCCGAACACCCCTGACGCCCGAAGTAAACAAATTCCGACCAGTCATATTATCGCACACAAACATCCCACCAGACCACCTGCAGCAGCACACCTCCCGCGCCCGCAATGACGACGACAGCCCCTGAGAGGCTCCTCTCGCCCACGCCCTCTCAGATCCCTCTACCCGGCTCGATCTACTCGTACGCCTCAACCGCCAACCAGCTCTCGTCCTACAGTCTCCCTCTCCCACCTCCCCCGCGCCCCGCCCACGCCGTGCTCACCAAGGCCGACCTCGAGCTGTCGCAGCAGGCCTACTCGGACCTCCTCGCCACCGCCAAATCCTACCGCATAGCCCTCTCCTCGCTGTCGACCGCCGCGTCCGCCTTCGGCTCGGCCCTAGAATCATGCGCGCGCCTGAAGGAGTCGCGCGCCGACTCGCTCAGCGCCCCGCCCGCCGGCGCCAACCTGACGAACAGCTTCACGTCGCCCAAGGGCAGCTGCACGGCCGACTTGCTACTAGGCGCTAGCGGCGTGCACCACCTGATCGCGAACCACCAGCAGATCCTGTCCGAAACAGTATACCGCAGCTTCGAGGTGCCGCTGCTGCACGAGCTGGACAAGTGGCGGCGCGACATGGAGGACGAGGACGCTTCGTACCAGCAGGCCGTCGCCCAACGGTCGCGCGAGATCCGCCGCCTCGAGAAGGACGGCTTGAAGCTGCACAAGCAGCGCCGCCGCGACGTCGGCAAGTTCCGCGAGCACCTCGTCGAGCTGACGGGCCGGCTGGACGGCCTCACGGCGCTGCACGGCGATCATGCACGCGCCATGCTGCGCGAGAGCCAGGAGACGAGCGTCAAGATCCTCGACGCGAGCTGCTCGCTCGTCAGGGCCGAGGTCGACATATTTGAGGGCCTGGCGCGCAAGGGCTGGAGCGGCGGCGGGCTCGACGATCTGCTGGAGAAGGGGCAGGATCTTTTTGCAAGCGAGGACGACGATGCGGCGGCAGCGTTCGTGAGCAACGGGGCGGGTGGTGGCGGTGCGGGCGCCGCGGATGGGACGAAGCTGTTTAGTATACTGCCGCCCAGGAGCATACTGGCCGACTCGGGGTCCGACTCGGGCGGCAGGGGGCGCACGAAGGGCGGCCATGGACGCGCCGACAGCCTGCTCGTCGAGACGGACCGGTACCAGAGCCTGGCGGGTGCCGTCGTCGATCGGGACCGCACCGATACCGAGAGCATATTCTCCGAGTTCAACCAGAGCCGCGGCGTGCGGCCGTTCAGTCCGCAGCCCATACGCCGGCGCGCGACGGACGTCATCATGGATCCCGAATCGCTGCTTCTGGGACACGAAGACTACGGCAATGATGATGGCGGCAGTGACGGTGGTGCTGGTGGTGATGATGATGGCGTGGAGGGGGCGCGGGATGCGTCGGCTCAGGGGCTGACCACTGTACTAAACGGGGACGAGATCGATGCCGACGCCGACTCGCCTTGGAGAGACATGGGCCTTGAGAGAACAGGCGGGGAGGGAGATTTAACGCCGCAGCCGGTTGATCCTGTAGATGCCTCGACTGCTGACGAGAGGGAGCGCAGATGGAGTCCCAATGAGGAAGACGTCGAATGATGGACGACAGCAGATGGGCTGATTAGTCGTATCACGTACTGTGTGTGCTGATTATGAATTACTTGTTACGATAGACGGCCGGTAAAGAATAGACCTTGTCAATAGTAATACCCTCTAACAACCTCTTGAAGCGATCGAAGCATCTTGGTGTTGGTACATCTATTACAACTACATAAAGTGTCGCCCAAGGGCAGAGGCAACCAGCAGGGAGGGATGACATCTTTCTATTATATGTAGCAATTTGTAGCCACTGATGACAAACTCCATGCAATGCGCCCCGACTTTTGTATCCGTGACTCCTTACGAGCAATGATTGTGATGATAACCATGCTGCCGTCCGTGTATTTACAGATTCCCATCCCCCTTCCATCTTGTCTCGTGATACCCTCTCTGATTTTTTCAATCGTCCTTCTCGTTACTAACGAGCTCCCGGCCAAAGAGGCTGAACCAGTAGTCGAGCCAGAACATGATCTTCCAGTACAGACTGGCTTTGTTCATGTCGAAATCTCCCATCTCGTTACGGGGGACCTCGTTTCCGATGACGCCGCTAGCGAACCATCCCAGCAGGGGAACCAAGGCCAGCAGCCGCTCATTCCACTTGGGCTGCTTGACCAAGGCGTCTTCGGCCGGCAGGAGCTGCAATCGCTTCGCTGTGGGAATGCGTCGACTCAAGGTACCGTTGGCTACCTCTAGCTCGTTCTCTGCATTCGGATTGACTGACATGCCCGTCACCGTAGCTGTAGAGGCGGTGGCAGAAGATGCCGATATAGTTGCGCTATCCATGGTCTGGGTTGAGGTTTGAGAATCAGGAGGCGAGCCAAGTTGACCATTTGTTCCTGTGTTTCGGTCTGCGCCAGGTGTCGAGAAAGACCTGGGAAGTGTCACACTCTTATTGCGGCCCTCTGAGGGTCGTCGACCGCGTCCGCGAACAGTATTCGATCTCGTCGGATCGAGCATCCCAACATCTCCCATCAAGTCAAGAACGGCAGCATCCTCGAGAGGAGGCAGGCTGCGGTACGGTTCTGCATAGACGAGATGGCCCATGATCTTCTGTGGAGAGGCGTAAATGGCGGAATCAGCTGCCTCTTGCGACTCGAATGTGACCTTGATCCAGTGTTCCCCGCCAGCAAACTTGTTGACTCGTTTCCGTTCCTCGTTTGACAGCGGCTGTCTTGTCGTGAGGGCGGGATCTCGCAGATCAGACTTGTACCGCCGGGCCTCGATGGGCGGTTCTCTTGAGTAATCCTCGCATATTCTCCCCGCCAGCTGCTCGTAGTGGTTGATAGCGGCGTACTGCTGCGACGGCGACGAGTAGCCCCTCAGTATGATCTCGACTGGTTGCTTAGCGTAGGCGAGGGCTTGTGCGGCGGCAGCTGGGTCGTCTTGCGAAGGCGCGATGGCGGTCTGGGAAAGGTAGCTCGACTTTCTTTGGGTGGGTTCGTTCGCAATAGGTGTCTGCTGTCGACTGGCTATGTAGCTGGAAAAGACCTTGTCGGCGCTCTGCATAGTCGCATCCCCGCGTTTCGGAGGCGCGCTGCCGGTCCGCGACCGAGACCTTCTGGTCGACTTGCCGAAAGAACCAGACTCGTTGACTTCGCGGGCACGTGTGCGCGGTGCAGTGCGCGAGCGATCGCCTCTGTCGTTGGACATGGTGAGCCGATGCAATCGTGTAAAACAGTGGTGGAGAAGGGATGGAGGGGCTGAAGAAGGATAGGTTGTTGTAGTTGACGTACTCGGGCCAGACCACAGCATACGGTCGTTGGACTCCGTCATCACCCGTGTAGAGCTCCTCGTCCGGGACGTTGTGTAGGATGATGGGCCTCATCATGTCCCTTGCTTGCTGCCTTACTTCTGAGGTAAGATAACAAAACACCAGTGCAACTTAGTCCTAGGGCAGTCGCAGCAATTTAAGCCAGGCAGCGTATAGAGCAAAAGGGGGTTTGAAGGGTTTCGAAGAAGTGGTTTCGTATCAGAAACAGGCGGGGTGAAGACAGCCTTGACAAGTGAGAATATGGGAAAATGCTACATTCGCATTCAGCTTCAAGATGATAAATTTTGGGACCTAGCCACGCCTCTGCCCGGCAACGGGGACCGCTAATGGGAAGGTCCCTGCAGACGGGAGGATAGAGGTGGTCAGGGCTTCCGAGATATTGCTTGGCTTTGGAAGAAGAGGCACGGACCACTTGCAACTAGCGCTCCAGCTCTTTAGCCACAGGTCCCGGCGCTTGACGTAACGGCCGGGCCCGGCTGACTGGGAGCTTGAGCTTCAGCCTTCAGCTACATACCTTGTGCTGTCCCAAAACGGCAACAAAACGACAGCATCTTTAACCACCCTCTTCCTCCATTTGCTTGGGCCCTCTTCCACACCGACGAGACCAATTCAACTAGGAAGACATACAAAGAATCCACCAGCACCATGTTTCGATTCGTGAGTGAAGCCCAATGTGAATGAGCACCTAGTGAATGGACTGAACTGACCCAGCTGGCCGAGTAGCACAAACCCGTCGACATCGTCACCCTCTTCCACAAGCCAAGCTCCCAGGCTTCGGTGCGCGTTGCTACTCTGCTCAAGCAGGTCTCGGCCAACGCCACCGAGGTTGCCACAGAGGATCAGGCTAGTGACCACTCGCACCAGACCCATCCCCATCGCCAGCGTCAGGAGTTTGACTTGAACATCACCGAGGATCCTCCGACGGCAGACCAACTTCAGACTATACTAGAGTATGTGGGCAAGAGCAAGATCAGCTCTATAATTCAGGGCGCATCAACGGAGAAAGATGCCCTGAAGAAGTTCAAGGAGAGCGCCGACAACTTCAAGCGACCAGTGGTATGTTGCCTGAATGACTTTACTATTGCAACCGATATGCCCATATCCAGTGACTAACTAGGTCACAGATTGTGGATTGGAATAACGGCAAGGCAGTTGCCTCTGACAAGGAGTCTGAGATACTCAAAGTGCTGGAACAGGTAGAGAGCAAAGAGTAGCCTCATGGGGAGGTATACCAACAAGGGGCTTTTGTCTCTGCAGCTACCCATCGAACAGCGTCGGTTGCCCCATCACCATCAGGCCTTGTGCGGAAGGTCGTCGTCCTCGCCTGGAGATCGGCTTCGAGTCGGTCGTTGCGGCTCTCGTCTCACGATATTGAGACTAAAGTCACACCCATCCTCCTCCTTCTGATCTCGAGGTTTGCCACAAGTTCATTACCTGTCCCATATTCTAGGTAGTACTGCATGTATAAAGTCTCTAATGACATATGGTCATGTCCTGCTATGGCCCTCGAGTTAATGGAGCTTCGTTGCCTGCATGTGAGCCCAGAGTCAGAAATCATGTACCCCTCGTCGTCGATGTGTATTTCCTAAGCTCCTGACCTTCGAGTCCCAGGCTACCATTCTTATAGCTACCCCGAGTCCCCGATGCATCTTCGAGGCCGCTGTGGACTGGACACGCCGTGCATGGAATCTTCGGAGGGGCCTCGAACTGTTTACCAAGGTTGCCTGGCTAACTGACAAGTACCTGCAGTCGAGCTTGCTGCACCCAAGGTCGACTCGCCTCAGGCATACATTTCGTTTCCTAGGAAAACAGCACCACAGCAACCCCGTACACTGGCAATTGAAAACCAACCCACTCCTCCCCAGTACAGCAGCAAATTGGGATTGGGCTCGCGTTCTGCAGAACCTGCTTCTCGTTTTGCCTGCCCTTCGACGCAGGCACTTTTGTTCTGCCTTGCCCTCCATCTCCCAACCCCAACCCGCTTCCACCTCGCCCACAAGCATAACATCACGCACCCACCCACAAACCTTTTTCAGCATTTTCTGGCTCACTCGTGCAAGTGGTTTTGGTCTCTCTCCATTGCCTCCAAATTCTCTACGCCTTTGACAGATTCTTGCACTTGGTCCCTTCCTATCTCCCACGCAACCTCAAAGACCATCAGTCAATCGCAACTTCGTATCATGCCGCCGAGATACGTCGGATTCACCTTGCAGCAGGCACAGATGACGGCTGGAAAACCTCCTGACGGTTCCGAGTACGGATTCAAGAAGTTCTCGGATGGCGAACCACCCGTCGACTTCTTCACCCATGCACCAACGAACTTCCCGGCTGTGTTCTCGACCAAGAATGGCACCAAGACTTTCCGCATGGTAACTAACCCTACCATCGAGCGACAGGGTGAGTACTGGCACGCAAGTAAGATTCAACTCGTCTGTGACGAGCTCCGAACCCAGATGCCCGGCGAGTGCAAGTACGTTGAATATCTCCGAGGAGGCTACTATGATCTCTATCACTACTTTGATGCTCGAGACATCTACGAACGAGGCGCTCAGAATCTCTGGAATGTCATGAACCATATGGCTTATGAGAATCTGTGGATGAACCGGGAGCTCCTCCAAGACGCCAAGGTCGAGTTTGAGAAATGGGCCGCAGAGCTCCTCCTCAACAACAAATCCGCCTGCGAAAAGCTCCGGCAATGGAATCCTAAGCACCACCCGGATGTCCTGGGTATATTCACGTTCTCTGAGCTCGATGAGATTGACGGGATGGATAGCTTCTACATGCCATCAATTCGGGAGATCTTCTTGAGACATCATGCGAATCTCAAGCGTGGTCTCCCGATTGTCGCTCTCAGCCCGCTACCTGTCAACACAGAAGCTTCACATGCCCCGAGCGACCAGCAGCTTGGTAAGTACTTTCATTGCACAATTGACCATGTCAGCATCGTCTGACTTCTTCTAGTCCTCTACCGCAACCCAGCTGAAAGTGCTGGAAGTGCTTCCACCGGTAGCGACATCGAGACTGGGAGTAAAGTCGTCAACGGCATTGTCATTGTCGATGGCACGTCGGCAACTGCAGCTCGTGTACACGCAAACAAGTCTCCGCAGTCTGGTCTCCCTAAGCCTTCAGACCCTATCACGCGACACCAGGACGCAGTTCCTTCCGAACAGCCTCAGAACGCGGACGCTGCCCAACAGCAGCAGGTGCAATCAGTCAAGGAGATTCTGTTGGCTCCCCAGCCCGCGATGCCACAGAACCCTCCTGAATCGACATTGCCCTCCAATGCGCCTGACATTGGAGATGCTGCAACACGGGCCCTTTCCGACGGCATGCTGCGTCCCGATCGCATGCGTGTCAACTCGGCGCCGCCCACCGGACAGCGATTTGTCAGTGGTCCTGGTTTTGGCTCTGTTGTCACAGCCGACTCACTTAAGGGGTCTACCTCTGATGCGAACGAAGCTCGTGTTTATCCTGGAAACGAGCATGACGTTGGCGAAGTTCTCAAAGGATGCATCAAGCCTGGTGACCGTTCACCTGTCACAGTAGAGCAGGTCTTGTCCGCCTCAACCGCTGTAGTGCCGACCGAGGATGAACAGCGCAGCTCGACTGTGCCAGCCATTACAGCGGACCAACCTGCGCCCCCCGTCCTTGCTGTGCCTAGCATACAGCAGCCGCCCGTGACGCATCCAGCCCCGGTTCAAGCCGCCCCTACCGCTGGATTCGACACGAGCGACCAGGCTATAGTTCCGCGCCGCATCCATGTGCCGGCATACTACGACCAGCCCAATATCCGCAAGCAGATTACTGCCAACCTTACCCAGTCGGGGGCTCATAACCACACACCTGGCTACCGGCACGGACCTCCGTCGGGGTATCCAGCCCAGATGCCTCCTCAAGGAATGCAACCGGCTCAGTACAATCCGGCATTTGCAAACCAGCTCCCCCCATTCCCTCCTCATCCTCCTCACTTGCTCAACCCTATGCCGAATCAGAGCTGCGGACCCTCGGGCGTCACCAGTTATCCTCCCCCTATTTATCCCATGCCCAATGCCATCAAGCCAGGCAATGGCCCCGTCTATGCTATTCCGGGTACTCAAGGCTCCAGTCTCTTCAGCCCTCCTCAGCAGCATGGGATGAGCCGTGGTCACAACGCAGGCAGTTCGATGGGAAACCCGCTTGAAATCCGGCCCATCCGAGCCCACTCTGGGGCTCGCAACGGCAATGGTACCATGGGCGGCAACAATTCAAGATGGGAGTATGTCGATGATGGGATCCACGGTCCCAGATCTATTTTCCGCAACCGCAAGGACAGTACCCCCTCGAAGAAGAGCGCGCAGAAGCCGCTGCACAACGGCAATGGCAAGGGCAACCATTGGCAGCGCAAAGACTCCAGTTCCTCAAACAGGCGTCCTTCATTTGGTGGCAACGGCTACAACCACGGCCAGAATAACGGCCAGCGGCGAACGAGTGGTGGGCGTCCTCCACAGTCCGGCAATGCAGGCAACTGGAATCAGTTTCAAGACCCGTCACTCATGCCATCCGCGATTCCACCGGCCGGCGTCCCCTACCATCAGGAGAACATACACTACCACCAGGAGAATGCAGCTCGGCAGCATGTCCGAGGGGCTTCTTCGACAGAATGCCTCAACGCCAAAAGAGATTTCTATGAGCAGTGCAGCCAGTGCCCATGCACGCGTTGTCAGGACAATGACCGCACGATCCATGTCAAGAATCTCAATGCCGGCCTCAGCAACTCTGAAGATGGTCGAGAGCGTATCGAGAAGTGGTTCAGCCAGTACGGTTGCGTTGATAGGGTCCAACAGGGGAGCGCCAAGGGCGTTACAGGGGGTGCAGCTTTTGTGAGGTAGGTTGAGCATGTCAGTTTCCGTCTTCTCTCCAACTATTGCTAATATTGTTCCAGATTCGCCACTGTCGCCAATGCACATGGTGCGGTCAAGGCGGCAAACAACCTTCGCGCTGCAGCTCTCGCGCCCGACGTGCTCTCTGTGAATTACAGCATAGGATCGCAGTACTGGAGGCCGTATGGGAAGGACAGACAAGGTTCGTACCATCAACAAGATGGCCAGAACCGACCTTCGCAACGTGCTCCCTATGGTGTACAGGGAGTAGCTCACCCGTCCCTTGCCCTTCCGCATATGCCTTCGCCGGTTCATCCAGGCATGATCCCAACTCCGATCCCCGAAGAGATATCCGCCTTTCCCGGCCCCCCCGCTCTGCCCATCCATCCCCAGAACGTGAACCAGGCTGTGGCGGGTGTTGCTCCGCGTCAAGAGCTGCTGATATCACCTACCCGTGGGCCTCACCAGACAGCCCCAGAGGTTATGGAAAGCAAGCCATCTTCGGACTCCGTGGTCGCTGGCCCAGTGGCAACGTTCCCACAGACCAACATCACGCCACTGAAACACGACCCCCGCCTGCGAAGTGACGACACCGACGGTAGTCCCAGCGTGGCCGTATCATCCGACGAGAGCAACCGCTCTGAAGCCAAGACACCCGACGCATCAGCAGACCTGATTAGAAAGATTGAGACGCTGACGGGCGAGATGTCGACCTCTCGCTTGGGCAGTCGTCAAGGGAGCCCAACCAGCGATGAGAGCACGCGCGTCATGACCCCAAGTCAGGATTCCAGCTCTAAGAAGGCATCGCCGCTCTCGGGTCAAGATGGAGGCAAAGCCCCGGTTGCTTTCTCCGCACTTCGAAAGTTGGCAGCTTCTGCGAAGTTCGGCAAGGATGACGAGATTGATCTGGGCACTGTACGCATACGACCGGGCAGGGCCAAATGGGTGCCTGAAGGTTTTGGTGACGATATGCCAATCGCAGATCCTATTGTCCGCGATTTCGCGGAACACCTTGAAGGCAATCCGATCCAGGGTCAGAGCTCGACGCAGCCGGAGGTTGAGACTCCGCAAGGCCCAAACAACGAGGGCCAGCAGGCTCTGGCCACTTCACAGGATCACAAGGGCAAGGGCGAGCAAAAGGAGAAGAAGACTGCTGACCAGCCTACCAAGGTCAACGAAGAGCCTGTCTACCTGTTGCCATTGACCTACCAGCCCCTTGAAACTGAAGTCAAGGCTTCGCAACAGACAATCGAGGCTTCGACTGACCAGCCCAAGAAGCACAGCGTCCAGCCCACCTCCGCAGCGCAGATTCGTCTTACTCGCGAGCCCAGTCCTCCCGCCAAACGCAAGGTGGACGAGGTCGACCAGACGACTGGCGGCGCCTCGGAACGCTCATCCCCCAAGAAGAAGCCCAAGCAGAACTCGAACAAGGGCGAACCCAACCAGCGCAAGCCCACTAGCCAGCAGGATCCTCGTCATGGGCAGCAACAGCAGCACGGCGGGTCTGCCTACCCCAAGACGAACAAGAAAGGGAAGAACAAGAAGCGACAGGACACGGCTGCGCAGAATCCACTACTGGTACCAGGCTCTAACACTGAGGCTGTTCCCGCCTACTCTTCCGCTTCGTTCAAACCCGATCTTGCCTCATCTGCGCTTCCATCCTACCCTCAGGAGCAACAGCAGGCGCAGACAGGTCTTCCGACTCCTCGCATTGGAGCTCCGCCCGAGGGCTCAAGCCGCCAGATGTCGGAAGCATTCCCTGCATACCACGACCCCATGTCTGGACCTCACAACAAGGGCAAGGATCAGAAGGGCCAGGGAAAGAAAGGGTGCAAGCAAATGCCGAACCCGACCAACGCTTCAACTGTCGTCCAGAAGCAGGTGCCGTCTCCGCAGAAGAAGTTAGACCCACGTGCCAACGAGTTCGTCGATACTTCACAGAGCGGAAAGACGCCGTCTCCGCAGAAGAAGTTAGACCCACGTGCCAACGAGTTCGTCAATACTTCACAGGGCGGAAAGAGGGACGGAAGCAAAACCCCGGCTGAGAAGGCCAACGACTCCAACAAGGGACCAGCCAAGAAGTTGCCCCAACAGTCCAGCAAGGGGAACCTGAAGGGCGCGGCTCCCAACCAAGGCGCCAAGGGCAAAGGCAAGCAGGTACAGAAGGGAAAGTCGGAGCAGGACGGCCAATCTCGGGGCAACACAGCTGCCAAGGTTGAGGCCAAAGAGAAGGCTCCCGTTCCAGTCGATCAGCAGCAGTCCTCTGAGACGAAGAGAAGCAACACTCCAGTCGGTCAGAGAGAGTCCAAACCCAACCAGACCAACAAGAAGGGTGGGTTTAAGGGCAATGATGTCGTTGCTCCCGAAAAGAAGGCGCACGAAGCACATACCCAGAAGCCGCAGACTTCGGCTGATCAGCAACAGCCTTCTGAGACGAAGAAGACTGATACTCCCGCCGACCAGAAGGAGTCGAAACCCAGCCAGGCCAACAAGAAGGGTGGATTCAAAGGCAATGATGTCGTTGCTGCTGAGAAGGTGCATGAAGTACATGTCCAGAAACCCCAGGCTTCGGTTGATCAGCAGCCGCCTTCTGAGACGAAGAGGGCCAACACTCCAGTCAATCAGCAACAGTCCTCCGAGACAAAGAAGAATGAGACTCCCGTCGATCAAAAGGAGTCCAAACCCAGCCAGGCCAACAAGAAGGGTGCCTTCAAAGGCAAGGACGTCGTTGCTACTGAGAAGAAAGTGCAGGAGACCCAGGTTCAGAAGCCCCAGGCTTCGATTGTTCAGCAGCAGGCTTCTGAGATCAAGAGAAGTAACACTCCAGTCGATCAGAAGAAGGGCAAGGGCAAGGATGTCGTTGCTCCAGAGAAGAAAGCACACGAAGCACACGCCCAGAAGCCCCAAGCTTCGGCAAATCAGCAGCGGCCTTCCGAGACGAAGAGGTCCAACACTCTAGTCGATCAAAAGAACGCCAAGCCCGACCAGCCCCTGAAGAAGGCCAAAGGCAACGATACAGCGGCTCCGGAAAAGAAGACGACCGAGGCCCCGGCCGAAAAGTCTTCTGCCGGAACCAAAGACGAGGCGGATAACGATGGATGGCAAACTTCTGGCAAGCCCAAGAACAAGCAGAAGACCGGGCCAGCGTCCAAGAAGGGAGGAGGAGGAGGAGCTCCGCCTCCCAAGGACAACAACGCCAAAGCGGACGTGCCGAAGCCTGCTCTACCTAAGGGCAAGCAGCAGCAAAAGTCGCAGCAACAGGCGCAGACGCAGCCGCAGCGAAAGCAGGCAGCAGTAACAAAACCCAGGGGCTCCACGATGCCGACGTTGAACGATAGTGACTTCCCCTCGCTTCCCATTTCGCCCCCATCGGCCCAGCTGCGCGAGTCTCGGACCATTTCCAGCGCGTGGAATAACGTCGGCAGTTCCTCCTCGAAGATGGGCGGCCCGGAGCCTGAGAAGAAGGGTGGTCAGATGGCTGCTTCTTCGCCGGCGAAGGACAAGGGCGAGGAGCGTCCTCCCGATGGCGAGAGGAAAGGTGGTTGATGGATCTGTTTGCTCTGCGGGACAGATACTGGAATGTGCCCCTGAACGACGACTATGCGTATTCGACAGTCCACAAGAAATCCGCGAATCGAGTCAATTCTATTTCCGTGGAAAGTACTGCTTGCTGAAGGGCCAGTTCAGCACCACGGAGGACAGTGGGTGTTCACGATACCCCCTTGGCGGAGATTCACCCGTCGTCTTTATCCACAGTACACGGCACCCGGCATTGCTTGGCCCACCGGACTGGACTTGGTCACAAGTGTTGCTACATGGCCCTAGGATTGCTGGTTGAGATGGTCATCCGTTTGGTCAGATCAGGAAAAGCACTCCATTGTAGGATATGATTGATACTGCACTGCACTTTGGGTAAGTGCCAGTCTGTTTTGTAGATATAGATAGTCTCTGAATCGAAAACTATCAACCATAACCCAGTGCTTTTGCTGCGAGATGCCCGCGAATGCTGGTTACTCATTATATGTATAGAGCCCAGCGTGCTGTAATCGGTAATTCACCGGCTGTCAAGTCGTACGTATCGTGTCGTGTCGAACAACAGTTCCCCTATTCTCCTCCGCCAGACCCCCATTTGCCCTACGTATCATACATCGTTCTTCACCAACGTTGTGACGGCCTCCTCGATCTGCTTGTCCGATAGCCCTGTATTACCCATTAGTACACGGTCCCATCCCGAACATCTCCGTCTGTCGCGCCTACCTTCTAATGACTGGCTCTTTTCCTTTCCGAACTCTTTCCAGCTTTGAGTCAGTACATTGCCAATATAACGTAACACAACTAGACCCCGTGGGTGGCTTCGACGAACCGTATCTCGCATAGACCTTGGGCAGCGTTCCAGTCGCCTCGCGCAGCAGGATGGGCGTGTGCGCGTTGTTCTTCTTCATGGTCGGGTAGGCTCTCGTTAGGAACGTCCTGCCGGAGACAAGGTAATCAGCTTATAATTTCCCCAATCGCGCAAGGGAGGGAAGCTGGAGAGAACTTGGAGCTCGCTCGGTGCGGCCCGGATGTATACCGTGGACGACTACTCACTTGAGGGCGGTGCTGCTCTGGCCTGTTGGGCAGAAAGCGAAGCGGACCTCCCTGAGGGTTTTCGTGAAGGCGTACTTGCTCGACATCTTCGCAGTTTCGGGCGTTGCGATCGAAGATGCGGGTTCAATTGGGTCCGTCGTTGGTAGGAGAGGTTCAATGTTCTCGGGATATCTTCAGTTCGAGGTTCAGTGCAGCAGCGAATGCGCCAGTTGACGGAACTCGGTTGATGCAAATGATCTGATCCTTGCATATCAGCAAGTTCATATGCTTTGTCCGAAGTAATGCACTTCAGCGGCTGAACAAATCATCCGCATACCTACAGGTTTATGCACCTTATCTCCGAAGAATCCCGTCCCCGTCGTCGGCCCCAACTAAATATCGGACACCTCCATCTCGCCAGAAAATTGAAGGCACTGTTGCACCGTCCCTTTCAACGTCAACCTTTTACAACAATTCCCTCGTCGCGACCGACTGACCGACCGACCACTCTCCCCTCAGCGACCCGTTCCTAACATACGAAAACAAAAGATGCCGGCGACCACAACCCTCTTCCGCGCCGCGAGGCCTGTCTTCCAGTCGCGGGCCGCCTTCTCCCGCACCACGGGCTTCCGCGCCAACTTCTCCCAGTCCGGACGACGATTCCAGAGCACATCGGCCGGCGAGACAGCACAGGCGAGCTGGTTCCAGCGCATGTGGAATAGCCCCGTTGGCATGAAGACCGTACATTTCTGGTGAGTCAAAGACCTAGTCTGTTGGGGTGTCAGTCACCTACCGGAGGTCCGATCCTGTTCTCTCCGCCCTGTGCGCCCAATTGACTTTCATCGCACGAGCTACACCGCTCCTCATCATCCTCTTCACACGATCAAAGCAATACCAATACCAACAGCAACCGCTAGCTAACCACTGCCCCCCAACCTACCAGGGCCCCGGTAATGAAATGGGCGCTCGTAATCGCCGGCATCGGCGACTTCGCGCGGCCGGCCGAGAAGCTGTCCATCACGCAGAACGCCGCGCTGACGGCGACGGGCCTGATCTGGACGCGCTGGTGCTTCGTCATCAAGCCGCGCAACATCCTGCTGGCCGCCGTCAATTTCTTCCTCGGCTGCGTCGGCGTCGCCCAGCTGACCCGCATCGCCATCCACAACTCGTCGCAGAAGAACCAGAGCCTGCCGGAGAAGGCCGAGGCCCAGGTCGAACAGGCCAAGGACGCCGCTGCCAAGGAGGTCGCCAAGGTTAAGGACGCTGTCAAGCAGTAAGGGGGCTTGCCTAAGAAGAGGTCGGTGGGAAGGAGAGTCGTGGATGGATGTTGAGCTGAGGAAGGGGGCAAGGCCTTGTTTCGGCAGCAGGCATCGGCACGAGCACGTATAGAGACAGGCACGGATACTGCATTCAACTTGTCGAGGGAGACAACGGTACATGGTTAGTCCATGGGAGCTACAAGAGCTGTCTGGCAGCTCAGGATGAGCTTATATATGCGAGCCTCTTCCATACCCTTCGTTCAACGATCGGCTTGGAAGATGGGGAGGTGTACAATACTGCATTTCGGTCAGGTTATAATGCATCGTTCGGGAAAGATCGTTATACTTCAACTAATACTTGAAGCCGGGCCTTCATTAGAGTGATCTGTGTTCTTGCGTATATATGCCTCCACTGTCCTTTACTCCCTGTTGGCCGAACTCACTGGGCAACTTTGATCATAACTCAGCTTGTGCTGCCTGGATACGTAAATAGTCCTGCTATTTACACCTCGTCTCCATACCCCAACTGCCAGCCAGCTGCAATATAGTCCCCCTATGTCAGCAAAACTACACCAATAACTACGCCGATAGCTGCACTAACAATTGCGACGACAATTGCACCGACAACCTCGATCTAATGGTAGGTAAGCTATAAGCTTGGTGGTTAGCCCGCTGCCAGCTGCCTGGGGAAATAGGGGTAGAGACAAGGTGCAAATTAGGAATTCTAACAAGGTGCAAATAGCAGGACCCATTCGTGAACACAATAGAGATATCGCAAAAGACACAGAAAGTTGGATGACTTGTTCAGCTATGGTTCCCTAGCCTTATCCGCTTCGGCCTGTCCTTCGGCATCAAGCCATGACCACGCCTCAAAATCCCACGTGCATAGAGTCAATGCCGTCAATCCCTATGATCCAGTGCGCAGGGTATCTCAGGAAAAACCAAGACTGTTCTCCTCAGTCTGTCCGTCCGTCTACCTCTAACTTGCATTCAAATGTTCCAGAATCGGCCAATCCGTCACATGCCGCTTGCCTGAAAATTCTCGAGACGCAAGTTCCAAATCAAGATGCCACCGAATGCAATGGGTTGATGTATATAATCATACAGGGACGCCGCGTTGTGGCATGCGTTACTATACAGACTCTTTTCTCGTTTCAATCGTTGCCGCCCGCTCCTTTTCGTGCCGTTGGTATACGCCGGGAAAGAGGAAAGGCGCATGTCGGGATTGTACGACTTCTGACCTCTTGCAAAGTGTCCAGGTCAACTGACGCTTCGAAAACGCCGGACAAGACCCAGTCTAGGATATCCGCTTGCGGTAGCCCTTCACTCCGTCACCATTCGACGAAAGAGTCGGCGGATTCCACCTCCTGGGGTATCTGTTCGTGGTGTACCTGGGGACGGCTTTGGGTAATGCAAACTACCATCTCCAGGAAATCCTTCAGAAGCTGTGAATGGATCCTGCGGAGCCGGGCTGGGTATCACGTTATGGAGCTTCAAAATGCTCTGGTTTCCCGGTGCGTCGGGGAGCGAGGAGATCCTTACGGGCCAGATATGCTGCAATTCCACGTCTTCGCCTGCGGACTGACTAGCTGTAGGCTCGGGAGTCATGGTCCGCGTGTTCTACATCACGGAGCACTCGCCCTCCTGTTGTTTGCCGATCTTGCTTCGAGAGATGCGCTCGCGTGGACGAGGACCGCTTTTGCCAGATCGTTTGAGATCCTCCAGTCGCTCGCGGGCCTTGGGAAAGTCCTGAGCTATATCACGTTGTCAGCTCCAAGTTATTACACAGCCGGGATGTTCGCACTTACCCGCTGCTCGCCAATACCATCTTTTGGCGTCTTCCATATTTGCCGGAACACCGATACCAACTTCAGTGAAATAACCCATCGCATACTCGGCCTTGGCCAGACCAGCTTGAGCTGCCTTTCTAGCCCAGAGATATGCCTCGGTGTCACTCTGCTGCAAGACGCCTTCGCTTCCGGTAAGATACCATCCGCTGAGAGCCAGCTCAGACTGGTGTTCCTCTTGCGTGGCAGCTCGACTGTACCACATTATGGAAAGGCGAGGATCGACAGGACACCCCATGAGAGCGTATTCGAATGCGCATCCCAACCGGAACTGACTGAACTTGTAGCCAAGTTGAGCTGCATCTTCGAATAGCTGCAGAGCGTATGCTTCGTCTCGCACGATAGCATCGTATGGTTGCGCAGACTCGAAAAGGAGGCCCAATTCGTGCAGCGCATGAGGGTTCTCGGTGTCTGCCCGCTCAGCCGCTCGCTTCAGCCATCCAACAGCTTCACGCGGGTTCTTGGGCTGGCCAAGCAGGCCCTTGAGAAGGATCATGCCGACCTTGTACATGGCGGGAGTATCGCCTAACGTGGCTGCTCGCTTGTACCACTGGATTGCTTTCAACGGGTCCTTACGCGTGCCGCCTCCGTCATCGTTACCGAGCTCGCAACAGACAGCTGTTCGATAGGCCGCTGAGGGATGCCCTAATTTCGCTGCAGACTGGTACAATGTGAATGCTTCCTTGCTATCCGGTTCATAGCCGAGAACGCCGCGGCCCATACAATCGGCCAGGAAAAACATCGCATCGGGATTTTGAGCGCTGACAAGCTTCTTCAGAATCTTGTGCGCATCCATCACATAGCGCTCCCGGGATCTTGCTCGCGCCTTGGGATCAGGCAGTCTGGGGACAAGAACGTCTGCAGCTTCAATCAACTTCTTGGCGAGAACAAGCGCAGACTTTTGATCATTGGGGTCGTTCTTGATGTGAGCACGAAGTCGCTCCAATTCCTCCACGGTAACCGGAGGCTGTTCCGCAACTGAAGACGGTCTTCCGTCCTGCGGAGGTGCTTGAGGACGTCCTTGTGCCCCAGCAGCAGCGGGCGGAGTGCCACCATTGTAGTTTCGAACAGGTGCGGGCTTCTCATTCATAGAGCCCATGCTTCTCCCACTTCCCATGCTGTTCGTGCTCTTCGCGCTGCCTACGCTAGCCATTGAATTTTGCATCAAGCCTGGGCGATAGGGCGCTGGGTGTCCAGAACCTGGCCCAACTTGGGGAGGACTACCTTGGGGGACTCGGTTAGGCCCGGGGTTGGCAGGCAAGCCCGGCTTGTATGCTTGAAACCCACCCGAGGGCACAGGTGGTAGGTCACTTGCCATCTCGAAGACTGCTGCTTGCGGCTCGCGCAAATTGGGCTGTGTCTTTGTCCGTGACATCTCCGGGAACCGAGCAGGGCCGGGTTGAGGCATTCCTGGCTGGGGCTGGGGCGGGGCCTGCGGCGGTCGCATATGCTGATCGAGAGACGAGCGGCCGGCCGGTGAGGCAGCATCGAAATCTGGAATATCATGGCGTTGCTGATTCCCCTGGTGATACTGGTCGCCGCTTCCTCGTTGGTCGTAGTATGTGTCGTAGAAGTCGCCGAAAGAAGCTCGATCCGGTTCCTCGCCATATCCAGGGGGGTATAATCCTGCGTTGTTCGTGGGCATTGGAGGGGCCTGGTCGGGATATACCCGGTGAGGAGTTGGCCGACTACCTTGAGCTGTAGACGGTCTGGGTGGAGGTATATTTCGTCCAGGAGGCCCATTGTAGCCACCACTGTCGGTTCGCGGAGGCGGCATACCGTTGTTCATCGGATGGTCGTTCTGCGCCGGCATCGTCATACTCCGAGGTGGCGGGCCAAACCCGTCCCTCGGGGCCGACATTGGGGCGCCGTACCCATCGTCACGATAACCACCGTAACCTTGCTCTTGCGGCGGCGGGCCCCGTCTCGGACCCGGGTAGCCTTGCGGTGGAGGTCCTCGTCCACCCCTTTGACTGTCCATAGAGGGGCGACCGTAATCTTCCATCGTCGCCTGTCTTCTCGGTCCCTGTCCGGGTCCTGGACTTCTGCCGGAAACTGGGCCTGGGCCTGGACCAGGTCTCTCGCTCACACTCATTCCAGCCATCCGATCGAGTATCTGGCCTTCTTCTTCAATGTCAGATTTCCTGTGTTGTCCGGGAAGTGCTGGGTAAGGGCTACCGTATTCATGCTCATTGGGGTTCGACATTGGAGGGGCGCGGCGTGCATCTGACATAGAATTAGTACCAACATTATAATGGTGGATTGTCTGTACGTACTTGGGCCTGCTGAGGCCGATCGTTCAAAGGGAGCTGGCCGACCTGGACCGCCAGCTGGGTAGCCTCGGCCTGGTCCCGGTGCGGGTCCTCCACGGGGGCCGCGCACCGGTCCTCCTCTCCCTCCTGATCCCGGCGGGCGACCTCCTCTTCCTCCCGGATGCCCTCTGTACATGTCCTGTTGGGGGTAGCCTTGATTCGGCTGGGGACCTCCCCGACCATAGTTCATGTCCTGTGGCGGGGGCGGGCCGTAGTCCTGGCCATAACCATCATCATACTGATCGTAACCATAGCCGTAGTCGTCCTGCTGGTATTGATCATATTGTCTTTGGGGCGGCGGCGGGGGGTAACTTCCACCTGGTCCTCTGGGAGCTCGCGCAGCTGAGCCAGCATATGGGCGATCTGCGTAAGCTCCGTTGTACGCCATCTTCGTTTGTCAAAGGCGAAGGCTGGTCGCGCAGTCTTGCAATCTGCGAAACAGTTACAGCCTTCGGAGGATTCTTGAGCACCAATTGGGTCTCCGTCTCCTCAACACAGTCGTATAACGTCAAGAATGAGCTGGGTTGTCCTCATATGTGATCCATGAGTCGGAACGGTTCGGATGCGGCTGTTGTTCAAGAGATCTTTGTCTTCTGTTGACGATGTCGGGTGCGGGGAGGTAGACGTGCTGAGGTTGTCGCATAGGGCAGTGGTGTGTAGGTATGCTGTGGAAGAGCCCTGTAGGTTGTCGCAACGACCAGAGTCAAGTGCGGGAATCTAATAATAATGTCGGTACACAGGCGCGTTTCGGCCCAATGATGATCGTCAGTTTCGGGTTGTGCAGTGTGCACATGTGGTAGCGCGGCGCAGGGCGGGTACGGGTAATGGGAAAGGGCGGCTGGCGATGCGCGGCTGCAATGTGAAAGGACTGTTGGTACTCCAGTGCACAAGCTGACCTGACAAGGCACTTTGGTGGATGGTGTACGAGCGTTTGGTATGGTGCAATGCCTGAGGTGTAGTGTGGAAGAAATCAGTAGGAAAAGGGTCTTGAAAGAACGTCACCGCTGTGAATGCAAGGCTCTAGCAGAGTGACAATTCAGAGCAGCGAGATCCAAAGACTACCGCCGGTCGTGGGTGTGAGTACGGAGGGCGAAGGTGCGGAATGTACTGTCGCCGTAAATGAGGGAGACCTCCAGCTGGAAGGATGAGCAGTCAAAGGCGCGGCGCCTGTAACGTCTCATGTGGCAGTGGTGATTTTACTGGAGGTTGGTGAAGCTGAGGTGAGGTGCGGTGAGTTGGATCGGAATGGAACCAGCAGGCTGGGTACCGGTACAGGTTAGAGCACCGCTGAAAGAATGAAAGAATGGCAGGTTGTTGTTCACTACCTGCTGCTCTACAGAGGAAGGGAACGAGAATCCTGAAAAGAGGGAATCATCAATCCAAGACCAAGGAATGAGTTGGGATGAGTTTCGAGATTCAAACCTACAAAATGTAGGTGCATAGGCGTAGGCAACAGGCGGCTGCATTGACGGCGAAAGGAATGCCAGCCTGGGATGCCTCCCCACATCCACATGTGACAGGGATCGCTGCCCCTCCTTCAATTCCAACCTCATTTGTACTCCGTCATGTCCGTCCGCCAGCATATCCGAGTAGAAAAACAGAGAGAGAAACACAGAATATCCAGCCGTAATAATATCTACTTATTATTATATATGGATTCTACAGCTGCAGTCAACCTCTTGATGGAAACGAGACCTGTGATCAACGTGGTGTTTTGTTCTCCTTTGTGTATCATCATCCGGAACTGATGAGCCTTCCCAATTCGAGTACCTAGGTAATCACAATAAGCTTCGGTTATCTCGAGTGCAGCGACAGAGTTCGCCCTCCATTCAGGGTTTAGGGAACTAGTCATTCTTGCATCATGAGTGTCAAGTGTCGATGCTGATGACTGACAGCTCTCCTTTTCCATTTGCTCCGGAATTGACAGCATATCTTTGGGCTGGGTCACGGCGCATGAATTTGATGAGTTCGTGCCATGTTCAGAAACAAGGCCGTCATACGGAGCACCTGTACCAGTGGCTTGTATCAAAACCAGCAAGGACCTGATGCGACGCCGGCCCTGATTGGTGTGTCGGGCCCTTGGTCAGCCCTGGGTATCCCGGGCACTTCGGGCTGCTCCTGGGGCTGCTCGGTTGCCTCTTTCGCCCAAGCCCCGTCCCCATACAATTTCAACCCTCCGCTGGGAAGAGGTCAGCAGGTGGTTCAGCTTTATACATAGGGCCGGTCATGCTGTTCGTCACCCACTGGCACTGATGAGTACGATGCTTGAAGGCCGGAAACCGGGTGCTACAAGTTGGTAACGAGCAGAATCCCAGCCTGGGGTGATCCGGTTGCAACTCGCTACGCCGAGGTCGAGCAGTGTGTGTCTCTCTTTCCTTGTCCTCGAACAGTTCTATGATCGCAATTTTGACAAGTAAGGTAGTCAATCCGAGGCATCAAACTGTTCTACCGCGGCTCAATGACAGGAGGGATGACAAGGACGACCATGGTCACTGGTCTGGCGCTTGGCTGATGATACATGACCAATGGGCGGTTTGCAGTGACGGACGCTTCAGCGCTGAACGAGAGGCTGTGATGTCCCGGAGGGAGCCCGCTCCTCGTTTATGTAGAACACGGGACTATGACGGTTTTATGGTTCATGCCATCACCAGCAAGCGCTTCTCAGCCATCCATTCGCTGAATCGTCTCTGGTTGTGTGATGCAGTAAAAGACGCCATCAAATTGCGAAACTGAGACATACAGGCAGGAATGGTGAGGAGGCTTGTGTCGACACATTGATCATTGGCCAGCCGTCCCTATCCGAGATGCTGCGCCAAGAATTGACCGCGGGAGGGGGAACGGAGGCCCCATATTCCTGTCTACAACAGGCACGAGTTGACTTCATCATCGGGCAGGCAGATACCTGATCTTCAAAAACTTTGTTGAATCCTGCGCATTGGGATGGAACGGGGTATTGGGATGGAATGTCGATGCGGGATGGACATCAGCCCTTCAGATGTCAAGTTGAGGCCAGGCGGACAGGGCGGAACGGCTGAGGTTGGGGCATGGGCTGCTCTGCTCAGCCACAGCACTGAGCAGCCCCTGTAGCACTCGCCACAGTTCCGACGGAGGACCCTGTAGTCGTCATTGACGAGCTCGATTGAGTACGGCGGCGAGCTGCTCCAAGTCGCCTGCGATGCTTGCTGGGACTGCAAGCTCCCTCACAGCACAATCCCACCAACAACATGTCAGGAAGGGCAACAACGTGGCTCAAGATGCTCGCCGTGTACGCGCATTCCAACCCCTAGACCCAGATCCCTCCCCTAAGCTCATGGGTAACGAGAAGCTAATGTGCCAACTGCTGTAGAGGCGGCGCATGCTGCATAGGAGGACCAGCACTCGTGTTCTGGGTGCAGCCGACCGACGAGGAGCTGTTCAAGCGCTACAACCCGGAGCTGCAGAAGAAGAGCCTCGAGCGCCGGTACGAGAAACAGAAGGACTTTGACGACTTCGTGATCCAGTTGAAGGACTATTCGAAATCCGACCGCCCGAGTACGCGACCCTCTCTCTCTCGCTCTCTAAAAGCCCAATATGTGCCGTGGGTAACGTGCGACTGACAACGGGTGTTTCTAGTATGGACGGTGCAAGAAGAAGCTGTGCGCAAGCGGAAGGAGGAAGGGCTGAGACAGGACTTCCTCAATGCAGAGGAGGCCAAATCGAGAAAGGAAGCTCTGAGGAGGGAAGCCGGCTTGTCGAGTTCTGACAAGTGAGGACGGGCTGATGTTGCTGTACACATAATGTATTACATACCCCTATTCTGGTGAATATGGGCTTAGAAGCATCGAGGGCGTTAGGAAGCTCATCAGCTCTACTTATAAGAGAGGTCGTCGTTGGCTATGATCTCAAGACAGAGCCGCCTGCAGCAGATCACGAATAGGGTTACTTGGTTCATTCGGCCTCTGCTTCTTCGAGGCTAGATATATGCACACCTACCAAGCTTCGAACCTGCTTCCATCTGTTCATCAGTGCCGATCTTTGCTCAGGCGCACCGATTTCTAGATGGCCGACCTCTTCGACCATTTCGTCAGCCTTTGCTTTGTGCTGCTTCAGCATCTCCACCAGCAGCTTATTGACAGCTCCCTGACTTGCCTCACCATCATCGATCCCATCCACGAACCTCTTCCACTCCCTAATCCCACAACACAGAAGCCTCAGGGCGACTTGCGTCCTGTAGCAGACGGTTTCCCGATCAAGGATGTACTTGCCCAGGAAACCTACCTCCTCGAGCCTCTGCTTCTGCCGCCAGCTCAGTCTCGGGAGCACGACATCATCAAGCACGACCTCGTCCCAGCGGTTATCATCCATCACAAAGCCATACTCGACCAGCAGGAAATCTCCGCTGTGTCTACCGTAGCAGATCTTGACCTCATCACCCTGGGCGTACGGCTGCAGAGCCTTGATAGCGAAGCCATGTGTGTCGAATGACACATTGCAACCCTCGTCCCCGTGATTAAACAAGTCGGCCACGGGCTGCAGACACATATGGTCGTCCTTGCCGCGCTTCTCGAGCTTGGAGTTCAGGTAGTAGAACGTCCGCGTATTGACCAGCATCCAGGCGTATCTGTAGCCCGTCTCCTCGAGGTTCGGGTATGCTTCGGAGACAGCGGACCAATCCCGGACAAACTTGGCCTGCTGCTTTGACAGCAGCTCGCGTGCTGCTTGTGGGAGCAGCGCCTGCAGTTCCGCGGGCCAGACTAGGGGCATGGAGGTGAGATCATCCGGGCTCGGGCAGACCGCGTTCCATAGATCGTACTTTGCAGTCTTGTCCAATGCTAGGTCCGCTGCGAGCAGGCCATGCACTGTGATTGTGTTTGGTAGCTTGCGGGTTATGGCCTTGGGTACGGTGGATATGCTCCGGAGACACCGTGTTGGCACTTCGAGCGCGATCTCTTCTGGCTATTGGTGGTGAGCTGGCAATTGAGCATATGGATAGGGAGATGGGTGCCGTACCTTGATTGCCCGCGTGGCTAGGAGGCCAATGCCGCGGCCGGGGATGCGCTGAGGAGCGATGCCGTTGAGCTGAACGCCCTGCTGGGTTGCCCAGTCCAAGAGCTGCTCGTGAGGTTCCATGGCGACGGTAGATCGAGTCATGTAGCACAGTCGAGAGGGAGAATGTAGGTGTCAGGCCCGTGTGAGATCGTGCGCTTATGAATTTTCGAAGATGACATGGTTGAGTCTGAAGATAGTCATGGTGAACTGAGGGTGTGGTGAAACAAGACGAGCGAGGGCTAGCCAGATTTTGTTGAAGTTCCGTATCTTGATATCCCGGTTGTTAAAGACTTGATTAGAAGGTCAGGTCATCTGGTCATTCACAACCTGCCCGGTCTCTCCTGCGCTTTTGGTTTCCTACAACACCGTCTTTCATGCAATCTGGGATCAAAGCCAAGCACACGCATACCACAGAGGTAGGAGCGGTCGTCAAGTTATATTTTTTCAGACTTGATGAACACCAGCTGTTTCAAGAATATTTGTGTTAGCCACCCGTCAAATTAAATATAATCTCCTGTTATCGTCCTATCCATGTGCTGACTGGAATACCGTCGTTGAGTTATTCTGAGGCCTTGTTATAAGATAATATCTCCTGCCACTCCTACACATGCTATTTGGCCCTTTTCATAGGATTAGCAGTCCCCTATTACGGTACCCTCCATGCCAACATGGACATGCTGAAGCACAGTGTGGATTACCTCATATGAAGTGGTGAGGTGGGATGAAAGTCTTAAGTCCGCCATAAAGCCGACCCCGAGCTGCCGCAACGCCGCCCGCTTATCTGGTACGTGGTGGGGTATCGGCACCGACAGCTCTCGGAACGTCTGTGTCGTCATGAAGTGAATGTGTAGGTACCTACCGTAAGCATTGGTAGACATACCGCTATCTGCCTTGTGATCATTTCTCTGCTATTCGGTTGTTGTGTATGACCCTTTGATCTGGATCAACCATTTTCTGGACAACCCCTCAGCCAATCCATCTGACCCAGAGCGTACTGAGGTCTCACTTCTCTTCTATCTAGCTCCAATCCGCCATTTATAAGCATTTCGGTTCAGCTGGAAGCAGGATACCTTGGCCTCGCAATGAGTACGTCGAGACCTGATCCGGAGGAGGTAGAGGAGAATCACTTTGCCGATCTGTACGTGGATGCCGTGGGGGACGAAGACGAGGAAGATGATCCTGACTACGACGACGAGGACGAACTGGAACACGACTTGGAGGAGGACGAGTTTCATGGTATGGTACCACATGCAACATCGAGCAACCAGGCCTTCTGATAGCTGATACGTGCGCTCACAGACGCCGAGGAGGGACACATCGAGTTCGTCGTGCAGATGGATGACGAGGAAGAGGAAGAGGAAGAGGACGATGATGATGACGAGGGCGAAGAAGAAGGTGGGATCACAGACGCAGAGCGACTCTCTGTACAACAACGGGTGATCAATCTGATAACAAGTACGTTGCCTGACCCCAACCCTGCGATAATCCGTCTGCTACAGTCATTGACAAGTTGCGCATCCGCAGCTGGACGGACCGGCCTATTATCGCAACGTCAGCTCCTAGACTACCTCCGACGACAGCATCTCGGCCACGTACTCTTTGACGAAGACGCAGACGACGGCGGCGGCGGCGGCGGCCTGGGCTTTGGGCATCGACCACGGAGACGGCGTGCCTTGGACCCGGAGCGGTTTCCAAAGGTTCCCAGCGATGAGGGAAGGGATCTGATGAACTCGGGTACATTCGGAACGAACGATATTCAATCACCCATACGAACGAAGAAACAGTTGTCTCGACGAATAGTAGACCGCGAGTTGGGCATAGGCGGCAGAACACATCGGAGAGTTGACCAAGGCGTAATGGCGCAGGTGAGATATGGTTCTGATGTGCTCACCCACCTCCCGTTATTTACTGACCCCCTGTAGTCCATGATACCAAGCACTGATGCGGATATGACCATCAACTACGACGACAATGTTTACTCGGGCCAATTCTCCGACGACGGAAACTTCTTCTATTCCTGCGTCAAGGACTTCAAAGTGCGCATGTACGACACATCAAATCCATACAACTGGCGGCACTACAAGACAGTGTCTTTCCCCTTTGGATCGTGGACCTTGACGGATGCGTCTCTGAGTCCAGACAATAAGTGGCTGGCCTACACCTCCATTCAGAGCAATGTCTGCTTGGCACCGACTGATCCGAACGATACTGGTGATCCTTACACCCTTAGCTTATCAGAACATGGTGCCCAAAGACAGGCGGGCTGGCGAAGGTCGTTTGGCATCTGGTCCATCCGCTTCTCTGGAGATGGGCGAGAGCTAGTCGCTGGAACCAACGCCAACTCTATCATCGTGTACGACATCGAATCGCGAAGAGTACTCCACCAGATCGAGGGACACGAGGACGACGTGAACGCAGTCTGCTTCGCCGACAAGTCCTCCCCGCACATCCTCTACTCCGGTAGTGACGACGCGACGATCAAGGTGTGGGATCGTCGAAGCATGGGCGACGGCCGTGAAGCCGGCGCATTTGTCGGTCACATCGAAGGTCTTACGTATTTGGACAGCAAGGACGACGGCAGGTACCTCCTTAGCAACGGCAAGGACCAGAGTATGAAGCTCTGGGATCTCAAGATGATGTACACCACGGCACAGTTCCAAGAGATGAACCCCAGACAGCACACCCGCTATAGCGAGTTCGACTACCGCTGGGGGAAGTTCGACGACGCCGACTGGTTCCCGCACCCCAACGACAACTCGGTCGTGACCTTCCGCGGACACAAGGTGCTGCGCACATTGATCCGTTGCCATTTTTCACCGCCGAGCAGCACGAATTCTCGGTATGTCTACTCTGGCTCCCACGATGGCAAGGTCTACGTCTACAACATGGATGCCACCATTGCCGGCATTATCGACGTCAGGAAGACCACGTCGCACGGGAGGCAGTTGCCATCGTACCTCGGAGGGCATGGGGATCCCGGCTGGACGACCATCGTCAGAGATGCGAGCTGGCATCCAAACGCACCATTTATAGCAGGTAAGTCATTGGTTGATCCAGAGGAACACGTCGGGAGCTAATAGCCTGGACAGCATCCTCTTTGAATGGCTGGGACCATTCGTCGGGTACTGTCACGCTACATTCATACAATGAATCTTCTGTCGACGAAGGAGAACCGAGGATGGGGACGGGCTACGACGAGAAGCTACGGCCGGTGAGTTTGTATACCAGTGGTGATGAGGAGGATGATGATGACGAGGAGTCGGATGGGGATTACGAGGATCCCTTCGCCGTTACTTTCACTACCTAGCCCTACTGATTGACATCTCTGTTGGCCCACGGGCTGGGAACCAGAGCCCATTCGCTTCTTTCGATACTTTGCAGCACTGCCAACATCACGATACATGACATGGGTGGGAGTCCTGGCGTTTATTAGGGTGGTAGTGATCCAGAATCAAACTGGTTTCTTCTTTCGCATGGCGAAAGTTTCTTCTTTCGCACATTGCCATGCGAGTTATCTACAATGATACACAGAGAAAGTAGCTTGAGGTTACCCGGCCACGTGAATAAAACCCATGCCTGCGTAGGCAACGCGTTTTCCTCAAGCCATACGTGTCGGGAGCTGAGTGCTATGCAGCCGAGAGTAATTCTGCCCCAATCTGCATCAGTCGGTATGTTGTGCCAAATCACCACCGACGTCCTGCCCATAGATAGTAGTATGGTGCGTTGGCTTTTCGTTGTTCGTCCGTTTCGCTCTGGACAGGGTTTCTGTCCAGCTGCCCCACATGTCCAGCCCCTTTTCTGCCATCACCGGTCTCGGTCTACGCGCCACCTACCAGCACATTGTTGACCGGTATATGAACTGTACAGTCCAAGCATATGTCAGAACACCAACCACGAGTACTAGCACGACACAGGACAGCAAGGGGATATAGGAAGCAAGAGACTCTCTCACCTAGCTTGACGATGTAACCAACGGCGCCCATCACGATGAAGCCCACACCAACGGCCTGGCAGATCTTGAGGTACTCGCGCTGGTCGGGTTTCGTGCAGCGGGTCATGAACTGCGCTCCGTCCTTGATGAAGCTATTGGGGCGGAATCAGTACGGAAGTTCGACTTGCTTGTTCGGCTGGCGGAGATGGGAAGGGACCACAACTCACTCGCGCTGGACGTCGAAGAACTCTTGTATCTGGTCGGCCATTTTGGTGGATGTGTGGTGAAGGCTGTTGGGTATCAGTGTCGGCGTGGGAGCAGCGTAGGTATCGGAGAGACTGGAGGTGTGGAGGTTGCTGTCGGTGGTCGGGGTGGTGATGTGTTTTGTGTGTGGTGCTGCTGGCGATGCGGCGTGGATATTCAAAGGGGATGGAGATGCGGACAGATTTCCACCTCAAAATCCCCAGGGGACAGTGGCACTTTAGCTAGCAATTGGACCCACCCAAGCCTCAATGGCTGAATGGGTGTACCCAGTACAGTGTGATAACTCTGTTGAGCTATACAACACTGTACACGGATGAATGCCATTGTTCGCCGCCTGCTGTGGCGCGCCGCTGCCCCAGAAAGTTAGGTGGCGTGGCCCCTAGAAGCCCCTTAAACACAGCCCTGGACTCTGGAGTGGATCGCGGACCCCCCACCTCCAGGCTAGTGGGCTCCTCCGATAGTGCGCTAGGTTAGGTCCTCGAGGCTCCTCCCTCCGATCAAGCAACACATCCATTGAACCTCCAGCTGCAGGTGCACCCTGACTGGAGCTCGAATGTTTTGTTCCCGTCTGCACCTGCATTTCTCTCATGTTCCACATCCAAAACACGACAGCATACACGTAGATCGAGCAGCCTCATCCCATCAGCATCGGGCCCCTAGGTTCCTCGACAACTTCGTATCGCCATCGCAGACTTACGGATTGTAAATCGACCACTCGATATTGATCCTCCACCTCGACATTCCACGCGCCCACCTTCGGCCGTTCCCTGCCCTCGGATTAATGCACGTCGCGCTCGAGAGCAATCAGCTGCTCCTCCTGCATCAACCCGTCGACAAGCACCATCTGAAAGTTGCCTTTCCGCTTCCCAGCAGCTAACATACATTCACATACATACACGACATTGGTTGGGGGTTTGCCGTTCGCCCCGGGACTGGTTGTCTGTTCTGCATTCTTCAAGCTTCTCTTTCGGACATCTACCACTTGGCAGTGTCTGGCTGCCACCAGTACCTGTATTCTACAACTTGCCTACACCTCTCCGGGTATCCATCTCTTTAGGAAATACGAACGAGACTGCAAGCACAGAGCTTCGTCTCGGTTTCTTCATTTGATCGACTGCTTCGTTGAAGAAGAGACGCGGACATCGCGAGGACACATTACAGAAGGATCGATTGTATTGCCATCGGCTCGGAGTGTACGTATCTGATACTTCCTGTGAGATTTGTCTCCTTGCTGTTCTTTTCCCTCCATCTGTCACGGGGCTTCTTCTTTCGCGTGGATCTTCTCGTCGATTGATGACACGGACTCAAACATGACAGGCACCTCCTGTATTTATTCTTAATACACCATCGATCTGACTGATACCAGAACTCCCTCTGAAATAAGCTTTGACACTACCTTCTCCTCTAACCAAGTCGTCGCTATGGCCGACGAGGATTTCGAGATCGACGTCTACGGCGACTCCAGTGGCGACAACGACACGAAGCTTGAGGACTTGAACGCTCAAGCCTTCGAAGCCAATTCGGGCATAACCATTGCGAATGGTTCAAATCTCCCAGAGCGAGACAACTCGGAAGCAGGCGCCAACTCCAACCATCGCGGAGAATACAACACCAAAGAACAACACAACCCCGAAGACCGTTCGTCAACGCCGCCATATCAGCAGGGTGTTAAGCGTGAAGGAGAATCCGACGACAGACCGATCGACCCTGGTGCTACGAGCTGTCTTATGATCTCTGAGCTGCAGTGGTGGGTGACAGATGACGAAATCCGAGGTTGGGTGAGACAAGCATCGTGCGAGGACGAACTCAAGGGCATCACGTTTAGCGAACACAAGGTGAACGGCAAAAGCAAAGGGTATGTCAGAGAATGTCTGGGATCATGGGTCTGTCACAGTATTGACAACAGATTACAGTCAAGCCTATCTTGAATTCGCATCACAGCAAGCGGCAACCGCAGCCAAGCACAAAATCGAAGCAGCAGGCTCCGACTCTAGCCAGCCAGCTGGAAAGAAGCAAACCGTCGTATATTCCAGCCCTACGAACAACCCATTCCGTACGCTGCCTAAGGACGCACCTGCTCGAGCGAAAATGGATTCCGGTTCTCGGGGCGGTTCTAGTTCTGGGTACAACGACCGCGGAGGCGGTGGCTACAGGGGACGGGGCAACTTCAATAACCCTCGCGGAGGTTTCAATCGCAACTTCTCGGGCGGCAACATGGGAGGCAACATGGGCGGTGGCTATAACAACAATATGGGAGGTGGTGCCGGCTTCAACAACAACATGGGCGGTGGCAACTTCGGCTTCAATAACAACATGGGCGGAGGAGGCAACTTCGGCTTCCGGGGCGGAATGATGGGCGGAAATATGCGTGGTGGTGGCATGCGCGGCGGAAGAGGTGGTATGAATCCTGGCATGAATCCTGGCATGAACCCGACCATGGGCGCTGGCATGAACAACCCTATGATGGGAGGCATGGGCGCAATGGCAATGCCGGGCATGATGGGCTTCCAACCACCCCACTTCAACCCGGCCTTCTTCGGCGGCAACCAGCAGCAGCAGGCGGACTGGCAGAACCCTCACGGCACTAAGCGGCCACGAGGAGAGTAGGATCATTCTGCGGAGGTCGCGCGCAATGGGAATGTCGAGCATGATGGGCTAGCAACCGCCGCACCCCAACCGTTACGGAGCTCGTTTCCCCCTTTTGTTAATGATGGACTCCCAACTGCCGCACATCTACCGGCACCGAGCTCGTCTCCCCCTGATGATGGGTTTCCAACCGCCGCACCTCAACAGTTACGGAGCTCGTTTCCCCCTTTTGTTAATGATGGACTCCCAACTGCCGCACATCTACCGGCACCGAGCTCGTCTCCCCCTGATGATGGGTTTCCAACCGCCGCACCTCAACAGTTACCGAGCTCGTTTCCCCCTTTTGTTAATGATGGACTTCTAACCGCCGCACATCTACCGGCACCGAGCTCGTCTCCCCTTGTTGATGATGGACATGATGGGCTTCCAACCGCCGCCCCTCAACCGTTACCGAGCTCGTTTCCCCCTATCGTGGATAATGGAACGAAGCCCCACCACACTTACGGACAACTGATAGGGATGGCAATTCTGCGCTCCCCCCATAAGCGCCTACTTCTGCCAGAGATCTACAAGTGGATCTCTGATACCTACTCCTTCTACGATCCCAAGGAAAGGGGCTGGAAGAACAGTATCAGACATAACCTAAGTCTCAACCCGGGTTTCATAAAACAGGAGCGCCTGAAAGGTGCCCCGGGAAGCTACTGGACTATCGAGCCGGGCAAGGAGCAGCAGTTCATGAAGGAGGAAACGCCGCTGCCGCCCCCCAGAAAGTCTACCCCGGCAACCAGCAGCCGGACATGAAGGAAAAGCCGACCAGAAAATCAATTTGACAAGGAGAATAGACCGGTTTCAGCGGTCGGCGCTTCTCGCTGGAAAGATTGGCTCTTGTAAAATATTATGTCTTGTCTGCAAGACAACAGAAGTAGATCTGCAGACCTACAGTAGCTTTGCTTTTTTGAGAGCCATAGCGACATTCAAAATAAAATCATCAAGCTTCTTACAGCAACAAGTGCGTGGTATGGATCGGCATGGTGAGGCCAGCTTCCTACGTCTTCTTCTTGGGGGTCTTGACGGCCTTTCCATCAGGACCGAAGAGTCCAAGCAGATATGCCGTCCTAGTCAAACATAGAAAAACCTGTTGGTTGGGTCAGTATTGGGCTTCGGTTTGAGGCATCAGCAGCCCGGGTGCTTACAGTGAAGCCAACATTGCCCCAGGTAACGGCATTCCACGAGGCGACGTCCATGCTCCTCTCGTAGCCCAGAAGCCAGCAGGTCAGTCCCACGTGTGATATATCCGCTATCCTGTTTACGTAGAGAGATTACATTAGCCAGACACTTTCGTACCTCACCTGTCCTCTGTCGCCTCATCCCCTATTCCCGCCACATCCCCGCCACATCGCCGGAGTTGAACAGAGTGAAAGCTCGCGAGAAAGAGGAAGAAGGCAAGTCCACGCACCATAGAGCTATGAGGTAATTCCGGACGACCTTGACCTCCGTGGTCGTATTCAGCACCATCAGGCCGACGAGGGCGAGCAGGCCGTAGGCATTGCCGAGCTGCAGCGCGACGAGGCGCGCGTTCTCGGACGAGATGACGGGGGCGGTTGTCTCGATCTGGCTGGCGATGAACCAGTCTGTGTCGAAGAGAGGACCGAGGCAGCCTGCGATGCTGGGAGTTGTTAGTATTGGGGTTGCGTTGAGTTTGGGAGACAGTAGATATGTCTGTAGTGTGGTATGTGGCTTACAGTGAGATGGGCTCTATGATGGTGAAGACAGTGCGCGGGAACGCCGGCAAACGTGAAGCCATTCTGCGTTGTGTATTGCTACTGCAAGGGTCCAGCTTCAGTTGATTCTCCAGAATCGCAATCGAGAGACAGCCTACTTTTCGAGTACTATTGCGCCTAACCAAATAGTTTTGTGTATGATGTCTCTGGGAGAAGGGAGAAGGGGGCTTATTGACCTCATGAAGCAGGCGTCTGGAACTCAGGGGTCTCTATGTCGGCGATACGAAGACGCCAAGTCCGATGTCCATGGATCATTATTAAGGGAACCAGCACATGCAATTAGACTAAAACTCCCACCTTCACCATCACCATCACCTTCTCCGTCCTCCCCCGCAACCCGCACGCAGTGTTTGTTCGGCCTTCGCGGCGTTCGCCGGCCAGACACTCGATCCTGACTTGGTGGCCCTCCCTTATCGTTCATCAATTGCCACTGACGATCTGCCTGTGTTACTTCGGGAAAAGCTTCAGTCTGGCCCCGATCCGGGACACTGGAGACCATCTCAATTGGTCCAGAAACAGGTCACAGTAGGACTTCGCACCCTATCTCCATATCTCCATAGTCCGGCTGCATTCTTCCCTGACGTGGAGCTCCTTTCACCGCACCTTGCAGCAACGCCTCCTGCAGAAGAACAAGCAAGTCTTCTTCTTTTCCCTGTATGGGACAACCGGCGCTGTCGACGCCGCTGTCAATGGACGCTTTGCCTCAAGCGAGGATACGAATCTAGCTTCCAACCTGATCTTATTGTATTATTTATTGAGACTTGCTTCCATATTACTCTGAATTGCCGCATCACCCTTTGCTCCCGGCACCTCCTCCTTCTTCCCCTCGTTCAGAAAGTGTTAAACCCGAGTCCTATATTCCAATGCTCTGCCTTTCCTTCTGCCCGTCGATCTACGATGGCGACCATCGAGCCGCGGCTGATCCATCTTCTGAACGAGTCGACGGCTACTCCAAGGCTGCATCATGCTGAACTTCCTCCCATCAACCTCCTGCCACTGCCGAATACATCCAGTCGGCACCACATACTCGAACCCGATGGCAGCCAGCGGTCAGAGGCAACAGTTACGAACAGCGGGCAACTGGCCTCACAGTCGATACCGTCCTTGTATTCCGTGACCGACGATGGCCCCGTCAGTACTGCCTCGAGGAAAGACAACCTCAATTACACAACGGTAGACCGCACGCTCTTGAGTCACATCTCTTCGCAAGACCTCCGTATGATTCTTGATGACACACCGGACAACGTTGAAGAGATCGCGACCAAGAAGAGACCTGTAAAGGAGGATTTCCCTCAGCTGCCACAACCACTCAAGAAGCAGAAAGCGACGGCGCAACCGCATATGTTTCCCCCGATCATAGTGGGTTTACTTGAACCGCCGTCCAATGCCGCTCTGTTCCCGCCAATCTCGTCTGGGTCGTTTGACGATCGCCCGCGATCTGAACCTCCCCAAGCTCTAAGCATCACCAAGCCGCCATCGGAGGCTCATACTGCAGCCGAAGACACAACCATCCCAAGTCCTCCACTCGATGCCGACCGAACTCCAAGCGGCAAGATCAAGCGGCGGGCTGCCAAACCCCGACGGAAGTGGTCTGAGGAAGAGACAAACCATCTCCTCCTAGGCGTCAGCAAACATGGCGTTGGCAAATGGACCGACATTCTCGAGGATCCAGAGTACAAATTCAGCGAACGCACGGCCGGAGACTTGAAAGATAGGTTCCGGACCTGCTGTCCGGATGAACTACGCGCCAAATATGCGGCACGGGGCGAAGCACAGGTGCAGAAGCAGGCGACCGCCAAGGCCGGCCGGAGACCGAAAAAGGGTCTCATGTCGGAGAACATATTGAACGAGGCGGAAGAAGAAGCAGAAACTGAGAATGTTCAGTACGTTCATAATGACTCCGACTCTACGCCAAAGCAGCGCAAGAGCAGGGCCCACCGGAAGAAGATGGAGGATCTGGCCGAGCTAGGGATCAAAGGACCTTTCAGGAAATCACACCGAAGAGAGCGACGACCGTTCTCAGACCAGGACGACAGAGAAATCCTGGAAGGATTTGAGCTTTACGGTCCGCAATGGACCAAAATCCAGAGGGACGCCAGGTTCAATTTGTCCACCAGGCAGCCGACGGACTTGAGAGACAGGTTACGTAACAAGTATCCTGAAAAGTTCGTTGGCACCGAGAAGATGGCGATGCAGGTCAGGGAGCCTGGGCGGAACAACGACCTCATGGAACCTTCCGTCAACATGGCCATTGAGAATTCTCTGAATGTCTCCAAGTCGGCACTATTGGAACCTCAGCTCAACAGGACGAGCTCGCGGGAGGACATGCCCAAATGGCCATTGCCGAGCAGTCTCATGGAGGCTGTCGAGTCATCTCAGTCGCATTCGAGCCTATATTGGGGCGACAGTGCTGCAGGAGTCTTCTCTTCCGGTGCTATTGGGGAGATGGATATATCACGTCTCCTTCTTGATGACACGCAAGTCTTGAGTGACCCTCCCTCTTCAGATAAAAGGGGGTTTGGGTGAATACTGGCTCTGGGCTCGGAAATGATTGTTTGATATATATAGCGCAGGGTACGGCAACTTGCGATAGACAAAGCGTGTCGTCTGGGGCGAAAAGTACTGATTTTGAGAAGTGGCATGCGCAGTTTGCAACAGACCATAGAACGCGACTGTTCAGACTTCACTCATGAGAGTGTGAGGACGAAGCCATGCAGACAAGATCAGGGGCACACCGCCATGGGCCGACTTGAAAAGACGAAGAAGATTGTTTGAAGGCCACACGCAAGGAGATGGATCCTTGGGTGATTTCCAAGGCTTGAACTCAAACTTGAAACCAGAGCTCCTGTCATTACCGGACTGGAAGAGATGTATCTAATCATAGGTGTGAGAGTGCACTTGGATAACGAACAATAGAGACATCCATAAGAGCGACATGCGGCATAGCGCACAGCGTTAGGTGACGTCCGATGTGCTGTCTGCTGCTGGACGATGATGCCTTCACTCTGGGGGCTGCCAGTGGACCGCACACAGACCTGTCCGAGATATACTTTGGTGTGAACTCAGCATAGACCGAGGTCACCCATTCATCGCTCGATTAGTGTTGGGCTTTTTAGTCCTGCAGTAGGTAGTATTCGGTCGAAGGCACGTCGAAGAAGTCGTAGACATGAAGCATCGTGATGTGGGGGAATTGGTGTTATTTGATTGGTCAGTCGAGCGGTGAGCGATGAGATCCACCAGCTGCCAAGAGCCCCACAGCTGCCCAAAGCTTGGACCATCTCTGAGAATTCGCTAGGGCACAACAACCCTTCAATTCGCTTCCAGCAAAAAATTGGCTTGTGCATTCAACTTTTCGCAAAGCCCATTTCGAGCCTCGAACTGCGCAGACCTCCCACCTCACGACAACCACCCATCTCCATCGTCAACCGCCAACATGGGTAAAGGACCGTAAGTGACACACCTGGATCACGTCTCTTCCTTTCGCGGCCGCGAGCCCTGCTTTGAGCAATTGCCCAACCCCCGAAAGGCAGGCGCTGATGGCGACAATTTCACGCCCGCACTGAGCATAGAGATATCGATGCTGACTTCACTCTCTCTACAGTAAGAAGCACCAGAAGCGCCTGAGCGCCCCCTCCCACTGGCTTCTCGACAAGCTCTCCGGTGTCTACGCTCCCAAGGCGTCCCCCGGTCCCCACAAGACCCGCGAATGTCTTCCCCTCATCATCTTCATCCGCAACCGATTAAAGTATGCCCTCAACTACCGCGAGACCCGCGCCATCTTGATGCAGCGCCTCGTCAAGGTTGACGGCAAGGTCCGCACCGACATGACCTACCCCGCCGGCTTCATGGACGTCGTCACCATCGACAAGACTGGCGAGAACTTCCGACTCATCTACGATACCAAGGGCCGATACACCGTCCACCGAATCCAAGAGGAGGAGGCTCAGTACAAGCTGGGCAAGGTCAAGAGAGTACAACTTGGCAAGGGCGGAATCCCATTCTTGGTCACGCACGATGCGAGAACGTAAGTGTTCTGTCAGACATCATTCAGCCGTTGGATCAAGCTTTGGTTGAAACCTCCCCTTCAACACCTTCAACACGTCGTGTTATAGCGAGCTTGGACTGATGGCTGGTATGTTCACCTCTCTCTTCGCATGCTAACCGAGGTTTCTGCAGCATCCGTTACCCCGACCCTCTGGTCAAGGTCAACGACACCGTCAAGATTGACCTGGCCACCGGCAAGGCCACCGACTTCATCAAGTTCGACACTGGTGCCATCGCCATGGTCACTGGTGGTCGCAACATGGGTCGTGTTGGTGTCATCACTCACCGTGAGCGACACGATGGTGGTTTCAACATCGTCCACATCAAGGACGCTATTGACAACACCTTCGCTACCCGCGAGAACAACGTCTTCGTCATCGGCCAGGAGAAGCCCTGGATCTCCCTGCCCAAGGGCAAGGGTGTCAAGCTGACCATCGCTGAGGAGAGAGATCGCCGCCGAGCCCACGCTCTGGCTGGTCACTAAGCTCGTCACTATAAAAGGGGAATCTGGCACAGGTTGATTTTCCGCATTGGGAACTGGAGTCTAAGGCATATCCATTGTGCTTGCTTTACCACGATAAAGTCCGTGGTTTAGGTCAATGATGAATGAGAATTAATTGACCCATGCTTCCCCAATGCCTCGACCTGTCCTCCGATGTTGTGATCCACTGATGGCATTGACCTTTCCTTTATCAGGAAGTTGAGCCGCTGTGCTGACTGCTTGCTGTCTGCTTGCTGTCGTTCTGGGCACATGACGATGCTCTAAGCTGCAGTGAGACTTTGCTCGCAATTTCGCAATGGGCATCTTCATTTCGCCGAAACTTCTCCGTTGGGCCAGCCTGACAAATGATTCCGGACACTGCGGAAGTCAGACCACAAGTGTATGGTTCGGGTTCGGTTTACGTTGCTCGCTCTTCGTCTTCACCGACTTTCTCCTTGTCCCGTCACCGGGTGGTTCGGTTGCCGACTTCCCCAGCCGCAGACAGATAGCTCCGGCTCGTACGGTCATGGCTGTAGAACTCGTACAGCACAGCGCGTTCACTTGCCCAGCTACGACCTTCTGCATCGCCTCCTTGACGGCCATTTCATCTCATCTCATCTCATCTCATCTCATCTACATCTTACACAATCCTGGCTGGCTGATCTCCATGCGCCAAGTGTTCCAAAAAGCAAGAAGCAGAATGTCTCTTCCTCTCCAGGTTACTGTGTACGTAGATGGATGCTGACCAGGCCGTCCCATGCAGTCAGGCCAGTTGGCTGAGATTGCCGAGACGCGCAACCGGCAGGATCTGGCGGCGTAGGGTGTTTCTTAACGTAGGGATGGCTACGCAGACCTACGTGTATCGTGTAGTGTCGTGTCGTCCACGGGAGCGTTGGGTGATACGATTGTGTGCAATGTACTCGGTGACTTGCTCCGAGCTGGGGGCCCTACGTGTCGGCCAGCAGCTTGCGAACCAGCGGCAACGTACCAAAGATCTTGTGACCAGTCACCTGGTGGTAGGTACGTTTGTGGAGGCGGTCTGTCGGATCGGAGTCTGATGCGGATCTGTCTCGGGCAGGCGGCGCGGAATCAGACTGATCACTTGGCCTCTTTCTCGTCTTATTTCTGTATACCTATTACTGCATCTGCCTCGAGTTCTGCCCAGGTTCCAGAACTATCCTCTGTTGGGACAGCCCCCACGGGGTTGGCTGGCAGTGTGGTGGCTGGTCCCTGGAGTTGTTGCAGGTACCCAAGCGTGGGTCAACGAGTGGCCGTGAGGAGCCCTCGTGACCTTTTCTTGATGTGCGGGAATACACTGCATGCAAAGCTAGACCTATCCCGAGGGCGTCAGCCTCTCACCCCTTGCTTTTCGGGGGGTGGGTGGTTGGGTGTGGGACGCTTTGTGTATGTACTGTTGGGCTCGAGCCTGGGTCCTCACGTGAGATCGCCGTGATTACGGCTTTGCGGTGAGCTGTGTTGGCAAGTTGGTGTCTTCATCAATACGGCTGACACAAAATCAACAGTTGGTTGGTATTCGGAAAGAGGCATTCTTGCCCAAAATAGCATATCACCAGAATTGGATGCGCGGATCGTTCTGGCGCTGTGAAGTTGCCGCCCAACCTGTCTCTGAGCTGGGTATATCCCTTTCAACTCGGCTGGACCTGTCTTCGGCCCTGAACTGCAGGTTCCGGTCGTGACGGCGTACCTGCCCTCTCAAACTGACCAACTCCGGCTCCGGACTTTAGGCTATAGCGAAGGAAATAAGCATCAGTACTATGGCAAACCCTGAATTATCACCCAGCGGGATCAGCCCCATCGGTAAGGGCTTTCTGCGAGATATGTGATGATCGACCGGCAAGCCCGAGAGCCCCTATCACACCTCGGGCACACGTGTTGAGGTATTACTCTCCAACCCGGTCCACTGACCTAACGAGGCTTATTAAACCTGCAGGCCTTCGGGGCTGAGAGTCCAGACGGTGATTTCCGATATCACTATGATGTCGTTGCGCTTGTCATCTGTACCGGAAGGACCTGCTTCACCGAGTATATGTTACCGAAGAAGAGACACAGGGACGGTTACTGGTAACGAGGTACCGGAATAACAGAGACCAATAGAATAATTCCGGGCCTTCCACCTACATATTGGTGCCAATCGGAATGGGCCTATGATCATGGACATACGAGACTTGTGCGTCACACCCCTCGCTGTAACCTGAATCCTTCAAGCACAGTCCTGCCCGTCCCGCCCTTGAGATCATCCTCTTATTTCTGCACAGGCATTTGGTGCATGAAAGCCAGGCGTTGATACGTGTTCGGAAGCGCAACCCGAATGTCACCTGAACCGACTACCGTACAGGAGCGAAGTGGCGAAGTGGTCGATGGAACAGCAACGCCTCTTTCAGTGGACCGGGCCTCATGCATTGGGGTTACAGACCGCTGTCAAACTGCCCGATGCGAGACAGAAGTACTGGATCTGATATATGATTAGGCAGTCTTGAAGTCCGGCATATTCTGATACCCAGTCAGCACCTGGGAGACGCCTGCAAGCATGTCCTGTTGCTTCTTCTCCCACATCCCTCCAAAAATAATTCAATAAGCGGATGTAACGTACGGTTACATGAACAATATGGGCAGAGGAAGATATTTTCGAGGGCTCTTCTACATGATTTGACATTGTGCTCTTTCAGCCTCGCTAACCGACTGCTCTCAGGGGTAGCATATCGCTCATCAGAAGAAGCCTACCCTCGCTTCTCGTTGGGAAGGGATGACATGGCATTTCCAAATACACAGGAACGATCATATCCCTGCGATAGTCAGCTCTGCAGACCGCTTCGTGGGAGGTAGCTCGATGCCACAACGTTCTGCCTCCCGTGTCTGCGGACTAATTCTTGCCCCTGAGGAGCTTCCCTACGGCATCGGCCTACCTATTTCGGGAACGACGACCAAAGAAGTTGTCGGTTCCACTGTAGCGTTTACCAGGTCGTGACATGTCCAGCCTACTCTCACAGGTCCGGGGTGCCGAGAGCCTCTCTCCAAGGTCTCGGGCGGCTGCATGACGTCCGCGTTACTCGTAGGCGACGCGGCATGCTCCCCGCAGGTTACACATCAGCTACCACGGCTCGCATATCGTCAGCTCGCGAGCCTGCCGTTCACGAACTGTCGGAGTGATTGCTTACGCGACGCATGCTCGTGTCCTGCCCAGAGGTCATGAGCTCGTCCCGTTGTCATATTCCGATACTGTGCATCTTCGACATGCACAAAGCTCCCCTTTCATTTAAGGCAACTCGACGAGCTGCCATTCCGTGTAAGCCGCAGATTCACTCTTCGCTTGGGAAGCATACAGAGTCAGGGTAAGCCACCGGCCATGTCCGCCTGACTTTCATCTCTCCTGTACCACTTCCACCTTGGCACATGCTGCACTAGGCTCTTGAAAGTAGGTCGAGGCTGCCCTCGGTGGGCTCTTGTCACCCCAACATTTTCAGCCGGCCCCTAGACTACCTTACCAGATGCCGCTACGTCATTGCTGGATAGGGGATTGTCTACGCACCAGAAGAATCCTACTTGCCAAGGAGGAGCAGACCGAGAGGGGTGGAAGAGGTCATTGGGGTTCGGCGTACTCCTTCTCCTGTCCTTAGTAAGACGGCAGAAGGCCATCCATCATCTGCGTTAGGTAAGGAGGTATCACGGGGTGTTACCAGCCCACGCCTTGGCAAGTCATACACATAGACATGATGTAGTAGGGTTAGCAAATCGGCTCTATCCGAGCAATAGGGGGGCGTGTGAAGCTTAACACCCATATTCACGCTCCCACAGTAGTCCCAATGGCGGTACAGAGACCGGCTTTACGTACTTTAGCTTCAGCCTCAAGATGGATGTTTTTCGGGAATCGTGTGTTATACGATTAGACATTGTAATACTCGAAGCCCGTATATATACCTACCTACCTCCTATAGGTACTTCACCTACCCCTCAGTGGATCGCAGCAAGACGGTCAACCCCTCCTCTTTAGCTCAATTCTCACCACATAGTACATACTGCCGTCTCCATACTCCGCTCATTTTCAGGCACGGGGTAGAATAGTCCCCTCCTCTTGACTACTTGATGTCTTGACATACGAGTCATGCGACGCCGTACCTGGCCTGTGTGATATGGCACGACCAGCACGTATCATCGGCGAGCCGAAAGCGATCGGTGGGGTGTGAGTACATTTCCTGATATCCCCCTTGCCTGACGGCCTGCCCACGCCCGCCGAGGCGTCTCTGTCATGACTGTCATCACCGGCACGCCGTGGCTACCTACCAACATACCGACCTGCTACGACGAGCATAGGTCTCCGAACCCCCATCACACATCGAGCTCCCTATTTCGTCCTGAAATCAGGCGATTTGCGGCCTATCGAGCGCCCTCGTGTGCGCTTTCGGCTGCCATATCCAAGTGGGTAGGGGTAGGTCAGCACCAGGTCACCCCGAACATCCACAAGCTGCGGGAGAAGCATGGCTAGATGAGCTGTCAATGGTCACTGGGAGACTGAAACGGCGAGAAAACTTTTCGACGGTGACGACAGCCGCCCAGGTGCAGCCGTACCTACATGCTGCCTACAGGCACCCTACATACGACATACCGTGGAAGACATGCGCCAAGGTAGCATCCTGGGTGGTAGGTGGTATTCCACCCACGTATTACGGATGGCAGCCGAGACAGGTCAACGGATTCTTAATTTATTACACTTCATTTCTCATGGCTCGCCTTGCTCTCACCAGTCTCGGATTCTCTCCCACTCGCTTTGGGGGGTCGCTACACAAACCGCGCAACCCAGCTTCCTGTCACAGAAGAGCCAAGTTGCTCGGGTCCCTCGTTCACGCACGAATCCCACGCTTTCCCCCTGGCCTAGTCCGCATCTGTCTGTTACTATGCAGTGCTGCAGCAGTAGTACTGACGATGATGGGGCCTAACGTAGCTCTCTGGCTGGTGACCCGTCAGTGATGGACAACTTCGTCTCCAACCACCACCTTCCTTGCTCACCGTGTGGCATAGGTATGGGCCGGAGCCCCGGTTGACTCCTCATCATCGTGGGCCTTGCCCTGATCCGCTTGGTCATGGCTGACGGCGACGTGAGTATTACATATGTAGGTCGTCCGTCTCTTCTTTATTATGACTACCTTGTGCACCTACACGTGAAGCTGCCCAGTACCGTCTCCTTTCTCTATAAATCTTTCGACCATTCATAGTGGGCATACATTATTACGCCTCTTGGCTGTCCTTCACCCGTCTCTCACACCCATTATACGTAATCCCGTCCGGAGAAGTACGTGTGTGCTACTGATACTCGCTCCCTCGTCGCTGGTTGGACCTTTAACGGCTCCAAGAGCTTGGGTCCCACCTCAGGTCACCAGCACACCCTCTGCCTCCCTATGCGTGGGCCATTCACCGAATCTGAAATCGACACGAGTGTGGTCCATGACAGGCCGAGAAAGCCCTTGTACCAACAGTACTCATCACCTCAGACCACCCGCCCGAACCCGTCCGTACTCGTGGAGGAGGACAAATCACCCGGCTGCCTGAACATCCCAGACCGGTAGTTGTTGTGATTTACACAGCTTTTCCACGACAGGCCGTTAATATTGTCCGGCTCGAATCTGGCTCCCGTCCGAACCTAGGTAGCTTGGTCCTCATACTCTCTACTACGCGGATTCGATATAAGTATATAAGCTTATTCCAAACTCGCTAAAGACCAGCCTCCGGTTTTCCGTATCTGGCCTTCCTATCTGGCCTTCCCTGGATATCCAGATTATACTCACCCTTATCGACTCAATCTCAGCTTGAGACCTGCTGGATTTTGCCATCGGCTCAGGACCGAGTCACCTCGTCCGGTTGGGGCGAAAGACCCACTGCATACAGCCTCCTATCCGAAGGACACCGGGTAGATCACCCACACCTGTAGGCGTCCCGAAGCGGGACACTGCTGCGAGATCCGGAGCTATTGGGGCTCCTACCGCTGGCATCATCCGGCCTAATTCCATATTGTCGCCGCAGCTGGTGTCGACGTCTGCGACTTGTTCACAGTATAACGAAATCCATCTCAGATGTCGACCAAACACTACACTCGGCGCCTCGCTAGCGCCTGGAGACGCACCGTCTCTACCTGCACGGCGGTGGAAAAGCCATTCCCCGGCCAGAGTTCCAGTACCGGGCGGACTTGGGCTGAACCAATTTACCACCATCCAAGATGGTCCGGCCGTTCGGTGTTCGCCTTGACAGCTAGCGCCGGAGCTCTGGGGTTCGGCCTTGCAGCAGCAGCGTTACAAGACCCGCCCAAAGGTGCCGTCATGCTCTTCGATAGCAAGACGCCGACCCCGGAATATGCAAACTTGAGGGAAATGGAAGCCGTAAGTCAATATCTGCCCAACACATGTCACGCGCACATTCGGGTTTGGAAGTGCGTAAGTGCTAAGCATGTCCGCAGACACTGAGAGAGATTCGCCATGAAGTCAGTAGCAAAGGCGAGGAAGAGGACATCATCAGCACGGACCCTGACGACCTCCACGCACATGGCTATTCCGAATGGTCGACCGTCAACCCTGATGGCCTGCCGGTAGCCGTCGCTTACCCAAGGTCAACTGAGCAGGTGGCAATCATTGCCAAGATCTGCCACAAGTACAGGGTGCCCATCATCCCGTATTCGGGTGGTTCAAGCTTGGAGGGTAACTTCTCGGCGCCTTATGGCGGCATAAGTGTTGATTTTGCCTATATGGTAGGTTGTCTTTGCAGAACCCTTGTCTTGCGTCACCCCCTTTTCCAGCCATCGGACTGCCCGATGCCTGCGTCTCCTGGCTATTGAAACCCAACCTCATGTGCCGAAAGATTCGTCAGACCTTTGGTCAAAATGGAGCTGGCAAACAGGCTGACTCGCGATATCAAGGACCAAATCATTCAGTTCAACAAAGAGGACATGGACATTGTGGTGCAGCCAAGCATTGGATGGCAGGATCTCAACGAGCAGCTGAGTAACATAAGCAGTGGGCTTTTCTTCCCGATCGACCCTGGTAAGATTTTATCTGGTCCTGTTGATCTCTGAGATGAGAGGGATAATGAGATGCCTTGGTATCTCACCCCTTTTGGCTGGATCAGACTATATCAAATCGGAAACTATACTGATATGAAAACCCCGGATGACAGGCCCAAGCGCCAAGATCGGTGGCATGATCGGTACCAATTGCTCCGGGACCAATGCAGTTAAATACGGCACGATGAAGGACTGGGTCATCAACCTCACGGTGGTCTTGGCAGATGGGACCATAATCAAGACGAGGAAGCGCCCAAGGAAAAGTTCGGCGGGCTACAACCTCAACGGGATCTTTGTGGGCAGCGAGGGTACCCTTGGCTTGGTCACAGAAGGTGAGGTGCCCCTGATGGAGAGCAAAGATCAATAAAACTGACAGAGCATGTAGCCACTCTCAAACTCACGGTCATTCCCGAAGACTTCTCGGTGGCTGTCGTTACGTTCCCCACCATCCGCGATGCCGCGTCCGCCGCCGCCGGGGTGATGCAGGCCGGAATCCCCGTCGCGGCTATGGAGATTATGGACGAGGTGCAGATGAAAGTTGTCAACCTAGGAGGCGCCACGGCCCCACGGGTATGGAAGGAATCGCCTACGCTCTTCTTCAAGTTCTCTGGAACGAAGGCCGGCGTTCAAGAAAACATCACGCGCGTTCAGGGGATTACAAAGGCCAACAAGGGCGGCAACTTTGAATTTGCCAAGGACCAGCTGGAGCAAAAGCTGCTGTGGTCTGCAAGAAAAGAGTCACTGTGGTCGATGTTGGCTCTGAGAAAAGAGGGCGAGGAAGTCTGTAAGTGACCCCTGAAATCTCCCCACAGCCATGAGAATGTCACGTTCATGGGTCGCAATGCTGCGAATGTCATCTCGAACGCGATTCAACAAGAGGGAGATGTAACATAGAGCGAAGCTTACACTACCTCTAGGGAGTACTGACGTAGCCGTACCATTCAGCCGCTTGGCCGACATCATCGAGGTCAGCAAGAAGGAGATGGACGACCTGGGTCTCTTCGCCTCTATCCTGGGACACATTGGGGACGGCAACTTCCACGAGAGCATCATCTACAACAGCACCAAGAAGGATGAGCGCGACAAGGTCGAGATGTGCGTCACGAACATGGTCAACCGGGCCCTGGAGATGGAGGGCACATGCACGGGCGAGCACTCCATCGGCTGGGGTAAGAAGGCGTCGCTGTTGAAGGAGGTCGGCCCGGAGACCTTGGCGGTGATGAGGCAGATCAAGATGGCCCTGGATCCCCTGTGGATCATGAACCCGGGGAAAATAATGGATCTTCCTTGATGACTCTGAAGTGCCGTTGGATTCACGTATCTCCTGTTCCTTCGCGTGGGGACCGAGCTGTAGGTACGACTACGCCCCCCGAGGTTGAAGATCACGGACCAGGAGAATAAATCCAAGGAGACAACGCCACGCAAACCACTGCAAACTACGGCGTTCGAGCATTGGCAGTGATTTCATACTGATTTGGGTCGGCATCATCTCTCAAAAGCAAAACCTTTCTTTTCGTCATTGAGCGGGCGCCCAGGCTTGGGCATCCATCACCTCGGGCTTTTTTCTTCCTCAAGACTTCTTCGCATTGTGCATGTATCTCCAGCAATCGATTCAGCTTGATGACACGAGGCTGTTGTCACGGTTGGGCAGACACGCTTGTCTCCGTGCTTGGCTGTACTACCTATCTCATGGCATATTATCCTGGCATCCAAGCGTGTTATAGGGGTTGTTGGGCTTGGAACAAAAAGGGGGTGTGACGGTGCTGACTCATGAAGCATTGTTGGTGTTGACTTGGTTGATTTTCTGTATGTTGGATCATTGGGTGCTCGCATGTATGCATTGGCACTCTCATCACATAGGTAGCTAGCACTGTCATCATTGAGGCCTGTTCGCGCTTAATCCTTCCTACCTTGGCCGTATTTGGTGTTTCTGTGTGCTGGTGAAGTCCTACTGTGGCCGTGATCATGATGTAACAACTATGTTTATGCCATCCATTCGTCCCAGAGCTTCATATAATATGATCCGAACTGCTTGTCGGGCCTGTGGATGTAGCATCGTGTCAGAGGCACAGGGGATGGTCGTATCTCCTCCGGAAGCGATGGCATCCTCCCCTTTTGTGGGCGACGCTACAGACACAAGCAACCTTCATACATACTCCCTTGCTTTGCCGAAAGCTGAGAGCTTCGTTGGGCCGGCCAAACACAATGGGGTCACCTTGTAAATCCCGGGTCCGGCACAGATAGGGGGGGCTAGCTTCTTCGAGGTTATATTCTTCCCCTCAGCATGAGTGCTGTCTCGATAGTGACATGGATCTGGTTACCTACAAGCCACCAGGTAGCCTTCCTTTTCTCTTAGGGTTCTGCGTGCCCGTAGTAGGGGGTTGGGTTTCAACATGGGTCATTTTCACTTCCCCCTGAGTACACCATCCTCTGTCTCAATGGGACCAAAAGATGATGTATGCTTTGTGTGGTCCATGTGGGCATGACAGAACAAAGAGCAGGTGTCCCCTGTAATGTAAATTGACCATCTGGTCCTCAACCATGCTGCTCACAGTCACATGCAGTGATCCCGTGCACGTGTACCCTTCCCACCGCGTGCATTATCCATACCAGGAGCCATCAGCCCAACACTACGTCATCCGCAATTTCCACCGTACCGCCCATCTTTCCATCCTTTGACATACCTCTTTCGATCTTCTTCACCTCCCAGTCGCTCTCCACAGCTTTCCAGCATGCAATCACTCCACGAGCCAGAGAACCCCATTCGTTTTCTGGATGCTACCAGCATGCCCGTTCAATCAGTATGCCCAGCCTCCTCAGGTGGCACTCTCATCGCTAAAGCTACCAGTGTGCCAGCCAACCTTCGTGCGAGTACCCTGGTAGACGCACGAACCGCCCCCTACATGGGAGCCTGGCGCCCGTATCCTAATCGATACGGCCATGGTAACTCCGCCTCCGGCTAGCTGTATCCGTTCTTCCACTCACACTTCTCCTTGAACCTCTTCCATTTTCTATATTGCTGGCCAACATCATCCCGCAAGAGACCTCGCTTCCCAAATCTGGGCCTCATCAAGCCAATATCGCAGGCCTTCGCTTCAAGGTATCTCGACTACCTGCGGCTTCAGCGCAGCTCACTCAATATGATCTGGGTCACTGGTCTGCGCATTGCAATCACCACGCAGAGGCCGAACCCATCTCGGCAAGTCCAGTTGCCCGAAGTCGGGATTAAATCAGTGGTCGCGCCAACATTCAGTGATGCACCCTCATCGTCAGAGGCACCCCCAATTGTCAGAGGCACATGTGACCACCACTGTGAAGAGATGTTCAGCCTTCTACGCAGAGGAGCTCTTGGCCGGCACAGCCCAGCAGTGCTGGGCCTCAACTGGGGTCGGCTTATTGGATAGGGGTAGAGCGCCAGGGACATGAACTCTCTCGTTATCCTACGATGCCAGTCCAGGTGCCCGTTATGGAGAGATATTCCGGGAACAACTTCAGAACGACGAGCACGTGTTCATTTGGACAATTACCCGGCCACCCTCGTCTCTGTCATCAGGTGGTCAAGTGGCTCTGGCACGCATGTGCGTCGATGTGCAAGCAAGCTTTCACGGGCGCGCAACCAGCAACTTCGCTCATAACGCTGCTTTGAGGCTTCAGAGGCAGTGAATGGCCAATTTGTGCTGCCGCCAATGGGAGGACTTTACTATGCATGAGAGGACCAGTCCACGCTGTCTTTGACCAGAGCATAGCACGTGCAAGTTGGCCATCAAGCCCTTTCGTGATACTGATCGAGCCACTACTCAGTCCTCGGATCATATCAACGTTGGTTCGCTTCTTGTCGCAACAGGCTCTCACTCTGTGAGAAACCCGGACCAACGCCATACACACTCTGTGGCCATCAGGCTGCTGTCGAGAAAAGGGGCCACTACGTCCACAGCCGTTTGTCGGTCACATGCGTCAATGCCCCTGACCCAAAAGCACAGATAATCAATCTCCAGTGCCAGCAGTATATCGAGGCCGAGTATCGCTCGCTGCAGAAGCCTAGTCAAAGCTTTCTTGCTTGGCATCGCCGAGCACTCTAGGCAAGCTACAGCTCCAGCACCATTTAGACCAGTTTCATCACAAATGGGCTTCGAAAACATGATTACTGAGGCAGTAGATTGAGAGCAGCCATGGGCTGCGAGGCCTGAGGACTGAGGCATCCGTTTGAGACTTGCAAGGAGACTCGATGGAAAATTCTGATGCCTCCACAATGCTGCTCAGCAAGTTTCAGCCGCAATTGACATTGAAGCACACGCTATTAGCAAGACTGGAGGAAAGTAGAAACAATATTTTCACTCAATCGTCGCGTACCTGTGGTATTGAAAATCTTGCACGAATCGGCGACTGCATGCACCTCGGACAGCCGCATGAGACATGAAAGCACACGTATGGAGACAAACGAAAATCCTCCTCCGTTTGATACCCTCCCACATCACATGCCTCGCTTGCCTACAGGTAGATGGCATCCAGTTCGTCTATCCTCAACAAAACTCCACATCCAGAGGGCCCCCTTCTACGATACTGCTAACTGGTACTTGTTGACTTGAGGAAGGCGCCAATGCCACTTTGAAAAGGACATTCTCAAAGCACCTTCTCGACACTGCAGCCGCAAAACAGCATAACGGAAGCTGCGCAGGTGCCAAACGGCGAGGCAATCTCCGCTCTTTTGGCCTTTGGGGTATTCGTGAGAAGTCCTCTTCCTTTTCTGTTACACACCTCCACCTCCATCACATCCACCTCCATCACATCCAACTCCATCACATTACATCCACCACCTCAACCACCTCAACCCATCCAACATCCCACGCATCTGCACCAGCATCCATACATACTTAAACGCCACTATCACCTATACAGATATCTGCCGCCTTCTGCAGCACTGCTGCCACTCTCGTTCTCTTTCTTTTCCTCTACGGATCGTAAACATTGGTGAGTATCGCCCCGTCCCAACCTCCAAACACACAGTGCCTGCTGCCTCGCCTCTCCTCTGATGGCTGCTTCCATTGTCCGTGATCCGTTCAAAGACACACCCGAATAATGTGGCCATCGAGTCTATCTTCAAGCCATATTCTCCCGAAAAAAAATCATCTCGACTTGCTAACTATTCTCGTATAAGAGTGACCGTCACTAGCCATTCCAGCGAGGTTCCAACATCTCGTTCCAGAGAGCACGAACCAAAATCGGAATCCAATACTTCGACTTCGTGTTCCCAACCCAGCAGATTGAGATATCCGATACTTTGATCGGCATTCCATACAATCTCCAAGAAGTACGCCGCTCTTGGGGCGTGTTGCAGCTTATCCATACGGTGGACATGTCACACCCTGTGATTCCTTCACCCACCAGCGACCAGCGCATCATGGAAAACAGCTCCAACTGGCTCGGCCGGCTGCCCACCCAGCGTTCTGCTTCGGTACCTGCCCGAGCCGAGAGCTCTGACTCCTCAGGTACCAGCACAGGCACAGTCGTTCGTGCTTCTATACCTCGTACCAATGGCCATCGCCCATCCTACGGCGGCACCATCCATCCTGCCGTCCACCCTGGGGAAAGACTGTCATCCGGTCCATCAATTCCGCAATATTCACAGCAGCCTCAGGGATCCCACACTCGGAACCAGAGAAGTGCCTTGCATACTAATGGATATGCTGCGGCTCAACACCTTATGAGACAACGTCCACATAGCCAGCAACAACAGCCCCCTGTCCACATCCTTAATACCAACGGCTCCGCGCCTCCTTCCGGAGCACGACAGACCTTTTCCAATGGACAACGAGGAGGCAGTTCGTACAGGTCTTCCCAGGCCATCGCGCTCAAAGCTCAATGGAGAGACTGGGCTAGGCTTGGTCTCCGACTCCATCCAGTCCCTCTCCACACTACAACTTTCGACCTATGGCAGCACTTCAAGCCTTACGGCCAGATCATCTTCATCGATCTAGAAGATGATGTTCACGCAGCTCGAACAGGTGTTGCATATGTCCACTTCTCGCCGCCTCCTACCAAGGAATGCTGGGGAACCTCATCACAAATCAACATCCAGGGCCAAAGTGTAAAGGTCAAGATTTCCCTCCTCCCCCAACGCATTGAACAAGTTCAAAGTCCTGGTGGTCAACTCTACGACTCAAAGCTGAGCCTCACACCAAAATCCTTACGATTCGGCATTCTCGTTTCTGAGAATACAATGATGGACATGCGAACGCTTGAAAACAGCCTCAAGGGCGACTTTTCACTCACAGTCGACTTGAGGTACAGGAGCCTTGAGATACAGTTTGCTTGCGACATCAAAGACCCGCGCCGCGAGGATCCCAGCATCAAGGGTTCCCAGCCCAACATCAAGGACTCTCCAATTGGAGCCATGGAATGCACGTCCGAGTACAAGGCCCAGATCTCTTTCACTCATCTGACGAAGCTCATCCAAATCAAAGACGATGACGAGGATACGTGGTCCCTGGTCATCTCGCTGTCGAGTCCTCCCGTTTTCTACAAGAAACAGGAATACGGAAGATCTCACTCGAAGAATATTAGCAGTTGGGGAGAGAAGGACGCGTGGAATCGAACGGTCGACGTGTCTTACGACACATCATGGTTCAAGGAAGAGGCTATATCCCTCCCAAGAACCCACCAGTATATCGACATTGGCAGATGGACGACGTACAAGCTCACTTTCACGAAAGCTGATCTGGCCGCATGGGACACGATGAAGCATGTTCTGCAGGACTTCAATATCGACACCGACTCTGCCACAACAAGTGCCTTTTCGACGATCCCGGCACAAGTTTCCAACATATGGGAGATCCTCGAGCCCCAAGTGAGCATCGACACAGCGAACGCTAATCTAGCTTTGCTCGCTGGCACTGAAGACGTGCATCTTCCCTACGATGTTCGATACCAGCTCGAAGTATGCCTTTCCCAAGGAATCCTCAATGAAGTTAACATCGAGGCAGATTTCTTGCGGGGCCTGGCAGATCTCTCTAGCAGCCGCAGTGCTCGAAGGGACAGGGCGAGGGATCTTTTGACGTACGTCGCCGAATCTCACACCCAAGAACTCGCGGACGGCCCCAGGAAGGTGGCCGACAAGAGGGTATATGACCCCATGTCACTGTTCCAGAACAGAAAGGCGATGAGCCACTACCCAGAAATTGGCCTTCCCGAACACTGTGTGTGGATCAGGAAAGTCGTTGTCACTCCCTCGACCGTTTACCTGAGTACACCGACACCGGAGCCATCGAACCGGATCTTGCGCCACTATTCCAGCTTCGCAGACCGCTTCCTGCGAGTCCAGTTCACCGATGAGCTCGTCAAGGGGCGCATCTTCCCCGAGCCTGAAAGTGAGCAGAACAATGCTCTCTTCAACAGGATATTTCGAGCCTTGAGAAACGGCCTTCAGATCGGCGGACGCCATTTTCAATTCCTCGCATTCGGCAACTCGCAGTTCCGAGAGAACGGGGCCTACTTCTTCTCTCCGACAGATCACATAACTTGCGACAACATTCGCAGTTGGATGGGAGAAGTCAATCACATCAAAGTCGTCGCCAAACACGCTGCCAGATTGGGACAGTGTTTCTCTACTACCAGAATACCTAAGGGCATCCCGATCGGGCAGACTGTCAAAGAGATCGCCGATATCGAGCGCAACGGCTGGTGCTTCAGCGATGGCGTTGGGAAAATCTCGCCAGATCTTGCCAAATACATTGCTAAGCACCTTAAGTTGACCAAGAAGAATGTGCCATCCGCCTTCCAGTTTCGACTCGGCGGTTGTAAAGGCCTGCTGGTGTGCTGGCCCGACTTGTCCTTCAACGAGATCCATATACGACCATCCCAGAAGAAGTTCAAAGCATCCGCCCAGAATATCGAGATAATCAAGTCCTCTCGGTACGCAGTCGCAACCTTGAACAGACAGACCATCACCATACTCAGCACCCTCGGCGTGCCGGATGCTGTATTCGTCAAGATGTTGCAGACTCAGCTGGCCGGTTACAATGGTGCATTGGAGGACCCAACCATTGCCATGAAACTGCTTAGCAGATACGTCGACCAGAACGGCATCACCACGAACATCGCGCAGATGATTGTGGACGGATTAATGCAGGAGAAGGAGCCATTCTTCATGTCTATTCTCCAGGTGTGGCGTGCTTGGTCCCTGAGATTGCTTAGAGAGAAGGCTCGAATCGTTGTCGACAAGGGCGCCTTCGTCTTTGGCTGTCTGGATGAGACCTTTACCCTCCGAGGTCACCACAAGCCGACCGGTTCCGTGGACAAAGACCTCGAGCTCCCGCAGATATTCCTTCAGATTCCCAACCCAAATGCGCCTATTGGCGAGGATGACAAATACATTGTCGTCACCGGGTTGTGTGTGGTAGGACGCAATCCGTCATTGCACCCGGGCGACCTCCGCGTCGTCGAGGCCGTGGACGTCCCCCAACTCAGACATCTTCGTGACGTCGTCGTGTTCCCGGCTACCGGAGATCGTGACATCCCTTCCATGTGTTCTGGCGGTGATCTCGACGGTGACGACTTCTTCGTCATCTGGGACCCTGAGTTGATCCCTCCTTCGTCGGAGTGGAATTACGCTCCCATGCACCACGACTCGGCCAACACACCAAAGGAGCTCCCACGCGATGTGAGACCATCCGATCTCATCCAGTTCTTCGTCGCCTACATGAAGAACGACTCCCTCAGCAGCATCGCCATGGCGCACCTCGCACTATCGGACCGGCTCGGGCCTAAGGATCCCATGTGCGTTGAATTGGCCCAGCTACATTCCAAGGCTGTGGACTACCCGAAGTCAGGTCAACCGGCACATCTCAAGAGATCACTGCGCCCGAAGAAATGGCCGCACTTCATGGAGAAGCCCAATCGCTATGTGTCGACCAAGATCCTCGGCCAGCTTTACGATCTGGTGGCGGCAGTAGATTTCAAGCCCAACTACAATGGCGCTTTCGATGAACGAATCCTCCGCCGATACCGGCTCGACGAAGAGGTGTTGAGGAACGCGCGTATCATCAAGAAGCAGCATGACAAGGCTCTCCGGCAGATCATGAATCAACGTGAGATTGCGACGGAATTCGAGGTATGGTCCACATTCGTCCTCACCAAGCCTCGGGTCGGCAACGATTACAACATGCAAGAGACAATGGGGGGCATTGTATCCCGCCACCGCGAGAGATTCAAGACGGCTTGTGTCAAGGTGGCCGGTTCGAGAGAGCCAAGTATCCTGTGTCCGCTGATTGCGGCCACGTACCGCATCACGTGGGAGGAGGTGCAGGTTGCTCTACAGACATCGCCGGAACTGTTTACCATACTCGATCGAGATACTGCAAGGCGAAAGGAGGTGATGGAGTCGATGCCTTTGATCAGCTTCCCTTGGATCTTTGAGCACGAGCTGGGCCGCATTGCGAACATGAGAGGTGACCCCGAACTCGACAGGATACCGCAGGTCACCCCTTCACTCTTTGACGAGGACAAGGGCGAGGACGAGGACAAGGACAAGGACGAATACGAAAGGCTTGTAGCTGCCGGTCTCATGGTCGGTGACCTAGAAGACGGCAGTGAAGGCGATGGTGAGCTCAACGGCGATGGTGCAAGCAGTAGCACAGAGTCCAGAGATCAACAGGCTTTGTCGCCCGCCACTGCCACTGCGGCGGCGACGAAGACAGAAGAGGACATGGTGGGAGAGGTGGTGGAAGAGGACATAGTGGAGATGGAGGATGAGGACAACGGAATGGATGCCCTGGAGAAGTTGGTACTCTGACCTGAATGCCCCAACTCTAGTTGAGAAGTTACCACTCAGGGGTAGGAAGGGCCACAAGCACCGTCTCCTGAAGTACCTCGCATCATTCGGAGCGTGTCCCCATTCCACGCCGTTCTACTCCGCGAGGCTCTTAATGAGTCGTTGGGTCGATCAGTCCTCTGGGTCCGGGTACCTATGGTGCAGCCGGAGCGGCCAGACTATTGGAAGCGGTTGTCTTGTGTCGGATTATTTGTACCACCAAGCGTCTATAGCTCACCATCATTTCTCCCTTTCCCCTTTCCCCTTTCCCCTTTCCCCTTTCCCCTTTCCCCTTTCCCCTTTCCCCTTTCCCTTTCCCCCTTTCTCCTTTCCCCCATATCGCGTTTTTATTCCCCCATCCGTTGTAAACCAGAAAATACCAAAAAACTAGAAAAAGAACAAAGGGGAAAGATGTCCTGGGTGATGAACTCAAAGGTACCTTGCAAACTGGAGCTGGAATGTTCAACGACATGAGGCTACCTGACCTTATCGATATCAGCGCTTGGGCCACCTGGTGGGGACTCACAGCCTGGTCTTGGCAATACGCACTTTTGAATTTTGCCATGGATCCCGACCCTGAACAACCATCAATCGTGTTTGTAAGCTATTGACGACGACGGCACGCATCAGAATACCACAACAGTTCTCGAGGTAAGTCGAGGTGCACCCCTCTCGTACTTGCTTGAGTAGAAGTCGGCTAGAAACACGGGCAATTCGACACAGAAGAAACCAGACCGCCCCGAACATTTGAAGTGCCGGCCCCGCTGAACTCTTTCTCTACCAACCTTAGCATTCCATCGACGCCCTCGCCTCAAGCTCAAGCTCCAACCGAATCACTCCTCACACCCTCGCCCCGAGTTCTCTACCGTCACTATGGCCGATGTGCAGGAGCGTCTGAAGGCGAAGTTTGGTAACGCCGTGCCTTCGCGTACCGGTATGTTGTGCTCTGACCGCTGTGACCGCTATGCCACACGGGTATTGAGGTATTGACTGTGTCTCCAATCAGGCGGAAAGGGAACGCCGCGACACAAGCAGAAGCGCAATGTCGCGCGAAACGCCAACGACGACAAGAAGCTCCAGGCCACCCTGAAGAAGCTGAACACCCAGCCCATCCAGGCAATTGAGGAGGTCAACATGTTCAAGAGCGACGGAAACGTCATCCACTTCTCTGCTCCCAAGGGTAAGCTTCCTCTGGCCCTCCTTTTGTGCTGGACTAATTGGCCTCTTGTTTAGTCCACGCCGCTGTCCCTTCCAACACCTTCGCCATCTACGGTGCTGGTGAGGACAAGGAGCTGACCGAGCTTGTCCCCGGTATCCTGAACCAGCTCGGACCCGACTCCCTGGCCTCCCTTCGCAAGCTGGCCGAGAGCTACCAGAGCATGTCCAAGGACGGGGACAAGGAGGCCGACGATGACGACATCCCCGATCTGGTTGCTGGTGAGAACTTCGAGAGCAAGGTCGAATAGATGGCTCGCCCGCCTCTAGGGAACGGACGAACCCCCCAAATCCCACGTCATAATGATCGGAGGAACGTCTCATTGGGAGTCCAAAAGGGACGTTGGGCAGTTGATCATCGGTCAATTGAAACGGTATCATGCGTCGTACACGCGAGGAAGGGAGTTTGGCAGCCGTCCTTGCATTTCGGGTTTTCCATCGTCATGCAGGTGACGGTGGTCTGTGGCTGGTCAGCCTGTCGTCCATGGCAGCTGATATCGAGGCACACAATGTTGGCCCCTGTAGCAGCTTCATTTGAGCCAAGCTCTACAATCAGGTCAGTCAGGCGTGGCATTGAGAGATCAGTGTCACTGCTTGTACAACCAGAAGATTTACAAAAACTATGTCTTCCTTCTACCATCGTGTGTTCTGGTTGCGTCGTCTGAATTAATCCTCGAGGCTGCCTACATAGGTAAAAGTCACCCCTGGTACGTCTCGAGCCATACATTCTTGATCAATATTGATTTACAGCAACTGGATAAGCATCAGGGGATAAGCAACTGGGAGGTAAAGTCACTTTCAATGTTGAGACCAAAGTGCTTTTAAAATATTTGTTATTCTGGTGAAATCTACACCAGCGTCGCTACAGCGTAAAATCCTCATCCCCAGAATTCCGCACCCATCCCTTCAAAGCCTGCTGCGTGACCACCTCCTTAACCCTCCTCCTCGCACGCAGGAGTTCTGCACCCTTGACCTCGCCATAGGTCCCCGCACCAAGCACCCTCCGCACCTCGTCAACGCCCCCCACGCCCAGCAGGCCCGCCACCTTGGCCGCGAGAGCCCATATCCGCCGTCTGGACGCGAAGCTCGCGCCCCTGGCATCGAATTGCTTGCGGCCCTGCAGGACGCCGCCTAGCGTTGCCTCCTCGAGGCCGGTTCGCGTCCACGCTGCGGCTAGGTTGCTGGCTGTTGTCTTTTGCGCCCGGGCTGCGACCTCCCGCTTTGAGAAGCGAAATTCTAGTGTTGTGGTCTCGACGGTGAAGGGGCGGAAGCTGTAGCCGCCTTGCCACTTTAACTTCTCCTCGCTAGCCGCGCCCAGAGACCCCATCCGCCCCTCCCCCGAAAACGCCCGCCGGCACCCCGACGGGCTGTGCTGCGACGCCGGTAGGACAAGTGTGTGGATGTAGCAGTTGTCCGGCGCGACGAGCAGGGACGTCGGACCGGAGAGGAGGGAGGTGCACTGCTTCAGGGCGAGCTTGTCGGAGCAGGATTTGGAGAGCGTCCGGGGTGCGTCCGGGCGGGAGGGTTTGCGGCGGATTATTCCTAGGTTGGAGAAGAAGGCGCGGCCGGGGAGCGCTGGCGCTGGCGCTTGGGGTTTGGATTGGGCTGGGAGAGGGGATGGGGAGGAAGTGCTGTTGTTGGTGGGGGTGGTGATGGTGGTGAGAGGGGGGATGGCCCAGGGCGTGGCGTCTTCTTGGGAGGCCATTGTTAGTTCCATGCTTGCGTCGCCGCCTTGTAGTGTGTTAGTCGTGATGATAATGTGGATTGTCTCGTGAGCATCGTTCTCGAATTAAAGTGAAAAGGGGCAGCTTACATGGTGCTTCCGAGCAGTACATATGCAGTAACACGTCCTCCCTCCACGTGAAGGGCTGGCCGTGCCAGACACCATCGCCATCGCCATCACCCGATCTCGGACTAGAGCTGAGCTCATCCTTGGTCCGCGGCCGCAAGAACTCAGAGGACTGTGAGTCATTCTGGGCCAGCGACTTGCACTCGTCCAGCACGAAGCGGTTGAATGCCCGGATAGCCAGCACTTCTGCGTGCCAGTCGTGCAGGACGTTGCCTTGGGCCTGCGAGAGCTTGGAGGATGGGAGGCATTTCATGCCTGTGCTGCAAAGTCACTTGTCAGACAGGCTCTATTATGGCACCCTGGCCCCCTGAGAAGAGACCAGGTCTGAGAGTTACGTACGCTAGAGATAGACAGTATAGCTTGTTGTCTCTTCCTATGAACATAGACATCAGCTGATATTATCGAAAATCTGATTACATGGCTTCAAGTTGGTCTGAAATACCTTGGGCTACGATGCCGCTCAGGGGCACCCATTCGTGGAGGCCATTGTCGCGGACGACGGGCTTCCGCTTCAGGGGCAGCTCGTCATATTGCTTCTGCACCAGAGATGCTATGAGGTCTGGCGTGACGGTCATGGAGACATGGCTGTGTTGGACACGCCACTTCCTGCTTGCCGCCTGGTGTATCTCACAACTGGTTGAGACCGGGATTTGTTTCGACTGACAGCGAGTTCTGAGATTCGGTTTGCTGAAATAGGATATATGCGACTATTGGTATAGCGAGGTTTTGCAAATGGAGACATATCGACTCGTCCGCCTCGCTAGGGCTCCTGAATGGAAAAAGGTGGGACCGAGGAATTTGCCGCTTAGGCTAACCCGCACACTTTCACATTTTGAGAAAACCTCCCACTCGAACATCACGACACGACAACACCACTAACCACACCCAGCCGACCGAAGTTCTCACGAGACTACCGCCATCATGAGAACTTACGACGACACCTTCTCTGGCCAGAGAATCTACCCTGGCAAGGTATGCAGAACACCCCGATCAATCCGCTGCCCGACCGATACGATCGCATCACAACGTCATCCCACGCGGGCCTGAGGAGGGTTGGCAAACAGTCCTGCAATTGACTTGCTCTGGACTCCTCCGATACGGCCCGCGACTCGAAACCCTATACGTCCCGATACCTTTCCGAACGATATATGAATGAAATGGAATGGCATGCTGATGGGATTGAACTTCTAGGGCAAGCTCTACATCAGAGGCGACAGCAAGATCTTCCGATTCCAGAACGGCAAGTCCGAGTCGCTCTTCCTCCAGCGCAAGAACCCCCGCCGAATCGCCTGGACCGTCCTGTTCCGAAGACAGCACCGCAAGGGTATCACTGAGGTATGCCACACCCCACGCATGCGATGCGATGCGATGCTATCTGAAGGGCCCCTTCCAAAATCGTCGACGACCCGATTTTAGAATACTTTGGGGTTTCACGCTTAGAGACTTGTTACAGTGGCTGACAATCACTACAGGAAGCTGCCAAGAAGCGAACCCGCCGAACCGTCAAGGCCCAGCGTGCTATCGTTGGTGCGTCCCTCGATGTCATCAAGGAGAAGCGGTCCATGAGACCCGAGGCCCGCTCAGCCGCCCGCGCGCAAGCCATCAAGGAGAGTAAGGAGAAGAAGGCCGAGTCCGCCGCAGCCAAGAAGTCGGAGAAAGCCAAGAACGCCGCCACTGCCTCCAAGGGCCAGACTCAGCGTATCGTCGGCAAGCAGGGAGCCAAGGGCTCAGCACCCAAGGTCAAGGCCACGACCCGTTAAGGACAGCATGATTTGATGTTCTTCTTCAACGTTGTTGGCGGACTGGGATAGAGAGAGACAGGCAGACGTGGGGAGGATGAATCGACATCTCTATGTTGTCTGGCGGCGTCTTCGGTGGGATATTCCTCGAGTTGTCTTTCGACTGCGGCCACACCACAAACCACTACATCTCTCGGTTGGGGTCTGCATGGAATCTCTCATGGATATGGGAGTTCTGCCTGGTAGCTAGCTCATAATGCCAGCTTGTTCTACGGTCTGATCGATTGTCTTGCATGTATTGTCTGTGTCGCATCCAGCGAAGGTGGTCAACTGGACTAAACATTGCCTAGGGTGGAATCGTTGGCCTCTCTACGCATCGCTCTCATTTCTCTGTCATTTTCGCCGTGTTGACTTGTCAAGTTGGCGCTTGGGGGATCACAACTGTATTACGGTCGCCATGTATGACTTCGTGAGATGCATCTCTATTGGGGGTATAACAACCAGCCCTCTTCAGACCTTTCTCGCATGCTATGGACAACGCTCAAATTTTGTCTCTATCTTGCAATGTGATGACCCGGAATCAAGCTCCTTATCGAGTGGACACAGTCAACTCTCGCATCATATCGATGAGGACCGAGGACTGTGGGTTTGGGACACAGTCAACTCTCGCATCATATCCTTGAGGATCGACGGGTTCCGAATGCCTTCCTGCAGACGCAGCTCCTATAGCTTCGCGATGACGGCATCGGCGCCCGAGACGCCAACATCCTTTCCGGGCTCCTTCTCGGCGTAGACGACCTTGCCATGGTCGATGATCATGGCGTACCGCGCGGTGCGCGGGCCCAGGGTCCAGCCCATGCTCTCGCTGAAGGCGGGGCCGTCGTCGGACATGAAGAGCTGTGATGGCATAGTGTGTTAGCATCAAGTCTTGAAAGATATAGATTAGCAAAAGGCGAGCTTACGATAGAGTCGTCGGTGATCCCATTGGCCTTGCCCCAGGCGGCCATGACGAAGGGGTCGTTGTACGCGATCACGATGACCTTGTCAACGCCCTTGGCCTTGATGTCCTTCAGCTTGGACAGGAAGCCGGTGATGTGCTGGTTCTGGCACGTGGGTGTGAAGGCGCCGGGTACGGCCACGAGGACGACCTTCTTGTCGGCGAAGTCTGTAGGTCGGGGGGGTAATGGCTTGTTAGTCAACCTGTACTCTTGCTTGCTGCTTGGGGGTACGGGGAGAAGGGAAGCCATTGGGTGGGAGGCGCGAGAGATACCGTACCTTTGCTGGCATCGTACTTGGACGGCATGCCGCAGGCGAGCACGTCGCTGGTCTCGGGCGTGGGCGCAATGTAGCCGAAGCTCACATCGGCGGGGAAGGCATCGCCGGCTTTGAAGGCAGGCATCTTGACGGTTGGAGTGGTCGTGGCTTGTGTGTAGACGGTTTTTGGTTTGCGGGCTGTGTTGCAATTGTGGTGTGCGAATTGGGCAGGAGAGTCAAAGATGAGGAGAGAAAACTGCTGTCTTTTAGAAGAATTTGTTGTTCACGAGACTTGGAACACAATTGATGAGAGGGGGCAGTCCGAGGTGAGAAGAGCACATCATCTTGGTGGGGTTCAGTCACGATAGTACCTACCTGGTAGGTATAGTGGGGGTTTGTACCACACTGCGCTGTGGTGGTGTATGGTACAGCACTGCAGAGGGGGGTTTTAGGTAGGGTCCCGCCGTCAAGGTCCCCTGGTGCGGCCGCACTGCCGCAGAGCCCGAGGGGCATGCCGTCAACTCCGTCCTTGCCGGCCGCGTCATTCTCCGAGGTGTGCGACCAAATAACCTCCTTCGCGTTGCTCAACATCTGCGGGAGGTTTTAGAGCTTCCGCAACAGCAACTCGAGGTGCACCAGCCGGCCGACGACAAGGATCCCCATCACTCCAGCGGTGGTCCTGTTCCCAAGTCGCTAGTCTGGTTGATGCTGCTCGCACCGGCCACCACATTCTGCCGTATCGTTATATTTCGCTGCATCGTTCGTTTGCCGCTGCTCGCGTAAGCGACTGTTGTTGAGTTGATGGGTGTGCGTCTTCCGCCAAACACGCGAACGTTCGCGATCATGGCCGCCGCTCTCGTCAGGGTCTCCACGACGGCAGCGTGGACCGTCGATATGCCGGTGTCCATGGGCTCGGTTGGTGACATTTTCGAGTCTTCAGTCGGTATGTTGGTGTCCATGGCCTCGCCTGGTGACCTTGTCGAGGCCGTAGACGAGTCTTATGAAAGGATTCGGCCGATTCAGTCGACTGGCGGTACGCTGCGTGTTTTCTGAATGGCCCTCGATTCGATGCATGTGGCTCTTAGAAGTTGGGAAGCTCGTCGATGATCATGCTGCGAGGGCTTCCTTGTCAAAACATTGCAATTCGAGAGGGACGTCCCGGGAGCTCCCATTGTTTGCTCAATGAGGAATGTCGATTCACTGTCCGCAAAGTGAATGATCGCTCAACTTCAGATGGTGTTTGCTAACCCTCCGGCGTCAACTGATCGGATGGAAAGGTTGTTGGCTATAGCAGCCCGGTTGCAGAGTCTTCTGCAAAGGCTTCTGCTATAGCATCGTGATACTGAATCGGTACACATGCCGGCCCCTCAGCGGACTGCACATATGTCTCGGCTTTATTCCCCGGGACAGTCACCACTCATAAGTCTCCGTCCGATGTACCTCAATGGATCCTTTGGGTATTGCTGGTATGTTTAGATTGCTGGAATAAACGGCCTGGCATAATCAGCTTTGATCCACTAACGCACTTTTGATGCTTATTCCAGAGTACTTATTCCGGTCACGTAAGGCACCCGAACTTTACGGCTCGACGAGCGGCGTACGGAGACTTTTGAGGGCTCAGTGTACGTTGCTTGTGAGAACGGAATTCAGCAGGTTCATACTAGGTACAATCTCTTCGGAAAGGCAACCCAGCTAAAGCGAAGAGATTCGCAAAGAACGGTGGGAACGAGAGATCTATAAGTTATCCACGCGCTTCCTGGCCACCGACTACGGTCAAATACCGACCAACGGTGGGTGAATCCTCCGGCCCTCTGGATCTATGATCAGTCGAAGGACCATCAACTACGGCATAGTCATACTGACAGGAGCCACGGTCTGCCGGGCCTCACATTGTCTATCGGACGCGGCGATCGTATATATCCACGTAGATTCTTCGGGACTGGGTTCAAGTTGTGATGTCAAGAATAATACTTTTCGCCCCTTTTGCTTTCGCCGGGGTTAAGCACCATGTATGTGAGATGGTCAATAAGTATATGATATTGTATAACTACCGACTAGTTTCTTCAGTGTCAGAGGCAGTTCGTACGAAGAGATTAGGGCCCATGGAATGAGAGATACCATGCCAGCTCGCTGGGTTGACAACACGTGGCGTATGGATGGGATAATAATCATATCTTGGTAACAACCTACCTTCGTTACTCACCGACATTCCCCCGAAGAACATCCCACTGACATTGTCAAACCCCGCGGGATTAGGCCAATAGCTAGGCGCGCCCTCCCGGTCATACGATGCAACGGGGAACTAACTTGGTACCTTAGGGATCCCGGCGCCGTACAACTCCTAGCCGAGCGAACGCCCTAGATCGTAGACGGGAACGCCGGCGGGGTAAGGAGGTATGATCGGAACTTTTGCAGTGGGCGGGACTCGGTCAATCATTACGTGCCTCAATATAATATGGATCACCACGTTCTAAATCATCGCTCATATTCTCCTACAAAACGGTTCGACCTACTAGAACTTCGTGGAAGCAATTGTGTCCGACCACATTCCAACACCGCGAAATTAATAAGCGAGCCGAACATTGCAAATCATCCACATCGTATACCATGGCGACAAGCAGCGAGGGAAGGCCCCCGTACCCGCCTTTCACGGCCGAGACGGCACAGATCAAAGTCAAGGCCGCCCAGGATGCATGGAACACAAGGTGAGCACAGCGCCCCTCCGCAAACCTGTCTCTCTCCCGGTCCCATCTCACGGAGAAAATATCGGAACCAGCAGGGGAACTGACGCGCGAACGGCAGGGACCCCAAGAAAGTCAAGATGGCCTACACGCCAAACTCGATCTGGCGCAACCGCGACCAGTTCCTCACGGGCCGCGACGCCATCGAGGCGTTCCTGGCCAAGAAGTGGGAGAAGGAGAACGGCTACCGCCTGCGCAAGGAGCTGTTCTCGTTCTCCGACAACAAGATCGCTGTGCAGTTCTGGTACGAATGGCACGATGAGAGCGGGCAGTGGTGGCGTACGTACGGGCTCGAAGACGTAAGTTCGAACTCTTGATCTCACTCTGGCGTCTTTTGGTTGGGTGGAGCGACTATACCCGTGGCGGCCGGATCCCGTTCGAGGGCTTTCATGTGGTTTTGAGGCATTCTTGCTGGGATGGACTGCTGACTGGTGCCTACAGTGGACGTTTGCCGATGATGGGCTTATGCGCAAGAGGCAGATGAGTGGCAATGATGTCAAGATCAGCCATGAGGAGCGGTGGTATAAGAATAATGTCGATGTGAACACGGTCGATATCTCGGAGAAGCATTGGTAGTTCACTGATCAGCTCAGGGTTAGGAACATAAGTCTTGGGATGGACGGCCAAGATACAAGATGACGAAGTGCTGGCATGGCCTCCTGGTCGTAACGAGCGCGCAGTATCTGTAGTTCCTCTTAGAATTTTGTCTCGGTAAAACCTCTGGCCTTCGTATATGTCTACAGCAACACTCGGGGGGCTAGATGCTACAGATCTACCGCTATCCCAATTGCTGAACGCCAACGAATAGAAAAAAACCTACCGCCGCACATGTTGCCTGACTAGAAGCTTGAAGCGATAAAGGATACCGTGGGAAAGGCATGGTTGTCCATGTAAGCTTACATCAGTCCGGGTGAGTCCGAGGTAGCCTGCGAGAAATGAGACCGGAGACCCACTGAGACAGGCCGGATGAGGAGAGACCCGGTGATAACAGCGTGACTAATGCCAACTGGTCCCGACTAGGTCGTAGACCCCATTTGGAGTTTATCATGAAGTTGTTTGTGTGAATGTTGAGGATATACATTCTGGCATAGTTCATATCGCAGTCTATGGCGCTCGAGTTCAAGTTATAGTGGAGGCTAATAAATGAGAATATGCTGTACGTAAGGCTCTCGGTGCGACCAAGCTCCCAAGAACTTCATTCTAAAGTCGAGCCCTGCATTCCAGTCAGAGACCTAGTTGACGGAGGCATCACGACATCCCATCTTGTGTGCTGGTGTGAGCTGCTATTATCACCCCTCGTATCCTTCCTATGTAGAGCGATACTCGCTTGGGAGGCGAGCCGGGATATTATCAGAAGACGCAAAAGCTGTGAATTAACAGCACACATATTGACGTGTAGCTCCTTTCCAGGGAAGTCGTTGTGCTGCGCAGGCCTATGGATGACCCTAACTATATCTTCGGTCATTCTGTCACACAACATGCTTGGGTTCGGTGAGACAGCTTCACGTTACTACACGCAAGAGCGACGTCTCGGTTATACAGCTGTAAAACAAAACATGACCGTGTCTCCATGGCTCATATACGGCACACGCTCGCACATGGCGCGGAATGATATGTTGCGTGGCAGCCTCCGTTGGGACGAACCCAACGTGGGACACCACTGACGCCCCACGAGGAATGGGGATTCGATGGTGAGGTTGCTATCAGACCAGTTCGTCCCGAGAAACACCGTCTGTGTTTCTCTTTGATTGGAATTTCCCGTCCCTTCAGTGTAGTGTTGTACATGTCCATGGGTTATCTGGTACCTGGTACCACAGCGCGATTTGAGCACGCGGTTTGCCCCTGAAGGCACTGTGGCACGAGATGCCTCAGCTTCGGTAAGATATTCCCCTAGCATGGTTCCACGAATTTGAGATGTTTGGGCTGAGATCGTGCTACCAGGCTCGCTTGGCTTACCACTTGATGTACTCGGAATGCGGGCTGATGCGGTGTTTGCTGTCATGCAAGCTACATGCCAAACTTGCCTTGCATTTATAGCGGGAACGTTAACACACAGGCGGTTACGCATGGAGACTGTGAGTACCGTACTCGAAGCGGATACGCGCCCTGGACGAAATCAGCGGCGCGGCTCTACTTATAAGGGGAAGGCAACGTAGCTGGCCCGTACCCATCTACTGTGATGTTCGAGAGTAGCCCTTCTTGGAGGTTGGAACTCGACCCAGGCTGAGGTGGGCCAGACACGCACGCCTTGATTTGCCTGAAAAGGAAACAACACGCTGTGGCTCGTTGATGCAATGCGTGTGGAGATGATGTGGTGGCACATTCTGCCGCCGTGACAATCCTGGAGTCGCACCGCCGATCTCCTGGGGTTGAGGGAGGCTATGAGATCTGACAGGCACCCCTCGCCGATCAGTGGGAGATCTCAGATGCCGGAAATACGGGATGGGCAGCCAAGACAGACCCTGATTGAGGCTTCATCCAATAGGAAGAATTTATTCCAAGCTCTGAGACTTATGGTCTGTATCTCAACCCCGGGGCTACCGTTGTTCTTCTTTGCCGCTAGACTGATGAGTTTGCTTCTTGTTCTTCATCGGTTTCCCAACTGAAAGAACCGTTGAATGCCTGGCCACAGATTTGACGTCTCTCCTTAATTCCACACATTGGATACGTCTAACAGTGTCTGTTTCACATGCTTCTCTATCGCCGTCCCCGGCGTGTTCAGACTCGCGTACTTGTCTCTTACCAAAGGCTGTATGTAGAATTTTCTTGGGGACGTTTGACTACTTCCCCGTTTCCCAGATCCACGACATGGCTGCTTACAGTGGTAGTAGTGAGCGTTTGAGTCTCGGCGTCGGCGATTCTACACCGACAGAGACGTCAGCCTGTCCGTACTCGCCCCTCCAGCATCGGGACGCCGTTCTTCGTGTGTTCGATAGGGCTCCTGCATGGCGCGTAGCTATTATCATAGTCTACCCGAAGATGTGCGAAACTCCAGCCTTCCAGCTCCCATACCGCATGAGCTGGGTCTTTTATCCAGCCTTTGTATAGTGGCAAGGGGCCCAGAAGACGCCACATTGGCTTCGATAACCCACCTGTTTTCTGCCATGGGACGAGTGACATGGCTTTTACATCCCGGAATGTACACGCTCGTCGGGAGGCTGTGACCTATGACTGCGTATTGCGGTTCTCGGAGATGGAATACCTACGAGATGTCCTCTTTGACGAATCGTCCCAGTCGTACAGGCCAAGGTATCGTGGTACCCCCATCTCGCCTATGGGTTACACCCTAAAGTGCCCAACATCTCTCCGGCTTCGTACACACCCGTCGAAAACTGAATCATATTTGAGGCGTGTCCCTCCTCTCGGAGCTCCTGGGTCTCCAGAAACCACCTAGCTTTCCTCCTCTAGAGCTGAGACTTATCGTGCGTCCCTAGTACAGGAAACCTCAAGCCTATTCGGACTGTAGTACTTTCAGCTACCCGTACATAACCAACTTGTTGTTCAATCTACTCAGAGATGTGAGAGTGGTCGATCCCTTCTTACCTCGCTCGTCTTTTCAGCCATACTCCAGCAGTGTTTCAGACCGAAGATTGATCGAAAATACTTCTTCCGGTCTTACTCCTCTCCATCGCAATGGGGTTACTCTCACTCAAATATCGCCGTCCCCAACATGTCGACAGGGAAGATTTCAGAAGGAGGACCAGCGACCTCTCGCTCGATGAGAAAAGAGATGCTTCACTCAGTTCAGGCCCATCCGGTGCATCATCTGGCATTCCAGACGCGCTCACCTTTGAAAAGATCATGAACGGCGGTACTTGCCCGGTAAGTCCACTTGAAGGATCGGCGGGCATTCATATGGCTAACTTACTCGATCAAGCCATGCACCATACGTGATTTCATGAACTACCTCGTCTATATCGAGCATTCAGCTGAGAACCTGCAATTCTTTCTCTGGTACCGCGACTATGTCAAGCGCTTCAATGATGCCACCACCTCAGACATTGCTCTGGCTCCGGAGTGGACGAAGGCAATGGAAGAAGACGCCATCACCAAGATCCAGAAAGATGCTGCGGGCAAGATTAAGAAGGACAACACGCCTGCGGCGGCCATCTTCAAAGGAACCTGCTTTGAGAAGCCGGCCGAGTCAGTGATCGAAAACAAGGATCCCTTCTGGACCCCTCCTGCAACTGCGGACAGCGGAGATGCCCTCTCGATACTGTCGGGAACACGCACAATATCCACATATCAAACGCATACTCGTGACGCCTTCAGCGCTGCCGGTGCGAAGCAGCCCTGTAAGTCTACCATCACCCATCGGTTACTTCCCGATTGACAGCCACTAATGTGTCCCAGTCACGATTCAACCCTTCCGAGCCGAGATCAACCGCGTGATAGCGACGTACATCGTTGACGACGCTCCACGGCAGCTCAACCTCTCTGCGCGGGAGATGAAGGCCGTCGTGCAGGCCCTCTCCTACACCACCCATCCCTCCGCCTTCCGATCCCTGGCCCGCAACATCGAGAACACGCTCCGAAAACAAGCCCACCCCAACTTCATCCGCTGGACCATCTGCAACGGCAACCCGGCCCGTGTCACCTTCGCGTGCGGCCTCGGCGTCGGCACCATCCTCGTCTCCACCCTCGGCGCCATCCTCCTGGCGCTGAGCGGCGCGAAGCGGGGCTGGCGCGCGCTCCTCGCCATCGGCTGGGTGATCGGCATCGCGACGCTGATCACAGCATGCAAGGGCATGTGCGTGGTGCTGCACGGGATGCACCACCGACACGTGCGTCCATGGGAGCTATTCGACGACAACAGCGACCACGCCAGCCAGGAGGAGCTGCGCGAGTCCAAGCGCAGCTTCGAGTCGTTCGGGTCGGGCAACAGCTACGAGGACGAGCCGTGGGTGGTGAAGTACGACCGCCGCAACGTCGTGTGCAAGGTCTTCGACCGCCAGGTCTGGATCCAGGAGCCCGCGCTACGCCAGATCCAGGACACCATCTTTGTCCAGTCGATGCTGTCGGCGCTGCTGGGCGCGGCGATCTTGACGGCCGTCTTCGTTGCTGTCCCTGCTGGTGACTACTATTGAGTTGTAGGTGCATGGGTCGCGGATGAGAGGACGTCGTTTGCATTACCCCTGAGTTTCTTTTGTTGAATACCATGCCTGCTCACGCCACTCGTTCGCTCAATTTCTTTCATTTGTAGGTATCATGGTGTACAGACGCGTGCAGGGCAATGGTGTATAATGCCGCAAGTCGTCACTGAGTGGCTGTTGGTTTTCGCAGGGTCTTGAGAACTGGATGGGTTGGGAACATGGTTGCTTGATATCCTGGGTGGTCAAGTGGCCCGGTTATTTAGGATGAGACGTAAGTCTTCAGATGTCGTAACAGCATTTCTCAACAATGTCCTCTACTTGAAGGCTCGGAACTGCCTCGTCGGACATGATGTAGAGGTTGAGTAATGCATGGCACCGAAGACCCACCCACTACTATGCGTGTCTAGGTACCCTTTATAGGTGTGCTTTTTGCCGTTATCTATCAGCAAAGTCGCGCAAATTAAGACAAAATTCTGCACCTACCTCTTACGAGGCGGGCTTTGCTTTTTAAAGGTCCGGGGTTCGAGTTCACACAACTTGGTCAAGACTTACGACCATGTTTCAAAATTTACCTCTCAAAGCACTTTGAATATAGTCAACTAGCTACCTTGTCTTTGTATTTGTCCATGTACTATCTTGCTACGCATGCTTGCAAAACGCCTAGCTTTGCCAGCCCGACCGCCGGGTAATTATGGACATGACAAGAGAGGCAGATATGTCACAATTCTCTGCCATGTAAACGTGGGTTCCAAGATGTCGAAATTAGAGGCTAGAGCAAAGCTGAACCTAAACCAGCTAAGACTTTTACATCATGCACTCCCGATGTAAAGGCTTGCGATATCTCTTGTTTATACACAGTCCACGCACTAAGAGCACGAAGTTCGGCGCGCTCTGGCGATATTTCGTTAATTCGGATATATGGGAGAGCATGAAGGAGGGAACAAGGTGTCTCGAGCAGGGTCTGGCTTTATGGGCGAGGCTTTGCGCGCATGCCGTTCGGCGTATGACGCATCGGCCTGAGCCTATAGACGCTATCCGTAATTAAGGTTTCAATAGATTAAGATAATTTGTAGGGTTTTATTTTGATAGACTTAACGTATAGTACGAAGGCTTCGCTTTTTGTTATCTTTTAAAGTATTTAGGTTTAGCTCTTCCCTTCAGTCGAAAAGCTGAAACAATAAGAACAAATCGAGGTCCGTAGTACGATGCTGCTTATAGTGGCATCATCGCTCCAACATAGTGGGCACTGGTTGTTCTTGATATACATACATCTCATAAGGTTTAACGTCGAGCACTTGATTAGCCCTGCACAATTCGAACGGGTACCGTTAGGGTCCAACAGAGAGACTGGGTCAACCAACACCTGCTCACAGCCGAAGGAGCATCCAGCCTGTGTGAATGACTTCCAACGCCACGAATGAAAGGGGATACTGTTGATCAGGACATTCAGAAGCGGTACGAGGCTCGAAAAGGAGTGTACTGCGTGCGTGCGTGCCTATCTGAAAGGAGTGTGTGGTGGTGCTGAGACCACGCTATATAGCCAACTGGCTGAATCGCTAGAGTACCACTTCCACCACTTCCACCAGAAAGCCCTTGGTCACCACGGACCATTGACTTTCCTCTAACTTCTCCATGTCGAGTCATGCGTCAAGCCAAACAATGCTGTTCTAGCATACTGCCATAATTCTTCTTGTCTCTTGACCTTTTTGACCAGGTCGGCGCTAGGGAACAGTATATTCTGGTCGTTGCGTTCACCCAAGTCTTTCTTGAGGTCCTCCTCGTCTTCCCCAGCCTTCCTAGCGCACTCCTTCGCAGCTTTGTCGTACGCTTTCTTGTCGTCATCGTTGATTCTCTTGTATTGAGCCATACATAATATAAAAGTGGCCTGTGGCATTGTAAAATCGTCTCGTCGGGCCACAGACGAGGGCGTCTCGTAGTTTTCGACTCCGCCGGGGACGATGGCTCGGCCGTGGGTTTGGCCGATGGAGAAGACGCCGAGGAGAGTGGTAAGGAATTGTGCGGGATGCATTATGGGCAAGGTAGTACTGCTTGACAGCGAGTTGGTATTGCCTTGGTCTGACTGGTTATTTGGTGTTGCTGGGCTTCGAATTCACGATGCAATGTCATGCACTTCGTGATAATTATACGGAATCTGGATGCGGCTTTGATACGCAATATACAGGTGTCCAGGATGGTACAGGTAGCAAGGATGGTAATGGTTAGCGGTTCCTATTAAAATACATACCTAACAAGAAAGTTCCCATCGCGTAAAAGTTCTACCTATTACCATTGCGGATAGTTGTAGATCGGAACTTTACGTGTTTTCAACTGGCTTCAAAGGTCGTGATATATATTTAGGTGTATGGGGCGCGCTACTGTTTACCATCCTGACCAGGTCAACTGGACATCCCTATTGACTTACCGAGACCCTCAATACTTACTTCAGCGTCGATCAAAGCTGGTGGCGGCATCTATGTTCTATTTGATTTTCCGTAAGGTGGCCTCGGTGGTGCCGTACTGTGTACGCCACTCAAGGGGATATGCTGTCCTCGATTCCCACAAGCACTGCGACAGTCTCGCTTGGACCAGTTGGTATACACAGATGGAAGGTTACCGCAGGTTTGGCCCCTCGAGGTTCCACCGCACCCTGTTCGAATAGGAGAAGAGCCACAAGCTTCGGCGTCGGCAGCTCGTGAGAGGGGAAAGGGGCAAGGGGGGAGAGTTTTGCTATCGATAAGGTACCTTACTCAGGTAATACCGTAATGAACCTCGATTGCGACCGACCCCACCACCGGCGCCACCACCACCACCACCGAGGCTCCTTTGGTGTCTGACTGTCTGACTGCATTGTCTGCGTTACATCTTCTAAGCCGACACCATGATCTGAAGTAGATCGCACATTTCTATTCAACATTCATGCCGCCATTACAACTCATCCCCGAACCCCGGCTTCTCAGCCAGAAGCTCTGCGAATAATCACCCGCAACCCCGCCCGCCCGCCCGCCCGCCCTCGTCCATCGCACCCTCGCGCACCCACGGACGAGCCGAACCCCCGCAATGCTTGGCGATACCTACCAAGCGCAGACCGAAGTCGCCGTGGAAGACGGCGATGGGGCGCCGGCCGAGTCGGTCAAGCGACGGCGACGCACCATGACCAGCACCGCCGAGATCGACAGCACCATCACCCATCCCGGATCCGTGCGCATCAATGTCAAGGGCGCCTTCATCGTCGACACATCCGAACACCCAGGCACCCCGGCCAACGGTAACGGCAACGGCAACGGCATCGGTAACGGTAACGGCAATGGCAACGGCAGCGGTAGCAATCACGAGGGCAAGGACATCAGGCTGCCGAATCACACGGCCGTCGTTAGCCATATCGCCGTCGATGTAAGTAATGCGACACCCACCTACAGTGCTCCCAGGCTGATGTCGCATCTGCCCGGCTGCTAGATCGGTGGGTCCTTGGCGAAGCTCGTCTACTTCTCCCGCGAAGCCCACTCAACGATACCCGGTGGGAGGCTGAACTTCCAGTCCTTCGAGACCGACCGCATAGACGACATGATCGAGTTCATGCGACACCTCAAGGACAAGCAGCTCACCCTCAATGGGTCAAAGCCCAACGACCTGTGCGTCATGGCCACCGGCGGCGGCGCCTACAAATACTACGACCGGATTCGAGAGAGGCTGGGTGTGGATGTTCTGCGCGAAGACGAGATGGAGTGTTTGATAATTGGTCAGTCGATCTGAAGCATCGACACACCAACTGGCCTGCAGTGACCAAGCTGATGCGTGTTTGCGAAACCACAGGGCTCGATTTCTTCATCACTGAGATACCCCGGGAGGTCTTCACATATTCTGAGACGGATCCGATGCATTTTGCGCAGCCCGACGCAAACATATACCCCTACATGCTGGTGAACATCGGTTCCGGCGTCAGCATCCTCAAGGTGTCCGGACCGAGGGAATACGAGCGTGTAGGTGGTACGTCGCTCGGTGGTGGAACATTGTGGGGCTTATTGTCGCTTCTTACACCGGCCGAGAACTTCGACGACATGCTGGAGATGGCAGCAGAAGGTGACAATGCCAAGGTAGACATGCTGGTTGGCGATATCTACGGTGCAGACTACGGCAAGATCGGGCTGAAGAGCACCACCATTGCCAGTTCGTTCGGTAAAGTTTTCCGAATGAAGCGGGAGGCAGAGAACGACGCAGAAGACAACGGTGACCTGTCGCACGGTGATCAGAACTACCGACCAGAAGCGCAGGAACAAGGCTCACAACCCGACTCCTCAGCGCCATCCTCGTCACAACCCCCGGCACGTCCTGTATCCTCCAAGGGCGGCGATCTAGCACGCGCCCGCTTCTCCAGCTCCGATATCTCGCGCTCGCTCCTCTACGCAATCAGCAACAACATCGGCCAGATTGCGTACCTGCAATCGCAGGTGCATGGTCTGTCGCACATCTACTTCGGCGGGTCCTTCATCAGGGGCCATCCGCAAACCATGAATACGCTCAGCTACGGTATGAAGTTCTGGAGCAAAGGGCAGAAGCAGGCCTATTTTCTGCGGCACGAGGGCTACCTCGGGGCGGTCGGCGCGTTTCTCAAGCGCCAGCCCCGGAATTGGGGACGCAGGGGCAGCTTTGAAGAGGGCGAGGGACTCGAGGACCGGCTGAGGGAACGACACCAGGATGGGGATACGCAGAGGGTCGTTCTGTGATGCGCTTAGTCGTGCGTGGGAGTATTGAATTGACGATACTTGAAGCGCTGCATCGTGCGGCTGCTTTGGCTGTAGGATGATGGCCGCACATTTGGACGCAAGGACCAGTTGCAACTTGGAGTCATGTACATGCATACACGGGTCAAGAGCGAGCGTAGCCGACGCTATATCCATCACGGCAAGGGGGGTTTGCGGCGTAGACAGTTACGACTACGGGTTTGTATCCTATACTCTACATACCTACTTAGAATAAGAGGCGATAGCCGAGGGGCTACTATTATCAGGATACCGTCCACCTACAATCTATCCCAGTCAGGTGTATTTCGCCGTATCTACGAAAGCAGGTATATATACAATGTCACATAGAGTTTACAATGTCATATAGAGTTTGGATACGATACTCAAGCGAACATAGAGCTCGTTCTTGTTCTGGCCACGGTATCATTCTTTCAAGGTCACTCTATGGTCGGAGGACAAGTCACATATTGCCCTAGGAACAAGGGAAGGTATGTTGTCTAGGTGAATCATGTCGATATGTAGAGGGTTATCAGGTATGATAGATGATATATCTGGGTTGTGGTATGGACCGACTACGAGCGTTCAAGTTGGTAGTTGTAGTATGAGCCAACATTACGCAGAGAGCGAGGTGAAGGGAAACTTCTTAACAGCCGTGGAAGGGATACAAGTAGAGATATATATCCCTTATCCTTCTTTACCACTTCCTTGCTACGATTGCGCCGTGATGCACGTCAACTGTCACTTGGGTCCAACATATTGTTTGCTCATGAACGGGAAGAAATTACGTTATTATTATTGTGACTGAACAAGCCCTAGTATCTGCACAAGAGATTCAGAAAGCCCGCCGTTGATGACAAAACACGTCATTTGAAACATCAAGTAGAAGGATCATGCGCATGCGCTATGGCATGTCTGTAAAAGCAGCGCTGTTCCCTCCTGTGTTTGTGCTCCTTGCTGTGACCGGTATTGATTGTAATTTTCCGGCCAGACGCGAGGAGCGCCCGGCCAAACATGGTATCAATTGTGCCGCCTCCGTATATCCTGAGAGTGAAGTGCTTCAATGTGTTCCGCCCGCCAATGAGTGTTGCCTGACTCAAAAGAGAATCGGCCCTGTTGCCTCGGCCACACCCAAAAAGCCTTTTGGGATGCGTCCGAGTGGTGTGGTTCTGTTGTTGACCATGGTGTTCGCCGGCTCAGAGCGTTACACATTGACCGAAAAGGTAGGTCATGCCGGATAGCCTCGATTTCAGAGCCCACGTCCGGCAAAAAGTCAAGCCTCGCCAACTCCATATCTGGATCCGGACCGTCGATAGGTGAGACCTGAGGGCTGATCGGTGGACAGTCCTCGCTAATCGATTCCAGGACAGCCAGATCAGATGTGGCTGAGCTTCTTCTCTCCCGCTCAAGCAGACCGTCGATATCTGAGGAACAGGACTCCTCGTTCAGGTCTCTCAGTTCACACTCCAAAGTGTCCATCTCCGAGTGCGAGGATGATACCACTCTTGACTGGTATGTTGTGTCGATGGCTAACCTTGAGCCGAGGTCCGCTCGATCTTGTGGCAAGGTAGGAGTGAGAGAACTGGACCAAGATTCAGACTTGAACGTGGCACAATGTTCCATGTGGCTCCCCTAAGCCGGAGATGACACAGTGATCCGGGCGATGATTCGCAAAGATGCAGTGTTTTCGGTGGTTCGAGCCAAGCGGGCATTCACCGTCCCTGAGATGCCTGTGCTCCGGCCAGAGATCCAAAAACGTCGGGCCGAGGTCAGAGTACGTACAATTACAGTCGTATTGCCTCTATTGAAAGGTGTCAGCATATAGTCCTTTGAGCGTTGCGATAGAATCGCATACTCCCACCATCGGAATCAAGCCGCTGCTTCGACCTTCTGCGGGTCCGCCTTCTAAGGAACCATCATCGCTGGAATCGTCACTGGTATCGAGAAAGTCGATTTCCGTGCTTCGTTTGTAAGCTGTCGACGGCGGAGGTACTGTCATGCAGCCATCTAAAACGGCCGCAAAGGGTCGTCGATTATCATTTAATATGTATGGGGACAAAGTGATCTTGGCTGCTTCCAGCATGGTTGAGGACTGGTGCCTGTACTTGCCCTGTATGGCTAGCAACTGCCATTGGAACAAGTCCTGTTGTTGGCGACCTTCCAGCTCAGTATAGCCAGACAATACAGAAGGTCCAAGTGTAGCGAGCCCAGCTCGATTTGGCGACCCTAATGTCTAGACGATTACCGGGATACGCTCCTCGTGCTTGGACTTCTCCATTGCTAGCCTCAATGTGCTGCCCAGAATCGTGTATAGGGTGCCATCTGGCCCCTGACGGCTCGGTACCCAGCAGACCTGAGCGATAGGAACTTTCGAAGCTTCGAATGTCGCCAGATCCACAACGTAGGTCTCATCCTTCTTGGAGGCTTTATTGATATTGCCCGGCACCCACACTGGAGAGTGGCTGGCTTTCGATGTAGCGGAGACAAGAATTCCGTGGGCCTCGGCGTGGTAGACTTTGCCTTTGCCATCGGGGGTGAGTTCTTCGGCTGATTTGACGATCCGAGTCTCGTTCTTGATATTACCCTCAACGTGACGGACAATGATGTTGGGAGTCGCTGACTGCAAATCGAGGTTCGAGGATTGTACGAGCAATCTTTTCCCACCCAAGAGGTAGTCTCGCACCGGTACACGGAGGACGACGGGCAAATTCTGGATCGCCATGACCGGTGTTTTGGAAAATAGGGGACCAACGGGCTGGATAGCGGTGTGATGGCCAGTGTGAGAATGGATCTTGGCCAGATATCATGCCCGCCTTTCAAGCCCTTTTGACAACTCTGCCGTACTATTCCCCAGCTCAAACCAGGGATACTCATGCACGGACGGGTAAAAGCCGCAACTGCGGAGGATCTCCTTGGTGAGCACGATACAAGACGGGGGAGGACTCTCGGCCGATACGTGCAATGAGGTCGTATTGTTCCGTATCATCAAACGCAGTCTGCAGAACCTGGACAAGCAATTATTCCAGAGTGGGAAGAGCCGGCTGCTGGCCTTCCGTGTGCTTGCGCCGTACGTTGCAGGTCAGCGCGAATGGCATGATGTTGGGCTATCAATAGAAACGAGAGTAGCGGGATCCAGGAGATATCGATACCGATGCGATAATTCCAGCAGCACCAGTGACCAGGACAATGGGCACAGAATCGTAATCTAATACACGAACACTAGCATGGCGAGTCGGTCGGTCGTAGAGATACAAGTACAGGGTCTCACAGTGCGCTCTTCGCTCAGCTGAGGCACGTTACAATGCAGGCCAGGGCGTCACGGGCGTGTGGCTTGCGGGGGGTCATGTCGACCCTCGCCAAGCCTTCACCGACTGGACGACGAGACGTTGATGATATCCGGCGTCGAGAAGATCGGACCGAAGCAGCCAGGCCCCAAGGATTCCCCAGCTATGCACACATCTCGCCCCAGCTTCGCACCTTTGTGAGAGCTAATCAGTTTTCTTGGACGGCGGGTTGGCCTCCTGCTCTTGTTGGTCCCTCCGACCCAGAATCTTGTCCACCCACTCTTCCATCTGCTTCTCTGCCTCCTCGTCAGTCTTGCCATCCCCGGCGCCGACATGTCCGCGAGCCTTTGCCCGTAGGTCCTCAATGTTCGAGATGTTGAATGCCCATGACAGGCCGCCCGTGACCATGACAGAGGCGCTCATCATGTTGAGTGTTGCTAAGCTCAAAGCCTCGAAGGCTATCAGGGAACTGTCGGAGTCGCCCTTGCCGACGGGCCTGTTGCTCTGTGTGTAGAATCTGGGTGCCGTGGCGCGTATTTTTCTGACCACTGACCGCCTCGTGATCAATATCGACAAAGCGAGAAAGCCTGTTCCGGCGAAGAACAGTCCCAATTGCTTCAAGGAACGCTGTGAAAGTATCGGAGGATGGGGTTGCGGCGGCGGCGGCGCGACTGGGACTGGTTCTCGAGGGGTGGATGGAGGTTGGGACGGCGTCGGTTCGACTGCCGCATCTCTGTCGGAGGCGATGGTTACCATGCTGGTACCGAATGACCACATTGCGAGTGCCGAGAGTATTCTTCTGGCGGCCTAGAGAGTGTTGCGGCGCGAAGGAACTGCTCGAACAGCGCAGGGGAACCGACGGCGAGGTGATGGTGCGTCTGTAGACAGAGAGAGAGCATGCGGGTTGAATTATTTACAGTGGAATAATTAGCGGCCCAGTGGTTATGCAAGCTGATTGCGCCTGGAATACCTTATGAGGTACCTATGTGGCTCCTCAACCCATTTTCCAGCCACAATGACGGATGGGTCACGGACCAGGGTACAAGGTACCTTGGAGCCCAACTGGTACCCGTTTGTACCAGATTCGTACCCAACTAGGATGATAGCTACTTCTAGGATAGGGACACCACCTATCCCTTCTTTTAATCAAGCAATTACCAGAATATAGACCAATAGCCACTATTCGTGATTCTGGTCCTTATTCTGGATACTGCTACCATAAGGCACATAACTCCTGTCTAGTGTTGTCTCAGTCTCTAAATAAATACCTTTATTAGATATTTATGTATATATTTGGGTGTTCTTTTGTCACCTATGTGCCTCCTTCATGCTACTCTTTTTATGAGACATGACACAGATAAAATGGCGAAGACATATGCACGCGACGAATCGCCGGCAGACGATGGCTTGCATACTATGCAGATGACAGCTGAGTAGGCAAGCAGGGTGAAGAATCCCGCCACACACCTATCCATGCGACTGGTCTAGGTGTTTATGCAATAACACAATCCTCTTTATTGCTTCAGTAAGGTACATGTAGCTTAGCAGTCAATCCATCCATCACCCACCAACATTGCCTCACTCTGTCGATATCTCGAGCTTCTGATCTCATGTATCTTAACGACCATGACAGCATAGCCGCTGCATGAAATTTCCTCAGTTAGTACTGCATTCCTGCGGTTCGGCCTTGAGGCTCGCCTGGACTCCGAACCTAATCATTGCCATCCTCCGTGACGTGTGAATACGCCCCCGGTGTACAGCATGCTCAAGCTGCCGGGCATCTTCGGGGACCATTGGGCTCATGCGAGACATACAAACGGTATGGGTCTTTCTGTCCCGGGTTATCCACTCATAATGTTGCAGATCAGCCCCAATGCTTGTCATGGTCCAGACTCGCAGACTCGTTGGTCCAGGGCACGCTCGAGTCCTCGATGTCGTGACTCGCTGCCGTTATGCAGCGTCATCCGGTCCCTTGTCGATGCCAAGGCTGCCGAGCTACAGCTTACGGGGAGATCCCCTTCGCCACGCCGCTATTGGATTACATAGGTAGTTGAAACTTGACTGGGCTGAAATCCGGACCGACAAGATCGACTTGGATCTGCGGAATCATCCATACTGTCCAATACTGACCCGAACAAGGCGTAAGTTAGCACTGTGGAAATATGTTGCGCCGTCGTCAAACACACAGGGGTGGACGCATGGATATGGCAAAAACTGGTTCTCGAGTAGCTACCTCTGGGCGACTGACGGCCAGGCTGTCTGCACCATTTCTATCTCGCGTAAGACTTCCGCGGAGGCGGTTTGACAGCAATGGTTTGGAGTTTAGGCTAGGAAAGGGGCCTTTGAGTGTATCTACAAGACTCCGAAGCGGTGGAGGTATTATTTGGATTTTACCCATACGATTACAACTAGCGATGAACCAATTTCCGCGTCCCGTCATAGCTGCATTACCGTTGCTGCACCACCGCTGCGACATTCCGTTTTTTCTTTGCCTCTAACCTTTCGTTGCCGAAACTGACAAGTGCGGAATGACAATGTCGAGTGCCGGCGGATGATGCACTCCTACAATGGTCAGCGGATTCGTCATGAATATAAAACTATGTTGCCACCTACCACACCGCCGACAGTCCTACTCCTGGGCACCAGTAGCTATAGAGGAGCCCTTGCCTGCTCGAGAAGACCGAGGACCTCGCTTCGCCTTGGAGCGTGTTTTGGTATGTTCTTCTTCTGGGTCGCCGCAGAATCGAGGACGAAACTCAGAAGCCACTCCTTCATCCGCAGACTTTCCTCACATTCGTCCCAGCTCTCATGGAAGTCGGGCAGAATCAACCGCAACAGTTGCACCAGAAGCAGCAGACCTGGTCGAAGGCTTCCAAGCTTGAAGTGAAGCCAGTGGTTTTGTGGCGATGTGCAGTCCTGCGGGCTCTGCACTGGAGAGAGCTCCCACCATTGTACAGGGTTCGCATCGTCGAAGTCTTTCATCTTCTCCATGATGCTCAGAGCCTCGGACAGATGGTCTAGAGCCTCTGATAGGCGGTCTAGGGGGCTTCGAAGATCCGAAACCGTAGCAGCTCGTGGCTTATCCAAGGCGACAGCGTCGTGGGCGTAGTATATCTGTCGTGAGAAGCGCTTGAACATCTTTTTGCGTTGCTCGTCCAGATGAGAGTTCTCGACTTGGCGGTATTGGGCATTGTAGAATCGGTGCACCATGTCTGACGGCGACACGCCGGCCAGTGGAAACGGAATATGTTCCATCCCCGTCCCATTCAAGGCGTCTCGGGCCCTGGTGAGCAAGGGACCAAATTCGGTCAAGTGGCTCATGTTAGCGGTAGTTGTAGATTGGAGTGATTGCGATGAAATGATGGAAGTAATATGAGACTGCGAATCCACGGGCCTGACGAAAGCTCCTCGCGAATTCTGTCAACCACGTCCTTTTGTATCTGACGGCCCATTAGGCATCCACGGTCTGCAACAGCCCCTTGACACCATCTTCGAATTGGTAAACATATCGTCTCTTGAAGAAACCCCCGGACCGAGAAGAAAACATTGCATGGCGTAAAGAAATGAAATAGGTAGGCAACATGGATGCACCTTGCTCACGATGGCCTGGGTAGGGCACTGCATTGAGCACACAGCTCAGCAAAGTTGCAAGTAGACGCTTGCGTATGGATGTCTGGGACCTTGGAAGAGACATGACAAGGGATCGTGGTGGCGGGATTCTTTGCCGCTGCTTGCCTACACAGCTGTCATCTGCATAGTATGCAAGCCATCGTCTGCCGGCGATTCGTCGCGTGCATATGTCTTCGCCATTTTATCTGTGTCATGTCTCATAAAGAGAGTAGCATGAAGGAGACATATGGGTAACAAAAGAACACCCAAATATATACATAAGTACCTAATGAAGGTACTTATTCAGAGACTGAGACGACACTAGACAGGAGTTATATGCCTTATGGTAGCAGTATCCAGAATAAGGACCAGAGTCACGAATAGTGGCTATTGGTCTGTATTCTGGTAGTTGCTTGATTAAAAGAAGTTTGTTTGTTTGTTTTGTATTTAACGTGGGGGGTAGCTCCTCAGTAGTGCAAACCACGCCTCCCAGAGCCATTGCATCGCAAGGTTGTAGAGGTGTCAAATTAGATACATTCAGATCCGCGCACGAGCCTATCCTCGCTGTAGCGGTACCAATCTGGAGTGTTCAGATGGTTTTAGTCAATACCCAAGCACGATTCCGTCAGAAAAACCTCCTATCTAGTGACAAAGCGACCCAGTGAACCTCAGTTCTCTGGTGTACATATCGTTCCAGTAGCCGTTCGATATATGTCGCATTGGTGGGTGGAGTAGGTGTTTGTTATCTGCTGGCGAGGGAAACCACAAGGGGGAAAACCTCGCAGGAGTGGGTATTGTGGAGACAAGCTGCTTGGCTACCGGGCTCTGCGATAAAATGGGGCCTCTCCACTGTCGTGTGCTGGTTATTGACTCGCACAAGCCGGGTCAGAAAGGGGGCCATAGCAGGATTCGAACCCACTTGTTCTCGTCGCCCACCGCACAAACGAGAACATAACCAGGCGCATTTGACCATTGCGCCATACGGCCTGATTAAAAGAAGGGATAGGTGGTGTCCCTATCCTAGAAGTAGCTATCATCTCAGTTGGGTACGAATCTGGTACAAACGGGTACCAGTTGGGCTCCAAGGTACCTTGTACCCTGGTCCGTGACCCATCCGTCATTGTGGCTGGAAAATGGGTTGAGGAGCCACAGCTATCTCGATAGTCGATGCAGATCTATCACCCGCATAGACTAATAAAATACCGGCGTCTAATAAGCTCCAGCTGCAACTTCAAGCAACCCTGCGCGCCTGCGACTTCACTTCTACAAGGTCAAGTCGCTTTTCCGCTGCCTTCCGCCACTCCGCCTTCACTCCGGGGCAGCCTACCTCCTACCTGGTACCATTGCACCGGTCCAGCTTCCCCATATATCGTAAACCATGGGGAAGGACAAGTCGAAGGCAGCCGCTAAGAAGAGCCAGCCTGCCTCAACACCTCCAGCGGCTACAGCGAAACCGCCAAGTTGGCCGCCTTTCAGGCCAGCCCTGCCAGTCACCCAGCTCGAGTTCGACGCGCCCGTGCCAGGTTTCCAGGACCAGATCGTTCTGCTGCATAACTTCTTCCCAAAGAGCTTATGCCGGGATTATGTCACCTTTCTGAAGGACCTGCCGTTGACGACCACACCAGGGCGTCCAAAGCGCGGAGAAGCCACTAGAGTGAATGACCGCTTTCAGATCCATGATCCGGCCTTTTCACAGAGGCTCTGGCTGCAGACTGGGCTCAAGGAAGCCGTCTTGGAAGAATCAGTCAAGCATCTATGGTGAGCTTACCCACTACTTGTCAACTACTTGCCTCTTTGCATACGATTGTCGATGGCCTGTGAGCTGGATTCAACTTCCTAATCGTATATAGGGGAGGGACTGTAGTTGGCTTGAACTCAAACATTCGCGTGTATCGTTATTCAAAGAACCAGTTTTTCGATTGCCACTGTAGGTGCTAAAGGTCCCTTGGAGTCTCGGTCGTTCTCTTCATCTTCCCAGTTGCATTCGTCAAGTGAGGCATCCTGTCAAGCCCCGCTCATTCGTCGTCGGTCCTTGTCGACCACTGGTCTGGCTTGCTCCGAAGTGACTAGCAGTTCGTAACGGCTCCCCAGGGATTCCAGCCTGTCTTGCTCGAAGTGGCTAGCAATTTGTAACGGTGCACCGGGGATTCCAGCCTTCATCGCCATTCCCGTACTTCAACGACCATGGCGCCAGGGTTGATGCCTCATGCAAAAGACCAGATGTCCATGTACTGGTGGATTTATCAGTGGTGACTATGCACGGTACTAATTCGACGAGCTGCAGACGACGACTCAAATCTTGTTACTTTACCAATCGGTACCGAGCCTTCCACTTCTATCAACGCCAGGACGACGTGGACAATGCTCCTTTACTTGACCTCGTCGACCGAGGGATGCACCGGCGGTGAAACTGTCTTCTATCCTAACGACAGCAAGTCAGCAAAGGATGAGATCGCCATAGCCCCTGAAACAGGAATGCTTCTCCTCCATAAACACGGCGATAACTGCTTGTTGGTGAGTATACTACCGAATCCTCCGCAATGATCATCGCGGCCTGAGACAAATATTTCCTGTGGCCACGCTAACAGCCGCGATTCTCAGCATGAGGGTCGGGAGGTCATGACAGGAGAGAAGTGGATTTTGAGGACCGACCTGTGTGTAAGCAGATGAATGCTTGGTTATATTTCCACGCATTAATGAGACAATCCCCAAGGCGAGGGGGGCTTGGTGCTCCACGCCGTTGAGGGGATGACCAGAAGCCCCTGTAGCCAACCACGCCATCTACCAAGACAAACTTGATCTTCTGCGTAACAGGAGAGACCCGACGCACGCCCACTCCACCCGGACAGCTACACGAACCACGCCCTATTCTTATCAGCTGCATGTTTCTTCAAGAATCCTTCGGCCGGTAGCCGTGATCTTGTCATGCGTCCCGGTTCGATAGTTTGCACATTGGATGCGCGGAAAAAAGCAACTTCGCATGAACCGTAACCCGAGACACCCACAGAATCTGCGGGGCCTTATTCCCAGACGCAATTGGACCCGGCCTCATTCATCATCACGCACAGCGATGTGATTGACCTATCGTAGCCTCCGATTAGGAGTATTGTTAGACGCCGCGCCTTGCCCTGATCTTCAACTTGGATACGACATGGCTCGGCAGTTTGGCTCGATATCGATATTGACGTTGTGGTTAGGAACGTCCATCACACCGTGATGCTACGTGTCTTGGGAGGACAGTCTTGGTAGGACAACCGGCCTTCTGTCACGACGATTTGGGGGATTGTCCAAATACCAGGAAACGAAAGCAGCATTGCAGGTCTCACTGCACATGCAAGCCTGAGGGCGGAGCGTACTGCGCCAAAGCCTAGCCGGTCTGCATGTCTGAGTTGGGTTACTCTTTTCGCAAATGGTTGCCTTACGGCTGCATTGGTGTTATCAAGGCAGCTCGCAGAATGGGCACGAAAGTTGGGAATCCTGGACGTACTGGTTCTGGAACTTGTCACGGTTCACCGGAAATCCCAGACTCAAAACGATGACCGGGGAGGCTGGGGACGAACGACCTTCGTCATGTCACAGGAAAGCCTGGTTGTGATCTGAGTCTGCACTCCCGCGAACACCGACCTGCAATACCCTTCTAGATGGAAACTGGGTTCTTCCAAGGCTCTCTCAAGGTCGTGCATGGGTCGAGGTGGAAGAACAAGCCAACTTTGCGGATTGCTGGTAGCCCTGCAGCTCTCCAACCACAGTTGAGCGGCGCACCCAAAGAAGAGGCAAACACGTTGCCCAGCAGCGGCGGCCAGCTGACGGGGCGAGTGGTAGCTAAGGGCGCAGGGCCATAAGCATGTGAACGAAGGCCAAATTTTCAACCCGGGAGTAATGGCGCAATTGTAAAATATCTATAAAAACCAGCGCGCTCCGCATCGATCTACTCCTTGCGGGCCAGATAAACTAGCACCCTCGAAGGTCTTAAAGATGGGTTTTGTAACACTCAGGAGCCTATCGGTTCGACCCCTCCTAAGTGTGAGCTTTTTGATCTTTTTATTTTTGGATTTTATTATTCTTGATTGCCTTCTCTGCCTTCCCTGCCTGTCTGGGCTGCATGCACCTTGAAGTCGTTGCACTTCTGTGTGTAGGCAGCTCTCCTGATCCTTTGCAGTGGTATTAATCTTTCATTCTTTCTTTCCTTCCTATCGACTGAGTATATCGACCTCGCACCAAGCAAGCTCCCTCAGCACCAGACGCAGAAGCCACACACGCATGATCAGCAGTCCGACGCCCATCCCGTATTGACAATGAAGTTACCCGTATCGAACTCCTGGCCCCTCGTGGTCTTATGGCCGTGACTATCCTTATTGCACCGGCCGATGATATCCTGCACGTACGACGCCAAGTCGTGGCACTTTGGCTCGATGCGGTCCGTGCTGTCGTTACACAACCACACCCCGGCGTTTGAGGAGCACGCCACGCGCGAGCACACCTTGGGCCCGCCGTCTACGGCGCATGTGCCCGTGTTGGCTTGCAGGGCGTCGTGCGCCCACTCGACGTGGACTGTGAGGGGCCCATTGGGGACGCTGAGGTCGCCGCCTATGTCGCAGTAGATCTTGTCCTGGTTCGCGGGATCTGTTAGCGCGGTCTGTCCTTCGAAGGTAGGGAAGACAACAGGTAGAAGAGGTACGCGGTGTTTGGGTTGAGATAGTAGCGGAGGAGCTTGGGGAGTAGGTAGCCTACCTTGCTTCGCTTCTGCAGAGACGTCTGCGGCATCCCGAGATCACGACGGAGTGCCTGCCACGTGAAGCCCGGCTTCATGGCCTGGATCTGGGCCTCCACTTGCTACACTACAGCATTAGCAGGGACAGCCAATCGCCGACCAAGCTTCCGGCAGCATCGTGGGAAGTCGGCAGTCTGTTCTGCGTACCTGGATCGTGCCGTTGAACGCCATCTCCGGGCCGTCCTTCTCGATCACGCCCCGCCAGGTCATCGGCTGGATGGTGTAGCCCTCGGGCACTTCGGAGCGCACTTGGATTGCCTGGCTCTTGGTCAGCTGCAAACTTTTCTTTCATGGCCAGAGTCTGGGGGTGGGTGGTGAGCTTACGGCGACGTGGACAGCGAATGCACCTGCGGCGAGGAGGATGGTGGTGTGGTATCTCATGGTTGCTTGTCTTGTCCGTGGGTTTATTGCGGTTTACCTTGCGGTGGGATATCGTGGTGTTTTGGCGGATTGAGGAGGTTTGGCATTTGTTGGTAGTCCTATTTGTACAGAGTACGTACGTACCTATGTAGGGTACAAACGACCTGTCAGGATTGTTTGCTGCTGCCACTTTGCCTGCTTTGTTCGAGTAACTGGAATGAACCATTCACCAACAGCATCGTGGTCGTTGTTGGCCCCTTTCGTGCCGCAGCGGTGTGCATGACGGGCATTCCAAGGACTTCGGATCTGCCGGTGGTGATGGGTGCCGAAGCAAACATTCTCAGGGGCGACCATGTGAGCTTGGTGAAGTTGGAAGAGAGCCTCGTGCCAACCAACCATTCAGTGAATGATGCTATCCGTCGCATAATCCTGGACCAACATCTCTCAGGGTTACGATTCACTCACTGTCTCGGAGGCTTGTGAGTAACAGGGAGCTCTTACCTGGCGAGCTATGTCTAATGATTTCCCAGCGTATGTCATTGGGTATGGTCATATAGGTATGGCAGTGATTATTGGGTGATGTGAAGACCATGGATCGAAGTAAATCATACACCAACCATGCTCGCTTCTCAATTCAAGGGTTAGAGACCAATTAACGAAGACATCTTTGAAAACCACGTGCAATAGGACACACACACAATATAAATATGTTTGCATTCGGACATCGCTCTAGTTGCCACTGCGTTGTCGTCGCAGCTATGTAAGTACCTAGCAGCCCTAGGTAGTAAAGTCTCGCGACAGTCTACTCATGGACACATTCTGCGGAACTCGACATACCCAGTGCTGCTCCGAGCTGAGCACAGAGCTCCTGAATGCAGGGGTATCGTCTCCATACAGCTTCGCGACCAGTGGTTGCGACTCTATGCTCCGACATGAGAGTCCGAGCCCACTCAAGAGGCTTCGACCAGATTGGTCACCGGATGCCCTTCCAGGCCACGCCTGCACTGTGCAGCATTCGACGGTCTTGGGTGAGGTCTGATTGCGGCGTGATCGGCTGTTCCGCGGCAAGCTTGCTAGTTGGTGAGATAGGTGTCTTGGTGGGCTTTTCGAGCGTCGGCTCGGGATGCTCGTTGTTTGTGCTTGCAGAGTTTATTGACAGCGATGTCCGTCGACGACCTGGGGCAAAACGAAACCATAATTAGTTTCCTTAAACCCGTCGATGCTCGTCACAAAGAGCTGGAAACATAGGTTGCGCGCAGAGCTTCCGCTCCCGAGGCCATCATCCTTCACCATGGGAGGTTCTTTGGGGAAAAGAGTGAGTAACGTTAAATGGTCAAAGCCAATACATAACAGCTATACGCGAGCATTGTGGAGGTTTCGCTCAATGCTGGACATGAGGCCCTCTTTCAAATCGTCACCTTGGACCTGGCGGGCGCGAGAAGGAGGCATGGAGGGGGTTGCTCCAAGAAAGTGACGGAAATTGCTCGTACAAGAAAGGCAGAGTGTCTAAGTAACGGTTTGGCGGCCCCTTGTCATCCGAGTAGATGGACAGTTATGTCTGAAACGGAGTGCGAAGGAGTAATCGCGAGAGAGTTGCGGGGGGTGCTGACCAAAAGCGTGAGAGGCAGATCCGATCAATCCAAGGTGTGGCGGGAGGTGAGGTGTGCAAGTCGTTGTGGCAAGACACAGTAGCTGGATATACTGCTGCGCGACATCAAGCTCATCTTCATCCCCCCCTAGGTTGAGGCGAGCCCGGCGCAGGCTACATATAGAGCTCGCGGAGCAAAAACGTGCCCGTGTGTCATGGTGCGGGTCTCAGCTTGCGGTACGCAAGTCAAGTTGACTGGTTCTGCTGGACGGGCACCTCTTCACTTGGAAGACTTTTTGCTCTTCTTTCCTTTCCGTTGCTTCTTGTCCTTCTTCTCTTTCTTCTCCTTTTTGTCCTTCTTCACCTTCTTCTTCTCGGGCTCCGGCTCTACGTCGGCTTCGGTTGTTTCCTTGGAACCTGCATCCTCGCTCGAATCATCCGATGAGCTAGTCTCGTCCACTTTGCGCTTCTCGCCAAGCTGGGGGTTTTTCAAGGCAGCCTTGGCGCGCTCCTTTGCGATCATCTCAGTCAGCTTCGTATTGACTTCCTTGTTGTCAGAGAGGTCGGATCGTATGAATCGTATAGCGGCTTCCTTGTTCAAGGTCTGCTCGCGCTTCTGAGGAGGAGGGGTTTCGATGTTCTTTATCTTCTCGAAGTACTGGCGCACGCGTATAAGTTCCTTGAAGACGGGGTGTTCCTTTGCTTGGACGCCATCGAGTCGCAGAGAAGCTAGTAGACAGCATTAGTTTGGCGAGCACAGTACAATGTGTGCTGTGGCTGCTGACAGAATAGCATCGACTCAATGGAATAAGTGACAAGCACATATAGCTTCGCCTTGTCCAGGAGGGGAAGCTTGGATGCGACGTCCGAGACGTTGTTGAGGAGGGGCTGGAGGGCTTCCTCGAGATTGTCTACCTCGTCGTCCAAGCGCTCCAGCTGCGGCAGAATATTTCCAGGATCCATTGCGTGCGCCGGTTACAGGTAAGCTCGGTGAGGATAGGAAAATCACGAGGTTTCCAGCAACGGAGTCGATGTTGTGTTGTTTTTCCGCGTTGGCTCAATGACGGCAGTGTTCACTGGATGCGACAGCTGTGGGTGATGGGAAAGATTTTGTCGGTGAGGAGTGGCAGAATAGCTATGCGGCTAAGCCCCACATTCTTGGCAATGTGAAGCTTCTCATTGGTTGAGATAAGGCAGGTACCTGAGTACATGTTTCCGAACCCCCTACGACGGTGCGACCGCGCTTGATTGGTGATTGGTGATCTCTGCGCCAGACTGCAGTGCAAATCGGGTCCAGCCGTAAATTTTATGTCGCCGTCAGAGAGCCGCGAAAAGGGACCGACACTGATCATTATTTCCCGTCCTAACCTCCAGTCTGTGACATTCACGACTCCATCCCTCAGTGTATTATTGCCACCTCGATGTACGACCGTCGGGGTCCTCTCATTCTTTAATCCTTTTTCAGCTATCATTTCCGCGGAGCTGGCGAATACTCAGATGTCCCAGGACCTGCCGTCGCGAGTCTGATATTGTACGGGTGCGCGGTCCGCGATAGGCCTCACCTCACAACGATCAAATGACATGATATCCATCCCATAACCACCACACGCCTCCACCCTGTATTCCAATCTTTGCCGCCGACCGCTTTCGCGGGCGTCAGCGCGAATACCTCGCAGATCCACGAGATGGCTTCGCAATAACCTCTTCGAGGGCCGGGGGGCCACCAAACAGCTGTCTGCCATGGCCACCACCTCCATGCAGGGCCTGCCGCCCCGTCACGACGGCTTCCATCTCGATCCTCCATTGTACTATCCTCCAACCTTGCAGTCGCAAGGTAGCCCTTTCGAGAAAACGAATCCCAGCTTTCCCTTCTACCAGCCGCCGCCCAAGTCCAAACTCCCACAAACCACCGAGGAAGCGAAGGCGAACTTCTCCCAAACCGCTGAGCGAACCGTTGAACAGCCGCTCGAACATACGACAGGTCAGGAACATGCGACAAGTCAGAAGGCAGAGTCGCATATAGACATGAGCGTGGAGTTATCCGAAAGAATTCATGTCGTTGGCTTCACTCAACACGCCAAGCTCATGATTCACGCTCTTGCCGCAGTGCCCAATCTGCCCCCACCAGCCGTACTGGCTCACCACCCTTCTGTCATGACGCGATGGGGCGAGGAGGGCAGAAACATTAGCGTATTCGATACCCTCGGTCAGCATGTTTCTTCCCGCGATGTTCTTTGTCCCGAGTACATTGGTTTCCACGGCCGTGGTCGACGCCGCCATTATCCTCTCGGAAATCAGGAAGTGGATTATCTTGACAATATCATTGTTGATACAGCCTCATGGGCAGTACTTCCTTCGTTGCGTGGTCTGCGCCACCGTATTGATCAGCGAACAACAATCTGCTTGCAGCATCCAGGTCTTGGGGTTATGGAAATCCTGAACGAGAAAGTCTTTGACGACCCAACCCTGAGACCGAACTTCGTGCTTGGACACACCACCCATAAAGTACTGAACCACTCCAAACGTACGTACTCTTTGAGACATGCCATCCCTGGCAAGTTGATGCTTCACGGCGTCGACAAAATCAAAGAATCTAAATCGGGGATGTCGGAGCCGTCATATCTCGCTATGCGATACACGCAGCATTTCATCAATCTAATGTCGACAACGGACAGTCTTGGTACTGTGGCTCTGCCTTGGGACCTTTTCTTGGCCAACAAACTGCCACTCATGGTTTTCTCCTCTCTCGCGGATACGATCTCCGTCATTCTGGGATGCCGTTTCTATCAGATCAGGCGGGATGAGCACGCTATGTGCTTGTGGGAGAGCCTTCTGGACGAGACAGTCGCTATCATCTCGGCGTTTCCAGAGTTCAAGCGCCGACCTGATCTCTTAGACCATTTCACAAGAGAATCATTCTCGAAGAAACTGTATCACCATCTGGGAAAGCAATCGGACAATTACAGTCATTGGATAACGTGGATTCGGCATGGTGTGATCCCGCCCATTGATTTCCTCAACGGCTACTTCATCAAGAGGGCCAAAGAGCTCGGGGTCGATCATAGACAGCACAGCATGGCCATGTCCATGGTCAAGGCGCGGCAGAAGGCGAGGCGGCAAGAGCTGCTGAACGACATTCCGCTGGGTATGAGTCCCTACATGATGGATGGGGACATGATTGGTGGCGGCCAAGGCGAGGACGACGAGTCGGGCCTGGATCTAGAATTAGAGATTTGAGGTTCCACCACCTGTATATACCGATTGTACATATAAGCTTCTGCATATCATATTTGTACAAGATAAGAAGTAATGCTGTATCTTTACTCCAACCCAACACGATAGTCCGTAGCTCCTTTGCCAGTGCAGTCGTGTTCCTCGCCAACCGCCTGAAGTTAATGCGTTGAATGGTTGAAACGAAAAGTCATAGCAACTGCTCAAGGCACCTATATAACGAACCAGTTAACAAGAGTTCACCAAGGGTCATGGCTACATCATATACGCTCGTGATAACCAAGCCCGCGAGTCGCATACGGTCAATTAGACCACACTTCGACCCGAACTCCCAACCGCATATATCTAATCTCTTGCATGCGCGTTATGCCAAAGTGCTGGCTTCTTATGAAATATGTTGGCGATAGGCCATATGTAGTCGATATATGCGGGACGGGCGATACATGTACGGCTCTACGCAGTAACGAGACCCAATATTCTGCTCTGCCACGATCGACGAAGAAATAAATACCACAAGATCCGTATAGTGGTGGTGTACATATTGTATTGAAGAGTGGATATTTTGTAAACCACAACACAGCGGAGCGGGCTGTGGCATTCTACTATGCATTTAGCTCCATCATGTCGAACGCCGTATTGCCCGGGCAGAGATCATCGATTCATCGCCCTCCCCTAGTCACGCCCTCGACACCACCAACTCGCATGACTTCTCCCTCACACACCAAGTCATCCCCTACACGTACACCTTCCCCTCCCCTCCCTCTTTCCCATTCATTTCCACTTGCACTCCGTGTCACCCCAGTCTAGTACTGCTTAGCCGCCGCCTGGCAGGCCTTCAGCTGCTCAAGGTACCAGCCGCAGATGCTCATGTTGCCCTGGTGGTCGTCCATGCACTTGGTGAAGTTCTCGGTGGCGCCGAAGCAGTTGTTGTTGCTGTACTGGTTGGCGTTGCTGTCCTGTGCCGTCGCGTTGGTCTGCTGCTGCTGCTGGGGCGCGGCCTCGCTGCTGCCGCCGCCGAAGAAGCCGCCGATGGCGTGACCGATTGAGGAGCCTACTGCTACACCGCTGGGGGGTTGTTAGTCTTTGCTTTTGTGGCTGCTCCTTCTGGCCTGCTCTGCGTGAGATTGGTGTGCCGTGGGGAGAACCCCCGGGGAAGGGAGCAAGGTGTAAGGTGTTCAGATGTTGGGATGGAATGGCCAACTCACGCTGCGGTGCTGGCCATCTGGCCGAAGAGACCGGGTCCCTGCGAGCCCTGGGCAGCCGCCGCAGGAGGGTGCTGTGCCTGGGCACCTTGTGCGGGCGCGTAGGTCGTCGCGGGTCGGCTCTGCTGCTGGTTGGGAGCCGGAGCGGGTGCCCGCGAAGGGACGGAAGGACGGGCGGCGGGGCGGCCGGCAGATCGTTGACGAGGCATCTTGGATATGGTTTAGATGAAGGACTTTCGAAACGGAGTGTCGCAAAAGATTAGATGAGAGTAAGGTAGTTTGATGAGGAATGGAGTAGTCGTCGAGGTGGTCAATTCGAAAAAGCTCGGTGTTTGGGAGGCGAGCAAAGGGTCTCGGCTTTAAGAGAAAAACAGTGGAGAAGAGCTGCCGGGGTGGCCAATTGCATCGGCCTTTCCAAATTCCAATGCGCCGATCCACCAGTGCATCCCGTCCATGTCCGCCATCAATCTACCCCCCTATTCCTCTTAACAATTGCAGGTTCTCGGGAGGACATCCATTGATCATCCAACAAGGTACTTCATTGACGGAGTCTCCAATGAAGTTGCGTCATACCGATACCTCTGACTTCAAAGTCACGGTTCTGAGCGGGTAGGTAGACATAAGTCGAGTCAAATGCCTGATGGACTGCACCTTAAGTAGCCGGAGCAGACAGCAAGCTTTTGTGGTCACAGCAATATCCACTGTCAAGGATATCTAATTTGTAGGCCAAAGGCGGATGCCCATTCTTCACTTCGTATCGTCGGATGGATGTCTGGTATGAGGAGCAGGTCGAGTTTGAGCATGGATAATGGAATATGCACTAATCGCGGAAAAGCGGATTCACTTGTCGGGGAGTCTATACAATCAGACGCATAGCGTCATCGTACCACCACACATCAGACGACCGACCACCTTCAGATTTGAGTGCAACTTCACTGCGAAATACAGAGGGCGGACAAACACACTGAGGTTGAAGCTCCAGTGAAGGAACCTAGGAAGACTACGGACGTCTCATTCGTGACCGAAGTTATTGAAAGTACGGCATGAGCACAACCTCCTAAAAGCCGGCAAAATGAAAGCTCCAATTCGACCATGTCTTCGCTGCATCTCCAGCGGACCACTTCGAACACCACAAGCAGCGACGGCGACAGCAGCTCTCCAACTGTTCCTCTCCACAGCGTATACACCGGCAACGACAACACGATGCATCTCACCAGCCACAAGCCGCCGGCCCTTCTCCGTCCTCAACCGCCCGCCCCCTAACTACCCCGGCCACATCCCCCTCACGCGAATCGAGCGCGCCGCCCTAGCCGTCGGCTCGGGCGTGATCTCGTTTTTCGACCCTCGCCGGGGCGACCTGATCGCAGCCCTCGGCGAAGCAACAGCGACGCCGTACTTCATCCACCGGCTGCACGCGGCCATGCTCGCCTCGCCCACGGGACGGCGCATCCTGCGCGAGCGCCCGCGCATAACCTCGACCTCGCTCGACCTACCACGCCTGCGGGCGCTACCAGCCAACACCGTGGGAGGCACGTACGTGGCGTGGCTAGACCGCGAGGGCGTGTCGCCCGACACGCGCGCCGGCGTGCGGTACATCGACGACGAGGAGTGCGCGTACGTGATGCAGCGGTACCGCGAGTCGCACGACTTCTACCACGCGCTGACGGGCCTGCCGGTGGTGCGCGAAGGCGAGGTCGCGCTGAAGGCGTTTGAGTTCGCCAACACGCTGCTGCCCATGACGGGGCTGTCGGTGTTCGCCGTGGCGACGCTGAAGCCGGCGGAGCGGAGGAGGTTCTGGGATGTCTATGGGCCGTGGGCCGTGCGCAATGGGCTGAAGAGCGGGGAGGTCATCAATATCTACTGGGAGGAGGAGATGGAGACGGATGTTGATGAGTTGAGGGCGCGGCTGGGCATTGAGACGCCGCCGGATCTGCGCGATATACGCAAGAGGGAGCGCATGGAGAGGAAGAGGGCTAAGGAGGCTGCCGCTGCCCAGGAAGTTGCTAGCTGAAGTTCAAACTGCACGACAAGTCTCGAAAGCGGAAGGAAGTGTGCGAATATATGTACCAGTTTTGTACCATACGCATAGTAAAAAAAATACTCCCGAGTCCCCTATAACGCCATGCCATGCACTTTCCATGTCCCACTTCATCAATCTGCTTCCCCATCACCTGCCCATCTCGTTCTGTCCAAGCCCTCCACGGGTCCAACTCGTCCAGCCAGGCGTACGACTATAAGTCCAGTAAATCGTCATCATCGTCGTCATCCCACACCTTGCGCCGGTTGACCACGATCTTCTCCTCCTCCTTGGTGTCGGCCACGGCGTTCAGGAGCTCCTTGAGCTGCGCCTCGGTCACCTTCTGCCGCAGCTGGCCCGTCCGCGCCAGCATGATCAGCCGGTTCTCGACGTCGGTCGCGCGCTGCTCCTTCACGAGCCGGATGCGGCCCAGGCGGTCGGCGGCCTCGGGGTGCAGGATCTGGTTGAGGATGGATTGGCGGGCTTCGGCTGTTGAGGTAAGGTGGTGTCAGTCTCTCTCTCGGCGGCGAGCTCGCCTGTTGGTGTTGCAGATTATCAGTTGGGATGGTATTGGACGGTACCTTCTTGCCTGTCACGGATAGCATGTCAGTATAGGTATCGCCATAGAAAAGGGGCAGAATGGGTACGACTCACTGCTGCTTCTGCTCGGCCTGGCCCTGTCCACCAGCTCCTCCTTGGCCTCCTTGGGCGCCTGCCCCACTGCCTTGCGCCTTGAGCTGCTCAAGACGAGCTTTGCGAATCTGCGCGTATAGTGGTTAGGTTAGCTATTGCGGGCGGATATTAGTAGCGAATCATACCTGTTCTAGTTCTGCGTCGGCCATCTTGGTGTTATTCTGGTGGTGGAAGTGGTCTGTTGAAGTTACTTATTGACTTTTGCGTCAGGCAGTCTCCGGATGGTGGGGTTGACGGATCGTTGGTGGTGGAAGCTTGGGACCCGAGCTAGCACTATACGATTCCGGTTACATGCAAGTAGAATGGTATATGCTTCTACGCAGTCTATGGGCAACTCGCGAGTATACGGTATGGCAGAGCAGTGTGATGGTTTATGGACACTGACAGACGATACCTAAAGCAGGTGGTTGACTTAAGTAGCGAGTAAAACCAGATGGGGCTCCCTGGACAGCCGCATTCGCAATAACTTCTCAAGTCTTCATGATCTGTAGCTAATCACAATGCGCTGCAGAAGGCAAGTTAGAGCCATCCCTGTTTGGGCACAGGTAGCCGACATTGCAGCCATCCAAATACTCCTGCCTTTGAAGTCATCGCCTACTGAGGAGCAATGTAGAGCCAAAGGCCTGAGGTTGAAATCCAGCTTTAGACAGATATTCTGGCTTCAGGCTTTGAGTAGTACATCCCCGTTTTCTTCGCATAAAGGGGTAACAGCTGGGTAGTGGGTGCCCTGGTGGCTGGTGGTGGATATGACAACTGCTTTCGTAGCACAGGAGTCGAACGTATAACATGACAGGGTTTGGGTCAACACAATCGTCTCAGGGCTAGAGCGAGGAACCATCTACCATCCTCAGACCTGAGCCAGATCCTTTGCTTGGTGTGATCGTGTTTTCGTAGTCACTTGCGTTCAAGCACTGTTTCTCATGGCTGTGTGACATTGGCCGAAGCCAGTGCCCAAATTTCCTTTGGAACTAATCGGCCACAATCGTCTTGACCTGTATCCCCAGACAACATGGCACGTTTGGCACGTTGACTGCTATGTCCTCGGGCCGTCATCAGCAAGGGTGCTAGACAACATTTAGCTTCTCCTTCTCACACAACTCTCTTTCTTATACGAAGAGGCCTCGACGACAGACCGACCCGGGCCATCTTCTGCTGAAGCGCCCACCCTCCCGCGCTACTGTCTTCTTTCCGTTTCGACCAGCACCTCTCTAGCAGTAAAGTTATTGCTCTTCGCTGCATTCGGTACTGCCCTGTATTTTTATACGACTCCCACTGAGAAGAACTAGCGAGTCCTTATTCTAGGACCGAACCTCAACATGCTGACAGCTTACCCCTATCCACGGCTACGGCTAAGCACACACCGACGCAAGACACTGGCAGCTCTCCAACGCTGTCAAAGTTAATCTCTCTCGTCTTTACTCGTACTAATACTAGCCATGCGTGTTCCGCGTTGCTCATCACAACCCGCACAGTCCAGTCCAGTATCCCGACCTGGCCCGTCCGCCACCGCAACCCCTATCCCCCCAACCTCCCGGACAACTATCACGACACCCCAACCGCCGTATCCCTCACGACAACAGTTGCTAACCCCAACAGCCGGAAATCACCCATCGTAGGCCAAGGCAACGCCCGCCAGGCCTTAAATAGCGGTTCAAGGTGCAGAATTCCCCAAGATCCAGTGGCCGAGTGGTGACTTGCGATGGTTTTCTGTGATGAAGAACAAGGTATGCTGAGCGTGACCGAGAGGAATCGCGACGATCGAAAAAGTTATTGTACTGAGAAAACTTCTTTGAGACTTGTATGATATCTAATATTGCTTCCCGACTATTCTTGCGTGTTTCCCGGACTCCGTTCTTGTCATATGGACTTTTAAACCTTTTCGCTGGCCAGTTGCGCGTGCTGGAGGAGGGTGAATGAGTGCGCGCAAGCGGCCGGCTCGTCCCGGCAACCACACAGACACGGTGTCGCGGTTTGGGACATACCCCGCCCCTGACTGACAGCTCCGTGGAAGGAAGGGCACATGTTCTTGTCCCCCAGGGCGTGTCGTGCCCTTCGTCATCCGCAAGAGAGCAGAGCAAAAGAAAAGTCCAGAAAATACAGAACAAGAGAGACTTTCTTACTATGGCCTCACGGAACGAGGGTCATGAGGGTGGAGGTGGTAGATGGGTTATACAAGGTAAGGGGCCAAAAAGAAGACCACCGGCAAATCCCTGCAAAAGGAAATAAGCTGCGCTCAAAGAAAGAGAGGAGCCCATGAAATACAATCTTCACCTCCTGTCCATAGCAGAGCTTGATGCTTGGGGATCTTGCTACCTACTTCAGGGGCAAACTGGTCCACTGCACATACAAGCAGCTAGGAGAAACCCGGGCACTACAGACTTACAGCACCCTCTCATCGCCCACGTACAGGCGTAGACGCGGCAGGAACCACCTGCAGCGACAAAAGAGAGCACTGAAGGGCAAGCCATGTCCATTCAGATCGTAGATAAACTGCCGTACCTGCGACTCCCCGCACGCTCAGAGTCAAAGTAGAAAGCGCTCGCGACCAATACTGCGACCCACGGTCATGATGAGTGATGTCACTGAGCTTTCTCGATCCCGTACTGGTAAGAGATACCGGGTCGGAGACAGCTTTGGCCCAGGCGTTCAACGTCGACCCAAGCGACTGCGGTTAGCAAGACGGTAAGTGAAATGGTGGACTATTAACACGGTAATGCGGACAGCCTGGTGTATAGTGAGGATGGTAACGGCCAGGCAATCTTGTGAGTCCTGACGCCGGTCATTTCGTATCCTGTCTTTTGGTCTGTGATATAGTTTGACACTTCAGGGGCGGACAAGGGGTACGATGTTGAACTGCATCAGGACACACGGGGTGGGATTTGGAAGCCATGCGTCAAATGGCCAAATAATGAAGATGATCATTGGTCCTAGTTCTTGAAGTAGCCAACCACTATACATTTATAAACAAACTTAACGGGATCCAATGAAGACGACAAGTAATTACATTGGGCTCATATGTGGAAGTAGCCTCTCTCACTTCATGCGGCAAGCAGATGTGAGATCCCGAACAAGTCGTCATTACCGCCCAGTATTGCCATGAAGTAAGTATGATATAATACATAATCGAACTGTTTAATCCAGCAGGTGTTGGTTGCTGGCAAACCGTGTTATACCCGACCTACTATTACAGTCCAAGGCTGCAGATATCCATGCTGACGCCCACCTAATATAAGCATCGTTGCCCTCTAGACCACCCAGACCACCAGATCATTGATCGATGTCTTCACCATCTTCGTCTCTGCGAGGTTCAAAGTTCAGCTGTATCATGTTAGCAGACAAAACCCCACTGGATATTCTAAAATTAAGTTCAAGAGCTCGAGCTTACCGAATTTCCATTATACAGCTGAGCGTCCCGCTGACGGTCATCCGCGTTCTGGAACCCCCTGATACGCGAGTTTCTCGCAGCATTCAAGTTCTCCAGTGGAATGGACCCTTGCTCGGGAGCGTTTCGTCTGCCGAATAATGTACCGAATATGCCCCAAATCGACGCAGTGATGGTGCTGTATACGGCAGCGAACATTCCAATGATGGGGTTGAAGCCCTGCTGTATGACCCCACCAGTCTGCGAAAACGCCGAGGTGTACTTGACCGGTACGAGGATGAGTGTTGATGAAGGAGCCAAGCCAAGGGAAAGGAGTGATTCGATCTCCTCGGTGGGCTCGATGGCCTTGTTCGGGAGCGGCGTCAGGACGACTCGGAACGAATACGGCGCGTCGCCATCTGTGCGCTCCTCATCTATCCACTTTCGCACATCGCGACTTAGAGTCTTGTCGCTAGGGAAGCGAGAGCGTATCGTGGAGCCGTCGAGTAGCCGAACTTGTAGATTGCAGTTATCTCCTTGGCCGCCTTTGGGCATCTTCCTGGAAAGGGGGATCGGGGCTGTCTGGCTACCAGATTCCTCTCCGTCTTGATTCGCACTCAGCAATTGTCTTGCTTTGCGCTCCTCGGCGTCACGCCCCTTTCGTGCCCGCTTGTCGTCTTCGATGCGCTTCAGTATGCGTTGTCGTTCCTCATTCGCCTGCTGTTTTCGATGTTTCACAGCATCCGCATAATTACTTTGGCTTGCTGTAGCTTCCTCTGCATCGCGACGAGCATGTGCTTCCCGGTCCGCTCTGACCTTTCCGTCTCTCGCCTTCTTCAGCGCTGCTCGTCTCTCTTGCTCGGCCAAACCAGATTGGACTTCCTCGGCTCTGTGCTCTTGAGACGAAGTAGCTGGTGAATAATCACCGTACAAATCACTCTCGTCGTCCTCCACAGTGGGCGCAGGGACGTGAGATGCTTGCGGTTGGGTGCCCTGTTGACTTTGCGCAGGAGCTTGAGTCGTTGATGCAACAGCAGTGTTGCTTTCACTGGGCCCCTGGCTGAAGGCGGCGCTGACTCTGCGAACAAACTCATCCTTAGCAGTCCCCGCGGCAATATACTCCTTCAACTGGCCATTCCTGTATGCCGTGTAAGTAGGTGTGCTTTAGCGGCCAGTAGCATGCTAGGAAGATATCGGAAAAGTCCAATTATCTAGCCCGTAATAGAACGTACTGTATAATGACCACAGTAGGTTTCTTTGGGACTGGGAATAGAGCCTCAAGGAAGCCGGCCTCTTCCGACCCTGCTTGAAGCCGCAAGACGATTGCCTGACTGTTCAGAGGGGTTTTCAGCTGACGGAGTCAGTACGTGTAGAAACCCATGATGATACTTGCGACCCGGAACGTACGGATTCGTCTGTAAGAAAGTCATCTTCCCATTGTCGACTCTCATTCTCGCCGTCTGTACGCGTGTCAGTACGATTCGTAAGCTACATGCAGCAGAGGATACGTACCCGTAACGAAGCAGACGACCTGCTTCGATTGCGCGACAGCAGTCGAGATGCCGTCTTGCAAGCTACCCTCGAAGAACATGGCGGACACTGTTCGTAGTTCTGCGGGATATCGTGGTGATGGCCGAGGATACCTGAAGTGGCGCGATGTCTATGTGTCTTTTAAAGGTGTATATGGTGGATGACAAACTGTCGTACAGCTTGTAATGAGTGGACACAGCTCGGGATTGGAAGCCGAGTGCGCAAATGCTTCCATGAATAACACACTAATAAAGTGCAGACAGACAGTGATAATCAATTCACTTCTATTTGCGTAGTCACTGTTGATCAAGTATCAAGCTGATGCTACAATGACATACAGTAACATTCTGAAGGAGCTCACCCCGAAGCCCAGAGGGCCTGGAGGGACAGAGAGCTGGACCGACCCCTGTCCAAGCTCTCGCCCCGCCTCTGCAAGCAGCCCGGAGCGAGCTCCACTAAATTACAGGCCAAGCAGATCGTCATAAGTTGGAAACTTCGACGTCCAGTTCGGTCTTCTCTCGACATCACCACAAAAGTCAGATCCAATCCGCCAGCCATGAAGTCCCCGAGCCGGATGACGCGGCAATCGCTCGCGCGCCGAGTCGAAATGTCCCTCGAATGCCAATTCCGGTCCGCCTACACCTCCTCTACAACCGCCACGAACAGCATCCTACGCACCCGAGCTCAAGCTTCAACTCCCAGAACATTCACACCCTCCCGCCGCCCCTTCACACAAACCCCCCACCGCTTCCGCAACGCCGCCGACGACCCAAACTTCACCTCCATCCTCGACAACCCGCCGGAGCTTGTGCGCTCGGGCCGGCGGCGCCACGGGCCAGGCCTCATAATCCTCGCCCTGATCCCAGCGACGGCGCTCGTGCTGGGCACATGGCAAGTGCAGCGTCTGGGCTGGAAGACGGACCTCATCGCGCGCTTCGAGGACCGCCTGATCCAGCCGCCGCTGCCGCTGCCGCCTCGCGTCGACCCGGCCGCGATCCACGAGTTCGACTTCCGGCGCGTCGTGGCGAGGGGCCGGTTCCGTCATGATCGGGAGATGCTGGTTGGGCCGCGCATGCGCGACGGCGAGGACGGGTTCATGGTCGTGACGCCGCTGGAGCGCGAGGCGGATGATCAGGGGAGGGGCACGACGACGGTGTTGGTGAACAGGGGGTGGATCAGCAGGAAGTTGCGGCGGCAGCAGGACCGTTGCGAGGGATTGCCGCAGGGGGAGGTTGTGGTGGAGGGGCTGTTGCGGGAGCCGTGGAAGAAGAACATGTTCACGCCCGACAATCGGCCGGATATCAACGAATTCTACTTTCCTGATGTCAAGGAGATGGCTGCGTTGGGGGGCAGCCAGGCCGTGTGGGTTGAGCAGACCATGGGTAAGATCTCACATGTCACTTTTCATGTTTGATGAAAGATCAAGTATTCTTGGGGTAGTTCTGCTGACATTTCGAGCGCCGCAGAGCCCGACTTGATGCAGGCTATGGAGTACACAGCCAAGGGCGTCCCTATTGGAAGACCAGCTGAGGTCAACCTGCGGAATAACCATGCCCAGTACATCTTCACATGGTAAGCCTGCCCTACTTCTCTGGTCCTCCACTCGTCTTACACAATACTGACGACCAACAGGTATGGTCTTGCAGCGGCAACGTCGATAATGTTCTACATGGTGGTCAAGAAGCCGCCTACCGATATCTCGCGTCGCGTGCGCCTGAACAAGAATTGGTAATAACCAATATTTGTTTGTTGAAAGAGCCGATGTCCTGGATCCGGCTCAAGTCACATCCTCTTCTCCGTCAACTTCGACCTGCCTAGACTTCTTCCGCGGAGCTTTGGTTGGAGCTGGAACGGGCATGCGAAGCTCTTGTAAGAGCTCTCTTGGCAAATACCGCTGAGCGAGTGCAAAGGGCGTCGTGGACGCGCTAGTTTGCCGCTGTCTGTATCATAGTTAGAAAACTGTACAAAGGGTGCCATATGCCCTACACAAATGTATGAACATACCTTCTCATGAGAGTAATCATATCACTCTCATCAATGGTCTTGCGGCCTGCATGTTTCGCGTATGCCGATAGGTCATCTCCAAGCTGTTCAAAGAACCAGTCTGTGGCTTGCATGATCGAAGTCAGAGTATCGGGAGTGATCTTGGCTTTGGTCCCAGCTGTCTTCGCAAAGGTTGTTGCCAGACGTTTCACCACGTTTGTGGGCAAGGAGGGGTATTCGATGCCGTGTCTGGATATCTTCTTGCCCGCCTTCTTTCTCTTGCCTTTTTTAGCAGTAAACTCGGCAATTCGAGAGACATCAATAGTCACATCAATGTCCTCGTTGTGGTCATCCGGCTCGAGAGCACCCATGGGCTCGTCTCTGTCCGAGTCGTCATCCAGATCAGGAGCACCCAAGGGCTCGTTTCCGTCCGAGTCGTCATCTAGTTGGGGCTCATCTTGTTCCTCAAGCCCCTCGATGGTGGTTAGATCTCGCGTGGGTGATTCGATAGGGGCCATCATGAAGGTGCTCTCGTCTCTAGCATCGGGCAACTCCAGTCCAGGGAAACCGCTTTCGCGGCCGACCGTCTCGCGTCTTGTCTCATCGGTATCCAGACTGTTCTTGTCAGTATATAACTTGTCAAGTCAAGTCCATGGTGGTGGTTCCCTTACTGCTCGAACATGGCCTGCTCATCAAAGACTACGTCGCCAGTATCTTCCAATGCTGGCGGTGGGAAGAAGCCCGAGTCGATGCCCACGTCCTCCTCGCTCAGTATTTCTGGTCCAGCATAGTCGCTGAACCTGACGCTTCCCATACTCATCCGGTCTATTCGCCCCAGAGGTCCTTCACTCCTTGCCCGGCGGGGCAGCTCGATCGACTGAGCAGTGTAGTTCTCGTCCTCGAGCCCACTAAGCCGGGGTGGCTTGAGATCACTGTCATCGTCCTCGTCCTCCTCCGGTCCCAACGGCAGCGAGAAGCGCGGGCGCTCTATCGGGAAGTCGTCATCGGCCTCATCGTCCTCTGGCAGGATGGACAGAGTAGTATTGTCCTCGCCACGAGCGTGGGGACCGGGAGACGACGACGACGAGGACACGGGCTGCGTGGTCGGAGCCAGGACACGACTAAGGTTCCGGAGAAGGTCCCGCGGCGTCTCGCGTTGTTCGCGCAAGCTGCGGCGCCGGACTCGTCCCGGGGTGAACAGCGTGGCGCGTCGCTGGTTCATTGCGCGGATGGCGGCTCGGCCGTGGGGCGTCGCGACGTTGTTGTTACGTCTGGCCGAGGCAGAGGGACGACCAGAGGTTGGTTCGGCGCTGATGGCTCGTCGGTTCGGGGTGGCAAGTGCTCGAGGGGTGGCCGCGTGGGCGGACCCCGGATTGTTGGAGGCCATCGCGACGGTCTCGAGGAAGCTGCAGACCGATGTACTGGCTTGGAAGTCAAGAACGTTGTTGGCTGTCCATTCCACATGTGCAACTGAGAAGGAGGAATGGCGACTCGCGAATGCCAAGGGCCGGTGAGGTTTAGGTTTGTATGGTTACTTGAGTTGATACGACGTGGGGTTATTTTCTGTATCGCGTGTTGATGGCACTTTAGACGCGGTGCAAGCTCAAGCTTGTGACATGCAGCTGCCAGCTGGACCGCGACACGGCCGGCGTTTTCCGTCAGCAACAAACATCCGGTTGGGTCGCCGCACGTGGCACCCAAACCCTTTTGGGCTTTAGGATTTAAGCTTGGTGGGGTAATGCCCAGGGGCTCCCGGCCCGCAGGGTCATCCATTCGCGGCATTACGTTCCAATCAAATGTCAATGTCATCAAGCCATCCCTGAATCTTTGAAGCTGCGGCGAATGATGGGGGGATGCAGTTGATGCTGTGTTCCTCATCCCGATCCATCTATCGACCCCTGAACAGGCTGCCGGAGCCAGACCTGCGACGAAACTATTTCTCTCCTGCCCTGTTTCGTTCGATCTGATGTTTTATATCCGGACTCACAACCTCGCTGATGGCTTGCCTAGGCACCTGTCAGTATCTCAGTGCAAGACTCAAGAGTAGGTACTGAATCAGGAGGAACCACTTTGTGATAGAAGTGCTCTATCACCCTGATCACGAGAGGTTGCCCAGGTCCTAAGTTCCTAACATCCTTCCCGCTGGATTCCTGAAACGAGGATCTCGAGCCCGGCTTCTCCCCAGCAGTCGAAGCACCTACCTGGACTGGTATACTTCGAACAGTATAGGTAATGCTTCATCTGTCGATCAACCCTTTGCGGTCAGAAGATGTGGTGGGAGAGGCTTTGGCAGGGACCGAAGATTCTGCAAGTCTGGCAATACGACCTCAATATGCATGAGGAAGGATCCCGAGACTGTCATTGTCTTTGAAGCTCAGGGCGGCAGCTCTAAATTCCCCGTTGCTTTGTCACTTGCCGCTCTCTTCATTGGTCGACTAGACACAACTCAAGGAGGGTGGCGACTGGAGGTAGGCGCTTCTCAGACGTATCGCAAGACGTTGGCCTCACCTCCTGTTGGTTCCAGATCTGAATTGTCGCCTACTTGGATCACCCGACGAATCAGCCAAATGGTTGGATGTCTCTTGACACAAATTAGCCCCAAGACTAGACTCGGAGATAACCCCCTGACACCCACAAAGGCCCCCGGATGTTCCAAAGAAGACATTGTTACAAGCCGTGCTTCAGGTGGCGCCTGAAGTGACAGGCTCTTGCCTTCCAAGGTTGTGTGTAATTCTTCAGATACTGCTCTTTCTCTAGCAATATGTAACGGAAATCAATGAGCCGTTATAACTCTCAGCATATATCGGATGGACTTATACATAGATGTAGACAGCGTCTAAGGCGGTGCTAGAAATCACATCTCCATCGAAACAAAGACGCCCGCCCAGATGGACGTGAGACATCTTGGACCTCTTCACCTTGGCCGATGGGGAAGAAGATTACGCCACGTCTGGAGGGTGTCTTCATCCCTTGCTCTGTGTATCTACAGATAGATAGTTGATTTTACTGAGACTTTTGACAGTCCTGGAGGTTGAATATACTCATCTTGCCCTCCTCAACCTTCCACATAATGCTGGCTGCCCCGCCATTTGGTACGTACCGATGAAAACGCTCGGACCATCGGCCCGTGCCTCAGCTCCCATGTTTGGAGACAGAATACCCGACTGTAGTGCCTAGATCGCCTGTAAACGCCTGTAGTTGCCCACTATCGCCTGCTATCTGCGTTGGTTGGCCGGCAACTTCAAATCAGTCACCACTTTTCCTTAGTCGTATCTGGACCCTCCAAGTATTTACCACTTCCGTCAAATACCTACTCCAGGTCACATCAACCCGCCTGGCATCTCGTGCATCTCCCAATATCGAGAAGCCTCTCTCTCATCTTCTGCAACCCGCCGACCCGCGATATTTGATCTGATATATTCAGATGCTGATCCAGTCACACCAGTCCCGAGCTGCAACCATCTGATCTCTCAAACCGGCACTCGCCTGCTTTGTGCCAGTTCGCCCTGTCAGAATCGCAAGGCCTCTCTCATTGTAAGTTGACATCCATCACGTCTCCTTTGATCCCAGCTGGCTGTTTCTTGCCTGTCCCTTGCCATCACGTCGTCCGTTGCCCTCACACTCACTTCTCGTCCCGATGCACACGCACACCCACCAGACACACGCACACATGTATGTTCACTCTCCTTTCCTCTGCATGCCCTTTCGTCTGCGCCCTGCAGTAGTGAAGCCCCAAGTGCTGGAACAAAGCCACACTTGTTCTGCACCCTCAGGTTCCATCTGCAAGGCTCGCGCCACCATCCCCTTCCCTCCCTTGCTCGTTCACACTTACGTATGCAAACCACCACTCTTCCACTGTGCTGTCTGTCGCCTGTTGGTCTGCAAAGAGGTTCCACTCCCCATTGCCCCCATATGCGATACATGCCTGCCCGCCTTGCGTACGGACCTCGGGAGCTACTGTGGTATTTATCATGATACGCCACGGTAGCTTTGCCTATCATTCGTGCGATAGCAGCGGTGGTGCTGCTGCCCACCTCCCGCGACCCTGCGACCCTGCGACCCTGCGACCCCCGACCTGCAACACGCGGCACCACACACTCCCGATCCTGTCCAGTCTGTGTCAAATGGCTTCTGACCTTTATGCAGCACAGCTCACCAAACGCTCCCTCCGCTTCTGACTCTATCGCCGACAAGGCACTCCGCGCAAAAAACACCAGATTCCCAAGAGTGCTGTTGTCGCAAGCTACAATCATTGCCAACTGCTGCAATTGGCCAGCACTACTTTGTTCGTTCCGTCATACGATAGTCCCACCCGCTTGCGTACTACAGCTCGCCAATCATGGCTGCCCCGGGCGTTCAGTCTCTGAAGGTACACAGGCGAAATCAATCCGACCAAAGGTGCTGTTAATACTCAGGATCCGCGGCTAACACAATCCCTCCGGCAGTGTGTCGTTACTGGTGATGGTGCGGTCGGCAAGGTATGTTCTACTCTTCCCACCCTTGTCGAAGCTCGATCACTTGACAGGGCTGGCAACTGACATCGGCAACAGACGTGCCTTCTGATCTCCTACACCACGAACGCCTTCCCCGGAGAGTACATCCCTACAGTGTTAGTCGACCTCTAGCAATGGGACTTCCCTGTAGATGCAATTGCTGATACTGGACGGTTAGCTTTGATAATTACTCTGCCAGTGTTATGGTCGATGGCAAGCCAATCAGTCTAGGACTATGGGATACTGCTGGGCAGGAGGATTACGACCGACTGCGACCGCTATCATACCCCCAAACCGACGTCTTCCTGATCTGCTTTAGCATCGTCAGCCCCCCGTCGTTCGACAACGTCAAGGCCAAGGTAAGATGCTCTTCCCACTTGGAAACAGCCTTTGCAGAGCGTCCCTGCTGACCAAATATGTGCAGTGGTTTCCGGAGATCGACCACCACGCGCCTAACATCCCGATCATCTTGGTCGGAACCAAGCTCGATCTTCGGGAGGACCAGACAACAATGGACAGTCTGCGTGCCAAGAGAATGGAGGCGGTCTCGTATGACCAGGCTTTGGTTTGTGCCAAGGAGATCCGCGCTCACAAGTACCTGGAATGCTCCGCTTTGACACAGAGAAACCTGAAGAGCGTGTTCGACGAGGCCATCCGGTATGTAGTGCAGTGCAGCACTCTATCGTAAGCAGGCTAACACCACTACCAGTGCTGTCCTGAACCCCCGACCGATCCCCCAGAAAGGCGGGAAGAAGCCAAAGTGCACGATCCTATAAGATGACGCCGAGATACTTGCAGCATGGAGTTCCGCTGAAGGAGCGAATATTTCCTGGGAGCAGTGTTGGCGTTGGGTGAAGACATAGAAAAGACCACTTTTCTAGATGAGAGGGATAAACACGCTCAGGCCTTTCTTCGTCTCGGCCGGCTGCCGTGTTGCACGTCCTCATTCTCGAACTTTACATACCCACCGATGCTTGGACGGCCGTTTTTTGCTGGAGGACAAAGTGAAAGAGGGCAAGGGGCGAGCAGGAAGGGGCGAGCTTTCGACAATAGATCTGGCAAGCATGGTTGTGCGACTTTTTGCGTTCACAAGCTTCGATACACACCTGGGTTGTCTTCTGTCGATCTTGGTTCCACCAGATCTGAGAAGAACAGGTTGACATCAGGATCGGCTCTCGCACGCAATTTTTGTTCGCCCAGACTAGAAGTTGCTGTGCTTCACAGCCATGAGGGGACTTTGAGCTCACCTTTTTCCTGTGATTCTGTAGATAGCATATTTGCAAGAGGTCAATGGAATTTCACTGCGAATCATGAGTCATGATTCGTTCTTTATACAAGTTCTGGTCTTGATATCTCTAATCTAGAAACCCCAAGGGTATCATCACGAACTACCGGGGACTATTCTCCTACGACTCGGATGGACCGCATCGTCCATACCGCCCATTGTCTCATCCTGAGCCTCACCCTCGCCCTCACCCTCACCCGCTCCATTCTTCTGACCCTTCTCCCGCACCTTCTTGGTCTTCAACTTGACCTCCTCCTGCGCCCGCCTCGCGCGCTCCTCGTTCAGCTTCTCGTTCTTCACCCGGATCTTCTCCTTGCGCTGGTCCGTGTTGCCACCTCCGCCGGCCGTGAGCTCGACGTTGATCTTGCGCTCCTCCTCCCACTCGGTCGGCTTGCCGTAGCGGTCGCGGCTCTTGGTCATGCACTTGAAGGTGCTGTGGTGCATGGTCTTGAGGCACGTCTTCATGTGGTCGTAGCCGGCGAACTCGACGAAAGCGATGCCGCGCGACTTGGAGGGGTCGTTCTTCTGGTGCAGCAGGCGCACCGAGGTGGGTTTGAGGGCGGCGAAGTGGTCGGTTATCTGCGCGACCGTCGCGGCGTAGGGGAGGTTGCCGACGAAGACTATGAAGCGGGTTTTCTTGCTGGAGGTTGAGGTTGTGGTTGCGGCGTGGGTGTCGGTGGTTGAGGGCTTGTCGTCGATAGTAGTTGTAGTAGTTGTAGTGGTCGATTCCTCGGCGGCGGCCTTCTTCCTCTCCTTCTTGGCCTGCTTGGCTAGCTTCCGCTTGAGGGCCGCCTTGGTCTCTTCGCCCTTGACCTTCTTCTGCTTCCTCTTTTCCGCGGGTGCTTCGTTGTCGTATGCCATGAGGGTATCTTCGACATCATATGCTTCGGCGGGTGTGGTGGCCTCTAAGGCCGTGACGGTGTCTGTCTTGGAAGACTTCTTGTGCTTGTCTTCCTTCTTGGACTTGTCTCCTTTCTTGGACTTGTCTCCTTTCTTGGACTTGTCTTCCTTCTTGGACTTCTTCTTCTCCGGCTTGCTGCTGCTCTCTTCGTCGGCGTCGCTCAGTCTCCTGCGCTTCTTGCTTGAGTTGGCTACCACCGCGGTGACGGCGGCAGGGTCGTCTTCCGACTTGCGCTTGGTTGACATCTTCTCTGCTGGTAGTAGAGTAAGAATTGGGTGGCGGTGAAGTAAAGAGATGTGCGTTATAGGCGAAGAGTAATTACTGCTGAAGTAATTCGGGCAATCAAGGAAGTTCAGGTAGACTTGGGACGTTTATAGAAGTAGTGAAGTTGCAAGTGTTCGGTCCAACATTCGAAGAATCGCAAATGCAGATACAGAAAATTATAGTGGGTCTGGGGTCTCGATGGTGCGGAGCCGCAACTTAGCGTGGGTATCCCGCGGGCCAATGATGGGGAGCCATTACCTTATAACCACTACCTTATGAAGTGTCATCGGGATAGACTCCTCTCCTTCCCACATATGTCAACCTTGTCTGTTATCTAGGTATGGAACATTAAGCTTTTTTCACGGAACGCGGAGCAACAAGAGTAGATTGTTATACGGCACATTTGGCCATCATATGAGTCTCTTCATTACATCATCCATCCGAGACGCCTCGAACCTACACCTAGTCTTCTAAGGCAAAAGTCTCTTCGGTGTTCGAGGGTAGTAGCTTGTCAAATGAACGCTGGGCAGGTTAAGGAACCATGCCACGACTCTGTCCAGCCCAATACCACCGCCTCCGTGAGGTGGAACGCCAGCAGATCTGAACACGTCGACATAATCCTTGATTCCTTCGCTGGCGGGGTCGATGCCCTTCTTGCGAATTCGGGCTTCCAGCAGCTCGGGGATGTGGATACGTTGACCGCCCGAGAGGATCTCCTGTCCGCGCACTGCATCCATACTGTCAGCATATACATCACAGGGACTGAAGACCATACTATGGGAACTCACTAAAGAAATCATAAGCGTTCGTGACCTTGGGGTTTTCGGGGTCCTCGATTGTGTAGAAAGGACGAGCACCCTCGGGGAACTTGTCGAGCACGTAGAAGTCGGTGTTGAACTTCTTGCGGATCAACGCACCCAATGCCTTCTCCTGAGGTGTGCTCATATCTTCGTCATCGCTGACGTTGCGGTATTCCTCTGGACCCTCCTCGCGCAGCAGCTTTTGGCCTTCGGCAAAGGTCAATCTCACCTCCTTTCCAGGTTCGGGTAGGAGGAAGTCGTCAGATGGATAGATGGCTTTGATGATCTCAATTTGCTCTTTGCACTTCTCCTGAAGGCCTCGGAAGATGTAGATCATGAGTCCCTCGATCATGTCACGGACCTCGTGGTAGTGTTCCTCGATCTCCATCTCCATATCGAGGCCGGTGAACTACGGTGATTGTTAGCAGTCTTACCCCGATCTGAAGTAGACGAAGATCCCATACCTCAGTCATGTGTCTCGGTGTGTTGGAGTTCTCGGCTCGGAAAACAGGTCCGATACAGTATACACGTTTCCGTCCACCAGCAATCTCGAACTGCTTGTAGAACTGGGGTGATTGTGCCAGGTATGCCTTCTTGTCGAAGTAAGGCATCGCGAACACGTTTGCGCCACCCTCAGAAGCGGCACCGATCAGACACGGAGGCTCGAACTGCACGAATTCTCTCTCTTCCAGATATTGGCTGAAGAGCTTCCGCGTGGTCATACGGACATCGGCAATAGCCTGCTGCACAGGCGCTCGCTTATGCATGACTGGGTTGTTGAGATGCGTCGACAAGCTGGCTGAAGGGGCCGCGGCGCCATCGGTAAGGGTGAGGGTTTCCACGCCCTCAGTCGGGGCGGCCGCCTGTGACGGGTCCTCGTCTTCGAAGCTTGCCACCGCTCGGTTCGACGCGTTGAGACTTAAACCAAGCACCTCGGGGCCCGCAGCCACCAGGTAGACTTTTGTCAGATGGAGTTCGTACTCGCTAACACGGCAGCTCTTTACGGGCTCAAGAGGCTTCTGAACCTTAGCCTCGACCAAGACGAAGCTCTCCAGTCTCAGAGCGCCCACCCACTTCACCATCTGCTTGCTCACTGGCTTGCCTTCGGGACTCGCAGCCATAACACCTTGTATTGACCAGTTTCGCTCCTCTCTCAACTCGACAAAGGCCATCTTGGCGCCTTGCATACGGGCGTTTTGGATCCATGCTCGAAGCTTGACGGTCTTCCCAACATGTTCCTCGCCCAACTTCTTCAGCTGTACTTTCTCGGCATCGACTTTAGTGGTCGGGGTGATTTCGCCGTAGTTGTCCTTGGCGAGATCCTCGTTCCCCCCACTGGCGGCCTTCTGGGCAGCGGCAGCAGCTTCACGTTCAGCAGCCTTCCGTGCCTTTTCTGCTTCCTTCTTGGCTTTGGCTTCGGCCTTCTTCGCTCCCTTCTTCGACGGGCCAGCTTCGCCCTCGGCTGGCGGGGCAGCGCCGGAAGCTTGCGCCGGGTCCACGGGAGGTTCAGACATGCTGGGAAACGCTTGTATCGATCTGTTGGTGGATGAAACAAGGAAAAGGAGTGACTACCTAACTAAGAGGTAAAGGGAGTCCCTCGCAACTTTGATGGACAGTTGGGACGGTAGGATGGTGGGATGTGACTCTTCGCGGGGCAATTCAATGTTTTGTCAAGGTGGACAGACCAGGTGGGCAGGTGGGGTGGCTATTCGCATAAGCGCATAAATCTCCAACTACTCCAGTACCGAATTCTCGCCGAGGGGTTGCATCTATCCCAAGGTTCAAATATTCTTCAACGATTTTCAACCATACTGACCGACATTCACCCAACTGCAGGACAACTCCCAATATGTCTCAGGAAAAGCCGGCCAAGTCAGAGAACCGGGCTTCCAAAGCCAAGTCCAAGAAGCGGGCGCGTGAGGACGATAGCGCTCCTCGAAAGCGGAAAAAGTCGGCGTTCGAGCAGGAGGACCTCAACCTCGATCTGGAAGCAGGAGTGAACAAGGAGATTGCGCTTTTCGACAGCATGCTCCTCGCAGATCACCTGGCTCAGAAAACCAGACGATTTGGAACCGACCTGCCGCCGGTGGAGCTCTCTACCTTGGACATTTCACGTAAGGCCCAGCCTGCCACATTGACAAGAGCTCTAAGTTGACATTTCTAGCGAATGCGATCAGAGACACGAGCTCATACCAGGAGATCCGGAATCTGGAGAACCTGCCTGCTTTCTTGGAGGCCCACACAGAGAAGCCGGAAAGTCTCGGAGAAGCCCCTAAGCAGAAGGGCTCGCCTCATACCATCATTGTGGCCGGCGCCGGCCTGAGAGCAGCAGACCTAGTCAGGTATACCTCCTGTTTCCGGAAGGTGCCGGTTTTCGGCAGGTACTGATCAAATACAGAGCGGTCCGCAAGTATCAGAAGAAGAACAATACGGTTGCGAAGCTGGTATGTGTCACAATCATCTACGATCTTACATGAAACTGATTCCGGCTAGTTTGCGAAACACATCAAGATTGAGGAGAGCAAGCAGTTCCTCCACAAGCACCGCACAGGCATCGCAGTTGGTACGCCTGTACGGTTGAATGACCTCGTGGAGAGTGGTGAGTGCCCGGTATCCGGCTGCAACGAATTGCGAGAGCTGAAGACAGTCACAGGTTCCCTGAAGTTGGACAATCTCGAGCGACTCGTGGTTGACGCCTCGCACATTGACCAGAAGAAACGGGGCATCCTGGACATGAAGGAGACCATGATCCCTCTGGCGCGTTGGCTTGCAAGGACGGAGTTCAAGGTGAAATACGCGGATGCCGAAAAACCTCTACAGCTGCTGTTCTACTAGGTGGTCGAGGCGCATTTGTACTGTCGGATGAGCAGTGTCAGATGAACAGGTTCTAGAGCGGAGGCATGGTCTAGGCCTTATCCTGTCCTCTTTGGTTCGACGTTGATATGATACCCAGAGCAATACATCGCATTGCAGTATTGTGTCTTTCGTTTCCCACTAGTCCTCCGTGCTGAGGGCACAAGACACCTCTCGTGCGACGGATCCCATGGCTTCTTCGACTGCTCTCTGTAATTGCACGTACCTCACCACATTGCTTTCGATGCCTGGTTCCAGTGCACCTGGAGCAAGAGACTGGACTGATACAGACTTCAACGCATCTACTACGTTCATCTATATGGACAGAGGTCGGTGTACTAACTTCACAAGTGAATACCGACACTCCGACAACACTTATCCTCTTCTCCTGTCCGTGAGTAGCTCATACACATCCATATCCTGAACCAGTCGTTGCTAACTATGCTCCTATCACCTGTAGCTGAAGCCTAGTAGCCGTTGATCCAGTAATCCTGCAAAATCACCAATGCGATCCATAGCACAAGACCAGAGAATGATTCAGTCATCCGTCCTCTGTCGGGGGCGGTGACCATCCACAACCTCTGGTCCATTGCGCTTGTAGCCTCGTATGGATCGAGGAACAGACCTGGCATGGGTGTGAGAGTTGGAGGCGGGGAGGTGTGCACCGTGATGCACATCGTCACTGTCGTCGTGACTGTTGATGTGGATGTTGAAGTTCCATCAATGCTCTCCTGCTGCAGCTGGAGACCGAATACCGCGGGCAGTGGTCGGCCAGCGAGATCGCCTTGTTCCTGGGCGCGGAGGAGCTCGTTGCCAATGGACATGCTATCGACCACGCATTGAGCAGCGCAACCTGGGCAACGGTCAGTCACGATACCTACGAGCCGGGGAAAGCCAATAGGCAGTCCTCGCTCACCTGGTAGCCGCGTGCCGATCCCGCTTTCGTGCTTCATCATATTGGCGAAGGAAGCTTTCATGAGGAGAAAGGGGATGTACTTCGTGATGTGGTATGGAGTAGCACGGTTTGAGGGTCCAAAAGAGCGCGATGAGGTGTGCTGTGCTTGTTGTTTTCTGCTTTTCGATCCAATAAATCGTGCAAAGCAAATGACTGAAGTCGGTAAGGATGATCACCAAGAAATCAACCGGAGTGAGTGTGAATGTTGATGTTTGGCAATCCAAAAAAGCGCGGGTGATGGTCTTGTAGTCAAGATGCGCTCAGGGCGTCGGGTGTTGCTCTCAAGGTCGGACAAACCGCATGCCAATGGGTCAATCCAGTGAATGATACCTACTTATGTGTGTGTATGAAAGGAAATTACGACCTAGCGAGCGGAAACACGCTGAGCAGCTGCGTAGGCCATCACGAATCAGAACGGGTGGGAGCAGCAGTTTGGCGTAGATGGAAGTAGCCCCTGAATCACCATCAAGTTGATGGATGCGACTTCTCCTCCTGCGCTTGATGTCATTCCCGATTCAACCCCCCAGTAATGGAAAAGCCTCCATGTAAATAAAAACACCATCTGAGTCTGGCTGCTACAGTGTTTTTTTTCCAGCCTTCATATGCGGAAGCATCAACTTCCACAATACCCCTGAGTGGCAGCGATCCCCAGTCGCCGCTCGGCCAGGGCCACGCGCATCCGCGGGTCGCGACAGTCCGGCATGACAACCCCAGCAGCACCATAGGCGCGTTTCGTCACGACATTAAATACGGGCATCTTTGTCGAGTAATACGCCAGCACGAGATTGTTGCATGCCGCATCGTCGCCGAGCGCCCAGTCATGGTGCCGTCGACGTACCCGGGGACATCGACGGGTTGTAGTAGCGGCAGGCTCATCACGTCGCGCAGCTTGAAGTGTTTCTCTACAAAGATGCATCTGACAGCTGAGAATGTTCCATACCCATCTAGTACATGGTTAGACCGTCTCCGCCGGTGCTCATTTCGACAGCCTTCTCGCTAAGTCTGGCGAATGGCGAAGACTGGAGGGGAGTGGTAGCCAGAAGCTGGCGTGCGCTGGAAGATACGCAGAACCAAGGAGTGAAAACGAACCTGGGCATGTAATGTGCCATTGTCGCGCGTCCTGACTTCGGGCGTGTAGCAGATGAAGTTGGACCTTGAATGTCGAACAGGCAGCAGAGGAAGATAGCGAGAGCATTTATGAAAAAATTGTTTCAGGAAAGTCGGACATTGTCCTCGAGAGGGAGGTCGAATCGACGGCCAAATGTGAAAAGAGGATCGGGGCCGGTATTCGTCACAGCACGCTCTCCTTTTTTCTGTGCATATTTCTTATTGTCCTTGTGGACATCGAAAGCATGGAACAAGCCTCTGATATCTCAAGAAGCAGTTTGCTTCCTTGTGCTTTTAATCCAACCTGTGACGGTGCCCATACTACCCCTGCTCCAGGCTGATCTTGTGCCATAGGTGCGAGGCATTTCTCCCCTTTTACCTTGAACCCCACCCCCCCCCCCCCCCCCCCCCTCCCCCCAGACCCCCAGACCCTTATCTGAAAGATGTTAGGAGATGAGAGTATAACCTTACCAGACGCGATGTTCACCACAGGTTTGATCCTCCTTAGTACTGCCGAAGCCGTAAGTGGTGTTACAGTCTCCTCAAAGACTGGCATAGAGATTGGATCAACCGAAGACGACATAGACACCACCCTCTCTAAAGCTAGTTGAACTGATATGTTTGCATCTTTATCAAGCCAACAAGGCAGCCCTCAATGATCAACCCACTGAGCCATTGCCACAGCGATGTCTGTTGGGACAAGGTAGCAGCATTGTGCGACTCTTGTAACTGAGCCCCCCTTTCTCTCCCACACTCGCCACAAGGCACTTTGGGCACATAGCCCTTGACCTATGTCTAGGCAACAATCTTGCTGCTCCCTTGATAGCATTTGAAGCTGAGAAGTGCGTTGTCGGTCAAAGATGGCTGCCCCAGGAGTCGCGTTGTCCAACACTCTCGTCGCGTCCTTCTTGGTTGCCTGAATAGTCAACAACTAACATCCATCGCTGACACATATTCTTCCCCCCTCTCCTCCATCATCTGCATCGCCCGAGTCTCAGCAAACCCAAAACCAGTCCAGCCACGGAGATCAACAGCCGACCACAGGCATCCGCCTCCATGAGCGCATACGACACAACCACCAGCATGCCTGTCATCGCCGACGAAGATATGGAGATGACCGATCCAGGCGTAGGGGTTAGAGACAGCGCAAGTTTCTTCGTGGTTCTCAAGGACTACCCAGAATACAAAGATATCAGGATTAATCCAATGACACGCAAGAATCGCTTCAAAAACCCCCCTACCGGCTCCAAGAAACCTTCCCCGATTTCACCCGGTTGGAGCTCTACCAAGCCCTCTACGGACTCTACCGCCAAAGCTACAATTGACTGGGGTGAGATGTTTGGCGTCAAAACGCACGAGTGCGGCTCCGGCTGGGGTGAGAAAGTCGACATCAATCTGAACACACATACCCCTGACCTGCATGAGGAAGCTGATGCTGAGGTGGGCTCTGGTTGGGGTATGGAAGCCGACTACAAGAAGTATCACCCCTGGGGTGAGAAGGTCGACCCTGAGCCGAATAACCATACCTCAGACTCACATGAGGAAGCTGATGCTGAAGTGGGCTCTGGGTGGGGCATGGAAGCCGATGCCACGACGAAATATCACCCCTGGGGCGAGAAGGTCGAGCTTGAGCCGAAGAACGATGTATCCGACTTTCATGAGGAAGCCGATACCGAAGTAGGCTACGACTGGGGCAAGGAGGTCCGTCTCCATGCGGACCCAGATGACTACGACTGGGCCGAGTTTGCTGCCGAGTTTGCTGCCGAGTTTGCTGCCGAGGCCCAGGACCTCGAAGCCGAGCTCCTCAAGATGGCCGACGCGAAGCCTGGATCTCCTGCTCGAAGCGTATCTCCGTCAGGTTCGGTCGACCTTGGTCTGAGCAGCCCGCTTGCCGGTATTCAGAACGAGCCGGACAGCCCTTCAAATCCGCGGTCCGTCGCAGAGGAGCCGAGCAGCGTCACTCCCTCATTGTCCGACCCTTTCCCGCCCGACTTGTCCAAGTCGTCTGAGACAGCCGAGCTGGTGGACAAGGGCGATGATGGCTACGCTTTGTGGCGCAAGGAGATCCCGACGCCTGCAATGTTCGAAGAAGCCCTGGAAAGGCTCAGACGCCATAAGAAAGAGCTACTCCAAATCCGAGCCAGCAAGTCCCCGAAAGCAGAAGCATCTGAGGAGGAATTACTCCAGATTCTCCGAGGCACCAGATCCCAGAAAGAGTCGTTGTTTGCGGAAACGTCCACAGCGGACGCCGACGACAGCGAGGAGCACGCCATCTCGGCGGACGATAAGGAGGCCGTGGACGACTTCATCGAGCAGATGCAGAGCCAGTCACCGGTCAAGGCCCTGACCCAGATCAGTGACCATGAAGGACAGCCAGCGAATGCCGACAAAAAGAAAGAGAACGAGCAGCCCTTCGACGGCGGATGGGACTGCACCTGGCAGGCCCTCAACTCCTTCCTGACCGTACGTATAACAATATCCCCTTCAAAGACCCTCCTGTTTCTCAAGAAGGAGCTCTGTTTCTCCTCTTCAGTTTTCTTCTGGAACGATTATCCCCAGGTCCAAAGACGAGACACTAACAAACCCGTAGATCAACCGCGCCGACTTCTCCTCCGGCAAAGCCTTCCTCAAACAATGCGAGGTGCTCCGCCAGAAGTGTCTGAAGGGCTGGAACCTGCGCATGACCAAGAACTTCAGCATCTGCCATCTGATCCGCGCGCTGGGCTCGCACGACCCGCTCGTCGCGGCCGTGCTCCGCGACGTGCACCTCGAGGGCAAGCTCGAGTTCAAGCCGCTGCTGTAGCTCATCGCGCAGGACGGGCACTGGTCGAACGACATCTTCGGAGCCGACGAGTGGGAGGAGCGGTACCGCGCCGAGCTGGACGCCGCGGACGAGTACTCGGTTCAGCAGCTGCGGGGGGCCTGCGGGCTGTCTGATGGGGATATCAAGGCGATTGGGTTCTCGGATGCTGACGGACTCGAAGGTGCTGGGGAGTGTTTCGTGTACATCCCTTGATTTGATGGAGTTGTGGTTTTGATTGTTCGGTTAGATGGGTCGCTGACTATCAGACGACTCGGCATGAGAAGCCATATCTCTCCATATTGAGCATAACATGTGTTGCACTCCTTGAGAGAACATCTTGTCACTACGAGCTAGGATACGTTATCCCACATTAGCATAGGTAGAGGGAGTCGTGACAGCAGAAGAACAGACAGAAAAGAACATGCTGAATACATCCGTCGCCTCACAACCTCTCTGCGAACGCGCCAAACCCAGTCTGATATACCCATATTCATCAACATCACCTCTACTTCGTCGACACGCCCTCCCCAAACGGCGGTGGGCTAAGGGTGCAGAAGGCGCGTGCGAGGTAACTGTGCATCATCTGTTAGACACAGTAATCATATAACGGCTTCACTGAGCAAGGCCATTAGGTATCAGACGGCTGGCTGGATGAGTCAAATATACTGGGGAAGACCCTCACCTAGCCCTGACTGCAACCCGTTGCCCACAGCGCCGGAACACCGGGTACGAGCGGCACGGCGTATACACTAAGCGGCACTCAGCCTCTCCATCTCCAATAGGGTCGTAATACGTCGCCGTGGACCTGCTGGGCGAGCTTGAGGATGCCACCGCCGAGCTTGAAGCCCTCTTGCCGAAGGATATGACTATGTACGGAGGTGGACTCACCCATCGTGTACGAGCTGGATGTGCCGATGACAGTGTAGCTCAGGTAGCCCGGCGTGTTGACTAGTCGCAATGCTTTCGTGGCCGGGTAGCAGAGACCAAGCCGTCTGGCAGCATTCGTCCTGTGAGGGCGACTGGCGCTGCTGGAAGAACTTGCCTAGTGTCTGTTGAGCCCACACGCCTCCGCCAGTGCTAGATTATGTGAAATCAGTTGGAAGTAAACGATAAAGTTTCGCGTAGTGTCAGTGAGTTTTGACTCATGTCAGAGTATTTGAGAAAAACCTCATTTAAATCACTGTTGGCCTTTCGTAGTCTTTCAGTGCATACTCGAAATGCAAATCCAAGAACACAGCCAAGAGGACCGACATCCGCGATCGATTGGCAACACGCACAAAACTTCAAAAACTGGCTGCGGGATTATACTCGAGATATTTTGATTCAATCGTAGATTATTGTACGGCACAACACCCTGACGGTGGCACCTACATCGGCGCCTGCCAGCGCAAGTTAATCTGCTTTTTCCTGACCTGTTGAAGCAGTTAGCATACCACCTGAAGTCAGAAACAGTGAAAGGACTTACCATTGGTCCCAAAGCCACCACGCCAGCCATCAGTGCTAAAACCGTGCCAATCAACGCCAACTTATTGAACCCCTTGCCCAAAACATCGAAGGCTTGACTCGGGGCAACCCGCGTACCGAAAACATCAACGCCATACGCAAAGACGAGACTGGTACTCTCGAGGATCGCTGGGGCCGTGATAATTTCCCGCACTCCAACCACGTCCCGTAGATGAGTGATGACCATGCGCGGGTCGAGTTCGATTGCGGGAAAGTATCTGCTCAAGCCCTCCTCGAGTTCGACAGGTGTCGGATCTCGTCCAACTGGCCGGCGGGGCTCGAGCAACATGCGAGGAAGACCGATAATAGAGTGAGACTCGGGCATGTAGGCCAACACTTGTCTAGTGGCGATGCCCTGTCGGGTCTGACTAACCGCCAAAGACGTGATGGGCCCGGATAGAATGAAAGTTTTGGATACGACAGATGGGAGGACAGGTCCAGTGGGTAAATCGTTTGGCTCGAGAGAAGAGAAGTTGACCGAATCGCCCAGAGCTCCACGGTCATCAGACAGCTCTGAATCATAGAGGTCGGATATAACCAGCTGGTATCCCTTGAGATTTTGTTCTTGGCCTTCTCGTAGCTGGTACTGGCCGTAGAAGGAGCACAAGAACCAATTCTCGGAAATAGCGCACGTAACGTCCTTGTTGGGGTCGACCCCTTCGTAGGTAGACGAAGTCAGGACTTGCCCGGAGACGGTGTCCAAAAGATAGACAGAGAGCGAAGCCGCCTGCTCATCAATGGCTGCCACCACGAGGGTGTTGGGATTTAAGTACTTGTACTTAACACTGCGGTCTCCCAGCACTCGGCCGATAGAAGCTATGGGATCATGATTTGGCCGACCTGCAAGGCTGACGATTTTCTGTCCAGCAGGGGGTGAAAACATCCAAGCTAGCACCTCGGCAGCCTGCTCACCCTTAGACTCAAAAGTCACACCCTTGACCTCATTGCCGGTACGCGAGACGACAGTTTGCTTGGGTGCATACGAGCTTTGCATTTCGGGGAACTTGCCATCACGCCCAATGGGAAGTAGCCATGGGCCAGCATCACTGTCAACGACGACAGCACCGTCCACAGGTGGGAATAGGCCAGATGGCATCGCCTCGACGGTCTTGCCAGTGTCTGACTTGACGATGATGAATTCGCCATCGGCCCCACGGACCGTTACGAAACCCTTGACGTCGTCGGCATGGATCGCTTTCACATCCCAACGCTTGCCAGACGGCGTCTCGTTGGCGTTCTTGGACCAGACAACTCTTCCATGGCTGCCGGCATCGAGACCGTACAGCTTGCCACGCTTGGTAGCCAACACGATGAGCTTGTTGAACCCAAAGCTATCTCGTGATAGGGCGTGACTGGAGGCGGTGGTGTCTGAACCGACTATGCTACTAAGTAGACGTTTGGGAACAGACTGAAGATAGTCTGGTAGGTACTGAAGGTCATCAATATGGCGCTTGACGCGGTGAATGTAGGCTGCCAGCGGGTTGCTATGAGCTTCTGCGTCCAGAGTCTTTGCAAGATCTTCAGATTCGGGAATCTCAGCCCACGTAGCAGCAACGGCGCCACTCATGCCCTCCGGCCGGGTCCATGTGAGGTCGCCGTTCACGATCTGGGACCAGTCATCCGCGTCAGTTACGACTGCCGATCGTACGGCATAGGTAGCCTCATCCTTCTTGAGGACTTCCGAGACGGCATGTACAGCACCAACCTCCTCCGTGCCTGTCTTCAGAAGAGGCCAGCGACCGAGAATCTCGTGGGAACTCGACGATGTGATGATGACCTCGTCGGCCGTGACTCGGGTGAAGTAGACATTCGCAGCAGATGAGCTTGTGGAGAACGCGCTGCCATTTTCTAGCAATGGGAGGTCGTAAGCCTTGCTGATGGCACTGCTCTTGAGATCGACGTGGAAGACATCTGCTTTACTGCCCGACTTTGTGCGAGAATGGACCAGGAAGTGCGGTGCCGACTGAACAGTATGCGGCGCATGAACCTCGACGCCAACTGTATCAGCATCGAGAGGGAACTCCTGCCTATTCTTGGTGCCCAGAACGTTGACCTTCAGTTTCGTCAAGGTGTTGTCCGTCCAAGCCACAATGGGAGAGGCCGAGTTGGCGCCGACAAACATGACATCCTCCGCCTTCTGGACCTCGCCCTTGGTGCCGATTGAGATCTCGTCCAGCTTCTGACCGGTCGCAGGATCCAACACAATGACCTTGAGGCTGTAGGAAAGCAGCGATCCGTGTAGAGTCACAACGAAGATCTTCTCAACGTCGGTGCTCACCTGCAGAGGAAGGTCCTTGTTCACTTCTCTGTGCTCCCACAGAACGCGCCCATCGGTTCCGTGTATTCTTCGGGCGACGGTCACGCCTTCTTCCTCATAGAGAGCCAGAACATCCTTGCGATCCTCCGCAGCCATCTCCATGATCTCGAGGTCTTTGACGACGCCGTCGAAGTCGAGAGACCAGATGCTGCGTCCGCTGATGGCGTCCCATGTATGCACCGAGCTACCGTACGCGCTCGCAAGCCATGTGTCGTCGGCAGCGGCTCGCAGATGTCCACCGCCGTCGGTAACATTGCCGCTCAGCAGCTGTCGCCATACGATAGCGCCATTGCCGGGGTTGACGGCGCCCAGTACGCCTAGGTCGCTCAGGGTATAGAGGAGGCTCGCTTTCTCTTGGGGTCTCGGGTGATGGAAGAAGGTGGTCTCGCGTTGTGGGACACCGAGGAGCTCGTGGTGGTAGTCGATGTGGCCGGCTTCGTCCTTGAAGACAGCGCGAACGGTAGCAGGCAGAGCCAGCAGCAGCGAAAGGGACAGCGCTTGTAATGGCAAATGCATCTTGAAAAAGATGCGCTCACGCCGTGTGCGTACTGGTAGAGGGAAGTCGGATCAGGTCGTCGTACATAAGCAATGGCATCGATGACCTGGTACGCACGGTGACGTTGAAGGAGAGCTTGCCTTGGTTCCATTGCGACCTTCTTAATTGGAGCTTCGGGGTCGCAGACGAGATACCGGACCGCCACACCTGCATGGGCAAGCTGCCAGCTGCCAGCTACCCTCCGCCTCAGCTCCCAACTACCCGCCCTAGTAGGTATCTTGAAATCCCCCCTGGATCTCGATATACTTCTTTCACTCGTCCATATTACACAATCAAAATCTACGATGTATCACAGGTGATAATATGGTATAAAGCTACGACACTGCTAGGTGATATGGACAGGAACTAAGCTCGCTCTGGGCGAGGCTATTACTTGGTATCCGCAAGTCCTAACTACAGATTCTGGTGATAAACAGGAACAATGAAACATCAGATGATGTACACCAGGCGGTGTCGTCTCGAAACCCCTTGACGAGAAATGCTCGCAAATTACACCAAAGCTTTTGTGACTACCAGACCCAAGTGGGCCGGTTCTGCAACGTGTAACGACGCATCGCGTCCGGGTATGAGAACAAGAGAACAATGCCGTCACAGACCTTCAAGACGAAGCCGGAGGTCAAAGACCGAAACACTGATGACGGTGGTGGTAAAGCAGATGGGGAGAGGCACTCAGTCCTCATCTTCAGCCGTGCTGTCGTCGGTATTAGCCACTGTAATATCATCTTCGAAGCAGAGCACTTACACCTTGGAACGACCTCGTCGAACACCCTCAGGAGCGGCGGGCTTGTCGTCGGCAGTCTTGGCCTTGCGGCCGCCCTTGGCTTTGGCCGTCTTGGGAGCCTCGTCTTCGTTGTCGTCGTCGTCCTCGTTAATGGAAGATGGCTCCTTCTTTGCCTGCTTCTTGCCTCGAGGCTTCTTGACAGGAGCGGGTTCCTCTTGCTCGGCCTCGTCGTCCTCCTCCTCCTTGATAGGAGATGGCTCCTTCTTTGCCTGCTTCTTGCCTCGAGGCTTCTTGACAGGAGCAGGTTTCTCCTCCTCGTCCTCATCCACTTCGGCGGCCTTCGTTGCCTGCTTCTTGGCTCGAGGCTTCTTGACAGGAGCGGGTTTCTCTTCCTCGTCCTCATCCTCTTCGACGGCCTTCGTTGCCTGCTTCTTGGCTCGAGGCTTCTTGACAGGAGCGGGTTTCTCTTCCTCGTCCTCATCCTCTTCGACGGCCGTCTTGGCCTTGCGACCGCCCTTGGCCTTCTTCTTGGCCGGCTGTGCTTCCTCTTCCTCGTCCTCATCCTCTTCAGCCTTCTTGCGGCCACGCTTAGCCTTCTTAGGAGCAGGCTTTTCGGGGGAGTCATCGCCAGCACCGCCCTGCATTCGTGTATAAGTTATAGTCAACAGTAGAGGAAGATGTATGTCTCGACTTACCTCGCCTTCGTCTTCGGGCTTTACCTTCTTGGCACGTCCGCGGATGGCGGCCTTGCCGGGGACATTGTACTCAGGGTCCTGTAGTGAATTAGTAAGAGCGTGAAGCATCATCAAGTATAGCAGTGACTTACGCCGTTGAAGTCTTCCGGGTCGATGTGGCCTTGAGTCACGACACGCCGGATCTTCTTCTTGGTGGCATCGTCACTGTGACTGAAGTTAGTATCTTGCTTGGAGGATACCTAGTCATTTGCAGTAGGAAGGGGGCACTGAAAGCGGGTGATGAATGCAAATTATTGGGTCAACTGCTGGGTACTCACGGCATCTCATCGTAGCCATCGAGCAGATCCCAATCATAGCCATCACCGCTGCTCAGGGCTTCTTGCACGTTGGCGAGGGTCTTGCCCGAGATGCAACCCCTGGTCGTGGTCAGTCAGTCGGTCAAGGAGCAGCACAGAGGGGATGCCATACCAGTGTCGCCATTTCCATCCACCATGATCACCAGTGTTAGGGAGAGTGACATAGACGCCGAAACGCAGCTCGCCCTTCATGAGCTTACGGCCAGAGTCCTTGCAGACCTTATCCTGGCAACCAGCTCTGTTGTTGGGTGACGCCTCTGATGAACAAGTCAGTTGGTGATGTGTGCAGATATGCAAGAGCGTGACGCGGCAGTGCGATGATGTCAAAGCTGGCAGGCAGGACTTGGAACCAGAGAAGACCGATGCACGGCAGATTGAGGGATAACAACATACCGATGCGATATTGGCTAGACATCGTGTTCGGGGGTCTCGCAGAAATCAAGTAGAAAGGACTGTGGAGGTGTTGAAAAGGAGACCATATGCAGAGATGCCGGTCGGCGTGTCGAGATGATGAAGGGGAGGGAAAGCTTTGGTCCAACCTGGGGGGAGGAAGGGACCAGATAAAAGACGACGCAAACACAGATGCCTCGGTGTCAGTGCAAATCCAAAGACGAGGCAGACGCAGCAGAGCTTTAGGTCTTAGAGGAAAAGACGATGCCTGGGGTTGGGCGGATGCGTGTCTGGAAGTCTCTGGTCGCGTGTGAGAGATTCAAGTTGAAACGCGACGAGGACGAGGTGGCACGCGTGTCGAACGTCTACTCGCAGAAAACCTTTCATTCAATTCAAATCTGATTGCAGGTGAGCTTCAAGGCAGGGCCGGCAGGTGCCCCAGTGGATGTGCGCCTGTATACAGCTACCTTCACGGGGGGCTATAGGGGGCAGCAGAACCTGCAAGACCGCCTGCTGTGGGCTTGCACGGCGCCCAAGCGCCCTGGAATTTAAGCGACGTTTGCGCGCCGAAGTCATCCATGCCAAATGTCGCCTGCCTCTTTGCAGTCAATTGTGCACACCTCTCAGATTGAGGTATTCTCAACAAGTTATGTTGCTGTTATCATGATCGATTTTCTTTCCAGATAAGGTAAATAAGGAATCCTTGTTGTCTTCTTTATTGATACCGACTGCTGCTTTTCTGTCTATCTGGGAGGCAGCTGGGTCGATCTCACCATTACCACTGGGCCGAGCCAGTATTTATCTCCATATCTCAGCCAGAGGATTACTGTACCCCTTCGAGCATATCAACGTCTGTCTGGGATCTTCCATCAATACCTAAGTAGGTAGAGGGATGTTCACCAGCAAGCCCTACTCATCATCACAGGAATGTCCGTCTTTGGTTGCTGCTTGGGGCTTCAAGAGAATACGAGTAGGTACAACGGGAACGTTCTTCAATCATACTGTGAAATCAAGGCTAGAAGGTGTTCGTCGCAACATAGGTAGGTATAGCAGTTCCATTCACATTCACATTCAAAAGCCCCAGCTCCGTACCCATCGAGCCATATGCTCTTGACTGATCGCAGGCAGCTTAGCAGCCGTCTCGCTCGCCCGCAACAGGTTGCCACATTCCACTCTGGCTGCCATCTCCCCGCTCACCAACGTCTGCTCGTAGAAGTCGACAAGCTTGGCGGCGGGATTCTCGTGAATGACATGAGACTCCCTTTCACTCTTCTGAAGCCGAGCGACCCAGTCACTTGCAGGAACAACAGCCATAGGCGCAATGGTTTCAAGCGCGGGTAGCAGCGCGCTCCAAGGGGTCGTGGTCGGATTCACCACGTTGTACACCGGGAACCTCCCCGCGTCCGATTGCTCCTGAGCACCGCACACGATCTCAGTAACTATGTCACCGAGCTTGTCGACGGGAACCCAGTTGACCTCGAGGCTTCCTAGGGAATCCGGGATAGCGCCGAGGAACTTGGAACTCCGGACGAGAGAGGGGACCCATTCGGATGCATTCCACACGCCCGTTCCTGAAAGGGGACCGCAGACCTGGCCGACTCGGAGCACCGCGGCTTTTGCCCCTGTAGCTGAGGCATACTTAGCCAGTAACTGCTCACATACGTACTTCGCTCGAGCATAACCTTGTGGAAGTAGACTCGTCGCCTGGTCCAGATCAAGGACTTCCTCTTGGACCGTTCCCTCGTGTGCATTGCTTGTGACTGGTGTCGCAGCGGTGATGCTCGACACGAAGAACACGGGTGGGCTGTATTGGCCTTCGGCTCCTACCCTAAGCAAGTTGAGCAGAGATTGGAACTGTGGTTCAAAGGACTGGAGGCTGAGAAGGAAGTTGACAGGGAAGGCGTTGTGGATGACGGATGTTGCCTCTCGTGTAAGTGAGGCGTAGTCCTCGTCAGACAGCCCGAGCTTCGGCTCCGCGAGGTTGGTCTGGAAGAATACAACCCGACCGTCGTCAATGGGCAAGTCTGGCAGACCCCGGGCCTTGAACGACGCGGACTGTTTCTTGGTACCCCCTTCGCGGTTCAGACAGAACACTTTCTTCACGTCGCTTCTGGCGAGAAGGGAGGACAGGATATAAGATCCGAGGGACCCGGTCGATCCGGTCAGTACGACAACCTCGGCATCAGGTTTCTGGCCCGTTTGCGATTCGGGGTTTCTGATAAGCTTTTGGAGCTCGACATTGTACCTCTCCAACATCTGTGTCGTTGCAGAGTCGTCTCTGTGCTCAATGGGCTCTTCGGACGAGTTCGCATCGGAAAGCACTTGCGATATATGACTGGCGAGCTGTCGGCATGTCGCCGCAGAGTATAGTAGCTTGTTGTCTATTCGATGGAGTCTCTGTGACTCGACACCGTATTTTCGCAGGGAGGCCTTTAGACGTGCTAGCAGTATGAAAGTGGAGAGGGAGTCGAGACCGGAAGCCCGAAGGTCGTCATCGCCGTCGATGGTACGGCCATCGTCGTCATCAAGAAGGGTCTGTGAGCATAAATCCCTTAAGAAGGGTACCAAATCTTCAGGCTCGGTCGACAATGGGAGGGCTACTCCGCTCGTTAGCAGCCCTTCTTCAACTTGTTCATAGAGCCTTTCGATGTCATTCTCATAGGCCTGGACGGTAAGTCTTCGTTGAATGGTACCCTTCCCGGCTCGCAGGAACGGCTTGTCCGGTCTAGCCAATATGACCAGCTCCTTTGGCACCCGTCCTGACTTGGACACCTTCTTATTCGCTGCCTCAATAGTTGGCCATAATTGCTCCAGTGATGGATCGGTTATATCGCTCTTTAGTTCGATCAGCAAGCACAATCGAAATCGGTGCGAGCCCGCCACGAGTACTCCTGTGACATCAGGATGCGCAGCAATCGTGACCTCCATCTCGGTTGGATCCATCTTGACCCCATTGGACATGGCAATCCAGTTGTCAGCCCTGCCCCTGTATTTCCACCACCCACTCTGACCGTCAACAGGAGAGAACAGATCCGAAGTACGGAATTCCCGCGACACATGGGGCTGGGTGTGGAAGAAGGCGTACGTGCGGTCGACGAGCTCTGTCCGGGGGTACACCAGCTCGTAGATACCAGGTGACACCTCCTCCATCCGCTGGCCAACGTCGACAAACTTGAACGAGTCCCAACGTGAACTATCGCCCGAAGAGAGAAAATGACCTGCCCCCCCTTCGGTACTGGCAAGGATGGTAAAGAGGTGGGGGAGTCTCTTTGCCAACGCCGCGCCCCTGCCGGGGTTAAGGGGGCCACCGGTGTAAGCGACGCATTGGAGCGCAGCAAGAGCGTCCACTCCTGGTGGGTAGCTGAGCATAGATTCCAGAACCGATGGTGGTGCAAGAGTAGCCGTACACTCGCCCTTTTGAAGAAGGATAGTGTAGTTCTCAGGGCTTAGCCGAACGCCAGGACCTGGCAGCACCAGTGTATTGTCGCTGTAGATGCTGCCGAGAGCAGGCCCAATGCCGCCAAACTAGACGATGCCCACATTAGCTACCGGAAGCGATGCGGCGGGAAGTCTCATCTTACGTGGAACAGAGGAAAGGGGGAGAGCATGTTGTGGCCTTGGAAAAGCTCCATCATCAAGCTCGAACCATCTCCACAGAGGGCTTTGAGACCTGGGTCGAGGAATGAAGGGATGGTGCGGAGTGCCGCATTGTTCCAATAGATGGGTTTTGGGTGTCCCGATGTTCCCGATGTATGCAGGCCCAAGAAAATGGTATCTTGGAGGTCATCGGCAGACTTATCGAAAGGGTAGACTGGTGCGGTCTCGGCGCTCATCAGTTCGTCGTACGTCGGAGACGCAATGTGTGTTATGGTCCCTTGCGTCGCATCTCGAAGAGGTGCCAGTAGACCGGCCGCCTCGGGTGCATAGAGCAGAGTCTTGGTGCCAACAGTCTCAAAGAAACGTTGGTTTGCCGGGATCTGGTTGGCAAGCGAGGGAAAGAGGACCTGACAAACAGTTCAGCTCACATTGAGATTAAGATTGGGATTGAGATCGAGAGTGAGATCGAGATTGAGACTGAGATTGAGATTTCGGGGAGGGAGCAAGCAAACATTGAAGGCGCGCCGTGGGCTTGCGACCTACGCATTTGCCTGTCTTCATAGCGGCAATGACCCATATGAGGTATCGGATATCGCTAGGCCCCATGTAAAGGACCTCCTCATCCGCTGTTCGCTCGGTAAGGAACCATGAGGCTCTGTTGGATGCATTTTCCAAGTCGGAATAGCTCAACTCATGGAGTATGCCGTCAACGCCGACAACAGTAGCATAAGGCCTTTTCCTGTGCTGCTGTCGTCTAATGATGTTGGGCAAGAGATCGTCCGTTATTGTAGACATCGCTGCCAGCTATCATTCATGTGGGTGATAGAAGTCACTGTCGAAAGGGGGTGAAAGAATTGCTACCTTCTTATGTCAGGGTAGTTCGAAGTGGGCACTTCAGATTTCACCACTTGAGTCTCCTGCACTCAGCCGTAAGGAATCTGGAGAAACGCCATGGCGGGGTTGGAAACGCGGGCGTTGGGGGTCTCTTTCGATGCATCATTTGATCCCGTGACCTGGTCAGCCCGGTCATGCTCCGCCACCACCCAATGGAACACGTGCAGGAACAATGCTGAATAATGTAGGGAAAGTACAGGTACATGTGTGGACTTGCCGTGTGCACAGAAGTTCCAGAACCATGCATCGGCTCCTTCTCCGGGCAGTATCACCCGAACTCATACAGGTGGGTGAGGTTGTAGGCTACTACACAACTCATGCAGCTCTGGAACCCGACGTCGTACTCGTGCAACAATTATCATGTTATCATGTTATCATGTGATCAGTGGATGATGGTTGACTGCACCTCGACTGCACCTCGCGGTCAGGATTCCCCGGTGCAGAAAGTCAGAGACACGGAGATGATAGGTTGCCACGATAGGGGGACTGGCTTACTGGTGCGGGGAAACGATGATTGTTCTGTAGCAAACATCATGATTGTCTGTAAAACACCAAGTACTTGAGTACCTTATCATTGGCAGCTCGCGGATGAAACTTCGAAATCATTATCAGCGGTCGAGTGATTCGAAGTCTGGCCATTCAGGAATCTAGCCTCGCCAGTGATATGCAGTCCGTAGTCACCGTCCAAACATGAAAGACGGGCAGATTACCGCGCTGAGTTGTTGACCGTGATTGTGACATGCGCCTCGACGATGACTGTCTGTCGAACAACGTTGGCGGGAGTCTATATAGGATGTGACGCCCTCCGCATTGATACCCACGACTTATCTGTGCATAGCTCAACCCAACCTGAGCCACCTCGAAACTTTGCCTGCTCCTTGACTTCGCGGTCATTATTCCATTCCCACTTCAGTACATCGAAGTCCCTCCTCCGTCGACCCAACATGAGCGAGACATGGGTCACTGAGACCGTCCACGGGGAGGTGGTGAAGGGTGGGGTACGTGAGCTGCAGAAAAGGGGCCATCGCGAGAGCTTCAACTAACACGCAGCAGGAGATACAAAGCCTGATCAACGGCAAGGAAGTCACCTTCGACATCAAACAGCTTCGCGACAAGATACCCCCTCACTGTCTCCATGGCTCCCTTCCTCGTTCTCTCGCCTACGTCTTCCGAGATCTGGCCATGTTTGCGGCTCTGCTCATGGCTGTCATCTGGCTGGAGCCAAAGCTTGACACTTTGACAAGCCGCTGCCTCCGATACTTGGTATATCCCTTTCTTGCTGGCCTGCCCTTGACCGGCTTATGGGTTATTGGGCACGAATGCGGTCACGGTGGTTTCTCGACCTACAGCGCTGCAAACAATACCGTCGGCTTCCTTCTCCACTCGGCCCTGCTAACGCCTTACTTTGCCTGGCGCTCGAGTCACGGACGTCACCACCAATACGCTAACAACATGTCGACCGACTTGAACTACGTCCCTTTCACTCGTGATGAGTATGAAGACAGCGCCCACGGCACTGCCAGCCGAGACCATATGACAGAAGACGCACCCGCCATGGTAGTCGTTCGAATTATCATCCAGCAGGTAATTGGATGGCCTTGGTACCTTTTGACACATATCACGGCAGGACCTGAGAGTTCCCCTCGAAAGTCTAAGGGATGGTGGGACAACAGTCACTTTCTACCATCCAGCTCCTTGTTTCGCGAATCCGAGGGCGTGAACATACTAGCTTCCGACTTGGGTATTGCGTGCATGTGCGGGCTCCTCTATGTGGCCGGAACCTCCTTCGGATTCCAGTCTCTTCTCTGGGGGTATGTCCTCCCTTGGATGTGGGTGAATCACTGGATCGGTATGTTCTCCTGAAATATAAGTGAGCGACACGAAACCGTTTGCTAACCTTCTATCTACCTAGTAATGGTCACCTATCTTCATCATACATCACCAGATCTACCCAAGTTCAAGGCCGAGAGCTGGACTTACCTCCGAGGAGCTCTTGCAACTGTCGACAGAGACCCTGGATTTGTCTTGAGGCACATGCTGCATCATATCATTGATCTTCATGTGGTTCACCATCTATTCCCGTGAGCTTCTTTGCTGTTCCCCTTGCGTGAGAGCTAGTTGTCACTGACGAAGAAGCGCAGTCGAATTCCCCACTACCATTATCATGAGGCCACCGAAGCAATCAAGCCATTGCTAGGAAACCTATATCACTCGGACAAGCAAAACTACTGGCGCGCTTTATGGGAAGCGTTCACCCAATGCCAGTGGGTCGAACCTATTCCTGCCAAAACACGACAGGCGGTGAGTTACAACCTACCTAGAGCGAGCATTCCAGGAAATGGTACTGATGCGCCTTCCAGAGGCCCGACCACAGCACCAAAGACGCGGAAGGCGTTTATCGTACTGAGAAAGACATGTCCGACGAGGATGGGGTTCTGTGGTATCGCGGTGGACGCATGCCACAGCCTGTAACTGTAATGCGCGGCAGCTAGTACATTCACAGGACTCAATGGCTGTCATGGTATTAGATAGCCCCACAAGATTGACCCCGATATACTTGTCACGGCACTAGAAGACAGCCCAACAGGGTCAGGGGGGTTCAACCCCCTATAACTATATCCCGATCATGTTTCCTAGCTATCTTCATAGTTTCCTTCCCTTCTTTACGTACAACAACAATGTCATTCTCGAGTCACCAGCTGTCGAACTTTGACAATACTGGACCATGTTTTCTGGCTAGCCTCATAGTTCCTTTTCTTGTTCACGTACAACAACAAAAGTCATCTTGGAGTCACCAGCAGTCGGACGGTGACAACAGCTAAGTCATCCGGTGGCTCCGCGCTTCGATAGTTACTTGCCTTGAGCATTCTGTATAAACCATATATACCATATACATCATTTGCTCCAATGGTGTTCCTGAAGTATTCGTGGTGTCCTGAAGTTCGTAACAAGCTCAATCTCACTTTGGAGGACTGCAATACTCGAGGTGATGACCAAGGTATCTCAGATCTTCCGTCAAACCTTGATCTGACATACCCTGCATGAGGTCACGTCGTGGCCCCCTGTCAAAAGTTTACGGTAGAGACCTTCCATTTCTGATCAACGGGTGGCGCATCTTCCCGTTTTTCAATAATATGCATGTAAGACTGCGGCCCACGCATTATCATATGATCCTCTCACCTCCACACAATACACGCCTGACACGGTCGCTGGTATGGCCGCGCAGTCAGCAGTCAGGCGCTGCGATACCACCCATAGAGCTCCTGATAAATCCTACTGCTACCTCAGTGAGGCACACGACGAGGCAGCTGCATTTCGCTACCGGACGCATTCTTGAATCCTGCGGCGTCGAGTGCCCGTACATTATCCAATGCGGTTGTGGCTGCTGGCATGGCTGATCATTGTCCAATCGCATACGACTGCGAGAATCCTCCAACAGCTATCAATGGTTCGAAGGATTCTACGCACAGCATGGATGCTCATGCGCATAGGCATGATGCAGGACTTTATGTTTGAGTTGATGGCTGTCGCCCACGGATGTCCTGACGGTGATTTCCGGTACCCTCACGCTCATCTGTGCTTCTATCTTCAGCAGCCTTCATCCTTGACTCCTAGTCTAGCCGCATCTCTGAGCCTACGCCTGGCACCCTCACTACTTTGTTGTACGGAAGATTATTCGAAACGTTATGTCGCACGATTGTCGGCGTACATATACATGTCTAGCCAGTGGCAAGGCATGCAGCTGTTTTGCCACACGTTATGATTAGGATGGTTTTTGTTGACCTCGCTATCGTCTGGCTAACTGGAGGGACACAGGCTATCCGTGTCATACATCCCAAACCCCTAAGTTTCCTATCAAATGCCCCGATGTGTCGGACAGTCGGGGCGCAAACATGCGACGGGAGAATATGGTCGCACCCCTATCCGCAAATTCTGTCATGACAGCCAGTCCTACCTTAGATTAGAAGGTCGCAAACACCCCTCGTCTCAAAATTCGCCGCGGGCGGCCACACCTACTTTGTTGTACGAGCTGCACGTCTCGCTGAATAAAGCTCTCTTCCCTTGCATGTCCTGAAGAATGCACCGTAGACTACACATCACCCTACCGAGTAGTCGTGGCAAGCTGTTGAACAGTTGCCGCTGATCGAGGTCCAAACTCCTGGTGCGATGTCCGCCGACACTACGCCGGCGCTGCCACCGCCATTGGGCGAGATCTCCAACTTCTCCAATCCACCGAATAGCAACGCCGAAGCGCAAGCTGGCATTATTATATGCCTCATCGTCACATTTTCTGCGGTGCTGATCCGCGCGTACTCGAGGATATTCCGCATGAAGGCAGTGAGGATACAGGATTGTTAGAAGCCCCTCCCACTACTTGCGGTAACCACGGCTAATAGTTGGATATAGGCATTGCGCTCCTGGCCTTCGTACGCGAGATGACTTGGCTTGTGGTGGCGAGACATTTGTGCTGATCGTGACCTGACAACAGGGACTATACATCGGCTTTGTCTACCTGCTCTTTTGGTTCATGAGTTTCTGCGGCTATTACGTCCACCAGTGGAACATTTCTGCCAGTGATATCCCAACGGTTCTTCACGTGCGTTCCAGTCCAACCCCGCTCGTTGATCGACAAGAGTAGCGAAGCTGACATGCTTCGCCAGATCGTCTACCTCGGCATGGTCATGTACGAGCTCACAATCATGGGACTCAAGATCTCCATCTTGACCGAATGGATCCACCTGTTCGTTCCTCGTGGGACGCGGAGCACCTTCTACTGGACCTGCGTGGCCGTGCTGAGTGTCAACGTGATGTACTACTCGTCTTCGATTCTAGCTACGACCTTCGTCTGCAACCCCCGTGGAATGCTTTGCTCAAAGTCGTCGGTCATCTTCATCTGCAGTGCGGCGGTCAATCTGGCCTCGGATATTGTCATTCTAGTCCTCCCAATCAACACTGTCTGGCACTTGCAGCTACCCAGGCGGAAGAAGATAAACATCTCATTGGTGTTTGCTCTAGGCATCTTGTACGGAACACCACTCCCCCGTCCAAAATTCCCCTTATATGCTGTCGATCTGCTACTACAGACACATTGACTGATTTCGATAAAGGTGTTGCGCGTCCGCCGCGGTTCGACTTGCCAAAGCTATCGAATCCTTCGTTTCCCCCGACAAGACATACACCCTATCGGCCGTGACCCTCTGGGTCCTCACTGAAGCAACCTGTGCGTTTCTTGTCTTCTGTGTACCCGCGGCTCCGAAGGCTTTCAAAGGCAGTCGATTGGCAAGCGTGTTATTCGGTAGTGCATCAACCCAGGGTCAGTCTAGAGGCGAGATTGGCCCATCCACTCGCTCCTGGCCGAGGAGCGTATACGCGCAGCTTCCTCCAGCAAGTAGAGCGCACCAGAGGAATGGGGTGCCATTGCAGAAGCTGCATCCGGTTGTGAGGAGCGTGCCCGGACCCTCCGAGTCGAGTGAGCAGTTACGCGAGACAGGATGAAAGGGTGTTGCATGATAAGGGGCTGGCTGATGTGCGCTGGAAGTACCTAGACTACCTGTCAATGCAACTAGTTCCTCGCTCTAATATGGAATGAGCCCAATGAATTCCTGGCCAAATGAAATGCGAAGATAGGGGATTTTGTACCTGCCGGTTAGGCAGTAATCCACATTGCAAGAATGTACCGGCCGCCGAGGCCGGGGATCATGATATGATGTTAGCAACGACGATCGATACCCGAAGACTGTGCCCCGCGCCGCCCCCTCCACGCATGCGGCAGCGTGAGAGAACCAAGTCGGTGAGCTTAGCATTATTTGAGGTGATCTGACATACCTAGGTAGGTGCATGAAGGATGCCGCGCGGCCCGTTGAAGGAGTGGATGTAACCATGGCAGAGTCGAGACCGTTGCGCGGGGGACATCCTGCATGTGTCGAGGCAGTCAGAAACGGTAATGTAACCATGCCAGCGCCGGCAACAGCGGCCGGCAGCAGCCCTGGACGTGCCGAGTATGTATAGACTTGTCGAAGTGACTTGGACTTCGGGGGCTACCACAGATGGGGGTGGCAATACCTACTTCTCTACCGTTCTGTCACACGACTATTCTCGGAACTGTTCAGCCAGCAAACCAACGATCTCGAAAGGGCATTCGCAGGAATCTCTCTTTCGGGACGCCGCTGATGCTCCCAAAATCCTGCCTAGTCCTACATATAAGCCCGATGTAATACGACCAGCTCCTGGTACCTGAAACCAACCACAATCTGTTCCGCTCGCCGCTCGCCATACGCTCTCTCTGAGCCGGAACCCGTGCTCTGGTGCTGTTGCGTGTACCATCTTGCTGGCAAGGGTCGGGGCGTTCTCCACGGCATTTTCATTACTCCGCGGTGCTTTAGGTCTTTGGACCACATAAGAATAACCCAATGTGAGGCCTCACTCATTCGCAAGCTGCCAGCAAGAACCGCTCACGCCCTGTCCCATTCAGTATATGTCCGCAACAGTAACAGCTCCATGCCTGGTTCAACATGGCCGTCAAGACCTCCAATGCACTGAGCGATTCTCTTCAACACTTCGCATCCATACCTGAATGTGCCGCCATGCTGCAGATGCCTGGCATCGCTCTAGGCCGATCCAACCGAGATCCACGCCAGCTTCCTGAGGGTTGCCCGCCATCGCGTGATCAGTTCTTCAAGCACCTGATGGACAACGACCAAGCAGTGCCGCATCTCCTCGTGCTCTACCAAGACCCCTTTTTTTTCGATGGTGCCGGTGCAGCGTCTGATCCCCCTGATCTACCGTTTCTGGTACGATCTGTGTCTGTTCTTTTCGATCTCCGCGCCGGGCTGAATGGCTGGAACGGCACTGTGCACGGAGGGTTCATCGCTGCGATGATGGACGAAGCGATGGGTACTCTGATCTTCCAAAACAACGTCTGTAACTTGGAAGCCAAGTCCGAGAGCTTGATCCCGTCATCTGCGAAAGACTTCGCGAACGTCGCACACGTTACAGGGCGTATGGAGGTCAGTTATCGACAGCCATTGCCCAGTCCACGGGTGGTGGTGGTAACGGCAGCATTGGACAGGATAGAAGGGCGGAAAGTGAAGATCAAAGTCGTTGTAAAAGACCTAAAGGGTTTGCAATATGCCACGGGAGACGGCACATGGATATCAGTTCCAAAGGGAAAGCTATAGGGGGCGATACTTCAAGCTACACTACATAAATTCTACCTCGACACAGGTGCTCAAGCATCCGAGGGAGTTCAAACAAATAGGGGTATCTTATGTAAAGATGAAACAGCTCGGATTGTACTTACTGCGATCGGGCTCCCTATCCCTACATCTCCTATTCTCTGATTGAAAGTGCAACTATTTCCTTGATGTCACGTTTCTATCATTTAGAATCATTGACATCAAGTATGTGTGTTTATTGATGGCATTCATCTGAGGACATAACCCCCAGGTGCACCAGATCCGACAATGATCAGCCCCTCACTACCAAGTCCTCTCGTGAAGCAGCTCCAAGATGGTCCAGCAGATGGATGTTTTAGAGGCATGACAGCGTACATATGAAGCAAAGGCAAGCAAAATCACACGTCAATCTCCACCCTCCCTCACAGGAACGGACACCACCCGATGTACATGCTCGAGAGGTTCTTGGGGTTGACAGCCTGCTTGATGAGTTCATCCACCTGCCCTTCCACACCCAGGGGTATGCTTTCGTCGGGCAGCAAACCCCTAACCTTCCTCTTGATACTGTCCACCACGCTCTGAGGATTGAGCCTAACAGCCTCGTTCTTCCTGCGCTTGTCCTTCTGCAGGTCCAGCGTGGGGTCGTATATGAACGCCTCCAGAATCGTCATCAACGTCTCCTCCTGCTGTCTCAGAATGCTCAGTGTCAGCTCGGAGCATTTCCTGAACGGCCCTTCGTATCCGTAGATACCCATTGCAGCCACCATGTTGTGGGTTAGGCGAAAGGGCACCCTTTCAGGCTGTGCGAACGTGAGGCCCTTGTCAAAAAGACAGTTGAAGTCGACGTGGAAGACCCCACCATTGCCTTCTTCGAGAAGCACATTCTCACCGTGACGATCCCCCAGTCCCAGGATGGTACCAACCATCGACATGACAGCGCATGATCTGGTGTATCTGAGCCTTGCCCCAAACCAGGCAGATGGGTTGGGGAACTGTGAAATGAACCAGTTCGGGAGTACAGGCGGGAACATGCCAAGCACATCTTCCGAGAAAATACTGGTATTCTTGTCACTCGTCACCGCATCCTTCATCATCTGCTGCAGGCTGCCATAGTTAGGGGTTATGCCGCGCGAACGGTAGAAGTTGAGCAGTATATCGCGCAGCGTTTTCAGGCCGTCTACCCACTCGATGATGCCGCACTCCTCGTTGAGCGGCGTCACTGCGTAGGTGCGGATATACAACTGTCGCCTGCTGGATTCAGCATCTCGTTTCAACGATCGATTGATCATGCTGTTGAATTCCATAAGACGCTGGTCCGTCCGTAGGTCGTCCTTTGGCTTGATCAGAAGCATGTAGTTGACCCCGTTCGTGCCGCGAGCTGTGAGTCTTCGAGGCTTCGCCAACGAGCCAAGGACCAGGACCTCATCCAAAAATGAGTGGATCTGAATGACATCGCGGGAGAAGGCCTTGTGCTTTCTCAGATTGTCGGTCAAGGTGGGTAGGGTTGCGGTAAGGCAGGCCTCGATCGGGACTACAAGTGGACAAGGCGTACACTTGTGGTTGAAGTTTAGATCTCGGGTGATGCTCGCGACTGTCGTTCGATTGCTCTGGAAATCTCCGTTGTTACAGGCCAGGAGGAGTTGGGTTGCCAGTTTCTCGCCCATCCGGAGCAACGTGTTGATATCCCAGGTGCTGCCGTCCGTCTTTTTAGCCCGTTCCCTGAGTTTCAACAAAATCTGTTGCCCTCGTGCTCTACGCTCGGACGTAGCCTGCCTGGAAGTCATGATTCCGAACAAGCTCCAGATAGATTGTCTGGGGTGCGCCTCCACGACCCTAATAATCATTTCCTCCAACAGGACTAATACCTCGGCGTTCGGATGGGCAATACGCGCGACTAGTTGGGGAAGTGTGGTATAGAATATGTATGCAGGCAGTCGCTGCACGTGTTTGTGGAGATATTTATGAAGCAACCCGAGCTGCGTCTTCCGGCGGTGATGAAGTTCTCGAGAAAGAGAAACTTTGCCTTCCGGCGCCTTGTCAATCTGGGCTCCAAGCTCAAGCCAAAGGGTAAGAATGCGAGGCAGTGTTTGATATAGGTACTTGGTACCATAATTCAGAGATCTGAGGTAGTTTTCGACCACGAGCTTGGCCGTCTCACCGGTGAGATACTCATCGCTCTGATCATCTGGCTTCAGCGTTCTTTCGGACTCGAGCACCTTCTTGTGATGTCGCCCGAGGTAGTAGTGCCCTTTCTCCCATGTGCCGTGGTTTGTGGGGACCTGTCTGTACTGTTCTCTCAAAGCCATGGCATGTGTTTGGCCCGCGTTGTCCAGCCATTTTGCGAGCAGTAATTGCGCACGGGCGGTCAGCAAATTCTGCTGTGATCCAATGTTCCTCTCGGACAAGTCATTGTCACTGAAACTTCGGTTGACGAAGATTTTGCTCGCAATCGCACCCTGAAGGGTCTGTATCGCCTTCCGGTTGTGTCCCTCTTTCCAGAGTAGACGGGCATTCTCTATGGTCGCTGAATCATCACCGAGCTGTGAGGCATGAAGAACGGCATTGAAGGACTGATGCATGGCATTGGCCTTCCGAGCGAGCCGCGCGCTTGACAGCCAGAGAGCCGAGATGTCCATGTCACCAAAACGCGGTCTAGTCAAGTCAGCGAGTGACATGCCCCTCTAGGAAAAGGAGACCTACCGCATCAACTCCATGGCCGCTCGACGGATGCCTAGTACGTATTGCTTATCGTTGACGTAAGATCCCATCACTTCGAGCCGCCTGGTCAGAGATTTGAGTACCTCCTGAGGGTGTTGAGTCCCGTCGCTGTTCATACCGGCGACTAGTTCAAGGTCAGTCAAGACATGAGATCTCAACATTGGCTCGTGGCAGGCTTGTAGTGATGCAGTCGCCGAATGCGTCATAGAAGAGCCAACTCTGTCCCTCATGATCTTCATCTCTTGCATGAATCTTGTTGTCATGCGTTTCTGGAGATACAGGAGGGACTTGGCAATCGTCACGTTGAAATTCTCGGTGTAATCCCCTTGATACTTGCCGGTAAATTTTTCCATGGTCTGCCATCTGCCAGTCGCCCAGGCAGCCTCCACAGCGAACGGTACTATCCGATTTATGGTCGCGACAGCGGTGTGCTTTTCAATGCCTTCGACATAGTTGAGAAGTACGTCTGGAAAGTGATCAGTCGTAATCCGCGGTAGTGACTCTATTGACAACTTACCGTGCTGACCAGACTCTTTGAGACATGTCAGGAGGTCAATCTGGACATCGACATTGTCGGGATCCTCGGCCAGTTTGATCTCATACCAGGTCTGAGCAGCTGCCCACCGCCCGGCCTTTCGATGACTGAGAACTTGCTGGTTTATGTCGAGCACGTGCAGGTGTGCTGATATGCCCTCGAGACCGTCAGGTTCGTCAATCTGCGTGTATATGTCTTGAAGTCTTTGCAATAGACGCTCTCTATCATCAAGGCCGGTCTTGTCTTCGTCTACTTGGCGAATGTGTTGTTCTAGATGAAATAGCGCTCGAGAGTATGACTGGCAGTCCACTGCGCGTTCTGATACCAACTCAGGGGGGAACGAGTCCAAAATATCTGATACCTTCTTCACCGCAGCGACATCTCGAGGGCTGGCGTTGGGTTGACCTCGTTTCAGTTGCACCCACCGCATGGCATAGTCTAGAAACCGAAAAATAGCCTACTAGGTCAGCATCAGAACCAGCGGCAGGGTCTCCTCCGCTCTGCTCACCTCACAATACAGCTTCTTGTCTTCTCTTTCAGTGTATGTGGCATTGCTTGGCAGCTCATACTGGAGTACGTTGAGTAGCTCGCAGAGCACTTTTGCGCGGTCCTGTTCCGATATTACTTCGCCAACAATAACGTGAAGGAGAATGTACGGGAAGAGAAACTCTGCGATTGTTAAGTCCTTGACTCGAATCAATCGGCCTAGGGGTTCGAAGATGAGTTCAGCAAACGGAACCTGCGGTCTGCGGAGACAGTCGAGCGTCAGGTTTCGCATCCAATTGCCGTATGCCTTCCCCGGTCGGAAGATGGGGTACTCGACTTGTTGATGGGCCATAGGAGCGATTCGGTATTTTGAATTTATGAAAGGCGCAAGAACCTCTCGGGTGCTGTCAGGTAACGACACGAACTTCCGATAGATGGGGCCAGCTTCCCGCAAACCCCCCAGTGTGACAGCCACTGTGATATCACATCTTTCAAGGAGTTCTTGCATGGCATACGACAGAAACCCCTGAAGTTTAGTGTCAGTTGCGGAAACAAACGACTTGACCAGTACATGCTCCAGCAGGAACAGCACAAACTCTGTTGTTTCGCCGGAATCTTCGAAGTTGTTCTTGATAACGAAATGCTTCTCGGCTCGGACAGCTTCTACACGGTTTGGATCCAAGCAGCCCACCAAGCCAATGCATTGGGTGCACAAGTCGCTGATGTCGCCGTGGAACCCATTGTACTTCGCCGCGCAGTCCAAAAGTGCCCGGGCGAGCGTAGGAACAACCGAGTCAGGTTGCTCGCTAACTGCAGACGCTTGTAAGTAATCTTGCTGTCTTTGCAAGTACGAGACGAGTTCTCGTAGCGCTTGCAGTACCACACCAGCATTGTCGTGGCATATCCTCTCAGCTAGCAGGGTGAACGCCGTGCGACTATCAACCGGCGACCGGAGCTGGCTTAGCTGCGCCTCAAAATCGGCCAGACTTTGAATATGACTGAAGGACGGTAGCTTGCTGATGAAGAGCTGGATAATGTCGCGTTGTTTGTCTAGCAAGAACTGGAGCAAATCCCGCGATAGCTGTTGCGTAGCATCATCGAACTTGGCCCAGTAGTGACTGATGAGGTAGAAAGTTGTCTCAACCGGGACTTTGGCATCCTCTTCTTCGATATAAAAAAGCATAGCGGCCCAACATGAGAAAGCCGCGCTGCGAAGTTCATCATGCGAAATGGCCGCGAGTATGCAAGCTGATATCTGTTTCGATGTCAGCAAGCGCATCGTTCATCCGCCACATGTCTGCTTGACTTACTTGTGGACGAGCAATATAGACGTAGTGCCTTCCCATCCTGACCATCTCTTCCATCGCTTTGATGCAGCGTCTCCGTTCCTGGATTGGGGAACGAGCCAAGGACGTGTCATTGATGACTTCAGTCAGCTGTGCCATTAACCCCAAAGCATGCTGTTGCAGAAACACACCAGCCGCATGCTGTTTCTTCTGCTTCGGCTCGCCGCTGGCTGTTATAATCATGCTTGCCATGAGGTACAAAGCGTTGCGAATCTGCGAAGCGTGTTAGCACTAGCATAACTCAAGCACATACGGTACACTTCTTGAAACCTACATGAGGCTTACGAGCTTCGTCTACATCGCCCGCGGCTTTCAGTAGCTCCAGGGCAGTGGCTAATGGTTCGATTCGAAGCAGTTCAACCAGCTCAAAGCCATCAAAATGCGGAGAAACATGTCTCATCAAGGACATTGCATGCTGTTGTATATCTGGAGAATCTTGCACCAGCAAGAGAGCCAGTATACGGCCCAGATTGGCGATATCAAGACATGGCTGCCACGATTCAGTTTCGTTGCGAACCTCGGCGATCTTTTCAATCACATCTCGCTTCTTCATCAGCACAAGCCAAGGAAGCGCATGCGGTTGAATGTAGACGAGCAACTGTGGAACGGTCATGTCCAGCATTTCAGCTAACAGTCGTGTCAATTTGGGCTCATGTAACATGTCTTTGGTCGCAGAGAATGCGAGATATCTCCAGAACGGGCCCAGGAGCTGCCTAGGAGTCAAGGAGCGAGAACGAGCAAGCTTGACAATCTGTATGGTCGTCAGGAATCAGGAATGAAGGTATCCAAAGTGGCTTCAATAAGCACGAACCTCGGAGAACGCAGCAGCAGAAGCGATGATGCTCTTGTGCCCCAGATATTCCACAAGCTTGACCAAGACGACCTCCAACTGGTCATCAGATACGACCCTTGGCAATCGTCAACGCAAAATTCATTTTCAAAAAAAGGACTGAGATGACTTTACCTCGCAACGTGAGACCACGCCATAATACATGTTTCTGTGAGGTGAGGCTGGCTCTGCTCAGAGAGAGAGCGTAGTATGGCCACCGCATTCACCCTATTTCTTTGAATAACATCGGATGCGGTTCCTGGAGGGCTGAACTGAGCAAGGAAAATGGGGAGAGTACGCCTAGACAAGTCAGTCCTAGCTGCATGAACGGACTCCGCGATCACTTACCCAGCAGCGATGCGTAACTCCCTGACAGAGCTTTGAAGAGACGACAAGCACCATTGAGCAGCGGCGGAGACCTCGGTGTCGAGAAAGTCGGCATTAGCACAATGTTTTGCCATACGCCTCAGCGTGACCATCGCAGTTACACGGGGCTTCCGTGACTCCATGAAACTCGGGAGCAGTAACAGGTAGGTAAAGGCTTCTATGGCCGACTTCTTCGCGGCTGCGTCAAGGCAGAGCGATGGTTCGTGTCTACTGGGCGAGGTCCTACAACTGGGACAGTCGAATGTAGGAAACTCGTCATCGTCATCGGCGGTCATGGATAGTGTATCGTCGGCTGCGCAGCACACGTGTCCCAGGTATTGAATGACCAGAGATGTTTCAGGCTCGGCAAGATGCGAGAAGCCGGAGCTGCAATTATGAGGATCTGTATATGATGAGGATATCGAGGGCTTAACTTACCGCATGGCATCCTTGAGTCCCGTAAGATTGTTCTTGGGCTCTGTTCCTAGAAGCCGCCACAGATGGTTGACTACGTCCGGCATCGTCCGTGGTTGACTGACTTTTCTACGTTTCGGCTGTCGCTCCATTCCAAAGTCATCGATGGTTTCGATGTGTAGAGCCTTGACAGCATGACGAAGCTCCTCATCGTGATACTGATCTAACTGCACCACACTTTCTATCGACCCAGGTAGGGGATGAGATGCTACTTGCCGGAGAAGTTCGAAGCATTTCTGTAGTTAGGTCAGAAGTGAGTTTCATATCAAGCAATCTTAACTTACCTGTATATCTGTACCCACTACGGATGTGTCATCGTGAATGTTCGACTTTTCCACGGCCAGTAATAGCTGTGACTTCACTAGTCGAGAGACAGTGTTGAAGGAGAGGCATCCCTCGGCCAATTTGACGAGCGCTAGACAGAAAAATCTCTGGCTTGAGCCAGTGTTATCTTCAGCGACATGAACTGCCGGCTCACTGACTAATGCCTCCACGCACAGGTACACTAGCAGTGTGTATGCCTTTTCTTTGAGTGAGACATCAACGTTACCAACCTCTCGGAATCTCCCTAGAAGGTGAACGATATGCTCCATAAGTCGCGATGAGCAGCCGGGAAAGATATTCTGCCATCGATGCTGCGTCTCATGCAAAATCATGTAAGCATCTAGGAGCCATGGGGTAAGCTCCAGAAAGGGTGACACCATGCCATAACCCGGATGCCAGACACGCAAAGGGATCGATAGTACGGACAATAGGCCCAAAGCATGGTGAATAGCGTGCGAGGCTAAAGGTATGGTATAGGTACACTGCTGTTGGAGGAGCTGTATATCGGCTGCCACTGTTGTCTCGAGGAAAGAGTCTTGAGGTAATCGCAACTGAAGCGCAACATCTCGACTGGTGAGTGGTACTTTCAGGGCTGTCAAGTAGCTTATTGTGGCTACAGAAATGACTTAGTGAAGTCCCCTCGGCATGAAAGCGACCGACATACCGTTGAAGTTGAGTCTGAGGTATGCGAGGAATTGCGGTATGAAAGACCACAACAGGCCCACCTGACACGAAATCAAGTACAATTCCTGGAAGAAGATCTCAATACGTGCTGTCAAGTCAGCACAGGGGCCAGCCCCGAGTAGTTTGAGGATCTTGGGGAATATCCATATCCAGAGAGGCTCATTGCCCCGGAAAAGGAAAGAGCCTGGTTCAGAAGTAGCAAGAAGCACCTCTGGGGTTTCCTTGATCGTGACCTTGAGGAAGCTGAGAGCCCTCAATGCATCTGCGCTCAGCTGAGCTCTGTCGGCAAAAGGATCATCCCACCTGAGGCCTTCAAGAACGACACGGGCATAGACATAGATCAGCATGTGGTTGTGGTTGATGCGCTCTTCCGGTGAAGCAAGAAGGTCGGGTTGGTCTTTGACCTTTTCGATGATGGTGAAGAACTTCTTCAGCTCGGCTGTCTCATCTGGGCGCGAAGACCGTGCGGAGGTCGAGATATTGCCGACCAGCTGGGCAGCCAAGGTTGAAGGTGGGGGCGCATTGTTGCTGTCTAGGGAGCCGTTTGTGAAGCTCTCGCGACCATGAGGTCCTGCCCTGCCATGGGACGTGGGAGCCATGTTCGTGCTGTCGTCTCCTGGTCTCCTGGTCTCGGACAGGGTGGTGCAAGACCAGGCACAGGAGCAGGAGGAGACAGACAGACAGAGGGTACAAGACACGCACGCAGTGGATGTATGGGTCGTATCTTGGGTGAAGCGAATGTGGGGGTTGCAGGTGCACTCGAAGAAGTCGCAGACGCGTCGGTCCGGTCGCGAGAGCACGTGATGTATGGGGCCAAGTGCCCGCTGAGGTAAGCCCAAGGGCCAATTAGCAATCGAGCAACAAAAAACCTCCGCAATGGCCTGATTGACGTATCATTGCGACACAACACGAGTGCTTGAAGTTGCTTGCATTTCACACGACGCCGACTCGAATTTGACCACGTATCGCAGATCCCGATAAACACAGCGAACATTCAGTCATACGCAGCTTTCGCCGGCCGATCGCTGATACAACAGTTGCGATGGCAGTCTTCCCGGCTAAGAAATATCCAAGCGCCGCCAACTCCAGCACCTTCGCCGCCAAATACCGTGCCCTGATGGCCCGACACCCTTTCCTACTTTTCGGCCTGCCCTTCATGTCTGTCATTGTGGCCGGCTCGTTTGTCTTGACGCCTGCGACTGCCGTGCGCTACGAAAAACATGACCGAAGGGTCCGACAGATGACTCGCGATGAAGAGCTGGGTGTCGGCAAGGCTGGCCGGAAAGTCAACATCAAGGACGAGTACTACGTAAGAATCTCGTTCCATCCGGATCCCCATCATACATCCAACCGCGACTGGGGCTGACGCAAAGGTGACTTTCAGAGGCTGGCCGCCAAAGATATCGACGACTGGGAGCAGAAGCGTGTCAAGAGACTTCCTGGAGAGTCTGATGGCATTCTATGAACCTCTTCCTCCACAATATTCCGACCATCAACTACCACTCGGGGTCTCGTCGAATTGTCACCCGACCCACCAGTCAGCCGAGTCCCGAGGCGGCTCTTAATAAGTCGTCTGTTGACTCTGAGTTCTGAACCTTAATACCATCTGTATACCGATATACGTAATCCCGTTCAGCTTTCGCTGCATTGGTCCAACGTCTCTTGCGCCAAGCTACCCCAGCTGAGGAAACTGTGCCGAACGCCGAACCTGCCTCTTGGCTACAATAGTTTACGGGTGGCGCTATAGTCTGCAGAGCTGCTGTTCCTGCAGGCGCCAAAACTCAATGTCAGCTCATACGAGCATGTGCGTTCGGCTGAGAGTTCAAGACGGGCCAAAGTTTGTCAAGTACCTAGGGGGCAGCGGACCGGGGGCCGCAAGGCTGAGCGGACTGGCGACCGCAAGGCTGTGCGGACTGGTCGGCATTTACTGGTTTGGCGTCTCGTCTCACATCATTGAACGGAGACTGCGTGCGACGCTGTGAAGCCGACACATCCAGAATGGCAAGGAAGCACCTGGTTACTACGCCGCAGACATTATGCAAATCGCAGCGATGAAACAACATTATCCTGCTTAGCCTCTCATTTGACGACTCCTCGACATATTCGAGGTTGTGCCTCCAGGTTCACTGGATTCTGCAAGGTTATGTGCATTGTGTGCAACCGTCCATGCTATGCATCTGTTCAGCTATATGGTTGTGATCAATGTCCTGTGCCGAGAGGATGATTCCAATCCCGAGGCTCTGACGTCTTCCATATCTCGGATCTGCCAAGTGGGACTCAGGAGTAAAACGCTTTCGTTGACAACGGAGATGCAACTACAAGGTATGAAGGGAGCTTGCGATTGAGTTCTCGGGCAAAGTCTCTGTCGGCCAAGCAAAATTTCAGATCCGTCTCAAAGCCTTGACTCATGCGAGGTTGACAGGATGGCCCGTATTACAAACTCCTATCCAGCCGGCGCCAACGCCAGCCCACATGGTTCCATCGGGCGATCTACCGTTCCAGTAGCATGGAACCAACACTACCCTCCACAACTTATAGTAGGACGGACACAGATGGGCGAGCAATTGCCCGTTGGGGTTTGGCCAATGCTGTTCAACTGTTCGTATCGTCTGGGGCCGATCCAACAAAGTGAGTTGCAGCAGGAAAACTTGGACAGGCTGTTGATTCAGGGGTAAAGATCCAAATTTACAAGGACAATGAACCTAAGGCACTACTAGTAGGCCAGAAGTGTACCGTCGATGTGGAGAACGTCGTGACTGTCACGTCAGATCTACAATTGACAACAGTCTGACATCAGCACCCAATTCTTGTTTGCTCACATCCCTGACAGCTCAGCCGCATGGAAGAATGGGCCATGGCCACACAACGGCACGCGTGCTCTACCGGTGTTGCAGTGCAACAGCACGCGCTTCTACCATCTATGCGGCTGAGCGCTTGAACATCTCCCCTGGCCGAAATTACCGAAATTAGCGTCTTTCGCTTTGGAAGAAGCCTTTGCGACGTGTCAGCCCTATTTTCAGCCGATGAAGCTGAAAATATCTGATCTCGAAGACTCGGAAGAGGCGAAGCGGTGTTTCAATGATGATACGCCGGCTTAGATCATCCCCACATTCAATCGAAGATCGATGAGATCACCTACAATGGTGGTATCATAGATGATAGAGCCTCATCCCAGCCTTGCGACCTCCCGCCAGGAATAGAGTCCTGGCTATTCGGCCATCATTATTACTGGCCAGCACTCGGAGCTAAGCAGACAGCAAGTCTTCGCGACGCGGCGTGGATACCGCCTCGACATACAATCCCATGCTTGTAGCCAGAATAGCATCGGACTGGATGGTGCCTGACCAAGGGTCAAGCTAGTAGCGGCGGACTTCGCTTCGCTTTCAACTTGGCAAAAAACCCAGATATACCCACATTGTTCATCCCACCACTACGATTACCACCGCCACCCACCACACCTCCCGGGCTACCACCACCAGATCAAGGTTCAGCCGAGATCCCGGGACAGGCGGGCAATCTGACTGACAGGCCTATGACAGGGCGCACACGTCTGATTGCCACATGCCACTATCGACCATGACGCACATGGTCCCTCTTCACCCTCCGAGCCCTCCTAGCCAGCCAACGCGATCGACAGCTTAGCGGAAGAATCGGACATTTGCATCCTTGCAGGACTTGGTCAAGGTGTCAAGGTGAGCAGCAATAAGCTTTCTTTTCTCCTCACGCTCTGATATCCACCCAGCCACTTACCGGCGGTGTGAACCAAGCCTGCAAGGCACCCACCCCACCCGCCTACTTCCTTCAGCAGTGATCTTCAGGCACGGTTCGATCGGAAGATGGGTGTATTGGGGGGTATTAAACCCAGCTAGCCCTGCATCCTTCCTTCGTTCTGGAAGAGGAGCATCTTCGTTCTATTCTTCAGCCCGCCCCAATAGCATCTACCCCGGCCTCTGGTCTCAGCAAGTCTCTAGCCAAGCCTCACATCTCACCAACATTGAGAGTTTACTATATCTTCTTTTCTTACACCGTGCCACGCTTGACGTTGCCACGATGGCTTTGAACATGGGCGGGTCACCACTCTTTCACAAAAAGTCGAAGAGTCGTATCGCCACCAAGCACAGCAACCAGGACGGCGAAAATATGCATATTCGAAAATGGAGCTCCTCCAGCTCAAGCTCTCAAGCCTCTTCTGAGAGTTCCGATTGCAGGCGAGCCCGTTACGGTCCTCTCTCCTCACATCCTCCCTTGAGCCTCAACACATCGCCACGCGGCGTACCGGGATACGACATGGCCCGGTATAGAGACGACGAAGAACGGGAGAGCCGGTTCTTTAATCAGACCAACCATGTCGAGGATCACATCCTAGAGCTGGCCGAATACTCGCCAGTAAAGGGCAGGAACTGCTATTTCGAGCGGCCCAAGGGACGGCCATATGTCTACGATCAGGGTTCGCAGTGGCCCCTCAAGGACTGGCAGGCCACACCGCCGGGCTTTGCGGAGATGGACTCTGCGGCCACTTCACCATCATCTTCTCCCACACGACCCACGCACCACCGCAGACGGAATACGGACTGGATGAACGATGCCGACGTCTTCGTCAAGCGTGGGGCTTGGAAGCGCCAGGGCATCGTGTTCCATCTCGATTCAAAGGAGCAGGAGTTGCAGGAAGAGCACTTTGAGCTTCCCGAGTAAAGCTCTCCTCACTCAGTTACACATACGACCATCAACAACCTTCGGTGCACTCACCATTCTTCGACCTTGTCATACTATTCTTGGCATCGTTCACTTGACATCAACACTATCCGACATCCGATTTCACGAATCACGTTCTACAGGAGGATACACGGGTACACAGACACTCTCGGAGAGGTCTAGACAGGTCTAGACAGGTCATCTTGGGCCCCTTGTTCCAACATAAGTGCTGTACACACAATCTATTAGGGTTTGCATATTCGGGGTGTAAAGGACTGGCTGGGACAAGATACCAATTTGATTTTTTTCTCGAGGTAGCGATAGGATTAATTCACATGCTTTAACCAACCTTTCCAAATGATCCCTGCGATCCCCGGTGCTCTCGATGATCTACGGCGATGCAGCCCACCTGTCGCCCCGACTAGGTTCATGCGCACACTCACACTCGACGCGTGGCATCTGTCAAATACGCACCCCCACGGCATGTCAGCGCATTCTAGTGAGCGCCACAAGTGCCGCCCCAGAACGCCATCTAGTTCACGAGCCCTCCACTCGGGTCAACATTGGCCAGATGAGAATCTCCATCAAAAGTCTATTTAATTACATGGCTGGACGAAGGCGCAAGGCGAGACATTGTGGCTGGGAAATCTCGATGTTTACCCCTGACCAGTCCTGGATTGGAATGAGAGAAGACTAGATCGTATAGATCATGATCATGTCTCACGAGACAAAGCCAGCCCTCCATCGCCCACCAGATCTTGCGAGCAAATACATGCATATTGGAATGGACATGAGAGAGGACATGACCAACGCTATCACGGAATTTCCCCAGCCGTACCCCACGCCGTCATAGAGCGGAAAGGTCGCAAGCGGTATCACGGCTCCCCCAATCGAGGACGCGACTGTATGAGCTGCGAGCGCAGAAGCCGAGTAGTCCGGTGTGACCTCGATCATGAAGAGCTGCGTGGCTAGCTATTCGCTGTCAGTGGGAGGCATAATGCGTACGTAAGTATTCTAGGCCAACTCAACCGGACACTCATGTACCCGTATCCGAAAGGGGCCAGGCCAAGGATAGGGACGATCCAGTGCGAGCGGTTTTGTAGAGCCCATCCGTACCACAGAAGGCCCGCGCTTCCGAGTGGGATGGTAAACCACAAGAATGGCAACACGTGTTCTGGTCGACGCGTATCGACGTCACTCAGACGAGCAGCAAGATAGACGGTGAACCTCTTCGCGGTGACAAGTGCCATGATTCCACCAAATCCGATGCCGAGGTAAGCCAGGCCTGCCGTCGTCGGGGGAAACGCAAAGCGATGCTGATATACCGATCCGAGCGACGATAATATTATGTTGACGAGACCGTTGAATATCATTATCATCAGCAGAATGGCAGCGCAGGGTGGAGAGGAGAAGGCGATCCGCGCAGGTAGCGATATCGTCCTGACCAGCACGTCCGTTACGGAAGTGCCGTCTTGTTCCCTCTTGGACCACAAGCGGCTCCATCTCTTCGGTTTCTGATGGTGGCGACGGATCAGGGTTGGCAGATGTGTCTCCGGCAGTATCAGTGCCATAGCCAAGAAAGCAACGGCAGCATGCAGCAGGTCAGCCAGAACCAGAGGGCCAGTCGTCAGATGCGGCAGGGACAGCATATCAAGATGGAAGCAACCCAAAACACCCATCGCCAACCCAGACTCCCATTCACGACTCCCCCAAGCACCGGTCCTATCGTAGGCCCCATCATAGTCCCAGCAGAATAGAAAGCCATCGGCGCACCTCGCCGCCCCGGCAGGTACACATCCGCAACGACCGCGCCACCAACCGCCATCGGTGCGCCGCCAAAGCAGCCAGCGAAGAACCGAAACGCGATCAGCGATTCCAGACTCGGTGCCAGACCGCACGCGGCTGTGAGCGCGGCGAAGAAGAGCGAGGATACCAGCAGGACGGGTTTGCGTCCGTAGAGATCTGTCAGCGGTGCGAGGACCAATGGACCGGTGCAGAAGCCCAGGATGTATACTCTGACGGAGAACGACCCGAGAGCTTTGTCGTCGCCGTTGGGGCGGAACGTCTTCAGGACTAGCGGCACGCTGGGGGCTAGCATCATTGATACTAGGAAGCTGGCAACGGTCAGTGCTTGGCTCGGGGGGTGACGGCGATAATACTTGCGTGAGGCAGTCGCAGTATGCGACAACTGCTGTGTAAGTCCATTTTCTCCAGGGCGCCCAGTTCTGAGGTCTTTCGGCAGGAGGCAATTCTTGCGGGGACTGCGGCGGCGATGTCACTGGCTTCTCCGACTGAGGAGTAGAGGGCATGTCGTTACCGTTGGACTGGTCATGTCCGGTGAAAACCGCCTCCCTGCCCTGCGGACCGGTCATTCTAGCGATGAGACGTTGGTCTGGTATATTCTGTCGAGATGAAAGGAGTACTCCGTACTGTGCCTGTTGGGTTGACACTCAGACACAGGACTGTTGTTGATCGGCAGCCACTCAAGGTCGACCGCACCGATGTAACCATAGGCTGCCTATATACTAACCCTGCTGTTCATGGCATCATGTGCTCTCCTCTTGGTCGACAAAGCTCGGCCGCATTATAATGAGCCGGATTGAGAAAAGGCATAGCGTCAACCGCCATTGAGAATGCGAGAACTTACTCCCACATGTTCTTTCACTCTAGCAAGCGTATGAGAACGACGAAACTGAGTTGAAGGATGAGGAGCTTGATTATGCCCGGGCTAGCTTGTCTTTTGCAGAAAGCTTCATCGCATGTGCAGAGAGACGCTTCTTTGGCACCAAGTTTGCTGACATTGGGCTGCAGGTGGCTACACGAGCGCGTTTACTCCGCAAGGTATAAGCCAGTAGCCGAATGTATCTTGCCTCTTTGCAGTCATCAAACAGAAAAGGGGCTGCGAAAATGGAGCAAGCTCCTCTGCTTGGTCTGCGCCACACTTCGCAAACCCTTCTCCGCGCAAGCATGTCCCAAAGCAAACGACTGCCCTGTCCAACTTTCAGAGTCACACATGTCTAGTTCGAATACTTACAGCGCCGTGAAGGCATCTTCTCGTACTTGTCTTCCCATCTCTATCACGCTCTTCTCGCGCAAAAGCACGAACGGCACATCAGTCCGCGATCTACCCAGAGTCACGCACCTATCACCCTCTCAAACGATATCACTGCTTCTGCATCTTTCGCCGGCTTTCCTGCTCTACAGTGTTCCGCCATGGACCCCACGCACTTGAAGGTCTACCTTGTCCCGGAGGTCGATGAGGGTTTCCAATGGGCCCGAACAGCGATCCGCGGGGGTACATCGAATCATGGTATGTTACATCTAGTTGTCTCAGCTCGGTTGGTATTCACTGATTCTACTCAGGATTCAGGGCCTCATCGTGGATAATGATGACGCGCAATCATGGGTGTTGCCAGTCATTGCTCGCATCGAGATCGACCGCACAGCCGCGCCGCTGACAGTCTGGATCGGCGGATATTGCGATTTCCACATCCTCTCACGTCTGAAGATGGACCGTGTTCCCTTCGAGGGCCAGCTCTTCGACCCAACCGGAAAGTTCAAGGCTGCCAAGTGGAGCACCGATCCGCATTACAGAGGCAGTGGTGTTTGGGGTTCGGAGAATGACAATTACGAGATGATGTGGATCGAGAGGCTCTTCATCAAGCGGCAATTCCGCAACCGGTGCTTCGGTAGACATCTGACACGTGAGCTCACCTCCACGATCAGTGACCTGGTTCCGAAGAACGATGATGACCCATACCTGTTCGTGGTCACGTACCCCGATTGCCTGGAGATCGAGTTGCAGGAGGAGCTGCGTCTGCAGAATCCCCCAGGCAATCAGGCGCAGATCCGGGAGCGTGGCCGGGCAGCAGCTAGCCGGTTCTACCGCTCGCTGGGCTTTCGACGTGTGGGATCGTCGGGCTTCTTCGCGTGGACTTCCAACCCGAACCACCCGAGCAAGGCGCTTGACGCTGCGCATGACTATGATCCTCCCGCGGATGACTATCATCCTTCCGGTCGTCCTCGTACCTTGTTCTCAGCCGGGGTGGCAAGCGCGTGGCTCAGTTCATAAGCCTTCTTGTGGGCAACCGGTGTCTGTCAGGAGTGGAGATGATCTCAGCTGGCTGCCGCTGGAAGGGACCAAATGTGTGGTCAAAAGGGGTAAAAGGGGGTTTGGATGTACGGAGATGACAGGGACTTCATGGGCCAGATAAAAGGTCCGTGGTGGAAGGTTTCCAATAGTACCCGAGAGCATACGCATAACTCATACTCTACTGCAAGCGCTTTCCTGCCATCAAGGCTCGCTCGATGGTTGACGCTATCGTGGACATTGACAAGGGACAGCCACGAATTCATTGTGAGAACAGATTGCGATTCGAACTAGCAACAATATAATCAACTCTACCGCAAGCTCAACATCGACACATCAGCGCTCAACCCCCTCCCCTGCACCATCTCCGCCACAACCTTCCCCGTCCCGAGAGACATGCTTATACCCCAAGGTCCATGGCCCGCAGCAAGATAGACACCGCCCTCAGCCCCAGTCCTCGTAGCCACGCCGTCCCCGAGACACCGATCCGGAATCCGGCCGAGTATCGGCGTGCCCCGATCCGTCACGGGCCGGAAACACAAGCCCTCCCTGACGATTTCCAAGTCATCCTCTACCGAGCCCTTGCCCAGCACCTCCCTCGCCGTGTCCCGCAACGTCTCGATAGCCGATTGCGAGATTCCCGCCTTCGCATCCGTAGCCAGCGCCGGCAGCGGCTCCGTCGCCGAGTTCAGGCCCGCGATGTAGATGTGCCCGCCGATGCGGGAGAAGATCTCGGGTGAATAGCCCGGTTGCGTGCTGGTCATAAAGACCGAGTGACAACCTAGCTTCTCCTCGTGTTCCCGTAGCCAGCGCGGGGACTTCACTACCAGTGAGTGTCCCGCGAGACTCGAGACGGGCAGTTTTGTGGTTGAAGTAGGGAAGAGGGTGGCGAAGACCTGGGCTGACCATGCGCCGGCCGCGATGATGATGTTGGTGCAGGGCACGTCAGTCTCGGAGCTGGACTGCGTGTCGGCGATGCAGATGCTGGAGAGTTCGCCGCGGACGTCTGCCGCGATAGATAATGCTTTGGCGGGATGGTGTAGGTGAACACATGCTTCCTGGCACCTTTGTAGGAGGAATCGCGATAGTTCCAGTGGATCTCTGTTGATATTAGGATAGAGAGTATGGACAGACACGTAAACAACTTACACCTGTGCAGTAGTCCCCTCCTCACTAATAACCTCCACCGCATCGCCCTCCGCCCTCCTCAACCACGGCAGCGCAACACCCGCCAGCGCATCACCGATGCCATCCCCATCTCCACCCCCGCTCGCAGCCTCCGCCCGGCTCGCGCCCTCGCGACACCAGACATCGACGCTGCCCCCCTTCCTCGACCCCGCCGCCTGCGCCAGACTAATTGACGTGCTCCGTGCGTACCCCCATCTGCGCGCCCCGTCCTCCTTCTCGGCGAGCTTGCGATGCTCCTCGAAGCTGAGGGCGCCCAGGGCCGCGGCCGCGGGACCAAACCAGTCCTTCGCGAGGAAGCCGCCCGCGTAGCCCGAGGCGGAGGCGAAGAGCTCCGGGGATGCCTCGACGACGTGGATGCTGGAGCCGGGCTGGTGTTTGGAGAGGTAGTAGGCGGTTGAGGTGCCGATGATGCCTGCGCCGAGGATCACGGTCGTGGCCATGGTTTGGTGACAAATCGGTGGCACAACGATCTATTCAGAAATGCTGATAAGCTGACTCGTAGAGCAGAAGTAAGATAGTTTGGCTGATATGGAAGATTTCAGCGTATATGATAATCAATAGATGTAAGTGTCGAGCCCTCTTGAAGTACCTTAGCGACAAGAGCGATGATGTCGTGCCCCTCCACAACGACCCCACCAAGAACCTCGAGGAGCGCCGATAAGATAAAAGAAAGACGAACCTCTCCCACATTTCACGAAATGTTTCCTTGAACTTCGTGACTCTGTACCTACATACCCATTCTCTGTTATATTCACCGAAAGCAACTGCCAGCATGGCCTCCAAAGTCTTCATCGTGACTGGTGCTAGCCGAGGTCTGGGACTCGCCGTGGCCCAAGCCCTGCTGCTAGACTCACACAAGGTGTTCCTCGTGGCGAGGACCGAGAATGACCTGCAGACGTTGAAGTCTGAGCACCCATCGGCTGTCGACTTCATGGCTGCAGATCTGGCAGATCTGAAAGTAGTCAAGTCCAAGAGGCTGAAATATCCCAGCAAACTAGCTAGATATCGGCTAACTTGGCGTATAGATTGCGCCCAAGGTAGCCAATGCTGCTCTCAAAGCCTTTGGCAAGATCGACGGCATTGTCGTCAATCATGGCACATTATCACCTATCAGCAAGATATGCGATTCAGACGCTGAAGAATGGAGGCGCGCCTATGACATCAATGTCTTCAGCGCCGTAGCTCTTGTGAGTACACTTCCCACGTCAGATGGCAGGTTCCGATGGAATTGATGTATTCCAGATCAAAGAAGCTATCCCAGAACTACGGAAATCCAAAGGGCGGGTGGTTTTCGTTTCATCCGGTGCAGCATCCGGCGCATACGCGGGCTGGGGATCTTACGGTACCTCCAAAGCGGCGCTTCAACACTTATGTGCCCACCTGGCTGTGGAAGAACCTTCCATCACAAGCGTTGCAGTATCCCCCGGCAAGGTGGACACCGTGATGCAGAAACAGATCAGAGATGAGGGCAAAACGGGCATGTCAGCAGAAGTGCACGCCAGCTTCGTCGACGAACATGAGAGCGGTCGTCTCCTCAGCCCCGACAAACCAGGCAACGTGATCGCAAAGCTCGCCATAGGCGCAACAGGTGCCCTGAGTGGCAAACACTACAGGTGCGCTTCTATTACACTGAGTTACATGCAACACCATTGGACTGACCTGAGAGTGCAGATGGAACGCAACGGATCTTGCTGAATTCCAGTGAAGTAGACTACAATGGCACAAGGCATGGCGCATGGACTGTGAAGAACGTCAGCGTGGATCACCAACACATGGCTGGCAAGAATGTGTAGAGTTGGAGCTTCAGTCGAAAGATGAAAAGACGTATATTTTTTCCACATCAAAATTCGGAAATATCATTGTCATCACAAGCAGCGGAAGAGTTGTAGAAAGAAAAGTCCTTACCTCACCTGTTCCACATGCCATCTCCATGCCCTACTTGACGACAGGCTTCCTGTATCGGACGTGTCAGTGTCGTGGTCGATGTATCAATACTACAGTCCGTAGTTGTACCACTGTCTCGAGATGCCCATCGACAGCACAATAATCAGACATATATGCGATCCGTTATGTAATATCGGTATTTGATAGTACGTTTTGGAAATTCGATATCATGTTACTGGCGCAAGGTCGAAGGGCATGCGAGGGGTACTACGGGGACCGGTCGTGGAATCTAGCTGAGTCTTATTGACAAATTAGCACTGGAACACTCGGGAGCTTTGGATGTTGGAGTGTCAATGTTCTAATCAGAAATGTCATTTGGCTTGACGGGTCGATCACCATGTTGCCCTTGTCAGAAGGCATAGTAAGACTGGGGCGACACAAGTGCTCATCATGTAGGGGGCTGCGAAGTGCGATAAGGGTAGAACATACCTTACAGTGGCAAATGGTGAGCCAACGAAACGGGGTTGACATCAATAGATTATTGCTGCTAGCATGCAGAATAATTGCTTTCTTCTCGGATCCGGGAGGCTACAGCTGACCGTCCTCACCCGTCACCTGTCCAAGGGAATGGCAATTATCGAGCAGGCAAGCTGCTCAGCTCTTTCGGAGTGGAACATGGAGACAAGCGGTCTGTCTTGCGCTTCGTAAGGGTAGACAAAGAGAAATTGGCGAAGCAGGAGGCAGCTAGCCCGTTGTGACGGGCGAGGAAAGGGAACGCAAAGTGTGTTGGAACTTGGGCAAAGTGGTGTTGGTGAAGAAAGAATGCAGGTCAAAGAGATCGCTGCAAATGAAAATAAAAACGTTCAACACATGGAAGCTTTAGTGGGGTTTGTGGGTAGCTATCACTGCGCCACAGAGCAAGGGGCCCAATGACAGGCGCGGATGCATTTGTGCGCTAGAGTTGTGGCGTAGCGGCCGGTGTCAAGCCACCGCTTGAGGACAATGGATGCTGGATTGAGACTTCAAGGTTGGTTGTGTGGCACCCTCCTCCACTGCATGCGGCGGCTCAGGACAGCCTCATAAACTCCTTCGGTCCCTCTTTGAGACTTGTCCTGTCCTGTCTTGCTTCCAAACGAAAAGCTATCATCTCTTTCCCTTAGCCTTACATGGTCGCAACTATTCCGACGTCTCGACCCTGAGAACATCGCACATCCAACGCCACAACGCTTGCCAGAGGGTGCGGATTCTTCGGACAGTATCACTCACGCCAGCTTACGAGGATATCTGCGGTATCCAGAGCGACCAACATGTCGGACCACGAGTATGGTGGTAGGTTCTTTCTTTCCTATTCACAGCGATCGCATCTCAAGCACGTTTTATTGTTGTACAGGGCAAGTGCCTTGGTTGCAGTGACGAATTCCTGCCTTTTTTTACTATGCTGCTGCTTCCTCAGGCAAGATGGCAGCAACACCGCCATGGAGCCTCAGAGATGAGCAGCAACGGGATACCATGACCAATGCCATGCACACCTTCCATGCATGCCTTCCATGCACATCTTCCGTGCATGTCTTCACACAGGATCAGTGAACCACGAGAACATTTCACAATCCAAATCTACACATCATTGATAGCCGTGAATGAGACACGCACCTGTTAATCATGGGACGTGGGGGAACGGCAACCGTCTATAGCAGCTATGACCAGCAGCGTCAGTTTCATTCACTCTCATACTCACATTCACATGCGCGCGGTCATTGCACTTGCATTATTCACCGGCCATTGTCTGTTTCACCCAGACTGCAGTCACAGGCCTCCTACCCAATGCTGTTCCGCTCCTCAATGCATCACCAACCTGCTCCACGTACACCTTTCCCTTTCTTTTTCGGCCATCTTCCCACGAGAGCTTCTACACTTAAGCCTGTCCCTCACTCGAAAGCTCGAGCTCAAACTACCACATCTGACAGTTATGAACTGCCGGAATGGCGAGATCCAAGACTCCAGGCTTTTGGGCCTCCTTTGATGGCCTTGGTCTGGCAGCCCTCTACACAGCCCCATTCCCAAGTTCTCGGTCTCGCATACCTATCTCCGTACTTCGAGCAGTTTACTAACGATCTATATTTTGCAGGTAGTGAGGATCTCTCTCTACCCAAAGGTATGTGTCTGACTGCCCTCGTCCCGACTCTGCGAACCTTGTTGGCATGACCATAGCCCAGCATATTCATCTCCCCCCTGGTACGATCTTGTTATATCCTCGGTGACTAACATCATAATAGCAACCGTGCAGAAGATAGTCAGCGAGATCCTTCCAGCATCAACTGGTGTCTCGTTTTCCAAGGAAGCCCGCGACCTGCTCATCGAGTGCTGCGTGGAATTCATCACTCTTGTGTCCTCGGAGGCCAACGAGATCTCGGAGAAAGAAGCCAAGAAGACTATCGCCTGCGATCACATCACGAAAGCCCTAGACACCTTGGGATTCGGCGACTATGTCTCTGCTGTCCTCGAAGCCGCTCAGCACCACAAGGAGACACAGAAGGTCAGTTACCCCGAGCATATTGCAGCATCTCTTGACATATCATACTGACATGGCACAGGTTCGGGAGAAGAGAGGCAACAAGTTCGAGGACAGCGGAATGACGATGGAGGAATTGGCATCGCTACAGATGGAGTTTCTCAGCGCCGCACGAGACAAGCAGACAGGTGGTCCGGCTTGAAGAAATATCCAGGAAGAACTTCCAGCAAGGCTCTGACGACATGCAAGGTCTTCAGGGATGCATATGGGTATGCTTGTGGACTGGAAAGTCAGTTCGGCAGTTACCACCGTAATGCGGCAGTGATGAGTGATGATGCGTTTGGGTTGGCGTTGGTCTGGGGCCTCATGACGGTGGTTTGCTACATTCAGGCGTTGATTGATCAGCTGCAATAGAGGCTCGGCGAGGTCTGCTAGAATCGATCATATTTCGATTCGCAGGAATCACCATTATTACACAACGAAGTGATCCGGATGTGTGACTAGTTGGCGCAGGCCCAAACTCGCACATACCTACCGTTCCCCAGTTTGCACTTGGTATCCTGCCACAGATAGGTGTTCTGAACGGTAGAGAGGATATCGCCTGTTGCTTTATATGCTCTTATAGAGGTCCGGCTCTCTACATACACATCGACCCCTGTTCAGACAGGCGATTGGAGATCGGACTTTCCCTCTACCGCGAAGACCTGTGGAGCAGTTTCACCGTGGGTCAAATTGATAGCAGTCAGGTTGTGTCACAGAACCGGGCATATACTGACAGTGTCAGTTGAAATCTCCTATGAATCGCGACCTCCAAGCTAGGTAGGTAGCTATCTTCCTGGCACCTCGGAACAGACATACCCAGTGTAGTGAGGTCAGTTAGCCGGTACGTCGCCCCCGATGTCCCACATGCCCCTGTGGCCAGTCTCCTCCTCCTTCGACAGGTTGACCTTGAGTTTGGAGACGGCGTCCTGGTTTCTTTGATACTTAGGCTACAGTAGGCCAGTAAGTCATAGAAGTCACAGGGTCGAGTCCGGAGACAACGTCCTCTCGCTCAGCAGTGGGCGGAATGACCTTGCTGGTGCCGGCCGGCGCGTGTTTCTCGAAGTCTTGGGCGGCATGGCTGCGATTGACACGGCTGCTGTGATGATGGTCCTGTCGAGAGCAGGATATTAGTGGACCCTGCCCATTATATGGAAGAAGAACTGGACGTAGATAACTTACTGGTATGGACTTGGGAAGTGAAGAGTCTGTTGTGAGACTGAGTCGGACCTATGTCGGTCAGGCTGGCAGGTTAAGTTCGCTCTTGGATATGAAGATGCTGATGCCGCCATTCGAGCTCGTCCCCCTAGACCGTACGAACTATCAAGCCAAGAATGTAATCAGGTCGCCAGTCGGTTGGATTGCGATCCTACTGCTTTGCTGGATGCACAGAAGGGTTGCTGAGGCTGCTCGGCGTGTAGAAAAGCAGGTCTGGTTCGAGATAGCATATGTTGATTCATCGCAAACACACAATGGTCCTGGGGACATAAGACCATCCTTGCGGGGCTGCAAGTCTGTTGGCCAACCAGAACCAAGTGAATGTTTGTTTACATCAAGGAGATGAGTACGGACGTATCTAAAGCGTGGCCCCATGTCCCACGCCATACACACTTAACAGGCTGGCTCTGTGCCACCTCGCTTCACTGGTCTGCAGGCATTTGGCAGCCCAAGTCTCCATTGACCTCGTCGGTATCCCACCACTAGCTCTCGGTCTTCTTCTCCCAATCGAAGTACCTGCAGTCCTCCTTGCTGCATTTGAAGTACACCTTTCCCGCATTTCTCAGGTTCTGGGGCTTGACAATGTTTCGAACGCGGTGGCCCTGTTTGCAATCAGGGCAGTCGCCATACTTGTGCGGATCGTCCTTGCTCCAGTACAAGAACCCGTCGCAGGACTCGCAGAGGAAGTACGTTCGCCCTGGCATCACGGGATGGTTCTCCGATGCCACGTGGCTCACGACACCAAGGAGGCTGCGACACCCAGCAATGCGGTGGACGATGGTGAGAGGGTGGCCAACATGTGACAGCACAGTATCAGGACATTCTCAATGGTCAGTGCCCGAGTCAGTATGGTTGCTATGCAGTATGGGTCTCATCAGCAGCCCGCGACGGGCCCTAAAAAAAGAAAGGAGAGGGGGTCTGGGGGGAGAGGGCGACTTTTATATGCGTGCCAAGACTGGGATCCTGCCCAACCCCCTCCTTTTTAAAGGTGGGTCCAGAGATAGACTTCCAACGCAGTCCGGACATCCGACAGAGTCCATGTCAACCTCGGCACCTCCCTCGAGGCCGAAGAGCTCGAATTTCAATATCATATCATTAGTTGGATCTTTAACGGTCATTTTTTGGTAGCAGTGCGGAGACTGTTGCGGGCAATCCGTGGCGGACGATGACGCCGACGGGGAGGGCGTGCCGCATGCGCGAGGACCTGGCTGCTGGCGACCGCAGGAACAGGCGTAAGGAGGTTCTCACGCTGTCGGTGACTTGCTTTATACCCCTTTCCATCCGTCTCTGTCCACGAGAAGGCACGGCGCAGCATGGGTGGCCATACAAGGATCGGTGGTGTCGCTGGATCACTCTCGCGTCCTCCCGTATATGATTACCTAACTGATATACCGGTAGCCCAGGCTGAGACTCATGTGCAAGGCGCCATGGAACACCCACTCCACAGCCGAATGTTACCGTCATGGGACGGACCGGTGGGTTGCTGACCTGCCGCAACGCTCGAAGTCCAGGCTAGGCCCGACCGTTGTCCATCGGCTTGCCGTCTCACTGCACCAAACTCGGACATGACACAGGTTTGCGTCGGGTTATGTTCCAGGACACAGCCGTCCTGTAGAAGCCATCTCATCTGCACGACCTGAAGTATTGGTGTCTCTACCCCACACTACTGTGGCTTACTCATTCAGGGGTAAACTGGACGTCGTCTGGCTCCTTTTTCATTCGGGTCGAGGGCTCTGGACTCGGTTTATTTCCCGTCCAAACGTTATTTTCAGCCTGTCCTCTCGCTAATTGGAGAGGGAATATTTACCTCTTGCATGTGATCAACTGCTTCTCTGAGGAATTGCATTCATCTAGACTGTCGTCTAGCGATCCCATTACCAACGAATAACCCTATGATCGGGTCCTCCAGATCACGTGCAACGGAAGGATGAACCATAAAATGGTCGGCCGACAGTAAAAGCCGAGGAACGTTGGTTTCTGAATATCTGACGTTAATTCCCAGGAGTATTTGCTCCTGAAGCCACGCTTAACCCAACTGGTCCCATGACCATCCGGGTACAGGTCAAGTGACCAAGCAGACATGACAGAAACGCGTACCCGCGTTTAACAGAGCAACCGCGCCTCCAACGCGTCCCTGAGAGCACATGACACCCTCAGCACCGCTTCAAGCAATGTCACGATGCCTACCTTATAGGCCAGACTGAAACAAATCCTTGGCATCAAATACGTCACCGCCACGAAGCGGCAACAATGGCTTCTTCATCAGATGCATCTCTCATCCAGCCGATTTAGAGCAGTGGTTAGCTCGCTGGCCTCCGGTTCTCACACACCTCCAAGCCAGAAGTCTGGGGTTCGAATCCCCAAATCGGCGCGTTCCTTCTTTTTGTTCCCTGTTCGCCTGCACACTGGCGACATCGCTATTTCAAACACGAAGTTGAGTCACCACTCGACCCGCGATGGTTACTCGTCGATTTACGCGTCAATGGAACCGGTTCTGGATCATGTGTGTGTCCGTATTACTTGTATTATTGGCTGGGACTACTGTGTCGACATATATGTCAAAAGAGTGGACGGGACGGGGCAGCTACTCCCATCTCCTTTTCCCAACTCATCACATCCTCAAGCAGAACTACTTTTGCGTCCCTACCTCCCCCTGTATCATATCCTCATGAACATCATGCCCGAATCCTGCCGGAGTTCATGCAGCAACTTGTCAAGTCTACTGTCCGCCGAGACCGACAGGGGTCTGGCAAAGAACGCCGAGACCAAGCTGAGAGTCGATGCGTTAGCATCATGGCCAGGGGTCGAGATCAGAGACTCGGTAAACTTACAACGGGGAGGACGCAGCATCGGGCACGGTCTCCGCCAGTGGCGCAGATGTTCTCGAAGCTGGAAGCGCTGGTGGGAACCGCAGAAGCTGTAGTTCGAAGGCGGTCAGTCACGACACATTCCTCGGCCTGAGATACCAATGGCGCGAGGAGGTCTTCACTTACGAGAGTTGCAGTTGAGGTCCGCAACTCCGAGCACATCAGTGGCGCAGCACTGGGCGTTGGAGTACAGTCCGTCGGGGCAGGCGTCGTAGGAGCCGGCCTCGCCGGGGTAGGTAGGCACGGCGATGGCCGAGGTGGCGAAGAGGCCGATGAGGGCGATGAGGGTGGCCTTGGTCTGCATGGTGAAGGGTTGATTATCGAATTACTTCGAGAAACGATTGGAAGTAGAAGGCTTGAAGTGAGCTTGATGCTTTGGAGTGAGTGAGTGAGATGTGTGTGGTGCCGAGTAGAGTTGATGGGGAAAGTCGAGCTGTTTATATAGACGTTCGAGTCTCGGTGACGACCGTCGACAGAGGTATGCGTTTTCCCCTACCCCATTCGCATGCGTGGTACGATCGTCTCGCAAACGATGTCTTCGCTCGCCTCGCTTGGTTGACGTCCTGCAGGTCCTACGCTTTCGCTCAGCTCCCTGCTGTTCACCCTTGCCTAGGACCAATGGCTAGCGGTCCTGGTTTGAGTCTCAGGGGCAGCGACTAGGCATATGCGGAGAGTATCCTGGCAGAATGGCATGTCAACCTCGTGTATGTCCTTTGCAACCATATAACCCCCTGCCCGTCAACGCCTTCGTCGTCAATGCCTCTATCGTACTGGTGGGGAAACGGGGCTCAGGAAAGTCGACTCTGGCCAAGCGCAGGGCAAATTTATCAGCTGGAAATTGTGACGTGCCTACCCGACGAGTCACGACTGCCTGCAGAAGCGTCGTTGACACATCGTATTCAATAGTCCGCTGTCGTCGCCCTGCTTCAGCGCAAGTCCGCATATTGACGACGAGGGTGTTTCCCGATTGGGAAGACACGAACACGTCTCATTGGCCGTCAACGGTATGACTATAAGAGTGGGTGACGGGTCACGACAGTTCCGACCGTTCCGTCGATGTGACCAGCGAATCGGCTCCGTCGAGAGCGTTTGTGCAGCGGCTGAGGGCCTGCACCCCTTTCTCCACACCGGCAGGGTAGGAAACTTGCTGTTCTTGCATAGGAGTTACTTTTTCAGCTCTGGCTGCTTGCATCAATTGCGTTGGCATGCACCGAATCTGGACTGTTGTTGGATAGGACTGTGGGGCCCCGCTGCATTCTCCTGCATACCTCCCCTGCCTGCGCGCTGGATAATGGAGGCGGTAAGACGGAGGAATGCATTCCATAGGGCCAGCGGGACATTACCCCGGATCTCATGTCGAGATCCGAACCGATCTCGTGCAGCGTATCCAGATCATGCCACCGTGCCTTGATTTGGAATCAGTCGCAACACCGAGCTCCACTGTGTTGCCATCATCTGACATCTGGTGAAGTGGCGACTATGATGACGGATATGCAACTCGGAAGCCCAGGAGCCAGTCATGGTCTTTAACCTCAACGCAAACGTATGACTTATCTGCAGCTTACTATTGTTGTCAGCTGCCATGAGCATTTGCCGATAGAGCCCAATGTGTTACTTTGCAGCTACGGGATACCCACGCAGTCCCAGCGCTTGCTCGGAACCTTTCACGTCCGGACCTCTTTGTGCAGCATTGTGAAAAGCATTGAGGTACTGGGGAATGGCAAGACCACGGGCCAATTACTAAACAACTACCACAGCTTCGCTTGCTATGCTGCGCGGCCAACTCCCGGCGCTGTTTTTGATTAGGCAGTGAATATGTGGGTTGCAGTAATTCCGGCATCTTTGCGGAGGAGATGCCTCCTAGACTTCAAGTAATCCCCCTTTTGATGTCATAAACTATCTACCTAGATGGACTTTCATCGATACAGGATGCTGTGAAAGATTAGTGGAATTACCTGGGCCATCTCCTTGACTAATAAGGAACCCTCCCCTATTTGCGCGCACAGACCACATGCACCCTCTGCAGAATGACTGGCATGACTGACTTGATTTGCAGGATTGCAGGATCACAGAATGTGGCTTGAACCTCGCTCAACTCCTTGTTGACTCATGCCGATATCCGTGAAGTGGTCAGATATGAGGTCATCCCATCAGTAATTGGGCCAAATCACCGGGCCTATATTGCATTCTGGATTCGTGTCGTCACTCGTCATTATTTTCTCAAGGTTGCAACAGAGCCTGAATTGATTGCAACATCGAGACCGTCTCTCAAATTGCTGGATTGGGAACATGAACTCACACGTCATCACGTGGTCGTTTGCACGCTCGCAAAGGCGAATTGACCATATCTCTTATTCGGCCACTCGATTGATTGATCCGTCACCATGTCAGTTAGTAAGAAACCAGTCGCACAGACACTCGTTGGGTTGACTTCGTGAGCATCCTAGTGTACTATCTAGAGCTGCCGTCGAACCTTACGCAGTGACTAGTCGCCGATCACACTTGATATGACGGGCCGAAGGCCACTACCGCGGCAATGGGGATCGCGGATTGGGTTCATGAGAAACTGACAATTAAGCATCATGGTGGCTGGGAATGGGCATTGGTTCTACTGCGCTATCGAGAGCCAGAAGAATTGAACGTCCCAGTACATCCCCAGCGATATCCAAACGACGATGAGATTCAAAGCCACAGCTATACTCGACACACAAAGAAACGTCGCTCATCCTCTTCACCGACTCGGCTTGCGGCCGTCCCGCTTCCAACGGCATCACCAACCTCGCCTATGGGACATGCCTCAATCCGCAGGCCGGCGTCCTGTCCATCACCTTCACGTCGCGTCCGCTTTGCCCAAATAGCGGAACACCAATATTCCTAATTTTGCCCCATCAAGACTGTGCGTTCATCCGGGAGACATTTGAATCGAGTGGGGGCCGTGCCGTTTGAACTAATGCTGGGATAAGCGGATGTCATTCCCTAAACGGCCGGGGCGTCGGCAGCGTGGAGATTGCATGTCCTGCTTTCAGTGGCCCTGCGCCGGTCGCCACGGTCTATCTTGGGGAAGCGGCCAAAAAGGGAGCGACTTGGAGGAGGACGAGCGTGGTCTTGCTCGCTCTTCACGCTGTGGACGTCGTCCTGGCCTTACATAGTGTCTTTTGGCATGACGGGTGAATTAACATGAAAGGCATGTAGAGGCGGATGGGACTCGAGCAAGCCTGCTTGCTTACAGCGGATGGCATACCGTTGCCGGGTGCATGACGGAAACTTGGGTTAAAAGATTGGCGTTTTCAGTCAGTCATTCGCGATGGTCATGGTGCTCTATTTGAACATCGGCAAGCCCCGAGGGTTATCAACTGAGACGAACAGTGGAATGACAGGCACGATTAACCTGGCTCTCTACACCACGGTTGGCGATGTTTGAGTAGGGAGGCATGGCATTCATCAAGGTTACCTGAGTCGAACGTCTTTCTATAGCACTGTTGACGTTTAGTAAGTCGAATAGGATGGCCCTGGATGTGTTTGGACAACGTTGGAGCCTGTGCTTACGAACTTTGACGGCTCAGAGAAGCTACACAGTTGTATTCATTACTACTTATTAGGTATCTATGACAGCTGCCCCAGATCCGGCCCCAGGCGACTATGCACATTTTTGTTGAAGATGTGTTCGCAACGCCTGAAGACGCGGCGAAAGGTTGGACATGCGCGAAGACTCTCCCCAGCATACGACTAGTTATCTGTAGCTTGAAAGCAAAGATAAATAGACGTTTCGCCGCGAAATAACCAGAACAATGGTTGATGTAACTCATCAGAGAAACGACAAGTAGCGCTAGAACGAATATATTAGAGGAGAAAGGAAAACTCGCGATGGGAGCTCATCGTCTTGCTAATAATCTAGTCAATGGATCCGAACGGCATTAAGGAGCGGTCCAGTATAGTGTCATAGGTCACCCCGACCACCGTGAAACGGTACGGGTGGGCATGTGTGGTTCACGTTGTTCCACTCGGTGCGCTTGATGTTGTGCGTGAAGTAAAGTAGAAGGTGCTCAATGAAGGGTGTGGGCCCATCGTCACGATCTCCGTGGGACCCATGATGACGAGGACTCGTGACGCCGCACCTCTGATGCGTGCGGCAACACGGGTACGGTGGAGCTTGCCCTCCACCACACGGCATCCCACAATTAGAGTCTTCGTATTTAGCATCTGAAGCATAAGGTCCGTTGCGTGGCGGTCAGAGAAGGTAGGTTTCGCTGCCGAGGTCTAGGAGAACTCTTCGTTGGGCCCATTGACGTGTATTTGGAATATATAACCAATCCCTCTGATCTCGTGGCACCGTGATAGACCAAAGACAGAATGGGCTCAGGTACAGGCAGATCAGGGTCGGCCTGGTTCGGGTCACCATCTACATATTTTTCTAATTTTTTGACAGGTTATGTAGCGCAGACGGTATCCCAGGCATTGGTAGGTGCTATATGTCGTAGTTAGCTTATGATTTCAACACCGTGCGCCATGTTTCACATACCTTGCGGTTTGGGTACCGCGGCCGACTTCTTATGCCTCTTGCGAGGAGGCGACGGCGACGGCGGGACCTCGTATGGGTTGTAAGGCAGAATCCAGTCGCGAGTGCGCCTGGAGCTGCAGCTCCGACGGTGGACTGACCTGCGTCGAATGCATTGATTATGTCGTCTTCACCCTTAGGGCCGCGTTTGAGTGTGGCCTGGCCTGCACATGAGTACAGAGGTTATCAATCCGCGGCTCCTAAGGTTGTAAAGGTAAGGGGAGAGAAAATCCACGTGCTCATTGTTCTATCCGACATATATCTACTTAACCCCAGCGCCGACGAAGATCTATGACCCAATCAATGGCAAAGTATTGTTCTCCTTGCCTTTCCCTTGCTTCCAGAATACGCGTTGCATCTGGTTGACCAGGGTCAACGAAAGAGTGTGTTCTTTAGACCTATCGATGGCTGTTTTCGGGCGGGTCTTGCGATCTGCATGCTGTTTGGTAGAAGCAGAGATGAATCAGAGTGGAATTCCTCGAGTGCGCCGGTCGTCGATGAATGTGTACGGGCCATCGCATGCCCATCTCGTCTGTTGACGAAAGGAATGGAGAAGCAACGAGTTCTCAATAACAGCCCGCCGTTACGCTCGGAGCATTACGCACACGGGTCTAGCCCCTAGCGAGACCTGACCTGCGCCCAAAGCCGAGCCTGGGTTCCTGAGAAAGCAGCGTCATCTTTGTGCTGGTATATCGCCTTTCTTGCCGATTCCGCCTGCCGTCTGTACGAGCCAAACCGCACCTCTAGGGTGCGGCTATCTTCCTTCTCGGAAAGAACGAGGACTTCGTCGAGCTGGTATGTGATCCCACGCCAAATCCTCTCCAAGACCTCCATTCTGACAACCTCCTTAGGTCCCGTGACTTCGATGACTCGCGACTCGGATCTTCGAGGGCGCGGCGCCACCTTGATTCTGTAGAGTCGTCCCTCCGCCACCATGCCGCGAACCATTAGATTTTTGGCGCGGATCATTTCGAGCATCCGATTTGTCGAATCTTTATCGAGGAATGTTAACTTCGCTGCGCATGTGTGAGGAAATTCCTCATTTGGCCCGTTGATGTAGGTTTGAAAGATGGGACCAATGTTTCTGATTGCGCTCAGCAGCTTGTGGTAGGCGACATGCAGAGGTAAATTCCAAAGCCACAGCGAGACGCTCTGGGCGTCTGTGATATCCGCTGACCGATTCTCCGGCGCCATAAAGTTTCCCTGGTAATTTTCTTGTGGGACAGGATGGAGACGGTAGGATCCGGTTGCGAGTGTGAGTGCGCCTGGGGCTGCGGCTCCGACGGTCGACTGTGATGGCCCGATAATCCTTCGAGGGGCCGTCATTGCCAGTCGAGTTAAAATTCCGGGGGGGGGGGGGGTGTTCTCTCTAGAATAGTTCCTGATGCTAGTCCTTCGATGCCAAACGAGTTGCTCTCGCGGTTCGTCTCATTTCCGTGATGCGTTGGTCGATGCTGCACTATTTGCGATCCGCGTGCTGAGAACCAAATCTCGGGATTGATTCTGAGTTCCGTCGGCTCGGCCAGGTTGCGGTCATCGTGTCCTCGAGGCTCCATCTTCGAGTCTTCGCTGGTGATTGTGATGGATGGAGAAGTTCCGTGACTTTGAAAGATTACCTTTTATGATTCAAAGCTGGTTGGCGTTCAGCGGTGGAGGGGTGATTGCACGAAAGTGTTGTAGGAAGTGCCAAGTAGTAATCACTGAGGAGGGTGCAGGAAATGCAGCGAAATGGTTGCTGGGTAGGTGCGGGAAGTGCTGGCTGGTTGCTTGGGTGACGTTGAAATGGTCGCCGTGCAAAAACAATTTCTTTTGGAGACCCTCAAGTAACTAGAAAGATCAACGCAATGATGCGGAATGGAAGAAATACGTCTCTCATGGGGGTGGTAATCGAGCAAGTGGATTCGTCTGTATGCGTAGCTGAACCGACCGACGATTTTTCGCTACCTGATCGTTCAGGATTAATGGGAAAATCATCCGGCATAATATTTGCGTCATATAGCCTGATTCAATACCTGGCACTGTCTACATGGTGCCTGAGGGATCTCTTAGGAAAGTCGAAGGTGAACACTCCCAGACAAATACTTACTCTGGTACTGGCTTAGAACAAAAGACGGTGGGCAGACCCTCCAGACCCAGGAATATGCCATTATCTGTTCCCTCGAAGCTATGTATAGGTGTTTTGCTCTGAGCTACGCGCACACAGCTGCGTAAGGCTGCGACAATGGCATCGCGTACGACCGATCTCAAGAGTTCCGGACGGTATTCTGCCAATGTCTTATAAGTAACTAGACTATAGCTGACACATAAGTGAACGAATGTGACACTTGTATGTTTGATAGTATGCTTGATTGTCTCATTGCTTGTTTTTCTCCTCTAGTAAACACCGGTTCTCATGAGTCGAATTCAGCTTCTAGTCTGTAGGTGTAAGGAGAAGAGACCCCATGCCATGCCCACCAAGTATCACCAGCTCCGTGCCGTTTACTCTTATTCCCCAAGTATATTTTGCTAGTACTATCATCAGATTTCGAGTTTCACCTTTTACCAGGGCTCAAGTTGGATATAATGATACACTGACAACGGAACCACATTGCAACTCACCTACTTCAATCTATTTATGTTATTGAGCATTTCGACCGCAATGGAAGAGCATGGGAAGAGCCAAACCCAAATACCCCGAAAGACAACAGAAAGCAGAGCTCCCGTGCTGTACGCTAATAATCTTTCGAAACATGATCTTTCGCACCCACATTCCCGGCGACCAGTCTGACCAGCAAACTTCTTGGAGTGGCAATGTTGCTCATCCTAAAGACCGCCGCATGGTATGATAGCCTTGTCTTGATATATGCACGATTCTTAAGAAGCTGACTAAGAAGCTGACGTTCTTCTAGTTGAAGATCATGCCTCCGATCTTCAAGGTTCTGATTGAGAGCAAAGTCATGGATCCTACTTTCGCAATATGGCCAAGGAGGGTGACTCTGGCATTGGCAGTTGAATCCCATTTGTTAGCTAGGTCCATGATGGATATAATGGTACATTTTGTTGAGCAGGCAGTACCAGCTTGGCGTACAGCACGGGGGCTCTGATTTCTGTTGTCTTTCGGGGTATTTGGGTTTGGCTCCTCCCTTCCGGCCGAAGAGTTTAAAAAATAAAATGAATCGCTTTCATACCTCTTGAACATCTATCAGATCGATACAGAAGCTCATGACCGTTGACATGTTAATGAATGCTATAACTAGAATCTTACGAACATAATTCCGCTCGATGTGTCAAACAGAGCGTGGGGGCATTTAGATGGGTGAAAACGTATATTCTGGTGTAATCCGTGTTCTTGTTGTATCTCTGTGAAAATCCTTCTGTGGGCTAAGTGGCCCAAAAATGCCCTATTGGCCTTGTTGGTGCACTGCCACCTCCCTGAACGCCACGGTGGCTTGCGCGCCATTCAACACGATGTCGATGCGCTGCCGGAGTTAACGCGTGTGACATCGGCAGGAGTCCGCCTACATCCATTCTTCCCCGTAGGTGATAGTATATGAGGAAAGTAGATACTTATTTCGTATAAGGCTTTCCTTGCTCATTCCCACAGGGTTCGTTCCAAAGATGGTGACCGCCCCCGTTCTCTGAATGGACAAGATACGAGCATGAAGGTTGGGTAGCGGTACGATCACCATGGGCGACTACCCCAGGTTCAAGTGTGTCTTCGTCCGTTATGAAAGGTATCCGGCAAACTCCATCTGTAGACCACGATCCATCCACCGTCGCCTCGCCGTCTGGTTCTTCTGTGACGGGTACCGTGGAGGTGGCGCGGTGGTCGAACACTCATTACAACTCCCCGGCCCTCGAATGTCCAATGAAACCTCTAGATTGGATGATGCATTATTGTGCCTCGTGCGGCAGGCTGTGGCACATGCCAGACATGCGTCGAACCACACGTTCATGAAGTTGATTTGTGGGATCAAAACGCCTGAACACGAAAGGCGGAAGCCCTTTGGATGAATGAGAAGGGTGCGAAGAACTTGAAGCGAGACATGGACCATGGTCTCGCGCCAGACATTGTTCCGAAAGAAGTAAAGGGATGCCGATGCCTGGGTTCAGGCTTCGGGGTTTTCAGCCCAGGCCTCAAGTGACGTCCTGGCATTAACGTTACCAGAGATGGTGTGGATGCGGTGTTGAGGTCAATTGCAAAAATCGTGAGCTTTAAACTCTGCTCTCCGAGTTACCGAATTATCCCACCAGAAAACAGCAGTTCCTGTGTCATTGTCATCTCCGGTCATTACCAAACTTTCATCCGCTGTCCACTCCGCCTCAGACAGGGAGTGATCGGCGCCAGCAGCGTGTAGCCCACCTCCGCATTTTACTCGAAACGTGCCCCCGGGAACATTACGGGCTCTGCGGGTCCGCCGCGGGTGCCCGATTCGTGGAAGAAAGGGCAACCCCCGGGCCCGACCCCACCCAGCCGTAGAACGCCGTGATGCTTTCGTATCTAGATGCGATTCCGGGCGGACCCCAGTACTCGTCGCAATTAAAGGTGACGACGACGGCGATGGATCGTTGTCCCTGGTGAAGGTGATATAAAGCCCAACGACCCGCAGTCCGGTCAACCTTTCACGATCCTCTGGCACACGCATCGCCTTTACAGTCGTTCACTATAACCATCATTCGAAATGAAGTCCGCCTTCTCGCTCCTATCCCTGGCCCTGGCCGCCGGCGACGCGCTCGCTACGCCGACGCCGACGAAGACCAAGCGCGCCACGACGATCTCATGCGACTCGTTCGGCTCGCTGCAGACCGGCGCCTACACCATCTACCACAACAACTGGGGCGCGGCGCAAGCTACCTCGGGGTCCCAGTGCACGTACTTCACTTCGCTCAGCGGCAGCACGGTGGCCTGGTCGACCTCCTGGACTTGGGAAGGCGGCGCCGGCCAGGTCAAAAGTTATTCGAATGTCGCGCTGGAGAACGTGGGCAAGCAGCTGTCAGCTGTGTCGTCGATCCCGTCGACGTGGAAGTGGACGTGAGTAGACATCCTCTTTAGACGACGGCGGCGTGAGGTGAACCACAGCAAAACTGACACCTGCTGCCCATTCTAGGCAAACCGGCAGCAACCTGGTATCAGACGTGTCATACGACCTCTGGCTATCTGCAACGAACGGCGGCAGCAACGCCTACGAGATCATGGTCTGGCTCGACGCCTCGGGCGGCGCCGGGCCCATCTCGTCGACCGGCAGCGCGGTTGCCACCCCCAGCATCGCGGGGAGCAAGTGGAACCTGTTTTCCGGGTACAACGGCAATGTAGCAGTCTTCTCGTTCGTGGCGAGCAGCACCATCAACAACTTCAGCGGCGACATGATGGACTTCTTCGACTACCTGGTGGCGAACGAGGGCGTGCCGACTAGCTACTACATCACCTCTTTGCAGGCTGGCACTGAGCCTTTCTCGGGCGAAAATGCTGTGCTGACTACGTCTGCGTACAGCATCTCTGTTTCGTAGAGGAAGAGTGGCGAGTAGCGTCATGATTGTGTTTATAGTTGATAAAAGTATAAGCAAATACTCAGCAGCACTTGACAGTGTACAATCGAGTATCTGGTCGTGGAAGAGTATGATCCATAGTATCCGCGGGTCTTTGCCCTATGGTCGTCGCATGTAGGAAAGTCGGCTCCGTCTCGTCAATTTCCAGCTTGCGCATCGAGGTTCTCGGGATACGAACCAAGATGTCTCTACTGACGCTGAGTGATACATCTGACCTGTTGAGGATATGATGTCGTCTTCGTAGGACCGTCTCCAACCACGACAATGAGCCCAGGCGAGCCATTACCAGTTTGCTCTCGCGAATGAGGACCTGGCATGTTGGCTATTAATACGAGGGAGGATGTCCGCCGCAACCACGTCGAGAAGATACAACGATCGGCTGGGCCACTTGACTTCGCTGAAGCTGTCACATAGGAAAGGCAAGTCGATCTCGGGTCGAGATGTCGCGCTGGCACGTCGGGCTCTAAGCGGTGAAGGTTGATCCCTGTCGCATCCGTGGAGGATCTCAATTGGGATCTCCTCCTACTGATGAGGTCCAACGCACTGAGACAGTCAGACAGTGAGAGCGGAGCCACTTTGGCTCGTCGCGTGGGAAGAGTGGAGATTTGAGCTTCCCGTGAGACTTGACCTCAGAACACACACACCTTGACGTCTCCAGAGGTGCATGTGCGGGCATGTGATTATCCAGATGGCTGGTGCCCGTCTCGTCGGCGCGGAATATCCATCTTTGCAGTGTGAAAAGGGGGCGCAGGAACCCCACAGCTATAATTATACCCGTGGGCATCTTGGTCATGCGCCATTGCGTCAGTGTGCCCGAATTTGGGTGATTCGTTGGAGCAGCTGCTGGGCCCCGCTGGCGGCTGGGGGCCGTTTGGGTGTTTTGGTCCGTTTCGCACCCTGGCCCGGCTCTTCCTTCATCTGCACGGTACCAATAGCAAAGGTGGAATACCTTCGACCAATTAATCCGAAAGGCGACGGACCGCAGCCAGTGTTGCGTCTTGACGCGTATGATGTCTTCGAAGTGCGATCCTCTGGGAATGCAGACGCAGTACTTTCAGTATGTGTCCCTTTCGGTGAGACGGCCCTGAGCTGGAAGGCAGTCAGGCAGGCAGTCGGCAGTCCAGGTGGTATTGCCACTATTGCGGCATTGCCAGCGAAGGCCGACGCACATACACCAATTGTAAGCCGAGGAGGGGCTCCATCAGCTGTGCTTCTACTTCTTCACTCGAGTCCAGCATGTCAAGTGCTACACATTGACGAGCCAGATCTTGTCCTGTCCGGAGCCTACAGGAAGTCCTGCACTGGCAGCACTGGCAGTCTCACGAGACAAGCTGACAAGATCACGCTCAATCCTTAGCCGGCTGCTGCACGACGTGTCCGTGACGGAGTCCCACGCTGAGGCAGTGAGCCCAAGACACACAGGTGATGAGAGGGAGGCAGTTGGAGGATCACGTCCTGCTCTTACCGAACGCTGCTGGTGTCTGATGTGGAGAGGTTCCATGGATTCAAGCATTCGCATCCCGCATCCCGCATCCCCCGTCTCCATTTCCCATATTCCTACGGCGCTGCAGCACAGGCAGTGACAGGAGGCATTCTGGTGGCCGCCGGCTTCACGTGGGGATGGTAGGATCCGAGAACCAAGAAGCCCGCAATCCCAGCGCCTTTACCCTGATTCCCGCTCCCGGCTGCCAGCCCCTCACATAATTGATGCTACATCATACATGCTCAACGGCCTGCCAGCTGCCTGCGTCGTTTATTAATACTTGTACTTCGACCCCTGGGCACCCGTTCCTGTAGGATGACGAAGTTGGGCTCTTGCTGGTGCTAGTGTCAGCTAACCACCCCAAATTAACTCCCGGCAAGATCTGGCACTCCCGTCTTCCTCACTACCTAGTAGGTGTGGTGCGCGTGCTCTGCTGGCTCTTTTGACACTTGACACCTAACCTGCCTGCCACTCAAGACCCCCTTCAACCCTGGCACCCTGGATCCCGCGACTTGGTTCTAAACCTTATGGCCCCCCCTTGATCATCAACTCCAAGCCTCCTTGCAAACCTACACCTCTTCTCGCGGTTTACACCTCATCCCGCTGAACTCTCGACTGCGACGGACTCTCCTTGCGCCCGGAAAAGATAACCGTAGTGTTCCAGACTGACGGGCCGCAGTACTGTCACACGCTACCCATCATAGCGTTGTCCAGCGTTCCCTCTCAGCCCATACCTATTTCCCAGACTACCCCGCTAAGCGCGACAGCACTTCGGGAGGCTTCGTCCAAACTCAATTGACCGCTCCTTTGCCTTTCTCCGTCTTTCTGCTTTCTGTGTTTCCAACCTCAGCCCTGCTTGATAAGACGGACGGCCCACCACGGGGAGCATCTCGCAAACATGGCCTACAGGAGTAGCCGGAGTGATTTCAGCGAGCGAGGAGATTACCCTCCAGGACCCCCTCGGAGACCGCCGCCCAGGGAATTTGATGACGTGGAGTTCTACGAACGAAGAGAACGCCGTGGTCCGCCACCACCCAGAGAGCCACCCAGAGAATACGATGAGATCGAGATACACGAACGGGAACGCCGCGTCTCGAGTCCGCCGCCACGTCGGGCGCCCGTGCGGGAGTATGACGATGTGGACATAGACGTCCGAGTTCGCGAGCGCGAGCGAGAAGACCGCACTCCTGCATTCCTCCGCGAGGATAACCGCCGAGCTGAGGCTGGTCCTCTGGTTCTCCGGTCGCGAGAGATCGAGACGGTTGACCGCCGCCGACCCCGCAGTCCAAGCCCACAGCCACAGATCAGGTACCGTGAGCGCCTGGTCGAGCGTGAGCGAGAGAGATCTCCTTCACCCCCTCCGATGCCAATGCCCATGCGGCCTCGATACGTGGAACGATCACCGTCTCCTCCGCCAAACGTGCGAGTCGACACCCGCATAATCGAGCGACGACGAGAGCGATCGCCGACCCCAGAGAGGGAGCGAGACCACATTCGCCTACGTATTGAGCGTGAAAGAGAGATAGAGCGGGCTCCGTCGCCGAGCCCATCACCACCACCCCCTCCGTCGCCGCCGCCGGTCATTCGAGGCCCGACCATTGAGCGGGAGGTCATCACCCACTATCGAGACATTGACCACGGCAAGTCTTCCATCAAGTTCAGATATACCCAGATAGTTATGTAGTGCTAATGCTCAGCCAGGCATCGAGCGTATCAAGCCACCCAGCCCACCTCCAGCCCCGAAACCAGCCCCTCCGCGTGTCAAGCAACGGGAAACGGATATTGACATCTATACATCGCGCAAGGAGACCGACATCGACATTCGCAGTCGGTCCCGATCTCGCCCTCGTGAGCGACCTCGTGCGCGCCAACAGCCATCATATTATGATGACGATGACATAGTCATCCACAAGGATCGCGAAGGGGTTCGTATTTCCGAGACCCAGACCCGCCGTCGAGCACAATCTGCTGCGCCCAAAGCCGATTGGGACGACGAGGGTGAGTATATTACCGGCAAGATCAACTCGCGTGGGCGCATGGGCGAGGCCTACAATGGCGCAACCAACGACTGGACAATAGTCGACGTGCCACCGGGAACTGAGCGGGTCAAGATGGACGGTGTGGGAGGCGGCGGTGCCGAGGTAACCTGGCAGCGTTACAACGGTGTTCGAAGGGGCAAGTTCATTTCCGAGAGGGAGAGAGAAGGCACTGTCGTCAGTGCCAGTACCACGGCCGTCAGCGAGGCGCCGGCTCGCGAGAAAGAGCCCTCTCGTGAGCGCGAGCGACTCAGCGTACAGATCTACAACGGTGGACGTGAGAAATCCCGAGACCGTGATGTCGAAGTGGAAGAGGTGCGGGACAGACGGATCTCGATCCGTGACGGCGGCAAGGCTCCGACTCGAAAACGTAATGACATGTGGACGGAAATCACAAAGGATCTTGTGGTTCGTGAGGCTGTTGAGCGCTTGGGATATGAGTACGAGGAGACCGATTTTTTCTTCTACGTCATGCAATACTTGCGCTACGTAAGTTTTTTCTCCCCTGTGTTGACACGCTGTCGGCTAGTGCTAACCCGCAGACAGGAGGACGTCCTTGAGTTGGTCAACGTGTCGGATGACATTCGCCGAGAACGTAAACGCCGAGCTCGCGAGATCGAGTGGGAACGTGAATACAGAGACTCCTGGGAACGCCGATCGCACGCCAAAAAGGAACGAAAGTCCCTGCCCTGGGACAAGGTGGACGACGAGCGCATTGTGGAGCGCGAGATCATCTATGATCGTTCACCTCGCTACATGCGCTGAGCGGCGAACCCTTCGCACGAGAGCATTCCCTTGGCTTGTGGACATGCCGACCGCTTGGAACTAGCCACACAATGGAAGCCTCCGACAGTCATGTCCGCCAATATCCGGCGACCCGGTAGCCTCGTCTGTAACGGATCTGGTGCTATGAGCTTGGTCTAGCCACTGTATCTTGGACTGGAGTCGGTTTTGCAGATATTCATTACACGGGGACGATTTTTTTCTTCGGATGGGAGTACAGACGAGATTTTTGTATCCCTTTGTTTCTGTTACACGACGTGACGCCATATGACTGCAACAACACATAGCGAGGAAGTTGAAAGAGGCGATGAGCAGGATTTTTGTGTCTAGACTGCGAGCGATAGGGAATTGATGACTTATGACCATGACTCTACGTCCAGCGCAGTTGGTGGGTGACTTGACACCGGCACACCTTACTCTTGATTCGAACTATTCGGTTTGGAAGGGCGACTCTGTTCTGTGATTTCTGAAAAGCGCGGATAACTTTCTTTGAAAGTTCTGTGAGCCATCACTGCCCGCTCCGAAGCATAGTCTTGTATGTTTTCGACAGTACAGACCGAAGAGACACGGGCATTAGTGGCAGCAGCGACCTCACCTCTGCTGCTAAGCCTGTTGAAGATCCAGTGGTACCGTTTTCTGGAGTAAGAAATCGTCGATGTCGACGGGCCATGGCTGTCTTCGATAAGACTAATGCGTTCATTGTGTTAGGCGTATTTACCGAAGGACAGACAGCCTACTATATATAACGCTTTCGAGTGCGTCATTCTTCCCATATTTCGGTTTTTTGCTTGCATCTCAAGTGTACAGTGTACTTGCACCTTGATCGCACCCGGGGAGTACACCGAGCTCATCGTTGACGGCAGGGATGTCCACCTGGGAAACCTAAACCAGCTGATGTAGCAGTCGGGTCTTTGGAGAGACTCTCATTATGACCAGATCACACATCCGTCCGCGTATTCGAGACTTGCTGCCTACAGACAGTAGGTAGAAAAAGCACCCTGGAATAAGCAATCATGTTCTCGTAAGGCATGCTGATCGCTTAGGTATCGCAGAGTGCTTTTTCCCCCAGACTAAAAAATACTCCCTGGTATTCATGACCGGCGTGGCCGAGCAGTTCGGGAAGCTGTACGGCCGGGCATGGGGAACGCGTTGATTGGCTAGCCGCTGCAGCCAACACCCTCCCTGCCTATATGTCTTGGGTGTTGGCTGCGGCGAAAGGTAAGTAAGTTACTGCCCGTCACCTCCTAATTTTTGCCATGGTCTCTTCCTCGTCTTCGTTTGATCAGGAATCACAGTTCCATGATCCTACTGCGTCCTCTCCACGTACTTCCCGTTGGCAATGGGCGTCCTCGAATTGCCCGTCGAGCTTTTGGTGCTCATTGCTCAATTCCTGACCCTGCGGGATGTCGCCAGCTTCTGTCGCTCCTGCCACTTCCTCTGCGCCGTCGTGTCTCCAAACCTGTACTTTCGTGCCAGGAACGACGTCGACCTCCTGTGCTGGGCAGCCGAACATGACCGAGCTGCCACTGTCGAGAAGTTGCTCAAAGTTGGCGTGAACCCTAATCAAGTCCAGCCTCAGCCTATTGAAGAAGACTTCCACTTTATCCTCGTCGGGCGAGGCCTATCTCATATGTCTGCGGGGGAAACTCAGGACTACTCGGTGCAGCTGATGCTCTTGGAGCAAGAGAATCGGAGGAGGGTACTGATGGCTCGGGGGCAACCTTGGGAGCAGCAAAGCGGCGCCACTCGGCCATGGACGGCACTCCATCTCGCTGCTAAACATGGCCACAATGGGGTCTTCAAGTTACTGCTCGAACACGGCGCCAACATCCATTCGCACTCACGGGGAATGTGCCACTGTTTTCACCGCCGCGATAGCCCGGCCACCGCTTTGTGGATGCCTCTACACATAGCCATCTGCTGCGGACATGAGTCTACCGCACGACTTCTTGCGGAGTCAGGTGCCTCATTCCAAGTCTCAACCGAAAGTCGGGCCGATCAGTAATTGCGTGACGGCTCTGCATACAGCCAGCGGCAAGGGGGATATTGCTATATCCCGCTTCATTATGCACCACTACAAACCTCCGGTCAACGCCCTGGATCACCACGGTATGAGCCCGCTATCTTGGGCTTATCGAGAAGGCCACGGGCGGGTTATGACACTGTTGTGGCAAAACGGCGCCGACCTAGACGCTGATGCTGATGGCCGAGGTCGCACATTGTTGCTGGACGCATGCGCCCGTGGTCATTTCGCCGCTGCTTCTGATCTGGTCAAGCTTGGTGTCAACGTCAATAAGGCCTTTATGAGCGACGGCGCCACGTTGTTGCATTATCTTTGTGGGTTACAAGATGCCTCCTCACGATCCTTCTCGGGGAAAATCTGGGCACCATTCGACCTCGAGAGCCGTCTGCAAGGAAACTACAGACTCTGGCTACTACAGGCAGCGGTCAAGGCTGGAGCAGACATCAATGCTAGAGGGACACGGGACGGTCTCACTCCTCTAGCTGCGGCAGCAAGCAGTGGTCTCTTCCCCATCGTGCAACTCCTGCTCAAGTATGGTGCCGATACCGAGGCTCGAAATACTCGGAATGAAACTCCACTCATGTGTGCGGCCCAAGTGCTAATGACTAACTCACAATCTTCGGACTCATATCTCCGAACCCTGATGCTGTTGCTAGGCCACGGAGCCTCGACAACCGCAGTGGATGAGTCGAACAAGACTGCCTTGCGCGTACTATCCCTCTCGGATGCACCCTACATTCACAAACCTGCCATGGCACGACTGCTCATAGCACACGGGTCCCCTCTTCATCCGACTGACGCAACCGATTCTGATTCATTCATTTCGATGACCTTCAGATATGGTAATTTCAGGACCAGCCAGGCTTTACACGAATGTGGCGCGAGACCACCATCGAAATCGAACTTGGTCAATATGCTGAAGTATGCCGTCAAGGGCAATGACCCACCTATGCTTAGGTTCACCCTACAGTTCCATGATGCTACAAGGATACTAGCCACTCCAACCCGTCTTTATTGCGCTCTGAGGGACAATCGAAACAACGTGGCCAAGATGATCCTGGATGCTGGTGCACCCGCGTCTTATGTTGGGAATAACGGCTGGACATGCCTCCTACATGCGTGTAAGCATCAACGTAAGTTCGGATATGGGAACGTTGTGCGGAAGCTATTCGCTGCAGGGGCGAACCCCAATCAGTCCTCTAAGAGAGGAGAGACGCCCCTCAGCCTCGCGGTTGACCTATGCAATGTCGAAATCGTCGAGATGTTGCTCGACCATGGAGCAAACCTGCATGACGTACAGACCGGCCAAGAAGAAGGTGTCGCTCCCAGGAATGCCTTCATAGTGGGCATATTCAGCGCAAACTTGGAGACATTGGAGTGTCTGCTGAAACGCCGCCCGCTATGTGGGACGACCGAGGCCAAGCGTGCTGAATACATGTTCCTCGCCTGTACTCAAAACAACCTCTATCCGGCGCAGACTCTCAGAGCGCTACTTGGAGCAGGACTGGACCCCAAAATTCCTCTCATGGACCACGGTACGCTCCACTTGAACTTGGTTGTGAGGTCGCGGGATCTTGAGCGGATCCAGGTGCTGCTCGACCACGGCGCCGACATTCACAGGCCGCCTGCGGATTCGTGCCAAGATTACTCGCATCTACTTCTCATGGCTCACCCCACACCCCTCCAGCTTGCGATTCAACAAACAGAGACCGCCGACGACGGCATAGTGGAGCTCTTACTTCGGCACCAACCGTCCACAGGTCCGCCTCCGCAAGAACTGGCCGTCTCGTACATCCAGCTGCTCTGCGAGAAGTACCATTTCCACCTCTTCAAGAGCTTCTTCGACGCAGGAATCGCGCCGCACACCCGCAACGAGGACGGGGATGTCGCCCTCTCCGTGATGCTCCGTGTCTTTGGCAAGGAAAATAAGACGGCGCATGTGCTGCACTCCAAGTTGCCCCTCCTGGCCTTGTGTATCGGAACGCTGCTCGATCTCGGGTGCGACGCCAATGCGTGCAACACGGCAGGGGAGCGGCCTGTCGACTACATGACCCATCTCTTGAGGCCGGACACGAGCCGTGGCAAAAGCGACAACGCCGAATTCGATGCGGCTGTGGCGCATTTTTTGAGTGACCTTTTCTATATCCATGAGAAACACGGAACGATATGCAAGAAGGAGGGCCTTTGGAAGCAGCTGTACGAGAAATCGAGTGTGTGGCAGAGGGATCAGCCGGAGCCACCTCCTGAGCTCCATCTGGTTGCGTCTTCTCCTGGAGATGATGCTGCTCCTCCCCCAGGGGGTTTCTTGCACTCTTGGCAGCCTTGAGGATTGGAGAGTCCGTTGCGTTTACGAAGTGTGTTTGGGACTTTCCTCGAGTGTGCTTGTTCTGTGGGATTTGCTACGGGTATGGATGGGGATAGTAATATGATAACGGGATGGGAGGGAATTTGTCAAGTTTACGCTCGTCCGCGGCAATGCGCCAATGCGCCCAAGACCTACGGGAAGTTTGCGAATGTCGACCTAGAGAAAAGATCATTCCAGTATATGCTCGAGGTCTGCTCTGATATTATGGGGAAGAAGTCAGTCTTCGTGGGTACTCAAGCTCCAGGAATGTCATATACCTACCTACCTAAGCAGTCACTACTGGCCTTTGTCTTCGTCCTCATGCTACTAGGAAGATGTAACAACGTACGGAATCATATGATCTCGAATCAAGCATTAGCTGTTACACATATATGTCTACAGAAGAAAATACAAGAGACCTAGTCCACGTCACCATCTACATATACGATCTCTAGGTAAGCCGCCTTCCAAGAGCACATCAAGTCGAGGAAAATCCTCAGCTTTCTCAGTGAGCTCTTGGACAAATCCAGGAAACCTGTCAGCTTTCTCGGCGAGCTCGTGAAGTAAAGCAGGATTCGGAGCGAGGCCGTAATGACGAGCAATAAAGAGGGCATCTGTACAAAGCTGCGTCACGACAGCCCCCAGGCTGCGAGTGTAGACCTCGAGGGCATACACTGCCTTCTCGTGCAGCTCGATCTGCCGGACAGAGCTTTCATACCTAGAAATACCGTCAGTGCCTGTCTTGTAAGTTGGCTCCCGCTGTTGGGCTAGAGCCTGGATACTGTCCTGGAAAGTGCTGACTTTTCGCTGGACTATGTACAGCGGGGCGGTGGGTATGGAGGAGGGCGCGAAATGCGATACTTTGACGCGCATCCAGTTGACTTTGTCTGCTACCTTGCAGGTTTTGTGATATATGTCATCGATTCTTTCGCGGTCTGCAGCAGTGAAGATGCTGGACAGCGAAGTAGCCGTGCTGGGGATCACATCGCTTTCGGTGTTGGCATTCGGCACTTCAGGGCCTTCTACTCCAGGGTCATCGCTTGCGTCGGATGAGGTTGCGTTGGGGTTTCTTTTGGTGAGCCTGCGCCTCGGTCTGTCGTTGGATTCGGAGGAAAGGCTGGTGAGCTGCTTCTTTAGCCCGAAACCCAAAGAGTTTGACCGGGATAGAGTTGGTGGCACGGATTCAGAAGGATCCGACATTGTGTTGATGCGATTATTGGTTCTGGTCTGGTAAAAGAGCACTTTCAAGGGGACGGGGTGTTTGCTTTATTTGTACCTAGTCTTTCTTGACGCTTGTTGCGGAACTTGAAAGGGATTGTTCAGTATTACAGAGCATAGTATCCTGAGCAATGTCTTTGTTTCCGAGTCATGATACAGTTGAATTGTAGCCCAATTTGGCCATACAAAGAGGTCCCAAGTGTTACAAACCAACAAGACCACACAGGGGAGGAGGCCCGCGGACAGGCCAGGGTTCATTGGCAGAAAATGAACGATAGCACAACGCACGGAAGAAGGATACTGCGACACGGATCACGTGACCAGGGGATAGCTGGGACAGCCAGCTATCCACGATATCCAGGATCACTGGGATAGCCAGCGATCCCAGACATCCACCTTATCAGTGAGGGAGAGATTGGATATATAAGGATGGACATTTCTTAGTTAGACAGATAGACAGTCTCTACCTCAGTGATCAATCTAAGTATCTTAGCCAACCCTAAGGTGGGAGAAATCTCCTGACGACTCGACTATTCAGTGATCCCCTGGATCAGACCAAGCCCCAGCATCTGAGTGTCTTCTAGTTGACAGAAGCCTCTATCGTTCTTTGTGTTGACTTACCTCAGAACATAAACCCTATAGAACCCTTTAGCCTTATAGGTTAGACGACTCGTCACACCAAGATATAGGTTCATGGCCACACGATTTGTTGTAAGCGAAGACTCAGGCCGTTGAACGCCGTATGGGTACGAGCCAAACAAGCCAACATACATGGGAAGCTCTGAAGCATGTTGATGACGCCGTTGACCACAACTGATTCTAAAGTCTCCCATGAGTGCGCACTGCCAGCTTCAAAACATCGCGAACACCGAACCACGCACCCACTTGCATGTTGTCCTCCATAGGGAGGCCGTCTTAGCCACCAGCTATGGTAAATTTCCTAGATCCAAGCCATTGTCACTTACAGGCTGGGTGGAGCTCTTTGAGCTACCTGATATGAAATTGCCGCCGTCGCATCGATCAAAGGATATCTGAAGTATGGTCAATCGAGGTGTGGTCGGGTTTATTTTTGGTAAAAGGGGTTTGCTCCATAAACCCGCTCCTCTGTGAACTTTTAGCTCCTTTTAACTCCGCCCCGATAGATGACGCTAACCCCCTTGAGTAATATTCTGCGCCAGCTCTGTTAAGCCCGAAACTCCGCCGAGTGTCCCCGTCCCCGGATAAGTCGTGTTGGCTAGAGGGAGGGAGCCGCTCAGCTATAAAACCTGCCTGCCCAGGTGATGGCCATTTTGGGCCGAGTTGACTTTCTGTTTCTGCAACAACTCGCAAGTTATCCGTCGAACAGATATATCCGGTGTCTCACCTCTACAGTCCTGGTATCACTCAGCGGCATTAGCCTTTACCGATCACCACATACCGCAATGCCGGACGTGAAGGCCCTCCGCGCGGCTACGGCCAAGCTGCCCAGCGGCCCACCGCTAGTCGCCGCCTTCACCGGCGGCACCACGGGCATTGGCTCCTACATCGCCAAGGCGCTGGCCGCAGTCTTCGCGGCCGACGGCGCAAAGCTGCGCGGGTACATAGTGGGTCGCAACGCCGAACGCGCCGCCGCCGTCATCGCAGAGTGTCGTCGCATCAGCCCGGGCTCGGACTGGCGCTTCGTGCAGGCCACGGACCTTGCGCTGATCAGCGAGGTCGACAAGGCATGCGTCGAGATAGACCGCCAGGAGACGGCTGACCCCTTTCACGGCGGTCCCAAGAGGCTGGACATGCTGTACATGACGCACTGTTATCCCATCTTGAAGGAACGGTCTAGTAAGTAACTCCAGCTAACTAATGGCAACTCAGACCGCCGACGAGCCGTGTTGCTTCATACGTACTGACCTGCTCGATAGCCACAAAAGAAGGCCTCGACTCCCTCATCTCCACAACCTACTACTCCCGCATGCGCTTCATCCAGCAACTTCTACTGCTACTCACCGCGTCGCCGGTGCCAGGCCACGTCGTCTCCGTCTACGCAGGCGGCATGGAAGACGGTGTCGGCTCGAAACCGGGGGAGCCTCTACCAATTGGCTGCCCTCCACCTGAGACCTACGGTGTGACGGGAGTGCGCAAGCACTCGAGCTTCATGACGACCTTCATGTTCGAGGAGCTGGCGCAACGACACGCGGGGCGCATCAGTCTGTCGTACGTCTATCCCGGCCTCGTCGACGGGCCGGGATTCTTGAGTCCCGAGATGCCGCTCTGGTTCCGCATCGTCTGGAGACTGTTGAAGCCGCTGGCGAGCCTCATGATGACGAAGCCGGAGGATTGCGGTTTGGCTATAGTCTACGCGGGCTCGCCGCAGTACCCCGCCAGGGCCGAGGTTGAGGGGGACGGTGGGCTGAAGGAGGGCCCGAGGAGTACGACGTGGGAGGTGGGAGGAGGGTCTTATGCGTTGCAAGAAACGGGTGATGTGGCGAACAAGGGGCCGAGTTATGAGAAGGTTCGTAAGGAGGGTGTTAGCAAGCAGGTGTGGGATCATACCATGGAGACGCTGGAGCGGATCGAGAAGGAAAGTCGGGTGGCCTAGCCACTGAACCGAATCTGTTTGATTATTGTATCGCGGGATGCACGATTGCGGGCTAGTACTGCTTTCATCATGTTGGTAATAAATACCCTCGTAATTCATCTATTCGTTCACCCATATGATGGATCACAGCACGTCTGGCCATGGGAACTCAGCATCGTACACTTATTCTCGTTGATGTCTAGGAAGACTTGAAGAGAACACCGACGAAGTCACTGAAGGGACATGTGTAACTTGCAAGGGCTGGTGCAGGAGAGACTGAGATTAATACGGGCCAAGTAGAACCTCTAATGAACGGCATCCCCCACAGCTCTGTGTGTCCAGGTAAAAGCATCGCATAATCCAGCATGAAATCAAAACGCCTTCCCCCTAAGCCCGAACTCCGTGAATACTCGTGAGACCAAAAGAAAAGAAAGCAAAGAAGATCCAACAACCATTACGTCTTCCGGTATCCTCTCATCTTGTTCCCAGCCCTGCCGCGTCTGGGGTCACCCCTTGGTCATCTCTGTGTCGTTGCCAGGTGATTTGGGGGCAGCGTCTTTGGGGGCAGCTTCTTTGAGAGCAACCTCTTTGGAGGCAACCTTTGCTTTTGGCATCTCCACAGCTTTCCTACTCCTTGAAGAGTCTTTTGATAGTCTTCACAACTTGTTCATCGAAGGTTTCGTAGTCCATGCCACCCTTTATCGAGTAGGCCTCGAGGTTATACCGATGAGCATCTTCGACCCACTTCTCGAGCGCTTCCTTCCCGTATGTTGAAAACGGTATGGGCTTATTCTTGGTGGGCTGGTCCTCAGTGGGCTGTTTCTCGATGGGCTGGTCCTCGGTGGGCTGGTCCTTGGTGGATTGGTCCTTGGCGGACTGGACCTCGTGGAACTGTCTCAATCTGTCGATGAACTTTATATCGGCCTTCTTCATCCAGTCGGTATTCCTTGCAATGGGTTCGTAATTACATTTTATTTCGAAGGCGTCCTCGGCGTATTGGATTAGGTCAGCAAGCTTTGAGTTGGTGCTGTCTCTTGGGTCTTTGAAATCGGCCTCGAGGTCGAATACGAATAGACCAACATTGTCAAAGGCGGTGGATTCGTCGTAACCTGGATTTTGAATATCAGCCGTATTGACGGGTGAGTCAATGCGATCAACGGGGTCTGGGTCTCTATCTCTTTCTCACTGACCTGACATGATGGCGGAATCAATCTGAACAAGTAGGTCTGAGTCGGTGGAATGGGATGGGGAGGTGAGATGTCGTGAGATAACGATTCAAAGCTCGTAATGAGAGATGGTCGAGTCAATAGCAGGACTTAAATAAGTCATTCACGGCCCTTCAGAGAGTTGTTGCTTTGCCTGTCCATCTCTGTGGGCCGCAAACAGCCCAACATGCCTTCGGCTCGCCTGTCAGATGAGCAAAAACGTTACAACATGCTGGACCTCCACCAACCAAGGCCGGAAGACAAGCCAGATGTTATACCCGTTGTAACATCTAAGTATCGAAGTTGGTTTTTAACCTCAAGTATGAGGCTCCATGTATTCAAGCGGGTAATCACAACACTACGGCGTTGGAGCTGGGCTTGCAAAGGAATGTTAGTTATGCTTTGTTCCTGGGGTTGATTGCGTACCAAGTGGTTGGTACTTACTTGCAGTTGCAGGCCTCATCCCTGCTTCTGCGAACCGTTGGGTTTCATGCCGGTAGTTGGCCACGCTGTTCGGGGTTTCCGGCCGACTGGGTAGGGATGAATCGGTGACGCATGACTTGATGGACAAAGAATGATCTTCGCCAAGAATCTGCCAACACCCAACCGCTACATTCTTCGTCTAGGTTCCCTGCAATCCGGCTGCTATGAGAACTCGATAAATATCATTGCTTCAAGGGACATCCCAGTATCATGACGACTCGGCCTCATGACACCCACAAATAAGGTAGCAAACATACACGCTGCCACGGCCAACCCCGATCGATACTGTTGTATGGCTAGGTACCCAGATCAGTAGGAGGCTTCAATTTCCTGTTGGTTGGAGATTCACTGCAAACAGCCTAGCAACCAAATTCTCTCAGATTCGATTTCCTCCCACGACTGGACCCTTTCTACAACAACTCTCAGAGGCTGAGGACCTTCACCTACCATAATTCTTTGTCTTTACTTTCTGGATGCATTGCGTTGACCCTCTTCTACCTTGCGCTCGCATACTTCAAATCTACCGTTTCTCCTAGAGACCTGCACCGCGCCCTGACCACAGTCTGACTGTCTGCTGCAGATGCCGACCTACGAGTACCGCAGCATAGGTAGAGGCGATGTACCCTTCGATACCGACAAGCACGACTTGATCCCATGGACGCAAGAGCACTCACTGCAGTCCGCCACGTTGACCCTGCGGCGTTGAGGACTGATCAACATACATCACCAGCTTTCGTTTCGGACCCGTGTCGGGCGTTGTATCCAGGAGTACCATGGTCCGTCTAGCGAGTTGGCTCACACTTGGCCAGTGTCAAGTCAAGAGTACCCATCATACAAAGTGTACACTGGAGATACGGGCTTGAGTCGAATGCAGCCGCACGATATACGGATGACTTTGAGGTCCGTCACTCACTGCAGACCGTCCCATTCTAGATCACGCATAAGTGTAGGTTAAAGAAGCACAGCCTAAAGGGACGGACAAAGGATACACTGGATCAACGTCGGCGCAGGTCCTTTCTTCAAAATACGGTAAAAGCCACAAAAGGTCCTGAAGCGCCCCTCGCTGTGCTCCCGTTATCACGGTCAGCCATTCCGTGAATGGGTATATGCCCCCTTCTCGACCAAATTTGTGATACTTTGAACTGCAAAACGGGCCCAGGGATCTGCCCAACGCTCGCATCAAGTGATGAGGCACTCTCTGGCCCTCTACCACAAGCCACGCAGATCCCACCCAGTAGCTGGCCAGCCACCCATAGTGACACCATCTCCGGCTCTTGCTGCGAGTTGACCCGCGTGTAGACCCGCGTCAGACAACGCAACTGGCTGAATTCCAGGAGAAGCGGATACCTCATCTCGAGATGCCACAGCATAAACAGCACATATGGGTAGTCACAAGAGCATAATTCTTCAACATCCAGTAAAGGCCCGGTGGTGCAGTTGGTTAGCATACTCTAAGTTATCCGTTGTAGTGTACATTACCTTCTGTACACTAGTCAATCGAGAGCGGGCATAATGGTGGCCTGGGGGTCGGTCTGGGACGACACAACAAGAACGGACCTCCTCCAGACTATTATGGACGTTGCAGGGTGTACTTATAGAGAGACGCAGGTTCGATTCCTGCCTGGGCCGGATAATCTTTTTCTTTTTTCTGTTAGCTTTTTGCTTCTATCTCTTTTCTTCTACTTCTCCCTTCTCCTCCCTACCACCCATAGCGCTACTACATGTATTATATTTCCTACTTTCGCTATAATAGTGAGCGGTGCCTTATTTTTAATCCCCGTTAGAGCTGGCGTTAAACCATGTCGTGGTGGTAAGAAACTTCTGCTTACACTTAAAGATACGTTGTGGATTAATACTGGCAGACCATTTGCCGCTGCTTCTATGTCGTCGTTTTTTAGATGTCGTCGGGACTGCTAGGACTTGGTATCCGGTGGAAAGCTCGTCTGCGCCACTAGGGGTCCGTTTGCGGCGTCACCGGGTCTTCTGTGACATTTCCATGTCGTCTAATTCTTGAGGTGACTTGCCGTCATTTAGGTTGCTACACTGAACCCTTATAAGTCTCCATACACCACCCGTCTAGCCAACGACGGTATATTTATGGAATCGGAATAAGCACAGCGGAATAAGCATTGGAAACGGCTCATCGACCTGGAGCTGATTGTTCCTGTCTGCTTATGCGAGTATTTTCAAATGATTAATTTTGCAGACAATCTAGGCCAGGTCACGCGAGGCCCGACAGTGATCCGATATAAGGGACAACTGCCAGGCCCCTCTGGAGAGGCTCACGCCCGCCCAATACATGCAATCCCTCTCAACCACCGGTAGCCCAATGATGTGTGCTGTAGATTTCCACATGCGGTCTAGAGTCCACCTAGCATTGCACGCACGGAGACTTATGAGGGCTGTGTGTACCTACACCTATACCCCGCTCAAGCAAGAAGGATGTCAAAGCAATGTTTTCTCCCTCGGGTGCACATACATACGACGGCGCATCACTTGAATCAAACATATCGCAAGTAGCTTTACAGGGTCCGATTGGCTGGCCAAGGAATTGAACTGGTCAGGTCTCTGAATCCTGTAGACCCAATGCGCCTTCCCTTGGCCTTGTTCGCCGGCAACGGCTACGACCGGAAATCGGCTTCCGCAATTCAGGATCCTTGGGCCCCTTTACACGGAGGTTTCGTAGGCATCGCTGCCCAGCTGCAAGTGTTACATCAGAGGATGATTTCTTCAGGATGGGAGGGGAAGACTCCCACACCGCTATTAGGTGGTATCTACAGTGGGTCGGCAGGATTTTGGGTCTGGTGGTCCTACATATGAGAAAGTTCCCGTCGCGTAAAGTTCGACCTATTATTACCATCCATTGCAAGTACACGTGGATCCGCTAGCCATTAACGTACTGGACACCTGTAGTATTTATTAGGTGCGAATCTCTTACTGCTTTCCCCGTTGTCCCCCTTTTGCTCTCAGCTACTGTACGATTGACAAGTAGCTCGCGTCTAGAACCGCGAAACAATGTCCGCAAAGCACCCAACCCCCGAAGAGTATCAGCGGGGCATCGTCACGAATCATTCTTCCCGCTTCACGCCTTTCTCGCTCAAACTCGCCAACGGCGGAACATTGACAGGCATCTCTCACATCCCACAGAACCCAACCATCTCATATGAAGCAAAGCCCCTGCTCGTCGGCATCCACGGCGGAACATGCTCAGCCCACACTTACGACGTGACGCCAGAGTTCACGGCTTCGACATGGTCTGAAAGGCTGGGAATTCCATTTCTAGCCGTCAACCGCCCGCATGTCATGCACAGCAGCGGATGGCGGCTCGACCGCTCGTCTGACGACCCAGGACACCCTGCATTCGAAGTCAAGGAAGAGAACAGTTTCTTCGAAGAAGAAGCTCGCTGGTGGCACGAATACATCTTACCAGCCCTGTGGCAAGAGTTCGCGGCCCCAAACGGATGCAATTCCATCGTCACTACATCCCATTCACTAGGCACACCGATGACTATCCTGACCGCTTCACTCTACTCTGCTCAGGCATCCCCAGAGAAGGGGGAGTACAAATGGGCAGGCCTGATCGATTCCGGCTGGGCAGAAGCCAATACGCAGCGATTCTATAGCACCTTCGGCCAGGAACCCACTCGTGACCCGGATGATATCCCGCTCAGCCACGACCCGAGCATCCACGCTCAGCCGATCAGGAAGGAGGACAAAGCAGACATCATGCTTGGACCGAAGGGCATGGAGCCCGACCCCAGTCTGCGGGAGCTTCTCGCGAGCGGCAGTACACCGGTCCTGATGGAAGAGAGCATGGCTATGGCGACATGGTGGCCACAGAACAAGGCCAAGGCTCAGGCGGGCGTCAAGATTCCTGTGCTGTGCGCACTCCCGGAATACGATTGGGCGTGGCAAGGCAGCAGGAGGAACATCGATGCTTTTTGCAAGGGTTTTGTGAATGCGCCGCGGGTCGAGGGTGCGTGCGTTGAGGGCACTGGGCACACTATTGACCTTGGACCTTGTAGGGACGGCTGGTGGATCAGGTGCTATGGGTGGGCTTTGGAGGTTGCGGCTGGGTTGGCTGTGAGGGAGAGGGAGGGCAAGCCCGAGAACTTTGAGCAAGGAGAGTGGCCGAACTAAAGAAGTTGAGGTGCCTTGTCGATTATGAACCGAGTGCAGCCCGAATGCTCCATGACCACGCGACAATGAGCTGCAGACTTCCTTCCTGGTCGCTTCCGCAGAGCTCGGCCTAACGAGAGCTGACTAAAATCAACCGGGCTCTTCTATCAAGTTAGATGTTTGCCGATCTAGCTATCAACTCACATCTATGAACCCTCGACGACTGTTAACCTGGCTCATGAAACAAAGGCAACATGTGCCCTCGCTGCCTCGCTGAGCTGCGCCGTCGTCGCGACGTTGACGAGTGCGTGGAGCAGCGATATCTCAAAGTGCCTATGGGGAATGGGGAAGCATGTGTTCGAATATACTTATGGAGTCACTCGCCAGTCACGTTCAGGGTTCAGGAAGAACTGCAGGGTTCGACGGCTACAACCTCTGATACGGCGCGACAGCCGGGGAGGCTTGCGCGTTCATGAATCTCACCCTTGCCTATTGCGGCATTGCCGGGTACCAAGCAGCGACCACGATCGGGCTTGTTCGAGCAGTCGGCGAGCAATCCTGCTTCTGCTCTCTATCTCTTGTGGGCTCACCCCGCGTATCTCCAACTTCTTCGCTCACCACTATCGGACCCCCTGGCACACGCGGGGAGTTCTGCTTCAATAATGTCGCGTTCGATTGTGTGCAGATCCCTCCCGCGGCCCGCCCCTGCTCTGCCCGCCCGCATCCCGCAACACCAGCAGTAACGGCAGGGCTGGTGTGGATCTTGCGGGGACCCTGGCGTCGTCAGCACCTCATACCATTGATGGCGTGGAGGATGGGGTGCGAAATGCATGCGTCGAACAATATCGAATGCGCGTTATCATGGCCGGCGGGGGAGTACGCGGCGGGTTATCTTGAGGGAGTTGTGTAGAGGGGGGTCGGCCTCTTTGGACGTCTGCCATGTTTCCTTCACTGAGCTTGGAGGAGTAACCGACACTCAAGCACATCCTTCTCGCTCCCTCATCGCCAGGTCTGAACAGCGTTTTTGTGACCATGTTCTGGCTTCCGACTCTCCTCGGCCGGACTGCCTGGTGCGACGAGATGGTGACCGACTACACAGCGTACAACGGCGCCGAGTACGGCATCTTCCCGCGGCTGAAGTTCAAGTCGATCGACACGGACGCGCCGATGTTGCAAGCGAGCACGTGGAACAAGGAGGCAATGTCGAAGACGGGATCGCACATCTTCTTGCGACACGATGGCCACCACGAACCTGAGAAACCGCTGGATTCGGCGCTGCTGATCTTGAGCGCCGAGGACCTCAGCGTTGTTTATATCAACCGCAGCTTCGAGGCCATATTCGATGTGCGTGTGCAGCAGGACTTCAACAAGAGCTATCTGACCTTCTATGGCGGACCCATGACGGAGGTTGGGCTTGGAAACGGTTACGCTCCTGCGTACGATGAGAACTATAAAGAAGTCTACCGCATTGCGCCCCAGAATCTCAGCGTCAAGGGTGATATCCAGTGCGTATTCAGAGATTTCTTCGACTTACTTAGAGGTGTCTTGAGTGGCCACAACTTCTAGACGTGGAAGCCCCGAGATGATGCGGACAAAATGTTCACTGACTCCAGCTCTACTTTAGCGAATGCCAATTCATTGGCAATGGAAGCGTCATGGTCACGGCGCACGAGACCATACCATGGGACTTAAGCCATATACGGGGAGGCGCGAAGCTGGCCGCAATCGTAGACAGCGTCTTCCAAGAGATCGAGCTCGAGACGAACAGGGTACTCTTCCAATGGCGAAGTTTTGACCACATCGACATGGCAGGATCATACGAGAAAATCAGCCGACGATGGGATTACTTCCACCTGAACAGCATCCAAAAGGTACTCGATCTTCACAATATCCGGCTTGGAACATGAACGGTACGCTAAGAAACCATGACAGAGCAGAGCAGGCAACTACCTCCTCTCCGCGCGCCACACGCACGCCATCTACCTCATCAACGGCACGACAGGCGAAGTGATCTGGACGCTCGGCGGCGCGAAGAATGACTTCGTCGAGCTGGCGCCCTTTGGCGACAACAGCACGCTCGAGGCCAGTAACCCGGCCCTGAGCATGGCGTGGCAGCACCACGCGCGGTTTTACGAAGACAACGAGAGCGAGATCACCCTTTTCGACAATCACGTGCTGGATTACAACGGGTACAACTGCAAGCAGAACTGCTCGCGCGGACTCCACCTCCGACTGGACAACGCGGCCGAGCCGAAGACGGTGCGTATCCTCGGCGAGTACCTGCACCCGCAGGGTCTGCAAAGCCAGAGCCAGGGCAGCATGCAGGTGCTCGACGAGGGCAACGTGTTTGTGGGCTGGGGACGCAATCCCAGTTTCACGGAGCACACGAAGGACGGCGAGGCGGTGCTCAGCGTGCAGTTCTCGCCGTGGCGGTCGGCGGCTACACGTGGAGACGGGCTGGACAATTACCGCGCTTTCAAGATGGACTGGAATGCCACGCCGTACTGGCCGCCGGACATCGCTGTTGAGACGCAGGGTGGGAATGGGAGTAGTATCGCTTATGTGAGCTGGAATGGGGCTACGGAGGTTAGGTATTGGGCTTTGGTAAGTGACTTGCCGCACCACGATGGTTCTCTTTCACAGAGCGACTCTTCACTCACTTTCTCTTGTGACTTTGTCTGTCTTGGAAAAGGGGCGTCAGACTGATCACGACACTCGCAGCTCGCCAGCAACTCCACCTTGGACCTTAACGGCGCCGCCAACGTCGTCGCCAAGCTGCCACGCAGCGGCTTCGAGACTGTCATACCCCTAAGCCCCATCGAAGCGCGATATGCGCGCGCCGCCGTGCTCGACATCAACCACAACATCATCGGCTCGACGCGCGTCTTCGACGTCGCCGCCGGAGACATCCATGCCACCAACTACAGCATCACCGACGTGGGCAGTCTGGTCACGACGGAGGTCGCCACCGCGCTGGCATCGAAGGTTCCGTCTACGGGGTTGGGATGGAATGTAGCAATCGGCGGCGTCGTGCTTTGCGCGCTGGCGTTGGCGGGTGTGTCGTTCTGGCGCACCAAGTTGGCGGACTGGGCGGTTGTGAGGGCGAAGGTCATGAGGATTTGGCGTTCCACGCGTCTGAAGGGGCTTTCGACTAGGCTTCATAGGAACTGTATGGAGGAGGGCGGCATTGGCAAGAGGCTTGACGAGGAGAGAACGCCTATGAAAGCCGAGTTTGCGGCGCGGGAAGGTAGTTGAGAAGCCCGATCAGAAGCTGGACGAGAAGTGAAGCTATAACTTAGGGTGCCTTTGAATCATTACCATGGCCTTGTGGTTCAGATTGCGCTCGTCCAATTGAAACTGAAAAGAACACTCGTGGTAATTGCTATGGTTGCTGTGTTTGTCATGCAGGCAGGGTATTTGCTTCCAAACAAACGACTTACATCCCACACATATTTTTCACACACCTACCTCCTCATGTTATACTGCGATACCCTGCTTTTGTAGATTCTCCTTGGGCATCAAAAGCTTTTTTAATCGGTATAATATAAAAGCTTATGTCGAAGCTTATATCAAGGCTTGTATCGACGCCTGTGGCGAAGCTTATATCGAAACTTATATAAAGGCTTATATCAAAAAGTTTAAGTAGTAGTAATACCTCTGCTAATAATTTAAACAATGTGCTTACATCCGACATAATAATGAACGTATCAGGAGGGTTATCATGTACATATTTGCACTCTTACAAGCGGTCGATATTTACGCTCGGTAAATAGCCCAGAAAGCTACTGACGAATGGACCCCCGCTCCTTTCCTCCAGTCGTGGTACAGATTACGACACAGCACATTCGGTGCATGCAATGAGGTCGTCGGCTTCTTCTTCGGCATTCTAGATCCCGACCTGCGCGAGCAGTACGTCAAGGTTGCCAGTGAGGTTAGCAAACTGGGGTACATCCCCTTCGAGTGCCGTCGCCGAGACGAGATGTTCGTCATGAGAGCCGCGCTTATCAACGTCATGACGAACGAACACAAGGATAACGGCGACTGGCAACACGGGCTCGCGGGTCTCGTCCCGGTCGGTGACTACCAAGGCGGCGACCTCGTCCTACGAGAGCTCGGCCTCCAGACCGAGAGCAAACCGGGTTGTGTCCAGCTACTGCAGGGACGCGAACTGCGGCACTCCATCACGAAATACCTAGGCCAAAGATTTGTGGTGGTAAACACAACCCACGAGGCGGTGAGGCGCTGGGCCTTTCGGCAGATGGGCGAGCCGGTCAAGACGGACCTCACCAGTATTGTAGAGAGCTGCGGCAACATCTGGCCAGAAGACACCCTACCGGAAAACCAGAGAATACTCATGGAGCAGAGTAGTGATGATCCGAGCACGGGTTGGGCTGTAAAGAGGCAACGAAAGGCGTAGCCAAGAGATCTGAGGGAAAGGGTGACTGTTGAGTATTACGCATGTGTGTATGAGGCGAGGAACCTTGCTATCTGCTTGGATTGAGGTAGGATACATTGTGCATTTGATGCATCTAGGTACGGTCTTGTGTTGTAAACTCCCGCTTCTATGTAACCAGCACTTGGCAAAAAGACTTGTCGAATACTTATGTACTGTACACGTTTGTGAACTCAATCTTTGCACGTGCTTCCGAGCTTGGAGTCGGACCCAAGAGAAGGTCAAGAAATAACTAAGTCTCCCCGCTTCGATTTGTACGTATCCGAGCATAAGGAGTGGCACTGGCTCGGCTCGGCTGCGGTCAAGAATCTATGCCGGGGTAGCATTACCTATCCTCTCCGTGGTTTCGTTGCATAGCCGTTCTCCTACCAACCTCCTCTCCGTTTGGATACCTTGTATCAATTATACAAGTAGCACCTGCGCCTTACTACAGCACATGTGTCAAGACAAGTGGAATTACAAGCCAAGCTTCACTCGCGCGGCTACTTTGACGCAAGATAACGTTGCATATTCGTGGCACACGCTCTCACCTCCCTAGCTCCATCTCCCACCAAGGCAATCGGAAGTTGGGGCAAGTTGACTGGAAGTCCGGCGACGCTACATCTTCTAGCAGCCGTGGATGCCTATACCGAGGACCTCGGGCCGCGCGTGAGACTGAATGGACTATCAGGGTGTTGTTTCAGCTTCCTCAGAAACTGAAGCCTTAAGAAACTCAGAGTCGTCGGACACACTGTCATACAGCACACGAAGGGCGCCAGCTGTCTCTACAGCTCGTGCATTGGATGTGCGTTTCTGGATTAATCGTGATCGGGAATATGCCAGTGGTATTGAGAGTATAAGGATGTTGTAGGTGGATAAGTTAGGAGCACATTGAAGCTGCACGTGCTTTACGGGTCGATGCGGTTGCAACTTGCATGCTGCACGATTGGCTGCATAGATTATACCAAGCCCCAAGCCCCAAGCCCCAAGCCCCAACCAAGCCCTGTTGCAGTCTGGGACGAAAGAGGGCATTACTATTTTGGAATCTGGCCATGCATTTGCCATCTGCACCTCAACGATCCTGGCAGTTCGAGGCAAGGGCTACCTACCAGGCTACACTCATTGGCGGTCAGGAACGCACGGACCATGCTGGAATAGGCGGGGGTCAAAGCTTCGATTGGTGCGGCTCCATGTTCAATATTGCCGGGGTACAAGGGTAAGTAAGGTACTGAGTACGTACCGCTGCCCCACCAAAGGTATCGTCCCAACACGCAAAGTACCTCATACGGAAAGAGCTGCGGACTGCTGGGGCATTTTCTTCTCCCTCGGCAGGTGCAGGTGCAATGACGCAGGCACGCGTTCGACGCGACATTCCGATTAATTGATAGAATGTTTGCCCATTGACGATAAGGAAAGGTAAGGTGTACGGTGTACCTGCCTCGGGTTGATCTGCTTGCCTCTTCACCTGTTCACCTGTTCACCTGTTCACCTGCCTGGCTCTCCTGGGTACGAACCACCTCAGCCAGAAGAAGCTCCAATCAAGGTTTTGGCACTGCATCTGCGAACCCGGGCAACCGTCGCCTGCGTCTAAATCCTCTCTCCGCCGCGGTCTTCCTTTCACCCTCACATCCAGACTTCCTTCTCCTCCCTCCCTTTTCTTTTTTTCCTTTTCTTTCTCACGCCTGCCGCCTTCCGCCCTGCGCCTTTCCCATCGGCCGCGATACACGAAGAAAAGGAAGGACGCACCCCCAATCAGAAGTGCAAGCTGCCCATCTGTTGTTCAAGCTGCTGAACCTGCAGCCTGCAGCAACATTTGGGTGCGACTGTGGACTGTCTGGTTGTCTGGTTGCCTGGCTGCCTCGCTTTGTCTGTCACTCAACCGTCTCCTACCTCCTCCCGATTCCCGAAAGCACCCGTGGACCACCGACTGCGCTGCGCCCAACCCCAAACCTCCGCCTCGTGTCGCGTCGCATCGTCGGTCTCAGCCTGCTTCGGTGTGCGCCTGAGGTTGTCCGCCTGCTATCCTGCACCGCACGCTGGCCACGTATTTAGAGACGCCTAGCTGCAGCCCCGGTAGTCGTCGAGGCCGCAAATTCCATGCTGCACACGGCGTCTTGCAGACAAAGACGGCCACAACGTATCACGGCAACCACTACCACTAATCTCTGCTCGCCCTGTTTGTCCGCATTCCAACATGGCGCCACCCGCCAATCCCCTCGCCCCTCCTGCGGCTTCACCGTCTCAGCCTGACCCTGCGACTCAAGACGAACTGGAAGATGAACTCTCGGTCCAGGGAATTCTACTAGAGTCACTCATAGGCTCTGAAGAGGATACTCCTGCCAAGAGGGCCGAGATCGAGAGTGACATCCGACAGATCAGACAGAGGCTTGCAAAGCTCAGAGCACCACCTGCGCCAGGTATTCCAGACCTCCCACATCATATCTCATCTCTGCTTGAGCACCCACGATCTCTAACCACTACTTGCCAGGTCTGTCTCACAACCCTTTTACAGCCATGTCCGGCTTCAACAACCACAGTGTGTCCCATCTCCACGGCCTCTCCACGCAACGCATTTCTCGGGGATTCCAGTACTGATTGTTACGTTTGGCAGGACCCTATCCTCAGTTCGGTGCGACCATCAACCCCGACATGCTCGACCCCGACTGTGATCCATGGGGGCACCCTGGTAGCCTGACGGACCCATTCGGCGCGAGTAGAAAACGAGCATTCGGTGCCCACGATAACGATGAAGACTCCGCGTCTGCCGGTCCTTCCAAGTCTCGGCGGACGACTCCATCTCCCCTGATGAGCGGCTTCTCGAAGCCTTCGCATAGCCCATCTAATGACATCCAATTCATTGACCTTACTAGGGACGAGTTTGTGAAGGGTCAGAGAGCGGGATACGAGACAATCGGCGAGAGAAGGCGAAGAGAGGCCGAGGATGTTGCAGTGGCTAGACGCCTGCACGATGAGATTAACAGATCGGAGTCCTCGTCGTCAACGCTCCCCTCGTCGGGGCCGACAGCCTTTGATCGTATGAACCATCAACCATATGCCGGTACCCAAGCTATTAGTGGGCTTGACCGAAAGGTCAAGGCGGAATTCGTCAACGACCAGTCACTCGCCTCACCATTCTCATCTCGGATTCCCAGTCATGTCAAGGCCGAATCCCCTTCAGCTCGTCACACTTTCGGCTCACCTTTCTCTTCCCGGACTTCTAGTCATGTCAAGGCGGAATCTCCTTCAGCATCACACGTCCGAGATACACCCGCAGCCGCCAATGGAGGACACTCCGCGACAAGCGGGACATCTGTGCCTGCCAGAAGTCGCGCCAAGATGCCGGGAGCCTTCGACAGCGACTCTGATGATGACTTCTCAATGGTTCCAAAGTCCGAATTCGATCAGGCATCACATAGTAGCAATCTGCGCTCCCACCAGCCGTACGGTGGCTCCCATGCCTCTTCTCCTGCTGGTCCAGCGTTGAACGGATACAGTGCGACTGAAAGTGCCCGTTCAGCGGCTCTCAGCCGTCAGAGTATTGGCATGCAGAATGGATTGCACAACGATGGAACTAACACCTACGCCAGTGGATCTCAATCCCTTTCCTTGGCGAACCCGGCATTCCGTTCCGCTGCTACGCTCGGTGTAGGATCCCCGTGGGACGGTCTTCCGGGTACTCGACCTGGGGTGTTATCAAATGGTTCTGCCAACCCGTTCCAGAACGGGGGAAACCCATATGGCGTCTACCAGAATGGACTGGGCGTTCCAGGTTCCGGGGATAGCCTTAGCAACGTTATCGGCCGTACTGGTGGGTATGACTACCAAAACGGCATTGACGCTTTGGGAAACGCATTACCCGATCACGTGCGGAGCTTTGTAAACGACTTCATCGAGGACCCGAGGAAGAATGAGGAGGAGATCAAAGAGCTCCTAGCCAATATCCGTCCCGATATGGAAATTCCCGAGGAGGATCGAGAGCAGACTCCAGAGGAGCTCAAGTATCCCCTTTACAGACACCAGCAAGTGGCACTTTCTTGGATGAAAAGAATGGAAGCCGACGAGAAGAAGCTTGGTGGCATTTTGGCCGACGACATGGGCCTCGGCAAGACCATTTCAAGCCTTGCTCTCATGGTCACCAATAAGGCGCAGCGCCCTCCTGCTCCCGGCAAACGTTTTGTCAAGGTACTCTCTTCTTTCCCGCTTGACTGCTCTAAGCTAATGCTACTTACAGACTACCCTCATCGTTGGGCCGCTGGCGCTGATCCGCCAGTGGGAGCGCGAAATCCAGAAGAAGATCAAGTCACGCTACTCTCTCAGTACCTATATACACCACGGCAGGAAGACAAACTATGACCAACTCCGCACCTACGATGTCGTCCTCACTACCTACGGGACGCTTGGTGCTGAGCTTGGAAAACTGGACAAGCACACAAGGGACGCAACGGCGAAGGAGGGCGGTTACGTGGACAACGCTCATCTGTCGCATCTCTGCCCGTTGATTGGCCCCTCGAGTATGTTCTACCGCGTCATTCTGGATGAGGCCCAATGCATCAAGAATGCCAACACGAAGACTGCGAAAGCAGCCAACCACCTCAAAGCGCAGTATCGGTGGTGTCTTTCCGGCACTCCAATGATGAACAATGTCTCGGAGCTGTTTTCGTTGATCCAATTCTTGAGGATCAAGCCTTACTGCAACCGGGAGAGGTTCCGCCGAGTAAGTAAAGCGGTGTAGACCTTCTGACATGCGGCTAATGAAACTGTAGACATTCGGGTGCCTCAGCGCTGAGCGAAGCAATGGCAATAGAGATGAGTCGATGCGGGCTCTCCAAGCGCTCCTCAAGGCTATCATGCTTCGGCGTAGTAAGACTTCACAGCTAGATGGGAAACCCATCATCGAACTTCCGGACAAGATCGAGGAAGCAGTCCACGTGGTCTTTTCTGATGACGAGCAGCAGTATTATCAAGACCTGGAGAAGAACAGTCGTGTCCAGTTCAACAAGTACTTGCGGCAAGGCACCGTTGGAAAACACTACGCACATGTTCTCGTCCTCCTGCTTCGACTACGACAAGCCTGTTGCCACCCCTACCTTCACATCACCGATCTGGAATTCGCTAACAACGAAGTTCCCGAGGATGCTATGATTGCTCTTGCCCAGACCTTAACTCCCGAGGTGATCAGGCGTATCCGGGAGGTTGACGGGTTTGAGTGCCCCATATGCATGGATGCCGTCGAGAACCCCTCCATCATGCTCCCCTGCGGTCATGACGTTTGTTCTGCATGCTTTCTCCGACTTACCGAGGGCGCTGCGCAACAGAACCTCCAAGCTGGCCAGGAGAGTGGAAACATGCATTGTCCGGAATGTCGTGGTGATGTCAGCACTCAAAAGATCATCACCTACGACATATTCAAGAAGGTACATATGCCTGAGACGGTCGAAGAGGAGGCACCAGTCGATGATGACGAGACTGCAAGCGACACCGACTCTGACGCAACCGAATCTGAATCGGAGCAGGCAGACGATGCTGACCGTCGCGGTAACCTTAGGGGGTTTGTCGTGGCGGACGATGACGAGGGTTCCGATAGCGACGAGTCCCGAAGGAAGTCCACGGGCAAGAAAGCCACGCCTGATGAGGATGACGACCAGATTAGTGATCTGGAGGATATCAGCCAGGCCGTGGAGCGAGCGAGCAAGATGAAGTCCGGGAAAAAGGCGAAGAAGTCCAAGTCCCAACGCAAGGGAAAGGGCAAGGAGAAGGAGAAGGAGGAGGAAGTTAAGCCCCACATGCTTAAGCAGCTGCGAAAAGAGGCCAGTCGCAATAAGGAAGCACACGACCGCTACATGAGGTACCTAAAGAAGATATGGCTGCCTTCAGCCAAGGTCAACCAGTGCCGCGACTTGATCGCCGAGATCCAGAAGACGGACGAGAAGACCATTGTGTTCTCGCAGTGGACCATTCTCCTAGATCTGCTGGAGGTCCCGATCAAGTATGAGCTCGGCCTTGGCTATCGTCGCTACGACGGCGGCATGTCATCTTTGGCGCGAGATAACGCTGCTCGTGACTTCATGGAAAACTCTGACGTCAAGGTCATCTTGATCTCGTTGAAAGCCGGCAATGCTGGTCTCAACCTCACGGCAGCGTCGCGTATCATCATCATGGACCCCTTTTGGAACCCCTACATCGAGATGCAGGCTATTGATCGCGCTCACCGCATTGGCCAGTCGAAGCCGGTCAGGGTCCATCGCATCCTTATTAAGGAGACGGTGGAAGATCGCATCGTCGCCTTGCAGGAGAGAAAACGAGAGCTGGTTGACGCGGCACTGAGTGAGAAAGCGTCGCAGTCCATTGGACGTCTTAGTGCAGACGACCTGGCCTACCTCTTTGGTGTTCGAGGTGTTCGTTGAGGCCTTGGGGTAGAAGCGTGCAGGGATTCCTGCACGTGCCTTACCACACGCGATAATGCGTCCACTCACCCACCACTTTCACTTCCCACCTGTCAGCCAACTTATTATTCTGGTCACGAAACCTAACGAACTCTCATGACGGAACCCTTGGGCATGATCCTTGAGTCTACTTGGACTATTTTGCTATCCGACTGCATTCATTTTCTGCACAGTTTCCTTTTCTATTGGCTGGCATTTGATGGCTGCATGGCTCGGCGTCTCTGACATAGACATCCGCATTGTGGCCGTGGTCATGATAACAGATGGGTGAACAGTTGTGGACCTGGCGTACGAATGACAGTTCGACGGCCCTCTTAACCACTAAGACGTTTGGTCTCGGAGGCAGAGATGATACCCCATGGTAATAGACGGGCCAGCTTCACAGCACGGATACGGGATCACAATGCAAGATGGCAGTCTACTGGGCTCTGGGCTTTTGCAGAGATGTGTAGAGTAGGGACCCTACAGAGGTACGTAATGATTGGCTTCCGAAAAACGATCTGTTCCATGCTTCGTGATGATTGTTCTTCTGGTGACTGGGCAAAAGGTCTGGCACCGCTACGTTCCACGGTTCCTCGCTTGGTGTCTTTCTGCTCGCTGACTTTACATGTCCCTGCTTAGTGCAAGGTCAAAAGGCAAGCACTTGTATACTTTCATTTCGGCTTCATTGCCCATTTTTCTTCTCGGTTATTTCAATGTTGATTGTTACACTTTGGCGGACCTGCGAATACACTGCTCTGACTCCGCTGAGGAAAGGAAAGCTTTCGTTCCTGAAGAGTAAGTGACATCAGGGGATGAGGTTGACAACTCGACGGGACAGAAGTCAGCGAGTGTTAAAGATTGTCTGTCCGTAGGGCTGCAAGTAGCTTTGGACTGTGAGTAGATTGAATTTGGTGTGCTGTACGTGAAACCAGCTTCAGAGGAGCTGCTGATTACCTTAGGGTTAGGTAGGTGTCTATATACCTTATTGCTACAGTCATCCATCCCTTATAAGTCTCCGTACGCGCAGGCACCTCTATCCCCCTAAATCAGTAAATGTAATGAGTTCCGACGGACTACATGTAAGCATATTACATATGAATGATAAATTCGGAAAACCCACACTTCATCAAAAATATCCCTATCTGGGGTGTCGGTCACGTATGGTGTGCACGGAGACTTTTGCGAGTTCAGTATAATACAAATGCAGCCAAGTCCAATATGAAGGCCGCAGCTTCTCAATATCGTCCGCAGGGGAAACTTCAGCACACGGGCGGAAAAAAAGGACACAGAAAGGGAGAGAGCAAACAGGAATAAAATCACATGAATGAGAAATTTTGATTATCAACTATGTACAGACGTAAATGGCAGCATGTGGGATACTATCTCCTATCGTGAAGTCATTCAAGGCGGACTCAAATCCAGCAGCACTCCATGCCACACACGTCCAGTACGGGATCATCCGCCCGGCCAGCCTGCACTGTTGTGCACCTACAATGCCCTCAATATGCAGTGCTTCCCCTGATTAGGCGTTTGACGGCAGTAGCTGGAGTATATCAAATACGCGGCCAAGAGCGAATGCCATGCCCAACAACATCCGATCCCCTCGTCGAATACGACGGGCATCTGTCAATGCCGTAGACATAGGAAATTATGAGGGATATGGTATATCCTTCTCTTCCCCAGCCCGCGTTTTGATGCCGTGGCCGGCTTCCTTCCGTACTATATCCTCTTGAGTCGTAATCATCTTATCTTCTATCTATACAGAGACACCACCGTAGGAATGCGTCAAGGCGCCTCCTTGTAGTGGCCCTCGCCCATCATCTCCACCGGCCGCCGTTGCTCTGGCATCTCCTGCGGATTCGTGTGCTGGGGTTGGGGTTGAAAATACTGGAATTGCTGCTGAAATTGCTGCTGGCCCGGCTGCTGCGTGGCCTCGGTCGGTGACGTGTTGGGGTACGTCCACCCGTCTTGCGGGACCAAGCCCGGCTGCGGTTGCGTGTATGCCGTCTGCGGGACTGCGCTGTGGTCACCGCCGTATGGTCCTGTCTGCTGCGGGTATCCTTGGGCCTGGGCGTACGAGGGCACGGTCGGCATCGGGTAGCCGTTTTGGCCCGTATACGTGTCTTGTGGACTGCCCGGATGGCCCGGCGGGAATGCGCCGTTCTCCGTGTTGACATACGTGCCCGACTGGCTGTACGTTGCGGGATACGTGTGCGCCGAGGCTGGGCTCATGTACTGCATGCCCTCGCCTTGTTTGGCGGCTTCGTCGAGCTTGCGCTGTCGGCGGCGTAGGAAGCAGAAGGCGGCGAGCATACCTCCGAGCGCGATCACGCCCAGTGTGACACCTGCACTTAGGCCTGCCTTGGCAGCCCCGCTGAGTCCTCCCTCGTCATCATCGGCCGAGGGCGATGAAGGCGTGGCGCTTGCTGATGTTCCGGTCGAAGAGGTTGTTTGCGCCTGGGTTGTGTTGGAGGACGGGAGCACGGTGGACGCGGCCCATTGGCCATTGTTGCTGGCTGCTTCGACGACCTTGCCTCCACTCATGTAATACAGACGGATGGCTTGTGTGGTGTAATCGCTGGCAATGGCGAGCTGACCACCGGCCGTGTCGGCTTGCGGCCAGGAGCTGTCATCGGCCCGGGTTGACATGAGCCACCCGGAGTTTCCATTGTACACCTGGTACAACTTGTTGTCGGTGCCTATATAGAAGACGTAGCGGGTCAATGAATTGTCAATGCCAGCCGCGATCGACGTTGCGGTACCATCCCAAGACGGCAGGCTGTATGAAGTGACGATGGAATCCAGTTTCAAGTCACTTGCGGACGTCGCATTCGTACTCTGGTTTCCAGTCTTGGTCAACGGTTCTGGAAAGCTCTCTGAGGTTACTGTCAGTATTTGCGGCCCAGCACAACCAGGACATATTCGTTGCGAACGTACCCAGGTGCCAGGTCTCGTCACTGTAATATCTGGACACTCCTATGTTCTTCTCGTCCCGCGGCCTCACCAGGGTGATGTTACCGTCGCTGCCAGAATACACCGAGCTGATGGCCTGGGACGAAGCTACGTCATGTGATACCACGCCATAGTAGCCCCATTTCTGCGAATCGGATGTATATCCAATCTCGTGCATGACACCGCTCAAGTCGTTGTAGAATACTCGGTAGCCATCGGTTGAACCCAAGAGTGTCGCGGCGACGGTCGAGGTGGGCGCCACCTTGGGTGCGCCGTTCGATATGACATAATCGCCCGTGTTCTGCCAGCGCCCAGTGTCCCAATCGCATTTCAAGAGAGAATTGACAATGTCGTCGTTGTTGTCCATGTAAAACATGGACACCTAGGATGGGGTCAACACTCTGTCGCTCAGCTCACGGTGTTCATCGTCCAGGCCAAGCGATTGGAGTGCGCGGATCCCCTCGTCACTCCACCACCAGCCCGCGATCGTTATGGCAAAGAAATGACCTATTCTACTCACCCAGCTGGTCGTGCCGTCCATCCATCCGGTAGCAGACAGGCTCGAGTTCTTTTTGGGCGGGTTGTTATCCAACGGCATTGTCATGGTCGTGTCGTCGGGCAAGATCGGCGTGTAGTTGCCGTTGCAAAGACTGTATCGAATTCCACCCGTGTCGTCGTCCTGCAGTATGATACTCGGTCCTCGTGAGTTCCACCACGCGGCAATGGAGCCGCACGACGCTTCCCCCACTAGCACACATATTGACAAATAGAACAGAGAATGAAGTTTGAAGACCATGGTGAATGCCAAGAGGCCCGACGGCTCTCTGGTTGTCCGTCCGGCGCGGGAGAGGGATTGGGAATGAGTACAGAGCAGAGGAGACTAGACCATACTACACGGTGCCATCGCAGAGGGCATCGATAGGGTAACGAACGATAGAACCAGAATCGCACCAAATGGAAAAGCGAAAAGAGGGAAAGAGGGAGGAAAGGACGGTCAGGAAGAATGGAGCAAGGTTGCGAGGAGATAGACAGATATGAGGGAGATGAGAGGCAAGAAAGCTGAACGAGCCGGTCGGTCCCGTCGCGACAGGCACCGTCGGTTGACCAGAGTCTAGTTCAGGTCCCAGGATGCGGTACAATGCCCAGTCTCCAGTCTTTTAGTCTCCAGCGTGGTGCCAGCAGCGGAGGCGACGTTGCATCCCCTGACCCTCGCCTGCCTGCCTGCCTCGCTCGCCTGCCTGCCTGCCTCGCTCGCCTCAACACCCTCGATAATAATAATGGTGGTAGGCTGTAGCCTGTAAGGTGGGCCAAAGGGACCGAATAGCTCGCACTCGCAGCAGTGGTGCATCTCATCAGCAGCGGTCGACGGTCACTCGGTGCAGTTTGGCTATCGCAATCTGGAAGTTTGAAGGATCCTGGCCCCGGCCCCTGGCCCTGGGTGGGAGTCCAGTCCATGTGGATCACTCCTAGTAGTTGTGGCCTGATTGGGCTCACGATCGTTGCCGACCCCTGGCCGGGTGTGGTTGTGCTCGAGCTTCGGAACGCGCCAGCCGTGACTGCTTCTCATTGTTATCGAGACGACCAGAACGACGAGACTTCAGGCTGCAGCTGAAGCACAGAAGCCTGTGATATGCCTGTCAGGCCTGTTTGATTGTCGCCCAGCAGTGACTGACAGCGTCCTGTCACCTGTGTCTCTGAGGTCTGAGACGACGGCCTGGTGTTCATGGTTCAGGGTCTCGTCCGAAGTAGGTAGGTGCTGTAAGCTTTGGCTAGCCTGTCGCAGGTTTGAGCTGACGGCGGCTTGGCTCCAAATATAGAATCATACTAGGCCATGGCCTATGGCCTATTCCATCAGCTCGGATATATTATTCGCACATCTAGAACAATATAATTGCCACCTGTGGAATCGGAGGATGACATTGTGACGATGATGATGCTGCTGATGCTGATGCTGATGCTGATGCTGATGCTGGTGATAGAGAGCGTGGAAGGAACAGAGGCCTTGTCTGTAGGCTGTTCTGTACGTAATGGAAGGCAGGGGCATTCCTGTCATCAGACAGCCCGTCTTGGCAGCCCCAGGGTTGAGAGAGCGCACGTGCTTGATCCTGCAGGTGGCCCGACCGTCCATGTATCATGTATCATGTATCATGTTTGATCCTTCGAGGGCAGGCACCCACCTGGGCAGTCACAGCCAGTCAAGCCACTCTTTGTTAATTACCTACCTATCAATTAGGTGCCTTTACTCCGTCGCTTGCGCCACCTGCGTGCCCCACCCGTTGCCCCAATTTAGAAACATCATGAATGTAGATAGATTGATCGTTGTTGCACCGCAGACTGCTCTGTTCCCATTTCCCGGGTGATCTCGAGTACATATGAGAACTGTTGCACAACATGATGATCATCATGGGCAGATCGGTAAGTCGGCATCAGTGCGGCGCCGTCATGGCCGTTTCAGAGGCCCTTCTGGCCCTTCTGGCCTTTCTTGCATTTCTGCAGCTGCCCGCTTCAGCCTTCTGCGCCTGCTTCTCCTGCTTCTCCTGCTTCTCCTGCTTCTCCTGCAGTGCAACGCTTCCACCCCTTTCGTAGACGGTGTTTCGCCTTCACTCATTTGATACGGGCATCGGGGATGTCGGTCAACGCACCCACCGAGGTCACGGTCTTGAGACAGGGGCGACCAACAAGAAGTATCAAGGTCCAAGGAGGCCACAGGTGTATCTTAAGTTCAAACTCTTGACCCCGCGCTCTAGACTGGTTCGCCAACATGCCCCAAGTTCCAAGAGCACCTCATCTTTGGTTGCCCCTCGCAGTTGATTCCAGCCGTCCGGTCACCGAGCGTGAGGGGCTTCCCGCGAACTAGCCGCGGCCGGTAACCTACCCTATCAGGCTATCAGCTCGTGCACCAACTGTACTATAGTACATACCCACCTCTACAACAATCCCAGGATGCCTCCCAAGTGAACGTGGGCTCTAGCGTGTGGGATCGCCCGTACCTGACATTGGTCAGCGATACCTAATGGCCCTATCTAGTATCCGCAGCATTAGCCGTCCTCCGGCTCCTCGCCGACCTTTCTCACAGCCACATGCACGCACTCGCGGCAGCCCCGCTAGCCTCGGCCGGACTCATGAATCTTGACGTCACGCAACTTCAAGACTGAGGTCCCACCACATATGGATGCAGATAGATCGGACGGAACACGGGGATTACCTACCTCGCAGTTGAAGGAAGCCCCCTCCCAATCCCTTTGGATCCAAGTTGAATATTAGCAGCCGCCTGCGCCTGGATCTCTTTCTTTTCCCACCCAAAAGTAACCTCACTCCAGTCGGCTTGTGGGTTTCTATAAAAAGCTCACAGCAGAGTGAAAGACCGAGGCAGACTCGCAGAGGCTGTGTTTTCAGCTTGATGCCAGCTACTCATCCAAACAATTGCCGCGGGTAGATGTGAGCTTATCTCGCTTCCCGTTACCTTGATTGGCTCTTTATTACCTCGGTAGTACTCTTTGAAGCGACCCGAGAACGAGGGACTGGAACAGGTATTCTCATCCGAGGAAAACTGGACCTTCGCTGTGCACTCGGGGGAGCTCCGCCTCATTGTTCAATGAATTGAAATCGACACTTCGAAGGGGAAAAATGGTTGTCAACAGAGCAAGCACCACCACTAAGCCTCAGCCCACGATGGTGGTGACCTCGCTCGCAGGCGCTACATTACTTTACCTTCACACCACATTCCCTACGATCATTGATTATGCCGTGGAGGCCAGGTTCCAATCGCAGATCCCTTTCATAGATGGCAAGCCATCCAGCCATACATAGCCTTTCTAATCTTGGACGCCGATCTCGTCGGCACCGAGGGAGCATCTAGACACACGCGGCGGCGAACAGGGTTCGGGAAGCGGCTCCCTCCCGCAGCCGCCCGCCGGGGGCTCGCACGTGTATTTGCCGTCCTCCGTGGTGCGCTCGGCTTGCGATTGGAGGTTGGTGGCAGGCGATTATAGCCGGCATGTAACCCTTAAAGCCCTACACCACGATTCTACTGCCTACACACCAGGCCATCTGTCGGTGGGATTGTCGCACCGCCAATATGGCCAACACAAGCGTGACTGAGGACGCCGAAGTCGAGGTTGAGCCCCGGTTCGACGAGGAGCTGGGTCCAAATTCACAATTGAACCTACAAGATTTTGTCATGGCCAATCCCACCCCACGATTATGAAGAAGAAGTCCTCGACTTCAGAGAGAGTTGATTTCAGTATCTACTTAGGTAGCATCACGTGGAAGGCCAAGGAGATCAGCATGGCCAAGATGCCGGACGAGCATATTTCCCCCCTGAGGACGCCCCTGATAAGGTCTACAATGAGCCGCTCGTCGAAGATGATGGTCTCGAGGTACCCGGAGATGAAGAGGCAACTGCTCAAAGCCCCTTTTGATGAGGAATCCTCTGGTGGTGATGATCAGGAGGAACCGAGAGTAGGGACGGGATGGTGGTTCGAGTTCAATGTTATGTCTGCAGGTGGGAATTGAGATCTTTCCAAGCGGTAAAATGAATCAATCAAAGCGGAATAAGCAGCTGTTTACTGCTTATTCCAGTCGTTGCACGTAGGATAAACGACTTATACCACCTGCTTATGCCCATCCTCGTGGCCGCCGCTTGCTTGCTTGGTATTCTTCCTCAATTTCTGCTTCTTCTTTTAAACTGGCTTCCTCGTCGCGAATGTAATCCTCGAGGACACTTCCGTCCCCTCTGGCTCCCTACAATCGCGCCATTCGAAGGATAACCCATTGTAACTCTAGGAGGTCAAAGCTTGGTGCTGGTATGTCTTCCTTAGGCATGATGTCGAATACCTGCCCAGACAGGATGGGTCTATGTGTCCTGAAGTCACATAGCCCTTCGTCGTCTTCCTGGAATAGGCTCGTTGGACCCGTGTCGATAGGCATCCTGGTCCGAGCATCACTTATGCCCGTTGATCTGAGCCAATGGAACTCGACTCGGACACCTCCGTTTGGCAACTCCTAGATAGGCTTCAAGGCGAACTTTCCTTCACCCCACCATTGGTGCAAGAGACTGCACATAGATATCATGTTCTGCGGTTGATCCGTGATGTTGCCTTCGTTAACGAGGAGGACCTCCTTCCAGCGTCGAATAGACTCCCGCCCGTACATACTCCCGAGAATCCCCAGGGCTTCGCGGGTACAGCGACGCGTTGTAGGGTTGTTAAGACTGGAGTGCGGGAAAATGTGACATACCTCCGGATTCGAACGGCCGGTGATGACACAAGCGTTGTTACCGCGCTGCCTGCAGTGTCCTGCTTCTGTAGATTCTTCTTGGGCATCAGGAGCTCTCTTAGTCGGCATAGTGTCGAGGCTTGTGTCGAGAGGCCCGGGAGTTTTGGTTAGGAAGATCTCGAGCAGAAGTGGTTCCTTTGCCGACAACTTAGATAGTGTGCTTATAGACATTGTAACGACGAATGCACGGTGAGGTCGGTCCGGCATATTTTTGCACTCTTGAAGGCAGTCGATATTTCCAGTCAGAAGAGTCGCCCAGAGCGCTGCCGTCATGATACCATCTTCATCCTCGGCGATGAGTGATCGCTTGATTTCTCTGCAAAGGTCAAGTCTTCTTTCGAGTTCGTCGATGTGCGCGGGTACAGTGTTACGAACCGGCCTCGCGCTGATGTAGGAATCAAGTTGGTCGATCTCTTCGATGAGGGTCGTGGGATGCTCTAGGAATGCTGCAAGCCTCTTCGAGATTTCCTCCCGGCGCTCATCCGTGATTTTCGCCATTACTGTGAAATTTAGGAATGGTCTGTATTAAAAGGGGAATAAGGATAGCTGATGGGGGTTCCATCCTACTTAAATAGGTAGGAAAGGCACCTCTGACAGCAATCACAACAACGCTAAATACGCTACTGTTATGATATCTGACAATTACGAGAGAATCGAGAAGACGGGAAGGCGGAAATGATGGCACAGAATTGTGTTTTTGTAGTGCGCGTGACACGGTTGGAGTCTGAAGGGAAACCTTGATGCCAAAGGTAGTAGGCAGACAGCCCACGGAGAAAACCTTGAATTGCCTCTAGCTCACAATACTCGCAGCCACAAGCCATCAGAATCCCTTTTTTGTTGAACATATAAAGAGTCTTCTTGATTGTATCAATGACGGAGGGGGCTAATATACTACCTAACCTCTTGATTAATCCAGCCCGCGCTTGGTGTCTTTGGCTATGACGCCGATCAAACTCTTCTCTGGTAACGGATACTCAGGGCGGCCGCCCAAGATGTTAACCACGTCCTTCATGTCCAGCCAGTGGGCAGATTTCGGTCGTCGGTTCTTCCAATCCGTCGCATTCTCTTCTAAATCCTTCATGCCGGAGAATACCACCGCAGCGCCTTGTATGCCGATGACTGACGCGCTCAGAGGCTGTTGACTGATTTGATCAGGCGTCTCGTAGCCCTTGGGGCCAAACGTCTCCAGGTGCTGTATGCACTTGATGGCAAGTCTCACGGCACGGCTTCGGTCCATCGGCGAAGGCACTCCGCCTTGTTGGACATGACCCGGGATGCTGTCTCGGGCCTCGAACCGATCGTGGGCCTCCTCGCGGATGATGTCCGCGATAAGTTTAGCACTGTAGGTCTTACTCGCCTTCTCATTGACGAGCACCAACCTTCCTGCTCGAGACTGGCCCTTGTCCTTGTTGAAGACTTCCTTGAGATGTCCCACATCGGCGTTGAGCATCGCCAGGCTGATTCCTTCCTCGGGGATGTAGACAGCGCTGGCACCAACACCCAGTCCAGCAAGGGTTGCGACATACCCTGATCGCCCGCCTTGCGTCTCGATGACGAACACTCGTCGTCGTGTAGCAGATGCCGATTGCTTGATCTTGTCACAGTAGGCAACGAGCTCGTTCAGGCATGTGTCAGACCCGAGGGAGTACTCTGTGCCGGGCACGTTGTTGGAGATGGTGGCTGGCAATAAGGTAATTGGGATGCAGAGCGACGGGTATCTCTCTCTAGCGATGCGCAGCTGTGACACAGCATGGAAGGCCTCGAAACCACCGATCAGGAATAAGGCATCAAACTTGTACTTCTGGAGCAGGTAGGCAATGTGCCCCATTCCTGATTCTTCGGGCAGTTCGCGATTCGTTCCAATCTCTGAACCGCCCTTGCTGGCCCATCCGTCAACCTCGAGCCAGTCGAATGGTCGAACCGCTCCGTCGCTGTGGTGTCGCGCGAGACCTGCAAATCCGTTGTGAATCGCTATCGGCTCATGCCCTCGAGAACGACAGTAAGCTACTCCAGCTCGGATTGCCGCATTCATGGCGCCAGCCGGGGCTCCGACGTTGATGAAGCCGATCTTCATTCGCTTGTCTTCTGGCAGGTTAATGTCCTCGTCCAGTCCCATCGTAGTCGTCATCATGTAGGACTTGTATTGGTCCGAGAACTCGGTGTCGCGAAGGGCCATGGCCTTGTCAAACTGCTGCTCTTCGATGAGTTTCGCGACTTCCTGTGTCTCCTTTACGGCAGACATGAGAGGTTTCCTGGTGATCTTATTCTCGGTAATAGCGATGAAGCAAGTCTCGGTCTCAGGGGTGGCGTCCAGTACGGCCTTGACAGCCTCAACGCCCTGTAGTGTAGCGAGCATTCTGTCGTATGCGACTGCTGTTCCTCCTCTTTGGACGTGGCCGAGGGTTGTGATGCGGGTGTCGAGAGCCAGACCCTTCTTGTCGGCTAGGAGGTTCTTCACCATGTCAGGGGTGATCTTGCCGCCATGGCGATCTCGAGCGCCTTCGGCAATAATGACGATGGTCTTGCGCTTTCCCCAATGTCGGTGCTTCAAGAGTATTAGCCGGGTTCACAAAGGAGGCAATGGGGTGAAAGTGAAACGCACCTGTTTGATGATCTGACACATCTCTTCCTCCCAGTTATCTTCCCTGGGCTTCTCGGGTATGAAGACGAAGTCGGCGCCGGTTGCCACACCTGCCATTAGTGCGAGCCAGCCGCAATGTCTTCCCATGACCTCAATGACAAAGGCTCGGGAGTGTGATGAGGCGGTGGCCTCGATGTAGTCGACCATCTCGCAGATACGGGCCAAGGCGGAGTAGCAACCAATGGTGGCGTCTGTGCCGGAGAGATCGTTGTCGATGGAGCCCACCAGGCCGACGATGTTCAGGTGCTGGTAGGGGGCGACTTGCTCTTTCGTCAGAGAGCCGGTCGAGACGAGCTCTTTTACGAGAGATGGCCACTCTTGACGGAACTTGTCGGCACCAGTGAGCGAACCGTCACCACCACAGATTATAAGAGCGTCGATGCCATTGAGGATCATGTTCTTGGCGGCGGTGAGTCGACCGGGTCGTTCGTAGAAGGCCATGCATCTTGCGGTGCCAATAAGGGTTCCACCTTCAGAGAGGTAGCCGCGTACATCGTTCCATTCCATCTTCCGGATCAACTTGCCGCCCTGGACGAGGCCTTCGTAGCCTTCGTAGATGCAGTAGGCATCGCATCCTAGATAGATGGCCATGCGGACAACAGCTCGTATGGCAGCATTCATACCGGGGGAATCACCCCCGGAGGTCATGAAGGCGACCTTCTTCTTGACTTGGGCCATGGTGGGCTTCGTAGGTTGTTGACGAAGATGGGAGGTAGTATAGGAAGAGGTTGAGGTGGAAAAGGTCGAAGTAGCTGGCGGCGGACCAGATAACTGCAGTCGGTCAGGCGACAAACGGGTGGTGATTCTAGTCGATTGTCGGTGGGATAACCACCTAGGCCGGGTGCCCGTTATGGAAGCTATTGTCTCAACTGCCAATTGCTTAGCGGGAGAGGTTGAAGTCTATAGGCAGCAGGAAGGGCTCGAGACAAAGTTGTAGAGGAAGAGAAAGGGATTGACTAACATGTATTTGCAGTTCAAGCGTACTTGGTGGCCGGGGATGGTAGGCGGTATATTATATGTGAGGGTTTTTGGTTTGGTTGGTCTGCAGGTGCGGGAGTGAGGTCACAGTGGGATGCCAGTGGGGTGCTGGCAGCAGGGACGACGCCGCACGTTCCTCACCCCACCTGACCCAGCCTGGCCAGCCATGGAGTTCACTAACCCCTCACCCAAGCTGAACTGTGAGGCTACACAACCACAAACATGAGAGTTGCAGTCATGTGTTGGCTCGGTTGGGCAACTCTACGCGTTATGATCCCTCGTTTTATGTTTCTGAGGTATTTCGACGTCCAGAGGTAGAAGGACTCATCAGTTTCGGATGGGCGTCTATTTCATGTTCACGCGTGTCCACTTCGCATCTCGAGGCCCAGCTGTTGCAGCGCAATGACATAATTCACCACCAATCTAGACAGCTAAACGGGCCGGCAGGCGGGTCTAACATCGTGATCCATCATGGGCCCGCTGCTGCACATGGTTCATGATGGTTGTTGAGGATCAGAATACAACAGACATCGGGACCTCACTGATCAATGGACAGGACCACATCACATCAGCGCAGAAAACGGTAGAAATTCCCGCAATGCCAGAAACAACCATCAACCGTCGGCGGACATATCTGATCCTACCTGCGAGAAAATGCCTCTTGCCTTGGTATTGAGACAGGCGAGTCCCGCAGAGTCAACATTCGACCGCAGTGGCACGCACAGTTGGTGAGATTCGAATTTAATGCCTCTTGGTAAGTGGCGGCGTTAGGCATGCTTGCAAGCCGGGTGACAACACACGAGTCCAGTGTGATTATAGGTAAATTTTGAACTTGATTGACGACAGAGTCAGGCGTTGTTTGTGTGGTTGAGCGAAGGACTTGGAATAGCTTCTTCCATTTCTTACAACTGTAAGAGCTATGTATATAGGTGATCTGCGGCAGGGACCTTGAAGAGCCGTGTTGATCGAAGTATCTCACCAGCCACTGCCAGCCACAATGTGGCGTGCTGCAGGACATTGAATGAACCTCTTCGAGATCGAGTGTCTCCAGTCCATCAGATGTGCCACAATTGCGCATTATCCCTCCCAGAACCCGACCGGTCACCCTGCATACATAGGGTGCACGAGGGAGCAGACAATGCATTCGCCCCGAATCTGCATCGCTTTCGTCAAGTAACCTTCGCCGCGACTCTATTTCCTGGCGGCGTCTTTCCGCCCTGAGACTGAATTACAGGCGACCTGCGAGGCAAACACTACACGCCGAGGCTCGACAATGGCTAGTATCAGCGCCTCGCCCTTCTCCTTGAGGCCTTGGCCCACCGGCGACAAGAAACCAAAGAACCTATCCGAATTCATATCCCGAGTCAACGCCGAGCGTAATGGATTTCGCAATGTTACCGAGGCCAAACTGCGCGAGGAGATCGCCGCCCAGGAAGAGGGGCGCATGGATGTTGATGCAGCCGAGGGCTCAACCGACGACGAGGAGGACCCCGAGACAGACAAATCCAAGGGCGTTATAGCGGCGCGCGATGAGTTCCTGAGAAATCTCGAGTAGGCACCCACATCCGTACTCCCTGAGACCCTCACGAGCAATGATACCAATGACTGTCCACTACAGGTTCGCCCACCAATCTGCCCTACTAGGCCTCGACTTCATCTCCCTCCTCCTCTCGAAAGAAACACCAGTTCAAACTGCCATGACGTTGTCACCTGCACTGCGAGATCTGGTCGGTATCGGTACACTGGGAGCTTCGAAGCTCGGGGAGTCGAATGTGACCGAAGCCAAAGTTCAGGACGATCTGGCTGTTGCGACCGGATGGAGAGTCATGGACACCAACAACATGGTGGACTCGGTTCTGGCCGCTGCCGAGCGGCTGGAGAAAGAGATCGAACTCGAGACCAAATACTGGGCCGATGTCTTGTCTGTCAGCGAGGACGGCTGGCCAGTTTGCCCTCTTCCCCGAGAGCCACAAACCCTGGGAGTCCGCTTCGGCTTTGCCGAGTCTGCCCCCGAATTCAGGAACAACAGCATTGCGCCTCTGATCCGAAAGGATGACGGGACTGTTCATCTAGGTATAGGCAAGCTTGGTGCAGGGTCACAAAGGGTTCGCATCACCGTCAAGAAAGATGGCAAAATCGTGGATCAATCGCCTCTCCCCCAACAAACATCTGATGATGCCCCTCTGAAGGACCGAGTTCTCGAGGCTAGAAATACCATATATCACCAGGAGCTATGGTATGAGCTCAACCGGGAGGCTCGCACTCTCCTTTCCTCTGACGTATACTACGACGGTTCGAGCATCACTTGGAAGCAGAATTCGCAAACAGACATGATCTTCACACTGGAAGAGCTAGCCGAAAAGGACGAAAGGCATACGAACTTCAATTTGGCCACTTGCTCGTGCATCGCGAGTTCTTGCTTTATGCAATACCTCCTTTTCCAGGGACATCGACAGAGTTACTTCAAGCGCACCTCCATTACGTCGCAGCCGCCAAACCCCGTGGCCGCAATCCAGCCTTACAGCATCATTCGCGCACTGATTGCCCGGTTCCGGTATTTCGACGATAGCGCGATCCTGGAGAATTTCCTTGATGAATTGGTCCTTGTTCTGCGACGCGCGGGCATCTCTACAGCATCCTACACCTCGACTATCTTGTACCTCGGTCCCGACTCGTCTCAGACGGCAAATGGCCGCCACAACGCCAGAATGGAAGTTGAGGGGATCAACCGGGTCGTTGCGCGTCTCGCGACCTTGTACACGCTTACAACCACACCCGAAGCGCGAATCTGGACTCACAGCCGCGCCCAAGTGGTGCCGTGGATTGGCGTAACCTACGGCATGACAGTGAGCGATCCGTTTACAGACCCGCAAGTCGCCAAACAATGGGAGATTCCGTACAACGGTGCGTCATCGGAACAAGATCAACCGCAGAACCCTCTATCGGATTCGTACCCTCCAGCTAGAGACGTTTATCCTGGTTCCAGCAACGCCGTCTACTACCACCAACAAGCCACCGTCCGAGGTCTAGCCCAGAAAATGGCCGAAGTAGCCGGGAAGAACCTCGGCAGGGACGACATCGACTGGAACGACACGATCCGCGGTATATGCATCACAAATGGCAGGGGCAGAGAAGTCACGATCAGTATCTCAAGCGTCGACAAGAAGCTGGAGCTCGTTCTAGATGGGCAGTGGCCTTCTGGCACTGGACGTGCCACGCGTCGTTGGACTTGGGGAGCGCATGGTGATGATGCGGGTGAGAGTTTGGAGGCTGTCGTGGTGAAGGTCCTGGGAGGCAACGTCTAGGCCACGCCACGTTGGGTGGGTCTAAGATAGTGCAACGCGTAAAGCTGAGCCAGTTTGATGACTGGCCGCTGACTGAAGGCAGTTGGGACTTTTGGGGCAAATGAGATCGATTGGGGCTCCTTTAGCAATGGAGGGCTTTGATACCTATCAGTTTCCCTCATGAACAAGTATAAACCAACCGCCCGGACGCTTAAGTGACGCCTCTTACGTCTCTCGTGGGGATACTCACATTTCTCATCAGCTACCAGAGCATCTTTGTGTCGCCCCTGGAATAGTAGAGCGCCGCAGTTGGGTGTGCTCAAGGACGCGCAGATTTTGGAAAGTCTACTCGCAGGCTAGGGCTCACATGCATCGAAAAGAGGCGAGGTTGGCAACGTGTTAGATAGGAAAAGAAATGGAGGGCTCTATGGCAGGGGCAGACGAAGGTGGACTTGAAGGATATATCTAGCGTTTTCAGGAGCGTAAGAAAACGAAGGCGAAACTCAACGCTGTATCATTCATGCAGTGTCCTTCTGTATCTGACTACTTGGTACATATATTATATATTGACGGCTCACCCGTGACAATCCTAGGGGTTGAACGATCGAATGAGCTAGCCGTTCATCAGACAGTGAAAAAGACCGCATGTGTGCTGGGGTTATCAAGGTTGAGGCTTTTAGTGCCTGTTAACCGCTCCTTCAGATCAGGCTCGACACTTCCGAATCGCTTGCAGGAACCTGGACAGCGGCCTCGCTGACGAAATCAACGCCCCTCATTCATAAAGTCCCGCACTGATATCAATTCATCGCCGAGCCAGTTCCTCCACGGCTGCGAGAGCTGAGCGGTAGTATAGCATCCCCAAGTCTGTCGACGAATTCTGTAGTTGAGTCAACGTCTGTGGTTGAGGCGACGTCTGTGGCTGAGACGACGGAATGTCAGCTGCGGATGTCTCCCGATGGTGCGCCCCTTGGTGGTGGCCCTGCTATTGCCGATCCAGTCCCTCCACGGCTGCGAGAGCTGAGCGGTAGTGTAACATCCCCAAATCTGTCGAGTTCTCTGGCTGAGGCGACGTCTGTGGTTGAGACGACGAAATGTCAGCTGCGTATGTCTCCCGATGGTACGCCCCTTGGTGGTGGCCCTGCTGTTGCCAATCCAGTCCCTCCGCGGCTGCGAGAGCTGAGCGGTAGTATAACATCCCTAAATCTGTCGAGTTCTGTGGCTGAGGCGACGTCTGTGGTTGAGGCAACGTATGTGGTTGAGGCGACGGAATGCCAGTTGCGTATGGCCCCCGATGGTACGCCCCTTGGTGGTGGCCCTGCTCCGGTACTTTTGGACCGTGACTACCTGGGTGCCATATGGACTTTTCCGTGAACCTCGGAGTATAAGGTCTTGGCGCTGGGCCCTTGGCAGCAACCGCTTGACCCTGTCCAGGGAAGATCGGAGTGCCACTGTAAGGGGTTTGCAGTAGGCTGCCGTACCGTTGCTCCTGGTTCGCCGACGGGTTGTAATTCGCTGCAATGTACCTGAACTGCTTCTGTGGAATCGCCGCGGGCTGGTAATTCGATGCAGCGACGTTATACTGCTTCTGTGGTACACCAGCCTGTAGTTCTTTGTTTCTAACCCGGTCGGCCTTCGTAGGCTTGCCCGCACGCTTGACTATGATACCGTCTCGTCGAAGAATGGCCTCTACTTCCTCATACCTGGCTTTCTCAGCCCTGGTGGGCCGGCCGCGCCTGCGTTTCGGAAGGACCAAGGCTTCTGCGCGTGGTGGAGGGACGCTCTCCTGAGGGGTTTGGTGGGCTTGATCGTGATGCTTCGGCATCGCTCCGATTGGCGTCACATCACTAGACACAGGCTGTGACTCCAAATATGGCTGAACGACAGCCGGAGGTAACTCCTGCTCCATATACCAATTGGACCTCTGCTCATTCGCGCTACCTTGTCTCCGGTGACGCAGGGCTTTGAAGTACCGCACTTGTCGTCCGTCTTCCAGGGCCACCATCTTGTAATCCAGTATTGTGAATTTCTTGCCTCTGAGGGTCCCTGCGGCCTTTCTCTCGTGATACCGCTGCAGCAGAATGGGCGGCACATTCCTCGCTGGCTCCCAGCTCGGCTCTCGACTTTGGCCCATGACACCGCCTATTCTCCAGTAGACTCTATACTGGCGCTCGCGAGTGCCATCAGCAAGTACAACGTCCCTGTCCTTTGTGACCGATTTGGCCTTTGGCGCTGGGAGGCCAGGCCGCCCACTGTTGAAGCCCTGGAGAGACATTTGAGGTGGGGGTCCGCTTCCTGCCTTCGATCCGTTCAGTCCATCATAACCGTCACAGGGTATTGCTGGTATCGCCTCTCTCGGTTCCGTAGCATGAGTGTTGAGCGCATCGCTAGTAGTGGTGGTAACAATGGGTGTTTCGTTACTGGTCCCTAGCTGCCACCCAGCATTCTTGCCCAGGGATTCCGAGTCGTATGGTTTCCGTCCTTGGATACTCGACGGGGACGAGTAGCCCGTGGCTCTGGCAGAAATATCCGAATCTGTTATCGGGTTTGTTGGGCCCACGGCCCCTTGCCGTACCTCAGCACCTAAACCGGCTACATTTGTGATCGGTGTTTCCTGTGTGGTAGTTGTGGGATTATGAGCAGCATACACTGAAACTTGCTTATCGCCATTGTTGCTGGTGTCGTGTTTCTCCCATTCCATAGGGATTGTAGGTGCCGTGTTTTGGGTCAACTGAGGTTTGATGTACGGATCCGAGTCATAGTCGGTCTTGTCTGTGTTCTCTACCTCGTTGTTTTCTTCGTCTTCTTCGTCTGTCCAGGTTGCGACTGAGCTGCTGTCGTACATCTCATCAGGCGTCACAGCGAGCAGCGAGACGTCGGCAGGAGCCAGCGATCCCGCGGCGAAGCCGCTTATTGCACTCATCGTGGGATCCTTGAGTTGCATGCATCAAGCAGTGTGTTCTGACGGCATGAAAGGGCATCAGACGTTGGTATCAGAGCACCCGATGGTCTGGCGATGAACGCGCTTGCTGGTGGATCTCTCCAATGGCAAGTAAGCAAAGCTGAAGCCGAGGTCTTGAGGAGTAGCCAAGGTTGTTCGTCCTTGCTCCGTAAGCTCATGCACTAGGCAAACAAACCAGACCTCTGTGATGAATCAAAGAGAAGACGCAAGTATGGTATATGGAAGGTAAGCCAAAGGAGCTCGATGGGCGCGGAATTTGTTGTTATTACCTGCCGGTTCCCACGCGACGGGTGCTGTAAGACGAACTCACCTGCTCACCTAGGAATCCTGCAGTGGCACCTGCACCTGCAATTGGAGCTTGAGATCCAGTTGGCTGCATGTGGGCAGGTAGAGTCTCCAAAGCACAGACCACCCACCCTTGGCTTGTGGCTTCCATTTTTCAGTAGGTGTGGCTTGGTCGGTGCCCCACATCTCTTTCCCCCCTATTCATGTTAGCCCTCGAGATCACAAAACAAGACTCATTGTACCAATTGTCCCTATTGAGTCTACCATGTGTGAATGGCCTTTATTACAAGAACAATGGCACAGTCCAGTGGCTATTCTCATGTATCTTTCATTGATAGAGACTCCTGCGGCCTGTCGCCGAAGATGCAGAAAAATATATAACACCGGTAAACGGCTGTGCACTCTCTATCTTCCCAACCAGTCTCGTCAGCAGCACCAGAAGGACACGCGCCCTTATCACAGCTATCCAGCAGCCGCCGCGATGTATTCCCCTAACGAAACAACCAGTTCTCCCCGCAAGCCACCCGCGTCTGATCTCGCGCAGGCGCTCGAGAGAAATGCTGGTCGCCCCTTCACCGAAGGTGAGATCGATGACCTCATTACCATGATAGACAGCCTGAACGAGCTCATCAAGCGCTTCGCGAGCTTGCTAACCCAACTGGAAAGAGTCCTTCCTCCCGCCAATGCATCTATACTGTGCCAACACGGAGCCGGCCTGTTCCAAGCGAAACAGGGTCTCTACAGCCTTAAAGTCAAGCTCAATGACATTTTGGACGGGGAATATGGATTCCCCGAGTATAACCGCAAGGAGCGTGTGCAACTCCGGTCCCGCATCCAAGACTTTCAGCAGTACGTATTCACCGCAGACGCAATCATTTTCAGCCTCGAGAACACGGTAGAAGAGCTTCACGATGGCGAAGGTGCAAACGAGCAGTTGCTTTTGGAGCTTGCGCAAAAGGCGAGAAGCTTCCGCTCAACGCCGAGCACAGACGAGTAGGAAGGACATTGGGCAGGACACTGGCAGGCCGTTGAATAGGCCGTTCCCTGTATTAAAGATAGTCACAGCCAGAAAGCCTTAATTTCTTACTAGTAGCGTCAATACAAGAAGAACTTCCCCTCCTGCCTTTGCTGCTACTAACTGCTTCTTCGTGACCGTTATATGTTATGTCCGAACAACATTGAAAGTCACACCGAAACTCTATATCCTTCTTGAGAAGCGTACAGTCGTCTCGCAGCCAACCGTACTTAGTAGGCACGCTTGGGCAGTCTCTAGATTTCTCTCGGGGCCCTCAGATAATTCTAGTCAGGCGGAATCTTGCGAATCACAGTACTTCTTTGTACTTTTTATGGATCGTGTGTGACTACAGCAAGTGAAAATCATACGACAATCGGATTGTTTCGACGTGAATCGACATGGCCTTCCTTCAAATTCTAACATCATGTGAGACGCAGACCCCAGGCAATGCCTTTTAAAATGTGAGGGTCTACAATGGTCTTCATCAGTTGACGACGATTGTGTGGTAATGACTTGGAAGACGCATGGCTAAGACTTCCAAAGAGTCCATATAATCCTCGTGCTGCTCCTACCTTCTTAGGCTATATTCCCCCCCACCCCCCCCGTCCATATTCTACAGCCAGACACACAACAAAGCACACGGAGCAACACTTACGATACCAGGCCAGACACTGAACATGCGTGATCGTGGTGGGAGATGCCGTGGCGGGAGTTGCCGCGGCGGCCGCGGCGGCCACGGAAGAAGATGCTTCCCGGTCAGTAAGACAGATCACATCGCCAAGTATGATCCTCAGTGGTACTCCAGCTGTCCCCTATCCACCGAGGAAGTTCTTACTCGATACGGAGCGACAGAATCTATCAGGCAGCTGTTCCACCTTTGCAAGGGAACAGTATCCATCCTCCAGTATGTCGACCCTCCCATCGACCGGGCGCATGTGACCTCGGTGCACCAATCCGATTTGTTCGACGCAGCGCGTGTGCTCACCCGCATCGACATCATCATGCGCTACAACCCAGCGGAGGCCTGGAACGCAGATCTGTGCCGCGACATCCTGGACTTTCTCCGAGAGATACATGACTACATTGCCGCCTGTATGCTATGCACCCATCGCCCCATTCGACTGTGGCGGACTTCGAGTGGAGGAAGGTTGACTCAGGGTCGGGTGTGTATACTGATGGGTGCACGGATGAGTATGGGGATGGGTATGCGGATTGGTATACACGAGAGGAACTGAAGAGGATAGACAGTGAAGCCAAGCCAACGCACCCCATCCTCCAAGGGTGCCTGATTACATCAATGAGCTCGCAAGGGCTTTGGTGAGATCCGGAGCGGCAGAACGTGGAGTCATGTCAGACGCCAACAAGCGGAAGAGGGACATCTATGAGGATGAGCACATCTATGCGGATAAATACATAGAGGATAAGTACCTAGAAGAGATGGAGTCGCAGTCGTCCCTTTTAACTCTTAAGAACACCGATATCCTGACTTCGCGATAGTTACAACTTACCAAAGAGAAATTAAAAACGAAGCTTAGGTCCATTAAGTGTCACTTTACGAAATAGAAACAATTTAAATAGCTAGAATATGATAGAAAACCCAGCTTCGCAGAGCCTATATGCTTGTGTAAGTGCTTGCTAGGAGGCAACACGGTGAAGGTATACATATACACCTTAAACTTCTAGTGCAAAAATTGCAAAAAGCTCAGTCTAGAATTCGAACCTATTGAGCGTGCTTTGACCTGGGCGAAACCCTATCCACTTGTTTGCCAGCACGCCCCGGAATCGAGTTCTAGACTTACGAAAAACCCCCAGAGGATTTTGTCTCATACCACTATACCAAGAGGCCTTAAGGGTTGACGTTGGTACAGGGCAGTAAAAGATTGTGCTGATTTGACGGTACATATGGGTTGCTGGGGAACCTGACCTGAACAAGTGACGCCAACCGCTCAATCGTATCCCCCCTTCTCGTCTTCGTCCTTAGACTTAATTCCTCACGACCCGGTAGTCGATATATGCCCAGTCTCCCGCTCAAACTCCACCACCGGTCTCCCAGTGTCCCCCAGGTTCTAGTGCAACAGACTTCGAGCCCGTCACTGCGCGATAGGTCCTGCGCGATACTTCGACCTGCCCGTGGCCTTGGCGTGCCCTCGCGTCTCTGTATCGATGAGACTCGGAAATCTGCGTGCGTCCGGCCTCGAGGCAACCGGCTTTGCACACAGACCTGGTTACACCCTGTGTGTGTTGCGTGTGTCCTTCTTTGAAGAACACTAATGCTTCATCATGTAATACATCGATCCCCCAACGCCGAATATTACGGTAAGGACTAGATCAAGGCGAGTCGTCAGCTCGATAATGTACTAACGAAGAGGGAGTTCACGCTCACCGACGGCCAGCGTTTCTAATGCCTGATGTGTCACCTCCCTGCTCATTATGACGCTCATGTGGCTCATCTCGCGGACGACGAGCTGCGGCAACTCCCTCGTGATGAGTTGGGTATCGATGGCGGGCATGATTGGAGATGGCGATGTGATGATGGGCGGGCTAGCTGGGTGTTATTACAGTAGTTGCTGTAAGTATGAATTCATAGGGTCTGAAGAGCCGCAAAGGGAATCTATGCGTGGTTCTGCAAACCGCGATCGACCGACCCAGGAGGCGGTTGGCTTAAATACAGACCTGCGAATACCGGCAGAGATACTCACGCCTGGAGATACAACTAGTATGGTATAAACGAACCCCTGATTCTCAAACCTGGACTCGTCGGCGCCCGGCCCACAATCAGTCGATTTTTGAAAGCTTTCGGTCGTGGGGGTTACTGTCGGGGGTGTTCGAAACAGATCCCAAGCCATCCACCCCTGGTCAAGTTGCCTTCGGCGGTAAAACACAGCCATTTCCTTTGCGCGATTGACAGCGCGACATATTCAGTGGATGAAAAATCTCACAACTCAGAGAGAGATAGTAACGAAATGACAGCTTGAAGATTACATGACTCCATGAGTCCATGATTTTCAGCTAGTTTTTCAGTTGTTCGTCCAAAAATGGACCCGGCGGAGTGAAAAGTGAAGGCGAAGGTTGATTGAGTGGATCACGACCCCTGGTGAGCCACATGGTGCGAGGGGGGTCACGAACACGTCTGAAACAGACCCAACACACGATTCAATCTGAAAGGAGAGCACCAAGGGCAACGAGTCAGGTTTCATAGAATTGTTCCAATGCCGGAGAATATGCCCAAATTCGGACGAGCAACACTGCAGCCCCCAGTAGATCCCCAAGAAGACAGAAGTTCTAGACCTGTCGATGGGTGATCGCTCTCCGAATCCCTGTTCATTCTGCTCGAAATCTCATGCCACCATTTCTGAAATTCTGAGCATCATCTGCACGTGCAGTTGCCATCAAACTTGCTGATCAGCAAGTACCGCCACGAGCAAATCATCAGACCCTCTTCTCAAATCTCAACTCCTTGATGTCCTCGACACCCTCAACACGGACGCGCGAACTGCGAACATCGGGCCTGCCCAGGACCTGCTCGTAAACATACGAGAACTCCGTGGCGCTCGTAACGCCATGCTGCGCGGCGGCCTCGTCCACCTCGACCCGGAACGCGAGGTACACCTCGTTGAAGCGCACATTGGTCTCCAGGTTCTCGCGCCCGGCGGCCTTGCAGAACGGGAACAGGGCGCCCTGCGTCATGGCCGGGAGGGGGAAGAGTGCCAGGTCGCCTTGCGCTCCCGTGCAGATGGTCCACGTGCTGGAGGGGTGGTTTTGCTCGAGCAGGTAGCCGATGGTGTCGCGGTAGGCAACTGTGAAGCATCTTGGTCAGAATCGTGCTTGTACGAGCCCAGGATGGAGGGGTCCTTACAGAAGTTGGCCTCGAAGCCGTGGTTCATGTTGTAGCGCAAGCGGTCGGTGGTGATCTCGGCAAGGGGAATGGTTGTATAATCCCCGCCCACTGGGAAGATCTGTCAGTACCTAGCAAGCATTGATGACTTTGGGGCGGGGGTATAACGGGCAACCCACCGGAAGACCACACATGTTGGAAGGCCGGTAGCTTGCCGGCTCGGACCTTGTCAACGACGCCTTTCACTCCGGAATCGGATGCGACGTTGGCCTCGACGAAGGTGATGCCCTCGGATGACCCGACGTGCTTGGTGAGCTTGTCAGCTGAAGCTTGGTTCCGGACTACGGCCAGCACACTGCGCTTCGAACGCAGGGCCGCCTTGACGGCTGATACGCCGATGTTGCCAGTTGCTCCGACCACTAGAACGGTCTCCATGACGGTTCTGGGAGAGGTTGAGGAGGTGAGAGTGAGAGTAAGTTAATTGTTTTAAGACTTGGATATGGCTATGATTTGATGGTTTGGTTCCCTTCTCTGACATGTTGTTTCTTCTTGGGATCCGGGGGCGAAGGGTACCTATCAATCATTTTGTGTATTCACCTCCTTGCCCAGCGCGACCACCAACAGCTGCTGAATAATGCCATGACGCCTGTTCGCGATGACAAATTGGCCAGCAGCAGCCAGGCGGAGATACTCCCGAGGCTGACCTCAATACCAAGACGGTAGAGATCCTGACGTGCTACAGCACTGGTGTTGCTGCGCCCGCACTTTCCTCGAGCTCCGAAGTCCGCACAATGCGGACTCCGCATAAAGTGAGTGAGGTTTCTCTCGGAGACTGGCTTACCTCAGTAGGACTGCAGCTAAGTCTCGGCTCGGGTTTAGATGATGTGCATGTATCTTAATCCGGGCATCATGAACCTATGTCCGCACGCGAAAGGGCGAAGGCATGGGCGTCGCTTATGGGATACCAAAAGGTTGAGCGAGAACGAGGTGCGTCATGCCAAAATCTGACAGCTTACAAACTCTGTAAGTCGTGCAGGCGCACATGCAGTTAACACCAGATTTCGATTGCCGATGCCTGCTCAGAGGAATATGCCGATCTCGACGCCTATTTCCAGCTTGAGGGTCGCCTTACGACTTCTGTTAGCGTTAGGTACCTAGGTTTGTCAGCAATTCGATCTTCTGGTGCGTATATAAGCTACTGTCTCAGCTTTCGTCCATGGGGTTGAGAACTTATATTCCGTGTTCCATCAACCCCCGCATCCTGTCACCCCAGCTACACCACACCTTGAAGCAACTCCAATCGAACATCAGTTATCATGGCCGCCGTCAACGTCATAGTCTTCGGCGCGACAGGCGACGTCGGGTCCCACGCCGCTCGCACCGCCCAGCAACTAGGCGCCAACGTCTTCCTCGCCGTCCGCGACCTCGCCAAGCCCGTCCCCGGCCTCACCGCCGAGCAGGAGAAGGCCGGCCGCTTCGAGCGGGTCAAGGCCGACCTCAACGACGCCGAGTCGGTGGGCGCAGCCGTGACCTCCACCAAAGCCACTCGCGCGCTCATCTACCTGGCGCACGGCCCGGACCATGGCATGAAAGCCTGCATCCCCGCGCTCAAGTCGGCCGGCATCGAGTTCGTCGTCTTCCTCAGCAGCTACAGCGTCAGGGGCCGTCCGGCCGAGACGTCGAGCGATGATTATATCTCATACGCCCATGCCCTGGTTGAGCTGACCCTGGCGGAGACGTTTGGAGAGCAGAACTACGTCGCTGTGAGGCCGGCCTTCTTCGCCAGCAACATCCTGTGGTGGAGCGAGGAGATCAGGTCCGGCGACGCGAGGATCCCGTACCCGGACGCCTTGTTCGATTGGATTGCGCCCGCCGACATCGGGAGAGTCTGCGGCACCATTCTCGCAAAGCCCGAGGCTGCCACGGGAGATGGTGACGAGCGAAGCGTCGTGTTCCTTGTCGGACCACAGCAAATGTCGCAGAGGGATGCTTTGGCAATCATTGGAAGGGCAATCGGCAAGGATATCTCCGTGACAGCAGTAAGCGATGACGAGGGTGTGGCACTGATGAAGAAGATGGGTGTGCCAGAAGGGGTCGCACGTTCTGCTATGAATCAGTGGAGCAAGATGAATGAGGGTAGTGATTGGTACCGGGGCAGTGCCTACGAGAAGGCACTCAGAAACATCGAGGCTATCACCGAAAGGAAGCCCCTGGATTTTGCAGCTTGGGCAGATGAGAACAAGCAGAAGTTCGGGGTCTGAGGGATAGGATAAGCTGACTTTGGCATTACAAGACATGATATGTGACTAGGCAACGCAGACTCAACGCGTACAGCACGGGGGCTCTGCTTCGTTGTCTTTTGGGGTATTTGGTTTTGGCTCCACCCTTCCGGTCGAAGAACAATTCAAAATAAATCGACCCAACTCGTACCAATGCAAAACTGTCCTGTCATAATCCATACACTCGATTCAGTCGCCTGCCATATGTCGGGCAATCCAGATCGGGATCTTCGGCGTCGGATGCAGGTTGAGGAAGAGAATACCGCGATCTAGGTTCAGCGCCGCCCGTGGTCCAGAACGCCAGACGGAGCCCCCAAGCTTCTGTGCATCAAAGCCTATATGGGTCATTGGGTGTAGGCAGTCCTTCCAGGAGATTTCGCTCGGCGGTTTCTGCCCCGCGGGCTCGTAGAAGATGGTGCGGAGAGTGGCATCAACAGACCGCCTCCAAGGCCTTGCTTCCTCGCAGACTGGAGAGAGGCCTAGAGCTACGAATGCGGCATGGAAATCAAGAGGGCGTCACTTCTTGCAACCCAAGTCGCCAGGGTATACATGAGACGAAGGCAGTCATCGAAGAGCATGTGATCGAACCAGTGCGGGAGAGCTGCGACTTGTATGGGAGTACGACGCGGCCAGACGCTGCGAAAGTTCCAATTCGACTTCTTCGGGCAAGGACGGGGTGTGAAATCTGGGTCCTGACGTGCTCCTGAATTGCAGGAAGTCGCGCCGGGAGAAAGATGCATCGAAGTGTCTTGCAGTACCGGTCAAGGCCGCTTGGATAGGGGTAAGTGAGCTCCCGGTTATTGAGATCAACTGCGACGCAATCACTCGAAGGTTGTGGGGGCTCATTATTTGGTCAGAATTAGAAAAGTCGTGCAGCAACGTTATCCTGCAGACGGGCGTGTAACTCAAGACCCAGGACAGCTAGCCGTGGTACCAGGCCTGGTACGGAGTGGTTCCCCAAGGACGCGTGCGAGTGGCCGGACCGATGGGTCCGCGCCGGCGACGCGGTGGGCATGACGTTGCAGGCGACGAGCAGCACGAGCGGGCTGACCGTCGTCGAGAACCTAACCACTGGCCGGCCCGAGAGCCACCGGTTCGCCAACCAGCGCGAGCTGTGCGGCTTCAACGCCGAGTGGATCGTCGAGGACTTATCGTACGACGGGTAGACTTATGTTCCGTTCAAGCGCACGTGAATATCAAAGGCATGATGAGACCGACATGAAAATATGGGATAACGCACAATGCTAGCCGCCTATCAATCCGGGAACCCGCTGAACTCGGGGAGTCTCGGCCAAGTCTCAAACTCAGGCATCATCATCAAACTCCCTGGCGTCCCCTGCTCGTGTGTGCCTACCAAATCCGCGTCCTCATCAACTTCCACGATAACTCTCTCAGCCGTCGATATCGGTGGGGGGACCTCTACACGCTCCTCTGCCTCCTCGTACCACAAGCTACTATCTATATAGTCCCCTATCATGACCTCGGCACAGTCCACTTGGTTTCGCAGATGACCAGGAAGTTCATCCATGCCACGTAGAATGCTCGATTCGGGCTCTGAACCTTGTTCCCATTCCCCTTCGCCTTCACCTTCACCTTCACCTTCAGAGTCGTTCGCGTCTTCGGAATCGGACGCATCCTCATCGTCATATACCACTTGGTGGGTGCCATCTGATAATCGCACATCTCGCACCTTCCGAAAATTCCAGTCTCCTTCAGCTTGGTCATACACAACATGAGTTTCATCATCCAAGAGCCCTTGTGTGCCATAGAGTAAGAGAGATTCTTCCTCCTCCGTCCAGGATCTCTGTTTTATTAGATGTTCCGCCAGCGCATAGTGACCATTTTTTCTGGCAAGCGCCACCGAGCGTACGTAGCATATTCTCATCGCGCCATGTATGTCGGCGTGCCTCTCTAGGAATAGCTGGATCATGTCGAGCCGACCATGCTCCGCGGCTGCTTCGAGGGCTGTGCGACCACCCAGTTCGGCCGGTAGTGCATCTATATTGGCATCCCTGTCAAGGAGAAACATAACCATGTCGAAGTTGCCGTTAATCACAGCCCGCTGCAACGCTGTTGCCCCGTAGCAAAGGCCTGCTGGTGCGTTGACAGCGGCGCCAGCATCCACGAGAAATTGAAACAGCGGGAGATGGCCCATTTTAGCTGCTGCTTGTAAAGGCGTTTCGCCATCAAGTGCATCGGTGAAATAGAAATCAACAGACTCAACGAAGCCCCTGCATTGTTGTACGAGTTGCATGTCGCCATTTTCAACCGCAACAGAAAACAGACCCTGCCGACACCCTAGATCCAGGGTTGGAATGGAAAGAAGAGACCGGGACACGGATAGAATCATTTCCAGCGCTGCATTCTTAAGTTCATACCAGATCTGCAAGCGCACTAGGTCAGATTCTTGTGGGTAGTACCCGTGGTGAAGCATTTTCTCCAGGACCGAAATGTTTTTGCTGGCAAGTGCTGCTAAGAAGGGTGATACCCCTGGGTCACTATCGTCTGGTTTATACTCCAAAGTCGAACAGAATCGCCCTCGAGTGAACGCTTGGTAGGCCGACATTTGCGGCCCCGGTAGAAAAGGACCGCCCAACAGCAAGTCTGGAAGGAGCCACTTACTCTCCAATATGGAAAGAACCAACGCTGACGCTTCATATCGGTCGATGACTCCTTCAGGACGATGGTTCACCAATAGCTGGACGATTGAGTGGTTTCCCGAGAGGGCTGCATTTTCGACCGCCGCGAAAAGCGCTGGAGACGTATATTTCCCTCCACAGCGGAAGTACTGGACGATGGTGGACAAGTCTTCCTCCTCCGCAGCTGCCTCGAGCACATCCGCAGACACAATGCTTGCCCCCTTGGTAATTATGTCCGAGATGAGGCCCTCATCCGCTAGCTTTATCGCTTGGCCCAGTTCACCCCCAAGCAGATTTGCGTGAGGGAGTATAAGAGACACAGTGGTGCGATTGCCGCTTTCAAGAGCGAGCTGAAGTGGCGTAGACGTGGAGCTTGGCCTCTTAAGTCGATTTTCTTGAAACAGTCGATAAGGTAGATTACAGTTCGCGCCCTGGTCGATGAGCAAGCCGACCAACTCCACGTTCCCGTGAAAGGCAGCGACATGCAAGGCCGAGGGTGTGCGGAATGATCCTGGCACAGGGTTGATATGAGCACCACTTTGGAGCAGCATGCTGGCGATTCGTATATCCGGGTTCCAGGCCGCGGCAACGAGAGGTGTTAGGCCATATCGCCATCCTGAATTCAGGTTGACTTGCGGGTTAAGCACCTTTGCCGCCGTCGATAGGTCACCAGCTAAACACGCCGTCAATAGGACGTCTTTATGGTATCGCGAAGGAAGCGCAATGTCTTGTGCGAGAACTGGCAGGAGCAGCTTATTGGCCACCTCCGTATTGTCTGCCATGATAGCGACCTGCAGCAGTGTCATCTCCCCCGCCCACATTCTATTAGCCAGAGAACGAAACCAGTTGTGTGAGAAATGCATTCCGCAGCAATGGTACTCCCAGCTGTTTTCGGGAGTCTCACTGTTTGGATTGGCTCCGTTCTTGATTAAAAGCTCCGCAAGAACGTTCTGTTTCCTCGCAATAGCAATTGCAAGGGGCGAAGGCGAGCTGTCCGAAGGTGGGAAGTTCGCTTTAGCGCCATTATCCAGAAGCAAGTGTGCAAATTCCCAGGTATCTTCCAGACGTCTTTCTGGCCGCAGCAGAAGCGCTAGAGACGATACATCGGCATCAGCACTTGCTCCTGCACTCAGCAAGCGCCTACCGAGTTCTATGTCGCAAGTTGCAGCAGCAATTTGCAGACCACTTGCCATCCACTCCTGCAGTGTTTGATTGGCGGTACAAATGCGGAACTGTCCTCGCGCCAGTTCAACGCAAAGCGCTTGGCAATCTAGGCTGAACACCTGCAGGTCTGGATTGACGCCAGCTTCAAGAAGTTGCGAGACAACCGTATGTCTCCTTTCGCGGATCGCGCAGCCGTATATAGCCTCCTTGATGGCATTAGTGGTTGGGAAGTCGGTCGAAAGAAGACCAAGCAATAGGTCAAGATCACTCTTCGATACTTCTTCAATCAAGTGGAGAATGAACTGGTCATGCTCGCGTTGGTCATCCTGGTCCCTTAGCTGGCCGTCCAGGTTGTTCGATAGACGGAATAAAACGGCCTTAAGCAACTCAGTAGTGATTGTCTGTGCATCTCCCTTATATAAGAGTTCTTGTGCCTCCCGGTGTTCCCCCTCGTGCAGCTCTGGAACTGAGTTGGCCAGCCTGCTGATGCTCGCGTAGGGAGAAAGTGGATTCGTGGCAGCGATCTCGGAAGTGGGAAGTTGGGTTGCGGATGTCCATACTAGGGCGTCAGAGAAGCCCTCGGCTTTGAGTACAGACTCGATCAGGACGCTTGGTTGGCGAACAGCTGCTAGTTGATCAGCGACAGTCTCGTCTCAAATGTCACGCTCAGAACTAACTCAGAGTGACTTTCTCCCTGAACTGGAACCACGGAAGGGTCTTCGGCCATACACTGCGAGAGTGTAGGATGACAGGGCTCGCAACACGAACAATACCGCCATCGGGCGTCTTTGGGCTGGCAACTAAAGTAGGGTCGTGAGCGCTTGACCCGGGATGGTCTTGGGGTCTCACATACTGCTTTTCCCAAACTCGAGAGCGGTAGGAAACTTTCTGTGTCTTTTCAAGTCCCTGGCGATCTCGCTTATTGGTGTTGGGCGGTCAAAGAGCCTGACCTCTGTCTTTCTCGCTCCTCGTTTCTGGATCTGGTGGTCGATGTATTGCCAAACTTCCTTGGGCACGTTCTTTTTGACCCCCCACTTCTTGAGCTGGTACTCATACTGACTCTTCCTGGGCGACGGTCAGTACTCTCCTAACAACGATGAGGCTGCACGCACTTTTTGTCGAAGTTGTATCTTTCTTTCATATGGATCGATATCTTATCAAGCCGGCGCTTCTCAATGCAGAACAGGTACACAATGGTTGACTTGTGCTCCTCCCATTCGTGGGAAACCATGTTGTCGGTGGAGGCTCGATCGTGAACGTAGAGATGAGTTGGAGACACATAAGCGGAAGGGCTCAGCTACGTTTATCTACCCGAAAAAAAGATAGGCGAGTACGCAGGTACCTACCTAGCGTTGTACATTAAGAGCCTTGCCCGGCTCTTGCCCGTTCTGCGTACGCCAGGATACCGGAGTCGTGTGAGTCCACACGTACCTATGATTGGATGTTGCCAGAACCAGACAGCCCGGGTCATGCAGCAGATGGACTTGGCGGGTCATCATTGGGCAAGGCCAGAATCGGAATGCACAAGTAGATTGCTAACTGCGTATCTGGACTGTGAGTGGGAGGATCCAAAACCGTGAGGAATTATGCATGACCATGCATGACCATGCGATGTCACGTCACTACCCGCAGCAGCCTCGCCACAGATTCATGGCTGTAATTGGCTTGCACCAAAAGTCAGAATTCATCACTGAAAGAATCCTCTCTCATGATGGGTCAGTCCCAAAACCAGAATCCATCACCAGAGTGAATCGTTGTCATGATAGGCTGACCGCAAAACCGGAATCCAATTTCATGAGCCTCAATGGCGGCACCCACTCCAAGCTCATCTGCTGCGGCGACGGCATCAAAGCAGACAGACACCACCGTGTCGCCATGTCGAAGAATCTTTTGAGGAAGAGTGCTTGAAAGGTTTATTATAAGTACAGTCCATTTTCCGAGCTACCTCGAACTGATGTAGAAGAGAGAAGAACCACCCGCTTCGGCGAACCAAGCAATCCCGTCTCAAAGTGAAGTTCTACCTTACAGCTTCATCACTAGTACGCCCGTCATACACACACAGACACTCGTGACCAAGAACCTCTGCCCACAATCACGATGGACCGTAAAGGTCAGAATGCTCGGTTCGCCCCCTTACCACAGAGATCCTAACAAGCCACATAGCTGCAGGATCCTCGAGCAGCAAAGGCTCCAAGCGTTCGGGGAAGGCCGGCAACAAAACCAAGGAGTCCAAGTCGTCGTCGAGCCGAGAGGCCAAGAAGCAGCAAGAATCGCATCTGGCTGCCGTTGGATCGCAGTTCTGGCAGTAAGAGATGTATATGCCACCACGTTTCCGCCCGCATGTGCTAATGGTGTGGTCTTCAGGTCCGGCAGCAAGCAAGAGACGTCGGGCTCTGACGACTACCCGAGCCAGTTGAAGCTCGACTGAACATCTTCTCAAGAACGCGGAAAACCCCATGTTCTGGGCGGACATGATGGTGAACATACACAAGATATGAGCATTTGACTGAGAGGCGGCTGATAGTATCTCATCAAAAGCTATCTCATTGAACTCATCCCACTGTACGCAGGGACGTCAAAGAACAATGCCAAGCTGATACCCATATATCTGTGATCGTGATCCCAACCGCTCGCCCGCAACCCTACACCCCAGCACGAATAGGGGCACGGTGATCAGCAAAGCCCTCACAAGCTCCCCGCCCTCCCATCCTCAAGAGCCTTCAAAACATGCGCCAATTTCCCCGGCTGGACCCTCTCCCACAGACTCCCCAGTCCCAAGCGCACGCCCCTCTCCTCCTCGCGCCGAAACCACTCCTCCGCATTCCTCACGCGGCCCGGATGAATCTCATCCAAAAGCTTATAATCGCGCCTCAGCACCCCAGCATTCCCGCCCGAGTGCCGAAACAGCATCCAAAACCCCGTAAAGTTCTGCCGCAGCGTCAGCGTCGCCGCGTCGGCCGGATCCGCATTATAGCCTGCGGGCCGATCCGCCGCCTCCCCCCAGACGCTGGCGAAGTGCTCGTCGAAGCCCACGTCCACGTAGCGCGCCGGACGGCCCGTGACCTTGGTGAAGGCGGCTGCTAGGTCGTGGTAGTTGATGTGGTCGATGGCGACCTCGAGGTCCATGCCGCTGGCGCGCTCCGGGTGGTCGAAGAGCCACTTGACATAAACCCCGCAGTCGTCGAGCGCGACGTGCGGCACGGCTCCGTCCTCGCCCAGCGGCACGCGCCACGTCACGACACCATCCTCAACCGTCGGTGTCATCACCGTGTCCCGCGCGATCGCCATATCAATGTATGGCCCCGTCGTGAACAGCGCGGCCGCCATGCGCGTCGCCGCGTTATCCCGGTTCTGCCGCAGGATCCACTCGCCGACGCGGCCCTTGGCATCGTAGTGGCCGGCGCGGAACTCGGGCCGGTAGCCGGCCTTCTTGGTGGCGTAGTCCAGGCTTGCGAGCACGAAGAAGCGCACGCCGGCCTCGAGGGCTAGCTCATATGCCCGCATCGTCCAGAACATCTCCGTCTTTTCGCCCGCGTTAAAGCCGTCGATGTTGACGAAGGCGCCCCATGCGCCGTGAAATGTCGCGCGCAGGTCCGCTTCGGACGCGAAAGTCCCGGTCACGGGCGTGACGGGGCCGAAGGATTGCAGTTCTTGAAACCGGGGTGAGGAGGAGTCGCGCGTTAGGGCGCGGACGGTGTAGGCGCCCGATTGAACGAGGTCGCGGACGACGGGGATGCCTTGGGCGCCGGTGCCACCGACGACTGCGATGAGACGGGTGGAGGCCATTGCGGATGATCGAAGTAATGAGGTTAAATGTAAGTGATGCTAAGGGTTGTTGAGGTGAATTTGTCGATTGTAATTGACCGGACTTCCATGAATGTGAGCAGGCCTTGGTCTTTTATACAGCTGGCCAAGTCATCTCGTCCGTGTCCGGGCATTCGGGCGTCGCGTGTAGGAAACCAAAACCATCGCATCCTGCTCCTGAATGGGTAATCAATTATTCTGCCTCAATTATCTATTACTGAACGCCTTGAGTCTAACATGTTCGTCGGCACGACTGCTCCAGTCGCAATTGTGCGATCAGTAATCGCGACCTGTCAACAATCACCAATCCAATGGCAGGGCGCCATCTGCACCTAGTGTAACGCAACTTGGACTTTTGCTTCCCCAAAACCATCTGGCAGTTTAGTTTATAAATCATCAAATGCCTTCTATAATTTGAACTGCTTGGCGACTTCGATGCCCTCGGCAAACGTCCCCACCCGCGCATCGATGGCGTATCCCTCGGCCTCCAGCTTCTTGCATTCCGCGTACAAATCGGTCAGCGGCACATAAAAGACTTCGATGAACTCATCCTCTTCTAGTTCCGGCTTGAGGTTCTGGTTCTCCGGCAGGCTCATGTCGACGGTGACGTGGACCATCCGCAGATTGGTGTTGCAGAAGCCCGGGTCTGGCATGGATGGAAGTCTCAGTAAGAACCCACTAAACCATCATGGGTTGCAGTGAATGAGGAAAGGGCACGCACCGTTGAACATCATAGGTGAAGTCTCTGACACCTTCCCAACATAACCCGTCTCCTCCTTCAGTTCGCGGATAGCAGCCTCCTCGGTGGTCTCCCCCTCATCGACAAGGCCCGCCGGGGCTTCAATGCAGATCTTATCGATGGGAGCACGATATTGCCTCTGAAGAACAATCTCCGGACCCGTGGGCTTCTCTAGGATAGCCACGATGCCCACGCCGTCGATATCGCCGTTCTTGGGCCGCGTCGTGCGCTCGGCTGATTCCCATGATCGCGTCTTGGCCTTGCAGTCGTCGTAGGTGATTCTGGAGGCGCATCGTCAATGAAAAGAGGTACTTGTTCACTGAAATACGCTATAGACTGCGTACTTGACTAATTTCGTCCACACCGCTTCGCTGTTTGCCTGTGTTGCTGTGTCAGTGACGAGGTGGCTGAGATTGAAATGGTGAGGGCACTTACGAGTGGTTCGGATGAGAGCACTTTCGCATTTGAGAACGACATCGCGATTTCTTATGCTAGTACAATAAGGACAATGCAAAATCTCAAGTAGAATGTGGATTTGTACGGTTGATGATGATGCTGTTGTTTGTTTTCGCGACTGGCCGTGGCGTCACGTCACCGATACTTTGGCAGGTTATTACAGGTGGCGGTGAGCTGGCGGGGCGGTGGAGATCTGGCAGGTCACCCCAAAATTACCCCTGAGTCTAGTTCATGTTTCATTCATGCCGACGGTCAATCGTCCTACTGTCCATGAACTCCAGAGCAACTTCTTGCTAATAACATATGAAAGGTATTCCGAAACCTCTTCCCAAGTGCATCAACCAACTCCCCCGCCTATTCGTATGCTTGTTCGAGTGCACAGTCCAAGCCCAACAATACCCCTGACTGCTATTCGGAATGCTACGCCTCCTGAACAGCTGGCTTCAATACTTGCTCCCACTCATCTGCAGTCCCTGAGCTGTCCCGGCGTCTCGCAACAGTGTCCGACATGGCATCGCCGGAGTTCTCCGCGGCTTCAGGTCGAGGTGGTGCAACCTGACGAACATCTTGAGGCTGATGGTAGAGTTGATAGGCGAATGCAGCAGCCAAGCCAAGGCACACGGCAGCAGTCGCCTTCACCAGGCCGAAGACGAGTAGGGAGGCGTGGGCCACGATGGTTGACGAGTAGTCGTGCTTCGGAGTCTCAGCAGAATGATCGCCCGAGTTCTGCTGGCGCTGTTCTATCTCTGTGATTTCCGGGTAGCGGAGGTTGACCTCCCACTCCCCGCGCAGAATGGCTGGATCGCTGATGACGTGGCTGCCATTGTAGACGCCCTTGTGCACCTCAATGAAGGGAACTTCCACCATTCCGCCGCATTTCTCGAACTTCAGAAGCACCTGCATGTTGTCGGGCGATTTGTCGCCAATGCCGTACCCCCAGTACCCCTTGGGAGCGTTCTCACCAAACAGGTTGGTACAAAGACCGTGCTGGGCCGTCCGGGTCTCGCAGAACGCTTCCATGAGCGCTTCGAGGGAATGCGGAGCGGCGCCGGGGTTTATTTCGAACCTGGCGGCGGGTTGCTTCGTGAAGGCATTGTATGCGGAGGCCCTCTTGTTCAGGTCGCCAGCCTCCTCGAGGGAGAGGGCTGGGTTGGTGAAGAGGGCTGCCAGGTCCGCTCTGGTGAGGCAATCAGACCGAATCTGGCTTTGGCTTTGCGGGGGAGCAGACGTTAACGAAGCCAGCAAGAGGAGAAGACCGTGGAATGTCATGGTGATGAATGATCTGGTTTATGGACGGTGTCTATGACGAGAGTACACAAAGTACGTGGATGCGGGGATGCTTCACCAAGTCGAGAAACCTGACGAGGCGTGGTCGGAGGATGTTATCAAGCCTTCACAATCCAGGACGCGAGAATCGGCAGGTTCGACTCAGCCTCGAAATGTCTTAGAAGTGTCTGTATCCTGGCAAGTCCAGTGGCGATAAGGGAGAAGGCGTAAACAGGTAGGTGGGAGGCACGACACAGTGGTCTCATGAGTACAAGTACAACACGTATTTCTTCTTTCACATTTGAGCGCCGAATCACAGGATTAGGCACGAAGCAGATGCCAACAGATCAGAAGTACCATTGACTTGGACTCGACACAGATGCAGCTCCGGTTGCAAGGCCACACGAACATGCTCAAATAGGTATCCAATTACAAAACACAAGAAGGCCAACAGCTCTCACGGTCCACGGTCCAATACTGCTTGCGTCCCCTCCTGAACTCCCGCCTCGACGTGTGTCATACGCTTGCTCTTCAGTCTCCGTCCAACCTCATCACGGTCTGCAAGAAGCTGGCGGGCCTCTCCCGCCGCGCTTTGCACTCCTCCGCGGCTTTCTCATGCGGCGCCCGCAGCTCGCTGCCTTCCTTAGCAGGTGCTTCAATCCGTGCGTCGAGTCCGGCGACATCGCGAGCCCGCTGCTACTCGAGATCTTGCGTGTGCTCAACATGCAGTCTTTCCAAGGCTGCCAGTCTTTCCACCATTCTCGCGTGGTGCTGCTTCTGCTGTAGCTCTGGAATGTCTGCCTCTAGTATGCGAACACGCTTTCTAGGCCCGTCCAAGTCGTGAGAACTCGCAGCTGCATCAAGAGGGGGACGAGGAAGAAGGCGAGGAAGGCGATACTCCTCGACCTTATCACTACGTCGCCTTTTTCGTAGTGAGCAAGCGGTAGCCGGTGCTGGTCGCACATCCTCGGTCTTGACGGTTTCGTCCTTGTCGTGCGAGTCGTCCGATATGTCAATGACCATGTGGCCACCACCATTTGCCCTGCCATCCTCCACCTTCCCGCCAGTGCTGGAGTCTCTGTCGACGTCCAGGTTGCCGTCGACCTCCGAACTGGCATCGACGGGCGAAATAGAAGGCTGTGTGGGCGTCGGGCTCCATGTTAGAACCGACCGCCGTGATGGCGTCGACCTCCAAGTTGGCATCGTCGTCCTTTTTCTTGGTGGAAACAATGATGCAACCCACGTTTTCGTTGCTACCTTCGGCGCCATCTCTGACGTGACCTTCGCTACAATTGTTGTCCAGGATGCTATCAAGGAGGTTGTTAACAGCGTCTTGGTCGTCATCCTCGTGCCCCATATAATCGTGGTTGTGGATATCGTCATCGCCGTCGCCGTTGTCATTGTCAATAACGTCGTCAATGTCGTCGCCAATGTCATCGCCAATGTCATCGCCAATGTCATCGCCAATGTCGTGGCCAATGTCGTGGCCAATGTCGTCACCGTGGTCATCGCTGTCAGCTTGCTTGTTGCTTTTGTGGACGTCTCGCAAGTGTCTTTGCAGATGGTACTTGCTTCGGAAACCCTGGGGGTTCACGCGACAACCGGATATGTGACAGAGGAACTCCGGCTCAAGCTCATCCGGGAACTTCTCTGGCCATCTGCGCGACTGTCTCGTTTAATGATCGTGTAAGAGCCAGGTTCTAGAGGTCGAATGGACACATGCTTGGATTGCTGGTGCCTTGATAAGCTTCCCTTCGTACTGAATGTGCCGCGGGAGCATTCGTTGCATTCATATCGTATGCCTTCATGCTTGGATTTCTGGTGCTGTAATAAGTCTGAATTCCAACAGAATGTGCTGGAGCACTGGTTACATTCATATGTTATGCCTTCCCGATGCTTGGATGTCTTGTGCTCCGCTAAGCTCTTCGTCCACTTAGTTGTGTAGGTGCACCCGGGCCAGTTGCATTTATGTCGTATGCCCTGATGCTGGGCTTGTTGGTGATCCGATAAACCGCAAGACGTTTTGAATGTGCGGGGGCACTGTTCGCATTGGTATCGGAAGCCTTTATGCAACACTCGCTGGTGCTCTTTGAGAGATCCCTTCGTGCTGAGTACCTTGCCACATTGGTAATGGTCACACGGCCAGCCGGGTTGCGATCTGACATATTTAGTACCGCAACGGCATCGAGGAAGAGAGCGGTGCATAAGGACTCACTTGGGACTAGCTCCTGCCATTATGAGGGTCTCAGTCACAAGCTATGGACCGGTATGGGCGAGTATCTGAGCGAGTGATGGCTCAATATCGGTAGCTCAGTACCTAGTGTGCCGCGACGGGCTGTTGAACTGGGACGATATTGGTGCACAAGTTCGTCGGTATTGGTAGCAAGACCCGTGACGGAGGATTTTCGGTACACAGGAGCGTCGGCGCAAGGGGAAGTTCGGCACACAGAAGGATTCGGTAAAGCAGACTCGTCGTGATCGATTTCGGTTTGCCTGGACTTGGTAGTTCAGTCATGGCGACAGTATCAACACTGGCCCCAGTCGAGTTTCCACCGAGTATGTTACTCACTGTAATTGGGAATATCGGTCGTCGACGGGATCATCTACCAGAACTTCACATCTGTCTTCTCGTCCTTGTAGCGTCAGGTTACCGCGATTATGTCGAGAAAGCTGAATAGAAGGAAGATTGCTATTCTCTGATGGTTGTCCGGGGGAAAAGCACACTGGAGCACCGACGCGCTTCCTGAGTTGTGTTGATCATTTCGCGCGTTTGCCCCCCCTATGTAGTAGAGACACCTCACTCGGCTGCTTGCAGACAAATCCTAGCAACTTCACGCGCTGCTCATCATCTCATACTTGAGCGGATTCCTCCCGAGATGGCTGCCTAGTATCGCTCTCAGCCCAGAAGTGGCTGGGATGAAGAGAGGTCTTACTCGCGGGAAGTCTGGCCTACACGCAGCGACCTGTATCGAGAGGACCTTACTCATGGTTATACTCATGTCCCCAATGAGTGCCATGAACTAACAGACCATTATTCCAAATGCGTTGCTTAATATATCCCCCCTCTGCACAGTGCTGATGTGCTCAGGGGCTCCCATCGTGTCGGGGGCGGGTACCCAGAAAACTGTGCTGCCATGGATTAACAACACAGTTGGTCTGTTCCGTGTCGTATCTCGTTTTCCAGAGGTGGCTTGCTACAACGCGTCGTGTCTGGGTTCCCGCCAGTTCGCGACTCTTCCATGTTAGTTATGTGACATGTTTAACCCTAACCCTAAACCGCAAACGCGGGGAACTGCCAGGAGTATCTCACGTCAACATAGCTCGCTCGTAGCCACACACAATCATTACTCACTTCTCCTACCTGTCCCAACGGGCGTATCTTTCTGACCGCCAGCTCTCACACCAAATATGCCGTACTTTGGGCCCTCGGCTTTCGACTCACAGGATCGAAGCTCCCCTCACCGTCCATGACGCGGTGAACATACGCATCCCCGACCACCGAGTAGCAGGACCAGTGAAAGTCGTTGGACACCGACGGCGGCCGCGCTGACCCTGGCGCCCTCTCCGGCAGGGACATACGTCGGCGCCGTGTTCGCGAAGAGCGTCTCCAGGGGGAGCGTTCAGACAAGCCCTCGCGCGGTACTCCGCGCGTAGGATAAGTGAACGGCACCTGGCTACCGCAGAGCACGAAGACGTCGTCCCCCTCACGAGTTTCCACACCTTGTCCCGGGCGTCACTAACCTGACGGGACCGAAACTTCCTGTTGAGTGGCAAGAGCACGATAGGTAGGTCCAATGAACCCCTATTCTCTTCTCGTCAACTCAGTCTCTCCTACCAAGCGGGAGAACTGAGCCAGTGGTTGTCCAGCCGTCAAGTAAGTACGGATATGCTGGAATCCACGTTGGTAGTCATGCAGCTTCTCTCAAATTGCACTGCAGAGTCTGAGAAGAACCTCCAGGGGGCGGACATCGGGCAATGTCTCTCTCGTCGCCAAACCACTCGAACAAGCTCGCACCCCTTGGTAGCGTACATGCTTCGTTGTTTTGGTTGTGTGAGATTATGAGCCAGTCCTCGATGCTGTCGTCTGGCCCGATGCTGTCGTCTGGCCCGCTTCTGCCGAGCCATATGGCAACCTCGCATAGGTATCTCACATCATTCCCACCTGATTGGTTCTTTCAAGTGCATCATTCTGAGGCTGTTTCTCCTTTAGCTGCATGCGCCGGAAGAGGGGAGGGGGCTGACAGACAACCTGTCGACCCATGTCCTCACTGGCGTCTCCGGATGCCTCAAGCGTACCAGACTCGATTCAAGATTGAGACTGACGCTGATGAGGGTATTGTTGCAAATAATCACCACTTGTGCAGACTCGTTTCCATCGGTCCAAGTGTAAATAAGCGCTCTTGTAGCAGCGCGTGTCCCCATCCAGATGGGTCTCATGAAGCTCACAGGACAACTGCTGCGCCCAAGACCCTTGTTTCAGGGTGACTAACCTGACTGTGCGTCCCTAAATGAGAGCTCTGGTATATATGATCTGGGTCTGCCTGGAGTTGAACCGTCCCGACATGCCTACAGCGCGTATACCGGTAGAAGTTGCTTTGCGTCGTCGAGTGTTCGTTTCCGCAGCTGTGTCGTCCGACGATGGTTGAAAAACTGAAGAGGGAAACCTTGTGGGAGGACCGAGGCCTCTCCGGAGGAAGAACGCCCCGTTCGGAGCGCTCTTTCCATGCATCAAGGACACATGTTCATGCCCCTTGGGGGCGGTGAGCTACCGTCTTAACAGCCTAGGTTAGTTAGACCGACTGTCCAGCCAGCCCTCACGTCTGCCTTGCCCTAGTCATTAACTCTGACCTTGTACGAGTATCGCCTCCACTACCAGACATGCCCTCATTGAAGAAGCGAGGGTGTGCGGGGTGCATGATCCTGCCGTTTCTGTCCCGCGTGAACCGTGCTGCGCCGCAGAGAGACTCTCGATCGCCAACAGCAGCAGATGCAGAAACCCCTCCTTGGAGACTGTCTTCTCGTCAGCTCGTAATTAACCGGCACGGTGATGACAAGGGGGAGAAGATTGTTGCGGGGTATAAAACTGCCTGCGCGCCACACAGTCCGCCATCGGGACTTGGTTCTATGAAGCATGTAGAACAAAGTAATGCAACTCTAATTTGACAGCATGTCTAGAACATTACTCACCATTCTCATCTCTGCCTCACTGGCGACGAGTGCGCCCCCTCCGGTCTTGGTACCGGAGCTGACAGGGCCGCACAAAGTAGGAACAACAGCGATGTCCTTTGTCGACCACATCCGTCTCGATCCCTACGCCCCAGCCCCTCAACCACGCGACCTCGCCGTGTCTCTCTTCTACCCAACAGCCGACGATGCAGATCGCCACTTCAAGCCAGCCCGCCAGTTCCCGAAGAAGTTCGTAGCGTACTGGAACGACATGGCCAGCCAAAATGGTATCGTCGAGGAGACTGTCACGCTAAGGTCGTACGACGGCGCGCCTCTCACTCGACCAGACCTCCCCCTTATCCTGCTAAGTCCCGGCTTCGGCTCCTCGCGGCTCCTCGCGGCTCTTCTACTCAGACTACGCCGAAGAGCTGGCCAGCTACGGCTGGAACATAGTCACAATAGACCACACATACGAAGCACCCATAGTCGTGTACCCCGACGGGCGCGTGGTAACATCCAACCTCAGCGAAGTCGCCGTGTCCGGCGGGGTCGTCACCCCAGAGATCTTCGACCCGTTCCTATGGCCCCGCGTAGCAGACATGATATTCGTCTCGACTCGCTCTCTAACAGCTCGACCAGATCGCGGATCCCCGGCCTCGGAGACCGGCGGCGGCTCCGGACGGACAGCGTCGGCGCGGTCGGCGGCTCCTTCGGCGGCGCCACGGCATACCAGGCCATGGCCAACGACACGCGGTTCGCAGCCGGGGGGAACTTCGACGGGGAGCTCTTCGGGACCTCCGTGCTTGAGGACACGGACAAGCCGTTCCTGTTCCTCGCCTCGCTGACCCACAATTACACGAACGACCCGTCGTGGCGGGAGGCGTGGCCGCACTTGAAGGGGTTCAAGCGGATCTTCGGCGTGGCTAACACGGAGCATCCTAGTTTTTTGGACTGGGTGGTCCTGAGGCAGATCCTGGGAGATACTTTCCCCCATGCTATTAGCGCGGCGATCGGGGCGATCAATGGCACGAGGATGTTGGCTGTTGAGCGGGCGTTCACGAAAGCCTTCTTTGATCGCTTCTTGAAGGGGCGTGGGGGCGAGTTACTTGATGGGAAGGGGCTTGATGCCTGGCCGGACATTACTTGGATAAAAGAGCCACCTGCCTCGGGCTTGTATCCCTCTTAGTTTCCCTCGGAACACCTAGTTTACTGTCAACTTAATGCAGTCCTTCGCTCACTCAAAATAGCTACTTGCACATCCTTAAAAGATCTATTAAGTAGGTCTGGTAACAAGATGTAGCCTTTGTGGACCCATAAATGTTCGACCACAAGATTTGGCATGGTGGATGTCAACGACTCGCTGAAGCAAATTAGTACGATCTGAGCAGCTAGACTTTCACCAGAGGTTTGAGAAACGATGGCTGTTTGAGTTTGATAGTCAAGTTGCTCCATCTCGTCCACTGGCTTGCGCATCAAGAGGATGTGGGGACCTGCGAGTCCTGGGAAGGAATACGAGACCGGATGGATACGAGATGGAAACATGCACGAAAGATAGAACACGTTGGTCAAGAGACTGACTGGACACTGCAACAAATCTCAGTTCGCACCTATCTCTCTCTCTCTCTGTGTGTGTGGCTCTGCAGACTAGCTTTTTGCTCATGCTTGCCATATGGCAGCCATCAGGGTGATCGGCTTTTGATATACAACAAAGGAGAAGATGATGGGTTTTTGTAGGCGCACTGCCTTCGCAACCAATCTAATCTTAGACGTCTCTCGAATGTTTCAGCAATGATCTAGCCATAGCTTCTATGCCAGATGAAGTGGAGCGAACCACCCTCTCAAATGCCTGCCGGCCGGCCGTCTGTCCCTCTGAGGCAGCCTTGCTCAAATATCAATTACAATCAAACGTAATGAGGCCAAATGCAAATGTAGGTATGTGCGGGAAGTCGAAGGGGTATTATGTACAGGAGACGGGTGCTCCAGATGTAAGGATGGTGGATTCCAGGCGTTACGGTAGAACCACAAAGGACCAGGTCGTGTGGGATGATGTGTGGATTGCTAGACAATGGCGACCAAAGAAGCCAAGTCTCTCGAGTGTCGAGTGTCGAGTGTCGATGGCATGGTAGTGTGTCTCAGCACTTCAAAGCCTCAGCCAAGAAGCAGCCTGTTCGAACAAGACCCGTATGTAACTAACTGCTCAGCTCACATGATGGTGCACTTGGACTCATTTTCGCCACTGGGCTTAACAGTGAGCGCAACACGGGCAGCCTCGGTAAAGGCTTCGTTGACACCACGATTCCGCATGGCTGAGCACTCCAGGTACCGCATGGCCTTGATACGTCGCGCGACCTCGAGGCCCTGGTTGTAGTCGATCATGGGTCTCTTTTCCCGTTGGGGTCCGTCGGTAGCGCTGGCAGCAGCATCGTCTTCCTCGTCGGTGTTTTCGCGCAGATCGCACTTCAAGGCCACCAGGACGAGCTTGACACCGGGGCAGTTCTCCTGAATCTCTCCAACCCATTTGCTCTCGACATTCTCCAGTGAGTCTTTACTATCGACACTGAAACAGAGTACTACTACGTCGGTGTTGTCGTAGGAGAGGCTTCGTAGGCGGTCAAATTCTTCTTGTCCGGCGGTATCCCATAATGACAGCTCGATGTGCACGTTATCAACAAAGATATCTGGGAACGGATCAGTCAAAGCTGTATCAATCCGTGCGATTGCCGGTCCACCAGGTCGCTAGACTCATGCTGCATGTGCCACATACGCAAGACGCAGTGCAGCTTCAAAGGGATTGATGAGAGGCAATGATGCACTAACCGTGAACGTAGTTTTCGAAGACCGTAGGCTCATAAACTGTCGGGAAGTATCCTCGCGTGAAGACGTTTAGCAGCGACGTTTTTCCACAAGCTCCGTCTCCTCTGCAAGAAGCGGCGGTGTCAGCAAATGACGCCTCGTGCCGGGGACGAGCGTCGCGTGACGATGCACGATGCGCGACGCTGGCCAGGGAAAGGAGCGGCACCTACAAAAGAACCAGCTTGCGCTGTACGGTCCTCGACCCTCCTATACCACACAGAGATGGCATGTTCGCTGTGTTCGCACGGGCGTCCCGTCTCGAAGGTGCGCGTCGGGCGGTGGTAATGGTAGTCGCGGCAAACAATAAAGGGATCAAGAGGGGAGTGGTGATGTTTGGTTGGGATGACAGCCGTCAGATGCCGCGCGGTGCAGAGAGGAGGTCGAGTATGAATGGGCGCCGACAACTAGAGTGAATATCGGCGGCAGTATGGAGAGGAGACCAAGAGTGGTTCTTTGTGCTACAGACCGGACAATGCGGAGGGTGGAGGGCGGTGTTGTATCGAGGTACCTGAGGTACGGGAATGGTGAGGTTATTGTTCCAAGGGAGAGAGAGGCTTGAGAGGCGAAGAAAGATGGACGGGAGGCATTCTTGGCAGCCCCGAGTTGAATGAAGTCAGACCTGGGAATACCACCTGCACCTACACGTCGCTGAAGGGCCGAGGCCGCGGGGGGCAGTGTTCAGTGCAGGTGGCTTGCAGTGATTACTGTAGGGGACTTTAGCGCCATTTGCCTACCTTAGGTAGGCTGGTAGCCCGAAGGGGGCTTGTGATTGGCGGTGGCGATGGTGGCGGACATGACAGCAGCCCAGGCCTAGCGGACAACGCCGGGACTTGCAGGTGACTGCATCATCGTGATCATTGGTCTGCCACAGGGAACCTCCATCAATGATGTCGCATCTTGATGACTTGTTCGTTACATATCCCACCAACATCCCTTCTCTCAAGCTCCTTCCAACAAAACTCAGCTGCTTTCATAACTTGAAGCCGTAATGTTACTAGCAGAGCATGTTCATAAAGGGAAGCCTGCAGATGGCTTCACTTGAGCATGTGGGATCGACAGGGTCCCGGTGGAGATCGTCGGGTACACTAAATCTCGAAATGTCTCCATAAAACATCCAAGATGGCTTACCAAATCGAAGCTAGTCATTCAATGAGTCAAGACTCATTGAAATGAATAGCATTGATATCCAGAGATATGCCGGAAGGAGACTTAAGGGGGATGACTATAACTCAAGGGATAAAAGCTCGAATGGAGCCAACAATTGGCACAGATTCTGTAAGCGCCATCATCATCCACCAGAGGTGCTTACGTGAGCTAAGTTTGAAGAAAACCTTATTCATGCAGGTATTTACTTCCTCGCTCATTGTTGATTGTCCTGAGTTGGTCTCCAGAATGCTCGTGAAATGTTCCAGAGACCCGTGTGCTTCACAGGGGGGGACCCTTCATGATACACTATCATGGAGTCAGGGAGTTTGCCACAGATTCACAAATACCATCAGCAAATCGGGATGGGGCGGTGACATGTCACGGTTATCCTTCCTTCCAGCGCGAGGGACGGCGGGCGGGTGAAATCGCGACCGTTGCGTGCCTCCGGCAGCTCCGTACAACGGTCGTGGGATGAGGAAGGGAAGTCTTCCTCCCGTCCCAGCGGGCGGACAGCGGTCCTTATAAAGACCGCTGTCAGTCCGTACGCGTGCTTTAGCCCTAATAATAGCTGTAAAACAAATCATATGACAGCAGGAAGCAGTAACATTTCCCGATTAAGCACTCCGCGCTCCATATTCTAACTAAAAGTCGACAAGTTCTATCTACTGCTTACCGAATCATGCTTGAAAGGAGTGCATTACATGCAAGGACCAGTTGTCTTTTATTAGATATATCTGCCTTTTCTAGGTACTCGGGTTTCTTTCTACTATGAAAGAGAGCGTAGCTTTGGTAGCGAAATAGAATATTCGCCACTTACTGCACAATTAACCTAGCATGACTGACACGCAGGCATTGTTTTTATAGCTACATGGTGACCCTTTTTCAGGACAGGCTGCAGCCAGCCAAGGGTCGTATCGCCTCTCCCTACACGTACACCGTCGGGACTAGAGATGGGGACCCGGTGCACGAAATCAGTATATAAGCCAGTCCCAGCCGCCCACAGAATACTGTAGAAACCAGACATAGAAGACGAGATCACTACCTAGCTATACAGCAACATCAAGCAGCATGCGGCCTTGCGTCAGTACCATCTTAACTACGCCTCCTGTCCTTGGTTGGCGTGTCGTTTGCTTTCCCTTTCCTTGAAACACAAAACGCCGCCGACCTTGCTTCCCAACCGCAAGAAATATGCGCTAAAACACACACATAAGCCACCCCGTTGGACTCGCCACTTTTAAAGTGGGACAAACCAGCTATTAAATAACCCACGGTCCGGCACGATCTTAAACTGTATTTAAGACTCAATATTCGCGGGATGGATTTTTTGTTTAATAAAATAATAACCGATTATTAACTTTATCCGCTTTGTGTTTTTTTAACTTAGTTACTTTTCGTTGTTTCTTATTAAACATACGCTTTTTGAATGAGCTTTTTTTTAATCTTCGAGCTATAATTAGACGTTTTCGATATAGTCTATTATAAAGCGTAATTTTTTATTGGCTTTAAAGTTTTTTAATTACGTTTTTACAATTTTATAACTACGATTTATTTCGATTTTAACTTTTATAATTTTAAATTGTTAAACACAATTAAAAAGCTTAAAAATCTTTGTTTTTATAAAACTTAAACCTACCGTTTTCTTCTTCGATTTATCGTTATAACAGTCGATATAAAAACGGATTTTTATTTAACTTTATAGATATTATTAAATAATCTAAATATATACGAGCCTCTTATAAATCTAGTTTTAACAAAGGCTTTATTTATTTTCAAAGAGAAGAAAAAGAGGAATTTTTCAAAGCCCTTTTAAAAATTAACTACTTACTTTTAAGTTATAACTTACAACGTAATGCGATATTTAATATATTGTCACAGAATAGAAATTGACCACCACACCAATTGGCTAAGCTCCCCACAAAAGGATGTGGAATATTCAGGATGGCAACTGAATATTCTTTGGTGGTAGATATACCTGGCGTTCTACGGGCTCCAGGGCTCTGTCTCATTCGGACATACCTGTACCGTATTAGAACGTCACATATATTCTAACGATATTTTGAGTCAGATATATAAGGAAAAAGAAAGGAAAAAGGTTATTTTTTTAAATAAGGTTTAACTTATAGGTAAGGCTTTACGCGTATATCGTTTAATATATAACGTATTAACTTAACCTTATAAACGCCATTTGTAGTCAAGAGTTTAATAAATCAAAGTAATTCATAACGTTTTATTTTAATAAACTTAACGTATAATACGAAAGTTTTACTTTTTATTATCTTTTAAGGTATTTGATTTTAACTTTTCCTTTCGGTTAAAAAGCTTAAAATTTAAATAAATCGTTAAAAGACTGTAAGACTATATAAAGCCGTATAAAAAGCCGTATAACAATAAGGTCTCGATTAATTTAATTCACGTTAATATAAAGGTCTCGTTAAGTAAGTTGTTGAGCTTTTTTCTTTCTTTTTCAATCTAATGAAGTTAATTAACATTGTCACGGCGCTGGACCCTGCCTATGGGCAGGAAGTAAAGGGACCCCGGGCGCCAGCTGTCGGCGGCCCGGGTGGACCAATGTGGACCTGAGAACTGACGATATCTTCACTGTTCCCGCCCGAACCTGAATTGTAGCTCTTCGAGCTACGTCCTGTCAATAGAGTTACTTGTAACCCTGCCAGAACCGTAGAGAATAGACTGTCATACGATCGCCTATACTGCCCGTACCGGAGCCCGTGACATTACGTAGCTCCTACCCTATAGGCGCCGTATCTACCGCGAGAATGTCCCAGGAGCGGCCTGAACCGCCTTCGAGAACGGACTCTCCAGAAGAACTCGTTGCCTATGTTACCAATAACCCGTCCGACTGGCTGTTATACTTACGCCATATCAATGGCTACGCTGCCGCCTTGAAAGAAGAGAACGATTTCTTCCGCCTCGCCGAATCTGACCACGATAACTCCCTCCAGTCCCTCTGATCGACTATTGCCAAGCAAGAGGGAATTATCGAATACTAAAAGCAATAGCACTGAGAAGATACTGCCCTTCTCCAGAAAGAAATTACCTATCTGGAGGTTAAGAAACTCCGCCTGCTCGATGCCGCCACGCCTGCTATACAGACTCCCCGACCCGTCCCTGCCGCTACCCCGAGTCCCCCGGCTGAACAGCCTGCAGATTCCGTACCGGGATCGACTGCGCTTGCTTCTCCTGTCCGTTCCGGATCTTCCCATCTCAGTAAGAAGATCCCTGACCCAAAAAAATTCGATGGCTCTCAAAGCGACCTTCGCCGGTTCACGCAACAGATCTATAGCAAGATGACCACTAACGCTGACCGATTCCCGACCGTTACTGCCCGGCTGACCTATGTTGCCGGACGTCTGACAAGGAAAGCCTATGAATTGATCCTGCCAAAGACCCGCTACAGAGTTCCCGACTTCCTCGATTACCCGGAAATGCTTGCCTACCTGGAGAACGCCTTTGGAGACCCCGACCGTATTCAGAATGCCCAGAATAAGCTATACCAGCTGAAGCAAAGGAACCAGGACTTTAGCACCTTCTTCTCTGAATTTCAACGCCTGGTCCTGGAAGGAGAGATGCCCAAGGACGCCCTGACCCCATTGTTGTTCCAAGACATATCTCGCGAACTTCAGGATATGCTCCTACATAGCTCGACCCCGTCCCGGAGATATAGAGACTACGCCAATCACCTGCAAGCCCTGGATAACCGCTTCCGCCAATACCAACAATAAGTCTCCCGGAACCGTGTCATCACTTCTGCCAAAACCCCTGCCAGTTATGCCGCCGCTGTTGTCCCCTGCCAACTCGCTGCCACGAGCCCAGACCAGCCCAAGAGAGAATAGAGAGCGCCCTGACCTGCTTCGCCCGTCGCCAACAGAGGAGAGCCTATGGACTTGAGCTCCTAGAGAAGATTTGCCCCCGGTGGAAGGAAAGAGCGCGGAGAATACTTCCGCTGCGGTTCCAAGGTTCATCGCGTCGCTGCCTGCCCCGAACCTGATACTCGCCCCTCGTCCCAACTTCGTTAATTCCGTGCCAGCTATGTCCACCGTTCCGATAGCCCTGATTCTGTCCGATCTGTCAGCCCGCCTCGCAGCCCGTCGAGCTCGACAAATGGAGTGAGTCTAGATTAAGTCGCACCCAGGCTCCCAAGAAGGAGCGCCGCCTAAGAACCGCTGCCAGCGTCCAACTATCTGCTGCCGCTGCCAAGGGAGTCTCTGTCCAAGAAGAAATAAATCAGAGGTCCCATTTGATGATTCTACTTATTACCCTGGAGTTGGGAAGCAAGACGCTCCCGACTTACGCCATGACCGATACCAGAGCCGAAGGAAAAGGCTTCGTAGACCAGAGCTGGGCCGCGAGCCACGAGCTATCCCTGAAGAAACTAAAGAAACCATTTGGATTAGAAGTATTTGATGAAAGAGACGCCGAGAGTAGAATGATCACCCACTATATCGAGACCCGACTGAGAACTGAAGACCATTGCGAAAAGATCAAACTCTTCGTGACCCAACTGGCCCATTACCCCGTTATTCTAGGAATACCCTGGCTAAAGAAGCACGACCTGAAGATTGGATTTGCGAGCCATACCTTCACTTTTGACAGCGAATACTGCCGGAAACACTGCAATACTCCTGCCCGCCCGACAAAGATCTGAGCATTGCATGACGTCCCTGCTAAGGCCCGACCGCACAACTTGCCTCCCCGACCGCCTGAGCTGCAGCATTTGGATATTGCCCGAGTATCGTTGAGAGCCTGTACGATGTACAGCCGAAGGAACTGCCAGCTCTTTACTGTCACGATTGATGATATCAACCGGTACCTGCAGAATGCCAGCCCGCCGGAGCCCCGAGACCTGCTGCCCGAGGAACTGGAGGATTATGCTGACGTCTTTTCACCCAAAGAAGCCGAAAGACTCCCCCTGTACCGGGATTATGATCACGATATCCGCCTACAGGATGGCAAGACGCCCCCATTTGGACCACTGTACCCCATGTCCCGCAACGAGCTGCTCACACTGAAAGAATGGCTGGAAGAGAATCTGCGCAGGGGTTCGTCCGTCCCAGCTCGTCGCCTGCCGCCTCCCCGGTCCTATTTGTTAAAAAGGCTGATAGAAGTTTCTATTTCTGTGTCGACTACTGAGGACTAAATAACATCTCTGTTAAGGACCGATATCCGCTGCACTTAACCAAGGAATCTCTGAATAACCTGAAGGGAATAAAGTACTTCACGAAGATCGATATCGTGTCTGCTTTCAACAATATCCGTATAAAGAAAGAACAAGAGTACCTGACCGCGTTTCGTACCCGCTTTGGCCTGTACGAGTCCCTAGTGATGCCCTTTAGACTGACTGGGGCCCCCGCAACCTTCCAAAGGTTCATGAACGATACCTTGCGAGAGTACCTGGATATATTTTGCACTGCTTATCTGGACGATATCCTGATCTATAGCCGTACCCGAGAAGAGCACCTAAAACACGTCCGCCAGGTATTAGAGTCCCTGAGACAGGCCGGCCTATACGCCAAGATCCAGAAGTGCGAATTCTTTAAGGATAAGACCACCTTTTTGGGTGTAATTGTCGGGAAGAATGGGATTCGCATGGACCCAAAGAAGATCGAGACCATTCAGAACTGGCAATCCCCGTCCTGCCTGACAGACGTCCAAGCGTTTATCGGATTCAGCAACTTTTACCGACGCTTCGTGAAGGATTTCTCGAAGATCATTACCCCGATGGTAGCCTTGACGAGAAAAGGGATGCGTTTCCACTGGAACCGGGCCTGCCAGACTGCCTTTGACCTTCTGAAGCACGCTTTTACCACAGCGCCTGTCCTGGCCCCATTCGATTGGGAAAAAGAGATCATCATAGAGACCGACGCGTCTGATTACGTGTCCGCCGGAGTGTTGTCCCAGTATGGGGACGATGGTATCCTGAGGCCAGTAGCTTTCTTTTCAAAAAAATACTCAACGACGGAATGTAATTACGAAATTTATGACAAGGAACTGCTGGCGATTATCTACTGCTTCGAAGAATGGAGACCCAAGCTAGAGGGGACAAGTTCCCCGATTAAGGTTATTACCGATCACCGGAACCTAGAGTATTTCACAACAACGAAGTTACTGAACCACTGCCAAGCCAGATGGTCCGAATTCCTGTCCTGTTTTAACTTCAAGATTGTCTACCGCCCCGGAAAGTAAGGAGCGAAGCCGGATGCTCTGACCAGGAGGTCAGAGGACCTGCCTAAAAAGGGGGATAAACGCCTGTTACATCAGAGTCAGGTAGTGCTGAAAAGAGCCAACCTTGACAATTTCTTACATATAGATAGGAAACCGGAAGACCAGCCCGTCGAGTTGCCGCCAACTCCAGCACAGACTCCTGAGGTTTCTGAACCAGTGCCTGCTGCCCCAGAACCCGTGCCGGGACCAGCCCGCCCCGCCAAGCGAGTACGATTCGCAGACCCGATCCTGAAGCTGTACCCGATCACTCGCAGCCAGCTCCGTGGACCTGGAGCTCCAGACCACCGACCACAGCCCGATTTGGAACCACCACGGTCTGCACTGCCCGTTGAGAGAACTGCACCGCTGCTACCTCCCCAGATCCAGGACCTTTTCAACCAAGGATACGCCACAGACAAAGAACTACAGTCGATCATCCGAGCCCTGAAAAAGAAGGAGTCTCGCCACCGCAAGATATCACTAGCTGAGTGCGAACTGTCCGGAGAACACTTGTATTACCGTGAATGCTTGTATGTTCCTGCAAGCGAAAGGCTGCACGCTGAGCTCTTACGCCTGTATCACGCTAGCCCTGTCGCCGGCCACATGGGTCGAGCCCGTACGTACAAAATACTGTCCCGAGAATACTACTGGCCTGGTATGTTGTCTTATGTTAAACAATGGGTTCGTAACTGCCATACCTGTAAGAGGACTACCGCCTCGAGAGAAGCCCGTCAAGGAGTCCTGAGACCCTTCCCGATTCCCCAGAGAGCCTGGTAAGATATTTCGATGGACTTCATTACGCACCTGCCCGACAGCTACGGCTACGACGCGATCCTGGTAGTCGTCGACCGCCTGACCAAGATGAAGCACTTCATCCACTGTAAGGGAACCTGCAATTCTGAAGAAGTCGCCCGCCTATATGTTAAGTATGTCTGGAAACTGCACGGCCTGCCCAGAACCATCGTATCCGACCGAGGACCCCAGTTCGTATCCGATTTCTGGAAGCACCTGACCAAACGCCTAGGAATCACCGCACTGCTGTCGACCGCCTACCACACCAAGACCGATGGGCAGACCGAGATCGCCAATTCCTTCCTGGAACAGTACCTGCGGGACCACGTATCATACCTTCAAGACGACTGGGTACGCTGGCTACCGTTAGCCAAATTCGCAATCAACAACGCACTAAACGAGAGCCTAAAAACCACGCCCTTTTTCGCAAATTATGGATATCACCCCCGTTTCGGATTCGAACCTGCCCTACCCGGACACCGCGTTGCCGCTAAGGATGCCGAGGGGGTCGCCCTGAAGATGGCCACTGTACACGAGTACCTGAAGTCTGAGATCTGCATCGCCCAAGCCCGCCACGAGGAGTATGCCAACCGGAAACGCCGACCTGCCCGCAGATTCTACGTCGGTCAGAAGGTCTGGCTAGACGCAAGGAACATCAAGACTGCCCGCCCCCAAAAGAAGCTGGACTGGAAGAACCTGGGCCCATGAGAAATAACTAAGGTTATTAGCCCGTACGCCTACTGCCTGGAGCTGCCTGCGTCCATGAGAATACATCCTGTCTTCCATGTAAACCTGTTGCGACCTGATTCCGCCGACCCCCAGCCTGGACAACAGCAAGAACCACCGCCCTCCGTCGAAATAAACGGCCTGTAAGAATGGACTGTAAAAGAGATACTTGATTCCCACTGGGATCGCCGAGGACGTGGAGAAAGGCCTAACCTGAAGTATACTATTAAGTGGGAAGGATACGACAAGCCCACGGAGTCCCCTGCTGCCTGGCTCGAGAATGCACAGGAGGTTATTAACAATTTCCATCACCAATATTCAAACAAGCCCGGACCTGGACCTCTGCTATGAGGATAAACTGGAAGCCTGTGAACCTGCTAGGCGCGTCGTCGGAACTCCGCCTGGAGAGGGGAGTACTGTCACGGCGCTGGACCCTGCCTATGGGCAGGAAGTGGAGGGACCCCGGGCGCCAGCTGTCAGCGGCCCGGGTGGACCAATGTGGACCTGAGAACTGACGATATCTTCACTGTTCCCGCCCGAACCTGAATTGTAGCTCTTCGAGCTACGTCCTGTCAATAGAGTTACTTGTAACCCTGCCAGAACCATAGAAAATAGACTGTCATACAATCGCCTATACTGCCCGTACCGGAGCCCGTGACAAACATGGGTTAATAAAAAGGTCCCGTTAATATTGATTAATATTGATTAATGTAAAAAACACTTAAAAATAATAAGGTCTTATAAGGTATAAGAAGTACTTTAATATAACTTACTATAACCCTTAGCATAACCCACCATAACCCGGATATTTTAATATGGTTAAAAAAAGAAAAATAATATCCACAATATCCACGTCAATATCAAACCACAATAGCCTCGTTGTTGAGGTGGTTGCCAAGGCTGCAGGGGTATCGGTAGATTGAGTTGACGTGGATCCCAACCACTGGATCCCGCCACCAGTACCTTATCGGATCTCCTGTCATCCAGGGCGTTCTACGATAAGGTTACCTGGGATAGCTGCCCCAGGTGACAGGTACCAACCCACTGTAATTTAGGTATTTAGATACTTCTTGGATGGGATCCTGCCCATCCGAACGTAACCAAGCACCAACCAGAATACAGATCATCCCAACCAAGACTTGTGATAGATCTCTGTTCTGGTTCCGCTACCACAAAGGCACATCCATATCAATCCACCGTGGATATCCGTTCAGTTGCTAGGGACCTTGTTTGGCAAAGAAGTGGCAAAGTGGCAGAAGGCCTTCAGTCCGACGACCTCAGCGCCTCCGATTACGAGAGCGGCAAGGAAGATGAGGCAGCTACCATAGTCACCCTTTTCTATCCGAACCCAGACCGAAGCAAATCAAGCAAGGGAAAACGGCCGACCGAGTGGTACGTCCAGCAGCTTTGGAACCTGGTCAAAACAGGGGAGCGAATGATCGTATATATCCCTCCGGACTTTGCCGATAAAGTCAAGGCTATAAGAAGCGATGATCATTTCGAAGTCGTAGAAAAATACGAAACGGTTTAAGACTTCTTAAACAACCAACACTAGCAATACAACTTTAAAGCAAGGTTTTAAACAACTTAATAAATATTAACATATTGGTTAAATTAACGTTAATATCTGCGTTAACTTAATCTATAAAAACCTTTATAACTTTAACAACCAACTTAATTACAAGGCTTTTATAAGTTAATATTTATTAACTCGGTAATATATAGGTTAATAAAAATCAAAAGTTTTTTTAATCATATAAAAAATATTTTCTATAGTAGATATTACCGGGGTATCTTAAAAACCGGAATTTTCTTACCGAAATTAATAAAGGTCCGGCCGGAAATACGGTAATTTCCAAGGCGATATCAACCCACGAAAATATCAATCTCTAGAAACCAAACCCTCCGTTAATACATTCAACAAAACGAAACGACGACAATGTCGTGGATAGTATTAACTTAACTCAACGAAGGGGTCCCGTTGACGTAAATTAAGTTGTTCGGAACCTTGCTTGAAAGTAACCCAGCCAAAACTGTTTTCAGAGTTCGAGGGCACCGAGCGTTACCTTAAACCTGCTGCCATGTATAACGAGTAAGTTGATCAGAACAACCTGGCTCCTCCCAGCTAAAGCAGAACAACGCATTCGACACCCTCGCTCTGACCAAATTCACACTGGCAGTACGTCGTGGCAACGAGCCCTCGCTGACTTGGATGTCCCACAGCCCACATCGGACAGCCACATACAATGCCAAGTGGTTCGTAACCTACGACGCTGTGATGCGGAACCCATTCAGAACCAACAAGTGGATGTACGCAGACGCCGGATTTCTAGGCGCGGAGGGACCAACCGACGACAAAGGGGAGGAATGGGGGATGTTCAAGAACGGGTATCTGGACACCGACAAGTTTGACAGATCCATCAAGCACAGCGGGGACACCGGCGTCGTAATTGGCGAATACAAACATGTAGGTGACGAAGCCCCGACCTTACTCCGAGTGCGTCGGAGCGGCGACTGATGCTACAGCGCCTATCAGGACCGCGAAAGAGACATCAACGATGACTGTTGGACCAAACCCCGCCACGTGTGGAAGTGTAGACACTTCATAGCCAAAGCGTGGTTCGGAAACTCGATTGGCATGTTGGAGTTCAGCGCTCGCTACATGCAGACGATAGAGGACAGTGAGTGATTATCTGTGAGATTTCAAACCGGTCTGGTATTGAAAGGAAAAGAGAAGAAGATCTCTGGGGGAGAAGCCCCCATATATATGTACAGGTGTGCCATCAGAATGACCAGATCATCATACGATAATGGTGCCAGAATCCTGGTGGCCTGAGGGTCGGCTGACTGCCCTCAAACCAAACCCATTAGCGCATTCAGCCCCGAAGGCCTCGCCTGGACCTGCTATGATATTCAACATTATCCCGACCAACCCTCCCTCGCCCGTCATCGACAATGGCTGACTTCCCAACCACCTCAGTGGACGCAAACGGTTGGTATATCGGGCGGGAGGAGTTCGTCCTCTCGCACGTGGCGATACGATACCCAAATTTCTTGTTCAGCGTGCCCTACACTTCAGAGCCCATGGAGCTGTATTACCCGTTCTACGATCCATCCAAAGCCTACTGGTCATATTACGGCGGGAAGTCCATGGTCGCCGCGCTCAACGACCCGCTGTCCACCCTGTTTTGCCCCAATAACTATAAGCCTAGGCAGCCGAATCTTCCCTGGGGCCCGAAAGGAGAGTGATTAGCCTGACTAGGACTGCTACTCAGAGACTGTTGGGACTTGGGAGTTCATGGACTGACCTGCGGTCTTTGGTAGGAGGTATAAAGTAGTATTGCAGAGCAGAGGGAGAACGGAGTACATAGAAAGATGTTGCAAGGAGGGGGAATAGCTCCAAACAGCTCGGTATATAAAGGGACGCTTCCAAGCTTCTGTTGGATATCATACCAGGCTGAGGCTTTCGGGGCTGAATGCGCTAATGGGTTTAGCTTCAGGGCAGTCAGCCCACCCTCAGGCCACCAGGATCCTGGCGCCATTATCGTATGATTATCTGGTCACCCTGATGGCACACCTGTACATATGGGGGCTTCTCCCCCAGAGATCTTCTTCTCTTTCCTTTCAATATAGAACGGTTTGAAATCTCACAGCTTCAATATAGACGGAACCAAATCAATCAATTAGACATAATCAACATAGACGAACAACATAAACCGAACCAGGATAGACAGAATCAATATAGAAGGGAACCCAGAATAATCAACCACTCCTTCCATGCTCAGGTCATTGCAAACGTGGCCAAAGCCTCACTGTCCATAACCCGACTTACGACCAAAGCGAGTGCATGGCCATCTGTATACAATCACGCGTCGTTTGTCGGCTAGTCCCTGCCATGGACCCCTATTCCAGATTGCTCTTATGTACGACTGCCAATCATCTCACAAACATGAGTTGGGGGCCTGTGGCGCCGCAGTTTGCAAGAAGCGCGCAGAGACTGCGCGTCAATGCGTGCTTATGCAGAGCAGAGGTTGTGCTCGTGCAGAAGCCCAAAGTGGGAGCTAGACAGGTACCCTTTTCTTTCTTTTTGTGACGCACGATGCATGAGGTACCCGGACAAGAAGGGTGCGTAAGCGTGTTAGAGGGCGTAAAGCGGTGGTGGCCTGCCCAGCTGGATAGCCGTAAAGGGGTAATCCAACGCGCTTTCATCCAACATGACCGCGAGGGCTTGAATCTGCTATGTGGCGGGAAGAGGTAGCGATACCATAACCTCCCTGACTCATATGCCACAAATCGCACAGATCATGGCGGCGGCACATTTCATACAATAATCTGGTGTCCATAAAAGGAGGGATATAAAGACCGCAAGCTCCAGTATATGGGGTTTCTCACGAAAGTTGCAATTTCCGACGGAAAGTGTTAAATAACACTCACGCAGCAAGGTATGCAGACTTGTTGGTTCTCTCGATCATCATACACATGTTACTCAAGTGCATTTGTCTGCATGTGTGGCTCATACGGTTACATATGTTCACCGGAACACGACATAGTAGCTTTCTTGATGCACAATTTGTATTCCCAGGGCAAGGAGTTGGAAAGTACGGTTGATTGCGTACGTAATTGGTGCATGGGTATATCTGTAAAGCAGTTGCTTCAGAGGCGCAGCGGCCTCTAGAAGTGATCCATCCTCTAAAACGACTTTATCATGGCGAAAGGGCTGCGCAATCTATCACGTTAAGCCATGAGCTTCCGGCGTAGACCATTCACGAACTCCCTCTCCCCGTACTTCCCGGAACGCTCTCTCGCATTGTCGTCCGCCTCTCTTGCCAACCGCTCCTTCTCCTCCAACGCGGCCAGTCGTTGTTCTCGATCCTGATCGAGACTCGACGCGGCCTCTTGCATGGCAGCTAGCTTGCGAGCCCGCTCTTCAGCCGCAGCAGCATTCGACGAGCTGCCTGAACTGCTGCCACCTCCATTTCGGCTGTTGCCGGCGCCATTCCTGTAAGAGTCTCGTGGTCGTGAATCACGACGGTCCTCAACTACGCCTGAGTCATGGCGCCGGTATTTGCGCGGTGGCTCTTCCGAATAGTCGCGATGGCGCCTGTATCCCTCATCCCTGGCGTTGCTGCGGCGTGGACTTCTTGAGCGACCTCTGTGTGATCTGTCGCGATCTCTGGATTCATCTCCTCCCGGGCTAGATCTCCTCTTCTCAACGCGCTCCATATGCCGGTCTCCCCTCGATCCATGCCTCTCATTACTCCCGGATCTGTCTGCCGAGTCATCTCTGCGGTGTCGAGGTCGGCGTTCTCTTGAGTCTTCTCTGTCCCTTGAATCTGATCGTCGGTGTCTCCGGTGGCGATGTTCCCTCGAATGCGACCTGTGCCGGTGCCTGTGTCGTCTCGAATGTCTATGTTCTTTGTCCCGCGAAGACTGTTTCTCCTCCGTCTTCCCCATCGATCCCAGCAGTTGTCGTCTCCTGATGGGATCGTTCATCATGGCTTCGTAGGCTTCTTGCTCCCTGCGCTTGATGGCCAGCAGCGGGTCCTCTCGTATCTTGATGGCGGTGTCGCGCGCAGTATTCGCATTCTGAATGGCCATAAAGCTTTCCTGGCCTGCCTCCTTCTTGAGGTTGTCGTGGTCGGACCCTCGGGTTAGGATGGTGTCGATTCGCCGGCGTCCCAGGAGATAGCCCTCGAGCTCTTCGGTGGTGCCGCCCTGATCGCTAGGCCCATTGTACATCCAGTCGACCCTGTCGACCCTTTTGCGACCACCTGCGGCTTCGAGCTGGTCTTGTAGCTCCTTTTGGGCGCGTTCCTCCTTGATCTCCTGGACGCGGGCTTCGGTCTTCTTGCGCTCAGCAAGCGCAGCCTGCTCTGCATCGTAGACTTTGGACTGGTTCTTGAGCAGAGCAGGGTGGTAAGATTTCTTCAGTTGTAGATCGCCACCCATTTTGGCGACTCAGACACGCTGGCCTGTCGGAAAACCAGGTGCGAAAGTCGGTAATCGGGGTCCCTCGTAGAAAGAGGATGGTCCGTTGACCTCGATAGGAAATGTTGATGCGGTTGTTGTTGTTGTTGTTGTTGTTGCGGAGGAGTGGTGAAGAAGTTCCAGGGTTGTTGAAGGTGGAGGTGGAAGAAGTGGCGGGAGGCGGCCTTGCTTTGAAGTACCTTGGTACCTCTTCGAAACAAGGCGGGCTGGATGTGGGTGGTGCACTGAAGTGCCTGAAGTGCACATGCATTGAACCCATAAGTGGAGAAATTGGGGGAGGGGCCAGGGGCCAACCGTGCCCCGCAACCACCTCGCCTGGAGCTCCGATTAGATAAGATTTATCGATCTTAGACACCAGCGACATCAAGCAACACCAACGACAGCCTTGTGGACGTGCATATCGTATTTCATACGAAGACGCAGCTACTTCATACAACCTCCGGCAGTGCAATTTCGACCTTAAAGTACTACCTCCTCTCCATATCATCCTACCCTCCTACCATCCAACATATTTCCCCGAATCTTCTTGCGCCGCATCCCACCAACATGTCTGACGACGACTTCATGCTAGAGTCGGACGAGGAGCAGTACGTACAAGCCCATTAGCTCGCACTCATATCTTGCTGACTAGCTCCTTGCAGGTACGATTTCGAATATGAGGACGACGACGAGCAAGACTCCGGAGATGTCGACATCGAGAACAAATACTACAATGCCAAACAGACAAAGTCCAGCGACCCGGACGCTGCGATAGAGGAATTCCTTGCCATCCCCCAGCTGGAGTCAGAGAAGGGAGACTGGGGTTTTAAGGGCCTGAAGCAAGCTATCAAGCTGGAGTTTCGCGTTGGCAAGTATGACAAGGTTTGTTTCCCGCCCGGCTTGGTGCGCCGACCGACCACCATGACTGATGACCTATCCAGGCTGTCGAGCACTACACCGAACTGCTCACCTACGTCAAATCCGCTGTTACCCGCAACTACTCCGAAAAATCCATCAACAACATGCTAGACTACATCGAGAAGGAAGCCGAGAACGAAGCCGCGCAGAGATGCATGGAGCAGTTCTACTCGCTGACTCTGAACTGTTTCCAAAGCACAAACAACGAGAGACTATGGCTGAAGACCAACATAAAGCTTGCCAAGCTCTTGTTGGATCGCAAGGAGTATCTCGCGGTTACCAAGAAGTTGCGTGAGCTCCAGAAGGCCTGCCAACGGGAGGATGGCTCGGACGACCCGAGCAAAGGCACATATTCCTTGGAGATATACGCGCTCGAGATCCAGATGTATTCCGAAACCCGCAACAACAAGCAGCTCAAGGTCCTGTACCAAAAGGCACTTAAGGTGCGCTCTGCGGTACCTCACCCAAAGATTATGGGCATCATCCGCGAATGCGGTGGCAAGATGCACATGAGCGAAGAGAACTGGAAGGACGCCCAGTCCGACTTTGGCGAGTCCTTCCGCAGCTACGACGAGGCCGGCTCTCTGCAGAGAATCCAGGTCCTCAAGTACCTACTCCTCTGCACCATGCTGATGAAGTCCGACATCAACCCCTTCGACTCGCAAGAGACGAAACCCTACCGTAATGACCCCCGCATAGCCGCAATGACAGAGTTGGTGGAGGCTTACCAGCGAGACGACATGCACAAGTACGTCAGCGTACTGAAGAAGAACCAGGATATTCTGGCCGATCCGTTCATCGCCGAGAACATTGACGAGGTCACCCGTAACATGCGGACCAAGGCCATCGTTAAACTGATCGCACCGTACACACGAATGAAGCTCGCCTGGATCGCCCGACAACTCAATATCTCCGAGGCGGAGGTCCAGGACATCCTCGGGTTCCTGATCGTGGACAGCAAGATTCGAGGCAAGATCGACCAGCAAGCCGGCATTCTGGAGGTCGAATCCGACGGTGACGTCGAGAGGGTGCAAGCTATGCGGACCTGGGCCGGAGCTCTAGCAGGCTTGTACTCTACCGTATTCAAGGAAGGCGAGGGCTTCCGGCACGCCGAATTACTTGCCCAGACTGGTGACGGAGGCCTAGGCACTATGTTCTCCTCGGAAGGAGGCAGACCCAGCAGAGCAGCTGCCGGAAAAGGCAAGAAAGGCGGCAAAGGGGCCATGTGGGCTACAACGGGCAACTAGCTGATTGAACGGATTCGGGAACACATGCCCACCGCCAATCTGTTGTACCAACGTCTATTAGCAACCTCTTCGATGAGACGCCTCTGGTGGATAGCAGAACTCTTCTGGTTGATAACAGAACTCCTCTGGTGGATGACAGTACTCCTCCAGTGGATACGAGGATAACTGCTGATAATTCACGACTGATGATCACAAAAGGAGTCTGAGGGCTATCGCTACGATAGATACGGTAGACGACAACCCACATGAGTACTGGGCTCTGCGGAACAAAGATCACACCTCGGCAGGCAAGGTGACACAGGTTTATTCACCAAACCGAACCCGGTGTTTGGAGATGGGCCTTAGACACTTGGCCGTGCCGTGGCAAAGCCATTGGCAATGAGACCTGAATGATAAACTTTAAAACCGTACTTGGAGTCATTGAGCCGGGTGGCGATGTAGTGCTTTCTTTCTCTATGTATGCGCGGCGTCAACTTGGGCTGCTTGGTACCCATTTGCGCTACGAATCTGCCATGTCAGCCGCTGGATACAATGAAATTCCTGTCATTTGTGATAGGCTTCTCCGGCTCAGGGGCGGCTTCTAAACCTGCAAGCAGATCCTCTCTGCTGATTTTCAACAGCACTCAAGCATTTCCCTGCAATCGTGTGCTTACATGAAGTGATGATGTTGATAAACGCATGACATTGACCGCGCGTGAGTGACTATTATTCCATCAAAATCAATTTCGGATTGTGCTGTGAGACTGATAGCTTGGTATCCCGTTGATAATCCTAACTACATCGCGTTGGCCTGAATTACTGCTGTGACTGCTCAGCGTGTTCGGTGAGAGCATGAGGATTTCAATCAACGTGCGGTGGGTGGTTGAACAGTGACGCCGAATTACGAGAGCGACACCAAGGAAATAGCCATCAGGATTTCGTAAAACTACAGCTCAATTACTTGCGTACACTACAGCAAATGCCTATCTATCATCACACCGGTTTTATGGAAGCAATTAAGCAAGACAGCAGCACCAAGAGAGGCGGCGATACGCCCGCCTACTTGCGTTTGGAATTTGCTTTTCGTCCTTCTCCCTTACCCGAGCTCTCGGGTTCCGTGTCAGATCCGTCGGAACCGCTTTGGTGTCGCCATCGGAACTCGGATTCGTCGTACTGGATCTCATCATGCGCCTCGTGGTCTTTGAGCTCCGCCGCGGGATCGTAGTCTCCCATGTCCATCACGTCCCCGATGACCACATCATCCTCTACTCCATCAACCTGAGCCGAGGCCACAGGAGCAAGATTTTTGCTGCGTTGAATCGCTTCCCGTGCCCGGAAAAACGGGTGGTTCTCGTTTAGTGGCTTGCCACTTACAAGAAAGCCCATGGGCGTGTGAGAGAATTCCTGACCGCGACGTCGGACAGAAAGGTATTCCTGCGTGAACGTGTACGGCTTAGGGGTAAGCCCAGAGAGGGCGGTCTTTGGTCGGTGGACAATAGGCTTGGCGTTGCTTTCCTGGGCATCGCTAACAGCATGAGAACTTGCCTCAGTGCTGCTGTCAATAGCGGAAGTAGTTCCGTTCTCTGTTGTCGAATCACCCTCTGAGCTTCCCGACTCCTCAGTCAAGGGCTTGATTTCATCGATGCCGAGGAGCTTGCAGATACCGTCATACTCCTCCCATTCAAAATACAGCCTGCCGGCGAAGAAGCCGAGCTCAGTTGAGAGCCAGTTCGGAGCACGCCAGCGAGTTGGGAGACTTGGAATAGCATAATAATCCAGACGGTTGAATTGCATCATACGCCGTGTGACTGGGGCGGCGTACGTAAGAAGGTGTACAATCTGCAGGGTCATCAAAGGTTAGCACTGTAGGTTCGGTAATGAAGCGTGTTACACTCCGCCTACACGATGTGCCACTGGCTAGAGACGTATACTGACCTGGTCAATGCCATTTCCCTGGTTCTTTCGAATGAGCGAAATCAAGCATTCTGCTTCCTCGGGGGTCACAACAATTGCTGCTTCCGGGTGCGCACAGTACAAAGTCCACTGAACCGGCCGCATGAAATTGTCATTGGCAGACTCAATCACGAACTTGACAGTCTTTTCGAACTCTGTCGATATAAACAACTGCGAGGAGCCGATGGTGCGGTTGACTGTAACATAGTTAGTTCCGTACGGGCTTGAAGCACATTGCTCAGGGGAAGACTGCTGTCCACGGCAACCCTCAAACAAACTGTGAATGGCCCTTTTCCGAGTGTATCGGCACTCGGTCCATGGCTCTATGGTGTTCCGGAACATGACCGTTGGACTGAAGAAAAAGGTGGAAGATATTCCAGGGATGGGGAAAGTGCGAGGAATCGTATAACATACCTTTGTGCTTCTTTCCGAGGCCAGTCCTTGCGAGGGCCGTGAAAATGGGAACGAAGGTGTCCGAGCCTGCTGGCACTCTACCCGTCCTAGCGAAAGTCTCGAGGTCTCTATGAAGTCCAGGGAAGCTGTATGGTTGATATACCGGAGGCTTCTTGACTTGGCGAACCGCCTCAACCTCGCGCTCAGTCTCTCTTTCCTGTTCGACCTCCTGCAAAGCCGACGCATGCACAGCTTGTCCCGTGTCTTGAAAGGCTTTCTTTCGTGTCTCCAGCTCTTTCGAGAACTCAGCGAGCTTGGGGTTTGATCTCGAAGCCGTGTTGGCCTTCGTCTTGGTCTGAGGCCCGTAAAGCTGTTGCAATGTCTGCCGCTCCGTCTGTCTAATGGCATGCACATACATAGCTCTCTGTTCGCTATCAACAAGGAAGTCGGGAGAGTCCTCTGCCGCTTGCATTCGGTTGCAAAAATCCACTCCTTGCGAGTAGTAAAGAGGCTGTAGCTGCTCAATGCCGTCGCAAGTGTTGTTGATGAGCCAATATATGACGTCGCTCGAGTCTACTAAATCGTCATCTTTCTTGTTGCGGAAGTCGCGAATGCTTTGGTTGACTTCGGGTGGAGCGAAGAATGTCACCGACTGCGTCGTGCCTAGTTGACGCAATCGCATCGCGGCCTGCACAGTGTGGTCTTTCGTCTGACCCAGGCCTAGTGTCAGAGCAGCACGGGCTTTGGGCGCAAACTTGAGGTCTGTCCCACGCGTGTGCGCCTTTGGGAATGTTAGCAGTTGGGTAGCGAAGCGGTTCAGAGGATTGGACATACCTCGTCGAGATAAACAAGGACCTCTTGAAGGTTATCAGCATATGGAGAGGCAAGCAAGGGAGTCTTGACGCCTTGCTTGGAAAGGATAAACGGGCGATCTCCTTCGAAGTACAACGCGACTGTTGCTCGGCCATCCACTTTCAACCATTCCTTGGCCAACTCTAAGTTGGAGTACTCAAGGATACAAGCTCCAGCATCAATCAATACTCGAATGTTGGTTCTTCTAAGCATCTGAAGGACCCCCCTCTCAGTGAGACGCTTCTGATGCATGTCAGCCAAGACCAGGTATCTTCTCGATCGCTCGTGTAGTAGATACGTGAGCACCTCGGCATTCGTGCCCAAAAGGGAAGGTAGATCGTCTTGCTTGATGGTCAGAGGTAGGAGAGGTTTGATATCATTTGTACCTGCATTGCCCAACATATTAGCCTTACGGGTGCGTATAAACTACATACGATACGAACGAGGATCTCATAGCACACATGGAATAACTCGAGCATGGTTGCTGATTGGAGTGGGAGAACGGGTGTTACTTACCAGAGAAGCCAGTTGTCAAGCCCCTTGCTCTCTTCAGGGGTCCTCCCTTGGCCGGCCGGTCGACTTGTGTGGGAGAAAACAGCGGAATATCCCAGCCATTAGATTGCAGCCTGTTGTGAAATTGCTTGGCATGGTAAGGGAACACAAAGTTGTTCATGTAGTAGTCAATCACCAGGACCTTGTATCGCACGCAGTTCCAGATCTGGGTCATTTGCTGGGGATCGTCAACATTGATGGAATGCCAATCCCTGAGGTATTCCGGGAAGTTCTCATCTTCAGCCCACTTGTCGTACTCCGAAGCAGGGTCGTCGGATTTCAGAATGCCTTCTAGAGCTTGACGCGTTTGCGATATACTGATACCTCCGTAGTATGTAGCAAGACACGTTAGTAGTATCGCGACCTATGTGTCAACATTAGCCAGAGAAACACACACGCATGGAACATTTAGGGGTCGCACGAAATCGTGCAGTACTTCAACTTACATCAATGTGCCCGAACTCGGATTGCTCCGATGGTACGCCTTTAGCATGGAATGGGACCGCCACCGGGTCTCTCGAAGGATGGATTCCGTATTGGACGCCGTATCTCTTCTTCAGGGTCATAACCAATATGCGGTGAACGAACAGACCCCTCAGAAGATAAACCACTTGACGGATATGAGGACGATCGGGACACATCTTACTGATGCGTTCGATACTGGCAGGCCGGACCTTTCCACCTGAGAGGTATTCCTTGATGGCTAGGCGGTCGCCTTGTTCTAGAGAATCGATAGGGATGATCCCGCGAGCACCCCGACAGACGTCATATGTGAGTCGCTTGACGAGTTCTTCCTCCACATCAGGCCGGAGGAAAAACACGAACGGAAAGCCCCCTTGTGGGCGTCTCACGACTTCAACTGAGCGAGAAAACCCATCTGCCAGGTCGAAGAGGTGCATGTCCACGAGACCGAGAAGCTGTTGGACTACCAACCATCGATGAGGATGACCATCAACGGCCAATTGAGATCCAGAAGGGTAGATGAGTTGCGTTTTGACGGCTAATGTGTGATCACACTCGTCCAATACGTCGCGTGCACATGATTGCAGCCATTTCTGCACACGAACCATCATATTAGCCTCGGGAATTCTCTTGTCCAAGATGCGCTGAAGTCCACTCAGCATGAAAGACATTTGGTGCTCCGGAAGACACAGCATGACTCCGCCTTTCTTGAGAATCTCGCGATGAAGTCTTTGGTACAATTTGACTTGGTCTTCTTTGGTTGATGTTCTTCGAGAAAAGGGCACGTGGCTGATTTCTCGACCAACCAGACCACCCAGTCGCGCGTGAAGTAGTTGAGCTGTTTGCTGTAGAAGAGCCCTGGGTACAGAGACACGGACAAGACTCTTACCATCCGCCAAGAGGACGGCGACTTGAGGGATAATGATCGACGTTTTGCCTTCTCCCATATTCTAGTGCGAATATTAGCTTGAAGTCCTCGAATATGATGGGCTCTCTGCAAAAGGTGGGTTGAAAAGGAAGGACAAGAACCATTAAAGAAACCAGGCTGGGGTACACTGAACCCTCATAAATCTTCGTACGCCCCCCATCACTAAGCGAAAGGTGCATTTACGAGAAATGGGATAAGCACCCTGGAATAAGCATCGAAGATGACTTTATAGCCATGAGCTGCTTATTCCTGTCTGCTTATTCCAGTATTTCCAAAACTCCACGTGTGATCTGGAATTCTTCCAACGTGGCGCGTACGAAGACTTATGAGGGCTGAGTGTATCATAACGTGAGATGCGTTTAAACATACCAATTGGAGCACACTGGAAGCACCGGATGTTGGAGCGATGATTGCCTGTGCAACTTCGACCTGCTTTTCACGGATAAGTAAGTTCGATTCAATCTCGAGCAGGAGCCAGTCCGGAGTCTCTTCCACTTTCCAGTTGGTATGGCCAACATTGTTTTGCTCTTCTTCGAGACGTGCTGTCTCTTGTGAGCGTCGATAAGCTTCAATCCTGAGCTCCCGCTGCCACTCGGTGATCGAGAGACCAAGTCGAATGATACTCTCTTTCATCCCCGAACCGAACTGGCGGTTCACTGCTGATCTAAGCTGCTCCAAGACGGTGACCCGCGTCACAGCCGGCCAGAGTTGGCCCTGATGGAGCCAGTTTACCTGCCTCTGCGAAAAGGACTCATTCGCCGTTTCCAGAGCGGACCGGATTGCGTCAAAGCATCGGCTGACTTTTGCCTGGCATCTCTCACCAGCGCCAGGCAGTGATGCAGCGGGCTGCGCCTGACGGACGTCGGGTTTCTGAGCCTTCAAAGCGGCCAGGCTCCTTTTCAGGTCAGCAGCATATCGCGTATGAATCGATGATTCGGACTGCGAAAAGTAGTCAACAATATGGTCCAGCTCCTGAGAGCCATCCATCGTTGCCGTCATGCGAGGCGGCCCCTGCCACAAAGTTTGTACAACAAGGTTGCGCTTGAAGACTGCGGTGGTATAGAACATTAGCGCTGAAGATAGAAAACTGAACAAAGTGATTCAATCGCCCATGACAGGGAGGTGCGAGCGTGCTAACCACCTAGCTCCTTGCTTATGCCACTCCGTGTGGTAAGCCCAAGTAGAAAAAGAAGAATTACGACTGACCTATTCCATCGGACCTCGCGGTGCTTGGCGCCCTTGGCCCGGGCAGCTTCATCAACTCATCTTCAAGCATGGGTATCCGGTAATTCTTCCGTTGCGATGTTGAGAATGTAGCCTCAGACGCCACGAACTCGGGACACGTCCAAGAGCTGTTCGAGTGGCGGCGGTCGAGAATCTGCTGCACTTCTTTGAGATGAAGGTGGAACTCATGATTGTAGTACAGCCTTCGCCATTCCGAGCGAGTCGACTCAAGAGCGACTGGAACGTCTATCAAGAGGGATCCCTGGAGTCCTGTGATATCTGGCTCCACTGAAGTCGGCCACTGCTGAACAATGAACTGCGCGAGCTTTCTGCAATCTGCATCTGCCCTCCGTTCGTGTTCCTTTCGAGATTGCCAGAGCTTTCTCTGGTCCTTACTGCTGGCGAACTCGAAGAGAGGAGGGTCTTCGGGGGGCGGAGTTCGAAATGGTTCGATGAGCTTTACAAGGACATCCAGTTGAGGAAGTTGATGCGGACGGAAGCTGCAATACTCGCTGAACTCGGGTACATCCAAAGACTTGAGTTGATCCCAGTTCGCCCACGCGATGAGTGTTTTGATCAGTGCCATATTCGCATCGGATTTGAAGGAAACCAACCCCAACAGGTACATCAGGTTGTACCCATCTGGTGCGCTCTTCACAGCGTTGACGAGTGGGCCCCATTCTTGACGCACATCCACAAGGAGGCGATCACTCAGAGTGATCTTGCTGAAATCCTGGGCATAGCCTTTTATCGAGAGAGACTGCGAAAGATTCATTGCAAGGTCGCGTACAGTAGTCATAGAACTAGGTTTGTCGCGAATGAGACTGACTGTTTCGAGTACGTTGGTGTACCTCAAGCTGCCTGGGCGAGGACTATCCCTAGCCACATACAGGATTTCACCACAAGGTGCACATTTTATTTCGCTGTAACCGGGCCTTGCATAGAGCTGGCGTCGATGAAGAGATCGCAAATTGAGATGAGAGTCGCCTGGTGAAGACCATAACTGAGTTTCGAGGTCGTTTGCTTCGGGATAGAACTTGCTGAGTCCCGTAGATTGTGAGATTATGCGATCAACAATGATGCGGTACTCATCCCTCTGGCAGTGCACAGGCAGCTGGTTGACCCAGAACTCCTTCTTCATCACCTTGCGATCTTCTGGATAGTATTCTCGTCTTGGGGATAATTTTGCAATGCAGCTCAGGACCCCTAGCTGTGAAGCTGCGAGGGGCGCCCAGGGCTGACACACCCCGGAAGTCAAGATGCGCATTGCACTCTCTGTACCAGTCAGCCCCGTCAAAGGATCTGGCAAGATGAAGCTTGTCAAGGCATGGATCTCAGCCTTTTTGTAGAACAAGACAGGTTCCGAACCACAGTCGATTCGTCCGAGAGTCGCGTTGACTGAGAAGCGGAGGTAATGGCCACGAACTTGGGACAGATCTACCACCACTTGGACATGGCAGCCTCGTTTGGCGACTTGAAAGCTTCCAAGGGGCACGAGGATGAAGCGTTCAGTGGGATTTTTGATACTTGTTAGTACCAATTTGCTGTCCAGACCATACCATGTATCAACCGACTGGCGGGGGTCAATTTGCGCCGACAAGTGTGGGCACTGCAGCATTTGGTTATCGTTGACATGCCACCTCAGCTGCATTCGTGGCATCTCCACCGTCACTGAGTAGAGCAGTCAGTCATGGGAGCCCCGAAGTATCTATAGAACATGTTTCTGGTAATTAACTGGGAAGTTGCTCACAGGAGTGCCGTTCTGGCTGATAGATGGTCAAGTTCCTTGGGAGTTCGAAGTCCTCGAAGATCTTTGCCACCCGGCCGAACAACGGGGAATAGGTATCGATCAGAGTCTCTTTTGCTTTACTGAAAGTTGTGCGTGAGCATACGGATGTTTCGATGTTGAGCTTCCAGTTGTGTGGGTGCGATCGCCAGAAGTTCCACGACTTCGGTCGGATCTCAAGAATCCCTGTTGTCATGTCACTATAGCCAATTAGCCCCATAATGATAACATGCGCATAAAAAGCGGATGGTGAGACTTACAGCCAATGGACGCAATCGACGATCAGACTGGCAGGAAGATCGATGTGCTTGCCTATGAAAACATCTCTTGGTACAAGCTCTAAAACCTGCGAGCCTTTGATGGCACGAATGATGGTCGCTCCACTGTCGTATCCTATGTGGGTTTGAAATCCTTCCATTTCGATCGTCAAGGCTAAAAATGATGACAATTATTAGCGGCTTCGTGTCTTTCATCGTTTGATTTAAACCTGTCAAGCAACTCCAAGGAGGTCTCGACACGTACCGTGGGTCATTCCAGGGCTAGATGACTATAAAGGCAATCGTCAGTAGTTGTATCGTTGATTGACGTATCGGATACCAAGTATGAAGTAGGGAGAAGGAAGCAAGTGCTCCCAGTTTTCCGCTGACAAGTCCTAACGTAGTGGTTTCTCCTGGGGAGAAAGGAACATGACACATTGCGGCTCTGGAGTCGACTTACTGGGTATTTTTTGAGGCTCGTTTGGCTTCCAAAGAGCTCCTCGAGGATAACCATTGATTGGGGATCCGTTGGCAATTTCTGCAATCCTAGTGAGCAATCAAAAGCCATTGAGTAACCCAGAGGATAAGACTTACGCCCAGAGGTTGCCCTTCAACAAGCAAATTACCGAACATGTAGTTGAAGCCCACCACTTGTACCCCTTGTTCGTGAACATCAATAAGCTCCAACTCTACCCAACAGTCCTCCTTGCAGATGATAGCCTGGGCGTCTTTCGACCGGGAGGCAGGCCACAGATTGTGCAATGCGGTGAGTAAGGCACGCTCACCCCACGCTTGAATCGAATCTCGAATCTGAATTCGTAAATCATACATCATCCGCAAGTCTCGCACGAACAAGCTTGTCAAGGTTGGCCCTAAACTTTTGATGTTGTCGGGAATGTTGTCAAACACAGTGGCTAGGCACTCGCACAACGATGCAAGCGAGTCTCCATCGATCAAAGCGCCGGCGGACGCGAGGTATGATCCATATGTACGCTTGCAAAGGAGCGCGGCCCACAGGAGGTATGACTGACAGTTCTGTGCCATGCTGGAGTCGCTCGTGCTGTAGGTTTCCTTACGGAGCATCCTCACCCAGCCTAATGTGATTTCTCTGGCCCTGGCAAGGACGCGCAACGCGTCAAAACTGAGGTCGTTCATCTCGTCGAATGGTCTCAGAAGCGTAACGAGTCGCAGAATCAGCAAAATGATAATTTCCATGAGATGTGTTTCGCGCCAATTGAAGGCGATGTTCTCTAACTTTTGAGTGAGCTGCTGCAACATTGCTTTGCAGAATGGGGCATCCCGGAAAACGGAGTGAACGACGCCGAGGTAATGAGCGCCTTCTGCCTCCGAAGGGGTCCAGGGACCGCACTGAAGAGCCAGATGGCTCATCAACAATACTGCGGATTCCGTGCTCAAGTTGATGTTAGATGAGCCGAGCTCTCTGAGGATGTTTATCCAGCGTCGGCACTTGCCAGACAAAAGACCCTGGACGGCCATGTACTCATGTGGATTGTTTCCCGACGGGCAAGCTGATTGAGATGCCACGATTTCGTAAGAGGAAGGTCCATTTCCGTCCACGGCAAAACTTCGAGATTCTAGCATCGATGCGAATGGAGACGATTTCGGAAGGGAAAGTCTGCAGTGGTGTGCGAACGAGGCACGAAGGTTCTTGCGTCCGGGCCAAGAGCATGACGTCTTGTCATAGTACCCAAGACGCAGGCCGTTCGGGAGGCACACTTGGTCCAACTCGACTGGGAAGCTCTTGGTTGCCCAATGCGTCATCAGGACTGGCACATCGTTAGCAGAAGTAAGAAAAAATAGAGCGAATAATGGCAATACTTACAGGACTTGGCCGTGGAGGCTAGAGTAACACTGTATGATCTACGCGCCGTCGAGTAGAAATGCTGCAGCTCGGAGTATTCTTCTATGCAGACCTTGGGTTTGGTCCCGACGTCTTGGGTCTCAATCGCCAGATGCGACAGAATTTTCCAGGTAGCGGCTCGGTATGCGGCAAAAGCAGAAGGGCAATTCAGCTCGAACACCACAGCTTTGGCCATCGTAATTTCCTTGGGAAGTGGTGACTCAAACACGCGGATTCTCAAGCGAGATCTCTGGTAGTAGAGTTGACACTTCGGACAGTTGCGATTGTCGTGGTAAGTCCCGTATGACCCATCCGATGATTGCACATACAGGCAAGTCGCGGAGTCAATCTGTTTTGTCAAAGCCTCGTATTGAGCGCTTGTTTCCCGCCACTCCTCCTCCTTCTCCTCCTTTTCGCTCGCCGCAACTGATTCGATCTCCTCTTTGAGGGCTGCGAGCGAACCTGAAATATCGTATTCATCGGAGTACCGTTCTGCAAAGCAACCCTTAAAAGGATCATCAAAAACAGTCGCATGCGAGCTGTTGCATGTCTGTACTCGCTCCTGGAGATAAGCCGAGACCCTCCGTGCTCGTGTGACATCTTGGAGTGTGTGAAGCTGAAGAACATCCATGAGATGTGAAGGGAAGATCGGATGAAAATCACGAAGAAGCGGAAACTGAGTTATAGCTGCTCTGTCGAGGGCGATCCAAGCCTCCATTATGGTAAGGAGCATCATCGACTTCTGCTCGGTATTGTTATCATAGCAAGAGCCGACGTGATCGATATAGGAGATAATCGTCTTGTATAGCTGAACGCAACGTGCGTTTGAGTCGACAGAGCTCTGAAGGTCTTCAAGAGTCTGACGCATCTGTTCCTCCTGGGAGAACACACTGAGCAGTGTTTGTCCGAATTCCTGCACGTGTTTCTTCGGGGCCTGAAGATTGGGTCGACTCTGCGCATGCGGCCTGCGACGGTGTGCAGCGAGATATCTGGTACGGGCATTTTCCAGGTAGCCGCGACTTGCCAGGAGACTCAAACGCTGATATTCCTTCTCAGCTTGTTTTGGCAGTGGAGGTATCTGTTTGGCCATCGATAGCTTCTCGCGACTCCAGGCTGCATCAATCCTGGCGATAACTGCCTCGATAGACTGGTTGAACCGAGGACTTAGAGCTTTGATCAATATCTCGTACGATGCTTGAGAAGCTGGTGGCTGCTCCAGATGGTCTTGGTCGAGCTTGAACAAACGGCGGCAGAGCTTTGCCTTCAGGAAAGCCTGGTCTTCCAGGCTGATCACATGTTGAGTGTCGTTTAACACAGTGGCATGCAGTATACATGTAAAGAACTTATACTGGATTCGACCATGACTTGCAGCGAGCTTCATTGCGAGGTAGCGGGCGATTGAAACGCGAAGGACGAGCCAGTATGGCAGTCGGCGCCATGGCGACTCGCTATCAAACCAGAGTACATCGTCCCGAACTCTTTTCAGAAGCAGCGTGGGGGACATGCGCTTGCCATTTGCCTCGAGATAAGCCATGAGAAAAGAGGTGATGAGGGAAGGGTCGGGAGAGTTGCGATCTTCGGCTACGTCTCGACCTGCTTTGGCGACATATTCGGAAAATTTCTTGGTAGATTCCACGGAAGCTTGCTCAAGAAAACTCGCCAGGCTGTCGAGGAACTTGTCGTCATCGAACACAGCCTGAGGAATGAGCACTGCAGCTCCTGGGAAGTTCCAGGGGAGCGTCTGCGACGCGAGCACGTCCTCCCGTTTGGGTGAAGCCTCGAAAAACTCGAACAGGATGTCGCCACCAAACTCTGGTCTGGAAAATGGGGTCTGAGTCAGTAGGCGATACAGCCAGTCGGCAATGAGGCAGAAGGTATCAACTCACTCGACGGTCTTGTAGATGGAAATCCCAGCATTCTGGGCGGCCACGTTCAGGATGACGAGCCCGCCCTTTGGCAAGTCCCTCAATTGTAAAGACAGCTGGCTGCGTTCCATTTTTCCGCCGATGTTCATTTGTCTACACAGCAACAAGGTCCGTCCGAGGGAGTCCCAGATGTGCCAACCCTCGCCGTCTTGAGCATCTCTCATGGTCTTGGCAGCCTTGAGTAATCGGTCAACAAGCGCTTTCTCGACCAGATTGATATTGCCATCTTGTTGCTGAGGAAGCTGCGCTGGGAGGGCAACATGATTGAACAGATTCGCCAGAACCTTGTCATGGTTCTGTTGTTGTCTCGAGTCCATGATGATCCATACATGTAGCTGGTGGTGTGGGGAATGGTGCAACGAGCGTGAAATCACGAGGATGACAGGTGAAAGTCCTGGACAAACTTCTGGACAAAGATACCAGAGCTACTGAGAAGGGTTCTTTTCGTGGTTCCGCTTGAGACCTCGAGGCTAGATCCGCGTTGGGTCTCGGGAGGAGGAAGATGGTGGAGAGAAGGAATCACCCAAGTCCAGTGGCTACACAGGAACTGGGACAAACGCGCGAAAACAGATTGGGTATCGAATTGCAGTCAAGGGAAGGGAATGGTAACGAGAGGGGGGATTGGGGACAAGTAGAGCCTGGATCCTGCCCTTCGACAGGTCGTCCGTGATAACTGACGGCTCACCGAAGTTAGGTAGTACCTTGAGCATCAACTACAGGCACGCGGGTTAGTGCAGCAGATTTTTGCGTGGGTATACCTTCAGATGGCACCACACCCAATCAGACCGTTTGAGATGGCTCTCAAGATCTCTGGTGGTGTTGAGGCGCGGGTGCTCATGTGTTGAATGGGGAGAGACGGAAAAGGGCGACGAGTGGAGTTGAGATGGTGTGGGCGGGTGGTTGCAGAAGGCCACGGCTGCCAGGTGCCAGGTTTTAAACTAGGAAAAAATCGGCTTGCTTTTAACTCGGGGTACGCGTTGGCGGGGTAAATTATATGGTGGGGTGCGCCGGTATTCTAACACGGAGTGAAATAAATAGTGCATCCAATTCGAGTACACTGAACCCTTAGAAGTCTTCGCACACCCCGTTTCAAGGTCTTGCAGATTCAGGAAATCTTGTTCATCTGTGAAATAACCACACTGGAATAAGCGTAAGGCATGATTCAATAATATATAATTGCTTATTCCGTGGTGATTATTCCACTGTTTGAGTCCCATCAGGAAGGGCCCTCGAGGTCCGCGGACGGAGAGGGATTAGAGGTCTGCTCTTTGGACATCTTCCACAGTATTACACGTATCCTGTTGAACGCACTTGTTTAAGGGATAAATGGTCTTCTATAGCGAAGCACACCCTACCTAGCATATAAGTAAGCAATGATGCAGGCCGACTGCGATTCACGACAGGGTGGAGGACGGAAGTATCATTTCCTAGGTTTGATTCAAGAGAGCAAGGCATACACTCGAGCATCTACGCGCGCAGTGGAAATGAAACATGTTGCCTGTAGAGTCCCTATGCAAACAGATTGTGTGATTCGTTTCTGAAGGTACAATGCATCGTATCCACGGCCGTCGACTCCCATGACACCAAATATGTAGATGTACCTAGGACGCCATAGTCCATGTTTTGATCCTCATAAAGTTGATTGTATTCCATGGCCGGGGTTCCGACTCGCCCACGGCCCGCAGCCTATTGCAAACAACGGGACAAACATGACTGCAGTATTGAACACTGCGAGTCGGAAATTTGAGGAAAGCTGCCCGTAGACATAACCTAGCCGTACAAAAATCATGATGCGCTACCGCAACGCCGCCACCGCAGAGGTCTTGTTACAAGAGTGGCCTTTTCCACATCTGAGTTCTGCAGGCTCATATAGAATAGTCACAAAAGAAAAGTAGTCGTCCGTATGTGTGGAAAATTGTCCATTTAGTTGGGAAGAGGTAGTCCCGACTTATGGACCGGATGGGAATTTTGCGAGTGATAAGATGAGTTCCAGTCATCTCTCCACCCGTGGTTGAGGTTGCCACCCGTTGATATACGCCATCAAGCCCATACCAAGTATCACCACGCCTATCATTGATGCATATGGTATGCTGTCGGCCAGAGTTTGCTCGTGCGTTAGCATGCCGGCTGGTGCTGAATCCGGTGTTATGGTGTTGGCTCGTGATAGCGTTGGTTGATCATTGGACTCGCCTGGCACCGTTTGACCCTGGCTTGAGCCCGAAGATGGTGTGCTGACCATGGTGGAGGATTTCTGTGACGATTCGCGCTGATTGTCGAGGGTTTTCGCGGCGCGAGCATCTGCGAGTGTCTTTTCCCGAGCGGCGGCTTCTCTCACTTCGGCATCTTTCCGAATTTGCAGTGCCATACCCGCCAAGCTCTTGCGATCCGCATCCCTTTCTGCCTCGGCCGTCTCTGTTCTTTGCTTGAAATTCTCCAGCTGTTGTCGGAGATCCTTCATCTCTGATACCATGGTTTCAATTTGTGCATGTAGCTGTGTCGCTGATGTTTCAATAACCTCGGTATCAGTTGGCGCATCCTTGGCCACGTCGTTTGTCGGAGTATCGGGATCGGGAGAACCTGCTTCATCCGCAGGAGGCTCGAAGGCCGCCTCCAGAGCCGCTTCCTCACCATTTAGCTTCACAGGAGCACCGTTCGTGTTTGCCGCGGCTGAATCTTCCAACCTCCTGGCCAACTCTTCTGCGAGTTCACGGGCTTGCCGTTCCTTCTGTAGCATCTCTTCAAGATCGCGCATACGCGAAGTTTGAGTTTCTATCTCACGCCTCGCAGTGTTCAGGGCCTCCGTCAGTTGCAGGATCTGACTCACATTCCCATCTTGACGGATTGGGGAAATGCTTTGAGCGTTGGGTTTGGCTCGTTCAGTAATACCTCGTTTCAACGAGGGTACATCGGGTTTCTCGGGCAGAGGCTGCTGTGGTGGGGGTGCGGGTGGATCGGAAAACCTGGTCTTGTTATCTGATCTGAATGACATCCCGTTGCCGTTGACCATGTTTGCTTTCGGTGGCTCGGCAACCTCTGGCTTCTCCAGGTCCTTGATCTCTTCTTTGGAAAGTAGAGCTTGGACGAAATGACCAGTTCGTCCGAGGTCTTGGGACTGGAGACGTGCACTCCGCATCTCTTGCTACAAGTAGGGTTAGATGTGCGCATTTGAACATAGGCATATATGACATACCTGAAGCCTTTTGACGATCTGTTCGGTGCTGATTGGCGAAAAGAAGAAACCTCGTTGGTGACCCATGCAGTTGGCTTGCGGGCCCATCATAGCGCCGCCTTGAATAATTCGCCCATTGCTGGCCATGGACGCTTGACTACCATTCCGCTGCCTGGCGGGCACAGCACCTTGCGGCCCCATCATGATCATTGAGCCGTTTGTTGGGTCGAGATCGCCGAAGTTCACATCGAGCAGATTACTCGACGCGTTCAAGAATCCCGAATGTTCCACCTTGGCTGCAACCTTGTGGTGTACGACAGTCTTCTGGTCTTCGCTGACGATATCGATTCCCAGTTCCAAGTGGTCTCCAGTCTGCAGCTCATGGGGCTCGGATTCACGGTTCTCCTGGGATAGTCGTGTTCCATTCACGAAGGTGCCGTTGGAAGATTTGACGTCCCGAATCCAGATCTTTCCTTGCCGATCGGCCCATATTTCAGCATGTTGACGTGAGAGCACCTTGGAGTCGAAGAACCCGTTGATAGGTGTGGGTACCGTTTTCACATTCGTCTGACGACCGATCCTAAGGGTATCAGGGGAGAATGGTACGGATATGGTCTTGCGCTCAAATGTTCCGTTGAGGGACAAAAGATAAAGAACGGGCTGGTTCCCGGTAGGTATGGACTCCGTCATGGGGCGAGGCATGGCCTGTTGCGCAGCCATCAGAGCCTGAGAGGGTACAACGGGCGAAGCTGAATGCATCGCAGACCCATTTAGCCCATTAACCAACTGCGGACGCCCAGCCGACATCCTCGCGAAATCTGTTTGGGCGTCTTGTTTCGATGCTGGCCACGGTGCCTTGGCTTGGGGACGTTTCCGCTGGGCGGTAGCTGCGGCGTTGGGCCATGAGCTCAAATCCCCCGATGCTGACATGGGGGAGGCGCCATTCGTCTGGGAGTTGGAAGTAGCAACAGTCGAGGTGGACGACGTGGAGGAGTTGGAGGAGAGCGAGGACGAAGAGTTGTTCCTTTGGAGGCTTTTCCGGGGCATAAACATTCGGTTGAGCTCGTCGGGGTTCATAATCTGAGCGCCAGGTCCACCACGATTCATCCCGTTCATACCCCAGGCCGGCCGGTTATGCTGGGTGAAGGTGGGCGGGCTCGCAACTGCCGTCATGGGGGAGACTGGCACAGTGGCCGGGGAGATGGGAAAGAGGTATACAGGTTTAGCAGGTATGCCGATGGAGAAATCGCGGCAGTCGGGTCGCGGTTTCGGCTCGTCCGATCTTCTCTACCATATGCGCGAAGGGTTGAAAGGAGTCTTGTAGGCGCGCTGTCAATGCGGAGTTCAATATCGGAAGCCAAGGATGAGTCGCTCGTCGGAGATGCCGCTAACGTGGAGGTGACCTGTGGTCGAAGCCGGTGGTCAGCGAAAGGGGCCAGTTGAATGGAGAGGTTTCGCGGTGGACATGTGCCGTCGTGGAACGGTCGCAAGGGGGCGGAGCGAGATGATTCAGACAGTGGCAACGGTCAAAAAGGGCTGGAAACGTACCGAGGGATTGATGCCGGGGTATCCAGACGAGTGTTCTAAGACAAAGTCGCGATGCTGAGTAGAATAGTTACTGTGATCGAGTGTGGAGGAGGTTGTTCATTGAGATTTCATCAAGATGCGTGGTCCTAAGCGCCTCTTAGCGTGGCGACTTGTGCAATTGTTGCTGCGCGGAGCCGCATCTCATTGGCGGTCGCCCGGTATATGCAAGTACTGCAGTATCTAAGGTACATGTACCTTAAGTACCTTACCTAGGCCTAGATGCGCGCGGTGCAAACCCCTTTCTGTCACGCTGGAATTACCACTTTTCAGATGGTGGTGCTCACGATCAGTCATCTAATGGCTGGATCTTACAGTATTTATATTTACGCGAATAACGGTGGTTTGAAATGGCCCGAATTCTGTAGCTTCACGTGTGCATATAACCGTTCAGCGTCTAAACGAGTTTCCGGGTTAAGGAAGTACATTAAGTTCAATCCAGGCGGACGCTTGGACCACCTGCACACACGATTGCAAGACACACAGACCTGGGCAAGACCTGGGACTCGAAGCCGAAAGGCCAGGCCCGCTTCAGCCGCGCCAAGACCTGGAGAGAGCTCGGATCCACCCGACCACTAATAAATCCTCCCCTCCCAATTCATTGTCCGTCTGTTTGTCGCATCACTGTCGCATCACGCCGCCATCAGACCATCATCGTCATCCGCTCAGACTACACGCGACGTTGACTTGCATAGTGCTTCAACCGACAAGCAACTTGCCCGACTATCGTCAGCGCCTTCGAGCAACGCTTCCATCATGCCGCCTATGCCAGCGAACCGGGGACCCGTGGGCCCATCCACCGTCGACAAATGTTTGCTTCACCATGACTTCTCGTTGTGTAGGGTTTTAGACATGGCTGACGTGGGGTTGTAGTGAAAATGGGTGCCATGATGGGTGGAAGTATGTGCATCTAGATGCTCTGGGAGAGTCAAGCAATGCTGACCATCACTACAGCTGTCGGCGTGATAATCGGCTTCATATTCGGTGCGCTCGCTTCCTCCTTCCCCATCCCAGCCGAGCTGTGAGCGGTCCTAACGACGTTCCGACAGGGACTGTCAATATCTTCAGATACGGCGCTGGAACGCACGGCATCATGAGAACATTGGGTCAATACATGGCTGGATCTGGTGCCACGTTCGGGTGAGTGCGCACATGGCTACCTACTTCGTTTGCGCCACCATGACCCAGACTAACCTCTGCTGGGAAAGCTTTTTCATGTCGATTGGCAGTGTCATCAGAACCGATGCGTCTCCTATTGCCGTCGAAGCCTTTGCGCGAGCTCAAAGACGACCCTATATCATGGCGGCAAACCGCGCCTACCGACCGCGCGACGAATAACTCTTACGAGCACGATGCGTAATCGTGAAGGACAACGCGGATATACCTGGGTCGCCTCGCCCACGAATTCGCTGGCTGCACATCATCATATGTGCCCTCCTCATCAGCTGTTGATAGCACGACCCTCCGATCGATTCTACAAATCAGACTGACGCGCCATTGATACACCACCCCGACTTCGAAGAGAGATGTCGAGACCCTGCTCTCTTGGCTTGGATTAGCTCAACTCACTTCTGACCTGAACCGCAGGTTCTGCTTGCGGTCATATAAATGTATTGATATTCTGTACATATTGTGGCGTTCGAATGGGACATGATGTCCACGACCGTTGTTAACCCCGCCAGCTCAGTCGGTATACACTAGCTCAGAGGCAGTCTCAAATCAGAGGAGTAGAATCAGGTCCGGCGCATCTGGTCAGTCTCAATACCCAAAAACCCAAACAGCATACCGAAGGAACAGTTGATTGTGTTGTCTACATGCCCAATATGCTCAGTCTATTGGTGATTGTCAATGAAGCTTGTCAATGGAGCTGCATGTATGTGCAGACACCCTTTACTGCTAATGGCCCTTGTCGAAGGATGGAGGAGTATCTCATCTGCCGTGTCAACGGTACAATCCTTCGTTTCGCCTCCCAACAGCCTGTTTTTAGCAAACCTCCGAGGACATCACGTAGCTCAAGCCACAGCTGGGGAAACACGCACACGACACCACGGCTCACTGAGGTGAGAAACAAGTACAAGCAACTACTGGTATCAAGCGCCCCGATGTCGATCGTTGTCTTTCTCGCCTCAACCGGATACGTGTCCACTAACGAATAAGTCCCCGGAGGATCCGCCCCGAAACTTGTCTCCCTGGCCACATTGGTCCAAGTCCAGGATCACGCAGCAGACTCATATGCACAGCCGTTGGAAGGTTAATTTGCAGCCACCCTAATACCTAGTTGCTCATGATCCCTCGGTTCGCATGTAATAAGTCTACGCGGGTAGTGCTTCAACGTGGAGATGATATGGATGCTGCGGGTTGACCTTTCAACGGCCTCGATATGACCTTCTATTGTACATCTCGACCTGGCGCGTATGCATCATTCCGTCACTACAGCATAGGGGATCTTGAATGAAAAACATGAATCTCGCTCTTGCCACTGAACACGGCATGCGTCAGGTTTGGAATAGTTCGTAAGTCTCGCCGCAACAGTGTCTCGAAGGTGCAGGTCCGTGGCCCCTGAGCTCCTCAGTTAACAGGAAATGCAAGCCCTACTCCAATACCATCACTCCTTACATTAAGGATGTTCTCTCTCTCGTCTTTCTTGCTCTCGGTTCCGCGCATTGCTTCCTCTTTCATATCGCTTTGGTGTTCTGGCACAGTTATTGCTCCGTACACTCGTTACTCTCATGTCTCTTAATCGCAAGCTTGTTGATGCCGTCCAGTCATGCGTTCACAAAGATTTTATTTTCTTCGAAAAATGCCACCATTTGCCCGGAGCACTAACATCTACAGCACAGAACCGGTGAGTGGCGATCTATCTTCTGGAAAATCCATGTTTGGGCATCGGACGTCTAACAAGGTTGCGTAGAAAATCACTAGGGGGCACTCTTCTTGCCCCAACTCTCCCCCTTTGGATCGTCGGCAAAGGAGGCGACTACAACATCCGCTGGGTCAATGGGACAGCTATTCCCTGGGGCAGCAGAACAGCTGAGGTAGACAACCCGCGTTCTGCAGCCCATATAACGAAAATTACCCGGACATACGACATCAACATCAGTCGCGGCTACATTGCACCCGATGGGTACAACAAAAGTGGGATACTCGTCAACGGACAATACCCCAGGCCTAATATCGAGGCCAACTGAGGGGACTACAACGAGGTGAACGTCCACGACAGCATCGTGGACGATCCGCCTGAGAGGACAGCCATCCACTGGCATCGCTTCCCCCAAACAAGGACACCGTGGGAGGATGGTACACCCGGAGTGAGCGGGCCTCCTGCTCAACAAGTCATCAGCCATTAGCCCTTGCGGCCATCTACTATGAAGGTGTCAATACTGATGCGCTCCTGAACAGCGCAGCCTGGGGTGTTCCCGACCCTGGCACGTGTGCCAATGATGACTTGGCTCTCGCGAAACCCATCTGCCTCATTGCGCTTCACGAACCGTCAGGGAATCGAATTAAGGATATTGAAGCTTTCAGAAATGCATCGGGCAACTTCCTCTGGTCAATTGGAGTGGGTTCTTAGTCTCTCACTTTTGACGTTACATCTAGCGTCGTACGTAGGATGTCACTGCCAGAGTCAACTTCAACGACCCGAGCCTCCTTCTGGTCAACACGGGAGACCTCAGCTTTGATCCGGGTATGAACATGGTCGAAAAATTGAGTGATGGCTGCATTCATAGCGATCATACACTCGTGGTTTCGTAATATCGTGCTGACAGTGTTCTGGCAGCGTCGGCGACTTTCAATCCTTGAAGCTTCCTGCCTTTATCAAGTGATGTCTGATTGCTCCCTGGTGTGGTTCAGGGGGGCAAGTTATGGAGCCCGACTGTCGCGACATATGCACACCGAGAACCGGTTGCTCCCATTCACGCAACACAACCCATACAGTTTACCCATTACAATTTATTGAGGGCTGTGAGCAGTATCCATCTGTATATGTAAGCGGTATGTGGGGGTCAGCCACGCTGTCGGGTCGTACAGGGACCCACCCGCAGGGCATCTAAGTGTATTCTACCACCAACAAACAGTCGATAGACCTTTTCCTGAAAACAACAACGCTGTCACGCTCATACTGCACTTATTGTTTCACGGATAATGCTCTCAAGGGCCTATGATCTATCTATGCTATTTTTACAGTCTATCGGTCCCATACAGCCGGCGTCCTTGGCGGGGTGAAATGAAAGTCACTCTCTCGGGGCCATGGCCTTCTGTGGCAAATTGCAATGTACTCAGGGAACTTTTCGACAGGGCGAACTCCAGAATATGCACTCATCGACTCACAACTACTCACCCTCGCTGGAGCCCCAAGGCCCGCGAAAATGCGTCTCCCCATCATCATCCACCCGCACCAGCACCGCCCCATTCGTGCCAGCAATCTGACCCAGGATGGCCCTCAACCTCTCCACAAGCGACGTCGTCTCGGCAGTATGCCAAACATCACTAAAGTCCACAATCAGCACCAGCTCCCTGCCCCCCAGCTCCAGTCTAGGCAGGGTGGCAAGCATGTCTAGCCCAGCACCGATATCACGATCGGGGTCCGCAAACCTGATGAATGCCTCCTGGCTGAATCGCGGCTCCGCACCAACGTCGAACGAATAAGGCACGTACGGCACAAGTCGCTGCACCAGGCTGGCCACGATCTGTATCAGCGCCGCCTCCTCCACGCAATCCACGTCAATATGGGGGTCTCGTTGAGTGGCTTGCCAAGCTTTCCGAAAATCTTCTAGTTGAGTTGATTGACGTTGACCAATAAGGGCTCTCCGTTGAGTTGATTGATAAAAGTGGGTTGATAATGCTATGACCAATTACCATAGTAAATTTCCCAGACCCCGTTCGGAAGTCCGGGATACCCCAGCACGACCCACCATAAGATTTAATTTTTATATGGTAAAAATTTAAAATCTCGATCTCAACCTATATCAATCCATATCAATCCACGAAGGCCTCGTCGTTGAGTTGGTTGCCAAGGCTGCAGGGATCTTCGTGGATTGAGGTGGTGTGGATATCCACGTCAACATCAATCCACCGTTGATATCCGTTGAGTTGTTCGGGACCTTGCGGACCACGCGATCCCAGTGCAGATCTTCCGGCTCGTGCGGGCGCGCTAGCAGAACGATGGTGCGCGTCGCGCCGTTGGCGTACCGGTCGTTTGCGCGGATGAACGTCGCGAGCTGCTCAGCCTCCCAGCGCGGGTGGCCCACGGAGTGCGGGACCAGGGTTAGAGTGCTGGCATTGGGGACAACTCTCTCTCCTGCGGAGGCCCGGCGATGTTGGAAGCCCAGGGGGTGTTTGGGCGCCATTGCGAGAGAAGGGAGCTCGCGGCGATGATTTCGAGGGCGGGAAGGGGGTACCCTGATGCGTAGGTCAGTGTCGAGCGCCGCGCTATCCTGCCGCGGGTCAGGTGTAGAGGCGGGAAGTGCTGGGACACTCGGGAGGTCAGCTGGGCGCTCGCTGTGGCCGGCGAGGGAGCCTGGGGGAAGACTTGCATATTGCTCATGACTATAGTGTTGTGGATGACAGTCGTGTTAGTGACATTGATGTTGATGGCACCGATGTCGCGGACGTCGATAGTAGCGGTAACAACATTAGTCATAGTTGTAACCTCGTCGATGATAGTGATAGTTCTGTCTGCCATATTGGAGGCCGGGCTTTGTTTAAGGGGCTGTGTATCGCGATTTGCTGCGTAGAATGTGTTGAAACTTTGAACTAGCGTCTACACTGAAAAGTTTCCTTGGGAAGTTCCAGTGATTCTGATTGAACTTATGAGTGAATAATGAAGAACGATGATGGAAACCAGCAAAGGTTCAATCGTATATATATTATTTTCTGGTTCTAACGTACAACAGTGGTGTTCTGAACAACAGCTTTCTGTCTGCGATACTAGCCTCTATGAACGCCGGAATGAAAGCATCGTGTGCAAAACAACCTCTATGTTCATGAACGGTCCTTTGTGAGGTGAGAACATTGTTTTTGTGTCGATGTTTTTTCAAACAGCCTGTATTTCGCAGTCTATATGCCCCTCTACAATGCGACACCAAGGCCCATGGGAGGGAACAACCCTCGGGCCCAGGCCCATGGCCCCTTGACAGACGCCATCCAGCATTTCTCGAAGCTTCCTGTGGCTCTTGGAATAGGTGAGCACTGGCCCTCAGGCAGACGATTCTGTCAGATCTCACACAACAGGGGTCAAGGGCCAACCACAACTAGCTGACTTGCCTGCCAAGAGAGCCTCTTGGCAGCGCCAGGACATTGGACAAAGAAACATAGGAGATCTTATTCATGGTAATGTCCTTATTGGTAACTTGACCGGTGGATGCTTCGGACTTGAAAAAACACAGTGTTATTCGGTCAGCACGAAAGGAGGACGTGATCAGACTTCAAGAATGGAGAGAAGGACATTATTTGGGTACAGGAACTCATGATAGGAATCACGATGTCCTATCATGGTCGGTATGATAGCTATATGAACTCTCGAAAGCCCGAGAAGCATCCAAGTCTATTTCCAGTGCCCGAACCATTACACCGTTGCGGGAGAGATAGAGGAGTGGCTGCATGGCGAAGGCGCAGATACGCTCCTGGCCATGAAGGCCATGGCTGAGATTCGCACGGTCAAGACCGGAATGATGTACAGCCTGCTATAATGCGGCATCTAAGACGACTTGTCCCCTGAAACGGAAGCCTGGAGGGATAAGGGCAAGACGCCGCAGCGGCCCCAAGAACATGCCCTTTGCATTTTGCCAGTTCACTGTCAGTTCTACCACTGGGCGATCTGTGTTGGCCAGTCTACTGACTATAGTACAGCGAAAAGAACAGGCCGATTTCGCCGAGAAGCAAGGAAAGGGAATACTGGTTGAGGGCCGTGCTTGTCGCACCGAGAAGGTCAAGGCCAATCGTGAGTGTCTCGTCTTCTCCAATGCGGCATCTAGGACAACGTGGCCCCTGAAACGGAGGCCTGGAGGCATAAGGTCAAGACGATGTTTGGCTGCATGACCACATTAAGAAGCGTTTTCGTGGACATCAGTAGCAAGAGAATGAAAAGGACTCCCCAATACGTCAGGCCTCCAGTCGAGACCAACGCCCAAGACAGTCCAAGAGTGCCGGTCATGGCTACCTACCAACCGCACCCTCATGGACTGGAACGCGGGTGTGCATGAGGACATCCTCATAGCACCAGGATACCATGAATGTGCACCTGTCGGCTGCTGATACGGTGGCGCCTTTGGTGACAAGGGCATCTTTAGAAGCACCTTCGGGAGCACTTGCTCCCTTAGATCAGGGGAGGAGAGATGCTGCCGATTGCGAGGAAGCTGCCCCGATTCTCCGATACCAGAACGACTAGACCGCGCACAGCCAAAGATTCTGGCTAAGAGAATGTTCGGATAGCAGTAGGACTCTGCAGCCAACTCGGCAACCGCGGAGTCTTTTCCTGGCTTCAATCGATCCCAGGCACGCCCCTCAGCAACCCGAATCACCAACATCTCTCCTGCCGACTATACACTTGTTGTTTGTTGTTGTAGCATTTAACGCCGGGGGAGCCGCAGAGCGGCTCAACCAAGGCCTCCCGAAGGGTCGCGCGGCGTGCTAGGCTAGGTATTTACAAGTATTGGCCGTCCTGGTACGACCACTCAACCCATCCAGCAAATCTTTACCGCGGACGTCACTGGAAGTTCGCACATAGCGTACACTACTACTACTTCTCCCCTTCCGTCCACGGCGTATACTATTTCACCGGTACCCCCGTCCTCCGGGTGACAGGAAATACCTCCTCCTCCTTCCACGGTACCAGCAACAAGCCGCTTGCGCGTCGTCTTCCTCCCGGCTCCTTGCACCCAATTCCTCGCCCGGAACATCCTCGTGGATGTCGTCGTCGTCGAGTGTACCGTCGACGTCGATCGCCTTGAACGAGTGGCGCGGTCGCTTCGTATTGTCGCCGGTGTGCGCGCGCGCGCTCGGTCACGTCAAACGCAAGCCTGAACACCGCGCGTGGCCGTGAAAGTAGCTCGACGAGAGCGTCGTCGAGCTCGCGGATGTATCGCAGTCGACGTAGACGCCGACGAGGGCTGTTGTCGACTGTCCCTAAGCCGGATCTCCCTTATTTTCCTTCATGTACAAGCAAAAACAGCAGGTGTTAGTGCGAGCGAAAAATAACGCATACAAAGGGACCAGGTTTGTATGGGTAATTTCCCGGGTGCACTAACAGCGGATGCCAAGACAAGTAGTTGTAGGAGGGAAGATGTGCCGACTATACACGAACCGCCTCGGCGTCGTCGCACGTGTCATCTGGCCACCGTGAGCTTTCCGTGTTCCAGCCGTCTCATTCGGACACCAAGCCTGCGTAGAAGGAAGCAGATATTGACATGGAGAAGGGGGGACGAGACGGCGAGGCCGATAAATTACTCAACTTCGGTCAACTCGGCACAGCATCCCGTCTTCCCTCTTGAAGTACTGCGCAAGTGAGGCCGTGGGTATACTCTCGCTACCAAGGTCACTGATTACCAGGACAAGGTAAGCCGAACAGCATAGACCAGCGGATATCAGCATCCTATTTGCTTCTTGTCCTTTTCCGCGTTGCCTTAGTTCATTTACTAACTGATGGTTACAAACTAGGTACCCCCGAGCTCCAGCCCCGCATGTGGAATGAGAAAGAACTGGAAATCCAACAACACGTTGAGGACATCTACAATTCGGGCAAACTGCTCTGGACATGCGAGGAAATCCTCAATGTTGAGCAAGAATCAAGGACGACGTTGCTATATTCAAGCTGCCAGCGACGGACGGATCTATCGTCGAGCTCCGGCCAGTTCAAGAAGGGAAAGGGCGAAAAACAGAAGCGCAAGGTCCTAATTATTTCGTTCAGCGTCATGTAGGATTAGGAATAGGTGCCAGGCGACGGCTGTCACCTTCCCTAACAAAGGATTGACTAGATTGTTATATATGCATGATTAATGGACGGAACCATTTCATATTTATCGCAATGATATAACCTATAGGTAATATTGTTGTAAGATACGACCTCAACAATGGTATATCTCCATGAGAGACTCAAATGAAGGGTCCTCAAGGAGCTAGGCAGCTGTGACACTCCCTCTAGTGGGAGGAACCCACGGTACTGGCGGGACAGTTGCTGTAAGAGTATATCAGACAAAAGATGAGACCCGCGTAGAGGGTGGTGCAGCCGGCTCCGAAGGGGACTACCGCTGTTCGAAATTAGTCTGGTAGAATCTCGACCACGTTCTAGGTAAGATATGAAAACTGAAAGATGCGGCTTTAAATCTTGCTTTCAGGTAGTTTTCGTAACTTTCCATACTATTCTTTTAACAGCATGCGGGCCAAGAAAACTCCCCCTCGTCGCTCGTGTTATGATGTCTACCATCAGTGCTCTTCAACTATCGGACCACATGGCCTTGCCATGTGCTCTTCTAGACTCACCCTCACCAACCTTTACGAACCCAGCTGACCGAACAAGGCATGCGCTGGAACGTTCAGATTCTCTACAGTCGGCCAGCGATTCTGCCAACCTTTAGACCGAGCCAACTCGACATCAGCCTCGGTAGGCTGCCGTCCATGCACCCTCGAAGGTTAGATGTATAGAGGATCGGCTAGCAGCTTCCGAAGATTGAAACATGCCTCCTAGTCGATTGCAAGCGATTGTGCAACGGCCCAGTCGCTGTTATTGAGTCCATCGTCAGCAGAGGCATCAGAGCCAGGGGGGCGGCAGGCCTGAACGGCCTTAAGCTACGTCTGGCGGTCGGGCTAGAAGACTTCCCAGGGCTCATACAGTCCGGACCTGACTCGTGCTGCAAGTGTGGTTCTACTTGTTCTATCATCGAGTCCTGCGAGAGAGACGGCGGACTCAGCCAGTGCCCTGGGTAGACAGTACGACTGTAGCACCCTGGGCATCGGTGATCCGACTGGCGGCATCCTTGGTGGCGTCCTCGATAATGAGCTGGACATGTGAATGCGGCTTCTGATGCTATGGATGCGTATCTCCGTTGTTGGGATGCCGTACGGAGACTTATGGTGGGTGATTGTAATCTATGCCTCAACGCAGGCATCTCGGCCCTAGTCACATGGCAACGTGCGGGTAGGGGATGAAAGCGCTTGAACTGACTATATCTGATAATTGAAAGCACTGAACCCATCCAAAGAAAGCATAATCCCATCCGAGGTAACCGAAATCAAATCCAAAAAGTGAGCGTAATCCGAGCCAAAGAGATGGCGTCTTGCGAGCAGGTACCAATCCCCCAGAAACATAAGAAACCAAGATCCTACTCAAGGCAAGCATCCTCTACCGACGCGCCTGCGCGTTCGAACACATTTCCACGGAGCCGCACTGACAACCGCCAGACCTCATTTAGCTTGCATCGAGTAATGCTACTGCTCCCACTCGTACTCCCCTGTTGCATGGTTCATTCTCACCCACCTCCCAGACGCCTGGTCCTTGTAGCGTTCCGGCCACTCCTGCTGGGTCGATTCAGCAGTAGAGTAGGTGGCCCCACCTGTACCAGTAATGCCATAATCCCCTCCAGCCCACGACGTGGCCGGTTGGTTGTGCGGGTAACCGGAGGCTGGATAATTCCCTACCGTGGCAGACGACGTAGGCTGTTGGTAGTACGCGGAACCAGGGGTGGGATAATTCGCGCCAGTGGAAGATGACGTGGCCGGATAGTTGTACGCGGAACCGGAACCAGAGGCGGTGCTTGATGTGGCTCGAGCAGCGTACGATTGGGAATAGCTACCCTGTGCCGAAGGGTTGGCTGTGACGGGCGCGTAGCTTGTCGTCGCCCCTTTATTGTACTGACTGGGGGTATACGCATATGATGCGTTGCTAGCGGTTGTAGCAGGCGTGTATTGTGTGGTTGCCTGTGTGCCCTGGGATGAAGCGGTGAGGATCGACGGCACGGACGCAGTCGGCTGGCCAAGGGCTATTGTCGGCTGAGGCATATAAGAATGCCCTGCTTTCTCTCCAGTCCATGTGTCGACACCTAGACCACAAGAATGATCCTCCCAGAGGCGACTGATTCTGCGGCCTTTTTCTCTTTTTCTGATGGTATAACCTTGCCCAGTAATTGTAGGGCTCACCCATCTGGCCTCACCCTTCAATGTGGTGTCTATGTAGACCTTGACTTCAACATCACCGGGAAAATGGCCTCAAATGGCTGCTTGTTCCGCTGCAAAATACGAGCTCGGCCGCTTGGTCGATTCCGACGTACCACATAGGCAGTTTGATGGTGTAAATTTAGGGTTGCGGGGATGCCAAACTTACTTGATTTCCACCCAGGTTTGTCTAAGCTCGAGAGCATACAGGATCATGAAGTGTTCTGACCAACGTTTCAGAGTCGTCCAATGCACTCCTTGCTTCTTAGCGAGCTTGCCGACCTTGGGTCTCATAGACTTCCTCCACGTAACTTCGACACCAAGGATTGTTCCTTCCCACTGGTCATCGGGCAGGCAGCTCAGCTTGGTTGCCATATCGTGTTAGGTGCCAGGTAAGTTCTGGAATTGGGCTTGAGTGAGTGGATACGATGGTATTGTGGACTGGTGTGTTAAAACAATAGAAGGAGTGAGGCCATCATGGAGGAAGCGCCCAATCCGCAAAGACAAAGACAAAGAAACAGAGCTCTTCAAGCAATGGTTACAAGAGAGAAACGTGAACACTGACCTTGTCATCTACTCAGATGGATCACAGTTGGATGACCAAGGCACAATCCGCACTGGATGGGGTTATACCATCAGGAAAGGCGGCACTACACAAGAAGTATACCGGGGAAGGGGCAGACTTCTACAAGCAGAAGTAGTAGATGCTGAAGTCCATGGTGCTCTCCAAGGTCTTGCAGCAGCCAGGGCAATTGGACACGGAAAACAGCTATATGTCTGCCTGGACAACACGTCAGTGGTAGATGGGCTCAATGGGACTCCACCCGAGACATCACAAAACATTTTTCTACGATTTCAAGAACTTGCCACAGCACACACTCCTGGAGTGACCGTCAAATGGATTCCTGGACACAGAGATATTGATGGCAACGAAGCTGCCGACACACTAGCAAAAGAGGGTGCCATGCTGGAAACAGACACAACAAATCTTCCTACAATCTCTTGGGTCAAGAGAGATCTCAAAAGACAGGGCAAGAAAGAGTTCAACCAATGGTGGAAAGACCAATCAGAATCTAGGTATCAAGAAGTATACTCACATGCAGTAACTGAAAGAGACCTTATATCTTTTAAGAGGAGTACTTTACACAGACTTCTAGCGGCCAGATCTGGACATGGCGACTTTGCCAGATACCATGAACGCTTTGGGCACACAGATTCAAATGATCACTGCAGCTGTGGTGAGAAGAAAACACCACAACACATTTTCTTTTGTAAGAGGCTGGGGAAAAATCGGCTACTGCCTAGGCATTCGCCTAGGGCAGCTTGTTTACAATACTTAGGGGAGAGGAGCACAGAATGGGCAAAATTCGTGGAGAAGAGCAAGTTCTTTTCAACAATCTGCCCCCGATAGATAGCCTTCCTTGAAGGACCAGATGGATGACCCCAAGGTCATACCGCCGCAACAACGGGGATGGGCCCGTGAGCGGGACTGACTGTACTTATTATCTTGAGACCTCCACAACCCTGCGATGCAGAGGCTCTGGGAGGCGTGGTTTGCACTACTGAGGAGCTACCCCCACGTTAAATACAAAACAAACAAACAAACAAACAATAGAAGGAGTGCGCAGGTGTAAAGAGCTTACTGATGATGCTATGTGGTACAGGCTGAAGGTGAGGAATGCATTCGCTTTATTCCGTTTTTATCCTTAGGGTATCATAGGTTAACGTGGCCAGTCACTGCAGTCTCTATGCTCTTATTGGCGTAGCTCTCGCTCATGATCTTGTCGGCGCAGCTCGCTGTTGGTTGCGTCAGCGGCTAGAAGAGCCTTGCTTTTGGGCTGCGCCTCTGGGTCCATACGCGCCAGAAAGAGGGGGTTGACCGAGTCTCGGGCTCTGGTACCGCTCGCGTGATGAGACATCACATTCACGAAGAACCATACAATCCGACTGTGCCAGCGTTCGGTCAGTTGGATGCCCAATGGGTTCCAAGGGCGAGAGGCAGTGTCGGATTGCTCTGAAACCAACAATTCACAGCCTTGGGCGTTTATGATAGCCATGCGATAGGTAGACTATCATGCGACGCTCCATTGATGCTGGAGCCTGGGTAGGATTCAAGGCCACCCAGCCGGTTTCATCGAGCACCACAAGCCCTTCTGCGCATGGCCAGCGCAGTCCCGAGCATGATGAGCCGTTTGCAGCCTAACGGCGGTTGGGTGTCGTTCCCAACTAGAATACGATGAATCTCACGGTGATCTATTGACACGTATACGTGGACTGCTATTGGAGGGCATGGTCTTTTATCTACAGGCACACACTATCATTGTGAGTACCCTGTTCCGACACACAGTGTGACACGCGATAGTCGTAATAACAAGAGTGGTACGTGTGGTATCAGCAGTAGGTGCCAGGGACGGCTGTCATCTTCCTTGCCACAATATTGACTAGGTGGTTATATATGCACGATCAATGGCAGGGAACATCTCGCATTCATCGCAACAATGTATGGGTGATAACAACATAGATGTGATATTGTTATAAGATATCACCTCAGCATTGGTAGATCTCCATCAGAGCCTTGAATGAAGGGTCTTCAAGGAGCTGGGCGGCTGTGATACGCTCCTCTGGTAGATAGGAGAATCCCCTCCGCATGACTGACTCAACATGGTACCGTTCAAACTCGCTGATTTCAGGCCGCGACTTTGCGATTCTGGTAGCAAGGCTTCACATTGGATCTGAAGCGGGCGTCGAGGGGCCGTAAAATATGTATGGGATTCGATCTGCCCAGGAATGCTTGCCTTTCCACTACTCAGGCAACGGCCCAAGTACGTCAAACCAGTCGCGGACTGTCTGCATAACCCCATTGCCTAAGAAAATCCCGTGACCCAAATAAAGATAAGTGAAAAGGTACATATAATTCCACATATTACTGGCCAAACTTGGGTCAATATTGTGAAACCTCTCTGGGACACAGAACTCATAAGATGCTCCAAATTTGTTAAGTAAGGAAGTCCCGTCTTGACCATGGTGCCGAAATCGCCAAGAAGGAGTCTTGTTCCTACCAGGTCCATTAGTACATGGGCCAGCTCGACCAAGTCTCCAGGCTTCCACAGCCAATCCAATGCGAATTTCTTTGGCCGACCAAAGATTTCGTACTTCTTGGCTGTATCAAGGCCAGTAATATCATGGCGCAAGTCCCACATCATACATCCAAGATTGAGGTCTGCAGGTAACATCAGCATGTAACTAGGTCGGATTCCAAAATGGCGGTCAAAGCTTACCGCGATGCACGAAGCAAGCGTCGTGTAAGCCTTTCAGCGTCACGAGCAATTGCTTGGCGGCTGGTATATGGAATCTTAAGGGATATTCATAAAGACGGCCACCAAGATTTGGCCCAACGAGAGGCAGAACCAGTACTCGATGGGAATTGCCACTATGGCCAGGAAGCACAAAGGAGCCGTGGTTGACGACGAGATTGGAAGTATTACGAACGTTCTGTTTGATCTCGTTCTGGACCAGGTATTCCTGTTCCCCTGTGATGGTATGGTCACCCGTATGGTCACCCACACCACCAGATCTCCAGGCCACCCACGTGCATTGGTCACGTGAGCGGAGCGACTGTTGATCCGCCAGCCACTATGGCAGCGGATAGTGGGCCGGGCACACAGATCATATCCCCCACCAGAATTGGCTGGTGGGCTCGATCTTTTCTTCCCACCTCACCCAGAGATTTTCATACGTAGATAGTGTATACAGGGCTTTTACGTCCTCTCTCATCTTCGGAACGTGACATCCCCCGCGCTGCCGCCGGCACACGGGATCTTGAGAGCAACACTCCTTCCAAGTGAGTGGTTAAAGGCCATCCAGACAGTCGAGTAGCCACCCCAGCCGAGTTTGTGTTTGATGCGATATCTTCCAGCCAGGACCTCCCCGATGCGGACCGGGTAGTAATAGTTATTCGCGTTATATTCAGTGTCGTATTTCTCCTCGGGCTCGCAATCGTCCTCTATGTCTATTAAATGCTCATCGTCATCGCTACAGTAGTAGCCCAAATCCAGTGGAATGTCTACAGAGACTGGGGGAGTCGGAGGAAGCGATGACGCTGCGTGACTGGCCATAACAGTGACCTTACCGAGGGAGACTAAGGCTGTGGGTATGAGATGTTCGACGAGATAGAGTCACGCTGAGTGAGGCTTCTTCTGATTTTGAGAGTATGGAAGCATCAACGATGTGAAATTAAGAGAGGCAGAGAGGCGGAGAATAGCAATGCAGCGAACTTATGGGATGTGTGCAATCAACAGCAGACGGAATGAATGTTGGGAAATTGGTACCTGGTACTTGTTGGTATCAGGGATCAGGCAGCAGCGACCAGGCACCAGGGTACCGGGGCGTTGACCGGTGGGGAGCGAGCGTCAGCGAGGGGGTGGCTGAGGGAAGTTTGCGGTGATGCTGGCAGCGGACCAACAAGTGAGCTGAGGCAGAACAGAGCGCCTAGAGAAGGAATGACGAACAGAAGGAAGGTGAGGTTGGTAGTCTGGTAGTCTGGGTGCCGCCGGGGCTTGGACGTTGGAAGTCGGCCGGTTGGGGCGGCACCTTGGTGGGGAACATTCCGAGGCCTGGTCCATCGGGCCGATGTGGACACTGAAACAGTGGACAAAGAACGGGCCGGTGTGGGTACCGGATCAGTAGGTAAGCATCGGGCCGATGGGGCTGGGATGTTGCCGAAGATAGGAGGTACCTAAGTAACCCACTGCCACGCGCTAACTTCCGATGCCTCCAATCCCACATGACACATCCCATCATTGATGCCTATCGGGTCTCGGAATGCTGGCTTTCCACCGTAGTAGGGAGTGGTACATGGGTAGGAGAAGCAGCCGCACCATGAACCCCAGCCTCGAGCCTGACATGGGTCATAGGTTCTGTGATTGCCGCCAGCCTAACCGAGTGTTGGCCCGCTTTTGTGAGCGATGATAGTATTAAAGGTGCCCCCTTCAACCCGAGGCTGGACATTCTCTCCATGGACAAGCAAGAACCTCTTCGACAATCTAAATCTACCACCCTTGACGAGTCTACCTTACCAACAGAAGATGGCGTTACAGAGTCCTGAAACTGCCATACCCGGGCCATCTGCATCAAACCCTCCGGAGCTCGTTGCAGGGCAGAATTGCATTTATGTGCTGTACAAGGGGAACAACCGATACTACATGAATGACATGATTTTCGTCAGTCCTGATCGCTGGGAGTCTCGGTACATCCAGCACAATGATGTGAGGCAGGAGTGTCACACCTGGGCCTTGGGAAAGGATGAAAAGGGCAAGGGCAGGGCAAGAGCAAGGGGAAAGCGTGATATTGGTCATTCGGTCATTCAGTCATTCAGTCATTGGGTCATTCAGTCATTGGGTCATTCAGTCATTCGGTCATCTAGTCATTCATGCTCGAGAGCTATCAGGCCTACAGCTTTGAGTGGCCAATACAACATGAAGTCCCATTGAACCACCAAGACAGAGTCCCAGACAAGGAAATCTTCAGCCAGAGCCATTTCTTGTGAGTGTTTGCAATCCCTACTGCCAGCTCCATAATCTGCCGGTCCCATTCCGTTCTCCTAGATCCAAAATGCAAAGACCTGCCCTGTACTTGGAATGATCGGGTCACCCAGTCGAGTCGATACTGTCCCACGCATTCACGTTGCTGATTCTGGTACCGAAAGAGCATCCCAACAATCGGGCTGTCATCCTGTTCGCGACATATAGTTATCTCGACAACATCAGCCAAGCGGCAGGATGAGTAGTACCAGTCTTGCCAACCTACCCCACCGGGAACCCTTGAGGCACGAAACGTATCGGTGGTAGGGGCCTGTTGCTGCGGCATTTCAAACCCAATTGCCATGGTCTTGTAACATACATGCATAGCATCCCCCCCATAGAAGTCGGCCACTCCTACTAGTCGGCCAGCCAAACCTCACCATCACCACCAAAACTCCCACATGTTCACTTATACAGATTCAGCAAGATATTGAAGCTATTCACAATGTATTCAGTGCTCTAGATAGCCCTGATCTTGAGGTTTTCTCCAATGCTAAATTTACCCCTCCCGGTTTACATAATTATTATTATTATTATTATTACTCATACGCTGACCCGCCGTATGGACATCTCGGAGAGTCGTCTGGCATGCAGACCTCCTACGATCTATCTCCGTGTGATAAAATCCAGCATGGGATGAAAACCCCCACGCTACGGTCTAGTTCTGGCTTCGTTACGGCGCTGCTGCGGTTTGCTGCAGTTATATATCATGACCTTCACCGCCTTGATTAACCTGATAGGGCGCGTATCCCTTGGCCCCTGAGGCCTATTCCCCCTCGTGATATTCCCCCTCCCCCTCGTGATATCCTTACTACCATATTCCCCCTCCTTCTCCATTCTATCCGGTACCGCTCTATATTCTCTGCGGTCCGGCTCTTTGGCGCCTGTTGGGCCACCTTGCCACCGCTTAGCTTCCTTGCTAATGAAAATATCCCCAGTAGCCCTAGTCTCAAAAACCACCGTATAAATTTCGGGGTCTCGTCCGTATCTGACAACAAGCTCTCGAAGTCCCTCCTTGACCGCAATGTTCTTGTCTCGAGAGAGGCTTACAGTCTGTCTCTTTAGGCCAAGTATAGAGGGCATCGAACCGTCACGTGGTATGCCGTCTTTTTCTCGCCGTAGTCGCAACGTGGTGTAGCCTCTCCTGGGACTCTCCTCTGGAACAGGAAAGCCCTTAAGCCGATGGTCTCTGTCCGGACCTGGCATAAGGCAGACGCCTCGTGTTTCCGCAGTCCGTAGTAATACTGTGGGACCGCCCTTGCGAGCTCCTGTGGGAATTCTCCTTGAGCTGCCGGCGACCTCGCAGCAACTCCCGTCTGGCTGGCTCTTGTAATGGCAATTATTCATCGACTCCTCTACCACCTCTCCAGTGCCTGTTCCGGTTGGTCTTGGCCCAGCCACTTCAGGATCGCCTCCTTCCGGTCTGTTAGGTTATCCTTTTACGGAGACGCTGTTGTGTGGGGCGACTGTTGAGGCCGACCTCTCCCCCGCCTGCCGCTTTGCGCGGGTCTCCTTGCGGCTTCCATTACCGCCAACTTTGCGTCTTTCGCCCTCTCTGCCACCTTTCTTGTTCCGGCAGTAACGTGTCTACCTGCCTCTCTGTATATTCGACCTTCAAACACCACCACCCTCATATCTAGGTATGCGTCCAGCGGGGGACAACCGGTCTCTGTCTCCAGCAAATGTCGTGGCACGGCTTTAAAGGCCTCTGCCACCATCCTTAAACACGCCGCTTGTATGGTGAGCATCTTCCTCGCTAGCCCTCGGGCCTGGTTGCCCTCTGATGGCGTATGCCACGCCGTCGCGCCAAAGGCGATGGTGCTTTGTACCACTTTGGTGTATACCTCCCGGGCTCGCGCCGTGCTACATCCCCACGTGGAGGCCGCTATCCTCGTGAGGCCGAAGATCTGGCGTTCCATCTTTGCCTTTATCTCTTTTAAGTACCTGTTCCACCGCAACTTTCTGTCTAGGTATACTCTAAGGAACCTAGGTGAAGGTACCGGCTTTACGAGGACCATCCCGTTTTGGACCGGATCCTGGATTTCTTCCCGCTGCCGCATAAAATGTATAACCTCGCTTTTTTTTGCGTTGAACTGCATTCTGTGGCGAGCCGACCACCTCTCGCATACCTGGTATACCTCTTCAAGGACTTTGCAATTCCTCTTGGAGTCCGGGTGGACCGCCAGCATGTTGGTATCATCAGCAAAGCCCACTACCATCATGGGCAAGCCTGCTGCTTCAAGCTCTTCATACAGTGTGGCAACATATAACAGGAAGAGGATGGGGGACTCCAGCACTCAACTCTCGGGCTGCTGACTCTTTCCATCAAAAAAGAGCTTAGTCAACCGTCCGTTAGTATAGCTTTTCATACATCTGATAATCCACATGGGGTATCCCTTTTTCCACAGAATGTGGCGGAGCCGCGTAAAGACGACAGCATTGAAGGCCCCCATGATGTCCAGCTGCATCAGCGTTGCTACTGCGCTGTAGCTCCATCCTGTATGGACTGCTTTGACTACCATGCGGATCGCATGTTCTGTCGACCTGCCCTTACGGTTCCCTATTTGGCCCTTGGGAAGGAGCCCGTGTGTCTCCGCTGCCTCCATCATATGGTTACTAATAACCTTCTCTATGACTTTTCCCATGCAGCTAAGGAGCGCAATGGACCGGTAGGCCCCTGGAAGAGCCTTCTCTTCTGGTGTCTTTCCAGCTTTCAGTAATACCATTATTGATGCCATTTTGAACTGCTTCGGCCGCTCGTCCAGAACGAACGAGCATTCTACGACCTCCGCCAGGGCCACTCTCAGCGGTTTGCCACACGCTTTAAGGAATCCTGCTGGTAGAAAGTCCCAGCCTGGGGCCTTCCAGGGCTTCATTAAGTCAAGAACTGCCTTAATGTCCGTCTTGTCCACCTTCCTGCTTATGACAAACTTTCCTTCAAAGGGGTCTAGTCCGGTATCGAAATCTTCCGGGATATCGGACAGGTCTGCTATTGGGGAAGGGAAGAATTTCCCTGATAGGATATCTACCTGCTCGTCGAACTTAGATGTCAGGCCTCCCATGGAGCCGGGTTTCCTTAAGGGCGGGAGCGTTTCTGCCTCTCGTGATTTGAACCCGCGCAGCCGTGCCGCCCTTTCAAGATCCCAAAGCTTCTTGTTATCTTTAGACGCTGCTGTTATGAGGTAATGTTATGTTTTTGTCTGGGCTTTATTAATAGTCTGTTTCTGTACCTGCCTCGCATTTGTTAGGCCTTTAAAGTCTCGATCTGACCGGGAGGATTAGTAACGTTTTCTTGCCGCTTTTGTATATGTCATCGCACGACCGACGTCCTCGTTCCACCACTTCTGTTCGAACCCGGAATTAGGCCCTTTTTTCTTTGTGGAGGTGTCTGCAATGCCTTGGAGCTGCTCAAGCAGCTTGTTGATATACTCTTCCAGCTCCTCGATAGATCCGGCTCCCCCTGGAGGCGCAATTTTCAAGCCTTTGACTTGGACCGTTGTTTTGTCCATTGTCTTTCACGACTAACCTGGCAGGGCCTTATTTCATTTCGGCGTCTCAGTGTGAATTCGTACCATTTGTGGCAGGTGGTCTGAGCCCTCCCACTCCGGTGGGATCTCCAGCTCTGCCCTTAGGAGTGGGTGGGCCCAGATGAGGTCTATCGTGGAGTCCCTCTGGTCATGCCCCATCCTTGTGGTCATTCCCCTTGGTGTCACTAGTTCTAGGTTCATTGTTTGAACAAGCGTTAACAGTTCCTTGGTCTCTGTACCTAGCGTAGTTCTTCTGTGTTTATCTCATATTGGATGGTGGAGGTTAATATTGCCTGCTAAGACAACCTTACCCTCTCACCTCTTGTTAGCAATCGCCTGGAACGGGGGTGCACGGTTCCCGCTCGATATCGGCTCATTATATAGCGATATAATGTTCAAGGCACCTTCCTACGAGCAGAACTTGACCGCTGCCCAGTTGTGCCCTGCGCGTGCCTGCCATGCCTCTGGGGCGAACTTCTTGTTGATGTACAGCATCGCCCTGCCATGCCCCGAGTAGATCGGTATGTACTTGCAGCTGGCCGGGCAGTGAATGGCATTCTCAGGGCCAATCCATGGCTTCTGGATTGCGATCACGTCTGTCAGTCCCTTTATCCCGTCCTTATCCTCCCCACCCCGGATTGCCAAGGCTACGTTCTGTTACGAAGCTCCTGTGTTCCATTGTGCCAGGTGTATCAGCATTAAAGGACCGGGTGGTCGGGTGTGTCAATGCTGTTACTCTCGGCCCTATCCTGAGTGCTTGAGATGTCGATTGTCGGGATGTGTGACATTCTGTATGGTGCTGCCTTTCTTGCCGTCGAAGTGAAAGAGATTCTCGTTTATGAGGCGCTGATGTGTGTTGGCTGGCCTCTTTTTGATGTATTTCTGTTCGTGTGATGGTGGCCGCCCTGCTTCCTTTTCTGGACCACCGTGAAGCCGTTCGCTCCTGTCCGGGGCGGCGCTGGGTCTTTCTAAATCTCGAACTGCCGGGGTTGGTATTTATATGCCTCCCGAGCCGCCTCTTCTCTCTCCCTGTACACGCGGCACCTTTTATCCCACACCATATGGTTCCTTGTATAGTTCCTGTACTTAAATCTCTTCCGATTGGTGTTTGAAGGGCAGTTAAGTTCCCCTCCTTTGTGTGGTGCTCCGGCACACCTGCCACACCTCGGTTTATTTTGGCAGTATTTTGCTGGATATTCAAAGTCGTAGCACTTGTAGCATTGTTCGACTTGGATGTTCTTTGTGAACGGCTCGCAAGAATAAATTGCCACTTTCTACACCAGCCCTTGCTCATATAGCTTTTGGGCCTCTGTTATGTCATTCACCTGTAGAACTAACGTTGTGTGTCAGTGCTCCGGGTTTCTTGGGAAGATGGGGTGCATTTTCCCGATCTTTGGTGCATGCTGTTGTATCTCCTCTAGAAGCTCTTCCGACTTTGTGTGAGCTTCCCGCAAAATGCGGTATAGAAGACCTTTCGCTATCACCATGAATTCACGGCACGACTGTTCTGTCGTTGCCCCAAAGGCAACTCTAATCCACGCTGCTGTCCCCTCCTTATACTTGTTTATCGTATTAAGGAACGTAACCACGACGTCCCCGCTGGGAAGTCGGCGGGCTGCTACCGCTTCCTGTGCGCCAATCGCCATGTTCATTGCTTGTACCGCTTCGACAGCCGTCCTCTTCGTCATCTCTAGGATGCTTCCGGAGTTTTGAATGATGACCTCCCGCTGGATCCGCACCGGCACGAACACTTTTGGCGTGTTTGTCGTTACGGATCCGCCTGCCGCGGCCACGTTGGCCCAGGACCGTGGTCCTGTTGTCCCTGGTACTGCTTGCGGTGTCTTTGGCATAAATCGCCGGAATGCTGCTTTGATGGACCTGTTAAGTTTGTCTCGCGTGATCGCTTCGGTGTCTCGATTTCTTGTCGTAATCGTTGCCGTGTTTGCGGTGGCCTCGGTGGCCTTTTGCGCCTCTATGGCTGCATACCTATAGACTATCTGGACGACCTCTTCTAGCGCGCCCTTCTTCATTAGGTTAGCCAAATCTTTTTTTAACGTAGTTTGTTCCTCTGTTCCCCCACGCTGCGCCTCGCTCACTGCCGGTACAGTTACGTTGGTTGCGCTTCGTCCGACGTTGGGATAGTGCAAACTCTGTTCGAGCCCCGCCCTTCCCTGATCGATGACCATTGGTTCATCTGCACCACCGTCTTTCGCCATTGCCTAGTGATCTTGGAAACCATACTGCAAGGTCAATTCGGTAGGTAGGAATGCGAATCTTCAAATTATTTCATGTAATAGTGTGTTGTTGTAGAGTTATCCGTCATAGGGTTTCATCAGGTTTATTTTCGCAAATTCAAATAAATAAAACCATTAAAAAAGAATTGTTTACATAATTGATGATGATGATGATGATTGTATTTATCGTGGGTGCAGTTCCTCAACAGGGCAAACCACGCCTCCCAGAGCTATTGCATCACAAGGTTGTAGAGGTGTCAGTCTAGATACATTCAGATCCGCGCATAAGCCTATCCTCATTGTAGCAGTACCAATCTGGAGTGTCCAGATGGTTTTAGTCAATACCCAAGCACGATTCTGTCAGAAAAACCTCCTATTCAGTGACAAAGTGACCTAGTGAACCTCAGTCCTCTAGTGTACACATCGTTCCAGTAGCCGTTCGATATATGTCGCATTGGTGGGTGAAGTAGGTATTTGTTATCTGTCGGCGAGGGAAACCACAAAGGGAAAAACCTCGCAGGAATGGGTATTGTGGAGACAAGCTGCTTGGCTATTGGGCTCTGCAATAAGGGGCCTCTCCACTGTCGTGTACTGGTTATCGACTCGCACAAGCCGGGTCAGAAGGGGGCCATAGCAGGATTTGAACCCACTTGTTCTCGTCGCCCACCGCACAAACGAGAACACAACCAGGCGCATTTGACCATTGCGCCATACGGCCCGGTTTACATAATTGAGGAGCTATTACCCCGCTTTTGGTACACCAAATAGAGATTTTCACGGCTCTCTTGAAGCCTCGTTCTGTATGCACTGCAGCATCGTATAGTCGCCCAAAATATCTCCCTATTCATATACAGAGGATCAGATGGCTTCGGCCATCTTAGATATCACAGATGAGGGCCTATCTATGCAAAAAGCCGGTCAAAAACACAGTATTCCGCACCAAACGCTATCTGATCGACTCAACCGCAAGGCTACCAAAACCGAAGCCCACACACAGCAACAGAGACTATACCCTGCCCAGAAAAAGACTATAATCAAGTGGATTCTATTACAGGAAAAGCTTGGCCTAGCCCCTTTGCACTCCCTGGTTCGTGAGATTGTCAAGAAGCTGTTGAGAAAGAAGGGAGATGAGGGCCCCCTAGGAGACACCTTTATGGCAGCCTTCAAGCGCCACAACCCCAAAATCAAGACAAAAGTCGGCAAAAGGATGGAAGCAGCACGCTTCAAGGGGTTCACGCCCAAATCAGTTAACTGGTTCTTCGAAATTCTCAAAGATTACGGCTGAGTGAAGCAAAGAACACCTATAATGTCAATAAGCGCGGCATTATGGCAGGTTTTGGTAGTTATATCTACCCCTTTAATTCTAGAAAAAATCTCATTAGATTCATAGGCATTGATTCCCTAGTTTTAGATAGTTCTGCTACCAAGAAAGCCTTCCTGAAGTTCCCACAGGGCCGTAGCTGGACCTCCTTTATCGAGACCATCTCAGCAACTAGAAAAATCCTCAAACCAGGTATTATCTTCAAGAGGAAGGACCTCCAAGTGCAGTGGTTCATCAACGAGTTTCGAAAGACCGCAGATTGGCACTATATATGTTCAGAGAACGGCTGGACTTCGAATGCTATAGCCTGCAAGTGGCTGGAGGATATTTTCCTCCCACAGGCAGACGAAGAACAAGAAGGAGACCAGTCTGAGGCTATCATCTTGATACTGGATGGCCACAAAAGCCACACCTCCATATATATACGATTTTTCTTTGTTTTAAATGGACTTCCTCTAATTTTTCCTGATTTAATATGGTCTAATGCGTGTTGATAGGACGAATTCATGACTATATGTTTTCTCAATAATATATTGCTCTGTTTCTTTCCTGCGCATACTAGTCACGGCACGCAACCCCTGGATAACGGTCCCTATAATGCCTTGAAGGCATACTACCAGAAATTCCTCTCTGAGCTGAGTTCCTTGACGGCTGCCTCGCCTGTTGACAAGATCAACTTCATCCGGTGCTATAGCAAGGCCAGAACTGCTGTCTTCACAAAGCAAAATATCCTCTCTGGCTTTAGAGTCACTAGATGTTATCCTATCAGCCGCAGGAAGTGCTTAAAGCACCCAGAGATACAAGAAGACAAGAGGAAGACCCCTGAGCTTGATACCCCTGAAAGCTCTGAACCAGAAGACCAGCGGACGCCTACTACGAGCCGCCAGATCATGGATTTCGGCAAAAAAAAATCTCCAGGGACCAGGCTGAAGTATAGGAAGATAGCGAACACGTTCAAGGCTAAGGAGACCGAGCTTATGATCAAGGATAAGAAGATCAAGGCTCTGGAGGCTGAACTGGAGCGGGCACGGCCTAAGAAGCGGAAAAAGGTCCCTAATCCTAACAGGAAATTCAGAACAGTCACACAGATACTAAGTACGGGTGGTACTATCACTCCTGGTGCCCTTACGGATGAAGCAGAAATTCTAGTTGTGGATTCAGAGGATTCAGAGGACGAAGACAAAGACTCGGCTAAAGAGGAGGTTTTAGAGGCTGTACAGGAGCCTAGGCACACCCGTTCAGGGCGAGCCATTCGGCGCCCGCACCATTGTACGAGTAAACGGCTTCAGCGCTTTCAAATGATAATATTGCCATAAATCTCCGATCTGAATAGCTTCATTCGTGGGTGGGTGAATAAGGGGGTGTTTTGGTGGTGACCCCACAATTTGGCTGGCCGACTAGTGGGGGTGTCCGACTTCTATGGGGGGATGGTACGAGTTGGGGACGGGGGAAGCGACTGAAGATGGCGATCGTGGAATCCCTGCTGCGTAGTATCCTTGAAATGTTTTCTGAAGACAGATTTCCGGCCATGGTTAGTGAAGAACTGGACCAGTTAACAAAATACTCGAACCGGAGGTATCAGGCCAACCTACATAGAGTGCGCTGTAATAAAAGCCCCAGGAGGTCCTTATACGAGCACTAATGCCATTTACAAACTCGCCTTTGTTGATGGGCATGTATGTCCACACACCGAGTCCATCGCAGTTCTTATAAAGTTCAAGGCTTGTTTCACAGGTGTGGGCATATAGTGCCTTCGTACCGGCATAGTCGACATGCGCAATGTAGCCAAACGTGCCCGGAGAATTGCACAGTAGTTGATTCATCCGAATCCTCCGATAATCAATAGGGGCAGTAAGGTGACGACCGAGATTGACAAAGGAAGCAAGAGCAGCCCCGGGCACTGACAATCGCACAAGGTCTAAGTTGTTCTGGTTCACTTCTGTCGAGAGCACGTGGCGTACTTTCAGGCCCTAGTTATGCTAGGTCAGCATCACACCGTAGGTATCTATGCTGATGCAACGTACATCGTAAAGCACACGAATTCCAGCCCCCATGCATCGGTGCGGGCGTGTCCACCAAAGGTTGGCATCAGTCGAGGGTCTGGGATTGACCAGTAGCTGTTGTACACCTAGGTAATCTTCTCCAACATAGACCTGCTGAGCTGGATCACCACGCGCAATTAGTGTAGACGCGGGAGTCCTCCGGTTGCTCAGAGAACAGATGTACTGGACCTCATTGATGGCCGTATATTGTGCATAGATGTCTGCCGACGTGTCGACGTAATCCTCTGAGCTTTCCCGGAGGCTTTGGTTCAAAGCCTCTGATTTCAGTGACGAGTACTCCTTCAACAGCAACACTGCAATCATTCGCCAGACCTCCGAGGGAAGTTGTCTAGGCCAAGTTGTACCGTCAAAGAGCGTACAAGTAAGCTCTATTTGAAGGATGCCTTCTATTCTTTCTGTCTCGGCTGGTTCTGGGTCGAAGGAAAATTCTGTCGCAGTGACAAAATTGTGGGACAATCTAGCCGGCGAAAGTTCGCGGCACTCCTGGTGAAAACAAGGGATCGCCGCGGTCGCGCGAGAAAGGAATTGGCATTGAGGGTTCCCACACATATGAATGGCGATCAGCGAGTTTCCGTAATCGTGCTCATACCTTGAATATTCGCTATACTCAAAGGAGAGTTTCAGATCATCGACCTCAACTAGATTTTTGTAAGCGTTACATGCATCGTGACGGCACTATGATACTCTCACCTGTGACCAAGTCTCCAGTTTTCAAAGCAAACCGGCACAACCCACAACGAATCTCGCGAGTACAGTAGCGAGTAAGGCGTTCATATTCTTCGTCTGACATTTTGTAACCCAAGAGGAGGGAGACATGGAGGGAGACGAGCCTTCTGGGAAAGTTGAGGGGAAAGAATAAAAGTTTGTTGTGATTCGGCAAGCTGCATTTTACAACCCACAATTTTACTGGACGACAAGGAACCCGACACCGGCGAAGCGGCCAAGAGCTCCTGTAAGGGGCGGAAACATGAATCCAGGAGTTAAAGCTGGTACAGCATGACTTCCCCCCAGTGGTATGTAGTGTTAATCGTGGCTCCGTGTTAGGAATAACCCAACCTTTGCTCTCATGCGCCAAATCGGAAGGTGAGGCCTCTGTTGCTTTCGCCGGTGTCCAACATCTCGATATCGCAGCGCATGACATCATACTGCTCACTTTGGGAGAAGCGAATCTTGCTCTCTGACACTTCTTCTGTGACAAGAAAGGCTTGCCCATACACGACCCAAGCTTTTGTATTGTTCGATGAAGCAACCGTCATTGCCCTGTACTTGCCTCCCCAGGCCACAAGAACACCGCCTCTTGTGCGAGCTGGTCTCAACTGGGGATAAGTGCCTTCAGAAAGCTTGAGGACCCACGAGAGAATCGATGGCTCTGCCAACATCCCGTAGAAAAAGTGCCACACCGGGTACTGGTCTTGCGCTGGTTTGACACTTGTGTGCGCTTCTGTGGCTTGGTATTGCGGCAGTGTCGCACCGATGCCTAGGAACGGTGCAAGGCTGATTGGTGATAAGTCTTTCTCTGCTTGAGTGATCTGGATGAAGATCGGCGGGTTATTCGTGAGCCATCTCACAATCGCATTCTTCGCTGTGCCGTGGATACCTACATCACTACTCTTGAGACCCCTCCTGGAGACAATACAAATCGAAGAAGAGTAGGTTGGGCTCTGAGCCGCAAAGTACAATTTGACGACGATGCCAGTGGGGGCATTATTTCCGCCGCGTACTGGGAATTGAAACGACCCGGCAGGAAAACCCAGGCAGTCGATTCGCAGATCGAGTTGGCTGGCTGAACCTGCTTGGAACAGGGAGGCATCGACAAGATCTATCTGCTCACCGCCTGTGGTATGCTCTTCCGTACCTTCAAGATGTATCCAGATAAAAACGACCCGACAAAGGAACTACGGGAGCCGATGGACGATGGACCTGGAAGATTAAGAGACTTGAATTACTACTATGAGATTGACTCTGGTCATGGCAGTGCCATCTTCAAAAATTTCGTCGCTGCCTGCACTTCGAATTCCCCCGTCTTAAACCGGCAGGCATCGTCCTTCCCCGACGCATGGGATGAGGGCTCGGGGGGTTCTACAGATGTCAGATTTGAGCCAATCGTGAGGTTGAAGTGTGTATGTGTATTCTCTGTCTGTCTAGAATGTCCTTGTGCGACCGTGGCCGTTTTGTGCCAGAGGGAGCTGGATCGGGACGGAACAACTAGGTTCCGGTGTCTACCTATCAAGGTGCCCTCTGGGCTCACCTTTAATCCAACAATATCCATCCCCTTGGGTTCTTGGTTGGGCATGCTGCTGCATGCGCCGCCGTACCCTCGCTGTCGACGAGATGCCGGGCCTAGGTAAGTCGAAGCTCGGCACCGACATCGGCACAGCTCCAAAAACAATGGAACCAACCCGCTTCATGCGCGACGTCGCAATAGAGTTCGACTCCACCTCCGCACTCCTTCCCGGATCCCCCATCTCCACTGCTTCATCTGACCGAGAGGTCCTGGATCAAATCTCCACATGGCTATTGATGTTCCCCTATCTGATTCTCTCAATTTAGCGGGCCTGACATGAGTCACATAGACCTCGGAGTTACCACAGAACGGGAGCCTACGGCCAGCAAGCGTTTCTGCACCATCGCATAACGACGGACCTCCCCGATCGGCAGTATCTCGCACACCACGCTCGCATGTCACGATGGGTGCATTCTTCGAAACCATACCCGACTCCCTCATCAAATGGATACTAGCTCAGAAGGTCTTCTGGGTGTCGACGGCGCCGCTGTCAGCCAACGGCCACGTTAACGTCTCACCCAAGGGCGGCGAGGGCGGCCAGTTCTTCGGCATCCCAGACACGAGAACCTTCTGGTACCAGGACCTCACAGGATCTGGCAATGAGACAATATCTCATCTCGTCGAGCCCAGCAACGGTCGCATCACCGTCCTCTTCAACGCATTCCAAGGCCCGGCTCGCATCATGAGGCTCTGGGGCAAAGGCCGCGTCTTGGAGAACGGGACGCAGGAGTTCGCAGACATGGTGGAGAGGGAAAACATCACATGCATTCCTGGCACGAGGTCCATCATCGTTGTGGACATCCATCAGGTCGGCACTTCGTGCGGCTTCTCGGTGCCGTTCTACGACTTCAAGGAGTACCGGACGACGCTGAACGAGTTCTTCGAGAAGAAGGAGAAGAAGTTCTTGGAGGGGAACGAAAAGGAGAGCATGGACCGCTACTGGGCGCTCAAGAACGCGTGGAGTATGGACGGGCTTCCGGGGATGCAGAGGGGTCTTGTCGCTGGCAAGAAATACTCGGTCGAGCCCCTCAAGAAGATGGTTGGACCGTTGGCCCCAAAGAACGGGGGACACGCCACGAAAGCAGAATTGCACGCTTCTTATATGGTGATCGCCTTCCTGACTCTTCTGGTCGCCTTACTGGCTGCCACACATCCGGCTTTCCAGTTTATCCCGGCTCAGAAGCGCATGCAGGATATCATGCTGCAAGCCGTCACGTCGGTACCGGGTGGTTCACCTAGCTCTGTCGGGTTGCCCGACTAGGCATTGCTTGTAGGGGTTATGGATTTGGTGAACTTGGAGTGGTTCTCTTCCGGCGTATAGTCGTTGCTTCTAATTTCTTAGCATTTCTCTTTGATGTTTCCCTTTGATGGTTGGGCTACAAGTATGGGCATCGGAGAGCTTTACCCATAAGACCAGAATGTGAGCAACCTGTAAACTAGCCCTATTGATACGACTTTCTTCACGACTTCGAGTCCTAGATTCTGATGGAAACTCTCCGCTGATTTGCCTGCGTTACGTGTGGCTACCTTCGGGCCTGTGTTTGAAGCCCTATGCAAGGTATGGCACACCCGACAACACCGAGGCTATCAAACGACACAGGGTCTATAAGAACAGTCCATTGCAGCAAAAGGCATAATGTGACTGGCCCCGCGTCCGTCCAGGCCGTTTTGGAAACGGTGCCATCACAGCGAGACTATCTGTTGGAGTCCCCCTGCCCCCAATTCCCTCCCGCAGCGCTGGGGATTCTCAGACTCCAAAAATGCAGGGAACTGTTGGAGTCCCCCTGCCCCCAATTCCCTCCCGCAGCGCTGGGGATTCTCAGACTCCAAAAATGCAGGGGACTGGTGAACGCGGCCGGGGTCGACCTCGACTCCCCCATCATCAGCATCTTTGAACGGGTGCTAAAGAGAGACAGCGTCACCATCAAACCAAGCAAACCGACCAATCTAAAATGTTAAATCTTAAAAATAATGCCTTTAAGTATGATACTCGTTAAAGGGACATTAAAGAACTAATAGATTTACTTCATTATAATATAATATAATATTTAGTTGTAAAATAACCTTATTAAGTATATTAAAAAATAAAAAATAAAACCCGTTTATAACGACTGCTTATACTTTTAAAACTTATAACCTTTAAAAAATAAGTTATTATTAAAAAGCTTGACTAAAACAATTGTATTTAAAGTGTTTATATCCAGTCTAATAAGTGCTGCCAGCTAATTAAATATAACCTTTCGATAAAAGTATATACTTATATACTTAATCCATAGCTAATTTTAAGATTTTCCCGTTATTTAATAATATATTAACTGTTAGAACAGGCTTGAACGATCAATCATAATACTTGAGTATAGGGTCAAGGTTATGATGTTGCTAATGGTTGGATTGGGAGGTCTAGCTGGACCTGAAGGTCTGGCTAAGTAATCTCGCAATCCGGTATCTAATCTCTTATCTAATCATACATGTGGGTCTTGGTATAGATGGTTTGCAGGCTGGAATTGCATAGATCCAACATTAACAATGATATTATTAAATTGGTCGTTGTTATATTAAATAAATAAAGATATCTTTAAATGTTTATATTTAAGCCTTAAATAATCGTATGTTAAGATATTTACGCTGTACGACTATATTAGCAATGAATCATTTACCTTTTATTTAATTAAATATCTAACAATTTAATTAAGTATTTCATTTGTGTTTAAATAACCTCTTTATTTAGTAAATAAGCATTTAACTTGTTTTCGATTATATACTTAATTTATTTAATTAAACACTTAACCTTTAACCAACTATAATAAAGGATGGTAAGGCCGCTTTTGGAAATAGTGGCTTGAATATGCCATTTTAAGCACCTGTTTTACGGGGCAATTCTCAGCTGTATAACCTTTTACTACTTTTTACGCTATTAAAAATGGGATTAACCCTTTATATACTTTTTAAGCCTACTTATACCTCTTTTTTTTACTTAGTTTAAACTACGTTACGGCTAAATTCAGTACAGCCTTATTTACATTTTAAATAACTTTTATTTATTAATAATATGAATAATATGAATAATATGAATAACATGGATAATATGGATAATATAGATAATATAGATAATATGGATAATATGGATAATATGGATAATATAGATAATATAGATAATATGGATAATATGGATAATATAGATAATATAGATAATATAGATAATATAGATAATATAGATAATATAGATAATATAGATAATATAGATAATATAGATAATATAGATAATATAGATAATATAGATAATATAGATAATATTGATAATATTGATAATGTGAAGAATTTTAAAAAAAATAAAAAAAATAAAATTTTCCCAAAGAATATTAAAAAATATTAAAAAATATTAAAGAATATTAAAAAATATTAAAAAATATTAAAAAAATATTAATATATTTATACCTTGTAATTGATTTATAGCTTTAATATTATATAAGTTATTATAATAATACGTATAATTTATTCTTAGCCTTTAAATTTATATGTTATAACAAGTTCATAAGTTATTAAATAAGGTAAATAATCAACTCGTTATAACTTATTTAAGCACTTCTATAAGCGTTTATATAAAAATAACTAGATTTATATAATAACACTTTGTATTATACCTTAATTAAACTTTAAACTTGCTTGGTAAAAAACAGTATAAAGGTTTACGCCGTTACTTTATTACGACTTTTTTTTAAATTATAAAGGGTATAAAATCTGAAAGTAGCTGACAAGCGAGTTGGCATTACAAGCGAGTTAGCACTCGTCATGAACTTTCCAACCAACACAATTCAAACCATTATATCTCCACCAATAACAAAGTCACTGCGTTACAATAAATCAGACTTACAGCTAGCTGTCCAAGCTAAACAACGTGACCCTTATATTTTTATATTTCAGGTTACGAAACTCTTTAATATCTATTGTTCCACTTTGAGCAATAGAATCAAAGGAATGCTATCACAACGTGACAGCATGCCTAATACTTTGAAACTTACAGTTTTTGAAGAGAATGCCATTCTTTCCTTCATTCTTGACCTGGATGCGCGAGTATTTCCACCCCGGCACAGTTATGTTGAAGATATGGCGAATCAATTATTGGCGGCATGTGAGGCTGAACGCGTTAGAAAGAACTGGATGTGTAACTTCATTAAACGCACACCAGGCCTCAAGACGCGTTTTCATCGGAAGATGGATTACCAGAGGGTCTTGAACAAAGATCCAGACGCGTATTGCGCGTGATTTTGCCAAGTTGCAGCGGCAATCGCAAAACATGGTATTTAAGACGCGGACATTTATAACTTTGATAAGACTGGGTTTATGATGGGCATTATTGGGTCCGACATAGTCATTATAAGCACCGAAAGAAGTGGCAGGCCTAAACAAGCTCAGCAAAGCAATAAAGAATGGTCTATAGCAATCTTTATTATCAATACTGATGGTTAGGTGGTCCCGCGTTCATCATTCTATAAGGCAAAACCCACCTCGCATCATGGTATTACAACACAACATTACCACGCGATTGGAAGGTGGCTGTGTCTGACAATAGATGGACTACTAATAAGATCGGTTTGAAATGAATTCAGCATTTTGACAAGTATAACAGATTGCGTATGACTGCTGGTAAACGCCTCCTCATCCTAGATGGTCACAAAAGCCATCATTCCCAGGTCTTTGAGAATTATTGCCAGAATAATAGCATCATTACTCTTTGTATGCCTGCTCACTCGTCACATAGGCTCCAGCCTTTAGATGTCAGTTGTTTCAACCCACTCAAACAAGCTTATAGTCGCTCAATTGAGGATCTCATCCGGCGTCATATAACCCATGTTTCAAAGGAGGACTTCCTCACAGCATTGTGAAGCACATAATGCTACAATGACACCAGGAAACATCCGAGCAGGTTTCAGTACCACTGACCTTGTTCTTTTTGACCCAGAAAGTGTCATTTCAAAGCTGGATGCTGTCGTTGTCATACGAACACTGTCACCAGACCCAAATCTGCCACCCACTATTTGGACTTTAAAGACGCCTACACCATTAATGAAGTAGTAAACCAATTGGTTTATGTCCAGAATTGAGTCAGAAATCACTAGAGAAGCTCACTTATATCAAGAATTGATGCATTGAGCTTGTTTTCAAAGGCTACATATAGTTCTATGCAGAAGGTTGCTTTGGTTGATTCTCGGGTCCGCGAGCTAGAGGAGACCAATCACTTACTAAATAAATACCAGAAAATAAAAAATAAATGTCTGATAAAAGAAAAAAGATTTTCTGTTAAAGATATAATAGGTCTTCAGGCTATAAAGGAAAGTACTGAGCTGACAAGACAGGAAATGGGTAAAGATAGTCATCGTCCAAGGAGGACGGCAGCGCGTGAGTGACGGTGTGGTATTTGCGGCAACACTGGCCATAATGCGCAAATTTGTACAGTAGAGATAGAAACCTCTGAAGAAGAGGAATCCAATTAATTGAATTGAATTGAATGCGTTGTGGTGAAGTTATTTCACATGGCAGTTAGAGTGTTTATGACGAGTGTCAACTCGCTTGTAATGCCAACTCGCTTGTTAGCAACGTTAATCTACTAGCTTGCAATACTAGAAGTAAAAAACGGCAGCAGATTTTCTTTATTAAGCAACTATTCACTTTATAATTCAAGCTAATATTTAACCGGATAAAGTTGAAAGGTTAGCGGCTTTCTCGATACTTACCGCATACTATAACGGCGATAAAGCCAAATAAAAGGCAATAGTTAATTGAAACGGTTAACTTATCTATTAATAGTTTTTAGTTTTAATTCTTAATATTAATAGATGTTTATAAAGGTTATAGTGTTAATAAGACTGCTTTTAAAGCATTTGATATATACTATGGCTTTTTACTTTCGATAAGTTAATATTAATTACTAAAGACTTATAAATATAAAGTAACGTGCGTTTAATTAAAGGATCGTATATTTAAATACTGCTTATTATATTATTTAAATTAGTAGTATTTATATCTTTATCATACAACCATTAAACCTGGTAGATGTAAGCTGTTAAATAAATAAATGCTCTTCGATTAATACTTATTAATTTAACGCATTACTATTTATAACCCTATAATCTTGATATTAAGAAACTTTCCAGGTTTTTACAAAGTTATAATACCTATTTAAAACTTATATACGTTATAAAATAACAATACAATAAACATCGTACTATTTTTAGCGCCTAAATTTAGTTTTAATAACACATT